TTAATAAAATTTTTTATTAAAAATAATTAAAATTAGCTTAAATTTTTAAAAGCTTATTAATTAATTAATTAAAGATTTTAATTATAATTTATTAAAAAAAATTAAAATAAAATTTTTAAATTAAAAATAATTAATAAATTTAAAAAATATTTTATATACTTTTTATATACTTACTATTTTATTTTAAAGTTAAAAATACTTTATTTTAAATATAACTTTTTTATTAATAAAAAAAGTATATAAAACTTTATTAAATTTTAAAAAACTATATAAAAATAAATATAATTTAAATATTAAAAAAAAAAAATTAATATTTATTTACTTTTTTATTTATTTAATTATTAATAATATTAATTTTATTAATTTTAAATTTATTTATATTTATATATAAAAAGCTTTATTATTATAATAAAAGCTAATTTAAATAAATTAAATAATTATTTTTTAATAAATTTTAAATAAAAAAATAATAATATTAAAAGTTATAAATATTATTTATTTTTAATATTTTTTAACCCTTAATATAATATTAAAATTTTTAAAAAAGAATTAAACTTATTAAAAAAATAAATTATTATATTAAAAAAGTTATTATTAAATAAAGTATTAAAGTAAGTTTAAATTTTTAAATATTTTTATTAATTTTAATTTATTAATTTTATTATATAGTTTATATTTTAAAATTTATTAAAAAAAAGAAAAAGAATTTAAATTACTTATTTAATTTAAATTTAATAATATTTATATTAATTTAAATTAACTAAATTTAAATATATTATTTAAAAAGCTAAAAAAAAAAAAAAAAAAATTAATATTTTTAATTTTTTATTTTTAAATATTATAAATAAAGATTTAAAAAGAAATATTAAAAATAAAATAAAAAATTATTTTAAAAATTTTTTAAAAATATTATAAATAAGTATATATTATAATATAATTATATAAATATTAATTAATTATTAAATTTTAATATTTAAATAATAAAAATTAAATAAATTAATATACTTTATTTTATTAATATTAATTATAAAATATTTAATTATTTTAGTTATTTTTATAATAATTAAAGTAAATTTTAATAATAATATAAATATAATTATAAAAAGGTATATAAATTTATAAAATATAATTTAAAAATAATTATTAATTTTAAAGTATAATAATAAAAAAAAAATAAAAGTAAAGAAATTATTTAAAATTAAAGAATATTTAAAATTAAAAGCATTATTAAATAATAATATATTAGAAATTAATATAAGTAAAAAAGAAAATAATAATTTTTAATTTTTATTTATTTAATTAAAAGTTTTAGTTATTAAATAAATATATTAAAGAAATTATTATTATTAAAAAAAAAGTTATTAAATTATTTTTTTTATTTTAATAAAATTAGTTAAATATATAATAAAAGTATTATTATAAAGCTAATTTTTAGCTAAATTTAATAAAATATTAAAAAGTTTATTTAAATATAATTTATTTATAAATTGTATTTATATTTATATTTATATTTATTATATATATATATATATATATTTATATTTGTATTTGTATTTAGTATATTTATATTTATATTTATATTTAAATTATTTATTTATATTTGTATTTATATTTGTATTTAGAAAATCTTTTATATTTATATTTGTATTTATATTTGTATTTATATATTTACTGTATAATTATAACTCTGGCTATAATTAATTTTAGTAATAAATAATACTTTATAGTATTATAATAAATAAATTTATATTACTATTAAAGTAAAGGGTATTTAGTTAGTATATCTCTTATTATATTCTCTTAATTTTAACTTAATTAAAGCTTATTTTAATAATTTAAAAAAATATATTAAGTATTAGTATTAATTTAAAATAAATAATTTTAATTTAAATTAAAAATTTAATAATTTCTTATACTTTTATATAAAAAAAGTTAGGTACTATATTAAGGCTATATATAAGTATTTTTATTATATAAAAGTATTAATAAAAAGGTTTTAAATTAGCAATTAATTTAATAATAGTTAAAAGTATAAAGGATTTAAAATAGTAATAATATTATAAAGGTTAATTATAAGGCAAAAGGATTAATATTAAGGTTATAAATATAAGTTAGGCTTTACAGTAAAAAAAAGACTATATTATAGTAAATATATTTAATTTTCTTTCTTTTATTATATATACTTACTTTTAATTGCTTATATTTACTTTACTTATTAAAAAACTTTTTTTTATTATATTAAACTACTTTTTTTTATTATTTATAACATTTTTTAATTATTATTACTACTTTTTTTTTTAAATACTATTGAAAAACTTATTTATATGTTTATTTATAGCTATTAATAGTTTTAATAATATTTATAGCCCTTATAGCTATAGTAAGTTTTCCTTTACCTTATTACTTTTACTACTCTTAAAAAAGTTAGAAAAGTCCTCTTTTTTCTTTAAATATAGCTTTATAAGCTTTTTAACTAATATAATTATATATAAACCCTTTTTATTAAATTAAGTATTATTTTTAATATAAAGCTTTTATAAATTTAAACCTTTATACTTTATTATTTTTAACAACTTTTTTAGTTATATTTTTTTTATAAGTATATAAAAGTGCTTTTATAGTATTTTTAGTATAAATTCCTTATATAAAACTTTTTAATTATTAATAATTTAAAGCAGTAATAAGAATATTATAGTAAGCTTATGTTTTTTTTATAAACTGCTTAAGTAACTTATAAAAGGCAGCTTTATTAGCAGTAGTAGTATTAATAGTTTTTTAAAGCCTTATAATATATATAATAATAGTAGTAATAATAGTAGCTTAAATAATAATAGTAGTATTAATAGTAGTTATTATAATTAATTATAGTTAAAGCTAAAAGCGTAAAGGTTAATTAATAAGTTGATTATTATATAATTTTTTTTTTTTTACTTAACCTTTTTTTTTTTACTTTTTTTATAGCTATAAAAGGCTAATGTTATTATTATTAGATTTTTTGTTGCTATAGTTGCTTTTAGCTTGCTATTGCTACTAGAAAAGAAGCTTTGCTAATAGCTTATAAAGAGTAGCTTTATTAATAATTATTGTTTTTACTTATTTTAATAAATTATTATTAGTTAAGTTAATATATATATTATTTTGCTTTATATAGTATTATTAGTATAGGGAGTTACTTTTATTATAATAATAATAATTAGCTTTATAATATATACTTAAACTATACTTTTACTATACTATTAGCTGCTTATAAGCTTTTTATAAGGGTTTTTAATTACTATATATTGCTATAAGTATATAAGTAATAATTAATTTACTATAAACTTTTAAGGGTAATAAGCTTTTATTAAGCAATTTAATATTTTTAAAGCGTTTAATTATAGATAAATTATTTATAAGGCTAGTAATAAGCTGTATTTTTAATAGTTTATTAAAAACTTTAATTATTAGTTGTTTAGTAAGTAATAAGTTAGCTTATAGTATTAGTATTACTTATAACCTTTAAAGGGTTACCTTATAAATATATATAAAGGTTAAAAAAAAGAGGCTTTTGCTTATAAAGAGTATTTTTATTAAATTATAGCAATTAAATACTTTTTTAAAGTAATTTAAGTATTTTTTTGCTAATTTTAATTAGTAAAAAGTATTTTATAGTATTTGCTAATAGCTAGCTTTAATATATAGTTAGTATAATTTAATAATAATATTTTTATTATTTTTAAATTTTACTTTAACCTTTTTTTTATAGTAGTTAATAAGTTTTTTTATAGATTAAGGATATTAAAAGCTGGCTAATTAGTATTAAGTTTAATAGTATAGTGCTTTATTAGTAGCGCTTAAAAGAACTTAACGCTAGTGACCTTTATAATTAATGTTATTAGTATTTTATTTAGAGATTTTTGCTATAGTGGGTTAATAAAGTAGCTTTTTAAGATTTTAATATTACTTTTAGTGTTTTTTTGGTAATAAAGCTGTTTTAGGAGTGGAATTGTTATTATTAATTACTTTTAAGCTATTTATACTTTTTTTAAGGATAATTATACTTTTATTTAGCTTATTAGTAATCTTTTTAGCATTTTTTACTATATACTAAGCTATATATTTAGTAGTAGTTAATTTATTTTTAGCGGTTTTTAAAGCAGCCTTTAGTATAGCTTTTTTATTATGCTTTTTTTATTATATAATTTATTTAGCTATAATAATAATATGCAATTTATTAATAGCTACTTTTATTATTAGCTTTTATATATATATTTATTTAAGCGGTATTATATAATTATTAATAAATTGTATAGTATAGCGCTATAAGTAAGTTTTTTATAGTAATAAGTATTTAATTATTATTTTAAAGGTTAATTAAAATATATTAATTATAAATTTAAGTAAGTAAATATTATTCTTAGTTAAGGTAAGTAAGGGCTGTATACTTTTATATAATAAGTAGAATCTAATTTTACTATTTTAAGCTATAAAAAAAATACGCTTAATTAGGGGTTAGTAATAGTTTATAGTAATTAATAGTAATAGTAACCTTATAAAGAGGATATTGGTAAGTGCCTAAGCCTGTTTGTAAATTTTAGTAGTGCGCACAGGCCTGACTAAATCGACAGGGGGGGGGGGGTAGCATTTTGCTTTCCACAGACAGCAGCAATCTACTGTTGATCTCAGCAGCACAAGAGTCAGCCACGCAGCCACGGCGCGCCAAACACAGACCTCGTCTACGAAATGCATGTCTTGGACCCTCTCGGAAGTAAGGCGGGGACCAACGTTTGCCAAGCACAAAGGGTTCATCAGCCTGCGTGTCTCGGGGCTTTTTTTTTTGTCTTTCTTTAATTTTGATCCAAAAAATGAAAATGGCTGCAACGCCCCGGGAGATCAACCGCCATGGCGCCAAGGGCGGACGGACCAAGCCTCCACCGCCGAGCTGAAGGCAAGTGACAGCCGCAACAGCCGGAAGCGCCCGAGGGCAGGCAAAGCACGCACGTGAAAGGCAGGATGAATTGTCTACGGTTCGCTTTGGTAATTCATACGTGACCGATAGCAAAAGTGAGTTGATGGTGGAATTCAAACTTGGCACCAAGAGGTGATCTGCACAGAGATGCCAGATTCAACAAGTCATGCTCAGGCTCAGGGCTCAGGTCGGGTCAGGTTGATAGGTCGGCTCTCCATTTCTGTGATCACGCGCTCGTCACTTCGAAACACACAACACGCCAGCCAGAAGGCAAGAACAAATGCCGCTGCGCGGTTGTCCTTCTTTCGCGGCCCTTCGAAAGCGCATCGGTTTCAACGTACCCGACGCCAGCCCGATTCGCGGGCCACGGGAAGAAAGAGAGAGAGAGACAAAGGCAGAGAGAAGGGCCTACCCTTACCCGGACATCGTCCGGAAAACGGACGCCTGAAGGATTCAAAGAGGCAAAACCACGCCAAGGTCGGACCGTCCGTCGGGCTGGGGGCCATCTATTCCTGGATGTCGTAGGCGCGGCTGTTCCCTTTGGTTGGGGGTCCTGTCTCTTGAGGCCCAGACAATATGGGAGAGGCCTAGTATCTGTTAGGGCATTGTCACGAAGTCGTGGGCAATGGGACGGTCTCTTTTCGCTCTCTCTCGCTTTCTTCTCGGACCTCGGGAAGAACATTCGAAGCAAAGTTCAGATGGGCGCCTAGCACGCCGCGGGCTTCTTGACGAGGCCAGGAAACGTCGCGCCCCCCCGTTTTGACGAGTCTTTCGACCATTTCGAAACGGCACTTTTGGAAGCGCGGGTAGCTCCCAGCCCGGAAAGCTTGAATCTGGGAGGATCTTGGGCCAACCCCTAGCGAACATTCCCTGGGCCTACCGCCGCAAGCTTGCGACATGTCGCGATAACCCACCCTCGCTCCCCAGTTTACAGTGGTCGCGGTGACGCAGTCTCCCACAAAACCACACTTACGTGCATAATGGGGTGCAGCAGTAGGAGCAGTCCACCACGCGGGGGGAAGGGGGGCTACCAGGCCGCCAGGTTAGAGCAGGACCAGGGCGTCGTCGTGGCCGCCAGGAAGCTCGCGCAGCGAGCAGCAGTTTCATGCATCCGTGGCGTCATCGTGCTGGGGAACAAGATGGGCGGGCGTAGCATTTTGGGTTCATACTTGCTCCTCCTTCCCCTCAGCCCTCAGCCTTCCTCCCCGCGTCCCGGATTATTATCTCGTAGGCGCGGTTGCCACCAACGAACCCCACGTCCCATGTGTCGTCTCGCCTGCCTTGTCAGAGGGAAGGACAAGGGGAGCACGAGGGACCACATGCAGGTTTGGGAACGCGACAGACTGCAGAGAGGGCCTGCGTCGCGCCAATCCCGAACCCGCGCGCTTTCGGGTTGCGGGGTTATTTGTGTGTGTGCACGCAGCCATACGGCCTGACAATGACAGCAGACACGCTGCGTCCTTGCTTGACTCGGGCGTGGGGTTGAGATGGTTTGAGCAAAGAAAATAGGTTAGGGCAGGGTGGATGGATTGGACGGATAGATGTCGGATCGGGACCAAGATCCGTAGCGCATAAAGACAACCTCCAGCAGGCGGTGATGAGCGTTGCAGATCTACATTTCATCACTGGGATTGGCAAAAGTCTTGGGGCATCTTCACTGCTAACCGCCCAATTCCATCGGCTTGGGGCTCAGGGCCACGGGGCCGTCCGTGCCTTGTTGCTGAGGGACTCAGTGCCCCAGTGTGAGCGGGAGACGTTTTGACATGTGCCAATTGTCAACCAACATCCGGCAGTAGATCGTTTGTGAATGAATGGGGGTTTGGAACGAGCCCTTGCATTCAACCTTCCCCTGCGCGCCGCGCAGAACCAAAGCGCTGTCGGTGAGCTCTCAGTGGATGCTGCTGGGTCTTGGGTTGCGGTGAGGAGGCGACGATGAAGCCAGAATGACAAGACTGCCACCTCACCTCACTCAGTGCCTGTCCTGTTCCTCGAAACATTGGCCCGCTCCGCGGCTCCGGGGGGAACAAAGAAGTGCTACCCTGCAGAAGCTGGGGGGTAGCATTCGTGGGCCTGTGGACCGCCGAGACAGGAGCCGAATCTACGCGGCTTGCAAGGATCTGAGCTTTGTTCGCTCGGGTCCCGTAGCTGGGAGGCTGCTCGTGGCCGTGTTTCACAGGAGCCCAGAAGCATCCGTTGCGAGCGCCTACCGTACAGAATTAGTTGTACAGTCGTGTGTTGAGCCCGCTGCATGACTGATAGACAACCTGACAACCCACCGTAGGGCGGTCTCGAATCGTGAGAGCTGAACTGACAAGGTGACCTCCTGTAGGTACTAAGGAGACTGAGGCCAGAGTTCGCAGGAGAGCTCCCTCCTGTCTCACCAATATAGTAAGGGTCGAGTCATGGCCTTTCCTCAAAGGAGAATTCTTTTCGAGGCTCGAGGTGGCTTTCAGGGCTTGAGGGACTTGCGGGAGGGCGTTTCTTCCAAGACGCGCCATCGGTCCTGCCCCTGAGACAAGCACCTCTGGGAAAGGCAAGACCGGCAGGATGCAGTTTAGCCTCGCAGTGCGTAGCGTAACCTGCAGAAACGGTCCGCGGGCATGCGGCGAGCCGGCCTGCTGGTGATCTATCTACTGTGACGAGAGACGGCGAGACGGAGCCTGCAGACTGTGTCTGTCTCTGGCTGCAGTGCCCGTGTTTCACCAGGGAGGGCGATGGTGGAAAACGGTCTTGGCCCTTTCAAGAAGATTGACGACGCCTCGTCGTCCGCCTCCCTTGCCCGCTTCCGGCGACGACTCACAACAACGCTTATCAGTGATTCGGAGGGGGCGTTGCCTCAGAGGCAATTACTATGCATTGCTTGATTGAGCTGACTGGGCCCTCGGCCAGACGGCATGCTCATGTCCTCGTGTGCAGCCATCAGCACGACGCTATTAGGTGTCGTTTATGCGGAATGCTGACAGACAGTCAGCCAGCCATCCAGTCTTCCTTCGGCGGATGACTGGCGGTAGCGCGAACCAGCTGCTAGTCTACTGCGTGGTGAGGAGCATCGCACATGCAGGCAAGCTGTGGGGAGGGGAGCATTCTCGCCAGAAACGATCTCGCTTCGGATCGGCTACGGATGAGCCGCCAAATCTTTGATGGTGACATTTTTTTCTCTTTCTTTGATGGGATAGGGAAGGGAGGGCGCCGCACAGACTCTCACCGCTGCTCTCGCCGTCCCATCATCCGTCCTGTAGGGCCGAGATACCCACTAGAGCAATATTGTCGTCACGAATGCGAGGCCGGGAACCGTTTCTTGACATACTTTTGAGATGACGGGTGGCAGCAGAAGGCATTAGTTGTATTGCATGCCGCTTGCCGTCACCAGCAAGGGCGCAAGCAGCACACACAGGTAGCCAATTCGCCCGTCGCATGCGTCAAAAGTTAGACTGTTGCTGCCGAAGAGATGGGATAAACTTTTGACGGCGAGCCCCATGACTTGGAAATCCGCGGCCGCGATTCGCGAGTGCTCGTCGGTCGTGTGTTAGCTCTGCGCTGGCACATGCAGCATTAGCAGCAGCAGCAGCAGCACATGGCAGGATTTCAGATCCAGGTCCAAATTTGTTGGTCGTTGGCGGCGTGACGGGCCAGGCTTATTAGACCATAGAAGAGCACCTAGCTCGACGGGTAAGAGTCGGTGAGAAGTGGCAGACTGGATGGCATGGCGCTATGTTTGAACTGGCGAGCCTTGCAAAGGGAAGGGAAGCCCCGTGTGTTGTAGCGTTGGTTGGTTGTTAGTTAATGCTGGAGGGGAGCTTGGGGTCCCCGGAGAGGAAAGGGTGGGAAGAGAGGGCGGTAGTCGGGGCGGCCAGCGGGCGGATGAGAGGAGGAGGAGCCTCCAGAGGAGAAGAGGAGAAGACTCCACAGTGCTGCAACGTGCGGAACTTGCCAGAGGGGGCCCGGGATGAGCGAGGTTGTGCAGGCTTGCTGACACAAACACAGTTCCCCTGACTGATGTTCTGACTGTGCAACACGGTTCGCGAGGCAGTAAGCCGTGAGCCGCAAGCCTCGAGCCGTGAGCCCGTGAGCCGTGAGCCAGAGCACAGCATGGAGAATTTTGAATGCGCTTGTATGTTTCTGTTTCTGTTTCTGTTGGGCTGAAAAGTTTTTGTGGCCTGGGCGCTCAGATGTCTCGAGAGATGAGCCGGGCCAGATCGATCCCACGAGCCCACAGGGAAGGCCCCTTATTGTTCTGTTATTACCATATCGATTAGTCTACAGTTACTCGGACAAGTTCCAAGGCCGGGGGCCAGAATATGCCTCAACGAGGATCTCACTGTCTCGCAAGATTTGTTTATTTTGATTGATGGATTGGGCGGGAGGATTGTGGACAGGGTGCCTTGTAGGTAGTGCCGGGCCAACTAATCTCCATAACCCACCTGGGGCCAGCTGGGGAGCAGAGTAGAATGGGATTGGAATGTGACATTGCCGTCATCACCACGAGACAGAAGCGGGCATATCTTAGATGTCTGGTTGTATTGCTGTGTGCTGGGCCTGTAGGCGACTTGTGACAAATGACAGGACCACTTTGTTGGCACCTGCGTCCAATGGCTGCAGCATTGGCGGAAAGCACGAGTCTTGGTTGTGGTTCTGGTTGGGGGGAGGGCAGGGACTGGGCAGGGCAGGGCAGGGCAGGGCAGGCAGGACCGGGCAGGCTGGCAGGCTGGCAGACAAGGGGACCGTTTTGACGAAAAAACGGTGAGCAAAGCAAGCGATTTCTGGTTCCGGCGAAAAGCCGTCCGTCCGTCAGTGGCCAGTAGTTAGGTAGTCTGTAGTCAGCTCAGTCAGTCACTCGGCCATTCGGCCACTCGCGTGCTAGCTCGCAGCTACTCCCCAGCACATGTGTTGTCCCACGTTTTCGCAGGTACACTCCAGCCAGTCGGTGAGTAGGCCTGTACTAAGAACGGTAACGTACCACTGTACTGTGCTGTTCCTGTACTGTAGCTGCCCTTGCCCTGCCCTGGCACGCCTGGACACGGGCCCTTTTTGCAGGAATTTTCTTTTTTCTCCAACAAGCGCATTTGCCTTTCCCCCCTGAGAGCGCCTTTTTCCGTACTGCCAGTGCTAACTGACTGACTGACTGATTGACTGATTGACTGCTCACCCCCATGCCCCAGCGCCCCATGCACCACCCCCAAGGTCCAAGTTCCAAGGACCCCCCAAATGCAGGGCTCACACTAACAGGACTAATACACACACACACACACACACACACACACATGCATTTGCGGTCGCACCCACGCACTCAATCACTCACTCACTCATGCGCTCTCACTCATATGCGCGAGGGAATAACATGTAACTAGCTCCCTCTCTCCCTCCCAAATCTCCCTCGTCCGCTCTCGGTATTTCTCCCTCGCCCTCGCCCTCGCCCACCCACAACCACACCCAGAAAAACACACAAACTCAAATTCTCACATACACGACAAACTTGGAGAGCAGATCAGAATCCTGTTCTGGACACAACCGTTGATCATTGCTCATTGCATTGCTCGTTGATCTCCGCTGTGTTGTCAAAGCAGCACATCACATAAACCCGGCTCCCCGTCACCTCGCCAGGTCCTTCTGCGCCACCCACCCGACTTTTGACTTTGGCATTTCAACGTCATCCGCACAGGATTCACCGCGCCTCTCCTGCGCCCTGCGCCGTAAAACCAAGGCCACTTGGTCCGGACCCTGGATTTGAAAACATCCTCGAGACATTGCAGAGGCCCAGAGACTGACCTTGGACTGGCCACGACCCACGGAACCGACTTTTCCAAACACCAACCGTTTACTCTATCCTTCCGCCTAACCCACACCACCTTCTCTGCACACTCGACAATGTTCCTGGCCTTATAGCAACACTGTCCCTAGGGACACCTTTGCGCAACCTCCTGGGCACTGAGACCTGAATTGGAGGGCTGCACCCACCAACAGATCTCTCGACAGAGCACATCTCTGGTCTCTTGACCGGCTGGACGCGACCAACAGTCATCCGATCCGCCTCGAGTCTGATCTGTCCTGCGTCACCAACCGACGACGCAGCATACCTGCATATAATCACCACTGCAACCCTAACGTCGCCTTCGACACCCCGATCTACACACCCACAGACACGCAGAAACCACCAGTATTCCATAATGTTGAGATATCCAGCCCACGGCAGCGCCACGTCAAACGTGCTGGCCTGGAGCTCCCACTCCGCAAACGTCGAATCTGTCGCCGAGGAGGACGCCGCAGCCGACGCCGACGAGCCACCAGATTCGACCATGGCGAACAACAGCATGACACCCCAGTTCAGGAGGGCATCCGTCACCAAGGCCAGAGAGCATCACGCCTCGCTCCTGACACAGGCCCTGCAAAGCGCTTCCGAGGGCGAGTCGCCTGATAGCACTCCCGTTGCCGCCGCCTCGCGACGACGACGATCCATCACCAGCCAGATCTCGCTGGCTTCCACGGCTGACCTGACCAGCGACACTGGCATGAGCACCCCAGCCAGGACCAACACTCCCAGCCCTCGCCTCCCGAGCATTGGGTTCGCCGCTCTCCCTATGGACAAGCACTATGCCGCATCCGGCATACAGATCATCGGCTCTCTGCCGAGGAGATCCACGCTCACGAACACGGCCAACGAGCAGGCGCCAAAGCCCACGGAAGCACCCAAGGATCCCGCCGTTGAGGCTATCGCGAAGAAGCGTTGCATCTCCTTCGCCTGCACTGCAAAGCCAAGGGACGAAGCGCCAAAGGCCCCGGCCCCGGCTCCGGCTCCGGCCGTCGCTCAACCTGCCCAGCCGAGGAAGACATGCATCAAATTCGCCTGCACAGCCCGCCCGAGTACCCAGCAGACCCCGCCACAGAAGCCGCGCCTGGAGACGTCGAAGCTGGAAGAGAGTGGTTCTCTCTCAACTGTGGTCAACAAGTCACCTTCCACCGCGAGGAAGGCTCGCTCACCTGTTGCTCCTCGGGTCCGGCCATCTCCTCGGAGATCCGCACAGTCACCTGTTGCCACTCGCAAGACAAAATTCATCACGGCGAACTCCAAGGACCTGCAAGGTGAAATCTGCCACTTTCATGAATTTGCCAGTGACCATCCCACCGAGGAAGACTGGATCCGCCAGGAGAAGTGCATCGCTAAGGCCAGACTTACCATGGACGACCTGCTCAAGAAAGAGAATGACATCCGTCGACTCGGCAAGGAGGCAGAAGAGGAAGCCGAGCAGGAAGAAGCAGAGGAGGAAGGCGAAGAGGCTCTCGATGAGGACGACGAGGACGACGAGGAGAATGGCGACGATGAGGACGACGAAATTGTCGAAGAGGAAGATGCTGAGGAGGACGAACAGTCTGGATATGGCTCGGATGACGACTTCTCGGATGGCTACAACACCGACGAGGAGTACGGGTTCGCCGAGTCTGACGACGAAGAAAACGACGGACTGCACCTCTGGACGTTCAACGTACACCAGGCTAGAGCATCCGATGCCACCCCGGTCTTCCGGCCTTGGTCTCTGGGCGACCACCACTCGGACTCTTCGACTGGCTCTAGGAAACATATCCGGGGCAAGCACTCGCAGTCTCGACTTACCGGCCGGCCCATGACCCCAGAACTGCCCGACAGCACCGACTTCGTATGTGGTACGATGGACGAGGACAGGCCGCTGGAGGAAGCCTACCTGACACGACTGGCCGCTCGCAAGCAGGAGAAGCTCCGCATCATCCCCCAGGATATCGATCCCAGTTTTCCTACCTCTGAGCCTGAGGACGAGGATGAGGAAGACACCAAGCACAGCCATGGCAGCGGTGACCATCTGTGGTTGCATGGTGAGCTTGAGGAGCTCGAGGAGGAGAGGGCTGACAGACGCCACCGGAGGGGCGAGAACGCCTCTCCCAAGAGGCTTCGCTCGCCTCCACCCAAGCGACTCCGCTCACCCCCACCCAAGGCTCGTGGTCGATCTCCTCGGCGGCTCTTCGATCGCTCTTCGCCTAAGCGCATCAAGTCACCCGCTCCAGCACATGGCCCGAAGTCACCTCGAGCGTCGCCCACTCATGCCGAAAAGGTCATGGGCTTCAAGTCACTGGCTTCCCGACCGGGACTCACCCACACCAAGTCTCTGCCCCGTGCCGCCTACTTTCCGGCGCAGGTCAAGTCAGGCAAGAGGACCAGGGCCAACACGGTGAACAGGGACAACGCCCATGTGCGAGGCGCCATTGACATTGTCAAGGGCCTGGAACACAAGCGCCAGCGCAGAAAGGAGAAATTTTACCAGAAATACTGCAATCGTGCCCGCAAAGGGCAGATTCCTGAGAAGAAGGCTCAGCCGGGAGAGGGAGCTGAGAGGATGCGAGAACTTGGATTGATACTGGCCGGTAAGATGGGCCAGGGCAACTATGTCATTTCCATCTAGGCCAAAGGGCTTGGCAAATGGGACAGGACGGTACGGAGTTGTCTTTTTTTTAACATTTACCCATCCATACCCAAGCCATTGGCGCAATTGCATCTGGGGTGGGAGGCTTTTCTACTTTTGGGAGGGGGACCTGGCGCAAAATCTTGACGAGCCATGACAGCATCAGTCTTTTCGTTCATATATTATCTAGTGGGGCTTTTCTCCTTTGTCTTCCTCTTCACCATTCTACGGATACCCAGCATTTGGATTTTTCTCTGGAGGCTAAGTGAGGGTGGGGTCCCGTCTTTTTACACTGTACATAGCAGTTCTATATTTGCCTTTTCATAGGCATGTATACCATTGAAAAAGGACGCATATTCATTATGGTCTTTCTACCTCATTCGTTGGACATATTTCATTCAATCTGCAGCATTGATGACTGGCATTGCATGGCGTTTTTGACACTTGAGGTATGCAAGTGTGGAGGAGTGGGATGACGGGTCAAATTGTGATACCACCAGATAGGAGATGAAGACAATCGACATCTTTACTGTATACTCAAAACCTGACAAGTCAATCTCGATGCATATTGATGATGTTGTGTGATACTGTCTGCGACTCGGGTCTGCTGATGACGATGGTGAGTGAGAGTTTGGTGCAATTTGGTTGTACATGCGTGGCAATCAAGGCTGAATCATCAAAGAGTGACTCGGACTCTTCTTGTATATGCTGATCTGAATAATCTGTCATTAATTGCGTATGAGACGGACAGCGAGTGTCAGGAAAGCAAGCTAGCATTTCGACAAGATGAGGCTACAGATGAGGCATAGAATAGGGTAGCTTCGCCTCTGCGCCCAAAATAGTGAGTGAAGGCGGTTTTGGGTTGCCCAGTGCAATGCCAAGGATGACAGTTATGTAAGCGGTCAGACCCATTGTCATTGGCCGATCCGCTTTTGCTGCCAGCTAGACAGTACCCATGCCAGGCCTGGCCTGGGCCGGGCTGAACCTGCTGTCATCAAGCCCGAAAGCGACCAAACGAACACGGATTGCATTTGCAGTCTGTCAGTCAGTCAGTCCCCTTGTCCACCAACACTTTCTCCCCCACGCCACCATCCAACTTCTTTTTCCTAGACTCGACCACGCCGCCGTCACCCTCCTACCAGCCACATCAACAACAAGAAGACGCAGCCTCGACCTCGACCACAGCCGGCCAAGATGTGGATTATCAACTGGTGTATGTGCTTTCTCCTACACCCTCAACCTCGGACGGAGCTGGAGAGCTATCGGGAGACCGAGCCGCCCGGGGCGAGCAAATACTCGCCTCCCCACGAAAGGATAGGACAGAACGGACACGTTGGCTGACACGAGGTCTTATTTTCTACAGTCTACGACGTCCTCTCGTCGCTCGGCCTGCTGAACAAGCACGCCAAGCTGCTGTTCCTCGGCCTCGACAACGCCGGCAAGACGACCCTGCTGCACATGCTCAAGGTGCGTCACCACCCCACGATGCCCTGAAGACGAACGCCGGACGGGGAGGGGCATCATGACCTGAGGCCAATCACCGACTCCGGCATGTCTTTATTTGATCGATCGATCATCCACCTCAGCCGATAAGAAAAGGGAAGAAGGGCAGCAGATAAGCTGACCAGACTTGTGTTCACAGAACGACCGAGTTGCCATCCTCCAGCCCACCCTCCACCCTAGTGAGTAGCCGGATCACCGAAAACTTTGCGAGACTTGTGTCTTGTCACATACTCCGCGCCAGGCGTGCTGACCTGGGCAACACAGCTTCTGAGGAACTCGCGATCGGCAATGTGAGGTTTACGACTTTCGACCTGGGAGGTCACCAGCAAGGTACGGGAAGCACCCCATTTTCAACCAGCCAACATACATCTTGAACGAACGAACAAGCAAACAAACAAACAAACATATCCGAGAGACACACTCCTTTTCAAAATCCCGCGGGCATACAAGGGCTGTTTACTAACAAGAAAACCCATAAACAGCACGACGCCTGTGGAGGGACTACTTCCCCGAAGTGAACGGGATCGTGTTTCTGGTGGACGCCAAGGACCACGAGCGATTCGTGGAGGCCAAGGCGGAGCTGGATGCGCTCCTGCAGATGGAGGAGCTATCCAAGGTGCCGTTCGTGATCCTGGGCAACAAGATCGACCACCCGGACGCCGTGTCCGAGGACGAGCTGCGCCACCAGCTGGGCATGTACCAGACCACGGGCAAGGGCAAGGTCCCGCTCGAGGGCATCCGGCCCGTCGAGGTCTTCATGTGCTCTGTCGTCATGCGCCAGGGCTACGGCGAGGGCATCCGGTGGCTGAGCCAGTACGTCTGAGCTGCCAGCGGCCTGTATTTCCGGGAGGATGGTGTGGGTACTATCTTTAGGGATGCCACCTTCGCCCGGAGTTCGCGGTGCAAGACAAAGCAGTGGGGAATAGCTGCAGGCTGCTGTGGGTAGCGGGAACCCGCAGCTCTCTCTGGCTCTCTCTCTCTCTGTCACACAGAGACTATAGATGGCTCTTTCTCTCACTTGGGTATTCATTCTCCACCTGCAGCCGAAATGACGACGAAAGCGACGGATGCATGGACAATCAGGGGGAAAGGAAAGATTCGAGGGCGTAGAGGAAAGATGGATGGATGACGACAAGATCTCTATCTTGGTGTGTGTTTGTTTTTACATGTTCGTCCTGTGACGGGGAAGAACTAACTACTGGCCGCATGGCGTTGCATGCTCGTTGTTTTTTATAATCGAAAAGGGTTTACCACTAGAATATGTGTCTATGTGTAAATGCACATATTTGTGCGTGTGTTTTTTTGCATATTTTTATGCTTCCTCGGTGATGCTCAGGAAACAAGCAACACCACAAGTGGTGCAGCACTATAAGAAGAACAAGTCACCCGAGTGCTCTCGTTCTCTGCAGACGGGTATATGGACGGAACGATCACTCGAAGATGAAATTGTTGGGAATTCGAGCAGTCGTCCCGAGGTCTGTTGCCGTGGAGCTCGTGATACTCTCTACCTGGATAGGTAAGCATCAGGAGAGTTTGTGCTCTTGTCTGCTTATCCTCGTTGCCCACTGGCGAGACCGACTTGTTCGATGGGCATTCCAGACCCCTCGGCAACCGTTGGACTGTGCCTGTGCCTATATATGGGAGAGAATAAGGGATCTGCCCCCCAAAATTGGACCCGCTAGGCCTCGGTAACGTCAGCCGAAGTTGCTGTACCGCAGGCGTAACAACCCCCGATTCCCCGTGCATTGCCATTGCCCCCCCATTCCACAGTGGCTGCTGCGGCCCTGCAGTTCCCCAACCGAAAAAAAAAGGCGACGTCATTTCGGGTCGGTTCAGCCCAGTCCCCTGAACACATGGACGAACCCGACGACGAACCATAGCTTGCGACAGACCTGCCCTGACTAAATGACCGACTGACTGAAAGACTGACTGCATATTCAAACTCTCTGGCATCGCACATGATCCCCCTTGTCTCACCTCACTCTTCTCTTTTCTTATTTTTGCAGCTAGACTTGGGAACTCGTGATCGAATACACGTGTAGTCATTTCTCTTTTCATCTAGTTATTGTTCTCTTTGAAAGCATTGTCTAGAAAAGACTAGACAGACTATACAAGACCAAACCACCCGAGACACAAGGCTTTTCAGCTCCATACCTTCTATACCCTCTGTGTTCCGTTGCTCCCTCTGCAGTCAGCTTCCATCCCTCAGACATGGTATAACACCCAAGCGTCTTGCCACTCAGCCGAGCAGCAGCAACCAGCCATGGCGCGAGAACAGGAGAAACGAGCAGCAGTAGACGACGACGACGACGACGAGAGGCCGCCCGTCGTCGTCCCGGACAAGAACTACGGCTTCCCGCGCGACGCCTTCGACCCCTCGCTCCTGCCGGACTTCGACGTCGACTTCCTTTCCCCCGAGGCCCGCGAGGCCTTCATCCAGGCCCTCTCCGCCCCGGACCCCGCCCACAGCACCGAAGACGTCTCCACCATCCGCCTCGGCAGCCCCATCCCCGGCAGCGCCAAGCGCAGCAGCTTCGACAACAGCGTCACGCGCCGGCAGTCGAGCGCAATCCCGGAGTCCGGGGGCAAGGGAGGCGGCAAGGAGGAGGAGGAGGACCCCCAGGAGGTGGCTGCGCACGCCGCGGCTGCGGCGGCGGACGTCTCTGCGCCTTCGCTGCCGAATGGGAATAGCGTAAATGGCAATGGCAGTGGTAATGGGACTGCCAACGTGCCAATGCAGCCGCGGGACAGCCTGTTCATCACGGCACAAAATGACTGGGCGCCGGTACACCAGAAAGTAGCGAGGTCCGGTACATCAGGAGGAGGAGCTGGTGGTGGCAGCAGCGGAGCTACAGGTGCCAAGGGGCACGGCAAGCGGCGGCACAAGCGTCCACGGACGGCGCGGCCGGGGCGGCGCACCAAGGACGAGACGCGCGAGGGCTACCTGTACGGGCTGCTGAAGTGGCCGTTCCTGCTGTTCGTGAGCGGGTGGGTGCTGGGGCTGGCGATGGCCTACGTGCTGACGCGGTACTACATCTGGTTCTACGAGTACTTCATCAGCTGGCGCGGGCGGCGCGAGCAGCTGCGGCGCAACATGCGCGCCACGTCCGGCTACCGCGAGTGGCGGGCCGCCGCGCGCGAGCTCGACGAGTTCCTTGGCAACTCGGCCTGGAAGGAGACCAACGAGTTTGCCTACTACGACTGGAAGACGGTGCGCCGCGTCTGGGACAGCCTCAAGAAGAGCCGCGAGAAGGCCGAGGCCGTGGAGAGGAAGATCGCCGAGGGCCACATTGTCGAGAGCGACGAGCGCCAGGACGGCGAGAAGGCTGTCGAGGCGCTGAGGGCCCTGCTGACGGCGTGCGTCAAGAATAACTTTGTTGGCGTCGAGAACCCGAGGCTGTACTCTCAGACGTACTACGGCACCAAGAATCTTGTGCAGAACCATGTCGACGAAGGTATGTCGCAGGAGTTGACTCAGGTGTTTCTTACTCTTGTTGCTGTGGATGCTAATATGAGAACCAAACAGTGGAGAAGAGCCTCAAGTTCATCCTGGATACCAAGCAGATGCAGCTCGACGACAAGCGCGAGCTGTTCAGGAGCCTACATGGCAACTATGGTCGGACAGCGCTGTGCCTGTCGGGCGGGGCGACCTTTGCCTACTACCACTTCGGCGTGGTCAAGGCGCTGCTGGAGGAGGACCTCCTGCCGGACGTGATCACGGGGACGAGCGGGGGCGCGCTGGTGGCGGGGCTGGTGGCGACGCGGACCAACGAGGAGCTGAAGCAGCTGCTGGTGCCCGCGCTGGCGAGCAAGATCACGGCATGCTCGGAGCCGTTCACGACGTGGTTCCGGCGGTGGTACCGGACGGGGGCGCGGTTCGACTCGGTGGACTGGGCGCGGCAGTGCGCGTGGTGGACGCACGGGTCCATGACGTTCCGTGAGGCGTACGAGCGCACGGGGCGCATCCTCAACGTGTCGTGCGTCCCCGCCGACCCGCACAGCCCAACCATGCTGTGCAACTACCTGACCAGCCCGGACTGCGTCGTGTGGTCGGCGGTGCTGGCGTCCGCCGCCGTCCCCGGGATCCTGAACCCCGTCGTGCTGATGATGAAGCAGCGCGACGGCACGCTGGCCCCGTACTCGTTCGGCCACAAGTGGAAGGACGGCTCCCTGCGCACCGACATCCCCGTCAAGGCGCTCAACCTCCACTTCAACGTCAACTTCACCATCGTGTCGCAGGTGAACCCGCACATCAACCTCTTCTTCTTCAGCTCGCGCGGGTCCGTGGGCCAGCCGGTGACGCACCGGCGCGGGCGCGGGTGGCGCGGCGGCTTCCTCGGCTCCGCCGCCGAGCAGTACATCAAGCTCGACCTGACCAAGTGGCTCAAGATCCTGCGGCAGCTGGAGCTGCTCCCCCGGCCCTTGGGCCAGGACTGGAGCCAGGTCTGGCTGCAGGCCGGCTTCGGCGGCACCATCACCATCTGGCCGCGCAGCGTCGCCATGGACTTTGCCCACATCCTCTCCGACCCGACCCCGGCCCGCCTCGCCCGCATGATCCACGAGGGCCAGCAGAGCGCCTTCCCCACGCTCAAGTTCGTCGCCAACCGCCTCAAGGTCGAGAGGCTCGTCGAGCTCGGCCGCCGCCAGACGAGGGGGCTGGACCTGGTTACTGGTGGTATCGGGGCTGGCAGGGGCAGGGAGAGTATTCTTGATGAGGAGGATTTCAGGAGCTTGCTTAGGGGCCGTCTGAGTGGTCAGGGGGGTAGCGGTGAGATTGATGTGACTGGTGGTAGTAGTGTCACTGCCACTGAGGACGAGACCACCGCCGATGAGATGGATGTGTCGTTTGCGGAGAGCGCTGTCATCGATGATGAAGAGGAAGAGGATGAGGACGAGGAGGGAGAAGAGGACCCGAGATTTGAGGATGACAACGAGGAGGTGCTGGAGAGCGTAGAGGGCACCGGGGACGGGGAGAGGGATGTGCTGCTTGAGGTCGATGTCAAGGAGGAGCAGCGGTAGGGAATCGAGATGACAAGAGACTGAGTCTGTGTAGGTGGTGATTAGACGTGTTACTGCATGGGGGTTGTCTGTCTGGATTTCGGGCTGTTCTTTGGTTGTTGGTGTCGACACACATGGCGTGGAGTTTTTAGTCCCACCACCTCTGGGGCAAATAGATATTTTTGGCAGAAGGAAGACAGGCATAGGAGTTTTATTGGGTTTTGTGGTTGTATGGGTAGTGCATAGCTATATAAAAGAAAAGCATGATTGGCTATGCACTGTTAACTGTTAAGTCTTGTGTGTTTGGATTAGTTTAACTTGAGAGTAAGTATAGGACATGCGTGACGCCGGAAGGCCCTGAATACGGCTTGCTGTGTCGTGATGACGGACTGGCTGGTGGCTCGAATTACTTACTACAGTGTGGGGCTTCAAATCACCCCAGAGCGAGACAGAAGTGTTCGTGGTTTGGCCAGCTTCTCAGGATCGATCATCACTCTGCTTGCGACGCTGTGGTCAAGCCCACAGGTTGGCTGATATATGCTGAATTGCCTCATTCATGGCGCCTGCTCACCGGAGTCTACGACCTAGGTCCTCACGCAACCACGTGGAAATATAGATATGGGTGCGCCGTTATTTTTCTCTCTCTCGCTTGTTGCAAAACTCATGGGCCAGTGAGTTCTCTTCCCCGATGGGCCCACCTGCAGAACGATGGACGATATGTGCACAATGACACGAATGCGGGCTGGGCTGCGGTCCATCTCTGATACACCTGGGTGGTGCCATGCAGAAGGGGTCGAGTGAAGGAAAACAGGAGTAGCGGACTGTGTACCGCTACAATCATAAACCAGCACTTCACAGTGTTTGAGTCCACGAAGGTATGCTACAATCGTGACCCCCAAGTATCCACAGACACAAACACAAAATGCCTCCATACCAATCCGTATCACTCCCGAGTTCTACCGTGAAGTCACGGGATCGATTGACTTGTACTGATCATTCCAGAAAAACCAGCGAAGAAGCCTAGACCCCCCCGACTAACCTACCTATAGCGTAAAGTGCTCTCAGTACCCGCACAGAAAAATTTCCCTCCGCATATACCTCGAAATTTCCCCGACTCAGCACCGCGGATTAGGAAACCTGCCCCATCGGGAAATACGGGAAAAATGGATACCTTATTTGCTCCTATGGCCCGATTTGGATAAAAGCGTGACTGTTGGTCGCTGTTGTTCTCGCACAGGCCCCGAGGCCCCAGACGGGGAGTTCTCACCCGCCCTCGCAAGCTCGGTTCGGTCGGGGGCCGACGACGAGGGCTCCGTCGGGCCTGTCGGGGCGGGCTGCCCTGCGGGAGAAGCAAAGAAGGCGAAGAAAAGGAAAAGGTGGGGAGGGAAGGTAATGAATGCATGTCATGTCACGTCACCCGGCCCGCTTGTCGTGGCTGGTGGGTTTTTGGTCTAAGGTGTACTGTGTGCGTGTGTTGCACAGCTGGGTAGGGCTGGCTGGCTGGCTGGCTGGCTGGGTTTCGAACGGCTCAGGTGCTTGGCTGTAAGGCTGACAGACGCCTGGATTTATTTTTAAGCTGGTGGCTGAAAAGCTTGGTCGGTGCGGACGGATGGCATCGGAAGAGATTGCGATGCTATCGTGTGGTCACCATGACGATATGGGCGGCATTAAACTGCGCGTGACCGGTCTTACTTGGTTCCTGGGTGTGGCGTTCATCGTTGAGAGACGACAGTCTGCCCACTGGGATTTTTCCCGCTGTCACCAGATATATCCGGGTCCGGGCCTTTGTTGGGCGGCGGGACCCACATGGAAGCCCTTCCCCGGGTCGAGAGGCCGAGGGGCGAGCTGATGTACGGACGTCATGCCGGGCGGGGCGAACCGTGACGCGAGTGCGGTGATAATTATGGAACCCCTTCTTCATGGATTGGGCGAGCTGACTACGCGTGTTCTGGCTTCGACGGCCGAGATCTCAGCAACGTGGCCTGGAGGAGGACCAGAGATGCGATATGGGTGGTGATGAAATGACGTCTAATCGTCCCTCTATCACCAGCCAGTCACAGAGACGCAATATATTCCGCCTAGGCATTTAGACAGATGTTCGAGATCTGCACACGCTACCCTCGCTTCTGCCGGCGTCCACTGCCACGTGCGGGCCGTTTTTTGTTTCATCAAAAAGCTTGGCCTGACCGGATTTGAAACAAGGATTGCCCTTTGGTTGGCTTTGTCGGGGCCAGTGATGTAGAGGGAGCAGCTTTCAAGGTGCTATGTCTTATGGTAGGTTGAATTGATTGACATCGATGTAACAGAATCTGGACCAGGATCAGGAACAGGAAAGAGGGGTTGGTGTGTCGTGGCCCCCAAAATCGAGACGTCAGGCGAGGGGATGAGCTGGTTGAAGCAGGTTTCCCGAGGCGTTCACGACTGCGATGATGCCAACGAGGCGAGATCTTCAACGTCGCTGCCTTGTTGGATTCGCTGATGCCATGAAGCATTCCTTCGGTTCGGTTGATATCTCACATGGTGGCCCGGTCATCCAGACACCCCTTCGCAATGGCGAATTTGCGGGTCTGTCGCCGTACGATTAAAGACCCTCCCGCTGCTGGCACCCCAAGAAGCGGGCTGCCCAGCTGGCTTGTCGGTTTCACATGGATGGTCGAGGACCTTGAAACATTGAGCGAATAGGAACCAGACCATATCACCGTCCTCTAGGCATTGCTGAAAACCGGCCACTCGGCTCACAGAACGACATCATGAGGGTCGCACGGAAGGGCTATGCCTGGAAGCCAAGAAGAGGCTTCGAGAAGGAGGATCAAACAAAGCATGACAAGATAGTGGGAGGCGCGGAAGTGCTCTACGGGAAAGCTTACAGGTAGTGTGTGACGTCAAACGGCATGGCGCAGCCATCTTTGTTGACCGGGAGCGGCGGTGTCTTGTCAGTCAGCGAGGGGGGGGGGGTGTCCCACGGGGGAGCTCGTCCAGGGCCTCGCCTGGTGTGTGGGCTGCCAATGCCGCGCTGCACTGTGCCGTGCCGTTGCACTTCCGTTGAGCTGCAGATGTGGCTGGCCTGAATAAGCATTCTACATGGTTGATTGATAGACGTTGCCCGTGTGTGTATGGCTCTCGTTCTGGGCCTGGGAGGCTTATGCTTTGTGAGACCGGGTCTCGTGGCCAGTCGTTGATGCTCGTGATGCTTTCATCTGGATGCGATACCAGTTGGACCCTCTTGGCCCCTCCTAATTTCTGAGGCTCACCGCTCACGGCTGCTCGTCTGGGAATTCCCGAGCCGTTGGGCCAGCGTGCGTGCGTTCGGCGCAGCATGCAGGTGCGGCAGGGAAGCAGGGGAAGGTACCTGGGCAATAAAATTGTGCCGAAAAATTGCGCTGGTCTTGGGGAAGCAATCCTGATGTGGTGGGACTGACGATGGATGCGAAAGTGTGATCCGACAGGTAAGACTCCTGTGAACGGTCGCCGTCTCCGGGCAGGCTATCGTGAGCGCGAAGACAACGAGAGAGTTTCCGTATACGGATATGAACAAATGCCCGATAATTTCGTGAGGTCAAAACCATACCACATCCCAAGTCATGTTTCCCGGACAGGAGATGTCTGGCCGGAAGCAGCCCCTGCTGGTGCTGGGGGCGCTATGGGGTTTGACAGACTGATGGATTCGTGGCAGGGTGGGCACGGGTACATTCAACGGCAAGGACCTGGTGGTGGTGTGAGTTGTCTGGGAATGCAGGCAGGTGCTGTAACACTACTGCAGGATAAATTGTCGAGCCGCCTCTATTATAACATCATACATGTGAGTGTGTGTGACAGTTCCGCGTCCTTACACGCGTATGCGTGAGTAAGTATCTCTCTCTGTGTGTGTGGCCATGGCCTGGACCAATAGGCAGAATTGCAGTGCAGTAATGCTATCGCAATAATGGTGCTGTTTTCCTGACATGTGAGTGAGCGTACATAGGCGGAAACAAGCAGGCAAGAGGGCGATATTCAGAGCCGCAGGAAGCCTGCAGTAGCTAGAGCTAGGATCATTAAATCCCTCATAGCAGAAGCGGTGATCGTGAGATTCCAGAGGCGCGGATCAGCAAGGTGAGTTGTACCACAGTGCAGGGCCCTGGGTAATGTACATGCGTGCGGCCCAGGGCTGGCAGGGCTAAGTGAAGCTGTAAGTACTGCAAGTAAGCTGCGTGCCCGTCTGTGCTTGTGCATAGAACTTGGTGCGGTGGGTGAGACGGGCATCTGATGCGGCTGGCCGTGTGGAACGGTCGAATCGAATGCTCAGGACGCCATTCGCCCGGGGCCCCGCGGTGCACCAGCACAGAGGAGCCCCATGTGTCTTTCGATGTGCTCCTCCGGCGGTGAATGAATAGTCGTAGTTGAGGTAGGGCAAGCCGCAGCCATGTGCCGCAGCTATACATTGTAGCCACAATTGCTGACTTCCCAGGTGTGCCTGCTGTGGTACTGTTGCACCCGGTGGGTGTGGAGCCATTGAAGCTTACAGGGCTCCAGGGCTCTCAGCACGAACTGCTCCTGCAGGTGATATGTCGACATTTCCGGGGTTGCTGTATTGTGCATTACACCACATTGCTCTACATTACATGCATGGGGGATCGTTCCTGCTCAAATCGTGGTCGATATTCGAGGGTCCTTGTCGATCCTGGGCCCGGAGAGACATGTATGTCTCAAAAGGCTGTCAGTTGCAGGAGATCCGCTCTTTTCGACTGTCTTTGAAGCTTGATTGATTCTATGTCTCTGCATGCACAGCATAGTCCCGGTGCTCCTCGGACTGCTTGTTTGGTGGACGAACGAAAGCGTCTCAGGGGGAAGAAAGGCCGCGGTGAGACACTGCTTGCAGGTGAGGGGCACTGACTTCTCTGGTAATGACTGGATACAACGCATCCGTAGACGACACCACTACCGAGAGGGATGGCTCGGAGGACATGACCTTTGATCTGGGTAGGTCAGTTGAACGAGCGGGTGGTGTCGAGTTCAGGTGGATCACATCTCGCACGAGATAGCGCAGACCTGCATGGGTGGTTTTGGTATGCCTGTAGTGCCAATGTGCATGCATGTTCGACTCGCCGAGCCTTCTCGCCGCTTGATGCTCGGGTAGAACAGTCCGGATTGCAGATTGCAGATCGTGAATTGAGGATTTGCAGATTGCGGATTGCAGATTGCAGACTGGAGTTGTTAGTCAGCAGGAGGCCTCGCCGCTCTTGTGGGCGAGACAAGAGGTGGATAGACATTGTCTTGATGCGTCTTGATGCCCTTTGGGACTGAGTCGTCTGATCGCCAATGCTGGTTAGATGTCTGGGCACTTCAGACGGGATATTGTTGTGCGAATCGTTTCGAAGCAGAGCAGAGAGCCCAGAACTGTGGGCTGCACAAGGATGGAGCAACACTTTCGGAGAGTGTACAATTCAATGTACCAAGCCGGATCAGTCAGGCAGTGAGTGTAATTGCGGGAGTGCCAGGTATCTAGGCGGTAGGGTAAGCAGATGCATCTCTCGACATTACATGCAGTAAGGAGATCCTTCCAGCCCGTTCTCGCTCCACGATCAGATCAACCAAAACAGAATGGTCAGCAAAAATTCAGCTGTTCAAGGGACTTTAGTTTGATGAGATCAGGTAAGAATTTGCACATGAAATCTTTTCTTCCAGCAAAGCCTTTAGAAATTCTCGACTAAGCGGGCCAGCCCTACCTTCCTAAGGCAAGGCAAGTAGGTACCCAGGCGCCCTCGGACTTCTCTTTTTTCGTTTCCCCTTCATCCACGCTACGTGGGTACCCAGGTACCTGTGTACATTCACGCCTTCCTGTTCCTATTTCACCCGCCAGGCGCGGACACTGGCAAGACCGACAGACAAGCAAGAGACAGACACACACACACACACAGTCAGACCGACGGCCGTTTCGGCTGGGACAGTTTCACAGTTTTCTTTTGACACAGCCCGACCGACCGATGCTCCGTTGCTTTGCTGTTACCCTGTTACCCCATTTATAAGCATACCAAGGGTCTAAAACGCTTCCCTCGGCCGGCCAGCCATTCAGTAGCCATCCATCCCACTCATCCCACCAGTCCAGCGCTGCCCTGCGTGGCTGCGTGGACAAATGTTGTAGCAAGTGGTTTTCCTTGGCTTTTGGGGATTGCCGGTTCTCGGGCTATTCTCCTTGCCAGAGTTGTCGCTGACCTGAACGATGACGAAGAGTGGGTGAAGATGATGACCTAGCCTGACGGGACCAGAGCGCCTTTTGCACTGCCACCGACGATGCATAGGAGCCAAGAAGTGAGTCGTGTCTCTACATCCATCTCTGCACAGTACAGTCTACGTCTGGCGTACTGCAGTAGCAGTGCGACAGCAGAAAACAGTCTGCTCTGTTGTTTTCTGCCAGACCAAGCTATGCCTACAGATTCATTTGCCGTTTACACGTATACGCAGACCGTCCAGCTCCTCGGCACCTTCCATAATGCCGCCATGGATGCCTGGACGACAGCTTCTCAAGTTTTTTTTATTTTATTTTTTCATTCGAGAAGGAACGTTACGGCCGTCGTGCTTTGTCATCCAGGCCGTACAGTAACAGTTTCTGACCAACAGAATGCCATTGAGCTGTTAGTTTCGGCCCGCTCAGCGTCATCAGTCTTGGTCACGCACTCTTGCCTCAGAGTCTTTGAGGGGGCGTTTTCCGTTAGAGTTACAGTACGGAAAATCGCGCCCCTCCTCCCTTCTCGGCGTGGTAACCACCCATGGACTTTGCCCACTTGCAGCCACTGCCACTGCCTCTGCCGCCATTGCCACTGCCTCTGCACTGTCTGACGGTCTACTGTTTCTTTGACGTTTCTCTCTTTGCTACGCTGCCACCAGGTACTGCTGCCCCGACTCGACCATCATCACGTTCAGTCTTGGCCTGCTTTGATCCGTCACAATTCAGATAGAGCACCCAGTCAGTAGAGTACCCGTGCCATAGCCTGCCAACTGGCTACGAGGGGTGTGACCATGGAACTAGCCGCCTGGGCCTTGGTTCTTTGGTTCTTTGGTGCTTTGGTGCTTTGGTAGTGTACCTGTACCTTGCCCCGGTACGGGCAGGTGGCACCCATTCCCCAGCGTTTCTCCAGGTCCTTCCGTGCCGACTCGCAAAAAGAGCAACCAAAACAGAAACAGAAACGGCAGACCGCTCGCAGAAGGCCGGACGCCGGGATCAGGCAGGTAGACCGATAGACAGGTGGACTAGGTACAGTTACAGACTTAACAGTCGAGTACTTGCAGTCTTGCCTTGTTTAGAGTGTCTTGCCTGTACCCACGGGACGGGACACTGGACAGCATCATCTGCCCGAGGCCAGTCCCAGTCCCAGTCCTAGTCCCAGACCCAAAGCCCCCCCCCCCGTCACGGTACTCCAAATCCAGAGCCAGACCCAGGACAGCCCACTCTCGAACTCACTTTACTTCCGTTCTGTTCCCCCCTCCCCGTCTCTCCCCCTCCGTCTCTCCGTCTGTCGCAGGCTCACCTTGCTCCACAGCAGCTCATTGCTCTGCACTGCTCTGCTTTGCGCTCTACCGAATAAGTCTGTCTACCCCGTACACAGGCCTACCTAGCCTGTCCCGACCACTGCTCAATTTCCAATCTCGCCCACATTTTGTTGTCCGACTTAAAGCCCACTACATTCTCCCACTCTCCCCCTCCCCCCGAGAGAGAGACAAGACGCGTTTCTGCCTTGACTTCTTCAAAAACCCATTTGCTGTTTTGTCTACTCCTTAGAGACTCCCCTGGGCTCTGCCCATCCCCAAAGGCGCTTTCGCCGCCTCACTCTTCTCCGTCGCCGCATCTGCCTTTCTCTCTCCCTCTATATACTAGGTATTTTCCTCTCGCTGCTGGTGTGCCCCTTGCCCACCCGCACCTGCGCCTGCATCTGCATCTGGGCACATCTTCCAGCCTCTCCCTCTCTTTGTACTGTACATTGCCTCCCCTTACCTGATACTCGCACGCCCACTGCCGCGCCGCACCAGGGTCGCATACCTCCGACAACCAATAGGCCCTGCTGCTCCAGTGTACCATACCGATCATCTGCTGCCGTACGCCCTCGTCGCCGCAGTCAATCTCCACGTCCAAGTCGCCTCGCCTCTCATCGGCTCCCGCATGGTAGACTGCTGTGTACATAGCATATAGCGCTACCACTCGCCTGTGGCGTTCCGCCTTTTTATTCCGCCCATTCCCACCGACGCAACCCGTCGTCACCCTGCTTTCGTCGTCCGATCCCACAATGGCCAGCGCTTCCACCTCACGGTCGACGACCATGTCGTCCACCTCGCAGCCTTCGTCCATCAGGTCCGTTGACCTCAACAACAACAGCAAGGGCTCGCCTCAATTAAATGCTCAGAACGGTCAACCCGCTACTGCCGACCAAATACCAAAGCAGCCCGAAAAAGCATCTGTCAAGGACCGTCTTACTCGCATGTTCTCGACAAAAGACGTCAACAGGCTGGAGCTGAACGCCTCGCCCTCCAAGAAACCCCTACCCGCCGCCACTATTGCCGAGCAAGGCTCGACTTCGGCTGCCTCGACTCCTCCCCTCAAGCCCACGATCCCCTCACGGCAAGCATCCGTCACAGACAGGTTGGACAAACCGGCCGAGAAGACCCCTGGTCCCAAGTCTGCGAAGTCAGCCAACGGGAACGGCCACCCCTCGCAGCGCTATGTCGTCAACCCTGAGGCCCAGGGCGGCCACGAGCACCATCTCAGGTCGAGCAGACGCCAGGAGAAGCTGACCGACATGTTCAAGGGCTTGCTGGGAAAACGTGCTGAGCAAGTGCCCGACAGCGACCTGTCTCTGGTCTCAAACTGGGTCGATGCCCTGAAGCAGGAAAAGGACTCCATGGCTGGGGACAAGAAGGGTGGCCCCAAGGAGACGGTGACACTCGTAGAAAAGTATGGAAAATGTCAGGAGGTCGTTGGACGCGGCGCCTTTGGTATAGTCAGGATATCGCACAAGAAACTCGAAGGCCTACCGGGCGAAAAGCTGTTTGCCGTCAAAGAGTTCCGCCGGCGCCCGGAGGAAACGGAGAAGAAGTACAGCAAGCGACTGACAGCCGAGTTTTGTATCTCGTCCTCCCTCCGACACCCAAATGTCATCCACACCCTGGACCTCCTGAAGGACGCCAAAGGAGACTACTGCGAGGTCATGGAGTTCTGTGCCGGTGGTGACTTGTACACTTTGGTCCTTGCCGCGGGCAAACTAGAGGTGCAGGAGGCAGACTGCTTTTTCAAGCAGATGATGCGCGGCGTCGAGTACATGCACGAGATGGGGGTCGCGCACCGCGATCTGAAGCCAGAAAATCTACTGCTGACCACAAATGGCGGTCTGAAGATCACAGATTTTGGAAACGGCGAGTGTTTCCGCATGGCGTGGGAAAACGACGCACATATGGTGTCTGGCTTGTGTGGCTCAGCTCCATACATTGCGCCAGAGGAGTACGTCGACAAGGAGTTCGATGCTAGAGCTGTGGATGTCTGGGCCTGCGGCGTCATCTACATGGCGATGCGGACGGGTAGGCATTTGTGGCGGGTTGCTAAGAAGGATGAGGACGAATTTTATGCTCGCTACCTTAAGGGGCGGCGAGACGAGGAGGGTTACGGCCCAATCGAGTCCCTGCACCGGGTAAGCTTTACCCTCAATCCGGGACCCTGTGTGTGAAAGTTCACCAGCTAACGTGTCACAAGGCTCGATGCCGAAACGTCATTTACTCGATATTAGATCCCAACCCGACCAGACGGATCACCGCGTCTCAGGTGCTCAAGTCGGAATGGGGCCGTGAGATAAAACTCTGCAAAGCTGGTGAGGAGGGCCTCTGAGAAGGGCGTCGTCGTTCCACCGGCCCCGAAGCCCGTGGGATGGCGGCAGCAACCTTGATTCGGTGACACCATTGAGCGATCACGGCCAAGGGCGACACGCCAGCATGTTCCCAGGGCCAACCGAAGCTCAAGTTATATTCCAATTCATGAACTTCTCTTTACGCTTAAAGACAGCATCGGAGTCCGGACTTTTCCTGCTTATATCCCAAATGAACTTATTCATACTTATACTACAATACCTTTTTCTTCTTCTTTTTGTCTTATCATGAAAACCACGCGAGCGACTGAGCAAGCGAGTGCGCAGAGACGCGGGTACAGACATCATGACTACATACAGAAAATTGCATACCTGAGAATCGACTGTTCAAAATTCCAAGAATGGGCAGCGGGAATGGGTACCCCGCCGGGTAGGACAGGGGAAATCAATGGAACGAGGTGGACAACGCGTGAGGCCGCAGGCTGATATGCCAGGAAACTTGACAGAGTGGCATTGTTCACCAGCAAGACATGGGAGGGAGAAGCTTCTGTGCGCGGGAGTAAAGGAGTTGGCGCCACCATCACCTTTGTTTTGGTTATGGCAGGTTTGGGTACCATGACATTTTGGGAAGCAGGGCCATCGAGCCGCTGCAAACACACAGACACGGGCAGGGCAGCGAGACACGAGAGAGTGAGAAGGAAACAACCACCTTTTTTCAGACTCGGTGTCAGTATGGGGACGAGACGGGCGATTGTCTTGGCCCCCTCTTGGCACCTCAGCTTGGCTCTGCGGGAAGGATCGCCGGGGGGTCGGGTGGTGTGGAGTCGATCAGCGAGGATGTGGATTTGACGGCTTGCGTGTAGGGGAGTGAGTAGGGAACGAGCGCCGAGGGGGAAAAAATTGCCCGGGATTGGCATGACGATCTTGATGGGAGCCAAGAAGCTGGGCCTTTTTGAGAACCCTTTTTCTACCTTCCCTCTCCTCCCCTTCTCGACTCGATTGGAGGGCTTGAGGGGGTTGGGTGGCGGTTGGGTTTCTCCTATATCTATATCTATAGGTCTTTTTCTTTTCCTTGTTCTTGGGGATGGAAATTGCCTTTGGTATGTAGATTTGGCAGTGGGCCTATGTGGACAGTCTGGGGGGTTGAATCCACACACATTCTCTCCGGTTGATGGCACTTTCTTCTACGCGCGCTTTTCTGGTGATGTGCCCTGATTGAGCGCTGGCTTACTGACTAGTTGGTAATTGGCCTGACTCTCTCGTTCAGGAGGTATCAAATGTGATGAGCACATCCTCCGTGCCGGGCGTCTCCCGTCTGGCAAATGGCCGGCCGGCCAGCCAGCCAGCCATGACCCACGAGCGCGGGTGTTTCCCCCCGTTCCCTTCCGGCCTATGCCGGACTGCATGTACTTCCGTGTTGATGTTTACCCCTTCGCCCAACTTACACTGACAATGAAAATGAAGCAGGGGCATCGCAGAAAACCCAGTCATGTCTGCAGGCGTTATGCGCTCACCTACCCTCTGCTCATGAAGCATGGCGCCAGAGTGTATGGCCCAGCAGAGCGGGCCGGGTGTGGGAACGTGCATGCGTGTGCTGTGCGTGCTGTATGTCGGGCGAGGCAAAGTCCGGGCGAGTATGTGGGTTTGGATTGGAGAGGTATACACATGCTGGCTTGGTCGCTGGACTCTCCTGTGTTCGTAGGTGGTGAGGGAGGGCTTTTGGGTGTTGGTGGTGACACCAACGGAGGCACGCATGGGCGGACTGGGGAGGGCTTTTTGTTTATGCTCGTTCCAGCCGAGTGGTTGTGCTTGCGGTTGCGGAGTCGGTGAGTGGATAAGTGAGTGAGTGGTGTTGAAGGAGGAACCGGCTGGCTTGCTTGCTCTGATGGCTTGTTGACATCGGACTCGGTGCTGAGGGACTGAGTAACTGGGCTGACCGAGTGGACTCAAGTGGGTGCTGGGTCCCTCGACCTGTTGAACGATTGGCTCGAGTGTGCTAAGGACTCCAAGAATAAGGGACTGGGTGTGATGCGCTCAATGCGGGTGCGAAGACCAAGTATGTCGTGAGGTCACGCCGGTTCGGCTAGACCCTGTGTGTGGCATGGAGCTTAAGTGAGTTTGCACAATTCGCGAGGGGAGTGGCTGAGTGTCCCAAAGTGGTCAGGAGACCGGGGATCTCAAGTTAACGAGGGACTCAGACTGGGTGACTGGATAACAAGTGGCTCGGGACATCAAGTGAACCGAGAGGTATCAAGTGTTACCCAGGTAATGGTCAGCCGGCTGGCTTGAGAGACTATGGGACTCTATGGGCAACCTAGACACAGATGCCAATTAAGCAAGGAGCTGAGGAGTCGAGTAACCAAGCCACTTCAGAGTTCCAATCCCTCGAAGAAAGCGAGAACGACCTAGGCGGAGGGGGGGGGAGAGGGGTCTGGTCAAGATTCACGATGTAGACGATACTAAGTGATTGATTGCTTTGGAACGAGTGTTCCCAGCGATGGACTGACCCAGTGCTCACGGGGACAAGTGTCGCCGGGCACCAAAAAAGCTTGCCTAATGCTTAGACTGGGTTAAAACTTTAGTTACCAAGTGGGAGCTTTTACTATCTCTGTAAATGAGAACTTCAAGGAAAGTTCCCCAGTTGTGCTCCTTTTCCCTTGGGAGGCGATATCAGATACCCAAGTATAACGAAACCTTATTGCACGGCACAGCTTCCTACTCAGTATCGAGCCTTCCTTCCCCTCACAAAAAGTATGGCAACAGACTCTGACTCATACGACTTGATGCGTAAAGGAGCAATTTTCCTTTATTTCCCCCAAGGCTGTTGTTGGTGCTAGTGGTCTTGCCCCGAAGAAGGTGTCTGGCACTCTTTCCCCCGAGTTGTGCTCCTTGATCTGTGCGGTGTCTATTTCCATCGGTGTAATTATATTGAGTATTACCGTGCCACTATTGGATAAGTGAATTGTGACGTATTTTGTGCTGGATGAATTCTGCCCTTGGGGCACCCGATCTGTCCTTGAAGATTGGGTTGATGTGATGTGTCGCAAGGTTCGACGTGTGACCCGGAGGAGATTAGTCTGATGATCACTTTGGAATTCTTTGCCCACGTCTGATCGAACCGACTGCTGTTTGTCAATTGATTGTCCAGGTTGCCCTCATTTGTGAAGCAGCGCCTATATGCCGGTGCCTCTTTGGTCCATGAACATGGAAGACTGCTTGACCTGATTGCAACTTAAATCCCTAATCCCTGAACAACATTGAGATGTATGTTCGACAAACGCCCTGAACAATTTCGACCTTTTTTAACTCACGCTCCCAACCGTACTGACTTGACTCTTCACAAAATTGCTCTGTGGCAGGTATCATTTGTTGCTAGCTACCCAACGCTGTAGGGGTCAATTATATCCACAATCCCCGGGGCATCCCCACGGATATATCTCTGCGCCCGTCCGCGCACTTGAGTCTCGTGTTTTCGACTCCAAGCCAGGTGCACCATGTATATCCAGGTCGAAATTTGTCAGATATGTATCATCTCACGCCGCCTCAACTCTCCTCATCGCCCCCATCACCAGCAGGCTTATTACCCCCACCGTCCTGACTCCTAGCGCGCGTGTCCCGTATGGTCTGTGACACGAGGTCGGCGAACTTGTTGGCCTTGAAGACCCCTTTGGCCTTTTCCCTGCCACGCTCGCCGGCCGTCGCTCCTCCCCCGGCCTCGCTGTCCCCGTGCTCCTCCTTCACGTCCAGCGCCCCGTCTTTGTGGAACTGATCCTTGGAGTTCAGATGCCACGTCATGTACACGCTCGGCTGGCTGCCCGCTTTCTTGATCCGCTCGATCTCCTCCTCGTACGCCCTGTCGTAAACGTTGAAGTCCACCGCCGTCGGCGAGTCCGCAACCGAGGCCGGCTCGTCCTCGCTGCCGCCCGCGAAGTTGTCCCGCCCGCCCGTGCCGATGCCCAGCAGGGCTGGCGCGCTCGCCATGGCCTCGGGGTGTCGCTCGCCGTGGCTCCTGCCAGACTCTTCTTCTGTCGGGGCCTGATCTGCGCTGGGGGCATCGTCGGTATGGACTGGCGCAGTGTTTCCGGTCCTGCTCAGCAGAAATTGCTTGCGCTGCTCTAAAAGCCGCGCGGCATGCTCTTCATTGGCCCGCTTGAGAGCCTCGTACTCTTGGTCGTCCATGGAGGGCTTTGGCCTGTGGCGGGTCCAGCGCGGGACGTGACCGCTGTTGTTCGGATCGGCGTCCTCGGGAAAGAGGCTCGTCCTCGGGCTGTTGGTGCGCGAGCGGGAGGAGAGGAGGGATTTGAAGTTTGAGATGGCCTTCATCACGCAAAGCAGATGACCCATCCGCCGCGTGAATGCATGACTAACCTCAAGCTCGTTTGGGGCCTCGACGAGCTCGGAGCAGTTTTCCTCCGAACTCAGGAGCGGATCGGTGCCGTCCTTCGTGACCCACGGGTGTTCCTGCTTTTCGATCAGTTCTTCTTCATGAGTATCAACGCACTGCGACTAGCTTACCCTGATTTCGGGCATGGTGATCCTCTGCTCCGGATCCTTCTCCATCAATCTTGATATCAAGTTTTTGAAGTGTTCGTTCTCATCTTCCGGCATTGCTGGCGTTTCCGTCTTGATAGCCTCGTATATCTCTAAAACTCCTGAACGATTGAATGGTATATGGCCGTATCTCAGACAGAACAGCGACACGCCCATGCTCCACACATCCGCCGCCGTCCCACTCACATCCCCGTGCTTTGCGACACACAACTCAGGGGGTAGGAAGGCAGGCGACCCGGCAGACTTGGCCGTGCGCATCTGCTCGGGCTTCTCAAACATCTCACTGACGCCAAAGTCGACAATCTTCAGAACATCGTCCTCAGTGAGTAGCAGATTGTCCGGCTTGATATCTCGATGTACGACACCCTGCGCATGTAGGTACTCGATACCCAGGATCAAGTCGCGGAACCAGTATCGACATGTCTCCTCGCTGTACGGCTCAGCGGCCTCGTCGAGTCCGACCTTCATGACGACGCCCTTTTTGCACATCTCCAGGACCATGTAGAGCGAGTCCTCATCCGGGTCGTCGAGCACCTCGATCAGCGAAACAAGGTTGGGGTGGTTGAGCTTTTTCATAATGGCGATCTCCTCCCTGATAAGGAATAGAGAGTCATTGTCCTCGTTCTTCTTGTGGTCGCGCAGCTGGTATGACACAGTCGGATCCATTCCCGGCCCAGAACCCGAATCTGCTGCTGTCCGAGGTCGCGGTGGGAAGCGGCCTGGCCCTCGCCTGGGACCGCGACGGAGGATGTTGGACTGGGCGCGTTTGCGCAGACGGGTCTTTGAAAATTCCTTGATGGCCTGTTATGGGCGTGTATAAGTCTTGGAGCTCGCAATAGTCTCGCGCACACTGTTTGTCAACATACGTATTCATTTCCAAACTGGTCCACGCCGAGATGGACTGCGCCGTAAGAACCGCGGCCTATTTCCTCCTTGATAGTGTACTGGTTGATGACATGGTGCGACCGGCCATCCGAGTCGTCGCTTGTGTATTCGGACCTGGCGTTGAGGGTTTCCTGCGGATGGGAACGACGCTTGTCAGTAACGAAATCTCGCCACATTTGTCACCAGGAAAAGCTTGGGGATCGGGGGCGCACGCACCTTAATGACACGATGCTGACTAGGGGTTCTCTTATGATGTCTCATTGGGCTCTGGTACTGTTGGACAGCAGGTGCAGATCTGGAGAATTGACGAGTGGGCGGCGGTTAGTCGGGCGAGACAGCAGGGCAAGATAAAGAGAGAGAGAGAGCGAGAGACGGGGACGACATGACAGGACGGGACAGCGATCCTGCACGACCGAGGACAATGAAAGCTCGTTCTCACCGAGGATGAGGGGCCATCGAGGGCCGGGCGTGGCCATCGCCCTCGCCTCTGCCATCATCAGTTGGCTGCGAGGGTGGTAGAGTCGGTGCGCTGCCATGAAACTCTACCTTGATGCCGGGCGAAAGAAGGCTGGGCGCCGAGGGATCTTCGTCGGCCATGCCCACTTCTACGTTGCTTGAATCTGGGGCCTGATCTGGATCTTGATCTCGTTTCTGTGCTTGATCTAGATCTTGGTCGCGCGTCTCCACGGCATCTCGCGGGGCACCAGATGGAGGAGCTCCGTGGCTCGAGATCAGTGCTGGCGCCGACGCGGCTGGGTGTGGTGGTGTTATAGCTTCCATGGATATGGATATGGCTATGGTTATGGATCTGGATCTTGGTGCTGGGCAATGGTGATCCCGGCGAGGAGCGAAAGTCTAAAGCCAGATGGATCCCTACACCCTGGAGCCTGGCCTGGAGAATGTTTCGTTTTGCTGCAAGTCAATCGGCCCAGTCCCACAGGCGAAGCTGTCTGGAACTGTCGTGGTCGTGTGTCGCCTGTTTCTTGTTTCCTGTCGACCTCGTTCTCAGGGGCATAGGACAAGAAGACACAAACTCGAGGTGTCAATAAGGAGAGGAGAAAAGGGCAGCAAAGACAATAAGAGGGCTCAGTCGATCTTGAATACGATTGCCATTGCACTCTTGTTCCCCCGTAAGGCAAGCAAACATTTATCCATTCGGCCCAGCTCAGCTCTTCTCAGCCTCACTGATCATTTCCACCTTGCACATGGGAGCCAGCGGAAGGACGAGTCAGAGGCCTAGGATTGATAGTTCGGGGGGGAATATGGGGATGGGGGGTGGCCCTGTGCCATGCGACCCTTGCTCCTTGCCCCTCGTCCTTCCCCCACTGCGCCCCCCTGCCGCCCTGCTTGTAACCTCACTGGGCCACTCAGGCGAGCTTCCCCCACTTTAGCACATGCCCTGCCCCCCAAGCTGCAGGTCTGCGGTCTACTGCGCACTCTGTACTGTGGAACCAGTTCCATCTCCGACGACACTGTCGCCAGCCGACAGACCGACAAACCAGCAGAGCGACAGGCCAGACTCCTATCAAGGCAGACCATCACCGTCACAAACGAGCCTTCCTGCTCGTGATGTAGCCTGCCCGCCATGACGGTCTACTCTTTTTACATCTTCGACAGGCACAGTAAGCCTCCTTCCCCTGGGCTAAATCCCGTCCCATTCATCGTCTCTGCCCAGTGGCTTCTGTTCCCACAATGCTGACCTCCATCACCAGCGGAATGCGTCTTCACGAAGAACTGGCTCCCTCCCTCCCAACAGGCCTCCCTCCCAGCTTCATCTCCAGCAGCGGCAACACCAGCGACGACAGCTCCTGACACACGACCCTCCACAGCCGTCAATGGCCCGCCAACCGCGACACCATCAGCAGCAGCTGCAGCAGCCGCCGCGAAGACCAAGAGCACGCGCGCCCAGAACGACGCCAAGCTCATCTTCGGCACCGTCTTCAGCCTGCGCAACATGGTCCGCAAGCTTGGCGGCGACGACGACGCCTTCATCTCCTACCGCACCGGCCAGTACCGCATGCACTACTACGAGACCCCGACCAACCTGCGCTTCGTCCTGCTGACCGACACCGCCACCATGAGCATGCGCAACGTCCTGCACCAGATCTACATCAACCTCTGGGTCGAATACGGTACGTTTTGTCAGAAGCGATGGGAAACCCAGACCAGTAAGTGGTTGCGAGCGGGAATATGGCTGACATGGGAATTACCTTACAGTGGTCAAGAACCCCCTCTCTCCGGTCGAGCACAAGGGCGGCGCGGGTATCACCAACGAGTTGTTTGAGATGGGTCTCGACCAGTTTATTAGGGGCCTTCAATGAGCAGCTTGACTGATACAGCAGCACCAGGCCGACTCACCTGGCTATGAGTAAGGCGGAAGATGCAAGGGTCTGGTGGTCACAAAGGAGGTGAACACCGAGACGCCCATCATGATGGAACAAGGGCCATTACGCTATCTAGTCGACGGAGATGCCATGCACCGGCGCTCGATGTGCGTAGAGAACGGCTAAAGCTCATCTGATTGGTATGCAGACGCCCAGCATCCCATCCACACCCGAGACCTAGTCACATGTTGGAGCTTTCTTTGGGCTTCATATGGGGCTGTTCAAAATTACTGGAACCGCTTTGCAAGAATACTATGCCATCATGCGGACGGCCAGGGATCGCGTCCGGAAAGATTGAGCTTTGAAAATGGTGTGCGATCTGTGTCGGATGGACCAGGCTGTATAACAGACCTGTCCCATCTGCTGCAAAGGACGAAGCGTGTAGGCGCGCAGATGATTCTCACCAGAGACATGTATAGACAGAGAGACATACAGGAACGGGTTACCACGATCCAAGAGTGGGGGGCCTCTAGATGATATAAATCATAATGATACACGGGGCAAGCCCAGAGGCAGACTCTGGACGCACCCCACGATTTATCCGCATTCATTCATACAATCGTAATATCCCGTCAAAATAAACACACAAGAGCAGATGCGATCGATCGCTTGCTTTTGCTGAGCTCGCTCTACAATAATGGGTATATCAACATCCCACGTTCGCACCGTGGTAGTAACTACTGAGTGCGATAATGGCCGAGTTAACACCAATCCCACCAGCCTATCTATCGAACAATACTGTGCACCGCGCCGCCTACGATGCCTTCTCAGTCGCCTTGGCCCACGCGCTCTCAAACGAGCTCTGCGACGGGTCCACAAGCACGATGCTCCCCTCACCCTCACCGTCCCCCAGCCCCAGCACCCGCGACTGGCGCACGCTCGACTCGGCCGCGGTGGTGGTGGTGGTAGCCGTGGTCGTCGAGGGCGCGGCAGGGACCTCGGCGTCGCGCACCTCGTTCTCCCAGTTGCTGGAGTAGACGAGCGCCGCGAAGCCCTCGAGGTCGCGCACCGCCTCCATGGCGGACAGGTACTCGTTGCCGGGGACCCCGCCGCCCACGGCGTGCGCCTGCTTCGTCAGCACCGACAGGCACTTGGGCAGCAGGACCTTCTTCTCGGCGCGCTGCCGCTGCCGCTCCAGGCTGATGCCCACGCCGTTGGCGTCTATCGTGAGTGGTGCTGCTGCTGCTGCTTCCTGTGCGGAGGGTTGGGGTGGCGAGGGCGCCAGGTCAAAGGCACCCTGCGCCAGCTTGGTGTCCAGCAGCGTGCCGAAGCCGGCGTCTAGGAGCTGCGTCAGCACGTGCGTGAAGGTCGGCGACTCGATCAGGTCTGATGTCTCGTCCAGCAGCCGACGGAGGGAGGCGGTGGAGTTGGGTGATGAAGGTGGCTGTTGTGATGATGGGTCCTCGCCCTGGGCCTGTGTCGCGGACGCTGCGCTGTCGTCCAGGATGCCCGACTCCTTGAGTACGTACTCCTCCTTGTCGGGCGGGGGCAGCAGGAAGGAGAGCCACTTAGTCGGCGCGACTGCCGGTGCCGCCGGGTCCGAGAAGGCCGCCGAGCCCTCGACCAGCCGGCGCACCTGGCCCGTCATGGCGGCGAAGGTCTCGAGGGTGAGCTGGTCGCGCGGGCTGGTCTGCCCGAAGACTTGGCGCACGGCGGCCTCGACCCGCGCCGCCACGTCCAGCCAGCCCTTGTTGAGCAGCCACCAACTGAAGGTCAGGTACTTGCGGTTGACCTCGAAGTCGTCGCCATAGGCCTGGGCCGAGTTGTCATCGTCGTTGTTCTCAAGGCTGATGGTCGCCGTGTTGGAACCGGTCGCGAGGGAGACGACGCTGGAGAGGTAGCTGCGGCGGCCGAGGAGGTTGAGCTGCACGCGGGTGAGCATGGTGAGGAGGCCCAAGGTGTAGATTAGGGTGTAGGCCCTTGTTATAGCTTCAGAGATTGTTAGCTGGGCCATTCGCAACGAAATATACAGCACAGCACCACTTACAGCTGATGGTCACGTCACCCCACAGCTGCCGCTTCGTCCTCTTGGGCTTGTCTGGCTGTGGTGGCTGCTCGCCTTCTGACGTCTGGCTGGCCGGTGGCACTGTGATCTGGCTGGCGTGCACGCCACTCTCGCTCGTGGACACGATGCTCCGGCCGTCCTCGTCGGTCATGCCTATTGTCTCGGGCAGGCTCATCGAGTCGCCGCTCCCGCTCTTGACTGACTTGGAGCCATTCCCGCCTTTCATCTGCTGGATTTCGAGGGTAATCTTCTCCACGTCCATTGACTCCAGTATCCGCGTGGTCGCTGTGGGTAGCAAGGCCAGCACGGTGTACGTGCAGTCTTCTTGGTTCTGTTGGAAGCGGCGCCGCAGACTGTGAGGTGGGGTGGCCTGTTAGCACGATGACGACGACACGAGAGGGGAGGGAAAGATAGGACGCACTTCTCCTTGGCTATGCGGTCACCGCTCATGCGCTCGCGGGCATCGTTGAGCTTGTTGAGGACGTACTGGGTGACGACATAGCCGGCACCCACGACGCCCACGCCGATGGCAATGGGCGTTCTGTTGCGACGGAACCACCGCCGCGTTGCAGCGAACATGGCTGGTGTGTCTGCTCACAGCTAAAGACGGTCCAGAGGTAATTGGTTCGAACGCGGGGAGAATGATGTAGCTGAGTCGGCGCAAGGAGGAGACTGCAGCCTCAGACAGGCCGCCAGAAAGTGGAGAGGAACAAAAGGACCAGCTGCCCTACACAGAGCATCAGGGCGTACGACACAATAAAATGACGGTCTGCAGGAGTCGTATGCTGTGTCACAAGCAAAGTGGACGAGTTGAAGTTCCGCCCTGCCCACGTCCAGCCCTTCCCCGGAATTGCCTGCAGCTCCCCAACTTTACCTTGGGCCTCGGCTCCGGGGCAAGTCGCCAATTTGCAGGCGGGAGGCACGGACCTGGCCACGCTAGGCCTCTAGCGCGACGGGACCTAGATCCCTGCTGCTAGAATCGTCTACGGCATGTAACCCTAGTACCTCTGCCTCTTTTGTAACCATGGTGCTCTTATTACTTACCGCCTGGTGTCGTACAGATCTTGTACAATACAGTAGCCTCGAAAGACTTTGACTAGCTGCAGATCTTTTCTCTTCGATTTTCATCAGGTATAAAAGAACGCAGGCTTGAGGCAACTCGATTTACAATACTCTAGATTTCTGATCAAAACCCAAACTTCAACCTCTGACTTCTGGACAGATTACCTACATACTTTGAGACCTCGTATGCTAGTGAGGTGGCTGACATGTGGCATCTTCAAAATAGGTGGTGGCCTACTTCAAAGAAAGGATGAACATCAAGAAAGCCCGAGCCGAGAGACTCGAGCTAGCATTGACAATAATCCTTGTTGCTGAAGTAGTCCCTTGAGCAACGTTTTTGTTAATTAATGTGAGAATTTCAAACAAGCTCACAATATAGTCTCAAAACGTGTCTGAAATTTATAGCCGTCCATAATTCACGCAGCGTTCGTCCCAAGGGAGGGCAATGGCGGATCTAGCATATGATGTTGAGGGCCAAGTGTCGCTTCGCATCGGCTGTATCAGAGACAAGAGAGACACCCTGATCTCCTAAATTTGGTGAGATAGGCTCAGACATGTTGAAGACCCGACCATATAATGATAACAGGTATGATTGGCCACCAACTTTGTGTGAACCAGAATTGACTGTTTTGGGTCTTGTAATTAGACAATTTGAAAGAAAGAGTTTCTGGGGATATAAGTAGTACGAGTTTCGCTTGGATGCGGCTCTGTGCAGTGAGAGCTGATACTGAAGACAAAACTCGCGTCTTCTGGCCAATCGCCTATGGCCGTCAAGCGTGCAAAATATGGCAAGTCCATGCTCGCTCGGTTGTGGTGCGTAATTAGCATATTGTCCCTGTTCTCCGAGGCCATATATCATTTGGTGACAGGAAGAGCGAACGCTGTCCTGAAATCATTATCACGATTTCCGTCTACGAATCTCACCACAGCTCAACCTTTGGACCTTCACCTCAGCATTCTTTCCATTGCCTTATCAGGAACGTCTCTGCCGCCATGCTTCTCCAACCTATCCGCATCTCAAAAGACATAACTCCATCGCCGCATTTCCTCGAACATGTAATATACAAACAGATTGCTATAGGTACCACGCCAGATAACCGTCCAGGTCAGCGGTGGCCCGTCCATGTCATCTCTTGAAAACGGAAACGGGTGCGGGCGGCTATGAGCTCGTATATATACTTCCAGATTGTAGCCTCGATCGCAGGGATTCAACTATCGAAACCCTAACATAGGGTTAAAACATCCCTGGTATTTTTGACCTTATACTTGTAGTGACGTTCTGTGGATTCATAAATCTGGCACTTGCTCTAAGGTGCACATGCTTATGAGGTATCTGCGTGACCGGCTTGGGCTGCATGGGCGACGCATAGTCTTCGGATAGTAACATGATGTCAAGCAGGAACACGCGGATAGGCATGGAATTAAAGCCTCGACAGAGAATTTGATCATGGAATTTTGGGAGGAATTCCGTACCTGCGGTCTCACAAGAAAGCTGATTGATAGCTGAGCCCAACCAAAAAACTGATGACATAGGACGTTGGAGCGGGCGACGGTCCGGCACTTCCTCCGCCATGCCGGATTCCAACATGACCTGGAAGGCCCATGAGGCACCATCGGGCTATTGGCGGATAAATTCCGGAAGAGAACTTCTGAAAACGTACCATGTCTTCCTACCTTTCTCATAGTATAGTCCAGAAAGAGTGTTGGGTTAGAACGATTTCAGATAATCTACCCAGTGCGGAGGATTCGTATCTCAAGGCTTAGCAATCAAGACGAAAACTGTCCACCTAACTCGCTTGCATCTATAATTTTCTTCGAATTTAGATTCGTAGTCGGCATGGGGATCATGTTTTTAATCTGTCATCATGAAACTCGGCTCAATTCAGATACATCGCAAGTAGTCACGAGGCTGCAAGACTGTCCATCAACCACAATTTCTTATACGAAAACATACCTACCTAAGGTCTAATCAAACGTTTGCCACAAAAATATGAGCGTATTGAGCGCAGAGGCAAGGCAGTCATTGCAGAATGGAAACTGTGCTCCCATCACAGCTAAACCTTTTGCTGAACCGCATGTTCATGGAGAGCAGTCCACAACAGTCCTGTCTGAGTTGTACGCTCCATCAGTTACAGCAAAGCTGTGGTCTGTTGCCCAGAAGGCATTACAACTCAATGCCAGCCCACCCACGCTGTTTCCGGAATACACTCACCCAGGTGGCAGCAAATACGTATACCGCGACCTGAAATTTTGGACATCAGGCTTCTTCCCAGGAAGCCTATATCTTCTCCTGGAGCGACAGACCAAGTATCCTCATGTCTTTCAACAACAACTCTCCCCTGTTCATCAACTTCAGCTTGAGCACGCCTGCACCTGGTGGACGGAAACCCTGCACGCCAACGCCCACCTCGCCACGACGCACGACCTAGGCTTCATGATCATGCCCTGGGCCCGTCCCGCCTGGGAGCTCCGCCACGACGCGCGCGCCCTCGAGACGCTCAAGACCGCCGCCGCCACCCTCCACGGCCGCTACAGCCCGGCTGTCGGCGCCATCCGCTCGTGGGACACGTGCGTCACGCGGGCTTACAACTTCCAGGACCCCTCCAAGGAGTTCCTCGTCATCATCGACAACATGATGAACCTCTCGCTTCTCTTCTATGTCGCGGCCCGCACGGGCAACGTCGCGATGCGCGATGCGGCCGTCAGCCACGCCCGCACCACTCGGCGCACCCACGTGAGAGCCGACGGCACCACCGCGCACCTCGCGGTGCTGGACCCGGCGGACGGCGCGGTCCGCCAGCGGCTGACAAACCAGGGCCGGCACCACGGGTCGTGCTGGTCGCGGGGCCAGGTGTGGGCGGTGGCCGGGTTCGCGGAGGTGTGGGGGTGGACGCGGGAGGAGGAGTTCCTCGACACGGCGGTATTGTGTGCGGATGCGTTCCTGGAGCGGATGCCCGAGGATGGCGACGGGGTGCCGCCTTGGGATTTTGAGCCGGCGCCGGAGGGGACTGGAGGAGGGCCGGAGCCGACGGATACCAGCGCAGCTATGATTGCTTCGTATGGGTTCTTGCTTATCTATGAGGCGTTGGCGCTGCGGCGATGTGTGCGCGCGCAGAGGTATCTGGATGCAGCGCTCAGAATCACGAGCGCGGTTTGCAAAGATTACCTCACGCCGCGCGGAAAGTTCGTCCCTCGGGTCAACGGGGCGACGGTCAGGTCAATTGTGGACACGCCTGACCACGGGGCGGAGGAGCAGGATGTCACGGTGGTAGCCTTTGATGTGGACGATGGTGGCTGTGAGGCCATCCTCGACGGCGCCACCATCAATAACTACGAATTCGCGCCTCGGAGATGGGCTAATCACTCGCTAGTGTACGCCGACTACTTCTTTCTGTTGGTCGGGAACAAGCTGCTAGAGATGGGAATTGGTGATGCTCTTGTGAGTTTGGGGGCATAGATAGCATTGCTTGTTCTGGTTGTTTATTTCCCTAAGATAGTCTGGTGGGTCAATGGCTGGTAAACGATGGTTTGAGATATGGAAGCGGTTTGCCTTGACTTTCGTAAGTAGTGACGATGAACGCCTACTAAGACTATGGCATATAGTGGACGTAGATTGCGTTCACGCGAATTCAAGAGAGATGATATACATAGAAAGAGGAATATGGGGGAGACACCGGGAAAGTCGTAAAGAAACACAGAATTTTGACTCCTTTGCTCATATCCAATTACCCTCAAACCGGCTCTTCATTCAGTTGATTTAATCCTTCTGTCGCCTCGTTCTGATCACTTGACTGCGCGTACATGCTGACACGCTTATCTGGCGGGAAAGAGTATTCCAGAAAGAAATCGATATCTTGGAATGCGGCCGCGTCCATGGGGACCATACCATTTCCAAAATCCTGAACGGGATACGGGGCAGGCTGCATGGCTGGTGACTGGATTGCGGTCTGCGTTGCGCTCGCGATTTGGCCCGCCTGGAAGGCTAAAGGCAAGGGAGGAAACGCGAACGATATGCTCTCGGGTGACTCCTCCTCTGCAAGTCTCATGTTACTATGACTGCTGCCGCCAATGTTGGTGCTGTTGCCGCCGTTGATGGGTATTTGTATGTCCACCGACGGCCCACCCAATGGGGTCTGGGCTGCGGCACGGTGGCGATAATCGGTACCAGGCCTCTCTTGAAGGAAAGGACCCGGCATGGCCTGGCTGCGTTTGGTCATGGGATGAAGTGGCTGAGATTTATGGGAACCCGGTATGCTGCTCCTCTGTCTCGCCACTCCGGCGCCGTGAAGTTGAGACTTAGATGAGTTATGTGCGATAGCAGCCTGATCATCGGAGAAGACGGCCTGCCGGATGTCTAGAGAGGCACCTTGTTGTCGAGCCCTTACTAGACGGGAGGCGAACTTGGCTGCGATGTTGTTCTCTAGGTTCCATCTCTTTGAGATCTCCCAAAGAGAGTCCAGCAATACATCAAATTCTCTTGGAAGTGGAATGCTATAATATGCAGTATGGGCTAACAGCATACGGCCGCATATGAATAGACAGAATGCAAACTGAGGATTCGTTAGCGTGACAGGGTTGTCACGTAGGAATCGCTCCACGATAGTAACCACCTCGGTCGCAGCAAGGAGGCAAGTCTCGGCACTGGAGGCAGAAGGGAGACGCACGCCGATGGTTGGCAGCACCGACTGCCATTTGGCGGATGGGTAGGCGATACCCTGGTGGAGAAGTATGACGGCTACGTTGTGAGTAATATGTGCAAGGGTTAAGTTGGGATCCATATTGCCATCCTCATTGAGCGCACAAGCCTCTCGCCAACGCTCAGGTAGGAATATCTTCCACTGTACCAGGCGGAGATCCAGTTGTTTGAAGCGCATGAGCCACATCTGGACGTCCTGTGCCTTGGAGACGTCCACTGCTTGCTGTAGGAAGAATGACGTGACAAGACTGAGACTCTCGGTTGCCTCAATGCAATAGGCAAACCCACCGAGAGACTCCTGGTCCTCACTCTCGACTCTGGCTGTGGGTAACCTCATCTCATTTGCCTGTGCCTTCTGCCTTTGGCGAGGGTCCAAAGATGGGGAGGTTGTGGATGTTTGATCGTACTTTTCCGAGACCCCAAAGAACGGCGTGGGAGTCTCAAGGGCATCGCCCGCCTCCCATAAAGCACCTTCGCAAGGTAGCCTTCTCCTTACATCGGCACTCGTCAGGGACAGGTTCCATCCTGTGGCGATGCTACAGAAACGGTCCATTAGGAACACATTCCAGAATACACGCCTTCGCTCCTCGAGCTCACTCCAATCTCGCGCAGGAGGCAGGAAAGCGACTCTCTTGATCTGGTTCTGGAGCATTTCAGCGGCGCGAGATTGCTCGTCACTTGCAGGTTCGACGCTGAGTTGTAGCTGCTCGACCGTACGCGTCATGCTGCCCACCACAGACCAGGCACTTGGGCTGCGACCACTACCGATGGTGTCGAAGGCAATAATGATGAGCGCCTGAAGGTTTTCCACCGAGAAAGACTGCATGCTCTGCAGGATCACAGTATCGCGACTTCGTTTCGCTTTCTGATCGCGTGCTGCGCTATCTTGACCGAGACGAGGGTCATTGGAGAAACGCGCGCAGATGGAGATGATAGCATGGCAGATTGTGGTGATCTGGCTACGCTGTAATGGATCCTTCATGCGCTGACGGAAATTTCGAACATGCAGCATGGGGATCCAGGGATGGATGAGACGAAAGTAGGTTTCCACAAGTAAGAACAGAACGTCGTCGGGGGGCAATTCGTTGTCGTCACCAGTGGTGATACGGTGTTCTGAATCCATCCTCGACGGTAGTGGGTTTGCTTGATGGTGCTGAACATCGTGAACCCGGGTTGACGTCTCCTTTTCGCTAGGTGGCAGTGCCCATGAATTGCCGTCTCCGGACGCGGAAGAAAGTGTCTTTCGGAGTTGCGCTGTGCACTCCTGCAGCGAGGTCCCAACCATGGAGCAGCCAGAGTCCGGTGGGCTGGGGTTGGATACCCGTTCCGGTGCCACATCGTCAAGTCTACGCCATATCTTGGTGATATTTTGTTGCCACAGCATGCCTTGGCCGAGGAACATGTTCTCGAGCGCAGTGATTCTCTGGCTGAGGTGCTCGATGGCGCCAGACCGCAGTCCTGGCTTGAGCTTCCTTTCATCGTACACACACTCCAGGTCTTGTTGACACGCCTCATGGTCAGAAAATGCAGTGAGACTTCGTGTGGGAAATGTGACTGCTTACTATATCTCTCGCACTGCGAGCAAGGGAGGCGTCTAGAGCATTTTGCTTTCTTGCGCCTGCAGGACTGGCATCTAGCGTGTGGAAATACATGTCAGTCCATACCTTCGAACACATCCCTCCACACCCGCTCGCCCAAGTCCGTTGACAATAGCACTGGTAATATCGGGAAGCGTCTTACGCTGGCCCTTCATACTTGGAGGTCGCACTGCCACCGGTCTTCCTCCTCTTGGCTGGAGGTCCTTCGTCGGCTCCATTATTCTCAGCACCTTCAGGAGCTTCGACCTCTATTTCGTCCTCGACCTCTTCAGGCTCCGACGCTGAAGCCTCGTTCGCGTCCTGGTGGGATTCGCCAAAATGCTGCATGATCACAACTGTCTCTCCTTATCTGATAAGATACACGGCAGACATGAAATCAAGTGGGCGCTGACGAGATGGGCATGCTGATGGGCGATGAAGTGACAAAAAATGCCAATGGGAGAGCCGGTGCAGTGTATGACTTCAGTGTCACGCTCATGCTCTAACCCTTTTTACGACACGCCACTGGGAAGTGGGTCATGTTGGTATGCACAGGGTGTACGTAGGCTGCAAGGCTATTCCATACCGAGAGACAACTCCCGAAGTTGTAGCATATTCCCATGGGGTCCATTGTACTTTTTGGGGAAATATCACACAACACGGTGCTGGTCCAGTCTACATTTGGCATCACCAGCAACTCCAGATTGTCTCGAGACACGGACAAAAGAAGGGGAAGATCATGGTCAAAGTGGCGCAAGCGAATTGCGGGGGACCTGGGGTATTGTGGGGAACCACAGTCATCCATCCATGTGTCCTGTCGGGCGCCGGGTGAAATACCGGAGTGAGATCCGCCCAACACACCATCTGCTCTAATCCATTGGTATGGTTCCGTGTGGCGCCCGGCCTCGCCAAGATGCACAATGTGGCCCCCTCATGGGCAACGATCCGTAAGGAAAGCATTTCAGCAGGACCTGGTGCGGTGAGCTGTGCTCTCGAACGCAGCTTAGAGGAGAAATTACCTGCAATATCGTATTTCCGCGCACTCGCTTCTCCAGATCCTTTGGGATAACAGATGTCGTGGAAACGTGCCCGGCTACGTCTCCATTGCCAGTGGCCTGTCGCCGCTGACCTCGTTGTGACCAGGATTCCAAAGATTCCGGACTTCCAGAGCCTGGGGACACTACAGTAAGCGCGGCTCACTCTAGGTAGAATCAAGGTACCAGCGCCGACCTGTCATTCTTCTGCGTTTCGATAAATACTTGTTCGGATCTTGCCGTCAACTTGGGCAGTCCGGTCTCACCTTGTGGTTGCATTAACCTCAAATATTCGACTGAGTGGCCAGTTGTTAATATTTAAGCCCAGCTGTTGCTAGCTTAATACCCTCTAGCAAATCTTATTGTCTTGCAGTCATAATGGAGAAGACTAATTCGACAATCTCTGATGCTCACGATGAGATCGCCATTGTGAAGGCCCCGATATCGCGGCCATTCGCCGAACCAGAGCCCCACGAGAAGGCAGATGACGAGGCAAGTCTACCCTATTTCCTACTTCCTGTACATACGCTGTCCTCAAAGGGGCTATGAGGCATAGCTACCCAGGTATCGAGGAATTGCGACTGACAGTCCTGCCTGATTCCAATTCTATAGACCGCCCAGTACGCAGGCCACGAAGCCATCTACATCGACGAGAATACCAATCGCCAACTGTTCTGGAAAATCAACAAGCGGATCTTGGCATGTATGCTGGGCACCTACTTCTGCCAGGCTCTTGACAAGGGAACTTTGTCATTCTCCTCTATCATGGGCATCCAGGAGGACACCAATCTCGTCGGACAGCAGTACAGCTGGCTTGGCACCATTCTCTACATGGGCGTCCTTGTGGGCGAATATCCTACCAATTTTCTGCTCCAGAAGCTTCCAGTCGCCAAATACCTCTCAGCCAATGTATTCTGCTGGGGCATCGTCATCGCCTGCTCCGCCGCCTGCAGAAATTTTGGATCCTTAATGGCCGTTCGATTTCTGTTGGGAGTCTTTGAAAGTTGTGTGCAGCCTTCGTTCATCATCATGACTTCCATGTGGGTGAGTTTGAGACGAAATTTGATTCGACACTGGTAGTGTGGCTGAATTCGCTACGTAATACTATAGTATACCAAGAAGGAACAGATGCTCCTGACGTCTCTTTGGTATTGTATGATGGGAGTGCAGCTGATGGTAAGCATTCGTGTGCTTTTCGACATAGCTTCTCAGATCACGCACCAGCTTACGAATCAAAGGTTGGTGGTATTATCGCCTGGGGTGTATCGCACTACGTCGGCCACGAGATATTGCCCTGGCAGCTACTCTTCCTCGTGCTCGGCTGCCTCACCTGCGCCTGGGGCCTCTTCATCGGATGGTGGCTTCCGGACACGCCGATGAAGGCCAAATGCTTTAACGAGGATGAGAAGCGCCTTATGGTCGAGCGCGTCCGCGCCAATGAGACGGGTATTCAGAATAAGGTCTATAAGCGCTACCAGGCAATCGAGGCCATCACGGACCCGATCGTGTGGCTCTACGTGACCCTCCAACTTACCTCGACGCTGGTCATAGGCGGACTCGGTGTCTTTTCCAACCTTATTATCGCCTCATTCGGCTTTACGTACTTGGAGACGCAGCTGCTGAATATTGCCCAGGGTGCTGTGACTATTATTGTCATGGTCGGGTCGGCTGCTTTGTGTACGTGGACTAACCAGACCGCCTGGGTTATGCATGTGAGTAGTTTTACCAAGTTGTCCCATGTAAAGACTCAATGGATAGAGTTGTTACTGACAGTTGCTATCTCTTTAGGTATGGACCATGTAAGAACCACAGTCATCAAGAGCTTCCCTATCTGGGAGAAGTCATTACTAACAGTCTATCAATAGACCTCCAATCATCGGAACTGCTATAATTTACCACATCGAGCCCACAGCGTCCACACGCGTCGGCCTCCTCATTGCCTTTTATTGCATGCAGTTCTACCTGGCTGAAGGTAACATGATCTTCTCTCTCATCTCCCGCAACATCGCCGGGCAGACAAAGAAGTCTACCACCCTCGCCATGACCTTCATCGCGTGGGCCGCTGGCAATATGACTGCGCCACAGGTACGTGTCTTTTCCTGAGCTAATTCAAGCTGAAGCATCCGGAAAGCCCCCATTACCTTTTTCTGTTCCTGACTCTGAACGTCTTGCCAATGTCGTAGATTTTCCAAAGTGGCGATGCTCCTCGCTACCACAAAGGCTTCACTGCCCACTTCTGCCTCTACGTGCTCTTCAACATCACCCTTGCCACCACCCGCATCATTCTAACGAGACGTAACCACAAGAAGAGGAGTATGGCCTCGGCATCTTCAGAGGCTGCGCCTGTCGATGGCGCTGCTACCAACGTGGCGGAATCAGAGAAGATCGGGCACTCAAACGCGTTCAAGGATCTCACGGACACAGAGAATCCAGACTTCAGATATGATTTTTGAGAAGCAATAGAGAATTCTGGAGAAGAGAGTTTCAAGCGAAGTGTGGTGCTCAACCGAGACATTGTTTGGCTTAGAAGAGGATATAGCTGGATGCACATGAGGGTGAAAAAGATTGAAGAGAGAACTGAGAAACATAGAGCCCCGAGCTTTCCGATATCTACGTAGTTGGAGATGCCCACCCCCCCCCCGGGGTTCCCCGGCAAAATATTGTGATTTTTTCTCTCTGCAGCATCATGCTCATTCACCTGTGAATGTGATTTTTATCATTATTTATTCGAAAAAGACTGTTTTATCACTCTATATAACCCAAGAAGCGTTGCAAATGAACGCAAGAGACATAAGCTCAGATAGGCAAATAAAAATATTCACCTAATCGAAGACAGTGGCGGAGAGGTAGACGGGGATAGATTCCGTCGCTAATGAATTTTGATTTTGCTGAAAAATTGGGAACATTGCTCACACACTGCCAGCTTTCCGGCTCGCCACTGTTGATACATGAGACTATAGCCACATGTCTAGAGAGTAAACTGATATTGTGGATTAGTATAGACGCAGGGAAATAAATGTTTGCTGTGTTATGAGTAGTCTCCATCTACTTTGCATTGATGTTCCCCGTCCCGTTAGGCCCAATAGAACCTCCTCCCCAAATAGTGCGGTCGTTATTGTTCAAGAAGCTCCCTTTCCCTGGATATGCCCAGATCAAATCGCCCCAGCCAGGATGGTCAGTGGTCGAAGCGGAGGCAGAACCAGCTACCCGTCAAGATGGTAAGTATACATGAAATAACACAGACAAAAGGTATGGCAGGGGATGGAAAGAATCGTTTTCCTCACGATGTTGTTCTCCACCTGCGGCATCAGAAGTGGCCTTTGCCTGTTCGATGTAGGGGGTATTCAAGCCTCTCTTGATATTGTACTGATAGTAAAGGATCTAGGTTGATCGGTTGGGTCAGTCTGGCAGAAACAGAACAAGCTTCAAGTGAAATCACGTAAGTGCGCCTTGTTTTGACTTTCTCGAACAGGAGAGGTGCGGTTCTTACGTCCCAGACCTTGGGGCTCCCGGCGATACCACGGCTGATATTCGATGGCTGGGCCCAAGGACCATTGACAAGGATGGCTTCACAGCGGTAGAAACTGCGGTCATATGGTACATCGTATCCTAGGTTAAATCGCGCCGCGTATTCGGCCCCTTTGAGCAAGAGGGTATCTAGGATCGTGTAGGAGTCCTTCCACCCTTGAGATTGCATTACACGTGCAGCCTCTGCCGCCCATCCCAGACTGGTCATGGCATGGCCTTGATCGCGGCCCGTCTCAGCACCCTGACCGGTGGTCTGGTCATAGTTGCCGAGGAGGCCACCGCAAGGGTCGTGCTGGTACGCAGCGAGGGCGTAGTTGTACTGTTTGGAGACAAGGCGTGTCAGTGGTGAAGCGACAGCTTGACAGTATACTTCGCGTATCATCCATGAAGCACTTACCATAGATATGTCGTCAAGGTACACCGCAAAAGACAGGAGGGCCTTAATGGTTGCTAGACCATAGTTGGCCTGCCCTATGATGATGGCCTGTCTTGCAAACAGCCAATAGAGCTGATTAGAAAAGCCCCCACCGCCAGACCATTTTGCGCCAGCCTCAACCCATCCACCTTCCCATCGCATGATCTCAGCTGCATTGACGAACAGGTCACCATCAAGGCTGACAAGAAGCGCAGTATCCACTCCGATTACATCGGTCAGATTGCTGCCCCAAGCGTCCAGAATTGTAGTGGCGCGATCCCAATGGCTTTGGTTCCGGGTGATGTACCACATGAGAGCATTTTGCCAGGCAGCACGGGCGTCGAAGGAAAAGCTGGTGTAGTTGCTGCATCCACCCCGGCAGATGACCGGATGTGGACCTTTCATCTGGTACTGGGCGCAGGAAAAATGGTCAGCACAATCAACTTAGACAACGATGCTCAAAACTCCGTAGGGAGAATATGTCTCAAAAGTTATTGGTAAGATGGAAGGTTACGATTTCTCTTACCTCGCTGCTTGAGAATGTATCAGCAGAGAAGTTGAAGTAGGCTGTCTTCCAAGGCTCCATACCGTCCCTCACGCCAAGTCGTATACGTTCCAAATCATCATGTGTATGCCAGAGACCAGGATGAACAAATTGCCCAACTTTAGTCTTCATACCCAGTATGGTATTAAAATATGGCGGAGTGATGGGCCCATTAAGGAAGGGGAGGCCGTTGAGGCCGCCTGTGGCGATTGCACAACCGGCTAGAAACAAACCAGACATCAGAAATGTGAACATATTATACGAAAGACACATAATGTCTCTACTCAGTGCTGCCAAGTGGGACAGAGAATTGCACAGGCTCCTAGTGGGCAAGTTGGGAAAATTTAAGGGTCGTAACGCACATGATACCAATTGGGTCTTTCGTGTACCGCGAAGTCACGTTGCACTTATATGAAAGCTCCAGTACCTTTTGATGGGTAATACGCCGAGTGGCATACTTAGTGCAAAAACCGGCTTCGGGGCCGGGGGATGTACCAGGTGTTCAGCTCCGGGGGACACGCGATTTGAGCGTAGGCTGCAGGCCATTGTGGGGCTACCAAGCATTTTGGGGGCATAAAACAGATGGTGTTCCCTTCATTCGGAGACAAGCTGCGGAAGATCTATTCCTTGTCATTGAATACTCTAAATCTTCATCTCCGGGCTGACGCCCCGTTTGCAGCTGTAAAGTATTTCAGGTGAATAGCAGAAAGTTGTCTGTTTCTTGAATAATCCACTCGAGATGCTGGTGCGTTCGGGCAACGGGTTCTAGCCCGGATGTTGTCCGAGAACAACCCTTCCACGCCAGTGGTCAGAAGAAGTTGCATACTTCCCTGAGGTCTCCATGTTACAGTTTATGAGGAGAAAATGCATACGATACGGGAGATAACGTGAAATGAAGGAAAGGGTTCTTTGATTCGACGTCGCGTCGAAATCATTGTTTTCAAGAATCGTTAGCTTGGAATATCTTCAATTTCTTCATGTGCTGTCTCGTGCTTTGGACATTGTTCAAGTCCGATGTCCGATAAAGTGTAGTAGCTTGAACTGTATTGTGAAAGTAGCTTGTTCGAGACCAGCTGCTTATAATTGATATTCTTTCACATCGATCAGAGGATTGCCTCCCGTCGTTGACCAATTTTTACCAATTTGGAGCAGATTTCTGTCATTTTGTCTTATGCTTCCTACGTTTTCTTAGAAGCATGTTCGTGGACTTTGATGAACCAGCCTGTGATCGTTGCGCACTGAGTCTACCCTGTTGATATACGACAGTAGGCAATGCTGTTGACAGAGTTGCAGTTCAGGATGATAAGTCCTCACCGCTCTAGTGACTTTTTCATGGTGACTCCGGCTTTGAATTTTTGATGGCACAATGCATGCTCGCCCTGCGCATACTGCTTTACGCATCATACCGAATTGGACGAACATGAAGCAGTGCAATGCAAAGCACAACCCTTAGCCCCAAAGAAGTTTCGCGACGTCTTGCCAATCCTCAAATCCGTACACGAAAGGTCCATTCCCACTCCCAACACCAGTATGCCCTTGCCAACCCAGGCCTGCATCGATGACGTCTATTCCGTACGTCCGAAAGCTTTCCGCGGCGCTGCCGTTGATCCCAGCAACGACGCCAATATTCGTCGGCCCCTCCCACAGGGGCTGCAGGTCCGCATCCCCGTCCGACACAAAAGCCACATTCCTCACCTCCTCAGACGTAGATTCTAAGATTCTCTCTATCAGCTTCGTCTTATCACCACCAGAGAATAGCTGTGTGTCATGATTGAGCTGCGAAGTCGCGAGGGTGTTCGCCGGAAGTATCTCAGGACAGTACGTCTCGATGTCTTTTACGACTTGAGGACACTCGCTCGCCTCTTCTAAGACCAGTCGGATCCACGACGGTGACCAGTTGAGACTGACGACATTTAGCTTTACGCCGCTCTCCTGCGCTGCTGTAGCAAAATTGCACCACCCAGCGCGAAGTGTTTGGTTCTTGGCGAGTTTGACCAGCTCATCCTGTTTGGTCGCGTCGAATACCCCGAGGTTCTGGACCCAAAGAAAGGACCATTGCTCTACGGCGCGCAGGGCCTAGTTTATCTCGTTAACGAGTGAGGCAAAGACGCGTATCAAGTGACTTGTCACTCACCGCATTGTTTGCGTATTTAATCGCCTCCTCCAAAGACGTGGGCTCGTCAACAGTAACAGACACAGCATCGTACACCGTGCCGTACGTAGTCTCAATGTTGTCCCAGGATGGCACGGAGGTAGAAGCGTTGGCAGGTAGGCTGGCGTACGCCGCATAAGCGAGGGACGTGTAGGCGTCCGAGGTGACGATGGTGCTATTTCACTTCCATGAGCTTCTCGGGATGATTCCGACACAAATAAAGCGAACATGGGAAGCTCACTCACCCGTCAAAATCCAGGAAAATTTGGAGACCCGAGGAGGAGTTCTTTAGGTGTCCAGTCTGGGCTAGCGCTGCGCCCGCGCTTAGCATCAAGGACAGGCTTGTAAATTGATTCATCCTCGACATATAGACAGCAGCGTTGCTTATAATGTGTGTCGGGCAAGTCGCATCATATGACCGCCCAGACTTGAAGAGAATGATGCGCTTATATTAGATGTGGGTCCTGGTAGGGAAACGCAATCATTTGACTCAGCAACGCAATGATTTCCCACTTAATTTTCAAAGTCGATGACTCCGCTTGGCAATGATACTAGGTAATTGATGTTTAGAGCGTAACATACACTACTGAAGCTTAGCATAGCTATATGCGGTATCGGCGAAAGAACTACGCCTTCTCAACAAACATCAAATATTATAGATACCTGCGCCGTGTGTCCCTGGGTATGCCTTTTGAGATTCTACAGTTCTTTCAGGCCACAATCTCGGTATTGGCAGTCTTGATGAAGTTTTATAAACTATTTCATTTGGTCATGACGGAACAGAGCTTCTTATACGTCCAGTCGCCACGGAATCATCAACTTTCTTCAAAGTTGACGTCGGCCAAATGACGTCGAACACATGAGCGCAACAAAGGCAGATGCATTACAACAGTTGAACATGGGGCTGTTCGCCTCTGACTTCCAATATACTAGGTTGATCAATGCAAGGCGTGTCAGTCACTATCCTTTCCACCCCGTCCTGATGAGCCCACTGACAGTATTATTGACTTTGGCATGGGTGCCTTCCTTTCGGTGGGTATGGTTGAGGAGCTCTTGACACAAGAAATATCCTCATTAGCGTCTCCTTAGTTTGTCTTGAGTGATGAATAACACATAATGCCCAAGGTCTCCTCATCATCGTTGTTTCTATCTTGGGGAGCCGCATTGCGGTAGTCAAGAGTGTAAACTTATGATGGCATGGAAGAGATCTTCAGAAGTGACTGAAATCGTCTGAAAATGGCATGCAATATAAAAGAAAGAGTCTGTTAGTTGGCGTTGTTTATGTTGCGATAATGGATGGCTTAGATGAACTCCAGATCTTAGTCAATGACCAAATGTCGCGTTTATTTGTAACTATTCCCAATCTTTGTCTCAAAAACAAATTTGTATGTATCATACAAGCCTGACTTTCAACTCTAAATAAGACACAACTAAATGGCATTCAATGCCTCTTCTTAGCTTACCAGTTGTGCTGAATTTGAAAACGCAAATTGTTGTCCCCTTGCTTGCTTACTGCCGCTTCACCAACCTCAAAGCGTACTTCTCAGGCTCACGGAAATTGATCGTAATTTCCGCTTTGCTTTCTCTCGTCCATTCCCAGATCCTGCTCCGGGTGATCTCCGGCGTTTCTCCCTCGAGCTTAACCGCCTCCAGTCTATACAACCGCAGCACGTATGACACGACGGCCACGAACTCAACCTGTGCGAACTTCTTTCCGGGACAGTTGCGCGCACCTAGTGACCACGGGAAAAAAGACTCTTTGGCAACAGGTGGGGGCGCGACTTCCTCGAAATCAAGCATATTGCCTGATTTGTGGGTCTCATCCACAGCATCAGCGGAAATGGCAGACTCGGACGGCTTTGGGGCGGACAAAATCCAGCGCGTTGGCCTGAATTCTTCGCTGTCGGCGCCCCAGTACTCAGGAAGCAGATGCACCGCGAGATTGGACATGTGAACCTCAGATCCTCCGGGAATGAATATCGTGCGGCCATCGACACGCAGCTCTTGGCCCCTGCCGAGAACGTCTTTTTCCATGTCAACGACAGGACTGTAGAGTCGGAGCATTTCGTACTAGACGCGGGCGATTTAGCAGGTCAGGATTATGAAGAGCTGTGATTACGCGGAGCAAAAATCTCGCAGCATCACACAAACAACGTACCATGAAAGCCAGACAGCGCTTGAGCCTATAGAAGTATTGCTCATACTCTAGGCTGGATGTGTCTAGTGGCAACGTGCCATAGACATGGTCTACTTCCTCTTGAAGCCATTCCTGCCATTGAGGTTCGACTGAGAGGATATGAAAGCAGTAGTTCAGAGTGTGTGCAGTAGTCTCGTGACCTGCGATGTTATAGTCGAACATGTTCGCGAAGATCTCGTCATCCGATAGCCCTCCGCTTCCATTGGCGTCTAGTTGTCCGAAGTCATCACCAGCGGGAGACGTTTTGGCTGTTTTTTCTTGTCGCATCTCGACGGATTTGGCAATCATCGCGTTGAGGAAGATGTTCTCATTGGCCCTACCAGCGGCCACTTCGACCTTCCTCTCTTCGACCAGCTGTCGCATCTGCTTCCGGAATGCTTGCGACGCCACAACATGGTCTCGGAACAATTTTGGCAAATACTTGATGTGGTTGGGACCGAGGTCGTACATCCACTTTGGTGTCGTGCCTAGAAGACGAATGCTGGTAAGAAGCACAGCAAGATTGTCACGGTAACGCGCAGAGAAATCGTCGTCGGCCTCGCTATCCTGGCCCACTGCTACGAATTTCCACGAGTAACCCAGCCCGGCTGCTGCGAGGACATTAAGTGCGAGAGTCATTGTGTCTGAACAAGAGCTCCTAAAGCCATCAGTCCCATGCTGGACACGAAATAGTTTGATTGGTTAGTGTTCAGTCGTGATTCATCGCTCGAGCGAGGGTAGCAGGGAAGTAATCTTACAGAAATCCACCACTGAGTGAGTCCGGAAGCTTGTGTCAGGGACTCTTGCCAGACAATCTTCATGTTGCTCTCATTGAAAGGAGGAGCAGTAATACGTCTGTGCCGTTGCCAATCCGCACCAAACGCGGAACTGACACTTGGCTTCAACAACTCGGGCATCTGCTCACATCCCTCCAAATCGCGCTCGAAATGTTTCTTCCTTAGGTAAACCTGTCTTATAACGTCAAGGTCTACTGAGTATATCTGCTCGGAATCAGCTAAAACCATTTCGCATTTGACCGCTGAGATGTACCCCACCTGCAATTTACGGGGGTTAACAACCACAAACACTTTCCCCTTCTCCTGAAACATCCGGGCTTTCTCCTCCAAAACCCACATGTAGCGGTTGTACCGCACCCATGAGCCCAGCCCAAACGGCGCCTTGAGCAGAAGCGGACCAAGGAGCGGCGAAAGTGCAAGCCAAGGTAGGCTTCTGCTATACACTGGGCTGCTGACGATGGGCAGTCCGGTCTTCTTTGCTGCAATGTAGTTCTGGGTGAAACAGACGATGCTGCTGAATAGCTGCCACAGAGGCGCTGCGAACAGCAGAAATACCCATACTGGCCACATGACCGGACACTTTGGGCAATTTATTTGAAAACGTTCGGAATAGCGATTGCATACAAATGTTGGGAGGAGTCGATATCTATCCAGACCTCGATGACTGACGACGTTGGCAAAAGTTCTAGGTTACCTGGAACGCGTGGAATGAGAAGATGAGTTTGTTTCTCGGGGAGCCTTTTTAGAGCTTTCGGAAGCTTGGAGCCAAGGAAATGAATGGCGAGCATCGAAATTCACAGCTGCGTACGAAGTGGGGAGCATTGTTTGAATGAAACCCTATTTGGCAATTTAGGCTCCCGTATTCGTAAGATGCCTACAGCTATATTTCGCATTCGCTCTCATAACGGCATTTATCAGAGTTAGTCGCGGTTACAACGGTCGGTAGCTTGAAGATCCCGATAAGGCTCAGGAGAAGAGGCTACGACTCGCAGCATCGTAACCCAGTCTGCCATTCAATTTCGATCGCAACAGCTGAGCGATCTTGTCTGCGTCACGAAATTAGGAAACAAGATGTGAACCATCCTGTGGTAGTCACAGAACTTGCTAGTAGCAACTCAATGATGCGATGCAAGTGGTTGCTACATTTTATTTAGATTAATTGGACGGGCTATTTTCGAGAATGCAGCGACAAATAAATAAGGGTTCTGAATATTGAAGAGACCATAATCAAGTTCTCAATATATAGGATTGAATAAATTCTTATAAGGAAATTTGCAGCTAGACTCAAGGAGCGCCTACGACGTATCAGCTGCCTTACGGGGATATCTCCCTGTAGTGATGTTGTGAAGTGGGCGAGATCGTCGTTTCTGTCTTTCGTCTCCTAGGAACTCCAATTGACTAGTCAACGGTCAGTCGTCCCGGGAGCTGACGCAAAAAGAGAAAGAATAAGAAAATGACATTTTGAACCCTAGAATGTTTCTTCTTGTGAGCAATAACAGGGCGCGGTCATTGTTTCCCTAGTGTCTTCTTCTCACTTGAAAAATACCCTTATGGAAGTGGGCAGATCCTGGTTCCCCTAGTGAGACTTAAAGGGATGCAGTCGAACTGTTCTGAGTCTGCAGTTGTTGAAAAATGTTTCCGGAGCAGAATAGACTTCGCTAACAAGGCAACATCCGCGAGAAAAGAAACCAAGGAACCGGGACAATCATGTCGTCTACACACCCCATTGCTCACACTATCTTGAACACAATGGACTACCTCCGGCTGTCTCGGAAAGATGAGCCTCCAATAGATTTGACTGGGCACCTATTGCCGTTTCTTCCGATGATTCCATTCCTTTTACGCTGAGGCTGAACAACCCCAAGGCTCGGCATCAAGTGAGACACCCTCCTCGGGGGTCTAACAAGTCTGTAGAGAGCAATCTGACATCATCGTGAATTTTCATGACAAAGACTTTCATGTTCTTCGGTAGGCTTATTCCCAATAGAGCATTAAATAGTACGGACGTGTGGGCACTTTCGAGAGGCATAGATCAGTCCATGAACCATTGCACTTTAGTCCAGGTCTTAGCTATTTCTCTGGGGCATTTGACAAAAGCAACAATACCGTTGGATCATACTGGCATATATGCTCGCAGAGTCTTAATTGATAATGCATGATGGATTCTAGTGAACCTGGGCCCAGAGATGGTCCACAGAGTGGAATAAATTCTTCCAAAATGTCTATTCCGACAACGGCACCTGCTGAAGTTTTAAAAATGAGCTGACGTAGCACTTCTAACGATTCTGAGCTTAGCCAGCGATTTCCGGGAGGAATTCAATAGCCGGTGATGACATGGTGTTCTAGTCATCGCGGAGTTGTAACTGCGGGTGTAACTACTTATGGTGGTGTGTAAGATATATCCAGATGGGGACTATGAGTGACGAAAAGGGATGAGCTGCCCAATGCCCATGACTAAGTCGGGTGCTTACTTGCCTTTCTTACTGATCACGGCTATACCAATACGGCTACGTCGTGGAGATTTCAACCAGTCAGAGGAAATGCAGTGCAGAATGGAATATCAAAGCGATTCTGTGCCCCTTACCGACATCCGGTATTGATGGTGTGGGCAGCAATCTGCGAGACGTGGAAGATTTCATCAGAATTTGCTGGAGTCCGACAACCGAGGAGCACCGATGGCTTCATGACGAAAGGGAAGGCTGAAGCCCTTCCGCAAGCGACATTCGAAAAGTATAAAGCTTCGCCTCGTCCGCGACGAACATCTTCCTCAACCCATCACCTCATCAATCACGCCTTCACTCCAATCAAATCCAGTTCACAAACACTACAGAGCTCAAAACCTTATAACATTCTTCTACAAGATGTATTTCACTCGTGCCCTCGTCTCCCTCGGCCTTTTCGCCACCGCCACGCTCGCTTGCACCTCAGGCGAGTGGGGATGCGGCAACCAAAACGGAGTTCAAGGACCTGATGGTGCCGTCTATGTCTGCAACGCATCCGGCAACTGGGTTCTTTCTGCTCAGTGCGGTGGAAAAGATTGCTGCCAAATCAGCGACGATCACACCAACGCTCACTGCATCTGCTAGAGCAGTGCGAGATGTACTGTTCTCGATTGCGGAGTTCCTCGTAAGCATCTATATCTGAGTATATGAGGCTTCAGCTTTCATATTTTGAGAAGCATCTCAATTGACCAACCAATATTATTATAGGAAGGTGGCTTGATCAACCATCATTCGGATGAGCATTTGCGAGGGCCAGGCACACAAGATTAGAGCGCCAACATTATTTACTTTCATCCCGTGGAGGACACGCTCTGAGACAAAAGCCAACATGTGGCACGGTTTCTTTTCATCATCTCGGCATATCTGGTAGAGTAGGCCTACGAATATGGACGCTCGTTTGAATCCCAATTGAAGACCATTGTGCATCCAGGCCCTCATGTGACAAACCTTGTTTTTTAATCCGCCCGAAATTACTCAATTGCGTATATTAAGAGAAGAGGCTTGACCGAGTAGAACGGTGTGTCCAGTAGGCCAACATGCTATCGCTAAAATAGACCATACGGATATCGCCCAGTAGCGGGGATGGGCTTCATCGGATCAGACCTTCGAAATCGGATCGACTTGAATGAGAATCTACTAAAAGCCTCGTCGGACATAAATCCGGTTGGCCGTGAAGTTTCATCAATAGGTTGATCCTCAATAAAGAACAAAAAGCCCCAAATTGAAACAACACAGATTCCAGCCCATGCAAAATTGTCGAACATTCTTGTCGAAAAAATACACTTTATTGAACAGGAGAATGGTAATCTTAATCATAGTTTCTGGCATGTTAAGTATGACAGAGGAGAGCTATATTAGCTGATTTAAAGTTTCACATTCTATTATTTTAGCTCCAAGTGCCTCGAGAATGCTATGTGCTCTCTTGACGTGGAAGGTTTGTATAAACGGCGAGTGAATATTGCATCCTTATTGCGGCGTCTATCGTATAACGATTTATACCAGAACTATTAGCATCCACCCAAACCACAATGCTGAGACAACGAGTTGTGACCCAGGTCACAATGAGTGAAACAATGAGTTGTGTCGCTTTTCGATAAGCCATGAACCGGATATAAGTAGCAACGCCGGCCAATAGCAGGAACACAACGAAAACAACGATCGAACTGGTGGTTGTAGCAGAGATAACTCCGACTGAGTCGTTCGCGGCCATTTTTCGGAACTGGTAAGGGTCTTCGTAGATCAAGAAGAACGGAGAATAAGAAGAAGAGGAGAAGTGCCGTGAGTGGGGGACCCCAAGCAAGATCAAAGGGTTCGAGAATTATCAAGGCCTGATATCTATGCAGTATGGCGTAAGCTTTTTGATAGCTCCAGTGATATACTGAGGGTTGGCCACCGATCCTTCATCTGAATTCCTTTCAGTACGAATATAATTGATTCGTAATGTAGACTCCAAATTGCAGTTTGCTTTTCATCAGCACTAAATAATTTCCGGCGCGGTATCTGAGAAGTCGGTTACTGATGCTCCAATGCGAGGGCAGCTTGCCGATAGTAGTCTGTTACAACCTGTCCAGAGAATTGCCAGAGCAGTGAATAGCGGCGGGTTGTGGGCGATGGTGAGAGTCAGAATTGCTTGCCAGTAGGCTTATTCTGGACCGCACAGTCCAACATCCGGGCATCTACTCACTGGTTGATTCTTGATTGCCACCATGTGGCATGATGCACGCATGGGCTGGATCATCAACAGTGCGGATCTTGTTGGCTGTAAGGAAGTTAATAGTGTAACATTGATCCAAAATTATGTGGATATGCTTCGCAGGTGTCGTTGTTGGTTTGATAGCCTGGCTGTCTGGGAACTGAGGGATAGGGGAAGGTTCCACCTAGATCTGTTGGTTGGCCGAATACTCGCACGCTAGTGGCTCCAGTTGGAACCAACAGACATTTGGACCTCCAAGGATTCATTTGTATCTTACACAAACGACGACGATCTCTCAATCAGCCCGCAACCCCAAGGTAGCAATGCTTGGTAATCCTGTCACATGGATTTGGTCGGAGAACGTCCGGACGAGTATATTCCATTGACTTCCTGGTGCTTAGAGGTACTCGGATGCTGGCGCTTGAAGGTCACGCAGTACCTGGGTGGGTAACTGATGCGACTTCGTCCAAAAGAGAAACCGAACGTGTACGCATAATGATGGACAGACAGGCTCGTGAGGCTGGCATATTGCAGTTCCAAATACTCCAGCTGACACCCTTCCTCCAAGCGCTAGCACTGTGTCTCCTTCGCCTCTTCGATCCCAGCAAAATGTTGGTGCAAGGATGTAACTAAGCGATTATGAACTCATCTAGCCACAGCCGTCGTAGTGCTGACAGACCGCAGACGATGCTCCTTGTATTCGTTCGTCAAGAACCGTGATAAGGCCCTCTCTCGGTTGCGGATGTACACTCAGTCCATGTTACTCATACCATGATCATTGCGGAACCTCAAGTAACGACAGAAGAGCACTGAATCTTGGAGCACCACCATCATGACCACGCAAGACAACAACAACGATTCCTCTGCGGCGCCCAAAGTTGACTATGTGTTCACTCGGGATTTCCTTGATAACAATCGGTGCGCGGTGACTCCTTGGGATTCGAGTATGAACTGCTGACCGAATTCAAGCATCAACTTGATGCATACCTTGTGGTCCAAGATCTTTGGCTACAATGTCCATCCCAAAATTCCCACCAACCGCCCAGGCCTGCGAGTGGCAGACGTTGGCACGGGCACAGGGTACTCTCGACTTCCAGGTGCACCCCTCTGCGGTTTCCTTCACTGACACATTCGTACCAGCATCTGGCTCTTCGATGTCCGTGAGTTGGTCGACCCATCGGCCCGCCTGGAAGGCTTCGATATCTCGTTTGACGCCGCACCCCCCACAGAGACATTGCCGTCCAATGTGTCATTCAGGCACTGGGACGTGAACCATGACTTACCAGAGGACCTTGTGGGCGTATTTGACCTTGTCCACGTGCGCTTTTTTGCGTTTGTTCTGATGAACGACCAAGTGCAGCCTGTTGTCAAACGCCTCTTCAATATGCTCAGTATGTCCATATGTCCATATGTCCACATGCTTGTTGATCTGCCCTAGGATTGTACTATGCCCGGCGGGTTGCGTGTATTACTTTTGCTGACGACCAATGAACCAGAACCTGGCGGCTATCTCCAGTGGGGCGATCCAGACTTCCAGTCAGTTCGTTTCGACAAGACGAAGCCAGAGATTAAGGCAGAGGCTATGGCCGAGATGTTCAAATTGCTGTCTGTACAAGACCCGCGTTTCAAGCCAACTTGGGTCGCGAATCTGCCAGGGATCTTTACTACCGCAGGTTTCGTGGAAACAGAGGTTGACAAAAACGACTGTCCACCCCATATGGCGTTTATGCTGCACGAGTGTGGGTTGATGATCCACGAGCTGATTTATCGCAAAACCAAGAACGAAACAATGCAGAAGGAACTAGGCCGTCTGCTTCCTCTAGCAGTGGAAGAGACAAGGAACGGTGTATACACGACCGCCGTACGTTGGACGGTGGTTGGAAAGAAGCCCGAGGCTTAAACTGCGAGATTACAATATTAGGAGCTGTAAGCAAGTCTCAGGTGCATTTTCCGATAGTTTTGCAGAAAGCGTGAGGATTTTGTGTTACGTGCCTGGGAATCTCATATCTTGAGAAGATCAATGTCAACATACTAGTACCAGAGGACTTCACATGCGATCAAATCGCAGAACAATTGGGAGAATGATTAATTGGTACTTAACAGCCATTAATTAATGTCCTTTATGTGCTTCTAAAGGTCTAGTCTACAAGAGGTCGTATGGTTTTGCGAGGCCTGACCACCCCAAGTCAATGCCATTAGCAGACAACAAATTGCGCCAATGAAAAGAGCGGTGCCGCCAGCGTCCATACGTCGAAGGTTCTCCCCAAGAGGGAGAACACGCTCTTTGGAACTGGACTTCGGCGGAATGGGTACAAACAGAAAAGCAATCAAAATAAGGGCAGTCCCTGCGGGAACGTTGTTGAAAGAGACGTCAGTACAAGGAGCTTGTGAGAATCAAAAATCCAGAAAGAATTTCGGAAAACCGACATCTAAAAGCACCAGCCTGGGCAGAAAATCAGTAAGTCTCATAACCGTGATGCAGTGTGGGACGATGCAGTGTGGGACGATGCAGTGATGTTGCATACGCCAGTTAACATATTCAGTGATAGCGCCACCGATGACTGGGCCAATGCAGACACTGATGCTCATTGCGCTAACCACGATTCCTTGGAAGGCTGGCACTTTCTCAGAAGGACGATATATTCGATGATCGCTAGAGCGCCCTGGAGAAGCCCTGCTGCACCAACACCGAGTAGTACACAACCAAAAACGAGAACAGCGGACGACGGGCTGGCGGCGGAGACAGCGAACCCAACTTTTCAACATGTCAGCCTGCGATCTTTGAGAATCTTAAGGAAAATCGGGCCTGAAATTGCTTTCGAACACCACCAACGAGACTAGGTACACGATCTTCGCATTGATGTATTTGTAGAGATTGCCAAAACCGGGCTGAAAAGCTATGACTATGAGAAGGTGGGCTGATCCGTACCAAGAGACATCACTTAGTGATCCACTGGCATTTGTGTCAGGTCAAATTCGGATTAAAGCGTATGGGAGAGCAATCGCCTCACAGTTCTGTTCTGATGCTAGGAATAGCAACGCCAATGATGTTTACATCCAGACCGTTGAGAAAAATGCCGAGACATAGCGCAATGATGGCAATTACTAGTCTCTATGAATGAAGACATGGAGTGGATTGGATATCCTCTGACGTGTCGGGGATGGTCTCTGGCATTTTTGCTCGTGTCTGTCCAATGGCCACAGCATGCATGCCTGGGCATTTGCTTGAAGTTCTATGTCCTGGGACTTGCTTTAGAGATGGGAAGTCAATCTGCCAGGGAGTGCCTTGTATACAGTATGCAAGAGAACGGGAACGGTGCTCATGATGCATCGTGCCTGGTCTTGCGATAAGGCTTCAACTAGACCCGCGGACGCGGCTGTGCGGCCCACCGGCTGCCAGCGATGGCCTTTTGCGGCTAAAATCAGAACAATCCACAGACCCCGCGGGCGGGAGAACACAGCTGCACTTTAATTTTAGGGTAGTATCGCCGTGGTATGTTGGTTGCATTTGTATTGGAGAGCCCCGTAACACATGACACGCATTCGTCATGTTGGTGCCGGGGTTCGGCCATCATGTCTCCACGTAGATGCGACTTTAAGTTCCAGCTGAGATCTCCACGGGCGTCATTCCGCTTTCGCGTTGACCTGGTCTAATTATGGAGGCGCACAAATTCGGGTTCAAGTCTGGCTGTTCCCTATCCCATGGCTCGTACTCTGGGGGGTGGAGTTCAGTTGTTCCGCACGATCATCATATATCCCAAAGCCTGTTCACCTGACCTCCGCAGCAGACACAACATTCGGATTTGCAGACTCAATGCGGCGTCGCCAATCATACCCCTATCAAGCTGAAACGATGTTTTTGCCAATTCTGAATCCGAGGGCTGACGAAGCATCTTCTTCTGCTACCTTTGACTCTCATCCCCCTCCCGGCGTGGCTCGTGGAGCTTTTCTTGTCAGTCTTGCAATCACCCAACCACTGCAATGATGAGATACTTACCACAAGCCGTTCAGGGTATCGTATGGGCAGGAGCTTGTCTATCATGCATTTTTCTTGTACTTCGTTTGGTGTCACACCTACGCGCAGGAAGTCGGAAACTTTTCTTGGACGATGGACTTGCAGTTCTTGCATGGATTATCGTCCTTGTCACAGCAGCGCTGTGGCAATGGATGGTGTATGACATGTACTACATACTGAACATCAGTGCAGGCTTGGCAGCCCCCGATGCAAACTTCTTCCCGAGGCTTATCGTCTTTGCTCGAATACAGGCCGTTGTTGAATTCTGCTTTTACACTACACTGTTCGCCGTGAAGCTTTCATTCTTGTTCTTTTTCAGGAGGCTTGGCCAAAGGGTTCAGGGACAACAGTATATTTGGTGGCCTGTTCTGTTCTTCTCTGTGGTCAGTTATGTTGTCTCCGTTGGCGACATCCAATTCATCTGCGAGCTCGGCCCGGCAGAAACTCTGGTTACGTACTGTAACACGGATCCTGCGACGAGTTTTGCAGTGGCCACATTGAAAGCTAACTGTGCACTCGATGTCTTTTCAGACTTTCTGAGTATGTCTGAACTCACGTGATGAACTTCTTTGTATGGGCCAAGGCTGACTAAGATGTCTCTAGTAATTTTGATTCCGATCTCCATCCTTTGGAATGTGCGGATTCCCCGGGGTAAAAAAGCTGTGTTCGTCGGGCTGTTCTCACTTACACTCATCACAATCCTTGTTGCAATTGTTCGGGCTGTGAATATCAGCTTATCCAGGCGAGGAGCAGCGCGAGAAGACACAACTTCCCTGTGGCTTTGGAGTGCGATACAGGCTCCTCTTGGTATGAAATTTCCACATGTGTCTCTCCCTCGCGCGGTTCAAGAAGTCTCTCTGACACATGCCTTTGTTCTCTGCTGGCAGCTGTGATTATTTCCTGTCTTTCTTCTTTTCCGCAGCTTTTCAGCCAGGGTGATACAAAAAGACAGAAGCCTATATGGACGCCTACGCATACGTACTACCAAAGACTCAGATTACGCATGAAAGCAACTCCCAAAGAAAGCGGCACGTCTCAGGACCGGTCGTCTATCATTTCAATGCCAGCACAGTTCTCGCCTGAATTGAACAGCAGCAGAGTTTTGAACGGGCAACACACGCAGTACACTGTTTCGTTCGATAGTCTTGAGATGCAGCCCGAGAGACTAGAGCAGATCTCGCAGCCCCATCAAGCTGAGCCGGTTAACGTGGTCATGCCCCAACCTACTCATCAACAAGATAGTCTGGCTGTGTCGTCTTTTGGAGTGTGGCCTGAAATTGGCGCGGATCTGCCGGAGAAGAACCAAATCACGAAGCACGTCACTTATAGTGTTACGACTGAGCCTGCAGAGTTGCATTGCCACGACGACCAAGGGCACGTGTGATGAAGGGTGAATGAGAATCAATATACACGCACTCCGTACCAGGCAAGTCTCCCTACGCGAGCTCAGCTCACACGAGGAATGCCCGAGACATGGTGTAGAAAATGTAATCAAGATGACATGTTTTGGCATGCAGAGTGAATAAGGACACTGGCAGAGAATACACCAAAGCAAAAATTGGACAGCCGGTAGTTTTAACAGGTTTGAGGTTGATCCGCGCACAAATAGCTGTGGATCTGACTGTCTAGCCACACAGACTGAAAGGCCTGCCATGTGTGAACTCGCCGGGGGCACCAGACCTCACCTGAGAGTTCGACACCATATTGCAAATCAGCAATGCAACTTAGGGACGCCTAATCTGTCAGCTCGTGGAGACATCAGGCAGATGGGGTTAGGCCAAAGTAACCCTGGGAACCCTGCTTGCATCAAGGGTGACTTCGGATGGTGCGGCCCTGATCAAGTGGAATGAATTGAATTGGCGAAGTGCACAGTATGAACCACGTCTTCCTTCACATGATACATGCCTCAAATTTGCACAGTATATCCACATCAATAGCGGTGAGCCTATTGGTGGGCTTGCCGCAGCCTGTTGCTAGCCTTTCATGCGGTTAGTTGCCCTCACTGACTGCTGGTCTTTCTCTCGTCCTGGCGGCATTGCACGCTGGCTCCAGCGCTATCCTGATCCTTTCTACCTGTTGCTATAAAGCTTCAATTCCAGTGCAGCTTCCACTGGCCAACTTTGCGCTACATTTAATCTGCTTGTATTAGACAACAGGCACTCTTCAATTGCCTACTTGATACGCCAGCCACCATGCATATCCTGTCAGCCGGAGCCCTGGTGGTCTTTCTCCTCGTCCTCGGACTGGTTCTTCACTCGGGCTTTTGTCTAGCTTTAAATTATTTTGAGGCCTCAAAGGTCGGCGTACCGATCCGGGTACTCCCAATTAGCCACAACAACCCGATATGGATGTTACTCGATCGTCCTGTCCTTTCATTTGTGAGGCGTCTCCCATTCGGACTGGGTGACAACAGCTTTACCAGGTACAACTTCCGTGCCTGGGAGATTCATGACAGATATCGTTCTCATCACGAGATGGGCGACGTCTGGATGCATGCCACCCCAGTGAGGAACTGGTTGTACGTTGGGGACCCTGAAACCGTTACAGAGATCTGGAAGAGAGGAAGGGATTTCCCACGAGAAACCACGGCGACTGGTGAGCACTCTTTTGAACGAAAGCTTATGATTTGTCTCCGAACTGACTTCGGCTATGAACGACCACAGCGATGCTTGACGTATTCGGTGAAAACATAGCCACAGTTGGTCTATATTCGATCACCAGCAGCCCCTAAACTCTCCTATTCCCACATGCTGACTAGCCGCTTTAGTCACAAGGGGAGCAGTGGCGCAGACACCGAAGGCTCGTGAATAACTCTTTCAACGATCAAAACAATCGTATTGTCTGGTCTGAGAGCATTAATGTGGCGTCCGATGTTCTGCAATACTGGATATCTCAAAAGGCAGTGAAGACGATCGCTGACGATACTCGGACACTGGCCCTCCACGTCATGTCACGGGCTGGCTTCGGAAGGTCTTTCAAGTTCCAAGGCCGGGGGAAGGACGACGGGAACGCCTCAGACGGCCCAACTATGAACTACAAGGACTCCCTCAAAACGATACTGGATAATTGCGTTCTGATCTTCGTCTTTGGCCCAAAGTTCTTGGGTAAGACTTGGCTCCCGAAAAAGCTCCGAACTCTACACAAAGCATGTGTTTCTTTCCAACAGCACATGACGGAAGCCTACGAAGAAGAGAAGCGCGTCTTGGGCGCTGGTCAGTCCCAACCAGCACACCAAAACTTCCTCACTCTGCTTGTTCGTGCATCACAAGGCGATGACCAACAAAATGGCAGCAATGCCTACCTTACGGAGAGTGAGATTTATGGCAACATGTTCACTTTCAACTTCGCTGGGCATGACACTACAGCACACACTCTCACGTTCGCTCTTTACTTCCTGGCAGCTTTCGCAGAAGTGCAGGACTGGATCCATGAAGAAATCCGTCACGTGGCAGGTGCGCGGCGTACGCAAGAAACGGAGTACGAGATCGACTTCCCGAGGTTGAAGCGTTGTCTGGCCGTAATGCTGGAGACACTGCGTATATATACGCCTGTTCCGACGTCCAAGTTCACCGGTTCCAGTGCACAGACTTTGAAGGTGGGTAGAGGAGGGAAGACGATTGTTGTTCCACCTATGACCATGGTCCTTCCCAGTTACGCGGCACTCCAGATGGATCCGAAATGGTGGGGCACCGACTCACTTCAGTGGCGCCCGTCTCGTTGGATCGAGGAGCAGAATAGCGGTGCAGGCAGATATGGCCCAGGGGACGAGGAGCTCATTACACCTCATCGAGGCTCATACGTTGCCTGGTCTGGAGGTGCTAGGGACTGCCCAGGAAGGAAGTTCTCGCAGGTCGAGTTTGTAGCAACACTAGCTACGCTATTCCGGGAGCATCGTGTCGAACCGGTTCCGATGACGGGAGAGACACCCGAGGCCTCAAGAAAGAGGGTGCTGCATCTCATCGAGACGGACTCTGCGCCAGTCCTGCTTTTGCAAATGCTGCATCCCGAGCGAGCACCGCTGAGGTGGAGACGCAGGTGATCAAGTTAATGTCTTTCTCAGTACAACATCGAGGTAAACAGAGTTACTATCCCGAACAACATAATTTTTGTTTTCCGAAGCATTACTCCGATCGGTGTAAATGGATGCGCGGGACGTCACAAATCTGAATCCATTATAAGCGATGTCTTGGGCGGATTATAGATATTTAAAATGTGCACTCGATTCTATTGATCACTGACTGTGCCTGGTTGAGAATTTCCGGCCTAGAGCATCACCCAGGCGCTGTATCGCTGGCTCAAGCTCATCCCTTGGTGCAGCTGCAAAGGTCAATCGAAAGTAGATGCCACAACTTTCATCGACAACTGGGACGAACCAGCTCCCTTTACTAATCAGCACACCACTTCGTCGCGCCTGAGAAAAGATTTCCTCCTCTAGCTGCAAAGCACGGCGCCAAGCAATGTCATCTGAATCTCCATTCAGAACATGTGTTACTTTCGAAGAATCAATCTTGATCCATAAGAACATGCCGCTTGTAGGAACAGCCCAAGAGCAAATGTCCAACGGAAGGAAGCGCTCACATGCCTGGAGTAGAAGGTCTCGACGCTCCCTGTATTGCAGCGATAGCGACAAAAGCCAGCGAATAAATCCTTCGTGGCCCCAAGTTTGGTCCAGCAACTTATATAACATAGCTTGCGAAGGGCCGCTTGGTGACAAGACGCCAACTTCCGAGTAGGACAGAAACTTGCGAATGACTTGGGAAGAGGCAGTTATCCACCCGCAACGTAATCCAGGTGCCAGAATCTTGGACGTAGTATCCATACGGATCACACGGCCGTCAACATCCAAGGAGAGGTATGAGTTTGGTAGATGTGCCAGATACTCATCCAGGGACGTTGAGTCTGTTTCTAGATCAGAGGGCCCAGGATATGGTCCGAGGTGGAGGAAGTAATATGGGTCGTCTTCGAGTATGTACAGGTCATGCTTGGCTGCTACCTGATATATTTCCCTTCGTCGTTTGTTACTGTGTGTTATACCAGTAGGGTTTTGACCTGTGGGGATCATATAGAGCAAGAATGGTTTCGGGCCCATCTCAAGATCCCAAGCATCCAACTGCAAGTCCAAGTCGCCAGGTATGACGCCGAAATTATCTGTAGCCACATTAAGAATCTTGAGACCTTGGGCTTTGGCAGCAGAGATGGTGCCGGTGTATGAGTATTCCTCCATAAGTACAACATCGCCTGGGTTGCTGAATATCCTAAAGCATATCTCTAGAGCTGAGGTAGTGCCACAAGTGAGAGAACTCTCCCAGTCATTATATGGCGGGTTGTGAATCATCTCAATATGCTCAGTAACGAAACGGAGAACCTGAGGAGATCCGGCAGAGTAACCATAGTTCATGGCTACGGAGAGGTCGTATTCCTGCTCTCCTTTGGTACAAGCCGTCGACACAGCCTCCGGAGTCTTGAATGGGCCGCTAGAAGGGCAACGCATCTCAATCGACTCCCATGGAAAGTACTCAGGTGATGGCCGCGCAGTGCCTAGTGTGATCATGCTAAGCGGATCGGAATCCCTCGAGGCTACCTTGAGGGGCGAGTCTGTTTGAATCAGACTGTTTGCACTGAACCGATGACTCCAGCATTTCGCGTTAGGTTTTGTGTCAAGCGGGTGGACTTTGAAAAATTCTGACGAGGTATAAGGGGCTGCTCCCGAAGGAAGAGGTTGAGCCCTTTTTCGAGCTTCCTCTATCTCATCCAATCGTCGGCGAAACATGGTGAGACGACAAGACAGCGTAGGAAAGGTTGGTGGCAGAAAGGGAGAAATGTCAGATGATATTTGTTGGTCGATAATCATTGGAGGCTCGAGCGACTTTGTTGCATATATGGAGGACAAGAGAGCTATGATATATAATTCAAATTCTATGTTGTAATATGACCATTCATTGAGGGATTGCCCTTGACAATTATGTTCCTACCCTCGCACGTACGACATCGGCATCACGGCGTATGAAGGGGAACGGAGCTAAAGGCTGCTTAGCTTCGAACTCGGAGCGGAGTGGGTGACCCAAGTCGCCGGAAAATGGGCGGATCACGTGATCTTTGTCCGGTACTCCGACTGAAAGCCCCGTTCATCGAAGTTTACCCCGTTGCAGTTCAGTTCAACGAACTCGATCCACAACAAGATTTTGAGATGGCGACCAGACAGGCAGCTTGTGAGCCCTGCCGCAAGGCAAAAGTCGCCTGCGACCACATGTTACCGTGTAATCGTTGTGAAACCAGTGGCAAGGGCGAGAGCTGCATCTACAGGACGCGGCCCTTCAAGAGAAAGCATCCGGAGATGACTTCGCGCGTGATTGAGACTCCACAGTACGTAACCCGGAGAGATGAGAAAAAAGACGCCAGTTACTCATAATGACTTCTCCGTCTTAGTCAAACTCCTCCTGCCCCGTCCACGGCTTCTCCTGTCCCGGCACGTAACACGTATCCAAACCCTGGGTACCTGGGCTACTCCAGCCATGCCACCATCTTCAATCATATCCCTTCCGATACTCCAGGGACCCCTGGACCTAGCAATAGTGGTTCTACAGTCCCGAGGACTAGTCCCCTACATTCAACACGAAGGGAAGACCCGGTGATTCAGTGCGGAGCAGATTTGATCAAGCGGGCTGTTCTGACTTACAAATTAAGTGACCTCCAGGGCTTGATATCATTTTGGCTGGCGTTCGGTGTGAACCTGGCCCTCGGAGAACCCTTGGTCGAGCTGTGTGCTGCAACCATGAGTCGGTTCTGCCAGAATCTGACCGAGGAGAATAGCACCTGGTTCTATACTCAATCACGGCTTTTGTACTACAACTCGATGCGAAGGTTAAAGTACAGTCAAAACACCAGCCGAGCCCAGTTCGACGCTCAGTACTTGGATGATAGCACAAGGTGGGAAACAGTGGGCTTCTTCTTCACAGCTGTGGCTCGTGCCACGTTCGATGTCAAGTTCTATCCCTCTTTATACAAGGATGCGGCTGAGCTACTCGGGCTCAGAGAGTTTGCTGCAGACATCAGTGACTCTTGCCTAGACTTATGTCTCAAGTTGGACTGCATGAATGATTTACAGCTTGTGCTCCAGTACGAAAACTTCATCATTCATTCCTGCGTTGATGGAGACCAGAGTGAGTGCGTCCCCAAGGCATGCAGCATCATCTTGTGTCTCACCTGTGTCAAGGCTATACCTCATGGCGAAGGCTTGGGGATGTGATCGCTTCTGTATATGCCCTTGGCTATCATCAAAAGATTGAGACAAATCGCCACACACCATTCTTTCTTGCCGAGTTAAGGAGAGCAGCTTTTGCCACTATCTACTCAGCAGATAAGAATGTCGCCATATTCTTGGGGCGTCCACCACGAATGAGTAAGAGATTCTGCTATTTCCAAACACCCATGACAGAGCCACTTGATCAGTACGACACCGCGTACAAGTGGCCGCCGGGAGTCGAGATCAGCTATAGGGCAGAAATGCGTTGGTCTGCATTATGTGCTTGTCTAAAGGAAGAGGTCATGGAATTGTTATTCAAAAAGAGGAGCGGCGAAATTCTCGAAAAGGCAAGGTCAGTCATGAATCCATTTTGCAATGATCTCGCGATGGTAACGAAGTGTGCAGCTCAATAAGATCGCGGGCCATAGCACAATGGGACGCTTTGCCAAGTCATTTCAAACTATCTCGCAGTCTCAAACAAACTACTCAATCACCGTTCAGCAGAGACTTTCTGGCGAGCGTACGTTTAAATCATTTACATATTGTCTTCTTACTCAATCTACTATCACTTGATCGTCTCTCAGAACCCGATGAGGCTATGGTTGACGTTTCACAAAATATGCTTGGTTTGGTTTCAGAGGTTGTCCTTCTTCGTGATCAACTGGCAAATTCTGGAACCGGGCTTGTGTGGAAGGTAATTAAAAGACATTTCTGCCAATCCTTGAATCCCCTATTTACCAGGCTTTTAGGTTGTGTACTTTGGACTCCCTGCCGTGGGCATCATCTTGCTGTCTATGCTGAGGTGCAATTGTCCATTACCAGCTACAGTGCTGCAGAACCTCAACGTACTCGTAGCCGAGGTGGACATGGGTAGCCTTGTGAAGCAAGACGAGCCCAACTACGCTCTGCTCTCGCAAGTAACCCACACAATAAGAGCTTTTCTTGACTCTGTCAGCTTTGTGGGAAGACATGGGAGCTCGCAGTTGACGGGAGGAGCACGGTGGACGCAAGGGGCCGAGTTGCTGTCGCCTCATATCGATTTGGCCAACCTGGACTTCGAGATTGAGTTTTGGCAAAATCTTGCAGGTTATTCGTCTTTTCTAGAGGATGACCCAGCAGGCTTTGTTTCACGGTAGCTCTTAGTGGACTGGAACAGAACCATATATCAAACCGATTCGCGGGAATGGTGGTCATTGAACCTCTGTTATTCTGGCCGCAGTGTCTTTGACTTAAAGCCAATGTACATTAGGTTTTTGAGCTTTATACGCAGCTCATTGTCTGAGACCTACTCATTTTCCCTGAAGATGATACAGGAGGACTAGTGATCACAGGCAACAACAAGCATGCAATGTGCGCCAGCGTTAAAAAGTACACCTGATCGCTAAATTTACTTGGGTGAATTGAGAATGTATTCCTCAAGGTCCCATCTGCTAGTGCAAAATGATCGAGTTGTTGCGGCCGGACGATTGTTCAAGTTCGTAGCGTATAGTCAAATTTGGTAGAGTTCTCACCGAAAGAGGGATCGCTCCGAGAGATGACTCCGATTTCGCCGCCCCCAAATCTCTCTCCGTATTCCACAGTCCGTGCTCTCTCCGGTTCGCCGACTAAGAAGAACAGGTCGTTAGAGCAGAAAAGTCACAAAGAAGACCGGTCAACCAATTCGGCGCTTGCCAGCAGTATTAGTATAAATTTTCTATTTTTCTCATTCGTGGCCATGACCCATATCTGTTTTTTTTTCAGCAGATATCTTCTCACATGCCGCACTGCACCCTACCATGTCGAATACAATCAAGCTCGCCGAATATCTATTCACCCGTCTGCGCCAACTCGGTGTTGAGTCGATCCATGGCGTTCCAGGTGATTACAATCTAGAGCTTCTGGATTTTGTGGAACCATCTGGGCTTCAATGGATTGGAAATACCAACGAATTAAATGCTGGGTATGCTGCTGATGGTTACGCCAAGATCAAGGGCATCGCCGCTCTCGTCACGACCTTTGGCGTTGGCGAATTGTCTGCCATCAACGCTATCGCGGGAGCGTATACGGAATTTGCACCAGTAATACACATAGCGGGTACACCCCCGAGATCAACTCAGGAATCTCGAGCGCTAGTTCATCATACGTTCAATGATGGCGAATATGGTCGATTCAGCCAGATAAACGCACATGTTACAATTGCACAAGCCTCGCTTTGGGACCCGAGAACCAGTGCAGAGCAGATCGATGCAGTTCTCCAACAATGCCTCATCCACCACCGCCCCGTCTATATTCAAGTTCCCGTCGACCTTGTCGCTGTTTCCCTACCAGCCGAGCGACTCAGGACTAAGATTATGGTGCCCGAAAGTCTGCCGTCCACGCTAGAACAAGTACCGACTGTTGTGAGTAAGGTTTTGGAGAGGATGTCCAAAGCAAGGCGACCCATTATCTTAGCCGATGGTGAGATGCGCCCACTTGATATTGTTCAGGATGTGCAGGCCTTCGTTGACGCAACTGATTGGCCCACCTGGACGACGCCCTTTGGCAAGGGTCTGTTAAATGAAACGCGGCCAAACTTTCACGGCATCAACAGGGGGAGGTTCGATGCCATCAAGGTGCAGGAATTCATCAGCAAGGCTGATCTGGTCCTGAATTTTGGACCACACCACAGCTCTACCAATACGTACGGTTACTCCAATATCCCAGACACCGCTATTACTATCTGCTTCTCTCGCGACGGTGTCAAAATAGGCAATGACCTTTTCCACGACTTACCGACAAAATCTATACTATCTCAATTAAACGACCATGTCAACCTATCAAAAATCAAGCCATATAAATCTTACCCCGACCTTCCTCACAATTATTCCCTCTCTATATCTAATATACCCGCCGACAACCCGATCACCCAGGATAAGCTATGGAACATCTTAGCTACTTTCCTGCGACGCGGCGATATCGTCATGGGTGAGACGGGCACCCCAGGATATGGTGTACGAGAGATGCCTTTGCCACCAAAAACACGGATGTTTACTCCCGTTACGTGGCTCTCGATCGGCTACATGCTCCCAGCGGCGCAAGGGGCTGCTCTAGCGCAGCGCGAGCTAGGGGTTACTTACGAGCCTTATAGGCATGCGAGAACCATCCTATTCATCGGCGATGGCAGTTTCCAGATGACAGCCCAGGAACTCTCATCAATCATTCGTTATGACTTGAACGTGGTGGTTTTTCTTATTAACAACGACGGCTATACAATCGAGCGATGTATCCATGGGAGGAACCAGGGATATAACAATATAGCCAGCTGGCGTTATCTTGAGGCACCCAAGTTCTTTGGTGCTGATGAAGATACCTATTGTGCATCGGCAAGAACATGGGGAGAGTTAGACGGCGTGCTCAAGCACTTGAGCGAGGCCAACAAGCTTAGGATGGTTGAGGTTTTTGTTGATCGAGAAGATGCACCACACGGGGTGCTACAGCACTATCTGAAGTTGCAAAAAGATAAAGAGTAGATAATTAATGATCAAGGCGGAAAAAAGACTTGTCTAGAATTTTAATAGATTCAGGCTCTATATTTTCAAACAAGGGGATTTCTCTAGAACGAGATCTGCCGTGTTGTGCATGAACCTAGGAGCAAGACATTTAAAATCTCGCCAGCTCAGCCTTTGCTTTCATTGCGTCCTCCTCGGGAAACTTATTGATGATTTCTTTAAGTTTGACACAGACACTTTCAACTTTTGCCCTCCTTCCAGCATAGAACTTCGCGATTTCTGCAGGGTCTTCAGACCCTGGTGATTGAAGGCTGCCAAACCAGTCTAATCGGGCTTGCTTCAGCCAGGCGACTGTCTTTGCCTCTGCACTCCATCGCAGCCCGTTTTGATATGATTGAAGGCTGACAATGGGCCAGTCTATGGCCTTGTCGGGATGTGGGATGGCACGACAAAGTTCGTTCTTGACTTTGTCATCTCCATACGTGGCCTCGACGTGGGCGATGAAAGCAGCGCTGAACACTTGTTGGCAATGACGGACTGGCTGAAGAGTGATGCGATTGCCACTAAACACTGGCACTGGATCCAGTTTTGCTAGAGCATCGGAAGTGCAATCGATGTAAAGCGTGTCTGGTACGGGTTCGTGAGTGCCGGTTTCCAGCGTGACCTTGTCCACATCAAGGCGTAGGACTCGTCCCTGCCGTATTATCGTCCCAATTTTTTTGATCTGTTCGAGCTCGGGGATGGTGACCGTGGCACACTTGAACATGGTGGGCCACACCTTGTCATTCACCCGCATCAGCTCCCCGCAAGCCTCGAGCCGATGGAACAGGTCGTCTAACGACGAGGCCGACATAATCGCTTCATTAATTCCTGCGAGCCTGGCCGCGGTCTTTGCAGCGAACCTAGGCCCAGGCTGAAAACCGCTACGTTCAATGAACCATGAGTCGCGGGGCATGATCCACGAGATGTCTTTTGGATCAATCCCATTGGCTATGAGCCATAGACAAGCATCAATCCCCGTTTTACCGGCACCGACCACAGTATATCCACCATGAGGTCGTGAAACTTTGGGCAGATCGTTGGGTGTGATGAGACTCACGTCTTTCGCGACCTCGTAGGAAGGTGGACTCATGGCGGGGACTTTCACCTTCATGTAGGTGGCATCCACAATCCGGGTACTGTCTCCGACACGGATAACCTTGTTCGTAAGAATTGACCGGAACTCTCCGTCGCCCATATATTCGTGCTTTGGATAATACGTGACACGGCCAGATGGGAGGAAAGTCTGATGCATCACCTTGCTGTAGTAGGCACATATTTCATCCATAGTCGCCAGCTCGGCCATGCCTTTGTTCATTCCAACTTGATCAACCTTGTCCTCGCCAAGGGGCCGAGAGTTTACGCCGTAGAATGCAGACGGCTGATGCAGGCGTACAAAAGGATACGCAATTGTCCAATGACCTCCCGGGCGAGCGTAGCAGTCAACCACAGCCACAGTGGCGTTTGTGTCTGTAACCAGAGTATCAACAAAAGCCATTCCCATAGCGCCCGCGCCAATCACCAAGTAATTCGGCGAGATTGTTTCAGTCATTTTGAGCAGTATTGTTGTTATACGTGAGACTTATGTCGTAGAAAGACCAATAAAAGGAGGAACTGAAGCAATGTACTTCCAGTATCAGATTATCCTTCAAAGTAATGAAGAGGTTTGTGATCAGCACAGCACTAGACGGACGCTTATTTATTTACAAATGCTAGAGCCTCGCGTATATGTCAGCGACTAGGTCAGATCCAAGCTTGAGTACCTGGCACTTGCGACTCCGTTGGGCGCGGACGGTTGTAGCTTTTTACCGTACATAATGTCAGATATTGGATCAGACGATACAGTAAGCTTGCGTGCGGGGGACTTGCGGCTCCGTCGGGCGCACGGACAAATCTAGCTTCCGCCTTGTGCCGCTGTCTGTGTCAAGCGAAATGCTACCCCCACGCTGTCCAACTTCATTCACTCATACACTCGTTGAATCTCCACTTTGTATGCATTCGAAAGTCTTGGCTGTCCAGCAAAATACTGCCCCCCTGTCAATAAACAATCAATCCCATGTTCATATCTCAACTGATAAAATCTCAGCACATACATTTATTTTCAATCAAGAGTTTGATTTTGTACTTTGCTTATTGAAACTTTAACTTCGTGTGTCTTTTTAATTTTTAATATATATTTTGAAAGAGAAGAAACTTTCAAAATTGCAAAATTCGAATTCTTGAAATCGACTGACAGGGGCATCTTAAATACCGAGGCAGTACGTGATTACTATTCAGTTGAGTCCGCGTGTTCCGACTTTTCGGCCGTTCATCTGGTCTGCGCGTCTCTCTGCAACAAGATAATATCCCAACAATTCAGCCAAGCAAGACATCGTCACCACTTGACCACAGCATTTGCAAAGATGATCTGTCCCGCGTAATGAATTGTACGAATTTGGATAGGAGGTCGGCGGTAAGGAAGACGTCATTGGCTTACATGAGCACTAGATAAACATGAAATACTGGCTACCGGAGGTGGAGGACCTCCCACATGACCCATTCTTGGCGGGCCAAACAATCCTGACTTAAATCTCTACGCCTTGATTATTATAGACTAAATAAGGAGGGATTATATATATTGATGGTGGTGGGAAAGCCTGCCTGATAGAAGCCGTAAGACTAGGAGAGTTCCGCGCCAATTCTTTGAGTCGCTGAATCCCGTCTGCCTTTGGGCAAGGCAAGCTTAATACACTCCAAAGCCGCCTTGACATGATGATACTTATATCAAATGGCTTTGTTCACTTTCTCGTTTAGTACAACGCTCTCCGAGGACTGCACCTTGTGACTCTATTATCCATGCAATACATGTGTGAAAAGGCCAACATCTGGAAAAATTGACCGACCTTGATTTCCTTTTTCTTGTCTTTCTTTCCTTGTGGAGCATCTCCAAGCTCTCTTAGCAGAGCCTACAGGCAGTCGACAGTACACTATGTACAGAGCAGGGGCCGTGTGATGACTAAGCACCCTACTGCGGCGCTGTTAGTGCAACGCTCAGAGTGCTCCGTAAAACGTTCCGTTGTATCCTTCTTCTGTAGAGCACTCCAATCGAATGAATACCATGATAATCGATCTGATCCCTAGCCAGCTGTCATAATTTGGTAGCTAAAAACTACGTTCTGACCAGCGACCAGCGATGTTGGAGAAGATGCCCGCTTGAATCAGTTACGCTGTGCCCGAAGAAGCATAGCAGGACCAGCATCGCCAACCTCGCCGACCCCGGAAAGTTGTAACAGGAGGTAACGAATTTGCGGACCTACTAGTATCGCCATTACCGAAAAGGTGTGTTAGAAGGCAACAGATTCAAAACAAAAGGCACACCTTCAATCATTTGGTCTCAACAACCAATAAAAAACAGCAGATGGAGAACGATCGTGGAAAGGAAGGAACTGGTAGTGACGAGGACATCACGTCTTATCTTCATACGCGGCACTTGCGGCAGTGAATAAGGGGCGTATGCATGTCAAAATGCATACGTACATAAAAGACAGCCTTCTGGCAGCCCTTTGCGGCTTAGAATTCTAGCTACGCCTACTTCGAACACAAACATCGCAATTTTCATTAGAAGTACAAGAGCAGGTCTGGAAATTATGCCTACTATCTACTATTTAGAGGATAAAAAACGCGAGCCACTATCATGGGCTTGCTTAGTCTGAATGCCAGTAGTATGGTCCATGCTCCGTACTCCAACACCTGGGTCCGCGATCCTAGTCGAGTCTTGATAGAACAATACTTGGAAGCCGGAACACCTTGCTTCTCCAGCGCAGTGATCCTTTCTCCTCCCTGTCATACACGGGTAACACGTCACTGGCATTTTAGATTGCGGGGCCCCGCTTGTTTCGCTTCTCGTGCTATGGAAAGAGGTCTGCCGTGTGATCTCGAGAATGGATGGACGATGTGTGTAACAGGTGAATTTTCTTTGCGTCGCAAAAGATTTTCATCAATGTTTACTTGTGCACTGCGTCGTGGATCTCAGGGTGATCTGCGGGTGCTGGTTGGATGTTTATGCCGACTAGTCGGACTAGACGCTGCCGGCCTACAGTAGTACGTGTACCACTGGTTGACGTTGAGTCACCTTGACGTGGCATTATAGCCGAGTGATTTCTGGGTGGCTAATCAGCGTGATTGCGGGCATTTGCCGAATCCAAGTCACTTCGCGGACACGAGCCGAAGACGTTGGGCTTTTCTAGTGAGTGAGCCAGTTGCAGACCTTGGGCCTTGTCCCAATGTGCATAAGATGTAGAATTGTGGTCACATCCCACTCTAAAATCATTATCGTTATAAACTAGGCGCCAGTTGTTCTCCTTGAAGTTTGAAAGGCTTCTCGGCATTAATTCTTCGCGATGGCTACATTGATGAAGCGTCCAGATGAGATCCGAATTCTCACGGCCAATGGCATGCTAGGGTAATATTATACCTTTCTATCTCTTAACTGTGCCTTTAACGCTGAAATTCCCAGATACGGATACAAGCTCAATCATTTCTGGTTTGGCGTTCATGAATACCGGCCTGACGCCATCGTCATCGATTCTGGCAGCACGGATGGGGGACCTTTCAAGCTGGGCATGGGTCGGAAGACTGTTGCTGATGAGTCCTACATCCGCGACCTTACGCCTTTCATTACAGCCTGCGCTCATTATGGCATGAAACTTCTAATCAGTAGTGCTGGTGGCGCCGGAAGCAACAAGCATGTGGCTGAGATTCTCGCTATCGTTAACAAGATCATCGAGGACAACGGTTTCAAATTCAATATTACCACAATCGGTGCCGCGGTGCCCAAGGAACTCATCCGGCAGAAGCTTGAGGATGGCAAAATTAGCCCCTGTGGCCCGGTTCCTCCTCTCACCAATGAGGATATCGACTCAGCCGTCGACGTCGTTGCGCAAATGGGGCATGAGCCGTAGGTTTAACGAGTAACTAGCCGAGTCAACGATTGCTCATATTGTCTGCAGTTTCATTAAAGCTCTCCAGGAGGAGAAGCCCGACATCATCGTTGCTGGTCGCTCATACGACCCGTCGCCATTTGCAGCGTTCTGCATGAATCTAGGCATAGAACAGGCGCCCGCGTTTCATCTAGGCAAGATCCTCGAATGTGGTGGGATGTGTGCTATACCAAAAGGGCCCTCAATGATTGCTACGGTACGCAAGGACTCTTTTGACCTGACGCCCTTGAATCCTATTGCGAGATGTACACCCCTCTCGGTAGCAGCACACTCGCTCTACGAGAAGACAAGACCAGATCGGCTTCCTGGCCCGGGAGGTGTGCTCCATCTGGATCAAGCTCAATATAAAGTGCTAGAGGATGGCCGAACAACTCGCTGCTGGGGTTCTCGCTTCGTACCTACTCCGACGTATCAAATCAAGCTGGAAGGTGTGTCTCCCGTCGGCCACCGAGCAATTTTCATCGGTGGCTTCCGAGACCCCATCCTTATCTCCCAGCTTGATGACTTCCTCGAGCATCGTGTACGAAACTATACGCGGGGTCTTTTCCCAGAGCTGGATCAATCCGAAGACTGTCGACTCATTTTCCACGTCTATGGACGGAACGCCATCATGGGACCCTTAGAACCACACTCCGTGCCTGCCCACGAAGTTGGTGTTCTCGGCGAGGTCGTTGCTCCTACGGCAGCGAAAGCCATGGCCATTTGCAACAGTGCCCGGGTCTGCTGCCTGCACCTATACTACCCCGGCATCCTTGCTACTTCGGGGAACCTTGCCAGCCCTTTAACTCCACTTGAGCAAGACGCCGGTGCTGTGTTCAAATTCAGTCTCTATCACTTGATGGAGATCGATGACCCGACCGATCCAATCATCTTCCCGATCAAGTCCTCAAGCGTCGGATCTGGCACGTTCTCGAAGGATGACACCTTTGGGAAGCAGTACTACAACCGCGACGACTTTCTGAACGTGTCCCCAGAAGAGATCACGACTAAGTCTGTTCCGTCCGGTCTCACTACGATGAAAGATGTGGCAAGCGTCGTGCGATCTAAGAACAGTGGACCTTTTGAGTTGACTTTTGACATCATGTTTGATGATGAGAAGCATTATCAGCGCGTCAAGAAGGCCAATGTTCTCACCAATGAGACTATGAAGACGTTATATCAGATCAAAGATGAAGACATCGTTGTCAACATGTATTTCGATCCAGCACTCGCATGGAAGTGCACAATCAGACGGCCGTGGGCACAGGGAAGTGTGGGCGAGCGTGACACTCTGGGAACTGCACAACACGCACCTCTATTGTCCGTTTCTGTGCCTGCTGCTGAGACATGAGTCGTTGTTCAATAGTTGCTCGTTTTAAAAGTATTTATCTGTGGGAAGGCACTATAGCCTTGCCGCAAAATCCATCTGGTAGCTAAATTATTACAAAGTGTCTTCATTTTACCTAATACTCAGCTGTATTGATAGCAGAGCATAAAAATAGATAAATCAGGAATAGGTTGTTGCAACGAATCCCCAGAATAATGCTGAATACTTCTATTATTCTTGGCCTAGTTTATACATGTACATCTATGAAGTAAAAAATCCGTCAAGTTCCAGAGTCGCATCATCAAATCCTTCTATTAACTTCTTCAAAGAGGGAATTCACAGCGCTGTGTACCTGAAGACTTCCATATACATGAGTAGGCATCCAGATCAGCTGGTAATTTCAAAGTCTCAGCTACTCCCACACAGGGGTCCATCTGCGCCCAGTCGAAGGCCGTCTTCCCGTGGCTGTCCCTGTGGTCCACGCTCCCGCTATCTTCGACATCTCCCTGGCTTCCTCTGGCGTTGAACGGATTCGGATAAGGGCGTCTATCAGCTTTGGGATCTCCAGAGCCAGGCTGATGAGCCCAGCTACCGACGCCGCCGCACCGACCGCCTCCATCTACCAATGGCCAACTCAAGGATTCGAAGCAAACTTATTTGATGGTGCAGGGCTGGGAAATCGAGTGCATCGTAAGGCTATGCGCCGATGGTTTTTTGTCAATACCAGATGTGAAGATGAAAATGCAAAGAGAAATAAGGGGTAAATAGATAAATCCATAGGTCAAATGAGGCTGTGCATATGTATTTACATTTAGGGTAGAATTGCGGCATTCCTGGTGTTCTCAGCCAGGAAGGTAGGTGAGTTGTCACAGGCATGCGTGCACCAGGTGCTACCCGAGGCAGAGCCTGAGAGCGACCTAGTAGCACAGATGGGTGGCTAGGCACCCATTCTATGTGTATCGTCTTGCTGGGCTGCCTCTGTTGGGGGTCATCGTAGGCGCCCATTGCAATCCAGCCCTGCCATGGGCCAATAGCTGTCACACATGTGCATGCTGCATGGCCGGTGCCGTGACTGTGGCTGAAGCTGCATCTGCAGCTTACCTAGTACAGACCTCTCTGACGTGGCGGTAACACGGCTGCACGATGGCGAAGGGTATCTCAATTCGATTGGAGTGGCTGGTTCTCGTTCTTGCTGGGCTCATCTTGTCCACTCTTGTGAGGTGAAGAATGAACATCCCCGCCCCGGCCCCCCGGGAAGGACGAAATCTAAACATTCAAATTGATGGGTTTAGGAAAGCATGACTTAGCGGACTCGAAGAACACTGCTAGGACGCGACTTTCCGTGGCAGGCGCCGCGAAGATGACGTAATACAAGGATGATTTAATAATTGCATTCTTTGTAAGTAGAAGCCTAGATGCGATGTAGCTAGCTAAGATTTCTGAAAATTATTTACCCAATTGTGAGTCTAGAACATCGCACAGCCCTGGTGCTTTGATAGTTTTTGGACTTCCTGGGATCTTATCTAGATATTCCTGTAATTATCAATATGGCAGCATCTATTCAAAACCCCTGATTTCGATTCAATCGCATGGCTGGGAAGAGGAGAACGACGGTGCCTATTTGTACTGGAAGGTCTTGAACAAGTAGAAAAACTCGGCCAAACCCAATATGTGGGTGGACAACCTGAATCATGGGGAGGAGTGGCTGCCGACACGCAGGTAGTGCAACCCACCATCTCCTATGCACTTCGCCTACTCAGCAAGGCATTTTATGCTGGAGGATGTATAAGTCGCTTGGGTTTACGGCAGGCTCCTTCTTACACCGCATGGCACTGCCTCCGCACCCTGTCATATTGCGGGAGAGGACAGCCCCCAAGTTATCGATTTCCTTGGATCAAAAATGAACCAACTCAGCACACCACTGTTTCCGTCCCCCGCAGTTCAAATTCATTTGTGAACGTGCACACGTGCTCACACGAGACTCTCGGGAACCGTCGCAGAAATCTGCTATTTCGCGTCTCAACTTGCCCGCTATCACTGAACCGGCTACCGGCAAGAAAACTTAGTTCGACAAACGCCCATTTTGCAGACCTGGAGGGGCATCGAGAAGACAGCGAGGCTTCGTAGCCAACTACCAAAGAAACAGAGAGGATACGTGCCACAGGGGCCGGGACCACGGACAAACCCAATGGCAGACCCTCTATCGCTAGCCGCGAGTCTTGCCGGCCTTGTTTCACTTTCCGACGCTGTCTTTCGCCATGTTTACAAATATGTCAGAGGTGTCGCGGAAGCGAAGGAAGAAATTACGAAGATCGCACAGGAGCTCCACTCTTTCACAGGCATTCTGAGGAGCGTTCAAGTCCTTGCCCAGAGTTTGGAAGAAGAAGGAGACACATACGACCCAGCAATACGCGTACATCATGTCTACCACTGCGAGCAGACTCTCAACAAAATCCATGACAGGATGAAAAGGGCAGCGCAGAAAGTGGAGAAGGGTAGACCAAGGAACTGCGTAAAGCAGCAGCTCAAATGGCCGTTCTCAAAATCAGAGGCACAAGAAGTCTTGAATGAGCTTCAACGTCACAAGAGCCAGATGAATCTCGGTATTGCGACTGATTCGATGCATAAAATGCAAATTCTTCTCTCGAGACAGAACGAAACGGATATCATAGTCTGCGAGACACGTCAAGTAGTTCGGGAATTACGGACTGAGATTCTTGTTGATGGTAAGAAGAGACGAGTCCTAGAATTCTTCATGGATACAAAGACAGTCAACCCACAGACAAGTTTGGATACGAACATCAAGATGCGACATCCTATGACTGGGCTCTGGTTGACGGAGTCTCCAGTATTTATTCAATGGCTCGACACGCCCGGCTCAAAAATCTGGCTCAGTGGTATCCCTGGAGGAGGGAAGACTGTTTTGGCCGGTGCAGTGATCCAAGAAGCACTTACCCATGCGTCTCCAACGCCCACGATCGGCGCCGCATTTTTCTTCTGCGACTATAAGAATGAGCAAACACTCAAAACCATCAACATCATTGGTGCTCTGGCTTCGCAATTAGCTCGCCAGAAAGACGATGCATTTAGTCTACTCCAAGACTACTACGATGAACTACATCCTACAGACAGTCTTCCAAAGGCAGCAGATTCAGATGAACTCAGAGCCCTAGTAGGGAAGATATGTGAGCTATTCGACCAGGTTCTCGTTGTGGTAGATGGCATAGACGAGTGCGGAGATAGCATGGACGAGGTCGCAGAAATGCTATCTGACCTCGCCAGCAGCTCCCAGAAAATGTCCATGGCAATATTCAGCAGACACGACGTTGCAATTGCTAGACAAATTGAAGACGATTTCAAGCTCATTTCAATCGCAGCCCGAACTCATGATATCGAACTCTATGTCAGGGCTGAGCTGGAATCACTGATAACCAGGGGCCGACTTCGGACCACGAGTGCGAAGCTGAAAGACGACATAAGAGAAGCACTGGTAGACAAAGCAGAGGGAATGTGAGTGACTTGCTGCCCCCCCCCCCCCCTCTTTTCCCCTAGCGCTTCATTTGGCGGATTAATGGGGAACGGCTGCATACCGAGTCCGGAAGTCCTCGCCGCTATTTGTTCATGGCACAGTGCGGTTGTGGGAACTACGGGAGGAGAAACATTTCGAACATTATGTCACTAACAGTTACTAGGTTCCGGTGGGTGACATGCCAACTGGACTACCTCTGTGGCTTCTCGAGCGACTACGAACGGCGCAAGGCACTTGGAGAGCTCCCGCCCACCTTGCACGAGACGTACCTCCGACTTCTGCAGAGATTAAGCACGCTGCCTCCTTCAACCAAATCAAAAATTCAGATGTGCCTACATTTCATTGCGTTTTCTCCAATTCGACTGTCGATAATCAATCTCCGATGTGTCATCTCGACGCCTGAGGTTGTCGGATCCCGTCTTGACGACGACAACATGGTCTCTGAAGAAGATATTGCATATATGTGTGGTAGCCTGCTTCGAAAGTCCGACGACGGAGATTTCTTTGAATTTGCGCATTTTTCAGTTCGTGAATTCTTAGAGCATGAGTCCTTGGCGGCCATGCCTGATTTGGAACAATATCAAATATCTCAGGCGAGAAGCTATAAACTGCTCGCCATGCAGAGTCTCCGCTTTGTGCAGCTTTCGAACTACGAAGTTGAGATAACGGATCCGACATCGTTGATCAATCATCACAAGGCTGTTTGGAATGCTCGAAAAAATCCTTACGATTCCTTCCATAATTTGGCCGCCAGGCTCTCATTGAAGTTGTCAAAAAGTGAGCACTTGAATCCCACATCGGGAGGCTTGATGAAATCATTGTTCCATCCGCGCAAGTCCTCATCATTTCTTCTGTTCGCCACTTCTATCTGCGTCGAAATGATACTTCATTGCATTCGAAATGGTTTGATGGATGCCAGACAAAGAAATCAGTATGACGAGCTTGCGGAAAGACTTCTGCGTGACGAGTTTCAACCAATTCATTTCGCGGCGGCTCTGAACCTTCCGGATATCTGCTGCTATCTGATAGAAACCGGAAGTAATCCGAAGGCCGCTTGCTCGTTTGGCTCTCCATTTCAATTGTCTATCGCATCAATCTTGAGCCTCATATTCGATGGTTGCGACTCGACTCCCATCGAGCAACACTGTCAACACCTCTATGGCCCGATCAACGCGACTCTTGCCACAAGTCATCAGCGCAATTCGACGTTCAAAGTTTTTGAGCGCACATCTTTGAAACCTATGAACCTAAGCTCATCAGATCGACATCTGAATCAATCTATGGTTTTGCACGCGATCATAATCGCATTCATTCAGAATGACTTCTGGGTACTACAGATGGTGCTAGCCAGCGGCATGACCTTGGAAGACAACAAATACATTGGGTTGCTCCGAAAACTGATGGACCGATCAGCTGTCGATATGCAACGCAACGAAAAACCGCTTCTATCCTTTCTTCAATACATTAGTTCTGCGTTGGAGGCCGAGTCCGGGTGGCAACTTGACATTGGTCGCCTGATTTGGAATACTGCTGTCGAACTGGGCCTATCTTTTCCAAAAGATCCGTCTTCGACAGATTTACGTATTTCATTATCAAAGCACGCCTTATTGAGCAGAGCGTTTGCCACAATCAAAGGGCATGATTTTGACGGCCTCCAAGAATGTCTCCTTGACGGCCGACTGGATCTATCCCAGAGATATCCAGACCCCGAGGAACGGCGAACCAACGACAAACATCTAGAATTGACCCTTTTCCACTTTGCAGTGCTCGAAGATAATGCTGAAGCAATTCGGCTTTTGGCACAGGCCGGATGTGATCCCAATATGTCGTCAATTGAGATTGACCGCCAGTGGCGTCCAATACATGATGCCCACAGCATTGAAGTGGTCGAGATGCTGCTTGTGTATGGTGCGAAGGCCACGGATGTTGAGGCGTCTACAGGGTTCAATATTTGGCATCGCTATGGGTTAACCCCAGATGACGAGAGCGAATTCTATGCCTCTCTTGCAAAGCAACACCCTTCAGAGACAGCGGAGGCACTTCTGATGAAATCGAAAGATGGGCAAACGCCACTGAGTGGTATTCTGACGCGAAGCTCCTCGTCCACACCAAGCGCAGACCTCGTGGAGAGAGTTATAGCACTCATTGCAATTTGTCAAGGCATTGCGGATTTCTGGTCAAGGCATGACCCGTTGTTCGGAGCCGCAGCAGCGTTTGGATCTGAGAAAGTCATTCGCCGTCTGATTGACGTTGGGGCGAGATTAGACACAATTGGACCTAACATCGAGACGCCGTTGCATCGTATCGGAATTCATTGCTCGAGAGCCGCAGTTCATTCCCTAAAGGTATTGTTTCCGACGGCCTTGGCCATGAGGTTTGAAGGCCAGCTCCCGTTGCAGCGCTACCTCGCAAAGTATTCGCAATTCAAACATCCAATTGACGATGACGTGGCACAAGAATTTATTTCAGCTGCAGACCTCGAGTCGATTGACGGCAAGGGAACTACCATGTGGGAGTACTACTGCCGAATCAGTTCCACTGTTCAAGGCACGCACAGCCAGTCCATCAAGAAAAGTAGTCTTAGGCTTCTGTGGGCTTGGCTTTTGGGAAAGCATGCCGCAATGCAGGTCTACGAGAACAACACAGGAAAAAGTGGTCTGAGCCTCCTTCTCTCGCACATAACCGGGCGGTACTTGACCCGGGAATGGGTCTCTCGAATTTCTCCTCAGGGGCTTTCCCGGGCGATCGGGGCTTCGCGCTACTGGGAAACAGCCAAGAGCGAACCTAACGTGCTGCGCTTTCTGCAATTGGCAATCAAGACGGGATCATATCAGATTGTTGACGTACTACTTGAGCATGACGTCAGCGTCGTCGAATCAGTGGATGATTACAGTTCAGTCCAGATTGCCTGTCAGTCACCGCTCGCGGTGTCACTCTGCTCGGCGGCGGAAGGAAGAGACCTTCTTCGCAAAATTCTGGATCTTGCCAATCCGAAACACCTCGACGACTATAACAAAAAGGGTTTGACGATTCTGCACAATCTGGCCACCGAAGACGAAGAGGGGGCTGGGCAGTTGCACTGGTTGATCAAATTACTTTTGGACAAGGGTGTGGATATCAACAAAAAGGGGCGATTTCGCAACAAATACACCCCTATTGCTTACCACATTGACAAATCCTCATTGGTTTGTGCCGATTACTTGCTAGAAATGGGAGCTGATCCGGGAATGGCCGAGCCTTTGTTTGCGGATGCCGTGATGGAAGCATCTTTCCGCGGTTATCAATCATTCTTGGACAAGGTGCTGCAGCTCCCAAAAAGCCCTGGTTCACTCATTGACTGGGAAAGGGCAATCAATGCTAATCTCACGCTCGAAAACGGAGAGGGGGTATATCTTGCGAACATCAATGCGGTCCACTTCGCGAGTTGGGGAGGTCATGTGGAATCCATACAATTCTACATCAATCATGGCCTGGTTCAAAATCTCGAGATGACTTCGTCTACAGGTTGGACGGCGATGCATGTTGCCGCCCTGGCAGGCAAATCCCATATGATTGAGTATCTTAATTCAAGAGGTTGTAGCGTCATGCCGCAAACAGAGTACAAGGCCACGCCATTGCACATTGCCGTCCAAAATGGACATGAAGAGGCAATCAAAACGTTGATTCAACTCGGTGCGGGAGACGTCCCAGATGCCATCGGAATGACCCCGACGATGTATGCTTCGAAAGCCAATGACATACCCATGCTCCGGCTGCTGACTGAGATGTTGGCACAAGAGAAAGCTCGCTTGAAAGAATCGCAGATTGACCTGCTGCCTCGCAAGCTTCCAGGAATTTACGCCGACGTGGTCGAAAAGGCTATCCGAGCTGATGATATCGATGAGTGCAAAAGGCTATTCAAAATTGGCTACCCACTCGACGTCAATTTGAAGGTTCCCGACGGCGCGACGCCTTTGGCTTTCGCGCTACACCTAGGGCGTCTCAGTATTGCGGAATGGCTGTTGGAACAAGGTGTTATGGATACGAAGACGGGCATGTGCCCTATTCGTAGCAAAAACCATGAGCAGCTCAGTCTGGTTGATATTGCCATCATGCGGCCGGAAATGGGAAGACTACTAGGAAAATTGGTTGGAATTTGCCTAAAAGATGGGTCGGGATGGCCACTCATAAACAATCACAGTTTCATGACTGCCATCGGGGAGCAAAATACTCAAGGACTCATACAGTTGTTGGAAGTTCTGGAGCAGATGGCTACTGAAATAAGGTACTGATTTTCATGCTTTTAAACCTCTTTCCGAGGCTTTTAGTTGATCTCATGCACTAACATCGCTTCAGCGCTCTTACAAACCTACAACCGGCCGAGGTATTATACGCTTTAATAAACAAGGAAGATGAGACCGGCCAAAAAGGACGGCGCCAAACTGCGTTGAGCTTCGCAGTGAAACGGAACAACATAGCAGCTGCCCGCCTTTTGTTGGAGAAGGGCGCAGAAATCGACAAACCTGATTCAATGGGACGAACGGCACTAGTCGTGGCTAGAAGTCAAGAGATGATGACGCTACTTATCAGTCATGGCGCCTCGTTGACCAGTCGCTTTGCGGAAAGTCTCTACGGCTGGCTTAATTGGGATCCAAAAATTTTCACAGGCCGGATGTCCGCGTATATGGAGAAGACTGAGCATGACACACCGTACACCGTTCCTTTCTCGCTCGCAGCAGTAGTCTCTGATTCGCGGGCAGCTCTTGCCTACAAGGCACCGATCGTGCGCCCAACTCATCTTTTGGCCATTCTCAAAGCGGATATCAACTTGCATGAGGATCCGGGGTCGGGCATATCACTCATGCATCTTGCGATAGTGAACAAGGCTTCCTCAACCTTTGTCTTGAATAAAGGCTTGGATTTGGAGAGCACGCTCCCGTTCCCGTGGCATCTCCTGTTTCTCTCGCCATTGACCTTCATAAACTCCATGTTCGGACAGTTTCGAAGAAAAGTCGGGAAGGAAAATTTGGCTAGGATTGCCCATCTCCAGCCAAAGCGAGGATGGAGCCCGTTGTGCTGGGCAGCTTCTAGGCACAAAATAAGTATCGTTCAGAACTGCCTTTCTTTAGGAGCGGATGTGGACTTTGAAGGCAGTCCCCATGGCTCTGCTCTTATGGTAGCCTGCGCCTGTGGATACCTGGAAATAGTACGGATCTTGGTGCGAGAAGGGGCGAGTATTTCATACAATGGGGAGAATGGGCATAAAAATGTCTTCGATTTTTGCCGATCGAAAATCGTCAGGCATTGGTTACTTGTTGGGCGCTTCACAGAACAGCGAAGAATTGACGTGAAGCCGTACTGGGAGCACGACAAAGGGCTCAGACCTTGGAGCGGAACGGCAGTAGCGCGATTGAAGCTTGTTGGGGATCGGGCGATGTGCTTCCATGAGACTATGATTGATTATGCTGGAAGACTAGCCAAATTGCGCAAGGAGTGGCGCGGTACAGTGATACCGACAGTTTGTATGGACGGAATCATTTACAGGTAATGAGCATCACGGCCGTGACGCCGCTCATGGGGCATCCGAACGTGTGCTACAGGGACATCAAGTGGCTTTCAACGCCTGAAAGGTAACCCCAATTTGCCTCTGAAGCTGAATATTGGATTACAAACCCAGGGACAGCTACTCTTCCCCTCAGACAGCCGATAACGAGCTAGACAAAAGGTGTTTCTGGCTGCCTAGGTAGTTCTTTCTTGGTATCTCGTTTCCCCATACTTTTATTCTAGCTACTGCAGCTCTTGCTCTTCCCTAGCTCGTAGATATCTCCCTTTGATGTTTTTGAACGGTTTTATGGACAACCCAGAGCAAGAATCGTGCTCGTAATCAGTTAAACTACAGAGAAGAATGAGATCTACCAGCAGATAACCACAAGCAGCTGACACTTACCATTTCGATTTGCTCGTGCGCTTGCCTAGGATTTTCTATGAGAGCTGCGTATTTACTTCAATCCTCTGTGGCATGCAGCGGTCCGCGCCACTCTCAGGGAAGCGAGCACAAGGGGCCGACCAGGTATGAAGCCTCACAGCAAGGCGCAGAAAGCAGTCAGTCTGCAGGTGAAGTTGGCTGATCAACATGAATAGATTCGCAAAGAAATTTGGTCGCTGAAGTAACTTCTGAGCAGACTGCCCGAAGCATGGAGCTGCGGGATTTGGAAACAAGCAGATATGCACTTCAAGCTCGTTTGGACGCCTCCCCAATGCTTGTTTTCGTTCATAGCGTTATTCTACTAGTAAGCTTGTTAGAAATTGTATAAGCCCCCTAGTCTGTAAACTATTTCATGATAGCCCGAGACGAGCCTGTGCATTTGGACTCGAAACTCTTTTCCGTGAACGCAACGCCCTTTCAAATGTCGACTTCGTTGTACTCAGTCCATTCCTTCCCACGCCAGAACTTTTGTCCACCTCTAAAAGAATGCTGGATCTTCTCCTTTGCCTTTGCTTGCATCCTAGCCTCAAAATCCATGATACTGCCCTTCGTGACACCTTCTTCAGCAAGTGTCCGCGCCAGGTCTGCGGCGTTTCGAATAGCCGTATCCCCACCAGAGCCACCCATCGGGCTCATTGGGTGGGCTGCATCGCCGATCAGCGTGAACCTTTTAGCCTGACCAACAGAGCGGAGCTGAATGTCCGGCTTGCTAGAAAGAATGGGAACGCAGGCGGATAATTCGTGCGTAGCATTATCGAGCAGGTGCTTCAGAGCAGCATGCCAGGTCTCGGAGACTCGCGCTAGGTACACTCTCTTCTCTTGCACCGTCTTCGGCAGATGCTCTACAAATTGAGAGGACGCCGTACAAATAACCCAGTATACATAGTCGGGAAAGTCTGGCAGCTTGGCTTCCGACTCGAGGTGCACGCTCCTGGACCACGTCATCGGTTCGACGACCATTTGCACATTAGACTCGTGGTCCAGGCACATGCACCAACTCAACAAGTCTGACTGTGCAAGTGATCTTTTCAAGTCATCCGTCATTGGCGTTCGACCCCACGTGACCCAGCGCTCCAGATCAAGCAGCTTTCGATCCGGCTGGAGCTGTTTCCGCACGCGGCTTTTGATTCCATCTGCTCCAACCAGAAGCTGTCCACGAGCGACCGAGCCATCCGTGAACTTGACCTGAACCAACCCTTCTATTATCTCGTAGGATTCGAACTCCCTCTCGTACGTAATATCATCCTGGAGTTCGAGAGAAGCGAGCATGCGAAACCAGGTCCTGTCTAGGGGCATCGAGTCCGCGGGGTCCACCGGCACAGGCACGGGGAAGTCGAGCTTCCGGGCGTCTACGTATCGTGGCGCAAAGTGGTATCTCTCAGCTGTGGTGCGTCTAAGCAGGTCCTGGAGCTGCGGTGATAGGACGCTGTTGAGGGCGGCTTGGCCGTCCCTCGAGATGCGGAAGCGGTGGCCCTGCTTAATGTGGGATCGTGCATGGCGCTCAAAGATGCGGAAGGGGACGGAGCGGAGTCGCAACCCTTGCGCAAGCGTGAGTCCGGCGACGCCGGCGCCGATTATGAGAATCGAGGGTTCAACTGGGGTTGGTTGTGCCATGGCTAACATGCGTGTAGGTTTGTTGAGCTCGTTTTGCGAGCGAAGCGGCCGGTAAAAGACCAGCTTTCTGGCTGCAGCTGGTTTCAATGCATCGGAGTGTAATACATGTATTTACGGCAGGTTATTCATATTCGTTCATGTTGGACTGGAGCTTCAGGAAGTTGCCGCAGCTGGCTGTTGAAGGCGCACGGGCAGGTACGTGCCGCAGGCTATGATGGCACGAAAGAGCTGTGGTGAAAAATGACGGGTTGCAGGGACCTGGGTCAGGCGTCCTTCGATTGTGCATGGCTATATCCTTGTTAACGATCTTAAGACATGTATTACTAGCTAGCGAATATGACATTCACCGGGAGCAGGGATTTTGGCGTGTTCATGACCCATGCTCTCTAGTGCTTACATGCGACATGGAAGAGCGCGTTTTCAGCTGCAAGTCTGGTCTAGGCGCGGGCGCTGAATGCATGATCCATCCTGACCTTGAAGCTCGTGGGCAAGAGTCAAGTGCCGATCTCAAACAGCCTTATGTCCACAACAGGCGATATATTGTGGCCATGACGGAGCAGCCGTTCTACAGGCCTCTAGACAAAGGGGACTTCCGTCTTCTGGTCTTGGAGCCAGGGCCACGTCAGGATCCGAACATTTCCGTCCGTCTTGTCCAATGTCGGCTGCAATCTGCACCTCCCTATGACGCTTTATCTTACGTCTGGGGTGACCGGAGCCGAATGAGTACGATTTTGTTGGACGCGAAGCCGTTCGAGGTCACCGCTAACCTGCACTGGGCGCTGCGGAGGATACGAGACCCCCTCGAGGTCCAGGTGGTCTGGGCCGACGCGATATGCATCAACCAACTGGATCTTCAGGAGCGAAGTCAGCAGGTCGCCATGATGGGCTCCATATTCAGCAGTGCAAGCCGAGTACTGGTCTGCATGGGCGACCCACCGAGATCTGGAGAGGATGAAGATGTCTCGTCGCTGATGAATGGCTTCGCGCTCCTGTGGGGAAGACATCCAAACATCCCGTTCCTGCGGGAAGATGACCTGTTGCGAACCGATCCCCGCTGGCGGAGCGTGGGGACTTTCATGCTTCTGCCGTGGTTTCGCCGAGCATGGGTCATCCAAGAAGTTGGCCTCGCTCGTAATCCACGTGTCCTCTACGGGCGCTGCGAGTTTGGCTACCGGGAGATGCTTCGGGTGATGAGGTGGGTGAGCGGGCAGATGTGGGCCGTCCAATTTGCGATCCCATCGTTGCTGGTTCACAGGGAGTGGTATGACTGGAGAGAGTCAAAGCATCCGCTCACTTTCACTGACCTGCTGAGCCACGGTGCTTTGCTAGACTGCAGCGATCCGAGAGACCGCGTCTATGCGTTTCTTGGACATCCCATGGCAAGAAACGAAGACGGAGGCCCCTTGATCTTCCCAGATTATGTGAAGTCAGTGGAGCAAGTCTATATGGATGTCTCCTGCCTGCTCTTGCAGCGATATGGACTACGCTTGCTGTCATCAGTCGAGCATCGGGAAGAAACCATAGTGGAAGAGCTTCCGTCGTGGGTAGTACGCTGGAACGTTTCGGTCGTCATGAATGACATTGCTCGCTATCCACAGTGTCACCAAGCCACACCTCCTCAGTGGGCGCCTGACCTTTCGAAGGTGATTGTGGGAAACAAGCTCGAGTTGCCTGGAGCGTTACTGGATACAGTCTCCAAGGCTTACATCATTGACGTGAGGTCAACCCCCGAGGTCTCTTTGCGGTTCATCGACGTGTCCAACACGGCACGCAACCTGAGCTGGTCGAATATACTCGGCGAGTTCCCTCATAGAGCAAATGCATCAGATGCAATATTAAAGTCGCTTTGCGCACGGGACGACCTTGACCCAAGTAAGCTACGTATTCCAGAGAATAAACAGAGGTTTGAGCATGGTGTGAAGGATGTCGGCATCAACCGCTGCCTCGTGGCGACTGCAAAAGGAGGATTTGGAATAGGGCCTCTCATCACTCGCCCGGGAGATGTCTGTTGCGTGCTATTTGGAACTGATGTCCCGTTCATACTACGGCAGAGCCGGGGTAGTTCTGGGTACAGAATATTGGGCGAGGCATTTGTCCACGGAGTGATGAATGGAGAGATCGCGGGGATGTTGCAAAGAGGGCATATTGTTCAGCAAACTATCACCATTATTTGAAGAAATACTGCAGATTTATCAAGTGGATGGGCAAGGAGTCCACGATTACTGCGGAGACTTTACTTAGAGTTTCTTGATCCGGAAGGTCTGTCAGTGGAAAACACAATTAGCGCCTCTATGGATATTCGAGACAGCTGCAAATGGAATCCAGAGCTACGTTGAGCGCTCCGAGGCCATGCGAGCCACTCATACTTCAATATGTCGTGCCTTTCAACTGGTGCGTCTATTCACTTGAAAGTTCAGGCACTGTTTCGCTCACATCTCTCGTTGAGAAGCGGGGAAATGCATCGTCTCTTTCTTCCCCAATTAAACGTTTGACCTTCGATCAGGCCCAACTTTCCGAATTCCTCTTAAGGCTTCGCTTTCTCGACATGAATTTGTCTAGAATTCAAATACCTACGTCTCCAATCACAGTTTTTTTTAAGGAAGTGAGTAGCTGGGGCCTATTGCACGCAAGAACTCACTTTTCTCTCCACACCAAGGGTGCTTTCTCCCGATGCAACATCTGCAGGAGCAGCACAGGCGCGTAGTCATTCTCGATCTGGCTCAAAATCCTCTTCTGGGCGCCCTCTTGCGTCTCGCCCTCTTGCGTCTCGCCCTCCTCCTCTCTCAGCACCGGATACACAATGATTTCGGAATAGGGTCGCCATCACCCCAACGAACTCGACAGGTGAGAACTTCCTGCCCACATAGTCGCGCATACCCCAGGACCAGGCCAGGAACGTCCCTCGGTCGGGGCCGAGGAAATCTTCCTTGTCCAGGGCACCAGACGGCGAGGCCTTGATGAAGCTGGACGACCGCCACACCAGGGAATCTTCGCCCCAGAATTTGGGGTTTGTCTGTAAAGACGCGTAGCTTGGGACACTCATCGTGCCCTGTGCGAGCATTAGTGTCTTGCCGCTTACCGTCAGGGGTTGGATCCCTGTCCACCGACAATCTTGGACGTGGGCACTGGTGTATAGAGTCGCAGAGTCTCGTACATGACGGCCAAACAACGCTTCAATGAGGAAATGTCGGAGTATACCCAGTCCTCTGGTCGGTGGTTACCCATCACGTGGTGTATCTCTTCCGAAACCCAGTCTTGGACGGCAGGATTCGCTGCTAAGAAGAATGTGGCGTATGTGAGAGTGTGAGCTGTGGTATCGTGCCCAGAAAAGTTAAAATTGAACACTGCAAAGTTATGTATTAACGTCGAGACACCTCAGAAATCAGGGAAATCCCACAGAACTCAATTTTCTTGAGGAATTGAGAGGTAATATTTGCTTACTATTGCCGTAAATTTCTTTCTCCATTAGGCCATCATCAAGTGCTCTTTTCGTCTTGCGAAGCACGAACTAGTGAGGCCATGAAATTTTGATCCGCAGTGCGTCCCTGGGCAAGAGAAATCATTTCTTGTTCATATACCTCTGTCATATACTTCTGAAATGAGACCCAGGCTACGTAGATAACCTAGAGCTTTCGAGGTAGCCATGGACTGCCAAGGTTTTTGGGTCCCAGGGCAAAGATCAGTACAGAACTCCCTAGGCTTATCTTCAAAGAGTACTTGTAGTCCATTTGGAAGTATTTTGTGACCGTTGTTTCCTCATCATCCTGGAATCTGAAGGATTTTCCAAACCCTGCCCTGGACATAACATGCAGAGACAGCGTACGAAAGTCATCAGCCGCTGTAGAGACAAAAGACTTTGAGGTCTAGTACCGGAGCATTTCGTGTGCCACAGTTAGACTTTCAGCCCAGGCAATCACGTTGTTCTGGTCATTGAAAGAAGATGCCGTAATCCTGCGATGCTTTTGCTACTGAGTACTATGGCTTGTCGATATATTTGGACCGAAAACATTAAGTATTGCTGTTGGATCATTGTCAGCATGGTCATCCGTTCAAGGCTATTGTAGGTCGGGAGGGCGATTGCAAACCTGTGACGGAAGTCTCGCGGTCGAATTCCTATCCCTGCTGGGCAATATCGGTGACGGCATCGGGGTCAGACATATAAAGCCATGCGTTCTCAGAAGACACCAAAATGTAGGCATCTCCAGATTTCTGGTGTGAGAAGTATCTATCAGGCACCTCCCATCCTCGGTAATTGTATCTTGTAAAGCCGTTGTTGCCAAACCATTCTGGCAGCCGCTTGAGAACGAACAAAACGCAGCGATCAACCACAAGCCAGATGGGGATTATGCGAATTGGCACACCAATCTTGCGCGCCGCTTGGTCATTACGGTACATACAAAAGCCATAATGGATGGTTGCGCCTAGGGTGAGTAGCACGCAGGCCCTCAGAGCACCTAACAGTATGGACATCCTCGTAAGCTGACGTCTTTGGAGTTGTTGGTGCTGATTCCGGGGTTTCCAGCACAAAGAATCGCACAGCAAAATGGTCAGAGACTTGAAGCGACTGAGCGCCAGTCACTCGGGACAAGTGCTGGGGACTCCCAGAGGATGATCTGTTCACAAAACTTGTGAGGATGCATTCCGTACCTGGAAATCTGAAAAGCAGCGGATACACTAGGTTATGTAGAGAAGGATGCGACTCTACTCGTGCACGTCGGTTCTCACTCCATTCTTTTCAGCCTGTCCCGCACACCTGCGCATGTACATTGTGACTACGATTCCTCTAGCTGCGAAATTTACGGGCAATTTTCTGAACAATGCAAACTCGTCCTAGCCCAATTCTGAACTTCTAATCGACAGATTGTAGCTCGTGCAGGTAAACGGACTGTACTAAGGCGCTGGGGAAAGTACCACAAATTATCTGCACTGCGCATAGAAAGTGTCTGGATAGCCTAGCTTACCCGTAGAGTCAAAGACCTTGTGAGACGATCCCTACGTCGCCACGGCACAAAGGCTCGATTTGGCTGTAGAAATATGTTGACTTCTGTCAAGGTTCGCCTAACGAAAAGAAAGGCGAAAAGGCAGCGTAGCTTCACGCGTGCCCTGGAAGCTATTTATAGTAGGGCGATAAGCTGATAAGATAAGCCTATCGATAAGGGCCCTAGCCTAGAGGGCGTTCAGCCCCACGCCCTCATGTTGGTTATAATTACTGGTGCGAATTGCAAGCAAGCTCGGGTGCGGTGCGGCGACTGGTATCGGTGGCGCGTGATGTTATTAGTTTTGTAATTTTTTTCGGCACAACACCACATACCGAGCATAATGGCCATCCAACCCGAGAGAGAAAAGATCAATCCATTTCCAATAGTATAGAGCATATACTAGACAAGCTATACGACGGCATTTTGAGCAATTCCTAGAACAAGAAAAGAAAATTCTACGAGGAGCAGCGCTATAATCAGCAGAAAGAGCACTATATGCAAAACTCCAAATCACTTGTACTTAAATCCACGGTCTAGATAAGCGACATCCCTGAAAGGCAAAACTGAGAGATAATTACAAGAGACTCAGATATTGAGATGGGACGCAGCAACTCTCACAGAAAACTACATTGAGGACATAAATCCAGTCGCATACCCGTCCTGGATATCAGGTGCGGATTGGAAGACGAATATGATTAAGATCAGATTTATCCAGAAGAATTGACGAAAACAACAACCCAGTCACTCGAGCGAAGTCATGATGGTCTCTGGAACGTGACGTATGCATCTAAACAGGGATCATCATCATCATTCTAATAACCTTCGCCGCAACTGCGACTTTTCTCTATCCTTGCAGCGAGTATCCTCTAGCATTAGCCTATCTCCTGACCTGCATGTTCCGTGGTTCATAACAAGATGGGAGGTGGGTGTGGTTTAAAGTTGCTTGAGATACGATACGTGTTTGGTACCTTTCGACAATATTGTGATCACACATGATGGTCATAAAAGAAGGAGATCTAGTCGAATTATATGCCCATATCAACCACCGAAGCCAACTAAGTCCACGCGGACATGTAATTCTTTTCCATTGCCACTTTCTCCTCATCAATCATACTCTTGAAGGTCACGACGTCTTCAAGGGCATCCGATATGTGTTCCTCCTGCATGTCACCCGAGGCCATGAGACGGGCCGAAAACACCACATTCCGAATTTGCCTTCCGTTCAGGTCCTCCCCCGCCCACTTCTTCATCAGGTTCTGGTTTTTCAAGAGCTTTCCAGCTTTATTGATCTTCTCTCCAAGCACATTCCTCCAAATACTCAAACGGGTGCCACGATCTAGGTCAGGTATTTTGATTCCGAGATTCACCTTTTGAAGTTAACAGTCAGGCGGGCTACATTTCAGCAGACGAGAACGAAGGTAAAGGACGTACCCGGGAGATGAATGCTGGATCTGACATAGTCTGTTAGAAGTGTGTATTTTGCGAGCCGCAATAACAGTAAATCATTTCCAACTTACCGATCATGTGAATGAGGTTAGTAGTGAGAAAGATGACCCCTTCAAAATATTCTATTTTTCGTAGGAATACTACAACAACGTCAATATAGTCACCTAGGAGATTGAAATTGGTGCCTACAATGGAAACATTGTACTTACCAGCAACCCAGGCACTCTGCTTCATGTTTTCTTGCGTTCTCTCAGCTAAAATAACTTCGGCCTCATCGACGAGGAGTATCGCGTTCCAGCGGTGCGCTTGTCGAAATATCTCCTCAATCCTAGATTCCCACCGATCGTCTCCAACCAAGTTTCCTAGATTGATCCTGTACAATGGCCTTTCCTGGAGTTCTGACAGGCACTCTGCCAACATGGTCTTCCCCACACCTGGACTTCCATGCAGAAGAAATGTCAACCCTTTTCCCTTCCCTTTGAAGTTGTTCATGTTGTCCTTCGCCCTAGTAACTTCTTGTCCATTACCTTCATTGAACTTTTGCAATTCCTTGTGGGCCTCAGCGAGCAACCGGATTCTTTCGATCGACTTCTCGACCTGCCCATTGGTGGAGTTGGGTTTGACAAGGCGGTCCCAAGCTTTATCATCCAATTTGGGTTCTTCTAATCTCGACATCGCCACGTAATACCATTCATTATCGCTGAGACTGTGGACAAGGATCTGCTCTGGACACAGAAGTAGGTTCTCTTGTTTTCTGTCGTCGGACTTGAATGGATCCACGTTGTCTTCGGTGAAACGTAAAAGTCGGTCGGGATATCTTGCGGGGTCGACAATGACCCGACCAGCGAGCTATGATCTTGGTTAGCCGAGGTAGAGTCAAGTGATTGTCTTGGAGGAAAAATACCGCACTACCCTTGCCACCATTTTCGTCGTCTTTGGCGTCTTTGCCAAACGTCTCACAATAGCCTTCGTACTGGCGGACCGCGACATCGGGCTGTCCATGTTCGAGTAGCTTCACATGTAAGTTTAACCATGCTTGCCCCGACCTGCGAGAGTCTGCCTCAATTCTGTCCTTATCTGGGCAGTTCTCGAGGGGATATACCGGCAGCTCGGTGGTGTTCATCGTTCCTGAAAATTGGGGGATATGCTTTCTGTACACATGAGTTCGAAAACCCTTGCCGTCAAAGTCGATAGCTTCGCATTCCAACTCCAGCCTTACCCCATGAAAGATGACACTGTGTTCGGAATCCTCATTTGATGACAGAGTGACGACGCGAGCTACTGCCCACTCGTCGCGCAGTTCTCGAAATACGACAAGCTGATTTATGTGGAACAAGCCTTTCAGACTCTTCCAGTCCCACCGTTTTGACTTCAGCATCTCTTCATGTCGCTTTCGCGCGCGCGAAAGGTGAGTAAGCTGTCCATCCTGTTCCTCAAATAGCTGCAACAAGGCAAGAAGCTCCTCCCGCTGGGGGTGGTCCGGCGGCATACTCTCCATCTTTCTCTCAAGCTTCTCATGGGCGTGTAGCAAGGGATAAATATCTGCAATCTCGAGTCGACCCTCGCGCTCATTCACTGTTCCGTAATGTGCTGGATCGCAAAGTTTGCATATATCATCGTAGAGTTTGGATGATTCCTGAAAGACCGAGAACACAATGTTGCCGTTCATATGTGTATCGTAACGGAAAGCCTGCCTCTGCGCATAAGGCGTCCTCTCCGTCAAGTTCACTTGTCTCCAGCCCAGTTGACTATCGATCAAGGCCTCCTCTCTAACTTCAATGTACGTACGAAGGCGACGGTCTTTATCTGTGATCGGCGGGCGCTCCTTGAGGTCGACTGCCATCTTGGCAGTCTTCATCTGTCCTTCTTTGAGCACTGCCTCATCTTCGTTCGCCTCTGCACTCTGGATGGGGCCTTTCACATTGTAGGCATTGTTTTGTGACTCCTCTAGGGTCTCGATTCTCATGAATAGACCTGCAATATCGGCGGCCACATCTTTCAGGCGCACAGTGATGTCTTCGATGGGACCCTAAATAAGGATTGGTCAGACGAACAGTATCGCAAGAGCTATAAATCACTGACTCTGATTTTCTTTTGTGTGTCACGGTCGTTTGCCAAGTTCTCGTGACCCTTCGCGACGTTCGCGTCCTTAGTCATGATGTCCCGGAGGTCGTTATTCGTCTTCAGTTTGTTCTCGAGCAAGTAGTACTGAAGAAGACAAATGGTACGGCAAATGAACTTATCTACAGAAACCTGCGCGACGGAGTCTGGAAAGAATTGAGGAAGCAAAGCCCATGTGGAAGCTGCTCTTGACCTGTGTGGTATCCGAAGTGGGAAACTAGGCAATCTATCGGTCTACCTAGGTAAAACATTGCAACTGCTTGCTTGTTGCCGATCCTCTCGATCATGTAAGACCTGTTTTACTTTTCTATTCACTTTTCGTGGACTATTCATCGCCAAGCAGCCAGAAACCCAATTTTTTCCAACCTTCACCAATCGTAAAAAGACCACTGTAAGCCACTCGTAGCACGGGGCCTCACACCGGTTCCGTGCTCCCCGGCCCCCGATCACGGATATAGTGTGGCGTCACACGAGCTGAAGCCACGAGCTGAGGTCACGGCCAGCCAACGAGGCCTTGTCAGTTTTCTTCCAAGGAGCGGTCAGCGGAAAATGGCAGGCCGCAGCTGAGGCCGATTTCTTATACTTTTCGAACACTTGAACAACTCAGCCAGCTCGGTGAAGATGACATACATGCAGTACGAATAAACATCGCCCACGATGACCGGAGTACTCGTGAGAATGCGAGATGCTGTCAAAAGGGATGGTCCCTTTGCTTTGATCGAAAAGTTATCATCGAAACCAGATGGCTTGGAGGAATGGTTTAATGATGTGAACATCGAAGAGGATACGTTAGATGACCCGATGATCTGTGCCCCCCGTAATTTTGCAAAGACTGACAATCGAAGCGATTTCAAATCACTACATGAGCTTGTATCTCAAAGTAGGAAAGACATCGTCGTTCCGAACAGCGACCATAACCCTCTTCTTGCTAAGTTGGTGGAGGGGGTCGACACTGCTCCGAACACGAGCCGCAAGATTCAGAAAGAGAACATTGACTTGCTCGGAAAATACCTTCATGACTACAAAGAACTTCAAGATCGGCAAACAAAACAGAATAAGCGCAATCGAGTCGTGCGGACATTTCATCGCGTTACCAAAGTCCTCAATTGCACCACTGAAGATCAATCTAATCCGAAAAACAATAGACAGCCGCAGGAAAAAGTGGATGGCCCCTCAAAGGAAAGTCATAAAGGCATAATCCTGAACGTACTGATTCGTGGCGTGAATGTGGTTAAACCGTTGGGATCCGTCGTTGGGGAATTGACGGGTGGAACGCTCATTGAGGTTGCGGTCAATGGAATCATGCTGTTCATCACTGTGAGTTAGCACCCAACCTGGCGTGCCGACCTCTTTGGCAAGGACTCACCACTGATTTGTTCAAGGCTTGGGACAGTGCGACAGAGCTGACGGAAGAAATTCTCGACACGTTCAGTCAAATCGACGGATACTACCAGAAAATGCGAGCAATGCATGGTAACCTGAAGTCCGCTGCAATGCAAAAGGCAATCAATAAGCTCTTCGTCTCCATAGTGGCTTTCATTGTGTCCGCTGGGTCATATCTGAGACACGGCATGTTCCGTTAGTTACGGTATTCCTCGCTGTTTAACGCACTCGTCTGAGACTAAATATTCTGATTTAGTTAAGATGGCCATGTATCTTGGCGGCAAGGACGAGGACTTCAAGGGACATCAGCAGGCGCTCAAGGAGGCATATAGTGCGGTCGAACGAGAGATGGAATTCGCTGGACTAATGATGACTAGGTGGATCACAAAAAGAATGCAACTAGTACATCAAGAAACAGCAGAAATTTATGAGAGTAAGCGTCACACAGGCTTTCGTCAGAGCAACAGCTCAGGAAATGGGAGGCGAGGCTAACCGTGGTCTAAAGAGATGAATCAGCTAGAAAACGCAGTGGTGGCTACGAGCAAATTTCACGCCGATTTGCATATCCAAAATCTATGCGCAGAGCTTTTCAAGTCCCTCTACGAACCTTCTGAGGGGATGGCGTTCAACGCTAGGGAGCGGGTGTTTCTTTCGCCGCGCGATCGTTGGCCGCGACAGTTCAAGCCAAAGGCTCTTGAAGGTCCAAGGAACGATAATTCTGCATCAACCTCCTATCCCTTGAGATGGATCTCAGGTCACCTCTCTCGACGCAATGTATCCTGGGTTTCCTCACTCTGCGTTGATCTGATCCCGCATTTCAGGAATTTCAGCAATTTCGACGTAGCGTACGTCTTCTGTAAGCGCGGCCAGGGATCACGGTACACCCCCACCATACTTATCAAGGCACTGGTGACTCAGCTGTTGTATGCGCATCCTAGTATCGCTATGAAGAACTTGGGCCGTTTATCACTAGCTCGATTCCAATATATCGGCCAAAAGACCACAGTCAAGTCTGGCGCGATGGCTTGGAACTTACTCGACGACATGCTACGACTCATGGACGAAACACCAGAGCTATCAGATCGGTCAATCCTGATTTTGATAGACAGGTTGGATCTCTGTGTATCAGAGGAAGGCTTCAGTGTTCTTGATCACCTTATACCAAGTTTACAAGGCTTGAGCCGTCAGCATGTCCGAGTGCGCGTTATGATTACAACCGCGAAGCTCTCAGCATCTGCTGTGCCTACTCTACGGAAAGGCCCCGAATGGCTTCAGGCGTACGGGAAAAGGAAACATGGCTAGAAGCAAACCACGGAGCAAATAAGTTAGAGCTAGAGAATAGGCATAAACAACAAATCAAACTCGTCAAATTTGTTGCTATCTGAACATTGGATCTCCTGCAAGAAATCAAGCAAATCTGTTGACAGCCCCAGTGCATGCCAATGATCAAGGTCATCAATATCATCCAGCAGACCCCACCTCCTAGAATCATGCGTGCGACTGTGTGCTCGCTGACAATGTGGCCTTCACGGCAATTCGTGGTAATTAACCTCACCAAAGTCACTTTAGCAAAGCAGCCTCGAGAACCTTTGCCAGGTGCCAGCCCATACTAGTCTTCGGAGCGACATCATCATTGTCTGATGTGCCGGTGTTTGATATGCCATAAGGGGTGTTACACATCTTGCCTGACTGCTACATGCCTGAACGCATTAACTCATATGAAGTGGCTTTTAGTGACTAGGTGGGTTATCAGGGCCCCAGATGATGTAGCTCGTAGGAGAGGGATAAAACGAGGAGTGCAGCATAGTCAAAACGGGCAACCACAGGAAATGAAATAGATGCAGCGGAAGCCCCGCTCTGCCTGCCCTCTAAGGTACTTAGGAGCGCGCTGACGAGGGAGTAACAAAACATCGGAAATAGGGGTCTTAGAGAGAAAAGAAAAGTATTTGAGCTCTGATAAGAGCACAAGTATCACGACTACTCGCGATATATGCGAGACAATTGAAAGATTGTGGGTTGGTTGGTATGTACTGTAAAGACTACAGTTAAAGCAACGCCCCTTTTAAAGTCCTTGTTAAAGACTATCCCTCGATAATGTAAGCCCAAGGCTCACCCCTATTCCAACCCGCCTAGCCGACAGTGATGGCCGGAGTGAATGTCAATTTCAGAAAATTTCACTCCGTTGGCATGTTTTCATTTCACCAGGGTCCAGGGTGAGTGGTTCTGAAACTTGAAATGGTACCACCCCCCTCCCCCTCAAACATTACTCCTAAGGTACCTCTCAACCCACCTGATCTCTAGGGATATGGTAGCCTCGCCGCTTAGTAACAGCCATGCATTCGTGTGCTACCCAGTATTATTGACTCTGCTGTGTTGGGTTGTACCTGAAGATCCACTGGACCTGCCAGTTGTTGGCAGCAAAGGCCTCGTGCACAGCTGCCGGGGCGCGATATGCCGGCGAGGGGAAGAAACGCGGGTAGTGCAGCAGGGGGAAGGGCAAGTTGGGGATCTTCGAGGTCAGGGGCAGATGGTATTTCTCGACCTCATATGTGTAGAGTTCCCCCAAATGACACACCACTAGAGATATGCAGCAACCTGTTCCTCGCTCCATTCCCAAAGTTTTCGGTTCCCCCCAGTTCCGCCCTCGGCTTCGGAAATAGTTGCGAACACCATGTCTTCTCGGATAGGATAAATGCGGCCGAAGGGAGCAACTGTAGGTAACAAGAATAGTTAGAAATGCGTTGGGCTCTTTTCCCCCATCAGTTGCAAAGCAAGATGATATTTCGATGAAGAGAACATGTATGCGGCATAACATAAATACTCACTCCAGCAACCAGTGTTAGAAATATTGACATCGGAGGACAACCCCGCGTAGAGCTCGGTGCATGCCCCGTTGATGGGCGGATACATGAAGAGCCTTTCCGCGATGCGGAAGATGAAACCCTGGTCGCGGTAGAGGTCCGACTGGAGGTTCCCCGGGTTCAGCGGGACGCTGACGACACCGTCGGCCTGATGGAGCCGCGCGTACTCGGTGGCGTGTGCCCAATTGGCGACCTTGCTAGACCAATACCGCTCGAGCGCGCCCCGAGCCTCCTGGGCCGCCGGGATGAGCGCCTCGGGCCTGATGCCAACCTTCTCCTCGGCAAACATCTCCGCCGCCGACGATGATACCCAAATGACGCGCACTGTGCTGGCGGGCTCCGAGCGGGCGGTCGCAGTGAGGACTGGGGTTAAGAGCCGTGAGAGGAGGAACGTGCCCAGGGCGTTCACCCCAGTGTGCAGTTCGTGGCCCTGGGGCGTGAGTGCCATCTCCTTCGCGCCCGACAGCACTCCCGCATTATTGAACAAGACGTGCAGTTTAGTCTCGGATTCCAGGAACCGCTGCACTGTCTGCTTGATGGTGCTCAGATCGGCGAGGTCCAGCTTGATGTAGTTGAGTGACCCAGCGGACTTTGGGGCGCCCTTTTGGATATCTGCAATGGCTGCTTTCGTTTTCTCTTCTGAACGGGCCAGCATGTAGATTTTGGCATTTTTTGTGTAGAGCAGGCGCGTTAGTTCTTTCCCGGTACCCGTGTTTGCGCCTGTGACGATGTAGACCTTGTCCTTTAAGTCTGGTAGGTTTTCCCCGACAAATTTGGGTTTTGGTGGGAAAGCTTGGGTCAAAATACTCTTCAACGACGGGCGCGGCGCCATCGTGACGTCTGGTTAAGAGAGGGCGGGTGCAGTAGCAAGATATGTGAACTTGAATTGGATGATGAGAAGAGGTGAGTGTTATGTAATTGCTCCAAGAACGGATGGAAGTTGGACAACGAGTCGGCTCTCAAGTCTGAGAGGTGGTTCAACCCCTGGTGAACAACAACGCGATCTAGAACTCATACAAAAGAAGGACGGCTTCATTTTACAGGCCCTGGAAGTTACTATACTCGGGGGACTTGCCTGGTGTCGGGGGACCAACAACACCGAGACTGCGCTCAAGCTATCCGCACCGGGTTACCAACTGCATAACGAGGCGTTGTCAATATGCAAGTTGGAACCAACCCGCAGAATCCAAACAGAACAATCGGGGATAAAATTATTGGCTCCCTAAATCCGGACGCTGTGCAGGAAATATTTTAGGGCGAATGAGACTTTCTTTGCGGCCACTCACGCGCTTACATGTCGGACACACCTGGGCAGTTCCTGGAACTTGGTGGTGCCATGGGGGCCGGACTACGATCCTTGCAAACACATCCATGCGAACAAAAGAACAATTTGTCTCAAAAGAAAAGACGTTGCGTGTGGGCTTGGAAGTTATTGACCGGCTTGCCATCCTGTCTGCTCACGTTGTTTCCCTGTAGGCCTGGATTCTCACCACCTACATAGGTCAACTTATTCAAGACTCGTTTAGCCCTACAAAGTTTTTCTTGGTCAATTTAGTTGTTCTATTTTCTATCATAGACAAATACATTCTTCCCCATTCCCTGACCCGAGTCCCTTAAATATCTCCACTCTCGGTCAGATAAAGTCTCACAGGTCTTCCAAATCACCCGTCATCTCGGCTGGTCTGCTTGATTTTGAGCATGTCAGGTTGATCCATCCAGGCATACGGCACTTCAAGACGGGTGGTAGCATCTGAGCGCATGAGTACCAGTGAAGAGATGGTGTTGTGAAGCTGAACATCTTTTGTGCTTGGCCGTGTGTTCATTGCCGCACAACGGCTTCGCCATGCGCCCAGACTTTTCTTGGCGGAACTTCAATAGCTCATCCGGTTTTGGACCCATGCGTACTCCACCACGTCCTATGGGCTGTAATGGGTAAACAAGGTCCGCACGTTGTGAGGGCCGGCGACAAAGCAGACATTATCACCTAGATCGATCGAGAAACTCTTGCATATCCGATAGGTACTCTCAAGTACTGGCAAGCATTGGCATCCGTTCTGTAGTGATCGCCAAGCGAGAAAACACAGCCAGAACCAACAGTGCTGCAGAGCCAGCAGCCCTGGAAGGATTTTGAGCAATGCCACATGTGATACATCAGAACTAAACGCCTCAAAGGATCTCGGAATGCAAGAACCTGGACTTATCGGAGTTAAAATGCCCTTATTCTTAATTCCGACATGTTTCCAGCAAAGGCATCTGTTGACATTAGTGCCTACAATTCAGCGGAACATACTCCGAGACACAGGGCGGACCAAAACATACCGGGACCGCCATATGGGTGATTTCACAAATGACCTGCCGACGGACTTCTGGAGCCTTGTTCCATTCCGAGCAGCGGATGAGAATCAGGCCGTGAACACCGGTTCGATTCGTATAACATGATAGAGACCCTTCACAGGTACACCTTGACATCTGAGTATCAGTTCACTGCTTGAATGATCACAACTATCAGAATATAAGACAAATCCGCTCAATCATACTTATGCCGTCTCCGAATCAATTGCCGAAGAAACAATTCGGAAAAAATGGGCCGCAGGTACCCAGTCTCGGTTTTGGGTTGATGGGCCTCAGCTCCACCTATGGTGCCGTGCCGTAAGTCTTTTCAACCTCGACTGCCTGCTTCAGATGTGTGGTTGATCATCAATGTCACAGGCCTGATGAGGAACGACTCAAGGTCCTGGACCGGGCCTGGGAGCTGGGTGCGACCTTCTGGGACACTGCCCAAGAATACGGGGACAGCGAGGTCCTCGTCGGCAAGTGGCTGGCGAAGCATCCCGAGCGTCGCCAGGACATTTTCCTGGCAACCAAGTTCGGTATTTCGTGGACCATCAACGACGGCAAGGTCAACGTGTTCCTGGATAGCAGCCCCGAGAACTGCCGCAAGGTCTGTGGAGAGGCCCTCCAGAAGCTCGGTATTGACTACCTCGACATCTTCTATGTTCACCGTTTCGACGGGAAGACTCCAGTTGAGAAGACCATGGAGGCTTTGCTAGAGCTGAAGAAGTAATCACCCATTTATTCCACTGACTTGGATTCCTGTACTTCAATCCTGTTCTAACTAGGCATCATCATACAGGCAAGGCAAGATCAAGCACATCGGATTTTGCGAATGCTCTTCGGAGACCCTTCGTCGCGGTCTGGCCATGGGCCCTGTCGCAGCTGTTCAGATTGAATACAATCCCTGGACGCTTGACATCGAGGGCCAAGTGGGCACGCACCTGCTGGCGACCTGCCGCGAGCTCGGAGTCGCCGTAGTCACCTTCAGTCCTCTTGGACGTGGATTTCTCACCGGGAGGTTCGCAGCCCCCCGCCGTAGACGTCGGTACTCAGGCTTACACACCCTTTACTGACAATTTCTTCGCGCCAGGTACAAATCATTAGACGACCTTGAAGCGAACGATGCCCGTCGGATGCTCCCACGTTTCAACCCAGAGAACTTCCCCAAGAACCTCGAGCTCTTGAAGATCTTCCAGGATCTTGCAGCAAAGAAAGACGCTACGCCAGCGCAAGTGGTTCTGGCATGGATCTTGGCACAGGGACCAGAATTTTTTCCTATCCCAGGTACCAAGAATTTGAAGTACCTGGAACAAAACCTGGGAGCTCTCAAGGTCGAGATAACGGCTGAGGATGATACTCAAATCAGGTCGACGATCGAGTCGATGGGTGGAGCTGCCGGGGAACGACTGCCAGCAGGTGTTCCAGGTAGCTTTGCTGATACGCCACAGCTGTAGACGATTCATAAGTGTCGATGTCTGGACTGCGGAGAAAGTGGCGTTTTGTACCTGATTTCGCTATAGACGATGTGGAAATTTTGACAATACCAGCAACACATTGTCCCAGCACTACCCAATATCTGAGCCATGATTCAGCTTTAAAATTGCCGCCTCCGCGGCCCGTTAAACCTGGAATTAGAAGAACGGTAGGATAAGTGAAAGGGATAGGCACAAATGGGGGCAATGCAATTTTGGTAAGCCTCACCTCCGTGCTACCTTGAGACTGATATACCACAGGACGACTGGCCCTTCACATGGGATTTGAACCTCTCGTAAGTTCCGATTTTGTTGCAAGCTAGAGGACTGTTAATATTGGACTCATCTTCGTGAACAATACCCCCAAGATAACCATTGACGTGACTCGAACAAGGTGAGTCGGTAAAATATGGGTTGTCATATGGTTTTGGCAGTTTGTGTTGTGGCTTAATCATGGGGACGCCTGAAGTACGACTGGTATGTGGCGCTTGAGCACGAAATAAGTCCGGTAACGAATATGAGTGTGAACGCGATTGAGGGGCCGACTGTCTGAACTCCGTAGAGTTGATAGTCTCCAGCGATGCCTCTCGAGGTTGGTGTGCGTTGATGACTAAAGGGAGAGGATTATGGGCCTAATTTTCGATATCTACTCTGATATAGAGGTTCTGTAAGAGACATTCATTTACTATTAAATGCAATATCTCGATTTCAGCTGCTCGGCAATACATAGCCCAAGTGGAACACTGTGGTATAACATGTGGGTATTGGATTATCCAGGGTCTTCTGAGTGACCCTTTAAACCCTTTTATCATGATTGATCGCCATCGGCTGCATGAATCAATCTGGACAGAATTTCCGATCTCACTGTGCATTCCTTGGCGTGGGCGAGGGACTCCTGTTCCTCGAATTCGATCAGTCTGCAGCACTTTAAGGAAAATAGAACTAGGGGGCCTAAGAAGCCCGAGAGACTCCTACTGCAATCCCATTCCATTCATCGCTGATTATACTCTGGCTCATCCACTTCCTTCGAAGTGAGTTCGACGTCTCTGCTCGTCTCCAGCCTATGGCTCTCAACCCCCTCCCATAGTGCTGCATTTAGAGAACTCGTTGATGCGCATAAAAACAAACCTTAGAAGCTATAAGCCTCAGACGAAGCCATGTGGTGCATATAGCGGGCCACGACAGTGGGTACTGACACGTCTCTTATTCCCGTCCCACCCTGACCTATATATAGGATCCCCGCTTGCTAGCTAGTTTCCGCGAATTTACAGATCTTTCTCAACACAGACGGAAAATGCTTTTGTCAAGTATGGATCCCGGAACCGAAACCTGCGATCCAGCACCCACTTGCACTGAGCCCATGGCTATGCCTTCTCTTCGGTGTCAGATATGCAACGACATCATCAGCTTCATTCAAAATCCGGAAAGTGGTAGCTTAGATCTCGGAAAGTTGCTCGACGATTCCAACATCAATTGCAAGCAACACAGCGCCCTGATACGGAGCCTCCGACCACAAGCATGGGCTGGTCAAGACAAACAGGTTGAGGTCAAACTGAGCAGAGGAAAAGGCTTACAATCTGAGGTCACTTTGCAATACTCCACAGCAACCACCAGGGCGGTTTGGAGGTTCACATCCGGCCCGCTTCTCGTCACACCTTCAAACGAAACCTGCCTGCCCCAAATGAATGCTAGAAACCTGGGCCGAGGCTACGACGCAGCTTGGATTGACCCAGCGCTACTTCGCTCGTGGAAAGAGACCTGCGATATTCGACACGGTCACAGGTGCACAACGGGCATATCGAGCAAACTGACGGCACTCAAGACTTCAAGGCCTATACTGCTCTTGGATGTCCACCGAAACAGCCTTGTCGATGCGGATTCGGATGCCTCGTACGTCGCCCTGAGCTATGTTTGGGGCGGCACCAGCATGTTCCGGTGTCTCCTTTCCAACGTGAATGAGCTGAAGCAAGATGGGGCTCTGGATCCCAGCGGAGAGCATGTGCAAGTGCCACAAACCATTCGAGCCGCTATGCGGATTGTGAAAGCCTTGGGCGAGCGATTCTTGTGGGTTGATGCTCTGTGTATCATCCAGGATGACGATGTAACAAAGGGGCAGCAAATTAACAACATGGCCGGCATATATCTCAATGCTCGCCTCACTATCATTGCGGCAGATGGGGATGATGCTGATAGCGGGCTGAAAGGGGTTCCCGGCCTTGAGCTCCCAAGAAATTTTCAACCTCCGACCTGGGACGTGGGGAGCTGCAAGGTCAGCGAAGCAGCGCCAGCTGATGCACGCAGCTCACGCTGGGCTCAGAGAGGATGGACATGGCAAGAGAGTATGTTCTCCCTCCGCACTCTGACCTTCACCGGTACCACTGTCTACTGGGAGTGTAGCCAGGCCTTGTGGAGAGAAGATTCTCTTGATATGCTGGATAATAAGGAGGGAGACCACGGAGTAGCACGCATGGCCCATACTGTGCCCGACCTGGCCGAAACGAGGCTCAACGGGTACAATGAGCGAGCTTTGACCTTCCCCGAGGACATCATCGACGCGTATGCAGGGAAAGCCAAGGCGATGTCTCAATCCCTTCCGACGGGCTTCATCTCCGGCCTGCCGACGTTCTTTTTCCATATCTGTTTGCTTTGGCGTCCCGAGAATAGTATGACTCGCCGGAACGCCGTTGGCCAGGGGAAGAGCTGTCTTCCCAGCTGGAGCTGGGTTGGGTGGAACGGCAAGTGGGATTTGAGGTGGGAGATCGGAACTCAAGATCACATCCTTATCGATGAGCACGGGAAAACGCCGTGGCACAATGTGAATGTGGTTCCTTTGGTAGAGTGGCATGAGGTCCAGGAGACAGGTGCTGAGCGAATGCGGATAGCCGGCACGGCTGTGGACTGGATGCATCTGCGGGACAATGTCGATGCTGCGGGTCCTCCCGGCTGGAAGAGATTTGACAACCCGGAAGCTGGAAAAGCCATCCGGCCTGGTTCGCCACTGGCGAACATCAACCCTCAACCAAGATGCTACTGGCAGCATCAAGCTTTTGGAGACGCGAAATTTTGCTATCCCGTGCCTATCTTCAACCCTGATGGGAGCAACGAGTCACCAATGAAGAAGATCTCCCTAATCTCTGGGCGCACGAGAGCAGCTTTCGCCACGGCAGGAAACAAAATGAACGGAGATCTGGTCATACACGTGCGTAATGACAACAAGGAGTGGCTCGGTGTGCTCGAGTTGCACGAGGCGCCCACAAAGGAGAACGGCAGTGCTTGGGGGTGTCGCCTCGAGTTGATTGAGATGAGTCAGGGCGAGACTTTCCGTGCAATGAGTCCACTTTTCCCGGAGCAACTCTACGAGGAACGCCCAAAACCTCTCGATTGTGAGAAATATGAGTTTTATTTCGTAATGTGGGTTGTTCGGGGCCCAGACGATATAGCCTACAGGAGAGGAATAGGACGAGTAGTGCGGCAAAGGTGGGACGCTCTTAAACCACAGCCGGTTGATATAATCCTTGGATGAAGCTTTCGCAGGTAGTAGATGCTGAGAATGGTTGACTGTTTTTGGTCTGCAATAGAAGTAACCCGTCTGCTGTTTTTGGCTCTTATGGCGTCAAAAGCTTTAGAAATATATACCTGCTTAGAAGAGAAGGAAAGTGAACAATCTCGCCTTCCTTCAAGTTCAATGAGCCACTTCGGTCAACAAGACAGTAAGAAGAACTGGTCTATGGATTGAATTAGTCACTCGTATCAATCAAGCAATCAATGAGTCTCATAAAGTCAAAATTTTAACGGGAGGACTTTTGGAGGCGGGAGCGGGCATTGTCTTCAACCAGCCAGAGCCCCTAACCACGAAGATCATTCTAAGTAGTTGGCAGAGTTTTTGGAAGAAGAAAGGTTTTTGCTGAATCCATTTTCCGCTCTAAATTAAGTTTGTTCTTCAATCCATTCTGCCCCTAAAAAGTCTGGTTCAACCTCATTAACAATTTACATGGACTTGATAAATTCTAGCAGATTGGAGATTATTTCAAAAATCGATTCGAAGCCACTGTCTTGGGCTACAAGTCAGTGCCGTCGAGCTCACGAGAGCGCTATGTGTCCCGTGGGGTTCATGATGACTCCTCTGAAAGATCTACTCACACACGGTATGGTGTTACCATGGGACACGCAGTGTTGCAACAGTCTCAGAACGCATGACTAGTCGTAGTCGTTCCAGATTGTATCAAAATTGAGACCTTCATTGGTGTTATCATGTGAAACTACCCCCCGGGAAATCAAGTGAAAGAGTGATCAATACTGCTCATCGCCAATCGTCCAGGCGGGTGATTAGGAAGCCCAAGCCAGCTCTTACAGAGATCTTGTCGTTTTGCTCGAGGATGTTAGATACCACAGCTGACTTATTCGCACTTGTCATCAACACCTTGATCATCTGTGGACCTTCAAAATTGTGGACCATCCATCTTAGCTGATATGCAATGAAGCGCATGCTCTCGCCCCATCCATCACGCTCGCCCTCGAACTCAGCAATCTCATCAAGTATGCATATCGTAATCTTGGCTGGATTTATTTGGGAGAAGATGCTGGCGAATACCTCGCAAAGATCGGGGACGTCATCGGGGTCCGCTCTGTCCAAGAGTTCGTTGTCCAGGTGCAGATCCAATGGAAGGACATCATCTGACTTGTGGAGGAGCTGTCCAAGCAGGCTTTTGATGAGCCCCAATGGTCCGGCAGGGAGGTTTTCTGAATTAGAGCTGTGGTGGCTGCAGAAGTATTTCAGAATGACGAGGGATGGCGACTCGTCGAGGGCGGAGGCGGACGACGCACAGAAGACGGAGAGAGGACTAGTCTTGCCGTAACCGTGGTTCTTGCAATGACCATCGACTAAGATCAGCTTTGATTCGTCTTTACTCAACCAGTCGGTGACTTCTGCCGTAGACAAGATTTTCCGAGCCTGTTCAAGCCCCTCTGTCGTAACGTTGGTTGCTTGCCGGTGCACTCTCTCAACATCCTCATTTACCGAGTAGATCTCAGATACCCTTAAATGTTTTGCCAATTCGTTCTTGGTGATACATAGCTTCTCAGCCGCGAATAAATATAAAGGACTCCGAGCGGCCGGATCAGTGGTGTAGCCAAGCCCTGGAACTTCTGTCAGAATTTTGGATCGGTCAGACTAGGCAGATATAATATTTTTGTTTTTTGATTATCCTTTTCTTTCTTTCTTTTCACGTCTCTTCGTTTTTCATCTTTAGGGTTGTGTGGTGGAGTGCGAGACTTACTTCGACAGTATTCACTCTCCTCAACAAATCGATAAAGGCCAGTCTGCATTTTTGATGACCAAATTTCCCTAAAGCACTCCCTGAATACGTTCCTCATGCCTTCATCATCTTGAAGCTGAGACTCACGTTGCTGAGTAGCGATGTCACCGATGGCGCGCATCATGATTCCGTAGTGCCTATGTATGGCTTGTCGAATAGCTTTGACCTCTGACGAAGTACTAGTAGATGCGTCGTTGATTCTTGCCAGTGCCTCATTCTCGAGTCTATCGATATAAATCTTGAGCACCTTTTTAGCTTCCGCAATCATGTTGGTCGCGTGGTCTATGCGTTGTGACTCCACAGCAGGTGCGCGACGCATGTTCTTGGAGATGACTTAGACCACTCATTTGTCAGTGGGTTGTAATCATCACGGAAGAAGCCACAAGAGCTCACAAGAACCTCTTTGTGTCCGAAGTAGGACCTCAATTAATATGGTCATCGAATCCACAACGGTTCCGCAAAGGTTCTCAACTGCCCCCTGCAACCGTTTGTCATGAGGGTACAGTTTCCACTTCTCAGTCGCCTCTGAGAGCAATAGTGGCAAGTCATCAAGCTGTTGAAGAATTTCATCCTTGTTCTTGATTCGTTGTTTCCACGCCTCAGATGCGGTTAGTCAGGGATCGATAGTGAAAGACATCGGTGAGGTCGAATTACCTGGAACAGTAATACCAGTCCTTGACGCAATGCACTAAGTCCTTTCTCATCAGGTATCATGCTTGCAAGGGACTCCAGAATATCTGCAGTTGTACCCGCCTCTCTGGTCCAAGCCCTGACTTTATTGTTCTTTCCCTTGTCATCGTAGGATGCTTTTACGGCGGCAATGCAATTCAGCACATCTTCCCAGCCACAGCCTTGTGGCTTGTACTTCAAGTCGGCGATGAGAGAAGTATCCCGCAATGCCTCTGATAATTTTAAATTCAGAAGGCTTGGAAATTGGTTAGCCGCCGTCCGCGTTCCCAGAGAGATTAGCACAAACTTTGATGGTAGGGGCCTGAATTCGGCTCTTTGATCATCAAGGAGAGCCTTATGCCGAAAACCCGGGTGCAATGCATCTGCTGATGTAGCCTTGAAGTTTTCAAACATCTGAATTTCATGATCTTCTCTCATAAGCTCCCTAAGCCCTTCGGGAGCAAGATCAAAAGATTCCATTTCCTTATCCTATGTAAGACAATGCCGGAAAGCAACTGACGTTCTGATTGCATACAGCACGAATCGTAATTCATTTACTATCAATGTCTATAAATATACCGCAGATTGATCTGCCGTATATCCACCACTTGAGCGGGATTTTCGGCCAAATATCAGGTCTGCAAAGTCGGATTACATCAAGATGTCCCACTTTATTATCTTCCGTGGCAGGGTGAAGACAAGTGAAAGGAAAATAGCCACTTATGTGTCCTTCAACCTCGTGTCCGCCTAATTCATGTCGCCTAATCCGCCCTGTTTGTATGCAACGAACACCAAATCTGGCTCTCGTCCGTCTGACTGCATGCTGGTGTTGCCACATAACCAATTGGAGGCCATACCGGCCTGAAGACAAATGTAGTGTAGCACGGCCGGTGTGCGAGCCTGCATAATCGATGCAAATCATTCCATTCTCCACTGGCGCAGTGTTGAAAACCCCCACCCATTGCTGCGATAGGGCGACTTTGCTGTCGTCGATCTCGTTACTCAACCTGATGGTGATTAAATTTGGATCGAATGTCATCTCACATCTTTCATCTGTTGTAGAGTCATTTGCCTTCGATTCTCATTTTGGAATTACCAGTCACCCTTCTCCTCAACCAAGAAAACCACGAATCTTTGTAGAGACCCCTGAAACCGCCAACTTCAAATATCCACGGCTTGGACTCTATCAACGTTCAGAAGAAGGTCTGATTCACAGCAACAATGGGAAAGGATCAATGCTCGAACACAGTACCACCACGCAGCCCTTGTTCCGATCCAGCAGAAACCGTGAAGGCCAGGGACCTGGATACCACTGCGCAGCTTCCGGCCTCCGAATCAGGTATTGCCTCAGAGAACGAAGAAGTGCAGACATGTAGCGCTTGCAAAGGAACGCTCCAGCGTGTCGCGACGAAAGAAGACATTTGCAGTCAGGATACCAAGTGCAGGACGACGCCGAGTGAACACCTGAGCTCCCTTCGGACAATTAGTGATGGAGTTGATGAGCTGGCCGCAACAGTCAATGATTTGCTTGGTCTTTCCGATTCAGATGAAGTGTATACCGATTGCAGTTCTGAATCCGACGGTCGAAGCAGGTTCTCGTGGAGAAGGTTCAAGTCCCGTGCAAAAAAACGTCGAAAGCAAAGGCGGCAATTGAGGAACGCAAAGGGAAGTGGCGACTCTGGGGCTGCCAAAGATGGCACGGACGTAGGTGATGAAAGCGCGAGGAAATCTCGAGAAATCATACCTGAGCTAAGGTATTGCAACTTCGAACAATTCCAATCACGACCTGCGGGAGACGATCAGAAGTTACCCTGCGTCGATGTCCTGATCGCAGATGATTCTCTCGACGATGAAGTCCGAGACTTCTCAAAGCTCATTGAAAAGATGAAAGCAGGTACAATCAAATCCTGGACGCCAAGTCGGGCAGCGACGCTGCCCGAAGACGCAACCCCTGATCATAGCACTAAGAAATGGATTCGGCGCATAAGAATCAACTCTCAAGCTGTGATGGAACTAGTAAATCACGTTTGTTTCGAAGATGATGAAATCACGAGTCAGCCAATGGTCTTTTTCCGACCTTTCCAGGTCCTGGTGTTCCGGTACAAAGACATGCAAGAGCAACTAACAAGGATTCAAAAACTTGCATCAGAGGGTGGTGGTTTTGGAACGAACCATTTAGGCTCTGAAGAGCCTAAGGACTCAAGCATCACCGAGAACGGAGACTGGGAAAGCAAAGTGAAGAAATTGCGCGAAGAAAAGGGTGCTCTTGACGAGCTGCAGTGTTTCTTGGGCTTCATGGAGAGTCGCATCATGCCTGATTCACGTCGGTATAGGGATTCTTTGTCTCCCCCACCCCGAACGATTCGGTACGAAGATTTGTGGTACCTGTTCAAACCCGGAGATCTGGTCTATGTTTCTCGCGACATGTGGAAACACCAGAATTCTCGGCGCAGAATGCCTTCACAGCAAATCTTACGAGTAGTGGAAACTCACCTCACCAACACGTCTTTGCAAATGTCGCCACAGGGATTTACTTTGGAAAACCCTTGGTCCTTAATTTGCCACTTCTATGAGTATGATGGTACGACCTACATGCCCCAGTCATTAATCTTCGACCCTTTCTTGCCATTCCGCGGCAAGAAGAGGGTGACAGAATTGATGTTATACCCAGTGTCATACTTGGAAGATGACAAGATAATGGCACAAGCGCAAACAGGCGGTCAGACATATGTCGATCTCATTGAACGACGGTCGGGATTCTACAGTGGCTGGACGGAGACACTAAACCCACGTGGTCAACCACTCACGGATGAGTCTTCAGAAGGTCGGTTATTGGGCCCGAAGCACATTGAAAGCGAGATACTGGTCGACTATCAAGAGACGTTCAATGCTTTTCCGACTTGGAGGGTGCTGCCGTACCCGGGGATTGGCGGTGATCAACTAACGCGCACCGGCTTCTACTTGTTCGAAAGCGAGGACCAACCTCTGGTCGAATTGGACGAAGTGGGAGTTGCAACGTATGAGAAATTCGACCAATGTCTCGCAAGAGATATGACGGAATTTACCGAATCGAGAACCTTTATGGAAAAGGATTTGTTTGTGAGATTCAGTCGGGATAGCACAGCAGCCCCATCTGGACATATACTGGCATTACTCCCAAGACGCTTTTTTGCATACGCTGTTCTCGAACGTCGATTTTTGCAACTTGATACCCGCTTCGTACGAAATGCAGATCTTGAAACTAACGACAAAGCCTTCGAGAAGCTCGAAATCAACCCGAAGTACAAGAGGCTAATTCTCGCGCTCGTAAAGTCGCACTTCGACAAGGTCGAGACAGAAAAGAGGACCAATGTCGAAATAGAAACACAAGACTTGATTCGAGGCAAAGGAAAAGGCGTCGTCATTCTGCTACATGGTGTTCCGGGCGTTGGGAAGACCGCGACGGCAGAAGCAGTCGCTCTCAAGTGGAAAAAGCCTCTATTCCCAATCACTTGTGGGGATCTGGGGTACACAGCCGAAAAGTTAGAACGTTCCCTGCACGATATCTTTCGACTAGCACATCATTGGGGCTGTATCCTTCTGCTCGATGAAGCCGACGTCTTCATTACCCAAAGGGAGAGGCATGATTTGAAAAGAAATGCTCTAGTCTCGGGTAAGTCCGAGAAGTTCTACATTGGATTTGGAGTTCTGAGCTGCATACTGAAATTTTTCAAGCATTTCTCAGGGTCTTGGAGTACTACAACGGGATAATCTTTCTCACGACTAATCGAGCAGGTGTTCTGGACGAAGCCATCAAGTCGAGAGTGCACTTGAACCTTCATTACGGCCATCTCGATGAGGAGCAGACAGTGGCCATCTTCAAGCAACATATCCTTCGTCTCAGGGACATTGAAAAGCAGAGGAATACGGACAAAAGCGAACAAATTGTGGTCCTACACCAAGAAATTATCCAGTTTGCTAGAGACCATTTCAACAAGCGTGATAACAAACACGGCCCAGGAAGCAACTTTGGCAGGTGGAATGGAAGGCAAATTAGGAATGCGTTCTTCATAGCCTCTTCCCTGGCTCACTACGACAATGTGGATGAGGATAAAGACAACACCAATGACGAACTGGCTGACCCGAGCGTAAAGGTGCAAAAGCAACTGGGCAGAAAACACTTCGAGCTTGTTGCCGAGACCACGCTTTTGTACGACCAGTTCAGGGAGGCTGTTCATTCTGGGAAGTCGGACGACCACGTTGCGCTCGAGAGAGAGGAGCGGGCAAACCCATCTCAGAACAGATCACGTACTCCAGATCGATTCAAAACACCAAGGCAGAGCCTCAGTTCGTAGACTAAGAATGGATGACCAATAGACTACAAACTTGGGCCCTGTTTTTTTTTTTTCATGGTCGGATAGAGATGGGTTCGAGTCGTTCTTTTTCTGATGACCGCCTATTATTAATAAGAAATAGGCAAGAAGGAAGTTGTAATGTTCGGGCTACCTGTCATGACTGAATCTGAAGGTTGAACTTGATGCTATCTTCGGCAACTGCAAACCACTATGATTGCTCGGAGACTTGTCTCCCAAGTCTCGCGGTCTTCATTGCGTACTGTTCCTCATAATGTAGCTCTTCTTCAATGAAAGTGATGCAAGTTGAATACAAAATCGTTTCCTTGACGCAACAAGTCATATAAAAAAATATAAAGTCGGGCGGCCAGTGTTTTCTTGAAACAGGAGGGATGAGAACAAGAAAGATTTGCATAGGACTTTTTGTGAAATCTAGGTACGATGGTATTAGAAAGTACAGACTTGTTTTTTATTCCTTGTCTTTTGTTCCTTGTCCTTTATTCCTTGTCTTTTATTCCTTGTCTTGTATTCTTGTGGGTGCGGTCCTAGCTTTATATCCCAGATGCCTCAGATGCCCGTGGGCAAGGAAGACCTAGCGTGGGACGGTAGATGGACTTTAAATTGAAACTCTAAACTTAGTCTGGAAACAACGATCTCGCGCGGAGATAATCATGCACTCTTGGATAGACCAAAGAAGTTTTTGTGGCAGTGTGCACAACTCTCAATTGAATTTCCCTACCATTAATTTCGTGTCTTCCCTCGTCACGTGTCACCTCGGCAAGCTCCAATCTCTCATCAAAGAAACAGTATCACCACAATAGTTCCTCTCCCCTTTGACATATCTCTCTCCACCGAACGACCAAGACAAGATGTCTCCTGACTCATCATCGTAGCAAGGCGCGTTCGCGAAGAAAGTCGTCAGCCTAGATCCCAAGCCCCGAATGCATTGAACCTGTTCCGCCAGGAACACGTAGATGGCTACGCGCTTGATAGACCCCGTAGCGACATTGACGGTCACTGCGAGCTCAGACGCGTCCGGGCTTAAGTACCGGGTCATGTGAGCGATCTCATCCTCTGCCAACGCCGCGGCTTGCTCTGGGCTAGCCAATGCGACAAAGCTCCTGACTCCCTCCGGGCTCAGCGCATGCTTCTTGGTGAAGTACAGGTTCACCGTGCCGCCGTAATAGTCGACGGCGATGTGTCTCATCAGATCCAATCCAAGGCTATGCAAAGTGTTTTTGTGACGAGTAATGGTTGAGGGGATGCCTGGGGCCCCCAAAATGTCGTCTGTGGGCTTGAGGGGACCGAAGTAAAGCCAGCACTTGACAAGGCCCTTCTTGGCACAAAAGTCACAGGACTGCTCAACTGTGCCGTCGTAGAGGTCGCCCCAAGCTTTTAGTAGCGGAAGCAAGGGATGCGTTGGGTCTAGGAGCCCGGCCTCGATCGCTGGGGTGATGGTGTCGATGTTCTTGCGCTCGTAGAACCTGTAATTGAGTGCATCGCCTCGACGATTTGTAGTTCGCCAGTTGATGGCTCCTCTGAGGAAACTACTAGGGTATGTCTCGAGGACCTTCCGGGTAGTCGACTCTGAGAAGGGAGCTCCGACAGCGAGGCACATCTTCTCTACATCTCCGATGAACCTCGCTTCCGAGAAGGCCCCCGTGGTCTTCCCTAGTGAACCCATGATGTTGGGACAATGAATTGTCGTAGTCCTCCTTTGGACTGTGGTAATTGAATGGAAAGAAGACTGAGCAAAATTGATTGAAGTTTCTGGTGACGCTTCAAGGAAAGCCATCTAGGAAGCTCCAACCCTCGTTATCAAAAGTGGCGCGATGCTGTACTTATATCCACGCTTCGCCGTCCCTGAAATAAACTCCACGGTACCTTTCAAAGCACATGCATCTTTTGACGAGGTCTCAACCTTGGACTTGGGTCTTGAAAGTTATGTCAGCTCTTAGTAAAAAGTGCTTCGAGCAGAATACTGGTGCCATTGGCAACAATGATCTCGCTATCTTGAGATAAACTTCGCCATCTAGCATACCTTGGCAGGACTTGCATAACAGCATTCGTTGGCACGACCTGGATCTACCCTCGTCCGAGATAACCAGTTCTGTTTCAGGCCATTGATAAGATCGGACTCGACGTGACTGGCATGGGCCCACGGCTGCATCTCTACACATGTCAGACGGCGGCTGGTTGATTCAACAACACATCGGCCTTTCATGGCGCGATCATCGCTTGAGCAGTTTATTGAAGCTGCATGAGTGCTGCAGCCATATCGGATCGACGTCACTGAGGTAGAATCCAGCCTTGTAATCTCCGGAACCGTCCTCTCTTAGAAACGCGCTAGAAAAGTTACTTAAATACCTCGGCCGCCCAGCCTGGTTTGGCAACCAACCCTCCAGAACTACCCGCGCAGCCTGGCATACCCGGGCCTATTTAGGAAAATGTAAGTGTCTAAATCCCACCTTCCTCATAAGCTCAGGATATGTGGAGACAGTTTCCCTTAGCTGCTTCATCGACCACTTGAGTGCAGCTGCAAGGTCTCTGATAGTGTGACTCAAGATGTGCCAAACAGACTACACTAGCTGTTCCCAATCCGCAGGAGAAGAATGGCACGGCATATCACGCCATGAACGGTTACTCTCCTTCTCCACCCTCCACGGTAATAGAAAGGAGTAACTATAACCCTTGGTGAAAATGAGAAATCACCCGCGGCTCGATAAAGGTGGTCGTCCGACGAGACTTTACTTCGATAGACGAGTTTCCCTGTGCCCTTTTAATTCGGAGGTCTTGACCATGCATGCTGTCTGAGTCGCATGTGAAGGAAGACTTGGCAACGTTTGCGGCCTGGGAGGATGCCCTGAGCGATGTTCAGGTAAACCTTGCCATGAATTGAAGAACAACCGTCATGTTTGGATCAAATTGAGCTCACAGCATATTTCAACAGTCATGAAGCCAGGAGTTTTTTTTTGTTCTTCAAATCTGGTCTGATCTAATGGCTGCAAAAATAATGGCGAGCGCGACAGCAAGTGAAATATTGATCACCTTGAAAGGCCGTCAATGCTGAGCAACGCAGAAGAGTCGATATCTGCACAACGCCCTGGAAACTCAAAATCGTCCTAGTCATATCTGATACAATTCTATTTTCTATACTCGCTCTTAACCGCTGAGAAAATCAATTCTGCTTATTGGGGAGCCAGCCCCATAGCCTTGGGTATATTTGTGTCTCCCAAAACGCCTACGGACTCATTGCCTCATCGAGCGACAATGCCATAGATATATCTCTGAACGCTCCACTTTTGTTCCGGTTGAACCCAAATTCCCTGCGTAGGGTGTACCTGTCACTGGATTTGAATTCTGATGAATGCAGACAAGTAACATGCATGCGATCCAGGGATGATCGTCCCGGCCTGATCAATCGTGGCCAAGTTGCAACAGCATATCAGTTAAAGCAGACTGGACATCATTCACCTACAATCGAAGCCGTTAGTCGAGCCATATCCTTTGATATAATTCGGAAGGTTTGCTTACCAGTGGAGGTGACATGATTGAGAAGTGATTCCCGGGGATGCACTTGGCCACCACGGCCCGATGTGTAAGCTTGTCCCACCCCGCCGCACCAAAGTCCTTCCTCTTCCCCAGGAGCCAATCCTTGGCCTCCCCAGCAATCTCATCGCCGCTCATTACTGCGTCCCGCTTGGCCTGGTCAACAACACCCTCGAGCACGCTGTCTTTGGCCCAGACGGTGACCACTTTGCCCAATGCCGCAGACGCTGGTATCTCCTGTGGGGTGTAGTGCTCCAGCGCGCGAACGCTGGCCAGGAAGTGCCTTCTGGTCAACGCCGAGACGTTGCTCTTTCCATCGATGCCAGAGAAAAGACCCGCTTTGTCCAGGACGTCGAGCGTCGGTGCAGGCAGTGGCGGGAGGGTCCGTGGGCAAGGACTGTCGATCAGCCCGAGCATTTCCACGGTCTCTCCCGCGGCCAAAAGCTGCCGTACCGCCTCATAGGCCAGAATCCCACCCATAGACCATCCTGCTATCATGTAGGGCCCCGAGGGCTGTAGGTTGCGAACGGTACGGAGCATGATCGTTGCGACTTCTTGCAGGCCCAGGTCGTAGGCGTCGGGATCCGAGACAAACGGCGAGCTGAGAGCGTATACGGGCAGAGATGATGCGGTCGTCACCGGAGGCAGGTTAATGTAGGACAGGGCGGAACCTGAGCCGTCTGGCAGAAGGAACAGAGCTTGACCGTCAGGACTTGGTGTGCCTTGTATCAGGATTGGCTTGCATTCATACCGTGTTCCCCCTGTCACTGGCTCCTTTTCAATTTCCGTGCGACATTCGAAATCTTGTGACGAATTCGACATCAGAGGAGATTGTTTAACAAAGTTTAAGGTAGCATCCACATCATTTGGCGTTTGATGCTCGTTGAAGAACGATGATGGGAGGTTGATGCCCCCTTCTTGCCGGAACATTGTTAAGACCGTGATGGTAAGCAACGAATCCAGACCAAGTTCGGAGAACTTTGTCCACGGCGAGATCTCAGCCCGACCGACACCGACTTCTCTGGCGATGATCGACATGAGAAGTTCAGCGGAGTCTGAGGACCCGCTGCTCCTGCTACCCACGTCAATTGCGCTGTCAGCTTCTGACAGCCTGGAGCTCGAGGACACAGAAGTTGAGGTCCTAAGCCTACTCACAGCCGCAGGAAGAAACGATCTGGACCGTGCCCTGCTTGAGCACGAAGTATCCCGGGGACGCCATGGTCGAGGTTCAGGCTCGACCGGGCTCTTGGCCTCAATTTGGCTTTGGAAATACACTTTCAGATCTCCGACTGTTGGGAATTGAGTGAACAATGAGCTTGCCAAGTCTATGCCGGTGAGCTTCCTCAGTTGCTCGAGGATTGTGATAGTGAGCAGCGAGTCGATCCCGAGATTTGACCACTCTGTCGCAGCATCAGTAACATCTTTGGAATCCAGCCCTGCAGCCTCCGTAATGACTCCAAGAACATCCACGAACCCGACATGCGACTTTTGTGTGTCAAGAGTCGGGAATGGTGTGGTGCCTAGAGACCGAGAAGTATTGACGCGGCTCAGTGGGGCCGCTGACGGTGACCTGGACAAAGTTGGCGGAGTTGGTGGCGCCGAGGGAGACAGCTTGCTAGGTAAGGCATGGCCAAGCAGGTTGTAGAGCAGTGGTCGTCTCATTTGCTTGAACTTGAGCCCCATACACAAAGCAACCACCGTGTTGCCACTGTAGACGTACACATCACCGGACCACACGCCGGGTTGTGCCTCTGAAGGCTGCATACAGACGTAGCAAGCGTAGCTCTCTTGGTCGGACAGGCGACGGAGTATTCTCATGCTCTGCCAGCCATGGGAGATGTATACATCATCTTGTCCAGAGGGCGGGTTGACATTCAAGGAGAAGCCACCAAGCTGTGCCAATGTGTCGATCCAAAATGGGTTGTGAACAAAGTTTTCCGGTTCCGCAGGTGTATCGAAGCAGAGCCGGGCGCTCGACTCCGGGCGATCGGAGCTCAACAAGAGGTCTTCCATCCCAAAATAACGAGGCGAATAGTCGACAACTGTCTTGAAGAGTTTATAAACCATTTTCTTCTTCAGCTTGTGCACATCACCCTCAGGCTCCTTGCGACGGAGCATCTCAGCACGGTCTTGGATTAGATACAGATTTTTGTTGGCATCAGAGAAGGTGGCAGCCTGTGAGGTGAGACGAACGGTACACCGCGCATTTTGACGGTAGGTCTCCTCTTCGTCATAAGAAGTGCTGAAGATGAGTTCCACGGGACTGGAGAGAGAACGCTGCGTTGCTGTGACTAGCAAGACTTGTCTCTGGTCGGCATCGGTCGAGACGACGCATGGGCTGAAGATCTCCATATCTGAGAGATCCATGGGAGGCACTTCATTTGCTCCGATAGCGGAATCTCTCCTTTGAAAGATGTATAGCGCACATGAAAAGGCCATAGAGGCGTACACCGAACTCGGGCAGAGGCTGATGCCACCGACGACGTGACCGTGGACCATGTCAGCAAGTTCAGGACGGTTCAAGTCGCTGATGAATTTCACCGATGCTTCCGTCACGTCGAAGTTCTCTTCCTCGATTTCCTGCCAGCATGGCGATGAGAACTGTGGTACCAATTTGGAAGCAACTGTCTCCGCTGGAGCAGCTGCACGTTCTTTGCGGCTGGTGTAGTCGAGCCAGTAGTTTTTCAAGTCGAAAGCATAATTCGGAAGCTTGACAACAGACAAGTTGTGCTTATAGTCTCGATGGAAGTTGGTCCAGTTGATGTCAACGCCTCTAGAGTAAAGCGTAGCTAGTGTAGATGAAATGCTCTTCCAAATACCCTTCTTGCCATCCAGCGTCGCGAGTGTATTGGATGCGACTGTACCAAGAGACTGCCTCACGAGAGACAGAGATGTAGACCCTGGGCCCATTTCAAGCCACAGCGTATTTTCATCCGCCTTCTGTGCTGTTTGGCAAGCATTGACTGCCTGAGAGAATAGAACTGGCTCTCTAGCTTGTCGTGAAAGATAGGAAGAGTTGAAAATTCCGTCTTCTTCCACAACGGACCCCAGACGGCTCGATGCAACGGGTACTTTTGGCGTCCCAAAATTGACACTGGCAGTGCTCCTCTCAAATACGTCCAGGATAGGATCCAACTGTGCCGAGTGGAAGGCGAAGGGGACATCCAAAAAGACCGCCGTTACACCAGCCGCCTGTTGCTGTTTCATAAACAGCTGCAGCTCTTCTTCCAAACCAGCGACGACAGTGGCGGTCGGTCCATTGACGCAGGTGATTTCGAGCGACTGCAATCCGGTCGTCTCCAATGCCTTCTTAACGTCTTCTGCCGACATTCGTAGTGATAGCATCTTGTGTGTTCCACGCGAGCACATCTCCTGCATGAGAGATGCCCTCTTGCCGACAAGGAAAGCCAGGTCAGCTGCAGAGATGACTCCCGCCGCGTATAGAGCTGCATACTCACCCAGACTGTGGCCGATGACGAGGCCTGGCTCAACTCCCCACGACCTCCAAAGTCGTGCCATGCCGGCCTCGAGCAGGGCCAGACAAAGCTGGCTCTCTAGTGGTGAGGGGCTCGACGCAGACGTCTCTCCCAAGAGCGTTGAAAGAATCGATGGGAGACTTTGGGCCATACACAACGAATCCAGTTCGGCGAGAATGCGCCTGAATGCAGGGGAGCTGTGGTAGAGGACCTCGGCGACGCCAACAATGCTGCTTCCCTGGCCTGGGAAGGCGAACACGATGGCTGGTGGCTTTTGAGTGGAAGTAGTGGTTGGTCTTGCCTCACTCCATTCTGTGCAGTCTCCCTCGAGCTTTGTTGCAAGCTCTTCTATGGATTTGACGGTATATGCTTTCCTCAGGGGATGATGGAGCCTCCTTGCAGTGGTCGTGTATGCAACATCTGCTAAAGAGATTGGGGACGTAGATGCCACCATAAAGTCCCGGAGACGTTCCACATTGCCTCGGAGCGAACTCGGTGTTTTTGCAGATATTGTGACCACTTGTGAGGTACGCGGATCTATAACATTCTCTAGCACGTTGTCACCGGCAACTAGAGCCCTGTCTTCCAGAAGGATGCTGGTGTTCCCACCAGCGGCGCTGAAATTGTTGATCATAACTTTTCTGGTCTTTCCAGATTGCCGCTGGAATGGAGAATTTGTCGCGATTTTGTACTTGTCCGAAAATTGAGGTAGGTTTGGGTTCACTTCACTCTTGATGCCGATGTGTGGCAAGAATGTATTTCGTTGAAGCATCATGATGGTTTTGATCAGAGATGAAACGCCGGCTGCAGCCTCTCCATGGCCGATGTTAGGCTTGATGGATCCGATCACCAGGGGACGAGCTCGTGGTGTCTGGCACATAGCATTGTAGACAGAAGTGGACTCAGCGCCGTCCCCAGCCTGAGTGCCTGTGCCGTGGCATTCCACGTAATCGACCTCGGCAGGCTCGAGGCCCCCTTGAGACAGCACATCCCGGAATAAGCGTTGCTGAGTCTCAATATGCGGATGCGTGATAGACACTGCCTTGGCTGAGTGGTTAGTTGCTGAGGACCTAATCACAGCAAGGATGGGATCGCGGTTGGCCACAGCATCTGAAAGTCGCTTAAGCACAATGACGCCGACACCCTCTCCTCTGCAGTACCCATCGGCACTACTGTCGAAGGTCTTGCATGGCCCTGTCTTAGAGAGAAAGCTGCCTCTGCTCAGGCCGGCGTACATGTTGCAGCCTGTGAGGATGTTGGATCCGCCTGCAACAGCCATGTTGGACTCGCCAGAACGCAATGAGTTGCATGCAAGCTGGATGGCGAGCAGGCTTGAGGAGCAGGCGCTGTCTACGCTGTAGGATGGGCCATCCCACTTGAAGTGGTAGTTGACGCGACCGGCGCTAAACGCCCGGATGCCTCCCGTGACATAGTACATGTCGACATTTTCGGCGGCATTATACTCCCTCCAGTCATCAACGGTCTGCCCGAAGAAAGTGCCAACTCTCGTGTCTCTTTCTTTTTCATTTGCACTCTGCGTATAACCGGCCATCTCGAGAGCTTCGTATGTTGACATGAGCAACAGTCTTTGACCAGGGTCTGTCGAAGCTGCCTCGCGAGGTGACATGTTGAACAGACGAGCGTCAAACATGCCTGGCCGGTCGATAAAACATCCATAGGGGGATATCGATGACATTTCGGAACTATCCTCGTTGTATGCTTTGATGTCGAACCGGTTGCTAGGTATTTGGTGACAGAGGTCAACGCCTTGTTCAAGAACTGTCCAGAACTCGTCCAGAGATTCGGCACCCGGAAACCTTCCGGACATCCCGATAATTGCAACTCCTTCAGATGATGACTGCGCGTCTTTGGTATATGTCGCTGGGGGCTGGGAAGGAGAAGGATTCAGGTGCAATCTGCTGCGAGCTGCTCCAAGATGGGACTCGAGGCGCCGGTGCAGGCCAGCTGCTATTATTGGTATCAGATGAATAGAATTCTCGCCATCGAGCGATTTCCCGCATGCTTGAAGTAGCTGGCCTTCCTGAATCTTGTTCATGAAAACATCGTCAATTATTTGTGGGAGGAGGTCTTGAAATCTTTCTCCCTGCATTGGGTTTCCAGAACTTGAAGAGAGTAAAGGAGACCTTATTCTGAGGTTCACGCCCATGCTCTTTGTATTTTTACACGGATCGTTTTGTGTCATGATATTGGGCAGATGATCTCCGTGGAAAGGAGCTGCAATCTGAAGAGGGATGACGGGATGCTGACGGCCTCGATTCGAAAATGCTGACGAAGAGAAAAGAATGTTTAAAGTTGATGGTGGACCGCTGACTGTGCAGGATGTCGAAGTCACGGCGCTGATGTATGCAGCTTTTAACGAAGAAATGTTCTAAGGGTGTGGTCAGTTGTAAAATTCAAAGCGATTTTCAGGGCCTGTGAAGGTTCGAGAAGCTTACATTGCTGCAGTTGAACTGCCTCAAAATATCGCTGACTTCATTTTCTGTCAGACCACTGACCACTCTTGCCCAACTGGCTTCACTTGTCTCGATCATTTCTGCCCGCTTATACGCCTCAACGCCCAGTCTTATTGCGAAGTCGATCGTTCCAGGGGAGAGCTGAAGAACTTGGACCAGGGATTGTGAGCAAGCCGCTACGGCGGCAGCGAGAAGACCGGTGCACCATCCCACGGCAATGGAGTTTTGGAGACATTCTGGCTCATCCTCGAGTTTTCTGCTCCCATATGATTAGCTCGTGAAGTTTTCTTTTCAAAACTGGATGCACGTACAACACAAGATGCCCGAGCTGTGCAACGCACAGTAGAAGTGTTTGCACAACAACATCTGGACATTGTTTTTGGGAAGAAGACTCGGCCAATGTCAAAAATGAGTCGAAATGAAATTTGGTCTTCTCTGAGTCGCCACAGAGTTGCTCAAGACTCCGACGCGCAGCATCGGCAGAGACTCTGAGAAAATGTTGAATGTATATGGATGATGGAGCCCGCTTGTAAAGCGTTTGTATGGCGGGGAGAACGCTCTCAGTTTGGTCTCCAAAGAGAACAATATGCTGATGTTGGGTCGGGAGTTCCATGGTGATGTCAGGAACGCCGGGTGATAGTGCTTTCTACTGCTTTGGCCTTCTTGTTGCTGGTTTCCTGTCATCTACGAAGGGATATCTCTTGATAGATATGCTATGAGCATCTTGCTGCTTTCGCTGGGCAACCACGAGCGCAGAACATGGATCAGCCAGAGTGGATCCTCGAAGGCGTGCAAAGGGACAGGACATGGGCAGGTTCGAGATAAGGCTGTGAGACCAAGCCTCCCGATCAGTCGCCGTCCGCAGTTCAGGGATCCCTGACCAACGGCGATAGGCATCCTGTTGACATTGGCCTCGTAGACATGATACTGGTTTCAACGTTGGGATGAAGGGCGTGGAATTGTTGTGTCAGAAAACGGTGCAACAGTGATACCCCATAGATCACCAACGCCATATATATCAAAAATACCCAGATTTATTATAGCGATCTGACAGACCTAGCGTTTATGCTGCGATCTTATGGCATACGAACTGATCATTCTATGCAGAGCCAGATGCTAGATATAGGCTAAAGTTCCTTGTCTGGGAGCCAGCCTGGCATTTTTACGCCGAGAAACTAAGACCTGCATCAATTTCAGTCCCATTTGATCTGGATAGTGGCATGCACCATCACCAGTCAAGGCTAGCCTTCAATAGCAAATATGTACTGGTCGCCCCCACGGTAGTCAAGCTTCAAGATGGTCGTCCAATCTTTGCCCGACTAGTGTCGTCTCAAACTCTGCTTGACAGATGTTAGATGGTCGTTCGGTCGGTGTCATCTTATTTATGCTTGCCAAGACAACCTTCGGGCTGTCCAGTCTCAGCAGGGTTATCACTGTTTCTTGCAGTTGAGCAATGATTCAGTGTCCGACACGAAAACGACGCTACTGTACTCAGCTCGGCCGAAACCTGTCGAGGTCCAAATACAGGGATCTGGATCAGGCCAAGCATCGGGTGCCATCCGCTGATGTTACGGAACGGCCGAAGGAACTTTTCGGGAAGATCCACCCTGCCTAGCTCTAGATGCCTCGGAGAAATGATTTAAGCATGACCTGGCAGGGTAGGATTATCAGAGATATGGACCATTAAGCTTAAGTCGTCTCAAAACAAAAGACGAAACGACTGGGCGGATACCTCTGGGCGGATGTCTCTGAGTTAGGAAATTCGGCGCTGGTAATCATCTTCACCGCGGATCAAAACCGGTCATGATGCAACAAGAATATCCGCAGCCCCCTCTAAATTCGGCGCCACGAGGCTGGACCCTGTGTTTGCCGTTAATGACTGCCTTCTGAGCCGCCCAGCCAAGTTTGTCGACGCATTACGATCATCTTCCTCCACGCTCTGCCAGCCCAGCCCTGTCGATCAGGTTCTTCGCCTCCGATCACAAGATCTCCACAAGCCAGCATCAAGAATGCAGTCCGTGAGTCTTGCTAATCTATAGTTGAGCGAGCATTCCGACTAATCACACATCTGCACAGGTAATCATCGTCGGTGCAGGACCGTCCGGCCTTCTCTTAGCTTTGTATCTATCACGAGCAGGCATCAATGTCCGAGTCCTGGAGGCTTCCACCAAGCCAGACAGGCAGCCGAGAGCAACACACTACGGCCCAGCTGCCGTGCATGAGTTACGTCGGTCTGGGATTCTAGAGGCAATGAAGCAGAGAGGAAGCTTCTCACCGAAGACCGTATCATGGCGTGCATGTGATGGGTCGCTACTAGCTGCCCTGCCAAAGCCACCTCCTCCGTCCAGTTCCAGTGGTAACGCAGCTCCGCCGGACGGCGTTGTAAGCTTGCCGCTGAACCTCGTGGTAGAGATCCTAATGGACGCCATCGAGGCCCAGCCGACCGCTCAGGTGGAGTTTGGCTGCCGCGTTGTTGATGTCGGCCAGGACTCGGAGGGTGACTCTGCTTGGGTCGAAGCCGTGAAGGACAGTGACGGTGAGAAACAAACTCGCATTGAGGCATCGTATATCGTTGGCTGCGATGGTGCCAGCAGCTCGGTCCGTAACTCGCTCTTCGCCAAGTCATTCCCGGGCTACACGTGGGACACTTGGCTCGTCGCAGTGAACGTACACTTTCATGACGTTGAGGCATACAATATGGCCTTGTCTGATGTCAATTTCCTAATCCACCCCAGCAACTGGTGTATGATAGCCCGGGTTGGTGGTCCTGAGAGTTTGTTCCGAGTCACCTACGGTGAACCAGGGAACATGTCCAAAGAAGCGTGTGCCGACAAAGAGAGGACTCTCGAACGGCTGCAGGCTATCTTGCCCGCTCACTTATCAGACCGTTCCCAGTTTGAAGTGGTTTCGTCAAGTCCCTACCGTGTCCACCAGCGATGCGCACCAAAGTTTCGGGTCGGTCGTGTCTTGTTGGCAGCAGACGCCGCTCATCTATGCAATCCCATGGGCGGAATGGGGCTTACCAATGGAATGGTTGACGTCGGTGGCCTGGCAGACTGTCTTATCGGGATTCATCGCGGAGTTGCGGGGGAAGACATACTTGACAAGTATGACTCCGTTCGTAGGGGCATATTTCAGAATGTTGTGGACAGCATCACCGCCGCGAACCTCAAGCGGATTATGCAAGATTCGAGTGAAGCCCTTGAGGCAGATCCATTCCTTCGAGCCTGTCGCGAGGCGTCACAGAGCCCTGAGAATGCCGCCATGTTGGCAAACGTTATGAGGGTACGTATATACTTCTTCCTCCCGTCTCCTTGAATCATTATTGACACAAACAATATAGGCTCCGGCAAAGCTAAAGCACGACTTCACTCAGTATTATGTTTCTGAGCCCGAAAACAGCTCTCAAGGCTGCGACCTTGGTATGACATTGTCTGTAGAAAAGATTACAGCAGCGCCTGCTTGAATTTGAGCTAGAGAGTATACTTAGTATAGTTTGCGAAACAGTCAACTTGGACTTTTACATCCCATTTATCCACGCCGGCGAAAAACTGCCAGCCATTATCAGCCAAATGTTCCTGCCACGGATTGTTGATGTCTGTCTCGTATCTCCCCTGGTTTGTCTTAGACCAGAGCAAAACCGTGATTGTTGAAGCTATCACGCCAAGCTGGCGATCCACGATTTGATACACCAAGTTTGGAGCCTCGTTGTCCATCGGTAGTTGGTTACTCGCACCCTGTGCGCCGTCGGCCTCTGATCGCCGTCTAGGCGGGGCTGTCAGATCCCACGACATAGCCAAACCCCGTGATTTGCAAACCACAGGTGTCCATAGATCTTAGCTTGAAACCCTGGTCTCAAGTACGGTACAGATTGTTCTTGATCGACATGTTTCAATAGCACCCTTGTCCTGTGAAGAGCCGCATGACTGACCAAGGGTCACCATGCTTTGCCCGCCGTTGACTTATGACCCCTGGCAAAGTCGGCGCCCCCAAATTCATTGACTCAGCCTTATCACAACCCTGCGTGTCAAGTGCTCATAGTCCTACCTTAGACCCCGTAGAGGTGGAGAATGCTCTTTGCCAAGTCCTATCCTGGATGACAGTGACCGCTAATCTTTCGTTCTCCGGTTCTGAAATTCTATGGTGGTTTACATCTTGGCACTTTGAACATTCTTTTCCTCTGAATCAGCTCCCCCTCGAGTTCCTCGCGGCAGGTTCCAGTATGCTATGAATCCTCGATGGCCGATGACAAGCCCATCCGCGTATCGCACTGGCGGCTCGTCCGTGAGCCTGCGCTGGTTACCCACGAGATAGTCACGCACGACTGGAAGGGCGAAGGGACCTCTGATGATCCTTACCTCATCGACTTCATTCCCAATGATCCACGGAACCCAGTAAGTAGCTCGAGAAACTGAACAAAAGAAGGTCTCTAACATAGCCCAGGTCAACATGCCCACAGGCGCACGGTGGCTCGTCGCAGCCCTCAACGCCTTCGCAACCCTAGCGATGACATTTGCCTCGTCCGCCTACACAAGCAGTGTGGGAAACCTGCAGAAAGAGCTGGGCGTCAGCAATGAGACCGCCTTTCTGGGCACGTCGCTCTTCGTACTGGGGTTCGCTCTGGGCCCGCTGGTGTGGGCGCCGCTGAGCGAGGCATTCGGCCGGCGTCCCGTGTTCCTGGCCACGTATGGCGCCTTCGTGGCGTGCAACGTCGCCGCCGCGCTGCCGGACAACATCTTTGTCATTGTCGTGTTTCGCGGCTTGGGCGGCGCGCTGGGCTCCTCGTCGCTAGTGAACTCTGGCACAGTGGTCGCGGACATGTTCTCGCTTGCGGACCGTGGCCGTGTCAGTGCTGTGTTCTCTGGCGCTCCGTTCCTGGGCCCGGTGGTTGGTCCTATTATTGGTGGGTTCCTGAGCCAAAGCTCGGGCTGGAAGGGCGTTGGCGTCCTCATTACTGGGGTGACGGGTGCTTTGTGGATGCTGTACTACTTCCTCGTCCCGGAGACCTATGCCCCTGTTCTCTTGCGGATGCGAGCTACACTCCTAACGAGGACGGACCCACGGGGGAAAGTCTTTCAATCTCGCATGGATAAGGCTAAGGGTGTCAAGTCTACTTGGGAATTGTTGAAGACATCCATGGTCCGGCCATTCTTGCTCCTCTTCTCGGAAACAATCGTCAGCATTCTTTCTCTTTACATGGCCATCATATTTGGAGCCATGTACATGATGTTCGCTGAGTTTCCTATCGTCTTCCAGCAAGGCTTCGGCCTGTCACCTGGCTTTAGTGGCCTTGCATTCCTTGGCATTGCAATTGGGATGGTCTTTGCCCTTGTCTTCATGCTCTTCCAAAACAGGGCATATATCAAGATAGCCAAGGCCTCACCTGGTGGAAGAGCTCCGCCTGAGACCCGGCTTGGACCTGCGCGTCTGGGTGCTGTCATGGCACCCATCGGCCTGGCCATCTTTGCCGTGACGAACTCTCCAGAATTTCCATTCGTTGTTCCAGTTGCAGCAACCGTACCGTTTGGCTTCGGCATGGTCATCATCTTTCTCAGCCTCCTCAACTACCTGGTCGACACATACACTGTGTACGCCGGCTCAGCCATCGCCGCAGCCACTGCAATACGATCTATATTCGGAGCTGTCTTCCCCTTGTTCACCAGGATCATGTTCGAAAAGCTCGGAGTTCATGCTGGTGCAGCTGTGCCAGCAGCTTTGGCAGCGATATGCGTCCCGTTCCCCTTTCTCTTCATTCGATACGGCAAGCAGATACGAGAAAAGGCAAAATTCGCCACAGAAGCCAGAGCATTGGCGCTGAAAATGATGGGACAGGCAAAGCCCGAAGAGAAGAAGCCCCGACCATTGTCTGATGGCCATGGACCGACGGGCAAGGAAGAATGGCAATGCTATGGGAGGTATTGTCTCGGGTGCAGTGTCGATGAAGAGAACCTGTTCACCTGCAGGAATGCAAGTCTGTATGAAGATAAAGGGAACGCAAGCTTGTACGATGAGAAGATTTCAAATAAGTAAGGGGCATTTAAATGTACATTATAAAATATCAATATTCAATTCGTATGCCATACTTGATCAGATGTTCTTGTTTCTACAGAAAGAAAACTTCTGCACCGTCGTCAGTCCCGGTGTCATTGATGAGGTCGATCAGCAATCCTCCGCGGTCTGCTGTACGGACATAATGGTTCAATACGTTGATTTGGGGAAAGAAGCGTCGAACAGAATTGTGCAATTTGTCCGAATTCATACATGGACATGGTGTGGTGATTCAACTTACGAAATCGCAATTTGTTGAGCCGAGTGCGAGATCGGGATGGTTTGCTAATCGACTGATTTTCACGATGAGCCATTTTGACTTGGCGTTCGCAGACTCCGATTTTGGCGACTGGGTGAGTCAAACCAAGACACCCACATCACAAACCCCAACACCTCACACTTTTCGGCTTTGCTGCATCACCCTGGTCCTGCACCATGGCAGACTACAGCCTCTACCTGGTGACCGACTCCACACCCGCGATCCTTGGCGACAAGGAACTCAGTGACGTCGTCGACCGCGCCATCCGCGGAGGCGTCACCATCGTGCAGTACCGGGACAAGACGAGCGACACGGGGGCGCTGATAGCAACAGCGAAGAAGCTGCACGATGTGACCAGGCGCCACAACGTGCCGCTGCTCATCAACGACAGGGTCGACGTTGCGCTGGCCGTGGGGTGCGAGGGCGTGCACCTGGGCCAGGATGACATGGGTTAGTTAACCGCAAATGAAGAGGGCCCAACTCTGGACTGTCAGCTGAGACATGCATGCATGCAGACATTGGCACCGCCAGGACACTCTTGGGAAGCGGCAAGATCATCGGCATCACTGCCAACACCGTCGACGAGGCCCTCACCGCGTGTGAGCAGGGCGCCGACTACCTAGGCATAGGGACCGTCTTCTCCACCCAAACGCACGTCACTTCACACCCACTTTTCTGTGATCATCACCATCGATCTAAAGCTGATTCTTTCCATACAGCAAGACAAACACGAAGAATGTCATCGGCCCAGATGGGCTCCGGCACGCCCTAGCCGTCTTAGCCGAGAAGGGCCATGCCCGCGTGCCGGCCGTGTGCATCGGGGGCATCAACGCCTCCAACATTCCGCAGGTGTTATTTCGGGGCAGCCCGCGTGAGAACCCCCTCGATGGCGTCGCGGTCGTCAGCGCGATTGTCGCTGCCGCGGACCCGGAGGCCGAGTCGCGGCGGCTGCTGGGCCTGGTCCGCGAGGCCCTTGCGCGCGGCAGGCAGCCGAGGACGGGGCTGTCGACGGCGGCGAGCAAGGAGGAGCTGCTGAAGCTCATCCCCGGGGTCATCAAGACGGTGCATGAGCAGAAGCCGCTGTCGCACAACATGACGAACCTGGTACGGGATCTAGAATGGCTTGCTCGGCAAGGTCGTGGACTGACATACAATCACAGGTGGTTCAGAACTTTGCCGCGAACGTAGCACTGTCGATCGGAGCGTCGCCCATCATGGCTAACTACGGTGAGGAAGCGGCAGACCTCGCCAAGCTGGGCGGTGCCCTGGTCATCAACATGGGCACGGTTACCCCTGAGGGACTGGACAACTACAAGAAGGCGCTCAGGGCGTACAATGCGGCAGGACGACCAGTCATCTTTGACCCAGTAGGGTATGTCTGACCCCGAGGTTGCTGTCTACTCTGGCCAAGCTATCACTCACATCTACCTCTCACAGAGCCGGAGCCACAGCCGTACGCAGGGCAGCGGTCAAGGAGATCCTCTCAGCAGGCTACATTGACGTGATCAAGGGCAACGAGAGCGAGATCAAGACCGTGTACGGCAGCGGCGAGACCGAGAGCCAGCGCGGCGTCGACAGCAGTAGCACGCTGTCCGACGCGGAGAAGGCCCAGCTCGTGCGCGCCCTAGCCGCCCGCGAACAGGCCATCGTGGTGATGACGGGCAAGACAGATATCGTGTCAGACGGATCGCGCGTCTTTGCCATCCAGAACGGCCACGAGTACCTAGGCATGATCACCGGGACGGGCTGCACGTTGGGCACGACGGTCTCGGCCATGGTGGCTGCTTGCTCCAGCGGGGACAGGCTGGCTGCTGCCGTCGCGGGCATCCTGTTGTTTGAGATTGCGGCGGAGCGGGCGGCGAGCAAGGGTAGCGTTGAGGGCCCTGGGACTTTTGTGCCTGCGTTCTTGGACTCGCTGTATCGTATTAGGACGGCCACTGCTGCAGGAGACGTTGGATGGCTGTCTGCTGAGAGGGTTTCTAAGGTGTAGTGAGCTGCTCCACGATCCCCATCTGGTGCTGGCAAGCTCGCTTTGGGTGGCGTAAAAAAGTCTGGATGTACGGCATTATTATTTGTGTCGCTATTTCGGTGAATCCCATTGTCCTTCATTGGACAAAGAGACCACATCTGCGAGGACAACTGTGCTCCCATTGCCTGAGTATTGGCCTAGTAGAGACGGGATGTAGGAGATAAAATCTTGTTACCAATCTATGTTTATCGATCAACGGGTTACCCTATAGCAACTTGCCAGCTTTGAGTGCATTCGAGGTTCTTGGGTTGAACAAATCCAAGTGGATCGTATCACATGCTGCTGACCTTTAAGCTTAACCTCGACCCTCCGATGCCCCCTGCTCGAACCCCTGGACGCAGCTAGGGATCCCTGTAGGTCAGGTCCGATCGGCTTGGTTGACGTCTTGGTTGCTACCCCGCGAGGGGAGTCATCGCCCTTCCCTTGCTCCGACTCGTTTGGCAATGCCGATGACAATTGCGCCAGGGACGGCTCTGTATTATTTTTGCATTATATCTAGCGTCTTTCCTTTCCGATGAACAGTCCTGTGCTATGATCAGCGTCTCTACAACACTTCGAAGAACCGCAAACTCTCATCTCGCACGAGGATTCCGTGCCCCAACTCCATACACCTCGCCTGCGATCCAGCCCTTTTCTAAAATGGCAGAGAAGCCTACCGCCCGGCGACGGATGAGTACGTCAATCCAACATCAAGAACACCATGAGACATGACTAACTCGTGTGCCTCGTCCCAGACAATCCCGCCATCTTGTCAGTGGCCCCCAAAGCAATTCCAATCGAGCATGCCATCGAACCGCCCTGACGAGTCCCTCACAGTGTATGCGACCTACAAGAGAAGTTCCGCAACGCGATCTACGAGTTCGACAAAGTGTAAGAGCCCCCACCGAATGGAAAGACTCATTCCGAGGCAGATATCCTAACAGTGCCGTCGTCCCAGCGTCCTCACCACCCAAAAGGTCCTTCGCGCAGCCCAAGCCCTCAACATCCCAATCTACACGACGACGCAAAACCGCGCGCGCCTGGGCGAAACCGTGCCCGAGCTGCAGCAGTACCTAGACTCGCCGCTATGCAAGACACACGCCGACAAGACCCTCTTCTCCATGTTCATCCCGTCCGTGACGGAGAAGCTGGGCACCGCCCCCGCCGAGATCGTGCTGGTGGGCATCGAGTCTCACATCTGCATCACGCAGACGGCGCTCGACGCCCGCGCCGCCGGCCACAAGGTGTATGTGCTCGCCGACGGGGTCAGCAGTTGTAATAAGGAGGAGGTCCCCATCGCGCTGGCGCGGCTGAGGGCCGAGGGCGTTGTTGTCACCACGAGCGAAAGCTGGCTTTATGAGTTTGTGGGTGATGCGGGGATACCCGAATTCAAGTCCATAATCGGTATTGTTAAGGATACGTCGGCGGACACGAAGAAGGTCCTGCAGACTCTGTCTCCTGTCCAGGGGGCGTCGAAGATTTAGGGATGGAGGGTGCTGCTTCTTCTAGAGGGGATACAACTCAAGGCGGCAAGATCAAGTCTTAGATAATTATTACAGGGGTTGTTCTTTTACTTGTCCAAGTCATCGAATCATTATAAAATTGGCATACGATAAAGACCCAATTCTGTATTATTTCATTACCTGTCACCCAGTCCCTTAGCAAGTCTCTGCCTTCGTGACAAGCGAGAAGTGTGGTTCTCACTCGCAAGTCCTCGTATTAAAGTCTTAGCCTTTTACTTTTCAGTTTTGTGACCAAGTGACGATCAAGGACCACATGTCGTCGAGTCTGCCCTGTCTCCCTGGACTGAGGTTCTAATCTGACACTGCCGAGTTTGCTCCGCCAGCGGCTGTGTTGGAACCACATGGGGATGCTCAAAATTCGTATCAAGGCAATTTTTCAACGACTTTGTGCTCGTAACAAAATAGCCGCAACATGATAGGAGCAGAAACATATGATTTTAGAGATTTATATATTCTTCGCTAGGTGTTGAAAATTGTCATTTCATATCCCGTGGATAGAATCGACTTCGTGTAAGTGTTCCCCATGGACTGCTCAGGCCTGCGGGAACGAAAAGGGTAATTTTCGCCGCAACTAGACGTTGTAGCGCTTTACTCTCTGCCGCTCCGGCCCGAGTCCGAGTGAACTCCGGGCCCCTCTCCGGAAGGGCATTCTTCCCCTCGCGTCAGAGCTACCACCCATTGCGCTGCTTGTTCCCGAAGTGCCCGGCAATAAAAGGAAAATATCACACCCATCTAGGCAAACATCTGCACAGCCAAGTTGTAGTGCTTGATCAAATCAACTCACCTTCTAACATTGTGCCACCTTTTTTTCTATCAATTGCAGCAACTTCAGCAACTTGGCCAACTAGGCTCAACCCGAACTGCCACCGTTGATTTCACCCAACAGCCAGACTGCGTCAGAGGGCAGTCGACAACAACCACCATGGCCACCAACAACACCTCCTCAGCCGATACGCAACCGCTCATCACAGGCCTGCACCACATCAACCTGACCGTGCCACACGGCACCCTAGACCAAGCCAAGTCCTTCTACTCCGACACGCTGGGCCTGACGTCGCGGCCGGTTCCCGCCGCGCAGACCGACGAGCTGGCCTGGTTCGACATCGGCGTCTCGGGCCAGCAGGTACACGTCTCGCTGCCGAAGCACGACAATGACACCATCCCCGGCGACGCCTCTCGGCACCCTTGCTTCCGCGTCGGCTCGCCCGAGGCCTTGCACGCCCTGCAGGAGCGCGTTCACGCCCACCACCTACGCGGCGGCGCCGACGCGCCCGCTGCTGCTGACCCCCCTGGCGTAAGCTCTGGGGCTAAGGGCCCGGAGTATCCCAAGCGTTTCTTCGCTAGGGACTTTGCGGGAAACCGGTTGGAGTTCACTGTCTAGGATGGCGGCGACGATGGTAGTCGGTGGCTGTGTGGACGCACTTTGATCGTCTGTTTCTCTAGGGCTTTTGGGCGTTGTGGCACGGTGACTGTTGACACCGTTGTTTGGCTCATATGAGACACTTGGGTCTGGTGGATGCCGGAACCTCTAGAATCAGTTCTTGTGAAAACGGCGCTCACATTGACGATAGCGGCCCTTTATCTGTTCGGATCGCATGCCCGGTTACATACGTTCTACGCGGGAAGGGAAATGAATAGTCTATTTAGGTTTGCTCCCTTGTCGAAGGACTCGGGGGATCACTGACTCGTAGGGGGGACACCGAGTCAATGGCACTGGACATTGATGAGCTCTCCGATATCTATACCAGCATAGATATGAGAAGGAATCCCCGCTGGCAAAATGAATTGAATCCGTCAGATTGCTTTGTTCCATCATGCTTGACAACACGAGCACCATGGCGGGCGTCTCTCAAATCCAGATCCCCATTAACAAACAAGTACAAGCCACCATCAATTACTGCCGGAAAGATCTCGTGCCACCACTCCCGCCTGTGGTATTTGGGCGGTAAGTCGTAGCCGCTGATAAATGTCAACAAAACGCAAGAGCAGTGCCGAGGTTGACATGGCGTTTTCAGGGGACCAGCCAATCCTCCCATACAGACTCCTAAGCAAGATTACCCAGTCGTGGTCACGGATGTGACTAGTCGCGAAAGTGACTTCGACCTCGAGACTCAGGGGATCGAATTTGTACATCACGAAAGCAGCTTGAAGGACGAGGAATTCGATGACGAGGATCTCATCAAAAAAACCTATTACCAAGAGATATTGGACTTGACCAAGGAAGTGTTGGAGGCAAACCCTAAGTTGTGAGTCTCCAACAAGGAGTGAACACGAACGAATATCTGTAGAAGGCTGATCAAGTCCCGATATCTGATTGATATCAGTCCCAAGAACCCAGAGCTGCACATCCTCCAGCATCTCCGCAGAAACAGCCCAGACAAGTTTCCCACCGGCCCAGTCTACGGTTGCCACGTAGACCAGCACCCAGCTGCGGTGGAAGGGTTCGCCCGGCGCTGGCTAGGCGGCGACAAGGCCGACCAGCTGATCCGCAGCCATAAGCGCTGGCAAATCATCAACATCTGGCGGCCCATCCGTGAAGTCCAACGAGATCCCTTCGCCGTCACGGACGCGCGCTCTGTCCCCGACGAAGACATCCTCAAGGTACGGCTGGTGTACCCGGACCACGAGATTGACATCCTAGAGGTAAAGGCTCCACTAGACCCTGAGGTGACGCCGCACCGCTGGTATTTCAAGGATAGTATGGGGCCCGGAGATGTGCTGCTTTTCACACAGTTCGACTCTACTTCGCGGACGGACGTGCCTAAGCGGGTGCCTCACACTGCGTTCAAGGACCCGCGGGTGGACGAAGAGAAGGCTGAGCCGAGGAAGAGTATCGAGGTCAGAGTTGCTGTGTTCTATGATAGTGACTGAGAGTCGACCATTAATATCTGGTAAAAATTGTTCATATAGACTCTTGCCCGGGTCGCGACAATCTGCATTACATTAACCAGGATGCGTGGTATTGTGTCCCCAACTGTAGTAAGATCATTCAGGATAATATAAACCTTAAAGTGGTCATTATTCAAGATTCAATCGTAGATGGAATCGAGAGCGAGTCCCTACTCCCGCCTGTAAGTCGAGCTGTGCTCACTTCCTGTCATTTGCATTTGCTGATGGCCTGTAGGCTGGAGAAGACGCAGCCTAGCCGAGTCCAGCTAGTTTGAAAGGTTGGCCAAATAGTTGCGGCATGATTTCATTGATTGATAAATGTCAACAGGAGAGATTTGGAGGTCTTGGTAGGGAAGGGTTGCTAACAGGAGTGTGCAGGATAGCAATGCAGTTGGGACGATCTAGGTTAACCATGCTCGCACCCCTTGTCAGCGAGCAAGGCAGGCGACCCGTCAGGTTTATAACTAACACCGACGCCAGACCCTTCAAAGAATATGAGCACGCAAGACTGGGCGACAGGCGTGGCGTAATGGCCTGAGAAGACGGGAAAACGGCGCTTAGCGCTCATAGGAGACCACATTTACACCATCCCCAGCCTTGCTGGGTGAACTTTATCTTACTCATCAGAATAAATTCATCGAGGACTCAATACTGGTTTGGAGGCGCAAATAAACAAGCCAAGACCGCATAAAGGAGGGGCTGTTGGCAACATGATCAGCCAGAGGTATGATTCCTTCTGACAGACTAAAACAGCTGGTTGGACAAATGAGTACGAGGCGGATGCAGTCAGGATCGAATCCAGCACAGAAGGCCCCAACTCCGACACGGCGTCTGGTTTTGATCACCCGCATACATCCTCTAGGTACGCAACCCGCCAATGATACCACAGCCAACTGCATACCTGGCATCTACCACAGAGTAGCCGGAATCTCGGTGCCATAAGTCCCTTAGAAGGCGTGGCAGCCTGGCAGGTTGTATCACATGGTTGCCTGAGTGCTGTTGGCTCTGCCAACGAATCGCGACCCCAAGTTCATATTAGTCACTCAACACTATCAAATGAGGGCAGAATGACGCTAAGGAACATCTTGGATACCGTACAGTTAGTGCGCAAATGGGAAAGAAGCGTTCAGCTGAGACCGATTACTAACGAGAGAAACGCACCCATAAGAGCACGTGCACCCCGTCAGATTGTCTTTGCAACGGCTGAGCAGCTACACTGAGTCTTCCATCACTCTACGATTCCATATCACTGTCAATATCTCTCAGCCATAGCAAATCTTTCCATAGCCGTACCACTTGCCACTTGCAATGGCGCCAAACGACAAGACCCTCATCGTCATTGGCTCTGGACCCGGCATAGGTCGAGCAGTCACGTCACTCTTTGCCGCGAAGCGATACGGCAATGTTGCTTTGATTGCACGACGCGCAGAGCAGCTGGAACTCGAACAGAAGGCTGTTGAGGAAGCCGTCGGTGCCGGGGTCAAGGTCAAGACCTACGCTCTGGACGTCACCAACAGCGAGGCCCTTCTTAAGGCCCTGGATGATATCGAGATTCAGCTTGGCAAGCCCGAGTGCATCTTCTATAACGCTGCTCGTGTGCAACCCTCCGAGCTGCTCAGCCATGATGTCAAAGACATCGAGTTCGACTTCAAGGTCAGTTTAAATGTGTCAACTTCGTCATTGGACGATGGAATAGTCAATACCTGTTGGGAACATGGACGTTTGTATGCTAAGATTTTGTTTCTGCCAGATCAATGTCTCGGCTCTTTACGTTGTGGTCCAGCGGGAACTCCCGCATCTTATTGAACTGGCAAAGCATAGAAAAGACGCATGGCCGTCTATCATCGTGACCAGCTCGATGCTGCCTCAGCATCCCGTTCCACAGTTCTTTGCCCTCTCCCTTGCCAAGGCTGCTCAGCGCAATTTGGTGCAGAGTCTCTCTCTGACCTATGCCTCGGAAGGTGTGCATTTGGGTCTCATAAATGTTGGTGGACCAGTTTCACCGGAACATGAGACTTGGAACCCTGGCAACATTGCTGCCAAGGCGTGGGATTGGTTTTCGAAATCCAGAGACAGCCTAGACTTTGAAGTTTTGATCTAGGCTAGACTTTATTCAATCTAGGCTTGTTCTCGCGCGAAGGCCATACAAGAGGCGAAGCTCTCAAATCTTACACATCATCGTAAAACTATACATAAGACGTCGTCTTGTATGAATGGGCTCCCATATCCCGGTAGTCTTTGAGTAACAAGGATGCCTATGATCACTGACAGAATATTTGATTGTTTTATTTGCTATCATATTCCGATGACCACAGTAATAAGAGAGTCCATTCTCAAAACGGTAGCGAAGTATGTAATAATGCGTAGGGCCTGCTGCATCAGACCATTCGTACTTTGAGGGCGAATTCATTCCTTGAAGGTGATTTCGCCCTACTTCTGAGCAGTGTCTTTGCCAGCTGCAATCTGCGCCTCATACTCCGCGAAATTCTCGATGCCCTTCGGAATACCATTCCACTGCAAGCCCTGCATGATATTGGTCAATCCCATTCCACGCTTTGTGAGAGCATTTGGGGACGCTACTCAAGGTATTCACTCACCTGCTCGTCCATGAGGACTGCACGACGCTCCATACAATGCTTCCACGAGCGCAGCTGAACCATACGCTCATGCCACGCACGAACGTGAGGCACATCCTCCCAGACCTCATCCCAGGGCTGCAGGAGGATGTCGCTGAGGAGGAAGTTCCAGGAGACGAAAGCCATATCAGCGAACGTCATCTTGTGTCCAACCAGCCACTGTGCATCAGCAGGCTTGGCGGCCAACACACCCTCCATGACACCGAGTATTCGCTTGGTCTCGTTGGCGTAGCGGTCCCTGGCGGACGGTATCTTCTCCGGGTGCAGATGTGTGAACCAGCTCAACTGGCCGAAATATGGGCCTTGGCCGCTCATCTGGAAATGCAGCCATTGATTGCAGAGGTGACGTTCCTGCAGCGTGCTGTACGAAACGTGGTGGGCGGGGGCATCGTACTGCTCGATCAGGTACTGATAGATGGCACCCGACTCCCAGAGCGTCAGGCCCGTGTTCGGGTCCTCGATTGCGGGCACCCGGCCATTGGGGTTAATGTCCGTGAAAGGCTTCTTCTTAACATCGTCAAAGCGGAATGACTTGATTTCGTAATTGAGCCCGAGCTCCTCTAGGAGAAAGACGGCCTGGGGCATAATGTCAGCCACACCGAGTCGACCATTCCCTTCTACGGCCCGTTTACACTCACCTTCCATGGGTTGGGACCAGGCGCTGACAGAAAGAGGGTCAGCGCTACTACCTCACTACGATCGTTTCATCTAGGCCAGGAACCTACGAGTGAGCCACACGAGAATTGGCTTGGGCGGGTAAGTTGCTGTCATTGCGAAGACTGACTTGGGCCGTGAGACAATGATTGTGTGTTGCAGGGAGTAAGACGGGTGGCTACTTTGGTAAATAAACTTTGCGATGGGGATGGGGATGGGCAAGCTTTCTAAGTTTGTTGCCTCAGAGATGGTCGGTTGCTCCATCCAATTCCAGGTTGGTCGGTTCGGATCTTATTGGGTTCGGATCTTGGTGGTCTTGGTAGTCTGTTAGCAGATTAAGATGTTACATGGTACACTGCTAGGGCTGACAACCTGTCATAACCTAACGCTTACAATATTGTCCGAGTGATGTTTCAATAAGAGGGGCGGCAATGTATTCCATTCACTTAATCCACAGCTATGATTCGGCAACCGGCTCGAGCCTTGGACCAGCTTCAACATCTAAGCTTCCAAGAATTCTTTTTCTTAGGTGAGTAGCGATTATGTCACACTTTAACTCCTTCCATTGAGCTTCCCGTGGTATGACCGTTGGATCAACGACTTAGAACATACAAATTTAGGAAAATGCGAGAAAAGGAAAAAGTCTCACCAGAGTATACAGAGCGTTCAAGGGAAGGTCGCAAACAAAAATTGAGCAATTTTTCGTATCTCACAGTCTTGCCCCTATGAAACCAGAGCTTCTTTGTTGGTTACATCAGGTTACTAAATCACTCAACGAAACGTCGCGAAAGCCAACTAGAAAGAGTAGCTATGAGACCCTTGGCATGCCTACACTAGTTATGGAGAATTAAGTGGCTAGAAGATCACTTTTCTGTGGTACAGTCAAGGGGAGCTTCTTAAAGCTCTTACAAGATACATCCTCATGACAAAGCCTAATGAGAAAAGTACATACTATGCGTCATGTACCATTAGAACAAGAATCGAACTATATCAAGTCGTTCGTGCACATTAGCCCATAGTTCCCCTGGCTTCTGGCACATAATGTAGAAGAAATTCGGCTATGAAGGACTTTATGAGAGTTTGTTGCGGTCTATGATGTCCAAACGTATCAATGATTAAGCCAGCAATGCAAACTGACTCCAAGCTGCAATTCGGTATGATTCCAGACCTCAGGTTGATGCGAGAACTCTCACCTGTATCGCTGAGGTGACGCAGAATCCTTCGCGGCCCGGCATCCGCTCTGCCATCATATTCAAAAGCCCAGTCTCGAATGGCGTGGTTAAGTGCCTCAAAAACTAGAACATGACGTGTAGTTCCTCACGCATCGATGCTGCTGAACAAAATGAGACCTTGCCTAGGCACAGGAGTAAAGTCTTTCCCGAGCGTCCCGCCTACAAGGCTCGCTTAGTGACGGAATGCTCTCTGGAGCTTGACGTTCCGAACTCTAACAAGGTGCTATTTTTTGTTGCTCCACTCAGAGTTCTTGATAGCAACGGAACATGAATAAGTCTAGTCGGTCTCACGGTCCGGCGCACCTCTTCCAGCGTGATGCATGCAATCCTTCGTTCCTTCGCTCCTGCAAGAATAGGAAGGCTGCGGAGACTCGGTCGATCAGCGCAATACTTCACTATAAGGGACTCGGCAGCTTTACCAAATGGGTTGAGCGGTCCGACAACCGATATAATTCATCGACGTTTGAGCATTGTGTTGACGATATATAAAGTCAGTGTCAAATGTTTTGTTCGACCGACGACATGATGTGTCGGGCGCAGCGTTACTTCATTCACCACAACGAACGATATAATCTCCACTATCTACAAAAATTGAGATCTTCAAGTCCATCTGAACCACACGGTTGTCAAGATGCAGTTCACCAACATCATCATCGCACTTGCCCTGCAGACCGCAGCTGTCCTGGCAGCTCCTCCGGTGTCCCCAGAAGACGCTGTAGTCAATGCTGCAGTTCCCCAGGGTGTAAGCCTTCACCCCCGAAACAGAAAGTCGAGAGCATGACACTGATGCATGATGCTATAGTGCTACGTATGCTGCTTGGGACCACCGACTGGTTGCGTGACCTGCTGCAACTGAAACTCTCCTTGACTTGACAACAATCATCGCCGGACAGTTGCATTGGCATTGTAGAGTCCCGCCATGAGAACTTGCAGGGGTCCCCGATCAGTTGATCTAAGAGATGGCGTTAAGGGAGGCAGCAGACTCAAATCACTGGTTGCCAATTCGGAGGCACTTCCAGATCACTGCATGTATTTGCTTAAGTAGCGATAGTTGCCAAGCCTCGTCCTGTCCTCGGGTACCTGCCCTTCCTAAAGAACCAGTGATACTGCTACGTGAAGTGGTATGTGACCTGATGTAGCAGGGCTATATTTTCGCAGCAAGGCCTTGATCCCCGTGCACAAGGGCTGACAAACTACCATAACTACAAATAGTATATTGCCAGTCGACTAATTTAGATGCTGGGAGCAGGTAGATACCGATGTTAAGCGGTCTTGAGTCTATTCTCGAATGTTTAACTCGCGTTGTTTGCGTTAAGCCTAAGGACATATAATATGTAAAAAGAAATTGGTTCACCGGCTGAGAGAACCATGCCGCCGCCACTCATTCACGCTTCTTCAAATAACACTCAAGGCCCCTCTGCCTTGGGAACCAGCTGCCGGTGACCTCCCATTCTCTTTGCGGATCAGCTAGCTGGATCTCATAGCGACCCACCAACGTAGCCACAATCTTGTATACCTCCATGTTCGCCAGATTTCTGCCAATGCAGACCCTCGAACCGCCGCCAAAGGTCAGGTCACAAGCATTGAACAATCTCAACCGCTTCTGGTAGTCTTCATTCGACTCCGCTGGGCGCTGGAGCCACCTTTCCGGGCGGAACTCGTCCGCATCCGCGCCCCAAATAGATTTGTTGCGACCCGCTACGTACGGATTGATACCGACGGCTGTGCTTGGTGGAATGAAAGACCCATCTGGGAGAGTGAGCCCGGAGGCTGGCACGTAACGTTCCAGCAACATGCACACCCCAGGGTGCATCCTCATAGCCTCGCGGGCCACGGCCTCAAGGTCTTGTTTGTTTCATGTCAACAACTTCTCTCTGAACTATAAAGAGCAGGGTGCAAACAGTGGCCACGGGGTGTACTCACACGGCAGTGCACGCGCGGCATTGTACGGTGCAATCTTGCCGAGGTCGGCCGCCACTATCTCGGTCTCCAACTTATGGTACACTTCCGGGTGATGCAGAGCATAATAGAATATTGCACGTATAGTGATTGCCGTGGTGTCAGCGCCGGCAAGCAGATTCACCAGCAGGTATCCCATGATGATGCCGTCGTCAACGAGGTCTGGGTGGGTGTTCTTGGCGTTTAGGAAATGCTGCAGAAAGTCGGGAACTCTTGGGTCGAAGTTAGGATCCTTTCCAGATGATCGAGCGATAAGATGCTCCACTACAGCGTCGTAAATTCAGCTCTTCTTCTGCTCTGGTCTGTAATATGACAGTGTAGGTTTGAGGGATTCACCTACGTGCTATTCGTGTGATGTTACCCAGGTTGGGCGGGCCGATGCGCACCACTGGGTTCTTGTCCATGAGGAAATCGAGGAAGGGCATCTGCCCAACTGCTGCGAAGTAGTCCAGAGCCTTGTCCGCAATCTCGATGGTCTTGTCGTGGTCGCGGCCTGTATCCATGTAGCCGAACCGCTGGCTGAAGGAAGCTACGCCATTCATGTCCCATGAATCTGTGGTTTCACGTGCGCGGTCAGTACATTATCAGTGTTTCTTTTCCTTCGAACCGTACGCGCTTACAAAATCCAATCCATTGACCTAGGTCACATTTTTCCGTCTGTTTGCCGTTCATGAATCTGTTTTCGAGATGATCACAGAAGTCGCCAATGACGGTATTCATCAGGGGCTCCAGAGTCAAGACACTGCCTTGTGAGTAGTGCTTAACAATTGGCCTCTTCATTCGCGCATGTTCGTCTTGGTCTGTTGTGCTGAAAAGATGATACGTAATTTTCCCCTGTGATGTGTCTCGTTGTCAACTTTATGACCATGCTGCTCGTGTGGAGAATACAATGGCTGGGTGTCTTTCACGCTACGAAAATACCACATAGCGAGAGCAAGGAAAATGAACAGAATTAAAATGTTACCTACGTTGATCACGCTGCTGTTGTTGTGGTAGAACTCTGTCTGGTCATCAGACTTCAATGTTAGCAAACTCGAAGCCACACCCACCATCTGCATCCGAGAAATTTCTCTACCTTCCGCCACTTGCCATCAGTGCTGTAGAGCACTTTTGCCAACTCCGGGATGTCAAGATCTAGCGTATTAGGTCCAATACGCAGAACAGGGCCGTGCTTTTCATGGAGCTTCTTAATTTGCACATGGTAACTACCCCGTCGCACGAGGAGAAAGCGCCATAAATTTGTGTACCCTGGTTTGGGTCAGATACGTGACATTAAAAGTGAGTATCGACGTTCTATGAACACAGAAAACTGCATCTGTTACAGAGGGAACAAGCAGACGTACGAGCCAGCCATGGTCCAGGGTACTGCCGTAAAGATGAACCAAGATTGGACAGTATACACCACGTTAAGAAGGCGAGGACTGGCAAAGCGATCAGGAAAAGAGCTGTCGCGGCTAGGGGCGTTTGTTTCAGCAGGTCAACGACCACCAACTTCGATTGTTGTAGTCCTAGCAATGTGCTGGTTTCGAAATACTCCGTTGCTGGATCCATTCTGGCGACGTCTAATCTCATTCAATATAGTGAAGTATGTTTGTAACATCTACAAAAGATCAGCCTGGGTACTCCGCTTGTTACTCTATATACGAGATCGCTCGGAGGGGATGAGTTCGCGGCTAGATATTATATAATGGATTCCCTTCTAAAGGTCCGAAAATCTCTCCCAGAAGAGCCGCATTTTAATGAGACTTATAGCGCTCAGCCAATAAAGCATTACTGCAACTGCTCGCCAAACTAATGTGGAAGCCAGCCCGCTCAAGGACCTGCTCGCCCGATTACTGTGGAACCTAGCCCACCCAAGGACCTCGGAAGCCAATCTTACTAGATCTTTTCCCGCTTATTTCTTCCTTTCGTACTAACGCTAGACTTCGTCTGGGTACTATTGCATATGCAGCCACGTGGACCCCAACCAACAGAATAGTAAGATACGAAAGACCTCAGATGTACTGTTGGGGGGTCATTAAAGTGGATAAAGCAACTGCGCCGGCCTTAAGGAAGGAAATTATAAGTGTAACGCTTTGAGTGTGCTGCCGGACTATACCTTATTGGGACGTAACCTGACTTATTCTGACCCTTCCTTTGCCGTTGGCGAACCGCCCACATGTGATGTCCTCCACCAGGCTGCCTGGGCCGGACCGCAATGGAGACACGGCTACACATGAGATCGTATGATATTATACAGGGTTCCTGACGATCCTTTTTGTGGCAATGGCACTGTTAATCTGTGGAGACTATCCCGAAAGCGCATCAGACTTGGCCGTGTCGACATTGCGCTTTCAGAGGCGAAAGTTTAAGTGTCTCATAGTATCATACTGGGTATCCCATTTCTATGTCGCAATCATACGGCAAAGTTTGATTCCCTGATAATTGTGATAGGCACCTGTCGGATGTAAAGCCTGCTTCCCCCGAAGGCTGTCTGGAGTCGCGGGGCCCCCAGAGTCCCCGGCATTGATACAACCCAACGACGTCAAGTTACGGGCGCTGGACCCACTTGCGGACCCCGGTAGCCAACATGCATCGCCTTCAATACCGTTTTTGGAGACCGGTCTGGAAATAGGGGGGGATTTTATGAAAAGGTGCTGGAACTTATAATTGAATCCCGCTGGGTTCTCACTGGAGGCAAGTCAGACTATCCTATTTGCCCAGAACTAAGATCCACTGGAGCCCACTTGCGCCTCAAATTTACCCAAACGCTGAATTTTGCTCTGCGAGAAGACGATATTCGGGCCGGGTTGAAGTTTCATCGCTTGGGGCGGTCGAAACAAATAATTAAGAACTCCAATCAGTGCCGCTGACAGATCGAACCTCTTTATCACTTCGTGGCCACATGCTGTGGCTGCTATGGTTCATAGGATATAATTCATGGATTTGCTAGGGATCGGTTGTGCTGGCGCGTTCATTGCGCTGTATCAAGACTGGTGTCGGCAACGTCGAACATCAAATGTTGCGATGTCTGGTCTAGCAAACGTCATGGCATATTGAAGTTTTGGGTGGAAAGCTGAGGTTTCAGCTGCGCCCGCACAAAGTACACTTGTGACAGCCAGTTCAGCCCTTGTAACGCGAGTAAGGAAACCGTCCAATTGCATTGATGTTACGAGAAACTGCGTAATCGGGTATCCTCAGAAGTGGCCATGACTGTTCCACTATTTCTCGGGGTGTCACGGCAGTGATTTCCGTGCGATAGACTGTTCTAGTCTCTCGTGCGTTCTTGACACGGGGAGATACCTGCTGTATTTCCCCGATTTGGATGATATCCCCCCTGGTTGAACTTTGCACGACGAGTGCTGACTTTGAGGATGCTCCTTTGACATTTGGGTTCCCGATATTCTTCTTCTATCTGGTTGCTTTGATATCCTCTCGTCGTCGTTGTAGCCGCCGGCGGCGGTTCGACGGTGCAACATGGCTATGGGTGGGCAGGGTCCTATGGCCGTCCTGGTCATGTGGATCATGGTGGTTCCTACGTTCGTTTGCGTGGTTCTTCGTTTCTACACTCGAGTCTTCGTAATCCAATCCCACGGCGCCGACGACCACGTTTACAATTTTGCTTTCGTAAGTCTCGACAACATTTGCCCGTGATCTTTGATGCTTCCAATCTTTTTCTGACAATAAGTTTATGACCGCAGATCTGCCTCCTCTGCTATACCATTTTCGTTACGATTGCAGCCAACTATGGCTTCGGCCAGAGTGCTTCAGATCTGCTGCCAAGCGATCTCGCGAACGCGATCCTTTTCGAGGCTATTGGTCAGACATTTGCGGTCATAGGGATGGCTGTTGCAAAATGGTCATTGGGTCTTTTCCTGCTGCGCATTATCCATTTGAGGGTACACAAGGTCTTGATTTGGATCGTCATGGCTTTGCTCATGGGAGCGAGTGTGTCTACCTGCTTTGTGTTCTGGCTGCAGTGCACACCGCCTGCGTATCTCTGGGATCGGAGCATTCCCGGAGGAATCTGCCAGGTTGATTCGACACCGGTCTCTATGTTATTGTGCAGTAGGTTTTTACTTCAGGGATAGGTCCTGAAAAGCTTGAGTACTGATTCTCTTAGTCCTTTGTGTTCTGGCGGACTTTTTCTTCGCCATTTCCCCATGGTTCTTCATTTGGAATCTTCAGATGGGCCGCCGCGAAAAGATGGTGACTCTAATCAGCCTCAGTCTGGGCGTCATGTTAGTTGAATTGCATTAATTCAGGCTCGCAATTACTGACGATCTGGTGTCAGAGCTGGAGCATTCGGCATCAAAAGAACGATTGATGTGCCTCAGTTGTCAAGTCCAAACTACACAAGTGCGTTGCAAAAACTTCTCTTTCCGGTCTACTATCATTCGTGTCAGGTCACTGACCAGTATTGCCTCCCATAGGAGATACAGTTGGCCTCATCATCTGGTCAGCCGCCGAAATTGCAGTAACGATGATCTGCATAGCCGTCCCCGTCTGCCGACCGCTATACAACCGCTTCCTCGACAAGTTCACATCGCAAGGCACAGGCAGCTACCAGCGACAAAACGGGTCCGGCCAAAGTCCTGGGTTCGCGCTCCATACCTTCGGTGGGAGTACTCTGAAGCCACGTGGTGGGCAAGGGCATCGAGTGTCCTCGAAGAGGCGGACTTCACCAGGCGAGGCGGACAGCGAACTTCCTAGCTTCGGGGGTCACAAGATGGGATATACCTCTACATACGCCACAGCAATGGGAGTTAGACAGGAGAATAATCAGAGCGAAGAAGAGATACTGGGCCCCGAGGCAAGGAAAGGGGGGCTAGGGCTTTTGAGCGGGCCGGGTTCGAACGCGATACGTGTGACGGAGGAGGTCGACGTAACAAGTAGTACGTACGCAGAAGGAAAGTAAACAGAACATTAATATAAAACGAACATCTGGTCCCAAGCAACAGTTTCCGCTCGAGTTTGTCTCATTTAACCTCCGCGAATACCATCAACCTACCCACTCACATTCAAAGCAAGTCCTTGTTTCATGCACAAATGTTCCACATATGGCGGGTTGACCTAATCATTATAATTCCTTGACAGGTATAGAAGAACGCAGAAGATGCGAAACCCGCTCCGAGATGACCCAGAGTTGGGAGCGGTAGGATTTTCGTACGACTAGGAGGTTGTCGAGCGAGTCACAAACACTACATCAGACTATTTGCTTCTCCAATTGCTTTCTTCTGAAATGTTTTTGTATCGGTGCAGTCGCCAAAATATCGTTTCGTTGAACAAGTTCCACACAATCTCTACGGAGAACCGGTCATACGTACTGAAAGTCACGGTAAGCCGAGAACATGAGAATAGCAAAGCTCTGTGCCTCGGGGGACTCTTTCGCAGGCGTCTTGTCGCCCCAATCCAGCGGATTGACCACAGGAGTCAGTGTTCCGTCGCTCCCGATCCTCTCAGTCACGGCCGCCTTCTTCGTGTCTGCCCAAGTTATATAATTCTGCCCAAATCTGGCCGGCTCGAGCTGAGCCATTCGGTACGCTGTGGCTGTCAGCAGCGCAGTCCCCGACAATTCAGCAAACCAGGTGGTGTCGTTGAGATAGTTGCGAAGAAGAGACTCATCCGGCTCAGCATTGTCCAATGCTATCGCACCGTCTAGAATCGTCTGGATGTGGTCTTTCAGGACGTCAAGTAGCCAGCTATCAGGCTGCAATTTCGCATTCAGCGTCGTGGCTAACACACGGCTCATCCCTGCGGCTGCCCACGCGTTCCCGGTGCTCCATATTCCACGGTCATTATTCCCATCCGGCGGGCCGACGATATGTTGCCAGAGCCCGGTTGCACCCCAAGGTCTATAGGTCCTGGACTCATTAGCAGGAACGCCCAGGACATCACCATACAGATTGCACTGCTCTATGGCTATGTTCAGCAGGGTGGCATTGTTCGTCTGCACGGCCCAGTATGCCAACGCCGGGGGCACCATGTAGACAGAATCAGCCCAGAGCTCCGTATTGGACTCACGGTGGCTGATGGCTCCGTTGGCCCAGCGTGGAACGGTATTGAGTAGATGGTCAACTTGACGCTCTGCCGCCGAGAGGTACTCCGGCTGTGTCTGGCCGATCAAGATGGCTGAGACACCGAGGGAGGCTGGATCACCGGCTGCACCTACTGAGAGCGTCAGCATCCATCGTATAGAGAGGATCACATCCACAATGCGGCCACTGACCGTCTCCATCCACCAGGATGGTGGAGTTTGTCCAGATGTGCGGCATCGCATACGAGAGTGACTGCACGTCGCTGATCTGTAAAACTGGTATTTCGCCTTTGGGGAATGCATCCTTGCCGAACACGGACAAGTCGGGGTTGTACCATTCGAGAAGTGCTTCAGAGAGCGTGCCGTACTCCCAGCTGTGTGAGGCTAGCCGCCGACCCTGCATTATGACATTATTGATAAGTTCCGGGGTCATATTGTGTGCTTGTTGATATATGGATCTTGTGCATTGGCATCAAATCAATTCTTTTCCGTGTGGGGGTGATTGTGCTGGTATAATTGCTACAAATTTCAAAGCAACTTGATGGACATGCGGCAGTACTTGGGTAGCTACTGAACGTAGGTCTTATTCCAATGTCTGCAGACTCTGACCACCGCACCGTCCAACTCAATTTCAATCGGTGTGTACGGATCCAGATCTACCATTGGGCCAAAAAAGAGTAATGTAACTCCAAGAATCTTAACAAGCACCTACAATGAACAAATCGGATATCAATGCGAAGGCTGTGGAGTTCGATAACAGGGCCCTGTAGGCCAAAGTCCTCATGGATAAGATTCAGGCTTGTAAACCCGCCGCTATAGACAGCTCCGAGAGCGCTCGTAGCTGAGCTCACAGGTGCCCTCTGCCTTCCTCTTGGTAGGCGAAATCGAACAGAAATCAACATGTTTTTACATTCATATCGAGATTCCGTGCAGGGAATATGTAGAGACCGTCTCAATCAATGTGGAATATGGTGCAGTGGCGTAGTGTTGCCTGTAGGATCCTCGACTATGGATCTTCGTACCGCTATTGAGTCCGCAAACCAATATCTTTCAACAGATAAAGCTGACCGTATAGATCTGTCACATCAACAAAGATGCGCAAAGCTTTCATGGAGTAGCCATCGCCAAGCTCCTGTCCCAAAAGCTTCATTGCCATTTCCAATCCCTTTCGCTCATGCTCGGCGATCCACAAGAGATCATCCTGGGCAATCGACTTCCGCTCTTTGGGAGCTACTTGTCGGAAGAAGAATTCGGGAAAATTTAGAGAGTTCAATGAGCCCTCATCTGCATCGCGTACTGCTGAGCCGAGGTCGTTGTACATGCGGCATAGACTGGCTAAATGGCGGCATACGTCCTCGGCGAGGTACACTGTCCGTGCAGATGCCAAAATATGGCGACCTGAAGATGATGCCGCGTGTACCAAGCAATTGAAAAAAACAAACGAGAACGGGCACGACGTGTGATCGGCTGATATACTTCGCATCCAGGAGTAGAGTGTGGACCCCGGGTCGACGTATTTCACAGGAGACCTTGCATTCTGAGGCTCTATCGTGCCCTGCCCATTCGTTTTGGCAATATTCAGGGGGAACCCGTCCCTTCTGTGTTGTGCACGGAATCTGTTGTTGTGTTGCGCTTGCGTGATGTGTGCGAGCAGGAAAGTCTGCAGATCAGACGCGAGCTTCTGTCGAAGGAAGATTGGGCTTGCTTGCACCGCTGGATGGTGCAGTATGTGTGTTATGAATTGACGAAGCAAGGAGTCGACGGACTTCATTGTGAGAGGGGTACGGTGTTTATCAACACAGTTGCGCGCCTCATGCCTGTTGATGTCCACATCGTAGGCCTGATTTTCAACTGGCGCGACGGCGCAGGCTCCAGAGTGCAAGTCCTCAAAGGCATGACGAACTATGCCCCTAATGGAGCCCAATGATCCTTGAAAGTGCTTCTCCACAACTGATTCCATGTATTGATCCACGTGGAAGTTCAAGACGGACAATACCATCATCTCATATAAGACTGATGGGCTCACTGTGCAGCCGTGCAGCTCCGCACATACAATGAGAGCCAACGGGATGATGAATATGTATTTGTCGTCACCACTTTGCGGCCGTGGAAACATGGAATGGTGATGATTTTTCAGCAGTCTCATAGCAAAGCAAGCCTCTAGTTCAGCGATGGCGAGAGAGGCTGAAGACAGTTCACGGACCAAGGGCGTTCGCGCCATGAGGGCACCGGCCTTCTTCATTCCAGCCAGTGTCTTCTCGTTCATAAGAAAAGCCTTGTCTGAGCACCCCTGAGGGATGTTCGGTAGGGCAGTATTGGATGCGGCCAGGCAGAACGCTTCGCTGAGCACGTCGGAAGCAAAGGTCACCTTCTCAGTCCATAGATGATGACCTCTGCCCCATTCGGACATTTTTGAAGTCAAAAATGACTTTCCTCGTGCAATAGAGTTGACAACAATGCCGTGGTCAATTTGCTGCATCCATGGCAGCTTTGCGATCGCTGACATCGCCAAGACTGCGTACGATGTCAACTCGCAGACGTGATTCCATGACCCATCGGTTTCCTGCCGACACAGTATCTGGATAAGTATGTGCAAACATACCATCGGAATCTTTTCCAGCAGACTTGGGACAGCGTTCAGAACACTCAGAGCAACTTCGTGATTTCTGAACAACAACTCAAATGCGCGGCCAAGTGACATCATCCAGTACAGTTCGCTCACATGCTTTTGCAAATTGACAGTCAGCTTCTCTTGCTCAATGAATATCTGATCAAATCTAGCTCACCCATTTCTCGGTGGTCTGTCCGTGAAACACCTTGATCGTCAAGAATTGGACGGCCTTGCTTATCTGCGAAAGATGCTGCTCTCGGTCCTCACGAAGTAACAGAGCGATAAGAACATTACAGTTCGCACTGAGGCTGGGATTGCGCTCTCCAGGGTAGGTGACGAAGTGTTCACTTGACTCGTAAGTGTGGATAAGGCTCTCGATACTGTAGTCTTGACCGAGGTAATGCAAAGCCTCCAATGACTTGGCTGTGTCATCGACATCTGGGAACATATGCGGTGCTTTTGCGAAGGTTTTAGCTGCGATTCAGTATAAGTCAAAGTTATATCAACCTACCGAAGCCAAGAAGCCCGTTTTGCATCTCCAGTTGACCTTTGAGCAGGTCACCGAAAGCCAATATTCCTGGGCCCTTCACCAGAATCTCGGCTGAAGCGAGTGTGCTAATGATCTGCCGGGTTCATCATCAGCCAACACTATTGCAAATTGAGGGGTTTTGGCCACATCTCTATAGTTAGGTAATGACGTACCCAACTAACTTCGAATATTGTCGTTGGCCAGGCAGCGGGTACACTTCCGTCTTCGTGCTGATTATCGCGTTCCAGAACGTTCCTAAGATACATTTCGGCCTTGCAGTCCCAATTTGAAGAATGCATAAGGTACGCCGCAGTAGCTCTACAAAAGTCAGCAAATACTGAGGTGGGCTAGACATGCCAGGCTTTGTTGCTCACGCTGGCGATCCCATCATCGATCCATTAGGATCCAGCCATGAACCGACACGGTCGAAGTCAATATGGCCAATGAATGCCTCGAGAGAGTGGTGAAGTGTGGAAGCGGCTTCATATAGCGTAGAGGGCGGTAGCCCTGTCAGTTTTGCATCGCGGACTGCTTGCAATGCCTGAAGCTGCACACAGTCTATGATTACACCTTCTTGCTTCAGAAGACTAAGCAGTGATATCAGGAGGACCTCAAAGCCGACTTGGTCGGTTGTGCTTATGTTCCATTCCTTCAGCATGTGTATCAAGGCCTCTTCGCCCTTTCGGCTTCTTAGTATCCAGTCTTCATGGTCCGGACGTGTCCGCAAATGCCTTTTCAAACATAACAAAGCTGCTGAAGTGTTAAGGATGCCGTCGAAAGGCGTTCCGTACGACTCCCAGGCACCGGATGGCTTCTGCTGCGCCAGGACAAAATCGAAGCACTCAGGAAACAGCCATGAATCACTTTCCGCGTGACAGTCTTTGGGCTTTTGTAACATGGCGACCCAGGCACTGTCGTAGATCGACGGCGACATGTGGCCGAAATCCTGACCAGCGGAACAGCGTGCGGCCAAAGGGGCAAGAAGCGCAGCTGCCTGCTTGTGCAATGAATTGTCCATAGCTTCTGGGCATCACAGGACTCTGGAGAAGTCAAAGTCAGGATTGAGCTCTCACCTGGATGGATCAAACTTCTGCATATGAATTTGGGACAAGTGCTAGAGCAGTTATCTGGCCACAGTATTCTCCATTGACAGAGACTTTTTGTAATCTTGTACGTGCTAGTCGTCCTTGTTAGTCCGAAGGTATCCATATGGTGAGCCTGGCTCAGCTCCCCGGTACACTGCGAGGTCACAATATCGCCTTCTGTATCGTGGAGATCCCGTGTGTTACCTCGCAATCGAGAGCCAAACCACTATGATGCACATTCAAAAAGTGACCACTGAGACTGACAGCCGGTGGTTAGGCTGTCACAGTGCTGCACATGCGGCAAGACCGGCTGTACATCCAGCTTTTCAAATTCACCATCGAGCACCGATTCTCTGCCATGCTCACATAATACACACACCACAGGGTGAACAAAGTAAATATAACCATACTGTAGACCTGCACGCCGTGGCTGCCATGGGCAAAATCGAGGAGATCTTATCACTACCGGTACGTGAGCATGTTCCATCTTGCGGTGGAGTGAGGACATCGTTGTCGGGAGACCACCAACCAGAATGGAGGGTTTCAAAGATCGTCCCCATTGCATCAGGAATAGACCAAATCTGCAACGCTCGGCCTCGGACTCTATTCTTGTACGACTGAGCCAGGTACATAGGGATGGAGAGCAGTATGATGCACGTCGTTTACCGCAGTCACAGTGCACTGCATTCAAAAATGTTACACAGTAAAATGGTCACGCTGCTGCCTGTGGGACGGCCCATGCAGGTGAGATGTTGATGCCTCAATTTCCACATGCATGCCCGTCAGCAACACATTACTGCCTTGTAACTACCATCCATCCGCATCATCAGAAACTCAATCACAGCCTCGTCGGATCTTCGGCACGAGATCTCTCGGAACGGACGCAACGTCGACAAAAGGACCGACTTGTGTGACATCCTTTTGTGTGCTACTGGGTCTGCTTTCTGTGGCTAAGCAAGAGGATTCGTACACTGCTTCGTCAACATATGCTGTAGTGGAGGTGCAGAGCACAAGGCAGTATCTCCAGGTCGGCTGAACAAGCATGCAGCCACCTGGTTTAAAGCTCTGCAGGCAGGGGGGTGAGAATGTTGCCTCCAGGTATTGAGACCTGGAAAGTCATACAAAGTCCACTGCCCTACAAAAAGTCTGCTCTCCACGTTGGTGACACAACGCGACACAAAAAGTGACAGTCTCTGTGCGCATCCCTGCTGCTTCCTGTGTATCCGGATGGACGCGGGCTGTCAGGCTGTATGTACCCTTTTTCTATTAGATGGGGATCGACGTCACCAACAACAAGAAGGGTGTTTTGTCATGTTTGTCAGCAACCGACGTTGGTGCAGTGCCACGCGTTGGGCAGCTGAATCATTCCTTGCCCCTCTTTCGTTTTGTCCTCCGTTAGGTTCTTGACAGGGCTAGGATTCTGCCTCTCTACTACGGTCCCTTGAAATCAGGCTCCCACTTCTCCTTCGTGTTTGGTTTACGACTTCCTCGACGCTTTAGCGCTACGCTTCACTATGGCGCCAACGGTGGACTATGTCTTCACGCGAGACTACCTCGATAACAGCCGGTGCGGAATCGCTGTGTTTTCCTCTTATGCCGAGTCATTATCAACATAAGTCGTGAAGCTCTTCCCACTGACTCCATTGCAGCATCAACTTGATGCACAGCTTTTGGACCAAGGTATTTGGGTATACGGTCCACCCAAAGATCCCCACAAACCAACCTGACCTCCGGGTGGCAGACGTCGGCACTGGTACAGGGTGAGGATAACCAACATTGCACAAATCTCTTCGTCCAGAAAGTAGATAGAAGTGCTTCAATTTTTGCTTGCTAAACGACTTCATGCAACTAGCATCTGGCTTTTAGACGCTCGAGATACCTTTGCTCCATCCGCTCAGCTAGAAGGCTTCGATATCTCATTTGATGCTACACCTCCGGCTGGGGTCATACCGTCCAACGTAAAATTTCGGCATTGGGATGTCAATACAGATTTGCCTCCAGATTTGGATGGCGTGTTTGATATCGTTCATGTCCGTTTCCTCTCATTTGTCCTCTTGAACGATGATGCCCCTGCAGTGGTCAAGAAATTGTTCAAGATGCTGAGTAAGTATATCCCAACCACTGTCTCTCTCCATTAAAACTAATCTTATTGATTTCAGAGCCTGGCGGCTATCTGCAATGGGGCGAAGCGGATATGGAGACACTTCGGTTTGAGAAGTGTGGTATCGATGCACAAACTGAGAGCCTAACCGAGCTGTTCAAGTTGCTGGAAATCCAAGATCCGCGACTGAAGCCCACTTGGGCTAAAGGTCTTCCAGAGCTTTTCACTGCCGCTGGTTTTATTGACATCGAGGTGGATAAAAATGATTGTCCCCCACATTGGGCTTTCGCCTTCCATGAGTGTGGGCTGATGATCCATGAGCTCATCTATCGCAAGACAAAGAACGTGAAAATGCAGGATGAGCTAGGCCGCCTCCTGCCGAAGGCTGTGGAAGAAACAAGGAACGGGGCATATGGGACTTCGATACGGGTGACTGTTATCGGAAAGAAGCCGCAGGCTTGATCCCATGCCAGCTTGTGGCACAGGCTAGAGCTCTTGGAAAGAGCATAGAAATGACTTGCACAATAGTTCAAACACGCACGCAAACGGCCGAACCTGAATCATGCCAGTTGTTCTACGAAGATGCCCATGGGTTCTCAAGGTTGGGACTATCGTCACCACGAATGCATTTGTTACACTATCATGGTTATCCTGTGCCTGATTATTGTCCCTCGCTTTTGAGCATGGGCACACAACATTTGGTTTCATTTGCAACTTGGTTCAGATCCACCATATCCCTCATGCAGCTATTCGTAAGCAAATTGCAAGTTTACAGACATTACATCCTCCCAGACGCTCAAGGCGCCAGCCCGGGAAAACAATGTATAAACAGCGACACAACGGCAAGCACTCTTATCTTGTCCCTAAATGATCCCGTAGAACCTGAAGTAATAACGCTGCTTGGATTGCTGGCCGAAGGTGTCGCACCACCTGGACTGGATGTCTCGACCACAAGAGACAACTTCTCAGCTCCAGCTGTGATGGTGACTGGATATTCATAGTAAAGGCTCCCATTAATAATCGTTGTGTATGAGGTGGACGTAGTAGAGCCGCTCGAGTCTCCAATATATGTGTAATTGCAGTACGCGGCACTACGCCCTGTGATGATGCACTCCTCATCCAGAACAGCCGTCACGCTCGCAATTGCGGTGGACAGGGTCCCAGCCATAGTAGATGGCCCATTTGTTACGGTCCATGGCTGGATGGGTCACACAAGAGTCAGCAGATGGCTTTCTTAACTCGGAACGCTTAGGATAGCACCCACGGGGTCATTGGCGTCGCAGGTAGTTGTGGGGAACCCGGGAAGGTTGAGCAGCCCAGACCTGCATACAACCTCGAATGTTGTAGCCGTCTCACCAACTGCAACCACGCTAGCGACGAAAGAATAATTGCTCTGGCGTTTAGCCCCAAGGAAAAGGTCGACTACTGTTTCCGCTGGGGCCGTGGTCACCACATTGGTTTCCGATGAAACCACATTGACGGACGCCGCGCACAGCGACAGGAGAAGAATGGAGAAGATATGCATGATAACGGGGTGCCGATTGGAGGTATCAAGCATATGGCCGAGCTCTGGAGTCGTTGAACATTTGGATGTTGACGACGAGAATTCCTTTTTTTCTCTCTTACATACCAAGTGCGGAGATAAATAAGGGATTCGGGCGATGCAGAGGATGGCGGGAATGAGACATCGAAGACTATATACTCCAAGACGAAGAATTATAGGTCAAGAATACTCTACGATCGGAACAGGTCATGCATCTTTATGAATGCTACAGCTCTTCTGGATCTCCGTCGTCGTCTTGCTTTCTTGGCCGCCTCTCTACGAGCTGTGCTAGGGCTGCCATCCAACTCAATGCCAAATGAGCGGCCATGAACGTTGCCACAGCAGGATTCTCGGACATGACCACAAAAAGTCTTGGCTTTTGCATGAACGTGCAGTTAGCCTCATGCGGCCATTAATACTATTCTCAACGTGCATGTGTGTGTACCGTACTTTGGCCTGGAAGCTCGCACTGTGTGTGAACCGGTTCCCATATGCACAGTTCCTCTAAGACTTTTTGGTACAGCCCAAAAGCTTCATCGGAGGCCCTTGAATTTTTACCGATTGATATGGGAGGAACTTTATCTCATGCGAAAGGAACAATCACAGACGAGTTCCGAGGGAGATCAGATTGCAATTGGGTAAAAAGGATCATAGCACAGAGAGATGCCCTTGCATCTCAGCGATGTAATCAGCTGTTCGGAAAGTGATCACGCAAATATTTGCAGGAAATGAACTTCCTGCATGGAACAAGATTGCGTAGCTGTTCAAGAATATTATTTGTTATCGGAGCACTTGGTGAGCCTGACTCGGCTGTGAATCTTTCAGACCCACGTCTCTCATCCACTACTAAAATCGACTGGGACATAAAAGTCTACTCCGCATCAGAGGCTCTTGATGTACCACTTATTTCGCAGACAAAGGCTTGTTACCAATAAGAGGCATATGATTGGCCCAAACAGAACTTTCGATCGGTACTATTCTCGAGGACTGCAAACAAGGGCACCATTGCACCATACATGAAGCAATTGCCGCCTAAGTCCATGAGAAATATAAGATTCCGTTATTCTTTCAGGTCGTTGTACTCAGACAAAGACAATCCCACAAGCCTCCTCCCTCCGCCGGACCAACATCTGACTCTCCGGGTGGAAAAAGAGAAACTCGTGCATAGAAGCACTTGACAACGGCTTACCACCAATGAACGCAAAATCATACTCATCCAACAACTTTATTAGCAAAATTTTGGCGGACATACTTGAAATCAATCGTCCTGGGCATGCCCATCTACCGGCGCCCCAGGTCAGTAAATCCGTGTCAACGCCACTGAAAGGCCGCGCACGGTGTTCCTTCACCCGATCTTCTGCACAGAAGCGCAGGCCCTGGTACTCTTGCGCGTCTTGAAAAATGCTGGGATCCATGGTTCGCGTCGCGCCGGACATAGTAATGAACTGGCCTTTCCGAAGCACCAGTCCATTGGCGAGAACGCAGTCTTTCTTGACGACGCGGCTGTAGACAAGAAACGTCCCTGGTGTTAGACGCGACGACTCCTTCATTGCCGATTCAAGCTTTTCGAGGCCGGCCAAGGCCGCCATGCTCCAACGACCTTGAACCTCGGCGTTTTGCCGACGTATCTCATCGCGTACAGCATCTAGAACATCAGGGTGCCCAACTAGGTCCACTATAGTCCGGCAACAGAAGTTTGTGATGCTGTATGTGGATCCAGCCGCAATGGAACCAATTAGGGTAGTTAAATTTTCGGGATCACGTTCTAGCTCGTTTCGACCGTCTTCGACCATCCAAGAGATAACATCTGGGTTGACGACAGCAGCACCTTTGCTGTTCCGCGTACGACGTGCCTCGTTTTGCTGAAGCACCCGCGGAACAACAAAGCCGCGAAGTTTTTTCCAGCTGCTAATCAGCCTCCACTTTGCTGGGAGAAGCCAGACCAGTATGGGCTGCAGAGTCTGCGGTACGCAGCGCATGGCGAAGCAGACCTTGAAGACTGACGTGTCCATTTTCGCTCATCAGAATACTAAATCATATCTCTGGTACTCTTATTATTCTTCTTGGGATGGCGTACCGTTGTTGGTGTGCTCATGTGACAAGTGGACAAGTTCCGGAATGTCCCGAGTCATCTCCGCTCCAAATAAGATGAGAGCGATTGCCTCACTAATACAGTGCACGACTGCTTTACTGGGTTTCATGGGCATCCATTCGTGACTTTGCGGAAACTCATCCTGGACACCCGCTGAAATGCGTTCGCCCATGACAGCAAACAGCGAAGGGAGAGCTGGGCTGATGTAGGATAATAGAACCCGGACGTGAAAACTGGTCACACGGACGACGTCCATGCCCGTGAGGTGACCCAAGAGGCCGAAAGAATGAGACTCGCGACTATTCAAGCAATCTATTCCCAAGCCGTTCAGCTCAGGTATCATGCTTGTGGGAAGGACAATTTGATCTGTATCGCCTCTGTAGAGACGGTACGGGTGACCTTGTGCCTAGGATGAGGATTTGAGTATGGGGTAGAGACGAGGATGTCAGATCATCAACAACCAAGAATACACCGACCTTCTTGTCTGCAGCTCGAAGTATTTTCTTTGCATTGATAATCCATCTGAAGCGCGCGAAAACAGCTGGCTCATACCGAAAGAGCTTGTTGGCGGTCATGAGGCCGTCGTTGAATTTCTCAGATTTTGGAAGACGAAAAACGACCGCAATTATTGCGAGACTTATCAGCAACGCAACTATCAGAAGCCCACCTTCGAAGTGGATTGGCGCTCGAATGTAGCGGTGGGAATTGAGAGACACAGGATAGAGTTCCATAATGACTTTTCTGCCTTTCGTTGGCTGTTGGCGCAGTAATTGATCTGGAGATGGCCGAACGTAGATATTTGCAAAATAGGAGTCTTTACTGGACCTCAGTTCGTCGCGGTGTCCTGAAAGAGCAAGGAAGTCGTAAAGTAGCCTTCATTTTCTGACGGCACTGTACTTCCAGAATCTGTTTCAGCTCTTGATCAACTCACACCTCCGCCTTGATACACTCTTGCCTTCATTTTACCCCTTAATACCTCAACACAACATGGAAATACCACAACAGGTCAGTGGCAGGTCCAGACAGCTGCAGTTGATGGATGGCGGAGCTTCCCCACAGCAGAATTGCATGCTGCTCACCCGTCTAGTCTCCTGCATACATGCACGCTTCTTGACACCATTTCCAGTAAGTCTTGATTGTGCCACAGCAGTGCCCCCTCCCCCGGGCGTTTATTTTATCAACGCATGGCACGACGGATAGGCGGATCATAGTACGTCTTGCGATGCAGAATTGGCTCACACCGAGGTAACACAACTGAATTAGGCAATCAACGACTGCGATTGACGATGATCATGAAAAGTAAAATTGCTCAGGACCAATTTCCGCCCCCAACACTCGTGACTGTGCTAACATACATGCCAACACGAGGAACTTGCGCAACCCATGAGCGATGATCCTTGCCCGGCAGAAAAGCACTCTGTTACAATATCAATGCAATGTAAGCCCACAGCCTTATAAAACGTCCATGAAGGTGGTCAGCAGATCCTTCGTCAAGGTGCGCACGTACTGGTAGTCTGTGAGCCCCTCTACTGGTGAACGGCCTTGATCAGCATGTGAAAATGGGCACGATGAGGAGGTGAGATCGGTAAAACCTTCCGCATCCAGGGAAAAAGAGTACTGCAAGAGATTAGGAAACATGCAAGCAGCCCTGCCAGTTGGAACATCACACATGATATGCTGTACAACGAGGCGGCGGAGTCCTCCATGGGTCCAACCCGGACCGCTCCGGCCACAGGAACCTGGCAGGTCTGTCTGTTTTACCACACACACAAAAGAAGGACATTATTGGGAGTCATCGTGTTCGTGCAACGAGGACCCGCAGCAGCATCTAACATTTTTTGCATGCATTTGAGCAGCACGTCAAGACCGAGATTCTAAAGCGTCACGGCCACCTCTCACCAAAGGCCAGGCTAAGCCTAATGACGCCAATCGAGATGACGTACCAATTGTGGACTGCATTTGTAAAGTCATAGATAGGAGGGAATGGGATGTGCTGGGCATGTTTTAGCACGGGTCCTCACGGTGTCAGCATCTTTCAATGCAGGTATTTCCTAATGAATATTGACTGTTTATGAGCGTCAACACCCTGCAATAAAGGGCAGTAAATCGCCGACACAGGCTTTCCTGCCTTCTTCAATGAAGCAAAGAAAGTACAGGTAAAAATGGATATCATTTTGATCAGTGTGAGGGATTACCTCACAAATTTCAACGTCATCTTGCTTTTATTGCAGCTCTTCTTAGCTTACTGCTTGTTGAGCGCCATTTCAACCTGGCGGATAGTGCGAAGGCAGGTTCAATATCCTCTTGTTGGCAGCCCTGTGGCCATAATACCAAAGTTTGTTCTCAATCTGTTATATGCCTGGAAGGCCACAGCCTTGGCCCAACAAGGGTACGAAAAGGTCTGTTTCTATCGTCACTGTTTTATAGCTAAGGATCTGACCAGGCGTTGTGGGCCAGAACAAGCAGTCCGCTTTCCAACTCATTCGGAACGAGGGCCGTGTCCTCGTCCTTCCGAAATCCTTGCTTGAGGAGCTGAGTCGTCTGCCGCCCAACATTGCCGAGCCCACAGCCGCATTGGAACGTGACCTTGTCGGGTCTTTTACTGGTATCGATTTGATACTGGAAAGCAGGCTACACCACTCAATCGTACAGCGAAAGCTGACGCCACGCCTCTCTCTCCTTCTACCCCGGATGGAAAAAGCGACTACAGCAGCCTTCAAAACCTATCTGCCTCTCAGCGATGATTGGGTCGAGTTTGAACCATACAAAGAATTTAGCTACATCTCTGCTCGACTCGGTGCCGAGATCATAGTTGGACCGTCCTTCTCTGACAACCCCAAGTGGCTGCACATTGCGGTTGAGTACACGGAAAATTGTATGCCTTCTCCCCACATGTTTCGACTAGCGCTAACCTTTCGTCAAGTGTTCAGGACTGTCGTGATCTTACGCTGTTTCCCAACATGGATGCGCCCGATGCTATCTCGTTTCCTTCCCTCGTACTACAGGGGCTGGGCACTTCTTTACAAGGGCAAGAGACTGTTGGGCCCTCAGATCCAAACCCTCCTAGACAAGAACGATAGAGGGGTGTGGCAGCCATCAGATGAGAATCCGGACGACCTAAACGTCCTCAGCTGGCTAACTAGCTGCGCAAAAGGAAGAGACCGCAGAGCAGACATAATTGGGCACGTGATGGTGATGGTAGCGCTGGCAGCGGTGCATACCACTCTGCTTCGCATGGTCAATGTCTTGTATGATGTTGCTGCCGCCCCCTCTGATCTGAAAGAACAGCTTCTCCAAGAGATTGCTAGTGTCGCCCGCGGTGGCTGGCACGACAATGGCAATCCATACGATGCGCTGGCAAAGCTTGACAGCGTGCTGCGTGAGTCCCAGCGCATCTCGCCTCCTACGACGCTGGGCATGAAGCGGCTATTCAAGGAGCCATACCGGTTCCAGGACGGCACCCAGGTCGAGGCGGGGACGTACGCTTGCATGCCTGTGTATGCCATTGAGAACGACCCTCTGACAACACCAAACCCTGAAGAGTTCGACGGACTGCGGGCTTTCCGAGCTTCACGGGAAGTCGATTCCGACAGAGCTCACCAGTATCTGTTCTCGTCGCCCGGTTCGGATTTTCTCAATTTTGGCTATGGGAAAACAGCTTGTCCCGGACGGTTCTTCGCAAGCATCGCGGTGAAAATGGTCATGGTCAAGGCGCTCACAGATTATGAATTCAAGTTCCTTCCGCATACCCAACGGCCGAGAAACATTCTGGTGCATGAGTTTCTCTTTACATGGCCATGGACTAAGATGCTTGTGCGCCGGAAGAAAAAGGGTTCTTGTCCATTTTGATCAGTAATGACCTGTGTCTGCCATGTTTTGCAGCAGGTCTATCAAGAGCCGAGGGCTGGGGTGGTGAGGGATTCCTGAAATTGAGGACTCCTCTATAGTTAGTGGCGACAACAATGACGCCGTAAACAAGCACAAATCAGATAGCATGCTAACATGTGGAGATATGAAAGATGTTGCCATATACTACGCTCTATCTGTTGGCCTGCGGGGGCGTAACCCAGCGACATTCGATATTCTCAAGTCTCCGTATGATCTCGAACTAGGATATATATGGTGATATCCTGGTAAATGCGCTAGGAAAAACTATTTGATTTTGGAGGCTTAAGATGTCTCATTGCCGAAATGGACGGTGCAAACTTTTCGGATGGTTTTCTTCTCAAGCCAGATCTAGTTCCTTCAAACTCTACGGTTCCTACAGAATCATGCGTACTTAGCAAATGTGAGCTTCCGCCCTTACCAGGCCTCGATGCCGCATTTGTTGAAAGCAACCATGTCACGCACACGAGAGTAAGTCATCGCCCCGTGCAGAAATTAGTGGTACCAGTTTGAAAAAAACTTTTCAATGTTCTGAAAATTTAAGGATCAATCGAACCAGAAATTTCGTTGCAGCCAAATTTCGCCCCGCTGGACAACCAGAGGTGTCGGACGGTCGAATGGGTGTAGAGCAGGTCAGGCCAGAGCAGGAGGGAGAGCTGACATCTCGGACAGGGCCAGCGACCACTTGTTCTTGGCATTCAACTTGGAACTTTGTATCACACACCACTACACGCCAGCATTCCCCGCTCTCGAGGGAGCAGAATGATAGGACCGCTGCACGGCTTACAGTGATGTCGTCCTACGTCTATCTTTCGCTCACCGGGCTCGTCGCATGTAATCTCGTGGTTACGTAGGTAGGTCCATCGACAACCTGCAGATGCTAGGATAGTCCAACATTACCTGGGTTGCAACGCAGGGAAAAGAGGGCTCTCAGCCCAAAATTGAAAAGTGGTCTTCCCACACTTCGTCATTACTGGTCCACGGAGGTTCCATCTGAGAGGCACCAAAATTACAATGGGCCAGAAGAACGTCCACCTCGTTCCCGAGCTGAAATACACGCATAACATGCCGCAGGTACTTTTGCCGCCTTCCGACATTGGAACCGTGTGCGATGAGGCGCTAATGTGCGATATGTTCCGGGCCGAAGTTCACGAACACCATGCAGGTAGTCCTCCGCCCGCCTTCCCATACCCCAGGCCTCATTCCTAGTGGAGCCTCGCACACACACTGCACACTAAGCATCGCCAATGTACAGTAGGCTGTCTTTCGGCAAGCCCTTCACGCGGTATAAGTGATCGACGTCGATTTTCTGTCATGCTTACTTGGTCATTCGAGAGCTTTCAACTTGATTTTCTTCGGCCTCACGACACTGAGAGACTCATTTCGCCTGCACTGATCGTACCGGCCACACACAGCCGCTCCGTTTTGTCCATCACAAATGCCAACGACCGCGTCGGCTGCCACCAGCGGACTGGTGGTTGTATCCGCTATCTTTCCTGTCCTGTCAGCCATTGCTCTTTATTTGCGGGTCATTGCTCGCCGTCGCAATGCTACCAAGGTAACTCGTTCCGACGAGATTTGGCTTCTTATCTCCTGGCTGACCACTTTGCCATTGAGCATTGTGGTCTGGGTGGTTGCCGCGAGGTCCGGAATCAATCGCTACAAAATAGATGCTGTCACTGGCACTAAATACTCCCTTGCTGTGAGTGCTCTCGGGTTGTCAGTGTAACTATTTGCTGGCATCGTTGGAAGATCAACATCCCAGGTGAGCACACGCCGGAGTCTTGCTGACATTACACAGTTAATCTGGCTGTGTTCAGTCATCCTCAATTTCCCCGAGACTGCAGTCAAAATCGCGATTCTTCTGTTCTACAAACGGATATTTTCCACCAGGACTTTCGCTATATGCGTCTGGACAGGAATCGCCCTGATTTCTGTTTGGGGCATTGTGTTCTTCGCAGCAAGTTTACCCGCACTATGAAAGACTTCGGGCTGCTGTCCTCCTTACATTTTCATGCTGACAGGTTCGTCGCACAGTTCACGCTCACGGATGCACGGCCTATCTCAGAGCCATGGTCAGGGCACGCAACCTTGCCTTATGACACAACGGCGTTGGGCTTGGCACAGGTCGGGACAAACCTCGGATTGGACGTTGTCGTGTTGTGCTTCCCGATTCCTGTCATCTCACGCCTGCATATGCCTACCCAGCGCAAAGTGGTAGTGGGAATGATTTTTTGGCTTGGGATCTTGTCAGTAGTAGCATGCCTTGTGGAAAACCCCCTCAATGCTGACGGGTTACAGCTGCTGTGTTGCCTCCATTGTCCGGCTCGTTCTGCTGGAAGAGTCTCTTGCTATCATCGACTCCGACCCGGACGAGAACATTTGTAAGTTACTCTCTTGTCACACGACCCCCGCAAGACGCGTTGCCCCTTTATCATCACCCCCTCTCCCTGTGTAACTCTGGCTGATCGACCCTATCCGAAGACCTCCAAGCCGACATCATTATTTGGAAGATCATCGAGCCAAACGCGTCCATCATCGCAGCATGCTTGCCGTGTTATGGTCCGTTCCTCAACAGCCGCACAGCTGAATCAATCGTGCAGAGTGTACGGTCTGTGATAAGTCTAAGGAGCCTCAGAAGTCCCCGCGGATCCCAGAGCTCCGGAGGAAGAACTAGCAACAAGAGGGGCAACGACCCATCAAGCGACTCTCAGGTTGAGTTGACCCATCAAGATGGGGCAGAAAATGGTCGTCTGAATACAGGCGCTGTCTCAGATGAACAAGGACAATTGAAGCAACACCCTTCTGTTGCGGGAAGCTCAATGGACAGGCCTGCCGGCGGAATCACCGTCACCACTGGCATCACAGTGGTCAGCAAATAATTACTGCAGAGTGAACATAGTGAGTAGCATTTTATGTACCACGAGAATCGAGCTTTCCATGTGCATTGTAAATGAATACGCACACCGTAAGCACATCGCATGTTCCCAGAGATACAAGCACGACTGTTCACCATGATGTAGCATGTGTCCGCCGGAGTCTCGCCGGATTCCCGCTGCGGCCGTCGCCCGCCTTTAATCCCTTGATCCTCATGGCAATTGGCTCCAGTCCCTGTCAGAACTGTTGTCTGCATATATTTGCTACGCCGTAAGCAGAAGGTGACACGGATATTAACAAAGGATTCGTTTCCAACATGTGTGACACAAGTCAATTGGTGCTACACAGGAACGGGCGATCGACAGACCGATCAAGCCATCATGGCGCAGAGCTTGATGCCTGCATAGATGGCTTGCTGACCATTTTACAGAATATCACACTCTTTCCATGTAGTGTCGACCGGAGAAGACTTCCGCGGAAATTTCCAAAAGTACTAGTTTTAGGTCTTTCTGTGTTTGGTAACCTTTCGCAACCGGAGGATTACGGCTGTGACCTGAGTTGTTAATAATATCAGGTACATTGATGGTAGTTACTTGATCGCACTGTGTTTTCAACATCTATCTGAACGGATCGAACGCTGGCCCTCACATTCTTGCTTTACTGTGATATACGGGCCCTGTCCGTCTTTTCTCTCAGAAAATGCATCAGCCAATGACAGAAGGGGGCATTCAAGGTTATTATGGGATCATCGATTCATCTCGCTTTGGTGCTGTTCCAGTGTTGCGTCTAGACAGCTAGAGCGGAAAACCGAGAGAGCTAAGACCGCGCATCAATTGCCCTCCAGACCACTACTCAGGTAGGTCCCCTATCGGCCTATCTCCTTTGCGTAATTGTGTCTTCTTTGATTCTCATCCAATTTTGCCCACGGTCCATTGTCTGGCTCATCGTCTGTCCAGAATTTGGTCTCAACTTATTACTAGCAAGGCCTCACCACGCCGCAGCTCAACATGGATACCAACAGTTCCGCACCGGACACAAAACCTGAAAAAATGAAGAGCATTTCCAAGTCGGAACCTAAAGCTTCCAATAAGAATGTTGACAAGACTGACATCACCGATGACATTGACCCTGCGAACGAGATTCAAGGGCTGAAACTGGTTCTGACTCACTTCTCGATCTGCCTCTGTACGTTTCTCATCGGTCTGGTAAGTTCACACAGGTCTTTTATGACTTGTACACCCATAACGAGCAAGAAGACTTCAACGTTCTGACCACCTTTCAGGACTATAATCTTATAGCGACTGCCGTCCCTGTCATCACGGCCGAGTTCAACTCCCTTCGTGACATTGGTTGGTACAGCGCGGCTTTCATGATCGCAATGGCTGCAAGCCAGCCCCTTTCTGGAAAAATGTATTCTTTGTTTCCAAAGAAGATTTCCTACCTCCTTTATCTACTTGTTTTTGAAATCGGAAGCCTCGTATGTGCTCTCGCGCCGTCATCGCATAGCCTTATCGCCGGTCGAGCTATTGCGGGCCTTGGCGCCTCTGGGCTCTTCGCCGGCGCCTTTACAATCCTCGCCACAGTCATACCGTTGCATAAGCGCGCCGTGTGGACTGGTGTGATGGGTTCGACGTTCTCCATAGCGAGTATCGTTGGGCCTGTTCTGGCCGGGGCCCTCACCCAACACGTTAGCTGGCGGTGGTGCTTTTATATCAACGTGCGAAGATAAGAGAAAGAGTTCCAAACAAAAGTAGGCACAACTGATACTAATGAATTCAGCAGTTGCCCATTGGAGGCGCCGCCGCTGTAATATTTTTCATCCTCGTCCACATTAAGGTAGCTGATACCGAGAAGAAACCAATCACAGACAAACTCAAAAGCCTGGATGGGCTTGGATTTGGTCTCTTCGCCGGATCAGTCACCATGCTACTCTTTGCACTCCAGTGGGGTGGCGTTGAATACACATGGTCGTCTTCAGTTGTGATTGGTCTCTTCGTAGGCGCCGGGGTCGCCATGATCCTCTTCGTCTCATGGACGTCAATACGCGGAGAAGATGCGCTGATACCACCGCGATTCTGGACCATCAACCGGAATCCAGCGTTGTTGTGGTAGGCATTCACCTTTTTTAGTTCGTCCGGTCTTGTTCTCTTATCCCAAAGTGAAAATTTGGCATTTCCTTGTTCTTCTTTCAGCTGTGAGCTTGTTTGTTCCTTGTGCATCCAGATTTGGCTCTAGATGTGAGAATGAGCCAGCAACTTCTCTTACCTTTCTTTTGCAAGGTCTCTATGATGAATCCAGATTTCTTGACAATCGTCATATTGCAATTCGCTTCGTATGAACTCCGAACAAAAATTTTAAATCGCTGACCTGAGATGTTGAACAGTGCGGCAGCCTTCTTCATCAACGGACCATTCCAAACCGTCATATATTGGCTCCCGGTTTGGTTTCAAGGCGTATTGGGCAATTCTCCGACAGCAAGTGGCGTGAACTTCTTCCCAACAGTCATCTCGGACGTCGTTGCAGCAATTGTTGGTTCGGCCATGGTGACTCAGCTGGGCTGGTGGAACCCTTTCTTATTGTTCGCCGAAGTAATGGTCTGTATCGGCGGTGGTCTCTTAACGACGCTCTATCCCAGCATCTCGGGGTCTCATTGGGTTGGCTACCAGATATTTGGTGGCATTGGTTATTCTCTGGCCTCTAATTTGGTGAGTGGCAGATTTGAAGTCTTCCGGAAAATTACAGTGCGGCCCAACAATATTAACAGTGGATTGCTCAACAGTCACATCTTGCTATGCAATCGTCCCTACCCCAGGACCTAGTCCCATTAGGTTCCTCAACGTTACTATGCGTCATCTCAACCAGTTGTGCTGTCTTTATGGCCGTAGGGCAGACTGTCTTCAATCAAAGGCTCAAGGCAAATTTGAGCAATTCCCTCTCACAGGGCGTGGTGGAAGAAATCATTGACTCCGGCGTTACCAGCCTACGCTCTCTTGTGAGCGCGTCTGATTTGCCGGTAGTCATAAATGAATACAGCGAGTCTGTGACCCAAGTCTGGGTAAGCACTGTCATCCTAGAGCATCAGCTGTCCGACATTACTAAAAAGTCAATAATGCTAACTTGTTGTCATCAAGTACATTCCGGCCGCCGCACCAGTCATTTCATTCGTGCTGCTGCTTGGCTGCAAATGGATCTCGACGAAGAGTAAGCAAAGCCCGGCAAAGGCGACGGACGGAACGGCAGACACCAGTGAAAAGAATGGTGTCGAACAAACGATCGTGTAGTGATTGGGCTGGAAATCCTGATTATTGGAATACTAATATGGCCAGTGGACGGCTCGCAGTTCTAGGCGCAATTGCGCCCACAAAAGGGAGGGAATCAAGTCACTGTAGCACCTTCTTGTTCAGGTAGAAACGAGCGTATAGCTTTGATACCATTCTTCCAAAATCGTCTTTGTGAAAGCTCGATAGGATCAAGATGGACAATTCGATTTAATGAGAGATTTTTTAACTTTAAGACTTCAAAGAACTAAAGAGACTAACATGATGTTCAATGAATATTAACTTTATTTATATACTTAAAAGTATACATCTGAAAAAGAGTAAATGGTTTGGAAACTGATTGATGAAAAAGTCAAATGGATGATTTAATTAATGTATAATACTATGGGGGGGGGGGGGGGAGACTACTATTGTACAAAAAGAAGAGGATGAAAACGTGGAAGTTATAAATGAAATTACAGTTTGGATTCAACGGGACACAAATAGGTATTGTAATAACTTAAGACTGATCATTCCCGGGCACTTCTCTCTCTCCAGACAATCTAATTACAGCACTCAAAAGAGGTCCTATTGTCTCGATCTGTGTCTTTGAACTCAGTCGTGGACGGGTGGGCTACTCGGTGACAATACAATACTGTTTGGTTCGAGGTTTAAGAGAAGTCCGCGAGTCCGGCGTTTTCTTTCTCATCTTCCCATTGTACCCATCTTCTGGTCACAAAGACGGGTGCTGTCGCCTTGAACCGGTACAGGTGCCTTACGACCGAGAAAGTTATTCAGACCAGTGCGTAATAAGCCATGCGAATTCGTAGAAAATTGCACATTTATTGTTCGTGAAAAGTCTCTTTCCGTCGTAGACCGCACCAGATCACGAAGTTGGAGGTAGGGATTTCTAGATGATCCCAGGATTTGAAACACCATCCTGCTGTTGGTCTAACAACATATATCAAGTATGTACTGTGCAGCGACCAACAGTTCAGACTACCTCCGCTTCTTCGTAACAGTAACCGCCTTCCCTGGCCCTCCCATGCCCACGCCAGCAATGAAAGCAGTCCTCATGCTGGCACCTAGATACACAAAGGGGATGTTGCCCCAGTCAATAGCATTCCACCGGGTAAAATTCCATGGCAGGTACACATCCAGCCCAAGCGCTCTGACCGTCCACAAGTGACCCAGGTCAGCGACCAGCAGCCCGAACAGCACAGTCTTCCAGACGCGTAGGTCAGAGGTGGAACGGAGGACAAGGGCCTCGTTCAGGGCGAATAGCAGGTAAAGATTCGCCAACTGGGACAAGACGATGGAGGTGCCAGTCGGGATAGGGCCAAGGACAGGGGCTGAGGCCGCGTGGGTTAGAAGGAGGTAGTCGCTTTGGCGGAAATGGGCGAAGAAGGCGCCGACGAGTGCGGATACTGGCTCTATGTAGAGGAAGAAGAGGCGGTAGAGGATTGGGAACGGACTGCGGCCGGCTTGTTGGTGTTGCTGAGGGGCCATGACGACGGCCTGTGTAGCTGTAGCTGGCGCGTGTGGCTGTCTAACACGTGCTCTCTGCAATCCTGTACTCTATATTGTGAGAATAGACCTCCGAATTTTCAATTTAGCGTTTTCTGCGTTTTCTGCGATGGTTTCTGAGCGCCGTTTGTCTGCTTTGCGGTCGAGAAGCAGTTGCGGTCATGAGGTGAGGTTGAAGCTCTCCACAGTGACGCCGGCTTCTTCCGGAGACGGGCCTGAGTTCAGGCCCCTGCCTCAGGGCAAGGATACCCCTGAGGTAATCCAACCTTCAACCGATGGACCCTGAGTTCCGCGACCAGCTGGGCAGCTGGGCAGGTTGGCAGCTCTTTGATCACACATGTCCGCACGCTCAATCGTTATCATCATCGATCGAGCATCACAACTTCATGATTTGTCGCGAATGATACGACTGGACTCTTAATGAGCAGTACGTGAGTGTGAAGAGCCTTCAAGAGACGACCTCTCTGCGACCATGCCCCTGTAAAACAAGGATTTCGCACTAGCCGATTGGCGACCTAGTCTGCTTAGGCCTGCTCCTGAATGTGAGCGCCACTGCAAGGTGTACACAAATATGGACTGTAGAATGAGTCGGTAGTAAAGCCATATGGGAAGCTTTTTGGTCATGAAGCGCACTGCTTGTTGGTAAGAACCACACAAAAGGATCAAGGCCAACCGACGTGAGGTCGTGCCTCTCACAAAGAACCTGGAACTCCTACGGAAATGGTCACGCTGTTTTTCTCGTTCTCATCTAGTTGATCCAGTAGTCTCCGATCACAGAGTCGAAGACAGGCTGCATTGACCATTTCTCGATCTTGGATCTCTGGTCGGCATATCGTAATCTCAAGACTTGAACTCCGAGTCAAGCATACTGCACAACACAAGCAATGTATGAGGCGAACTTGGCGCAGTTCAGCCAAGGTCTTCTAAGTCTTGGGTGCGGGCGTCAGAACCGGTTGAAAGTGGCATCCTGGGACGCCATCTGGTACTTATGCAATGGCAATCAGGTTTACTGAGGCTGTTTTCTCGAAAAACGCAGTACATCGCTTGAGAAGATCTTCGTGAGCCCGTGGCACTCCCAAACATCGAAACACCCCCTGACCTTGGTCGCGACCAGGGGCGCCGCACTAGGCCCCCGTCTGATCGCCATCCTAAAACACCAGCCCATAGCTGACATTGGCGTTTGAGCCTGGCTTGGACTACAACTCGATATTTGTTCCCTTCTCTCATCCACATTAGTACCGTCCCATCTTGAACTCACAAACAAACATCATTCCGTGGGAGACTGAACTTTAATCCCGAATAAGTCCACCCTCGTGCGAAACGCATCCTCAAAGAACTCAAGTCGAAGAGACAGATTGGTTAGAGGCCAACAGCGTGTATCTGGAAGATCATTGGCGACATTTGAACTCTTCTCGAAGACAGGGCTTGAAGCGATTCATCGGATAGCTCCCGGCATCGGCACGGTATCGTCGAGGCGAAACCCACGGGACCGGAGGTGACTTGCGTATCATTCCTGCCGCCGCCGTACCACTCCAGCCGAGCCCGGCATGCCCAAACGTCCGCGTCCGCTCATCGAGTACTGGCCTGGGTATGGAAGGCTTCCGTTCTACTATTCCGTGAGTACACGCCGCCTGATTTCCATGAGGTGCTTTTCCACATCGCTTACTGACTGGAATTCTCGAAGCGCCCGGATCTCCGGCCGCCACGACTGAACATCCTCATTGCTGACCGCGAGCGGGCCACACCGGGCTACATTTTCGTCTCGCCCTCCTTCAGCAGCCAATATCGACCGGACTCTGGACCGTATATTTTTGATACCAATGGCGTAAGCTTAACCTTCTCAGCTTCACGATCTTCGTCTCTACATGTGTCCACACAAGTTCACTTACCACCCAAAATACAATGGTTCATACACTGACGCTCATCTAAGACTCTGATATGGTCCGGAATCAACGCCGCTGGAGGCGCAGACAGCACAGATGTTCATGGCCTGTACGTCTGCCAGTACCGTAACACCCCTCACCTATGCTTCTGGCGAGGCCAACAGCGAGGAACCCACGGCGGCGGCATGGGCGTGATTATGGACTCATCCTACAATATCGTGCGCACCATGTCTGCCTATAATCCAGCCGGCGTCGACTTCCACGAGTTCCTTTTGACATCCGACAACACAGCCTTGATCACCACATACCCGCCGCGATTCACCGAAGCGCTGTGGACCCTGGACTCGTGCTTTGAAGACATTCCCCTCTTTACTGACGACAACCGAACCCCCTTCCAATGGTGTGCATCAGAGCACTTGGACTTTAACGAAAACCCCAGCCGCAAGGAGTTTATCGCAGCTCACAAGGGCCAGACACCCGACCGGTCATGGGATCCTGTGCACCTGAACAGCGTGGATAAGACATCTACAGGTGACTACCTGATCTCGGCGCGTCATCTGGACTCAATCATGCTCGTCTCGCACCTTGACGGGAGCATCATCTGGCGTCTCGGAGGAGCGAAGTCTTCGTTCAAGCTGGACGGCTTCAACTTCACCCGGCAGCACGACGCAAGATTCCTCTCAGACATAAATGGTTCCGGCATGATAATATCGCTATTCAACAACAATAATGACGGTGCAACTCTCAAGAACAACCCATCCAGAGCCATGGTCGTGGTGCTAGACATGCGAGACATGTCCGCAAGACAGCTATCCGAGTACGGCCGGGTCCCGGTAGGGGCAGCTGGGTTCAATATCACGGGGCAGGAAGATAAGAGGTACATCGATTCCAACGGCATGGGAAACGTTCAGCTGCTCCCCAACGGCCACGTCCTAGCCCACTTCGGCCGCCACGGCGCCATCGCCGAGTACCCGCCCGAAGGCGACAGCAATCCTGTCTTCTTTGCAAACTTGCTTCCGGCACAATCTCCCTCCCCGCCATCTGAGGCCCTCACATGGAGCGCAAACAACTACCGCGCCTTTCTCTACCCGCTCAACAACACTGCCACCCCCAGTACTAACTCAAACACTACCGCCATTACCCCAATACAATGGGAAGGCAAGCCAGCCACCCGCCCAGACCTCTGGACCTACGCCCGCACCCCGAACACCCTGATGACCTTGTACGTCTCATGGAACGGCGACACACGGACCGCAAGCTACAAATTCCACGTTTCGCTGCTCAAGGTCTCGGAACAGACCACCACGCCACCCGACGATGCAGACTTCCAGTGGGCCGGCACGTGGCCACGCACCGGCTTCGAGACCAACATGACCATTGGCGGGGCACGGCCGTGGGCATTCGCCGAGGCGCTCGACGCAGAAGGCAGATCACTGGCCAACAGCTCCAAGGTGCGCACGTATGTCCCTGCCAAGGAGGACTGGGGCCGCTGCGGGAAGTGGCACTGTTTCCCTGAGGTAATGACTGATGCGGATGTGCTTCCGCTTGTGGAGAGCCTTGGTGACAAGAAGGAGGGATCGATTGTAGCTGGTGCTGACGGCGGAAAGGGGCCGGTCGTTGCTGGCGAGATCGGGCTCGGTGTGCTTGGGCTCGTGGAGCATGTGTTTGCGCTGCTCGGGCTGGGGCTTTGTGCGTGGTGGGTCTGGAAGCGGGCTGCTTGTCGGGGCAGAGGCTGGCGGGCTTCGGCGAGGGGCTATAAACCCGTTGGGAAGGAGGAGAGCGAGATTGTGCTTTAGAGTAGAGAGCATATTTGCGGGGTTTCTCTGAATGATACATTCTTCGGGCTTTAAGGTCGCCCCGGAAGCATTTAATGTTGGCAGTTATATAGGCTTCGCAGCGAAGCCGTCGAACCATGTTGAAGTTGGCGAGGATATCATGCAGTAATTAGATACCATCATGGTGGCCACTGGCAGTCATTTCAGATGTGGACCCCGAATACGGTCTATATTCTGGTCTGTTATGCATACGTTATCGTCAGGGGCCATCTTCAATGTTCCCGGCCTTCCTCTGGGCCCTCGTCTTGTGCCATGCCAGAAGCACCGCGGACCCCACGATCAGGGTACATCCGAACAGCGACACGGCGTGCGGGATGATGTGGAACACGACGCCATCGAGGACCAGGGAAAAGACGATCTGTGTGTAGACCATGTTCACCGCAACGAGGGACTTCTCGGCCTGTAGGGACAGGGTGATGAGAAATTGCTACACGCATCAGCATCAGCATCAGCATCAGCATAGAATATCTGGAGACTATGAAGGGGGGGAATCGCAATCATAAATTGCCATTTGGACATAACGGAAGATAGAGTGCAGAAAGACGCACCATGAGGAACCCGCTGACTCCGCTGAAGCACAACAGCACCCACTCCCACCAGTCGCCCGGCACGCGGAAGCCACCCAGGCCTGGCAGCACGAACAGCCCGGCCAGACTGGCGGCCGTGCACAGAGCAGCGAAATAATTCACGACCGTCAGTGGGTTCTCAGCCTTTCCCAGGGCCGACATGCTCAGGAATGCGGCAGCGGAACCGCAGACGCCGAGGAGCCCGACGGCCAGGGCTTGCAAGCGTTTTATTACTGTGGCGGTAGCTTCGTCTGTGGTAAGCCCTGGTGGCGTGGGTACAGGTTTGGAAGATGACGACCAAGGGAGGATGGCGTCTGGCGCCGCGATCAGGACGACGCCCGATAGAGAGAGCAGGGACAGAATGACCTGTACACGCGGAAGAGGGCTGTTTAGGAATACATGGCCTCCTAGCCCAGCTACTAGGGGCATCGTAAAAGTAATGACTGTTGCTTCGCTGAGGCTGAGGTAGCGAAGGGAATCTTTTTGGTTGGGTGTCAGCTGCGGAAGACCATAAAAGGACAAGCTGCCCAAGGTAGCGAGCAAGACAAGATGGGACGAGATGGTCAGGGCAGAACTCACAGTATAGCCCAAATACTCCCAAGAATCCGCCCATGGCTCTCATTAGTAGTAGCTTTCGATTTTCTGGTCTTCCCAAGATATTGTTGGCCTTTTGCTGTTTCCACAGCCAGGCCGTGATGCCTACCGTGGTGATGCTCATGCGGACAAACAGGATCTGGGACGATGGCAGTGTCAAAATAGCATACGAAAGAGGGATCTTGCTAATCATTTCTTTCTGTGTCCAAGTGTGCCTTCCTCTTGTCTCTAGTAGTGGTAGGAAAAAAGTCTATACTGACCTGGAGTGGGTGCAGATGCGTCTCGGTGTTCTCCAGCAGCCTGATGCTCACGTTCATGCTAGCGCTGAAGACCTGGGCGCCGAGCATGAAGAGAATAGCGCGGGTGCATGACCTTCGTGAGATCAATTGGGACTTTTCGACGGTGCGTCTCCCCCCTGATAGCTCCTCTTCGTCTGCTGAATCGTATGGCGACGAATTTCTGCCACCGCCTGCCGATATCTGGCTGTTGGTATTGAGTTCCGGAAGCTCGAAGGAGCCATCTTGCGCGTCGTTCTCTTCATCCAGGAAAGGTTGAAGTGACTCCTTGTCGTTGTGTATCATTTTGGGAACATGAATTCATACAGAAATGATAAGTGACGGGCCGTGATGATCAAAAGGCTGGTGGCCGAGCATGTCACATATCTTGAAAGTTCACGTCGTGCCTGGTATAACTAAGGCTTGTTCTATCCCGAGAATGTGAGATTCTGAGTTATCAGATGCAATCAAATAGTCATGCCCATACGTAGATGGCGGGAAAGAAGCAGCCATGTGAAAGATTCCCAATGGTCTGTGATTAGGGCGGAAATCATCTTGAAGGGGCAGGACGTCGACTAACTCTACCTTCTAAACTGTACAAGTGACGTACCTCGAGATTGAGAGTGGGTGTCTTCCGTCTCTGGCCCAGCGGAAGGTCGGTTCAAAGCACGTGGGTCCGCAGAAATCGGGCTGACAATCAGTCCGGCGCGAATGGGATCCACAAGCAGGTCTGATTATCCAATACCGTGCACGTCATACTCTTCAACACTGTCCATTGCAAGCTGATGGTGATTTCTGATAGATCGCTGCATGTTTCTTGCTTAATTACAGCCATAGAAATATGAGCTGTCCAATTAATGACTCTCTAAGAATGCGCGCAAATAGGATGCAGGGGGCTGCGAGATGCACGCGCTTATGTACAAGCTTCATGTCCACGAATGCGCCACCCTGCCTTATGGAAAAGACCGAATAGTCAACAGTGCATTTGTAGACTATGAGGCATAATGACGATGGTTTGTCTCCCTCGCCATCCATAGAAGAGGCGATAATGGCGGGAGGTAAGTTCTAGAGTCTTGTTCGGAACAGACGCAGATATGGTAGCAATTCCCATTTCGGCCATGATTTCCCACCTCTTTCTGCTGCTGTCTACATGAAGTCAATGCAGACACAACTTATCTGCTAACCGCATATACATAGCTACTGCCAGAGTAGTTAATTGAGGACTCAAGGGCTTAGTGGGCGTTTTTCCAATTCACTCTCAAGAGTTCTCCGGATCTTCAGTCTGGATACATGTACAAGGCGATGCCACATAGCATGTCATCTTGGCGTTGCCTACCTCATTATGGAATAAAATCACTCAGTGTCATGGCATATTTCCTGCCCTGATATTCTAGTTTACCCGCAGCATGTGCTGCCAAACGAACAAGGGTATACTTGATTTTGTCATGCCCAACCGCGACGTTGGAAATTCAACATCCAGCAAATGTTCCGTAGAGGGCTCGTTCTCCATTGACTCGACTCTACTGGGTAGCTCGGACCACCGAGATCATGTTTGTGATTCATCACAGACGTGGCCGGCCACTTCTGTGGATTGTAACGGCGCTGACCAATAACGATGTTCAATACCACGGTGTGTCCCATGGAGTGGAGCTCCTTGGTCTGCAAAGGAACGGTGGGGGCCACCAGATGTCACCACACAAATTACCCCAGGATGGAAGAGGCACAGTGCGTGCCTCTAGCCGCAGTTGTCTAAACACCCCTGCACCAACCCGCAGGTCAACCCCTGGCGGTTCCGCGACTCCCACAAGGATCAGCTTATGGCCGTTTTTTTCTCCCCCTGACCGGGGGATGCTTCCCGCTCTGCCCATAACTGAGAGCTCAGATATCACGACATCCTGAACCTCTGAACCGTCTCGTGAGCTCCATTGCTGGAAGAGCTGACTTCGCTTCTGGGCTGCTGTTTATTGAATACATCCTTATAACATTTCTATTATCTTTTGAAGCGATTCTCTTGTCTTCTGCCATCATTTCCCAATCGCACCACAACTGGTCTATCACACACAGAAACACGACACGTGGAGACACGATCATTGGGAAGACCAAGCACAAGCGACAACGACGTCGGCATCTTCCGGCCTGAGACTGAGGCGAATTCGCGCCTGGTCATCCTGAATACTTCCCGCCGACGTGTATTGAGGTGTTTCAGCCCGAGTAATCGCCCGCAATGGCCGGTTTCGAGATGCAAGGGACACCGATTCTCGTTCAGGATGGCACAAACATCGACAGGCGCCAATGCAGGCGCATCGTCCCAATGAAAGTATTAGTGCTCGGTCTATGCCGGACAGGAACGATGTGTAAGTTCTTGTTCATAATTGACCTTCGGAGCAACTTACCGCCGTAGAAGCGACTGACACGGTCCTTTTCCAGCTGTTCGAACAGCTCTGAGGTCACTGGGGTACCTTGAGACATATCACATGCGGGCAGCCAGCACCGAAACACCCCGCGACTGCGAGTTATGGATGCAGGCCATCAAAGCAAAGTGGGATGGTGAGGGCAAGTTCGACAAAGAGGATTGGGACCAGCTCCTCGGCCACTGCCAGGCTGTGTGCGACCTGCCTGCTGCCGCATTTGCACCAGAGTTGATAGCCGCCTATCCAAACGCCAAGGTCATCCTCACAACGCGAGACCCAGAGTCGTGGCACAAGTAAGTCTCTCAACCACAGCATTACACTGGCCATTTGCTGACGACTAGACCAGGTCTACATCCAAGACCATTTACCAAGGCATTACAGACCCCACCTCACAGGTCATCTCCCATTTCGACTGGGCTTTCTCGCTCTACCGGCCTATGCTGGTGACCCTATGGGACCGCCTGTTCGAGGGAGACTTTGAGAACCGCGGCGTCGAGGTCTTCAAGAGGCACTACGACCTCGTCCGCGAGCTTGTACCACCGGAGCGCTTGCTCGAATACGACGTGGGCGACGGCTGGGGCCCCCTATGCGAGTTCCTGGGCGAAGACCGCCCCGCGGCCCCATTCCCTTACACAAACACCATCAGTGATTTCCAACACGGACTTCGGGGCCGCAACAACAGGAAAATTAGGAATGCTATTTTCAAGGCCGTCATACTTGTGCTAGGCATGGCGTGCATCTGGATGAGCTTTGGCTATATCTCGAAGTGGACTCATGTCATTTAAGAGCTGTCGTTGACACCACTGCTTCGCGAAATACGGAGACAAACGGCATCTCATCAGCGAATTATGAATATGCAAGTGGTTAATGCCATCCAGGAGGACGGGTCAAATGATAATTTCACGAAGTTTCAGCAGCGAGGGTTTAGCAGTTTTGTGAAGGATATTTAAAGAATCGGAACGGGACCAGAGAAGGCCGTGTTCAACTGATTATCACAAGGCGAGCTTTGTATCTCGTCTTTGGACTAATTTGCCGCAAGGCAGGCGCAGAGGCGCATCAGGTTTCAAGTTTTGAGGCAGTACTTTTCCATTGGGATACCGTTCTTATTTCTAAATTAGATGTGGGAGGACAATGTAGCTACAGACTCTATGAATGTTTGTCGTTAAACACAACGACAAATCAGATCCGTCCGTGTCGGTTGTGGTGTCTCTCACTGGCCTCAATGAGTACCCTCAGAGAAGTCTAGTCTCTCACACACTCAAGACCAAAAGCCTTCATGAACACCGTCTGGGATACCTGGCCCTTACCACCTGCCTCTGCTTCCATCCCAGCACGACGACGACGACACCACAGGAGACAACCCACACCCCAACGGCAATCATCCAAGCCACATCACGCAGCCACGTGCCTCCAGTCGCATCCCAACCCCTTCGTGCGGCACCCTCCAGATCGTCCACGTTCAGTATGCCAACACCCTCCCGCTCCAGAACGCCCCAGACGTAGTCCCGATATCCAACAGGCCAGTCGGGTGTGTCCCAGTACCGGCTCGTCAAACCAAGCCGTGCTGCGGCATTGATTTGGCTGCGCAGGGTGGACAGTTGTGATGAGGAGAACCCTGTAATCACGGACCCAATGGTGGATCTGAATGAGGCCGAGGCATAGTAGGCTGTCTTGTTGGACCATGTTTGTTCTGTAACATCCTGATTAGCAGCGACCGGATTGTTGTTGTCGGCGATGTCGATGGCTTGCGGTAGCAAGGCAAGAGGTGCGTCTAGAAAAGTGTCGTGATACTCGTCAAAGGAATATTTGGGGTCAGCATTTGTGCTGGTGAACACCGCTCGGTCGGAGCCTATGTTACCCGTGCCTACGACGGTGATGGGGCCAACCTCAAGGCTGCCGTCCCCGTATCGTGTGAGAAATCCCTTTTCACGCAGGGCCAAAAGCTGCTCCACTATGATTGGCCAGGTGTCGTTGCTCTCGCTCTTGACGTCGATTAGCAGGACGAGTGTTGCGTTCGGGTCTGTCCTGAATATCCCCCTGTGCGGGGTTCCCAAACCCAGATTGATGCTATCGAGGATGTTCAAGAGAGGATGGAGGTACATGCTTGTCAGCGTCCGACCGGGCCTCAGGGAAGCCTCGTCATGCCCGATCAGAAGGTCTTTCTTGTCACCTGTGTGCCAAACATCCGCCTCGACGCTCGAACAGCCGGCCGCAAGGGCGGAAAAAAGAGGGTAGGGCCGCCAGTAGTCGTTATGTGAGTGGCATGCTCTGGGCTTAACTGAGTGGGAAAAGTCATGCAGCCACTTCTGCTCGCCACCTATCGGTTGTCCATTGTCCAGGATGGGGTTGGTCGAGATGAAGTCGTGTGGGACGATGGGGTCCAGGGAGGATGGTTTGATGAGGAATGTTAGCAGAAATATGAGACCACTTTTGCAAGAATGTTCGTTAGTTGAATTCATTGGTATTGCTGGACATTTGTCTTTGAATACTTACATAACGGCTAGAGACCCAAGTGCCCAAGCAGCACAGAGATATACCGAATCTCCAGAAACAGCACCAAGCAGCTTGCGTGTGTACGGAAAATTTCTGAAGAGCTTTGTCTGTAGCCCATGCTCTGCTTGACTTGTGTTGCGGAACATCCTGCTTGTGCCATCCTTAAGAGACCCCGAGAGCGGCGCTTCGCTGTCATTTGATTGACTGCAACTTGATGAGCCTGTCGCAGAAAGTCTGCCTGCCACAGAGAGTCTGCGCATGGGAATCGAGCGACCTTCCTCTGTATTTTGCTGCATTTTCAAGCGGAGTGTTGTCGCCGTGTCTGTCTTGATAAAGGTAGAAAGTATTGAAATGGAAGATGAGGCAACTGGAAGCTGAACATAATCTGAAGAACGCAAGGCGCAGTGAAGCAAGATGGCGGTTGATGAATTGAGCGCATCTCTGCAATGGAGCAATCGATTTGAAAAGATCAGTGCATTCACTTATCCTGTCGCTGGTGACTTCCACTCACTACCCACGTTGTATTTTGTACGAAAGCCTTTGGACTCGCTGTGTCAATAAGAAGTCGTGCTCAAAGGGAAGTTGCTACTGGGCCAGCCAGTGGAAGGTCGACTTCAGGATTCTGCGATGAGGACATTCAACATGCCAGCCTTAACTAAAGTCACACGGGCAAAGGTATGGACAACGCATTCGTAGAAGTTTGAAACTTGAAGTATGAGCACCAAGATGCACAACTAAGGTAACGATGATTTTCCCTGCTCAATTTTGAGGTTCTACTGTTGATTGCCTCCCTAACCTGTAAAGTGGAATAACCAAAAAAAAAAAGCACCAGCTAAGTCAGACTTGTCACTTCATAATGTACTTGAAAAGGTGCCAAACATTTTCCCATGGAGAATAGTCAGCATGTTGGAATCCCTTTTGGCACTCGCCGTTGTTGGAAAGTAATAACTGTTCATTGCATTTGGCACGTGTCTTCTTCAAAGTTGCCGCTGTCTTCACAGATATTACAATGCTAACCTTGCAACTTTGCAACCTTGCAAGTTATCCTTGTAATTTTGAAGCCAGGTGATGACATGAGTGACATGATACTACGGCTATCTTGGACATGTATTACGGTGAAACAGCTGATGCCGCCCATCCCCACGAAAGTAATGTTTCAAACACTAGACTAAACGAATTTGACATGATTGTTAGCAACTGCGTCCCAAAACTCCTGTTATATCGTAAATCAAGTGAGCTTATGTTATATCTAAATCCACCTCATGCCTCGTTTTCGGCAATAGCACAAAGCCAAATCATTGAAAATGTTATCATTGAGGTCCCTTTCTTGAAAGAAATTGAAATGAGCTAACCGTTTCCGGAATTCTTCGAAGCCTTTGAGAATCCCATTGAGTTTCCCAGCATTGTATTACGACAGTCGTTGACACAAGATTCGGTGGTTTATGACTTCATTTACTGTCTTACTCATGACTTTTTGATTTTGAAACTAAAGCTTTCATCCTGGTCATCTTGAATGGTGTTTTAAGTGCACAATTTCTAAAACGCCACACCATGTCAAGCGCTCGCTCAAGCGCTGGAAGACGTTCAGCCATGGGGAGCTCAAGCGGAAGCCGGCAGATGAAGGATCATGAAGCAGCACTCGTCAGGGCTGAAATACAGAAGACGTATGTCTAACCTTTTGAGCAATAATTATGCCCTTGCGGCTAAGAATTGATCCCACAGCTATGATTATTTCAAGTGTTTCCACATGGGGCTCGCTGCTCAATGGTGGATGCTCCCCCTAGAAGCGCACCAAGAGCGCTACAGCCAATATAATGTTCCCATGGTAACAACCCCACAAATCGAGACGCCATTTCCGACTGACCGGCACCCTTATCACCTGCTTCCTGGCCGCGACGTGGATCCTAGCATCGCTGCCCGGCTGAATTCGGAGCTCCGTGACGGGAAGCATGAATTGGCGACAGCATTGGTGCCCTTGGGTCTGCGGTTCGTCAAGATCCTCGGCGCGGGGTCGCAAGGAACAGCGGTTCTATTTGAGGTTGACGATAATGGGACAACGCGGAAGGTTGTCGCGAAATACAGCAGCGTTGGTCCACAACAGGTGGATGATGATGATGATGATCAAGATGATGATGATCATGATCATGATGATGATGATGATCATGATAATGATGATGATGATGATGACAGCATGGCCATGGAGAAAGAATGGATGAGGGTGAGTGAGGGTGTACAATTCATACATGGCGTCCTACGATCCTTACACCGCGCATCTGCCGCGCCGCGCCTGGTCACATATCTTCTAGGCTGATTCAAATTCTTACTAGCGATTGGTCGGTGCAAGGCATATTATACAACGGCATTTCATCCGCGGCCTCGATGTTATCGACGATGATCTTGACTACACAAACCCTGATAATATGTATCTGATGGAGTTCATGTTCGTGAGGTGTCCCACCTTCCGCGCACGATCCATACTGCGAAACCCGTAAAACTGGAAAAGAGACGATATTAATTCGGGCCTCATAGGAAACATGGTACTATTGATAAGGTTCTGCGCAAAATTTCGCAGAGGGAAGTGCAGCTGAAAAGCGGTGACTTATGGAGAATATTTTATTGCCGTGAGTTTAAACTTGATAACCAATCACTGCAACAAGCTGAAAAAGTGGAAGTCTTTCGAGCATGTGTCGCTATCTCATATCCGGATCGTTGGGCATTCGGTCTCAGTGTTGCTCATGGTGACCGAGTACCGCTCAGCGAAGAATTGGTTCCAACGGAGAACAATGGACGTGTCGAACTTCCCGATGATGCTATTATCAACATGGATATAAATTGTGGCAATAGTAAGCTATATCCTTTCTCAAGTCTATGTCTGGGATATTCCGAAGAGTTGCTGCTAAATTAGAACCGCAGTCATGATTGGCGATTATGATGTAGACCCCGGAATTCATCCACACGATCAGGTGCCTGTCTTCAAGGTATGGCCCATACTCTCTTATTAGTTGACTTACTCAATCTTCCTAGTAAGCACTAGTTCAGGCTACTATGTGAATTCACTTCGGTAGCAACCTGAAATGTTAGATGGGGATGTTTGTCCAGAGTCGAACATCAAGCTGTTCACTCCCTCGAACGCAATGTGTCATCAAAGTTAGCCGAATTCTCGCACCTGCTGTTTAAAGACCTAACGCCGTCCTGAGAGAAACTTGGACAAGTTTCGAGACCCAGATACTGCCGTTTCTTGCGCTTTTGATAGCGGTGAGAGAGGTCTCGTTCTCATAATTCCAAAATTGACAATGTACCAATCTTGAAACAGAAAGAAAACGTGGGAGTCATTGACGCAAACTAATCTGATGCACTATTAGATGGGAGATCTAGGAATCGCATACCAATTTCCTCCTGGCGAGCATCACTTGTCAGTGAATCATGCCCGTCTATAGTTCCTTAAGGTGAATAACACTGAATGGATGGACACAGTGCCCGTTTGGTATGCTCTAGGATGGCCGGTAACGCAGGCACACACGCACCGGTAAATTATTTGCCATGTGGATATATATGTCTATTGCCAGCCTCGTCGACTGACATCTCATATGGTCTAGGAACAATTTACTGAGACGTGGAACGCTTTTACGGACGTAGACACTATGTTCGCTCAAGATGACACAGCTGGCAGGTATGGATGGTGGACGAACTTGTATCAGATTGGGACTGTAAGAAATCATAGACAATCACCATTGAAACTTTAGTGAAGTTAAGCACGTTGACAGAGACTCGTTGCGCTTTAGATAATGACCATGCTAGTCACACGGAAGATTTACGACAGACCGCCAATTGGCACCACACAAACAATCACTGGACTAGAGCAAAACGATTTCAATGTCTTCACTGTATGTTCAGCCACCTCATGTGGTTTGTTGAAGTTCATGTCGCCCCTCCCAGCCCGAAATTCGCAAAGGTCTATCCAAGAAGCTAATCATTGTCGTCGAAGTACGGAGGCCATGTTCTAGACGATCAGTACAGTCACTATGACCAGTCGCTACGCATGACAATTGCGTGGGTAACGGCGCGTGTCCCTGCCCAACGGCCGTCGATGTTGCAATTACAAGAAATATTCATGAGAGCCGTTCTAAGGGACTACGGAGAGGAGGGCAGGACCTCGATATCGGACATCCTCGAAAGTCCACCACCACCGCCGTGAGTTCTCCACCCCCTGTCTGGAGCCGGATGGTCTTCTCTTTACTCCAGGTTCCATCCAAAGTTCATAGTACAAATGAGAATCACCTTTAATCTTGCTTTCGGCAAGGGCAAAGGGCATAGAAGAAAAGCAAGTGCCGAAAGCCAGATTACTGATCAGAAATTAGAGATGATCCCCTGAGCGGCATTGGCAACACAGCAACAACAGACAACCTTGGCCTGAGAGGTGCGCGAGCCTCTTTTGCGACTGCAGGAAGAGGCCCCAACAGAACGCAGACCCGGAGACAGGGAGGCAGCCGCATCGCCAGGAGTAACAGACGGCATCGGCAGACCGGCTTTGTTGGCTTGCCTAGTATGCGGGCGCGGATTCTAAACATCGGGAGCGCAATGGATGTGTTATCTTCATGGCTTGCAAGGATAGGTATCGGCGGTAACGATGATGCCCACGGGGATAGATGATCATGATACTCGTTGGCTGATCGAATCAGGCGATGTGATCCTCATTTTTCTGTTTTGTCGTCTCTATTCCGTATGTTTCGCGTGGAGAGAAAAGCTTGGAGCACTGAATATGTCTCCGTTCCCGTCCCGGAAGTGTGTATTGACCCGCCCAGAAAGTCGCCGGCGTCCAAGTGTAAAATTGCCCCAATCATGGCCGACCCGAAAATTCGTCCCCTGGCGTGGTTCCGCAGAAGTTTCACCAGCAGGGATGGCTGTGCGACGTGGAACCCCGATTTGTAATTTGGTGCCGAGGCTCCACGACGGCGACGGTGCAACATGGGACAAGAGCCAGGGTTCGACACTTCTAGCAAAATACGATCCTCAGATTTCTTGAACAAATTTGAGGCCTTCAGAGTCGGAAGTGATTTCTATAACTTCGTCGTGCTCCTCATCTGATCCGTAACGGCTAAATGTGGCTGCAGTAGACTCGACCATCAGGAAGGCCTTTCACCTTGCATTTCTGTCTTGGAAAACAGCCCACATCTTGATACAGGTAGAGAGTTCAGACCGCGATATCGGTACACCATGGACTTGCAGATCTCCACACCCATCACCCTGCCCTCGGGTCTCGTCCTGCCCAATAGGCTCGTAAAGGCAGCCATGGCAGAGGCAATGGCTGGCTCCTCTACGGAATACCTGCCGAGCGATGCCATGAAACGCTCCTACAGCGTCTGGGCAGATGCCGGCTGGGGCATGATCCTGACTGGCAACGTACAGGTCGACACGAAGTATCTTGGCCAACCAGGGGACACGTCCATCATCGACAACGAGGTCAAGCAGCTCGAGTCATGGAAGGCATGGGCAAAGGCCTGCAAGGGTCCGAAGGGCTCGACTCCGGCGATCGTGCAGCTCAACCACCCCGGGCGGCAGTCGCCACTGGGGGCCGGGACGAAAGGGCTGTTCGCGAAGAACGTGGCGCCATCGGCCATTCCTCTGGTGCTTGGGCCTGGCCTGTTGGGTAAGCTGGCGTCGGCCATCGTGATGGGCACGCCGCGCGAGATGACGGTTGCGGACATCGAAGAGGTGGTGGCCCATTTCGCAAGGGCGGCCAAGCTCAGCGCCGATGCGGGCTTTGACGGCATCGAGCTCCACGCGGCCCACGGCTACCTACTGGCCCAATTCTTGAGCCCGAAGTCGAACAAGAGGACGGATGCGTACGGCGGCAGCCCGGTGAAGGCGGCCAAGATCGTGGTTGATATCATCCGTGCCGCGCGCGAGGTGACGCCCAAGGGATTTACCATTGGAATCAAGTTTAACAGCGTCGACCACCAGTCTGAGTCGGCTTTGAAGGATTGCATCGAGCAAATTCAGGTGATTCGGGAGGCTGGGATCGATTTCTTGGAGGTCTCAGGTGGTACATATGAAGATCCTGTGGTGAGTGTCATGCATGGAACCCCTCCCCTTTCGCATATGCCATCTTCACTACAACCGCTGCGTCCGGTTTTTTCTTCTTCCTTTTCTCTCTACGCCCAGTCTGATTTTCGCCTTCCATCGTCCGCTTGCCAAGCCTGCTTCAATGCAATACCTCGAGTGTACGTTCTGATTCCAAGGTGCTAGATGATCGACGGCGGTAAAGCATTTGCAGAAAAGTCCGACCGGACCAAAGCTCGCGAAGCCTTCTTCCTGGAGTTCGCAAAAGCAATCCGTCACAAGTTCCTTGACCTCCCACTTATGGTCACTGGTGGCTTCAGGACAAGACAAGGCATGGAGGCCGCGGTAGCCGAGGGTGGCTGTGACTTCGTTGGCATCGGTCGGCCTGCCGTGCTTAACCCAAGCCTACCCAACAACATCGTGTTCAACAAGGAGGTCAAGGATGAGGACGCCAGGCTATATGTGAAGAAGGTCCAGGTGCCATGGATTGCGAAGGTGATTGGGCCTGGTGTTGGTGCTGGCGCTGAAAGTGTAAGTCTATATAATACCCCGTCACGCTCTGGGGCTTAACTGTGGGCTCGTCCTCAAAAGTAATGCTGACATTTCGGTCTCTAGGCTTGGTATGGAGCACAAATACCCAAGATGGCTCAGCTGTAGGTTTTGAAGTCGGATAAACCTCGAAGATCAGTTTAGATCAGAAGTCTTGCATGGCGTTCTTGGGCTGGAGGGGCGGCAAACAATAGACCACAACAAACTGTAGACCTATCTTTGTACCGAGGTCATAGCTTTTCATTACATTGTGAATCATACTTCGATGATGTTCATTTTCATGCACCACAGAATTATCCAGAAGTCTAAACTGGTAAATGGTAAGGTGTGTAGGTAGGGAGGAATTTTCCTTTCAATTGGTCTGCCAAGGCCTCTTCTCGTTTTGAATTATGTGAGTGTAATATATGACTATGCATAGATATTGAATTCAACGTCTTCGGAAACTCTCGAGTATCCTCAATTCTCAACTTCCACAGAAGTGTGGTCACCTGCGGCCATAGACATCGTCATTTCATTCATCCACTTAACATTGCCGCATTTAGCATGTCGTCCTTCACATGCATGTGCCCTGCAGGTGGCGCTACTTTACTTGTAAGGCGGGCAAAGTTCTGGCGAAATTTGCCTTCAAACGAGATAGAAGCCAGGTGCCTTTCATTGAAGAAATTTCCAAAAATAAAGCAGCTATGCAAAATTAGCAGTCGACGGCAAAGCAGAGTGGGAGTGAGATGAGGTCCGTCTCATATGTTCTCGGGGCCAAGCTGTGGCAGCTGGCAGCCAGCTGCGCACCCAAGCTTTCGAGACGCTCGGACCAAGTCCACAAACCCACTCTCGAAAATCTTGTGGGCGAACCATGACCACTTTTTATCTTTGCGACAATTGGCATCCCATTCCTTTTATCAACCAACCTCTATCCCAACCACCAGACCGACATACTTGACTGCCAATTCCTCCACGGAAGTCATATCGTCACCTGCAGTCAAAATGTCTGAGCCTCAACTCAACAAGATCGCGGCGAACTCGCCCTCCCGCCAGAACCCCTCTGAGCTCGAGACCAGCATCGCTGGTGCCCTCTACGACCTCGAGACCGGCACTGCCGACCTCAAGGCTGCTCTCCGACCTCTGCAGTTCGTCTCTGCCAAGGAGGTATGAATCAAACCTGGACATTCCTGAAAGAAGCATCTTGAGAGAATATGAATCCTCGCGACCGACCATCTACCTATTCCACCGAGTGCGACACCGTTTGTCTGCCTGCAACGAATCATCCCGACTTCGAGAGATGCCGCATACATCTCGCTGCAAACATACAAACAGGGAAACACTCGGTCGAAAAGTGAAATAGGACGGGAAGCGGTCCACGGGGTTCTGTTCTGGACACAGACAGATCATCCGGGAGCTCGCAGGCTAACTTTGTGATCTTGAATAGATCGAGGTTGGTCACGGCAAGAAGGCTATTGTCATCTTTGTCCCCGTCCCTCTCCTGCAGGGCTTCCACCGTGTCCAGCAGCGGTAAGTTTTTAACCCAAATCAACCACAGGCACTCGCGTTGCTGGTTACTGACTACCAACTTCACAGCCTGACCCGTGAGCTGGAGAAGAAGTTCTCCGACCGCCACGTCCTGGTCCTGGCCTCGCGCCGCATCCTGCCCCGCCCCAAGCGATCCACCCGCTCGCGCAACACCCAGAAGCAGAAGCGTCCCCGCTCCCGCACACTGACCGCCGTCCACGACGCCATCCTGACCGACCTCGTCTACCCCGTCGAGATCGTCGGCAAGCGTCTCCGCACCAAGGAGGACGGTGCCAAGACCCTCAAGGTCATCCTCGACGAGAAGGAGCGTGGTGGTGTTGACTACCGCCTGGACACCTACTCCGAGGTCTACCGCAAGCTGACCGGCCGCGGTGTCACCTTCGAGTTCCCCCAGTCCACCGGCGCTGAGTACTAGATGCTCTGTTCCTATCCAGGATGAGCGGCACGCATGCGCTTGAGGGCCTGGCTGGCTCAAACAGCTAGTTCGTTCCCAAGCGACCATTGAAACAAAATGGACGGATACCCAAGGGGCCCCAATGTCATTGGTGGGCAAACTCACCAGAGGCTGGCAATTGATTGATTGATTCATGGGAAGCACGGTTGGCAACGGCAAATCAAAATTTGGGAGGCATGGCGGCGTTTGTTGCGTTGGTCTGGAGCAAGGGATAGCTTGGATCGAATAGAACAAGCATGGTTCTGAAGTCACCATCAATGAATCGCCAAAGCTGCCCCAATCGAGAGATGTCCACGATGCTATGACCATTGATACCACCATTGAGAAATGACATCGTAAAAGTCTGCTTGCAAACATATCTATCCATTCGGGGTATCGTGACTCTTGTCTTTCAACTAAATTTTCGCAACCCAACCCTCTAAACTTTTCACTCATAGTCCATGTCTCGCTGCTCAATCCTGGGAGATCCTCCCCAGCCCCATGACACACCAGTACGCAAGCTCCCTCTTCTCCCTCCCATCACCCTTGATGTCCCCAGCCCTGCCCTCATCACCGGCCGCGTCCGTCTCCCACTCGAGCCGCACAAACATCGGGATCTCGAGCACGTCCTCGTCGGGCCGCAGCGGGCTCATGTCCAGCTCGCGCTTGCCGCCCAGGCCCCAGCCACCGCTGCCGGTGCGCACCAGGCTCGCGTTGGTCCTCGCGAGCTCCAGGCTGGCGGGGACCACCTCGACCACGATGGTGACCCAGTTGCGCCCCCGCTCCCACACCTTGCCGGGCTCCACGGACGGCTGGCCCGTGCCCCCGCCCGGGGTGTCCTCCCGCAGTGACTGCTGCTGCATCTGCTGCTGCAGCAGCGACCGCCTGTCCTTGAGGGCCTCGTCCCACACGTCCGTGTTGGCGTCGATCTCGAACTCCGGGCACAGCACCGTCACCTTGCTGGCGAAGCGGCCGGGCGTGACGGACGGCGTGGCCAGCGTCACCCGCACGGGCTCGAAGATCGGGTTCTTGAAGGTGAGGAGGTACTGTACGGGCCGCAGGGGCGCGAGCAGGGACGGTGGCCCCGCCGGCGCCGACGTCGATGTACCCGCGAAAGGGTTGCCGGAGATGCTCTGCGACAGCGACGTCGCCTGCAGCGGCCGCATCGAGATGCTGGGAATGTAGCTGCCCGCCACGAGGCGGATGCGGAACCGCGTATTAGTTACCTTGGCCTCGGGCTTGGACACGATGTGCCGGCAGACGGGGCACCGCTTGGAGCGCTTCGTGCGCAGCAGGTAGGCGACCGGCCGCAGCTCGTCGACGAACCGCGCCCGGCCATGTAGATTTGGCTCGCACACGTTGACGGGGGGTTGGGAGGTCGCCTGGTTCTGTGTGGCGGTCTCGTACCACGCGGACTTGTGCAGGCGCTCGATGGCCTTTGTCTCGTCCAGGTCCGCGATTTGCAGCCCTTCCTCGGGCTCAAGTGACTCGCGCATCACATTGGACCGTGACTTGGCCTTCTTGTCGCCCAGAAGACCAGTGCCGGTGTACAGGCTCATGATCCGTGACAGCGATCCCGGCGAGCCGATGCCCAGTTCGCCGAGGGAGGACAAACCGCCCTTGTCGGAGGCATCTGCGAGTTGGGACTGGTAGAAGGACTTGAGGTTGGCAAACTGTGTCTCGACGTCGAGATCCTCGGCTGCTCCGGCGCGGGCATGCTGTTTTGCCGTCGGGGCTTCCTCTCCAATCGGCGGCAGAGCGGACGAGCCCAGCGCCGTCGAGCTCACGCCGGTACTGGCGGTGACAGCCTCTTTGCGCCTGTCCTTGCGCTCCTTAGGCGTCAGGCGTGTCTTGCCCCCGTTGCGTATTTTCTGGAGCTGCGCATAGATTCCGTTTGGCTTGTCGAACTTGATGCCGATCTCGCTGGATGTCCATTGGCAGTACGAGCAGGTGAGGATATAGGAAGGGAGCGCGGAGGAGTATGCCTCTTGGCTCTCGGAGTTGGAGGGCGGCGGCGGGTCGATCGCGGTTGCAGACAGCGGGCCTACGCAGACGGGGCATTGAAAACAACTGCGGGTGCATCTGAAAGGCAGCGAGTGTTTGAATCAGCACAGGCACGTTATACTTGAGTCGACAAATGTATATATATAAGAGACAGCGTGACTGGGGCGTGTGTGAATTGGTCGCACCTATTTCCGTCGCTCTTGATGTTGCTCCCAGGCACCTCGAACAGGCAGTTGGGGCAGTAGTATGTGACAATCTCCTCAGCTATACACCTGGGACATCGGATCTGGTGGCAGTCCTCGCAGTAGAGCAGGTACTCGAGGGGATACAGGCTGTAGGCTGCGCGAGGGGCTCGTGGGTCGAAGGGCCGTTCGAAGGCGTCGAGCTCCTCGAGAGCGCTGGGGGTCGACGGATCGCTGTGGCTGTGGCGGGAGAGGTTGGCAGGATCGGAGCATGGGCATTGGATATACGTGTAGGGAGTCAACGCAGCCATCGTGAAGGGCGCCCGGTGGCTTGGGCTTGGACTATGCAGTGATGCGCTTGCGGGACCAGGCGGAGCGAGGCGTGTCGCGACGCGTCTTTACACAGACGGCAGCAGGCTCTGATTGGAGAAATTATGGTGGGATTAAAGGTCCATTCTGTGACACAAAGAGCAATCCGAACGTCGCCTGGTAGCCTCTTCGGCGTGTGGGCTGATACACTTGATACACTTTGTTGCCCACCCTGAGAGGGAGACAGGCGCGCATTGGTTCAAGGTGTAGTTCACCTCGGTGAGCTTCAAAGTGCACAGGTACCTAGGTACCTCTGAAGGTGGGGGGCGGATGGGGGGGGGGGGTGCATCGGAGGTAGGATGCAGTTACGCCGATGATCTGTAGTGGCATCCCTGCTATTTGGTATGTATCGATTTCTCCCCACATTTGAGAGTCAAAAAAAGTTGAAGTTGCCTTCAACTGCAGATGCAGATGCAGACGCAGACGCAGTCGCAGACGCAGATACAAATGCACCACCATGCATGCACCATGCAATTCCAGTCTCTACATCTGAGACTTGATTCACCCGTCTGTGCCAGCTGTCAGACGGCACTTCGAGTGCATACGCATACAAGCATGTCATGAACTCTCAACACTCCAATCTCTCACCCATCCATCTTCACAATGGAGCGAAAGATTCAGCGCTGCAGCATACGAACAAAATGCCCAACCTGGACCTGGCTCGACCCAAGCGAAGCCGGACCCAAACCTCAACAACACGGGATCTACGAGAGTTTATTCTGTGGGCTAATATTTCAACCTCCGGCTACTTTATTCCCGAGGATTCAGGGGATTTTCCATACGAGGTTCTTATATTGCAGCACGGGTCGGACTAATCACCAGTTGACGTTTGTGATTCCTGCGAGCTGTGACCGAGCTCATGAGAGCTATCTACGCATGGCACCAGATCGACATGGTCAATTGAGTTCTTACACTCGCCTACTGTCACATCGGTGTCATCAATCTGATGATTCATTGCTAGCGACACATGGCATTGGCAGGGCAGGGCAGGGCATGGTGTAGGATAGGATAGCAGTGGCACTACGCTACTCCTGTGACATCCGCCATTTGTCAAAGACAAAGACAAGCCATGGGAAACAAAGCCTCCGTCCAGTTGATCACAGCCTGGCGGGCCGAGAGATGCGTTCTCGGGCACACGGCCGGTAACCTAAGCCTAGCACCGCAATCATTCACGTCCGAGGCCTTTCCTTCTCGGCTGCTAGCCATTCCGTCTGGGCTGCCACCAATTTCCATAGTAAACCACACTATCGGTGAAGCCACATCCCTCAGCCCTGGGCTCTCCCACGTCTATCTTCTATTTCCAAGCTACCAGCAGGGAGCCACCTCGTCATTGGGATCGGCGTCTTCTGCTGGAGGGAGCCGAAACAACCTGGGAGGAACGGGATGGCCCCGGAAAAGTGCTGATGATGATACCGACACCTTGGAAGCACGCCAGGCGATACGACTGAACTCAATCAGGGGCGTCTGGAAGACAATACGATGGCACCTCGCATGCTTTGTTAGCCTTCACAGCTTGTCGATCACCGAACAGCATTGCCGGGGCGGCCACCGACCAGAGGCCACCGCCAGCGAATAAGGTCGCACCTCGTGCGACCTATATCGGCGTTGCTGGGGCTCCGGAACAGCCGCCAGCACTGAGGCACTAGGAGCCGTCCGCGGCAGAGCATAATAAAGAGCAAAGCCGAGCCAAGCTGCTGGCTGTCTCTGGAGCTGCGTCTGGCCGCGCACGGCGTGCGGGTGGCTGCTGCAGGGTTGTCCCTCATTGCAGTAGTCCCTTGGAATGTTGATCCATACGGGACTCCGGCCCAAAACATGGCGTCTGAGCTACGACAGGAACCCGTCCACGGCCGTCCATCCTCACCAAGCAGCCAGACGATATTGTTATCAGGCACAGGCAATCCACCTCTTTATTGTCTAGCGAGCTTGCTCGGGCCATGATGTTGCACCGCCGCCTCTGCGCTACCTCCCTTGCGGATGGATGCTGAGCTCTGAGACACGCAGTCCGTCTTATTACCACCGCTGGAATCCTCCCCTCACCCTCGCTCTGCTGTTACCTTGGTGGAAACTTGTTTCAAGGAGATGCCGCCATCTGCACACATTCCGCACCTCAACGTTGCCACCTCCCGGATTTATGATTGGAAGATCCAACTCATCGACAACGCAGCAACAACGGCCTGTGTGTCTTTTGCCTTGTTGATCTGATCCCCTTCCGCTGAACACGAGGTCTTCCTCATGCGGTGTAAGAAACAGGGTATGCATTCTGCACACGACGCTCTGTCGCCGACTGGTCCATCGTCCTGTTCCATCCTAGTAGCTACCAAACCTAACATCATTAATTGGAGGCTGGCCTTGCCTTGCTTATCGCTAGCCGCTACCACCAAGCTTGCACCCCGCCCAAACACACCAGGATCTCAGCTCTACCGCGACCAGCCGGGGCTTGGGTAAGGCGCAACAAGGACCAACCCAGCTTGGTCGATTGCGACTGGATAAGCTGACGCACATACAAAGAACGCACCATGGCCACGCTCGACCCAGGCCCACTGGACCTTCGCTGTTTTTCTGTGGATTCGAGGCCTGCAGATGTCGCCAGTATGCTTTATAATGGGATTTCGGACCGGTCACGAGGGTGGAAGTCGAGCAGGTCAAGGGAATCGCTTGGGGCTGAGGCGAGTATGGATCGAGGCCTGAACGTGAAGAGATGGGACGGCAGTGCCAGGATAATGTCTGGCTGGGACAGTCTGAGAAAGGTGAGCCGCCGACACTCATGTTGGTTTTCTTGAACACCCGGTCATGGAACAGAAGCACTGACAAAAGCAGGACCCAGAACTATGGTACAAGAACGGCGACTGCTTCGTGCACTTGTATGAGAAAGGTCGATCGCAGAGGGGACCCGCCTTCAAAGTTCCCTTCGTGTGTCTACTCTCTGCTCAATGCACCCCTCTGATCGAAAGATTCGTGGATCGATCCGTATCAGAGGAAGAAGCGCATCAAAATGGCCGGGTCGATCTTTACATTCCTGCACCTCCGACGGCAAGTCGTTCCCAAGCTCTACAATACCACATTGCGACCAGGAACTTCTTCGCTTGGATGTTCCGGCGATCAATGGTTGGTAACCACCTAGGAAACGCACTCGTGGCCCTGCATGGTAGCATGCACGAGTTTCGCGATGCCGGTGCGAACAACAAACAGGATCTGTTGAGCTACCTTGATGAAGAGGGCTATTTGGACACGCGCCACCAGCCCAATCACGCCCTCGCCATCCTGCATGTGGCAGAAAACTTTGAGCTGAGAGACTTATACGTTGACGCGTTTGCTCACTGCGTTGGCATGAGCGAGCAACTGTACAGAAGTCCAGAGTATTCGGTAAGTTCAAGCTCCCATCCCTGTATTTCGAGGCCGCCAATCCTAGGCTACTTCTTACTTGGCATCGCATGTGCTGACATCTATGGCTCAGCGCATCAGTGTAGTATCACGGAAGCTTATCCGACTCGCCAGGATTGACCTGGACACTCGCCTCAGCCGCGGTGGTGCCATGTTGAGTGATCTCTTAGAAACCGAGCTTTCTGAGGCTCACCTTGGATTATCGACAGGAGCCCGAGCCCACCTCGACCGGTTCAGGGGCTACATTCAAGGGTTTTACACGACCAAGTTCGGATATTTCCCGCCTCCGCCTGCCGAAGCAGGCCGCAGTACTGTGTTCAAGCCGGAGCTATACTCCACTCTCAAGGCAGACTTTGATGCACTCTACGAATACCTTGTTGACGAACGTTTCACGACGGCCGGCAACAGCCCTTTCGAGGCGCAAGGGGGGCTATGTACGCTTCAAAGTGTCCAGGCATTCGACTCGAGAAACAAGTTCACACCTCAGGATCATCCGTTTCCTCTTCTGCCGGAAACACCGAAGAGCAAGGAGTCTCGCAGAATGTCGATACCTTGGCAATTTGTCGCAGCAAGGGCCAGCGAGGTTAAGCTGCGCCCCGACCAGCGCCTCATTGTACACGCTGCACTCATGAAAGCAACCAATCACACCAAGGTACACCTTATGGAAAACAGACTGGTTCTGGCATATCGCCAGTTCGAAGAAGGCTCAGTTCTCACCCCGCATAAGGCCGACCGGGCCGTGTCCCAGGTTGATGCCCGTAAGGTGCGATGGCTGTTTGTCTATGCAATGCACCAGGTGCTGCGGAGCTGTGCAAATGTGCCGTCAGAGGTCAAGTTCACAGAGAGAGTGAATTATCACCTTAGTGTCTCAACAAAAGGATTGCCGCCGTGGGAGGCGCGAGACCAACGTACCTCTCGTACTTCCTTACGGGCTGTCAGTGACAGCGCGGTCGTCAACAAAGCCAAGCCTTCGCTGGCACTCGGAGCACGTGTTCGATCCGTCAGTGCGATCCCGCTGGCAACGTCTTTTGTTTTGCCACCAGTTAAGACACCGTTGATGAGCACCAGCAGCACGGAAATACAGCCTGATATTGATTACTTTGCTTTGACTCACCGAGATGAGAGCCCGACACGAGGAAGTGGGAAAATGGGAGAGCTTACGACGCCCTCCCGATCTCGATCTCGCAGTCTCACAAGGGCTATGTCTCTTCGACGGTCATTGAGCATGTTCCGCACACCGCCCAGCCAGCGAATGAAGCCCGTCGAAATGGAGCCCTCAACGCCCACTCGCAGGCCATCGAGTCGAAATTCTGTGTATCAGGAAATAGTTGTTCATGGTTACGGAAACGGCACGAACAACGTCACTAATGCTCTAAGCTCCAAGGAAGCCCTTGACGCCGTGCCAGACAAAATCGAGCCATCGAAGCCTACACCCCTGAAGGTCGTCACAACACCCGTAGCAACCACAAGCAGGTCCGCCTCGACGAGTTCGACAAGCAGTTATGTGTCAGCACTATCGACAGTCTCAACAAGCCACAGCAACAGCAGTGCATCCACAACTCCCACCACCGTCGATGGAAGCCCGAGGTCTACCCGATTCTCCAGACACAAGTGGGACAACACGCTTCCAGACATAGCTGGATCGCCCGAGGCCCCCGCCACTGTCCCCACGGACAGCAGCATCCAGCAGCAGCAACAGCCACCACCCCAATACGACAGCCTGACCTTCCCTCTTCGCCGCCGCCGAACCCGAATGTCAATACGCTCCATGTACTCAAACGACGACATGCTCGCCTCAACGCCCAAGGCCGAGCCTCCACCGCCCCTTCCCCGGCGCAGTAGCAAGCGCTTCCGGATGCCGGCCGGGGGCGCGTCGAAGCGCTGGAGCCTGGCGGAGGTGGTGTCGTCGCTGCGCGAGAGGAGCTCCATGGCCGGTGGTGACAGCGACGCAGAGGATTCCGACGATGGCTGGGGTCTTGCGCCCTCGCCGCTCCGCATCAACAAGACAGGCAAGCGGCCGCATACATCACAGGCTACGCCCAAAGTTGATCAAGCCGATGATGTCTTCTCCACGCTGCATCGGGACTCCAGCGACGAGTGGGAGAAGTCGGTGCACAGCCCCGTGGATGCGGATGTCAGTCCGCCTTGGGGTTGGGAGCAGTTTGCCGACTTGGGTGGGCTGCAGGATGTCTCGGTTTCGGGCTCGAAGTGATTAAGGGGTTGGCCAATTCCCGGTGCATTCTTTTTTATTGTTCAACCGTTCATTTCCTGGTGTCTCCGCATCACGTCACGTATGATCGTGCTGGTCTTTTTTTTACTCTGTTCTTTTTCTTTCATTACGGTGTGCCTACTCATCATGACGCGCACATGTACGGGCGCTCAGGTGAGATTTATCTTGGGAGCTCTGGGGATTTGGGGATACACGGGTGAGCGCGGAAAAGCGGAGTCACCTCCCTGACGATCTTTCATGAGACTTTTTTTCTTTCCTTTTTTTATGAGGCTGGTTTGTAGGAGATACCCATACTGTCCTTTCGGAAGTGTAGTTAAGTTGAGCCCTTTCCGTGGCGCTTTGGCATAAAGCTGGAATGGGGGTTATGATGGCCATGATAACCAATAAAACATCATCAATCAGCATCTGTGTTTGTGATTTGTCTCCAAGCTATCATTGGCAGGGCATGCGGTGACAGACAACGAAAAGGCCATTCGAAGGCATAGAATGCAATGCATTTAGCCATCTCTCACTCGCCGCAAAGTAACCACAGATGTGCCTCCCAATAACACTTTCAAGCACCCTTAGACTCGTCCCTCTCCTGTAACTTGAGATCCCGATTGTAAAAATGTCGCATGACGAGAGCAGTTATCGCCGCCGCCGCCCCGAACCCGGCCGTGATGTAGTTGCCCGTGACGATGTACGGCTGCAGGTTGGTCGGGAAGGTGAAGATCGGGACCCAAGCAGTGAAGATGTAAGCGAATGCGTTCATCTAAGATTTGATGATGTTCATAGTTAGCTTCACGGCCATGCAGAGGGGAAAGACAAGCAACAGCAGCAGCACGAACCAATGCAGAGGTATACGCCCGCTTTTCGGGATCGTCCCGATTTGTCTCGTTCACCCATGTCCATGTTATGCCCGCGCATGTTCCAGACAGCGCGGTGAGGTCTGGGATTACGAGCGTCAGAATTAACTTCGGTTACAGTTCTTCATGATCGCTCGGAGGGGTCTTACAGTAAAGAGCCCAGCGGGATGCAATATTTGCTGGGTGGACTGGTGTGGCTGCCAGAGCGATGGGGAAGATGATGGCCATGACACTCGCGAATACCATGCCCGGCCATCTAGCTGCGCCAGGCAGGCTATCCGATACCCAGGAGTTGATTAGGGTACAGACTATGGAGATGATGTTGATCTGCACATGTAAGTATGGTTTCGCTGGATTTGGGGTTGATATGACTTACTCCGAGAGGGATGATGTTGATCTCGGCGACTGAAAAGACAGCCGGCTTTCCCGGGACGTTGTAGCTCTTAACCCAGAAGATCACTGGTATTCTGTTAGCTTTGCCACATTTCATGAAGGAAACACGGTATCGCTTGCTAGATCCCCCGGACTGGCCCACCTGGGTCAGGAATGCAAAAAACAGGGGAACTGCATCTTATCAGCATCTGATATCCACTGAAAAGGGTTCGATGTTGCTCACAGAGGTAGACGGGCCATGTAGTGTGCCAGCGCTTGATGTCCTTCCACTTGAACAGTCCAGTGAGAGGTTTCCGCTCGCTGGGCATCCTAGAGCGGGCCAGCTGAACTTCTTCCTCAGTGAAGATCCTGGTCGCCAAAAAGGCAAGGTCAATATACATGATAGATAACTGGGTCTCGGGGAGACTAACCAATTTGCCTTGGCTCTAGCAGGTAGCTGGGGCATTGCAAATGCAGTCCAGATCGCACAAGGAAGGGAGATGCAACCACAGACACTGGACGGTCATCAGCACCGTATGAGGTGTGGATGTGTAAGTAGCAGGGGAACGCACATATACATCCAGCGCCATCCAGCTAGGCCATTTGACCCGTTTAGCCCAGCATAGACTGCCGCCATGAGAAACCCAGAGAAAAGAGGCCCAACCGAGGTGAAGACTTGGATCAATGAGTTGCGTCGTGCCAGCTCATGCGGCTTGTAATAGCTCGAGCACACGTACATCACCGCTGGGAAATGGCCCGCTTCAAACAAGCCAACACTGCAATATGTTAGACATCACAGAGCAAGGACAACTGCAAGGCAAGGCTTAAACACCTACAAAAAGCGGAAGACATAGAGCTGGTTGACGTTTTTTACACCAGCATGGGCAAATGTGAAGACGGTCCAAGCGAACTCTAGAAACGCGATATACAGAGGAGCGTTGACCTGGTTATTGCTGTCAACACACAAAGCTATTTGAGCTCCAGGCGATCAGTGAACCTACCCGGGTAAGGAGCAAATTCGAAGGAATCTGCCCAAAGACGTACGCCGCGCTCCAGATTGCGGTGGCGTAGTTGAGCTCCTTTCCATACAGCGAGAGGTCCTCCTTCATACCACTATCTGTCGGGACTCTTAGCACAAAATTTCGGGTTCATCGTCAGGTTCGGCTCACGTACTGAAGGCGTTGGTGATATTGACTTGGTCAAGGTAGCGGCACATAACACCCAAGGCGGACGAGGAAATTAACGTCAGGTCAAGCTTGGTGAGGAAACGGGCTTCATCATGTGGCACATCGAGCGCTACAATGGTCAGCAAGTCGCCTTTCCCAACATTATAGCAGCTGGGTGCTTACATGACCAGAAGAATGACTTCCATGTCTTTTTCGGCTCAGTGTACACCTGCTGATCTGCTCCCGCATCGTACGGTTCCTTCAACCTCACGGGGGACTCGCCTCCGCTCTCAGCGACAATAATGTCATTTTTGAGGTCTTTCTCCTGTGCCTGTGACATATTGTTTGCTGGTGCAGAGCTGATGTACGCACATTTACATACTACAGGAGCTTCGAATTATTTCTACGTGGGAAGTGTATTGATCTTATCTATCGGACTCCGTATCAATGTTTGTTTCTTTGCTCCATTTCTGGCGGCAGCTGAACGTCCATGATTGCTGTCGTCTTCAGCGGGTCCCATGGCGACATCCCGGTATGGGCTGCGTGAAAGGCCCAATAACTCATATCGGGGCTCCCTCAAACTGCACCCAGGCCGTCAATCCATATCCAGTAGCTGAACCGAGGACAGCTCGAACTGCCAACTGTAAATTCGTATTCATGTGGAGTTTTCAGAGACCAGATAAAAAGCTGGCGGCATCGGGGTTTTCCGTAACTGCCGATGTCGAATTGCTGTGGCAGATAGGATCATGAGCAAATCAGCACTGTAATGGCGTGCTTTGCTTTCATCGCCACACCAAACCCCTAGGATTTCGACACATTGAATTGAACCAGAGGAGTTGCCATGGTTCTATCAGGATGAAATTCGTTTTGGCCAATAGACCTTTTAGCCAAAATGCGTCAGTCAGCACTCGTCCAAATGGTTACCATTGTTTACTTTCCCACTCGACAGAAAAGATGTAGCTGGTGTGTTGAAATAAGGGTATTTCTGGGTATGCTGGGATAAGTTACGATTCCGTGTAAAGAACAGTTTAAATTGATATCATTGAAATCCTGGATGATTATTGAGAAAAGGTCTTACGTTGTCATCGAACCACGGTGAGAACATGGCACGGCGGTCCCTTGATACACTACAGCAATGTATGTCCAAATATCATGAACGCAACATCCAATGTACAATCTAAAATTTCAGTTCAATCAAGTCTAGACACTCTTACAATCTATACCTCCGATAGAAAATCAAGCAAAGACTTTGCGCCCGCAGCTTCAGCTCATATCTTTACATGCTTTAAGCACTTGGGAGCTGCATGTGACAAATTTCTCTGTTCAAAGGGGTCACTGAGTAATCAAACCTAGATTTGATGTCATTTCTGGAGTTTCGACCTTAACTATAGGATAGGCACAGTATTACAAGAAATCAAAAGGCGCAGCCGGCGAGGAACATGGCGACTCGAAGGATCACACCAGTATGTGGAAGCCGGCTTGGCCATCGAGGTTGAAAGAAATAGCGCTACGCCACTCGGCCGCATTTTGCCGAGCCTGTGGAATGTTTGTACGCCTTACTGCCGATCGCGTAAGCTCTACCTAGCAACACTAAACCCTTCCTGGCTCAAACTGGACGCACCAGCTGATCCCCAAGGCTGAGATGGGCCGCCCTTCTGACACGGCATAGCCACAGCAGTTAGTTATAAGACTCGGCGGAGCCCCAGGTGCCTTGAACGCGCCCGATCTGAGCTTCGTTTGCCGAATGCATAACTAAGATTGGTGAATTGAATTTCTATCAACCTCCTCAGAGAGTACAGATCACGTACGAGCACGCGCACAAAGTCTGAAATATGGGTTCCAAACCGTCCTCTACCTCTGCCGCCGCGCAGGCAGAAAACAGCTCACAGGACGCGGCACCCAAAAAATCCCTCTACCAACGCTACTCAGACGCCAAGACCGGCCGTGACAGGCCGCCCATCTCGGACGCGGACTTACAGAAGCACACGGGCATGACGCGCGATGAATTGACCGAATGGGCTCAGGACAGGCCCAACGTGGCTGGGAACCGGCGCGCCGGCGCTATCGACAGCGGGCCCGCGTCTGGTCTTGGCGGCATGGCTGCTGCGGATGGTTATGGGGGATGGGGGCCGGACGCTGCTGGGGGCCTGAAGTTCCCTCCTCAGCAGAAAAAGGGGGATGAAAAGTAGGATGTGTCAGCTTGTGTGTTACACAGGGCAATACTGAGAGTGGGCTGTCCTGATACTGAACAAGGAAATAACATGAGACATGGACGGGTTGTTTGGATTTTCGCTGGACCTAATGATATCAGGGGAGCCATGGGGCGGTTTGATTTGGCTCTAACATCCAAGGAGTTTGAAAGGAGATTGCCCGGGTGTAGTATTCGTGCAATTATTTGTAATATCATTCTCGAAGATGAGAACTTTCAACTGCGTGTGCTATCCCCTGGGTTAGTCAAAATTTCTAGACGTGTTCAGACCAGCGCGAACTTCTTGACACGCCATCTTCATATTGCAGATCGATGTAAGGTATGGAGATTGGGGAGTTGTATTGGTCAAATATTTTGTCCCACCACCAGCATGTCCATCAAAGGCTGCCCTTGTACAGAATCATGTTTCTCAAAATTATGTACGGCCACGGCATCTCTCTCGACGCTTTGTGGAATATAAGTATTGTGTACAGCATAGATCTATTTGGTCTGATAGAGCAGAGGGAAACTGAAGTGTGCGAAGGTGTGTCTAGATCTATGACGGCTCGGCGATTTATGATGTTTTGTGGCATGCAGACACATGATTTTAAGATTTTCTTTCGTTAGCCTTGGCCTTGAAAGTGATGAGACTTTCAAATACCGAGCGATTTTTGGATTCGAAAACATTCACTCCGTATCTTTTTTCGCGGAACGAACTCTGCCGAGAGCACACGAGCAGTCATTGGATATTATGGCTTCTCAGTTTCGACCACACTTGAATCTTCAATGGAGTTCTTCTGCTGCATCATAACTCATGTCCACATATTGCGGTTGCCCTTGCCTTTGAAAAATCCATGCGAAGGGAGTTTAGTGCCCAATCTGACCTTCCGGTCTCAGTCCTGGAGCTGGCAGGGGAATGTTGTGATGTGGCGCCGGACATCACGACGCCGGACGATGATCTTTGTTTCGTGCTCACACAGCACTTCGTCTAGATAGACCCCCATCTCGCCTTTTAGTGGATGAAGTGGTATCCAGGACGAAAGCCAAGCTTTGCATGTCAGTGCACAAAGATAGCTTCCCTGCTGTGGCATTCGTGGGAGCTGGTGTTGGATCAGGGTATCCGAAAGAGGTAAGCTTCGAGAGAAGTGAGTGCATCCCGGTGAAGGTTATCTGATGGGATGGACAACTCAGGAGCGGTTTGTGGAGAAATGCTCGGATGATTGGGGTCCCGAAGGCTCTGGTGAAGGCAGGATTCTAGAATAGTGCCCCTGAGAGGTGGGAGGTACGAAGTGGTGAATAGAGTGACACAAAATGCCAATCTGGAGAACAGAAGATAATTGGTGTACATCCTTACCTGTTTAGTCCGGGTCTGCTGTCCCTGTTTCAGTCTACCTTACGACTAGAGGTCATAGAATGCCGAGCGATGAAAGCTGTTGATGTGGGTGGCAGGCTTGCGTGCAGTGCCAAGGTGGAGCATACGTCAACTGATGTTTGATTGTGGAGATCAGACCAAGCTTGAGACGGATTCCCACTTGTCAAGACTCGAAGACTTCCGCACAGGACAACTTCCGACTAATGTTCGTCCAGTCTGATATAAGGAAACAGGGTGTTTGGTCCTTACGCCAAGACGGATGAGGAAGAAGCCTTGGGACGGAGGTTGAAAAGCAAAGGGGTCCAGGGTATCGATCATCGCGGCGAGGCTTCAACTGCAATGGCAAGGAAGTCAACCACGGTATAAGGTTGATCTCCTTCCTCTGTTTCTCGACTGCAACTACATTCAGCCACTTGTTTAATTCCAGATCATACGCAGACACTCCTTCAATTTCTATTCCAGAGACAGCTGAGCTGTACATTCTTTTCTCTACTTTTTTTTTGATCCGGAAACAACACATATCCAGTCATTCTCAGTCATTAATTATCAACATGAAGTACTCTACCGTTCTTGCAGTTCTCGTGGCTGCTGCCTCAGCACGTCCATCCCTTCTTCCGAGGCAGGAGAAGAACGCCAGCGTTGAGGATGTCGTCGCTTCATTCAATGGACTGAGCGAGGCCCAGCAAGCCGACTTTCTCAACCAAGTCACTCAAGCCAATGCGCAAGTCGGCGCCGAGCAGAATGCAGATGCTCAAAATGCCGATGAGCAAGCCGCCAACGAGCAAAATGCAGATGAGCAAGCGGCTGCTGCCCAGGATGCCGCTGCCCAGGATGCCGCTGCCCAGGACGCCGCTGCTCAAGATGCCGCCGCCCAGAAAGCCGCGGCCAAGCAAGCAAAGGCCGATCAAGCAGCAGCAGAGCAAGCAGCTAAGGATCAGCAAGCCCAACAGGACGCCCAACAGAACAACAATGACAACAACAACGACAATAACAACAACAACCAGGGCGACCAAAATGCTGCAGTTGATGCCATTGCCGCCTCAGGAGGCAAAGCAGATGTCAAGGTCGACGGCTCGAAGTCCGATGACAACAACGCCAACGTCAACGCAGTTGCATTGGACGATGGTGAGGTCAGCGTCAACATCGAATGACTAGACTCGCTGGATCTAGATTTGAACCTAAACGTGGTGGCTACCGATGGAGCTAAGGTGAATGTGACCGTGGACGCTGGGTCGATTGCAAAGTGGATTATGGCAGGGGGTGCGGACTGCCAGGAGGGTTGGAAGGCCATGAGGATGGTGGCATCGAGGGGTTATTGTTATCAGCCAACTGTAAGTAACATTACAGCGTGAGGCTGGTCACAGGCCATTCACTTTGGATTTGCCTCACTGTGGCTGTCAGATGGGAGAACGATGGGTAGGTGTAAAGACTTGTACGCCAGCTTCGATATTGACTTGAATGATTCAAGGTGAATTTTAATGACTTAGATCTTCTATAATGCATATATATTCCTTGACAAGGTTATGGTTTGGATGAACAATTCCAAGTCTACATTATCTTTAGGGGAACCCTGATTTGTTTCTTATACCTCATAAAGCTCGAGGGGCACCTCCGCAAGAATGCCATCCAGTAGGCCATCACGGCCATCAGACCAAGCAATATAGGCCATACAATCAGTCAGGGCAATGAACGATGCACGGTCACCAGGTTGACCATTCTGGCCAACGGGATGCGACAAGTTTGTGACCTTGAGCGGCGAGGCGAAAGTGCGGCCATAGTCAAAGGATACCGTCGAGTATACATCGAGGATGCCTGACGAGTTGGTGCGCCACATGACTCCAAGTACGCCGGTTGAGCCAAAGTCCACCGCCGGACGCTGTGCGTCAGGTGTCTGAATAATGGTTGGGCCCGTGAAGTTCTCACCGGCGGTTTCTGTGACATAGATCTCGAGAGTATATTCGCGTGGCACCATGAGCGCGAATCGGCCCTTCTGACTTGGGTCGGCGGACACCCAAGGCGTCGGGTCACTGGGCAGACCGACACCGGACACGGGCAGCATGGGACCGGTGCCATTCTTTACCAAGTTGCCCGAAGTGTCCGTTAGGGGCATTGTTGTCCATGTCACACCGTCATCACGGCTGACATACATCTCAGGATTGCCCTGTCCGCCCTGGGCTGCGGAGGCTAGAATACCGTCGTGAACAGCGATGGACCTGCCAGGAAATCCACAGACCGGAGGGATGTCAGGTATACCGTAGTCGAGGCAGGTATCGACAGGGCCGGGAATCTGGTTGAAGGGAGCCCAGGTATCGCCGCCGTCCGAGCTGACAGAAACCGCGGCAGGATACTCCCATGATGAGGCACCGTTCGCGTATACTTTTCCAGTGGCCAAGTCGACGCGTAATTTCGGCGCACCTTGCATATGCAGAGGAGTCACGGACGGGACGCTCCAGGTCTTGCCACCGTCAGTTGACTTGGTGACTTGAGGATGGGCCGCCATGTTGTCTTCCAGACCAGAGAACACCTGATTGTTCAGGATGTAGAACGTGCCATTTGCATCAGCAAAGACCTGAGGTTCACCGCATTTCGGTGCGGTGCCCAACGGGTAATCCGCGGTCACGTTGGTCCAGGTGCGACCGCGATCGAAGGTGTAGGCCAGGAAACAGCCGCCTACAGGTTCCAACTCGGGCAGCGGATGGAAGCGCGTTGTGACGTAGACCAAATTGTCTGGATTCAGAGGGTTGACGGCCACGACTGGCTGACCCTCGCGTGTGTCGTTAGTCCTGGTCATATCCATCTCGCGAATCGACGGCAGAGCGCGCGAGTCAAGGTGGCGTGGAACATAGTCTCTGCGCACTACTCCACTGTCGATATTGCGCTGCGCTGAGAAGTTGAACGCCGTGGTATTGTCGCCAAGAGGACTATCTGTGTAGCGTCTGCTACAGCCGAATCGTTCAAGCAGTGTATTGGGTAGCGAGGTGGAGAGAGCATAGAAAATGATCGCAGCGCTAGTAATGAGGAAACAGGCGCGGATTATGTATGCTTTGCGGCGTTGCTGCTGTACAACGCGACGCCGATCCACATCGGTGGGCATGGCACCGTTTTCGTAGTCTGAGAATCCCATCGTGACGGGGAAAGTTGGGGAACGAGAGGTCTTAGGCTAGGCCTGTGAAATATGAACCTCAAGTGACCGAGGGTGCGACGTTGAATGGAGGGCACAATAGTGAGTGATCTGGGGCGATCAAACGTCCTTAGATCTAGTACTTAAGTATCAATATATATACAAAGAGGGAGTATGCTCTATATAATAGAACATCTGGTGGAGCTTCGATGGTATAGTATAAACGATGTGTTGGATGGTACGACTAGGGTGCCGCCTACATCGAATATCGATTTTTGACCAATAAGATGTGCCAATAATATGCGAAGTGTGGAAATGCGAAGTGCGAAATGCGAAATGCGAAATACGTACTTCGGTACGAAACATTAATGTGCTTGGCATTAGACCACCTGTCAACCCAGTCTTTACATCACATTGCGAGAAGCACATGCCAATTTCGTATATTACAACAAACCGCCTTGACATATAATGTAACGTGTGCGCGTCTCCGTAGTCGCTCCCAATACAACGCAAGTATGCTCAGCTCCTACAGCGTTTCTTTTCGCTCCAGAGCATCACCCATATGAGCTACATGTGTCCCCTCAGTCAAAGCGCGATGAATTTCATCGCAATAGTCCGGCACCTCATTCAAATAAAATCTGTTGCTACTCGGCACCACCGTCTGGCCATAAACTTTGCTGGCCGTCTTGTCTCTCGAGTCCGTAATAATCTCGCCATCGATGAACATGAGAACCACCTTTGTGATGATCTCTAACGGTGTGAATGCGTCTTTTGGAAGCTTGTCCCAGACTTCATCCGGGAGAATCTCCGTTCGGACGATGCTTGGGCATAGCGCATTGATGCGGATGTTGTCGAAGGTATAATACGACTCGGCGACGCTCCGCATGAAACCTACGACGCCATCTATCTGGTATTAGCGACATCGATTCAAGAGACGACAGGTACAGCCAAGAACAGTCAAGCTGATGAGGGACATACTCACGCTTTGAAGCGGTATACATAGGAGAGAAATAACTCGGCCAGATTCCAGCGACGCTACCAGTCACGACGATTGAGCCCTTATCAGGTCGAGGAGACTGCGCCATATAGTATCTCCCAATGCGGACTGTATTCATACAACCCTTAAGGTTCGTCTCCAAAGCGGACCAGTCCGGCTCGGGCGGCGGTTCGCCCGCCGAATCCGACGGGGAATACCAGTTGCCCCGCTCGAAGATGCCAGCGTTAGCGAAGAGGAAGTCGAGGCGTTTACCACCTTCTTCAAAAGCAGCTCTGAATGCGTCGGCCAGGTCATTGTACGCGGTTGTATCCGCTCTGTGGTAAAAGCATGTTGGGGGCAGCTCGCCAGGGTTCTCTTTGATGTCGACGATGTGGATCTGCCAACCTCCTCGTGCGGACAAAGCCTGGACCACAGCAAGTCCTATGCCACTGGCTGCAGGTGTGTGTCAGTCGATGTTTCCAGCGTTTTTTCCGGTAATATTAGTTACCTCCACCTGTTACTAAGGCGACTTTTACTTGGGCGTCTGCCATTTCCAATGTTCGAGGGCGTTTTTGAGACCACATGCAGACGTTGCAACCGACTTTGCCAGTACAGCAGACAGGGAGAAACCCCTCTTCATTTATAATTATGCCGACTCAAAAGCTTTCTGGTTCCCCTCATGGAGCTCTCCCTATTTGTCGAACGCACTTTTGCTGTATCCCGTGCCACCAACTGGTCAAGCCACGTAAGGCAACATTTCCAAAATCCGCTGGTGGAGGGTCGGTTGCGGACTAGTGCCCCTCGACTCAAGCACATGTATGGCTATAATGAGATGCACGGGGTCAAGAGCTTTCCATGTCGGTCTGGATTGACGTACTATTGCCGATTGCACGATCCTAACACCAATCGACATTGTCAGAGTGCTTACGAGGGAAAGCATTGGGTGAGGAAGACAAAACAGAACATCCCAATAAACTTTCGATGTCAAGCCGTGCACGTCTCTGAACTGCTGGCAACCGCAGCACCCCAATTGTGGTCTAGCATGAGTAATCGGCGGATTCCAACGCGCGGTGATATTTCTATGTCGCCCTGGTCACGTATTCTGTAGAACTAGCACCCCGAGAGCTAGTAATTGCTCTTTCTACAGCGAGCAGATGAGCCCCAGGTGAGGGAGATGAGGAGATAATAAACCAAATACGCACTTCAGAAGCTGAGTTCAGACAAAAAGGTAGTAGGTGCGCTCGTCGCGGTAGAGTTGACCACTAACGTAGAGCTGAATGAGCGAAAACCAGTAGTCGCCGTCGCTGCTAACAAGTTTACCGCTCGCGACATTGCACGTGATAGCCTTGTCTATAGGAGTGCACTCTATTTATTCTATGGATATTGCGGAACGCAGTCACGATTTGTTCCTCGCTCGTCATATCTTTCCAAGCAGGCCGCCCCATGTATCGTGCCTCAAAGGCGTTGCTGAAAAGCTTTGGCAGGATTGGTAGGACTGTTTTGAGCTTGACCTGCAATTTAATTTCTAGGCCGTAAATTCTGTTCAACTGGAAGCCCGTAATATAGGCATGTGAGTAGCTCGGTAACACAGTAGATCAGTAGAGCTGCCAAGGGTCCTCATCGGATATCAAGTCAGGTATCGGAAGCTCAATTCCTTGGCCGATTGCCTTCCTCGGCCAGTTACCTTCCTTGGCCAATTACCGTGCAGATGTTATGAGACGGCCTCAACAAAGTACTCCGGCCTCGAAAAACGTGGGGCCTCATCTCCACAAGGGGCCGTATCCCCAACAAAGGGCCAAATCGCATTTTCTTTACGCATCCCGGACAGCCTGACATTCACATGCACTTCGGAGCTGTGTGCGTTAAAGATTTACTGTGGAGATGCCTCGGCATCATATCGCGACTCTAAGTGAAAAAGATTTATATAGATGTATGATTTATTTGACGAGTTCATCAGTATAAAATTGCTAAGTGCATCTGTTGTAGTTCTATTCATATGACTCCAGGCCTAATTAATGTGCGTTTTTAGACGTCAAAAATAGCATGGACAACCTCAAGACTACGATCAGTGACTTTTCACAATGGCTCGACGTCCGAAGCCTGGTGGCGATGGCTCTCCTTAGCTACCTCATTCTCGTCCGGAACCTCCGGTACAGGCGAATGAAGAGCATCGAAGCACCGTTCACCGTCGACAACCGCGCCTTGTCAAGCATGACCGTTGAGGAAGCCACCAAAATTATCAACAATCTCCAACGTCTTGAGTTTCCCAGCGCATTCGCCAAGGCACGGAGAATGGCTCTTCTCAAGGTGATGAGAATTCCCCCCTTACTTCCACCTCTGACAATCCTCCTCCCATGGTTTCGCATATCATTAGGCACCAATAACTAACAATCTCTCATATTCAGGCCGGCGGAATTCCAACAATGTCCAAGCTATTCGCTGTGACGGGCCAAAATACCAGAAAAAATGCCGGCAAACGCGCCGTTGACACCGAGATCCTGCTCCGTGAAATGCAGACAAATCCACGCTGCTCAGAGCGATACTCCCTCGCCGTCGCACGTGTCAATTACCTTCATTCACGGTACCGCCGTGTTGACAAGATTTTTGACGCAGACATGCTGCATACACTAGGCGATGGGCTTGGCGAGATCCTCCATGTCGTGGATCGCGATGAGTGGCGAGCGCTTACGGATGTGGAACGGTGCGCACTCGGCATTTTCCACCGAAATCTTGGCGAGGACATGTACATCCCGTTTGATGCGCTGCCTTCGGCTGCTGAAGGGTGGAAAGACGGGCTACATTTTGCTGAAGAGCTCCACGATTGGACGATCGACTACGAGGCGAAGGTCGCGAAGCTCACGTCGACGAATGACCAGTACGTCAGGGTCTACGTTGACTCTGCGTTCTTGTCGCTACCGGCCTTTGTCCGAATGACGGTGAGGAAGATACTAGGTTTCGACCTGGACGACGTGATGAGGACGAGTCTCGGGTTAGTGTAACATCGATAACGACAAGAAATTCATGCGATACTGACAGCAGAGCAGACTCGAAGCCCCTGGAAAAATCCTCCGAACGACTCTAGTTCTCGTTCGAGAAGCCCGCAAAGCAATGCTTCGGTACCTCGCTCTCCCCCGCCCGTCATGCCTCGCTGTAAACATCGTGCAGGAGAAACTAAACCCCAAAACGGGGACGTACAATTTCGAGCAATTCGGCCTTCAACCATGGTACATGAAGCCCACACTATGGTCTGTTTGGGGTCCTTCGGCTTTGCTCCTCCGCGCGCTGGGGGCAAGGCCGCCCGGCTACCGCGGCGATCGATTCAAGCCGCAAGGCTACGATCTGAGGCGCATCGGCCCGGAACCCCAGTTCGGCAAGGGACTGGAGGACATGGAGGTCGATATGCAGGAAATGATGGCGAGGAGGACAGCTTGCCCTTTCTCGCAGAGGAAGGTAGGTTTCTTCGAGTCATGACGGGAATCTATAAAGGGGAGCTCAGTGAAGATGGAAGAGGGACATTGGGCAAGGCCTCCTTCAGACTCCGGAGCATGTGGCGGCAGACCCGAGTCCTTATCATTACTCACAGGTAAATCTGAGGCTCTTTCAGTGACGTGAGAAGTAGACGCCATGCGACAACGACAAACACATCACGTGTGCTTAGACATAGATCACTAGAACGCCAATAGAAGCGCAACAGCTTTTAATCATAGTGAATTCGCATGCACAGCAGCAGCTACAGCCACGTTTTCTGCTCATCAGAGCAACACAGTGCCCAAATGTCAACAACCAGGGCCCTCGGCGCCTGGGCGAGGCCCGCGATAAGCAGTACCCACAGAAAAGAGCATTACACAGCCAGATCAGACCCACAACAGTGCGGCTCAAGGTTTCTCAACTTATTTATATTGGGCCACCCCAGTAATGACGGTCTGCGGACCAACTCCATTGATTCGACTGGTACGGATGTTTTCAGCGAAATGCGAGGCACGTTGGTGCAGCTTAGATATCGCGAAATATCGACATGTCATTGGCCACAAAACCTTCCTTCCGTCAATTTCCTCTAACGAATTTTACTCCAGGATAAACCTGTTAGATCTGATCTGCCCAGGTCTTCGCGATCATTAGGCTACTCCCAAGTCTGCTTCACTGGAAGCTTCCACTTTCACATGCAACTCGCATCTTCCCTGCAAAATCCAGAGCACCAAGGAGACAGAGAACACCAAGAGTGGTATCGCACCGATGCTCCATCTCCCTCCCCGTCTTCGACACCGTGTCTACCTGCACACTGAATTGCTTGCACGATATGAAGATGGGAATTATGCCGTGCTTAATTTGGACGGAGGCACTCAAGTGCCTTCGAGATTCGGCTATTTCCCTGAAGAGAAGTTCGGCCTCCTCCTTTCCTGCCGGACGATATACGCGGAGGCATCTGCCCTGCTTTACCGCCATAACAGATTTATCATCCGGTACTGGGAGAAGCGATCCCTGGCACCTCTCCGGAATTTAACACCGTCATCGATTTCCAACCTTACATACCTCAAGATCGTCCTAAACCAAGCCTCGTGCCACCACAAGGGCCCTAAGGTGTGGCATGAAGACAGCATGGATATTTGCGACGATGAGCGAGTCCGCAATATAGGCGACGGGGATGGAGACCATCGAGTCCCTGATCCTAAATCATGCAACGCTCCCCTTGAAGTCGGTCAGCCGGAAGCGAAGGCTTTGTATGCCGAGTGGCATTCCACCGTGGAGTACCTGTCATCCTACATCACCCCTGAAAGCCTCGAGCTGAGTGTGGTCTGCGACGTGCACCACGGCGACGTAGAGGCAGCTATGCGCGCAGTCGAGCCGATGGGCCTCTTGCCGGCTTTGAGAAATTGCCATGTCCGACTGTCCAGGAAGTTCACACCTCAGCTCTACCAGATCGCACAGGATACAGTGCTCCAAGCGCGTCGCATTTCCAAGCCACCACTCCCAGCAAGCCTCCCAGGCGCAACAGCACTGGTGCAGCCTGAGAAAGCCCCCCTCTCCGAGCTCCAGGTGGAGAGTCGTCTCCTCGCCCTGCCCCGCGAGCTGCGCTTCCGCATTTTGGAATATACAGACCTCATCACACCATGGAAAGAAGTCGATTGGAGCCGCTACCCAAGCAACAGGGCCAAGTACATGGCTCTTCACCCAGTCTGCTTGAATACGGAAGGGATGCCATGCAGGCCAAGGATGCACCACGGCTGCCGTTTCTTCAACTGCTGGGCGGCCACTGAGCAGCAGCAGCGGTCGACTGTGGGGTGCTTTTGCCGCGTCAGGCACTCTGCTGCCTCGTCGACTTGTATCTGTTGGACGCCGCCGTCCGCCTTGTTCCTGGTGAGTGACTCCCGGAGTTGTTCGTTCTTACAGAATTGATTATGGAAAAGTCTTTGGGATTTGACAGCTAACTCTGGATGCAACAGGTTTGTCACGCCCTGTTCAATGACGCTCATGTGGTCTTTTTCTCTGGTAATCGCTTTGTTGTGCATGACTACCAGGGTGACATCCCTTACAAGACGCCTGAATCTCCTGCGCCAATACACCGAGATGTAGGTGAGGGCAGAAGTGCAACTTCCAAGTATCATTCTGATCGGCTCGCCGCAAGCGTATTCTTACGCGAAGTCGTACCGCCTCAGATGCTCCAGGAGATTCATTTTTTGGAGCTGGTGTTCCCGCCCTACAGCCACATAGGTTGGCCTGAGGAGGGCCACCCCGCGTTGGCTGACTGGGCCGAGACACTCCGCTGGGCCAGGAAGAAGATGAACCTTCGCGGCCTGACGCTGCGTCTCGTCATGGCAGATTCACCCAATGGGTCGTCCGCGCCGCCTGGCCGAGGGAGCATCACCGCCGACCAGGTAGAAGAGATTTTGTCGGCATACCGCCGTATCATATCGCCTCTTGCAGTCTTAGCTCAATCCAAAGTCGGTGATGAGAATGGTGGGGATGAAAATGAGCTCCGCAAGTTTCACGCCCGTATCGCGTGGCCATGGGCCTGGAACTTTGATTACAAGGCAAAGATTGACGAGTACGGCTGGACAGGGTTGGAAGACTACCTGGGGGAAAGGCGCCAATTGCTGATAGAGGAGGCTGAACGGTCAGTCATGGGATACCGATACCAAGAGTTCCATGATGGAGGCAGAGGACATCAATGGATCAGCGTCTGGGAGGAAAAGTTTTACTGTGGCTTTTGAAGTACCATGCGGTATATTAGGAGCACTAGGATGGTGTTACAATCACTTTGGCTCAATAAATCTTTCTTATATCATGATTATTATTCAGATACCGTACGCTATCATGGTGCAAGACACTGCATTATTAAGCATAGCTGAGAGTAGCCCAAGCTTGCGAGGGGAGCTCCTAGCTGTGGGTAAGTTTAGTACGGTAAATCTGCAAAATGTTTCGTATGAATTGACGTATTGAGGACAGTTGCTTTTGTCTCTGAATCTCTCCCGTCACATCGGTGACGGGAGTTTGGGTCTTCCGTAATTACTAGGCTAGTCCCACGTCGGCTTGACTGAAAGCTTTTCCCAGTCTTGCTCCGATTGATTGGTTCTTGCAGGCCAGGACCGTGACTTCCTCAATCTGTTATTTCGGCGTGTTGTCACATCAGGTGTTCTGGCCACAAGTCGGTCGGGCTGAAGAAGAAATCGTGGACTGGGAGGTACAGGGACGAAGGGCTCCTGTGGACCCCTCAACTGCAGCATGAGTGCGATGATTCGCTTGATCAGCACCTCCATGTGTCCGGGATCCGTCGTCACGAATGGCCCGAATTCGTGCATTATTAAGAAGTCGCCTACGTCCGGAGTCCACTTCTTTTTTGTGCGGCTGGATTTGTTCAATGGCGGCGTTGGCCGAGCGTCTTGTGATGCGCCCTTGGGACCATCGACTAATATTGTCTTCTTCTCTACCCGGCTGATATAGCCTGGTGAGCCGGCAAGGAGACTGGGATCACGTCTGCCTCCGTGAGGGACTGGGTCCGCTAACGAAGAGAGTGTCTGTGTCGAATTTGTGGTGACAGAGCTGTCGAGCCTTCCTGCTTTGGGTCGGGTTTTGGCGGTCCCTTGCCTGACCGATCTATGTGGTCGGATATGCTTCTCGAAACCGGCCCCGTACTCAGCCACGACAACCGAAATCTCGTGGCGGTCTTGATTAATCATCAGGCGCCTGTGTTGAGGAGAGATGGTCAGTGCAAGCCTGTATCGCATTTATCCCCCGAGACTTACCGTTTTCTCCCACTAGTAGAAGTTCTGAGAAGTCCAGTCTCCGAATCACCAGCCTGTGAGATCCAACACGCCATTTCCGCACCTTCTTGGCGTCTAATAGCTGTGAGAGCACTTGAACGTGTGAACGGCTTGGCTTCGCAGATTGCTAATGGGTCGCTGTTGAGACTTCCTTCCGAAGAGCTGGGCCTCTGACAGAGATATCCGTCCACGCGAGCCTCCATAAGCTCAAGCAGCTTTGTGTCAACCTCTTCGGTGTCGGTATTTATCGTGGTCACCTGCTCAAGAAGTTTCAGCGGGAGTCGAGTTGCCAGCCAATCTAGTTTGCTAAACTCCTCCCCAACCATCATGATGATGGATTGAAGCAACAGCAAAAGTGCCGTATTGACGTAAGTCTCATCTGCTGAGGGTCTATTTGACTTGCCCCCTTTGGCTAGGCGATAGGACTTCACTTCGGGAGTGCTATACGCAGTTCTCTTAGGAGTATCTTGCTGCGACGGCTGAGGCTTGGGAGTATTTGGTACAATTGGTTGATTGACAGCCGAGGGAGCGTACGACTCGAGCATATCATACCCCAATTTGGTGATGGAAGGTGTTCTCCGGAGCTCATCAGAAGTTGGGGCCATACGGGCGGTGGCAGTGACTAGCGATTGCCAGTGGAGTGCCGAATGGAAGCTTCCACAATTCCTTGACGGCCGCAGAGGTTGCCGTCGCACAGCCATGCCGTCGAATGGTGATTCTTGGGTAACCTTTGCTTTGGAGATCATGCAATTTTGAGCTTCCAAAAGCCTCAGTTCGTCAAGATAGGGTTGGCACATCGATTTCTTGGAGCTGAAGATACAGCTGGCTTTGTCATTGTTTTCATTGGAGACATATCCAGTATAGCCAGATACCGGATCATCCGTCATCAAGTTGCCAAGGGACTCGATACGACGGTACTTGTGCCAAACTGTCTTGAAGTGGATGGAGTCAGTCCCATCAACTTCGGAACCAGAGCTGAGTGATGTGCTGGACAAGTTGAGCTGGTCTTGGGCGCCATTCTTATATTCCGATGGGATTGACGGATCTTGATCGACTTGCTCGGCCCATATCGATATACTAACAGGAGGTGCGTGACTCTTGCCTGTCATCGTTATGGAGTAGACGTATAGTAGTATGCTTGATACAACCGGAAACTGACCTCGAACGAAAAGGGCAAAAAGCGAAATAAACGAGTGCTGAAAAAGACTGAACTCTGGAACAAAGAGAGGAAGATACATATTTGGAAGACTTGGAGGGATTTTATGGAGAAAGGCGACTGGATCTTGGTGTTGTGAAGCAAATTCTCCTTCACAGCGCTCACAATTCACATATACAACACGAGCGCCTGGCTTCAATGATGGCTTGGAACATTCTGCCTCCCTATATGGGTGAATTCAGTAATCAATTGTCCCTGCAAATATTCAAATACCACCCGTGAGACTTATCTATCGGTTCTGGTCTCAAAGAGCAAAAGTTTCCGCAAGAACAGTGACTGTCTGTCTTCATGGCTTTGGTCTGCTTCACTCAAGGAATAAACAACTCAGAGTCTTAGTCAAGCGTAATATCTCCATGCCAAATTCGAATTCGCATTTATTTTGTACAAGAAAATGCGGCCTGGTAAGTCACCAATTTGAACTCTACAGGTAGACAGCATCCAGCCCGCAGAAGCATAGTGACGTATTGCTCCCGCGGAATTACCTGATCAGAAAATTTCAAGACATGCGGCCGTTGGGCTATGATATTCCATTGGATGTCAATTATCAATGTGAATACCCAGGTAACGGGAGGCAGGTTTGCACATCCGTGTCACTTTCTGTGCCATTGCCACTCACTGACTGTCAATTCACTCTAGCAAAGCATACCCTAGGGTAGGCCACCTCAAATCTCCTAGCCAGTACTTAGAGTGGAGGGAAGTTGCAGACAGTCTGCCTTTTCTCCTTCTTCCTTCTCTAGCCTAAGCACACATACCTACCTTCGTGTTTCTGGTCTCACAACCCTTGGACTAATTTGATTGTCTTAGTCATCACTACCTTCAGAACACCAGGCTAGCATCAACATTCACCTAAACCGCAAGCAGGGACAAGTAAACAATCTCATCACCACCTTGATTTCTTTCAAGTCACTACCACAAACAACAAAGCTGCACATTACCTGCGACCCACTGAGACAACCTGAGCATGTCATACTCTTTGACATTCGATGCATCTGTCAACATCTGAAATGTACACGTCGAGTCCAGATTGCAAGGCCGTCAATATGAGCCACGCAAACGTCAGCCAACGCAAGGGATACGGCCGCCTGACAACTAGCCAACATCATCTCAACAAATTGTGCGAGCTAAACATTGAGGAGCAGCTTGAAACCTCACCATGGCCGTTTGTGGAGGCAGACGAACTCGACTCCATGTCTTGCATTCAGCTCGAAGACATTGAGATTGATGGCAAACAAGCTGGCTCTGCCAGCGCTGTGACATTCTTCATGCCCTTCCACCAGTTTGATCACCGAATGAAGGAGACTTTCTCGTGGGGCTGGTTCGAGCTGGGTGAAGGACAAGCACCGCGAGTGTACGCTGGGTTCAGAGCAGGCTGGTTCATGCGGCCATGGCAGAAGGTCGACCCGTTGGAGAGTGATGAGCTTCGAATTGACTTCTTCGGCGGAACAGCCTGGCAATGCACGCTGTATGTCTGAACGTGGCCGGTTTTGCCACCAACTCCGCACCTTTGAGAGGAACATGCTGACACTTCGTTACAAAGGGAGGACAGATGGGAAGTCCGAGAAACGACCGGGCTGATACTTCCCTACCGGTGCATCGTAGACTACGCTTACTCTCACGAGTATCAGTCTGACATTGTCTTCTTCCCCAAGGACGAGGATAGACCGCACCTTGCCTGCATCATGGAAGATACTGCCATTTCTCCGGACAAGATCTTGCGGAGCGAAGTCCATGGCGCCATTACCCTCATCAAGCACCAGATGCGCAACGATCGCTTGAAAGACCACTACACAAAGCCCGTGAGTTCCTCGCAAAACAAAATAATCTAGAAATTTTCCATGAAGCTGACAAATTGAAGGTCATGTTGTACACTTTCCAGAGAGACCAGTACGCCCGCATCACGCAGGCCCACTACGACGTCAAGATGGGCAAGATCGTCCTTCGCCAGTCCAGACAGTTCGATCTCCGTGGTCCCAAACCGACTGAGGATGCTTGGTTGTTAATGCGGTGGATGCTGAACACGCCGGTCGGGGACACCATGGTCAAATCTAAGGGTGATGAGCTGCCTACTATAGCGGAGGTCGAGGAGCCCGCTATAAGCCCAATGAGGCCTGCTCACGCCTTGTCGGCATGAAGAAACAGATTGGACCGTTTGAGGCATCCCATTAGTGATGAGACTTTTTGGAGGGTGGATAATTCAGATTGCATAAGTGCCTGGAGAGAGGTCACTTTTAGCACCATCATCTTGAAGATTCTCATGTGCGAAACAGCGCAGATCTCTCCTGAATTGCGGTGGCATTCCCGATAATGGAAAGAAAAGAATTATGTTGTATCAAGTTTGCTGTAAACATTGCACCGTGCTGGTGCCCCCATCATCTTAAACCCCTTCACCATGCTTTCTTGGGTCACTCTCGGGTCTCTTTACCTCTCTTTCATTTGAGTCGGGCCGAAGGTTGTCCTCAGTTGATACGTTAGGCTAGTCCAACAGAACTAAACTAATCAGCCAAGGAATACAGAAGTCACTTGTGTCCAGAAGGGATACCATCGAAAACATACACGGCTTTGCAGTCATGTTGAATCAGGGTTAGGACAAGGTTTGGGCGACAAGCAGGGGGCTACCCTCCCCCACCCTCCAAACCCAGCCACCCCATTTCGCTTAGTGCCAAGGAACGCATCACCACGTGACCTCGTGAAGCTCACCTCGGACGCTGGTCCTCGCTGACTGCAACCGCAAGCATCTCCATCATCCAACCAAGTATCCAACATCACCACAACACCACCACATGTTGCGACAGCTCCTCGCTGAGCAACGCACATACACCAGAGGGTCAGTTCAAAGGTACTCGCACGAGCGGGTAGCCGCGCACGCTTGCGGAATCTGCGTCGCCTTGAGGAGTTGTCCATCGCGCCCAAGACCTGGAAATGCCGACTTCTCGGCCCACGGACTGCGGTCCGTGGAAAGAGAACCGGGGTCTTGGGAAGGGGTCACTATTTCCTCTTTACGAGGACTCGTGGCTTCCTGCCAGCGACACGGCTCCTCTGTTGGCGGCGCGATTTTGCCGGGCGTGCGGGGACGTCGTGCCATTCACCAACCTTCCGTCCTCGTCCTCTTGTCATTACGCCGTCTGCGACAGTGTCCAAAGAGTCAAGGCTGCTCTACCGACCAGAAGCCTGGGAGGGAGGGAATCCTGCTCATCGCAGGGGTTTCGCTTTGGTAATGCTCTGTGTTGTTCTAGCTACTGACTTACCACAGGTTCAAGCGACCCCTTGGTCATGGCCGATGACGTCTCCACCGCTTCGGAACCCGACGCCACCACCACTCCGCGACAGGAGACGTCGTCCTCAGATGATTTCCACGTATCTGTCGCGCCCGCTTCTGTTACCTGGGACGGCCAGGCCCAGCCTTTGAGCGATGTGACATGTGACATCCGTCGCTATGCCTCGAATAACACCGCCTTCATTAAGCTGCGAGCCACAGTGGCGCTCAAAGCGCCCGCGCCCGCGCCCGCGAAGACCAACCTATTTTTATTCGTCCATCCAGAGCGTATACGAGCAGTGACCCTAGACGAATCTCCCGAGTCGAGATCACAAGAAATAGTGAAGAAGAAGCTGGGCCAGAACACGTATTGTCTACATTTCACACTCGACAGGCTAGCTGCCCTTATCGGCCCTGCAAGCCTCGAAAGTATTGCACCAAAGAACAAGGGCTCTGCCGAGATGCTGCACCACTTGCGGTCGCTGGCTCAAGAAACCAGTTTCTCTGTATATCTGCCGGCCAAGGTTGTGTCCAAGGCGCGACTGCTGTCGTTCTGTGAAGCTGCTTCTGGTCACAATTTGGCTTCCATCACATGGCAGGCTGACATGACCTGTCTCTATGGTGGCAAAGGCGGCCGGGTCATCGAGGACGCTCCTGAGGCCTCCACTGTCAATCCTCCATCATACGATGAGCTGGAGCCCGGGCCGCCTTTGCCGCCAACCAGTCAGGGTAAGCTATGCGTGCCACCTCCCTTTGTGCCTTACAATGTCCTTACGTCTGCGGCAGGGCTCAGTTTTCAAGGTCCTTCGAAGAAGAGGCGACGCGAAAGTGGTAACTCAGATACCCCACCCGCGGACCTATCGGCTGTGGAGGCTATGTGCAGGAAACTCATGGGTGAAATGAAGGCTGAGCTGAAGCTCGACATGAGCAACCAACTGCAAAAGCTAGAGGACAATATTGTGGTGCGTCTAGAGCAGCGTCTAGCCGAGGAGTCGGCACGAATTGAGGAGCACTTTGAACAGAAGCTTCTAGAGGTAAGAGAAGAGACTACGGACGAAATCGGTACCCGTATAGAGGACGAATATTACGGGGTTCGGGTCCGACTTGAAGATTTCGTGAAGGACGAGGTACAAGATGCCGAGGAGAGGATTGTCCATCATATAGAAAGCAGCGCTACCATATCTTTACAATTCAATACGTGATGTGCACCCTCAGACTGTGGTCATTATTCCCATCCGGCCATCTTAGGTTATCTCTTGAACTCACACCCATGATGGACCCAGGCCTCACCAGCCTAAAATGTGCACACCTTATCACCCAGGCTGTTGCAGCAGCTAGTGAAGCCATCGAAATCCGTTGCGTCGCATTCCTGCAATTCAGTCAGTAACCCGGTCAGCAAGGATTCCCGCCGCTGATATAGCCCTGTCAATCTTCTGACTTACCCCGTTTGATATCGAGCCCCGTCCGCTGCAGCAGGATGAAGTGTGACCCGGGTTGTAGTTGACCTGCCCCTCGGCGTTTCCGACGCAGCAGTTGGCTGGTGTTCCTGCGAGGACGCTGTGATGGAATTAGTATCTTTTCACTCTAGAGATTTGAGGTTGTGAGTGCTGTACCCTGTGGCGAGAAAGCCGATGAGAATTGAAGCAAAAAGCATTGTTGACGTGAGGGAAGGGGGGGGGGTTTCCAGTACGATTTACTTGAGATGTAGTGGAGGGTTGTAGAGATTTTTTTAGGGTATTTGATGGACTGAAGTGCAAGTTAAGGAGTTCGAAACAAGTGGTCCAGAAATATGCTAAAGCGGACTATATTAACTTAGACTGAAGGATCAAATAGAAAGGATGTCAGGTGTACCCTCAACAACGCGCCATCCACTTTCATGGTGATGACTCGCAAAATGGTGTGCTCAAGCCGGGAGATCCGGGCCAGTCACCTACAGAGGCTTGGATAATGGGTCGTAATTTGAGAACTGGCAGCAGATCAAACCTAAAACTCGTGTTTCCTGAAGACACTCTCAATTTCGTTACTTCAGCCATGGGCTGAATTTGTGGCCTCAATAACCCCTGTATGGTGTGACTACCTCCTGTCCGGATATCAGAATTGGGGGTCAGTGTATCTGATGTTTACCCCGGATCATAATGACCACGTCCAATGAGTCAGGAAGCATTTTCCATTGCTCTCGCTTGCCAGTATGCCAGATGTTCGCCAGGCGTTTGGCAACATTATAGGGATCATTAGATCTGATATAGACACAAAAGCTAATCTACGGGTGGCTGAACCACAGAGATTCATCTCAGAGAGTATCACAACAGAGGAACATGGACTTACGCAAACTTCGAACCAGGCATTTGAGATCCATAAGATGACTTGAGGCGTATAGCGGTCGGTGTGAGACAGAAAGAAAGATAGCCTCTAGATAAACCTATGTATTTCACGGCTATCCACGGTTTGTACGTAGTCTGATACGAGGAGTTGAAGTTGATACAATGATTCACAAATGGAGTACATAGCGTGAGGCGCAGGACGGCGACTTGCTTGGAAGCTTTGAACACCAGCCCACTCTATTAAAACATGCGCAGTCACACCAAGCAAGAAAGGTGCTATAGTCCCGATTTCCAGCCACCTTCTTCTTCGAAGATCTTCCCAATCGACCTGCTCGCCGCAAGCAGCTTCCGGTCATGGTATCTCGGTGCCACAAGCGAGATTCCAACGGGCATTCCGTTTTGTCCTTGGAACCCAGGGATGTTGATGATCGGAACATGAAGAGCCTATCATATTACAAAAATTAAGCCAGTATGTCAAGTCATGAAGGAAGCGTGCCAAACTTACAGTCCATATCAGTTGGAAAATCGCGGACCCGGTGCTTTTAATGCCTACGGGTGCTTCACCGGGTACAGACGGAGTCAAAACCGCGTCATATTTTGAGAACAACGCATCCGCCCTTGGTCTGGCCGCCGCTATACGGTCGAACGCATCCAGCTGCTCCGCATGTGTGTGCTTGTACTTGTTCTCCACATGCTCATGCAGCTGTTCATGGACCTGGTCTTTGGCCACCAAGTAGTCTGGAAGAAATGCAGTTTGGCCATCAGTCCTGAACACAACCGTGTGCCACTTGGGCAGTTCCTTCAAGTCGTCAGGCAACTCGATTTCATCCACCTCGGCGCCGTGCGCCTTCAGAAGCTGAACAGCCTTGGCCAGTGCCGCTTCAGTGCCCTGCTCCACCTGAGTGTCCCACACCACGGTCTTCATGAACGCAAGCTTCGCTCCCTTGACAGAGAACTGCCCTTCTGATTCCGGAAACGGTGGCGTGTCATCACGCAGGGCAAATACGTCTGCGAGCAATTCCAAATCCTCCACAGAGCGCGCATACATGCCAAACGTGTCTAGGATAAGCGAGAACACCTTCTGCCCCTCACGCGTGATGGAGTTCCACGTCGGCTTGAACGCGTAGATGCCATTGAAAGAGCCGGGCCGGATAACGCTGCCCCCAGTCTGGGTCCCCAGGCCGATCGCCGCCTGCATGTCGGCCACCGCGGCGCCGGAGCCGGAGCTGGACCCGCCGGGCGTGCGGCTCGGGTCGTGCGGGTTGCGGGTCTCGGGGCCCTCGGTCGTCGCGGCGAACTCGGTCGTGGCCGTCTTGCCCAGGATGAGCGCGCCTGCGTTTCGAAGGATTATGATGGAGCCAGCATCCACGCCGGCCATGCTGTCTTTGTACAATGGTGAGTTGTGCTGGGTGGGCATGTCCTTGGTATAAATGACATCCTTCACTGCCACCGACACACCGTGCAGAGGACCTCTCTTCTCGGGCGGGATCTTGTCCAGCTGTCTTGCCTGGTTGAGGACTTGTTCTGGGTTCAGATACGCCCATGCCTTGACCGTGTCATCCCTCTCTTTGATGCGCAAGAGTAGGGATTGTGCATATTGCTCAACTGTGAACGACCCGGATCGTATGCCCGCCGCGGCTTGAGACGCCGTCAGCCTGTGTAGATCGGAGTTTGACATCGTCGATTCTAACAAGCAGTGTCAAGCTTGAGAATGCTGTGACTGGAGCGGCCAGGAATGTGAGTCCGGCAGACGATATCGCCACCTGGACTTAAGCTGCTCTCTTTTATCGAGCACCAGATAGCTGAGACACCACCGAGATGGAAATCGGACTGGACGATCTTACATATATTTCCTGCACAAGGACGTGATCTAATCCGCACAGTGGTTGAGAGAAGCTTCCTCTCGCATATGCTCGGCGCGCATGCATAAGCGGGGTTGCCGGTCTCGGTGGTTCCACTCCGGCGGCGCCAGCACGCCTCAGATAAGTATCAAAATATTTAAATTCTCGCGAAGTGTTGCTGCGTTATCCACCTCCTTGAGCTCCCGCGGCAAATCTCATGAGACGCGTTACATTCTGCGTCAACGCTCTAGACTGCTCTAGGTATATCTCTTACGGATCGCAGCTTGTGTGGATCCTCGCTTGCCTGCCTGCAGGAGATGCACGGAGTGACGTCGTATCCTGCGGTCATCTATGCACATAGCTCGGACCGCACATGGCTCGGACTGAAGCCTTCAGCGTGCATTATTCGTGTGTTCCGGTAGATGTCGTCCTCACTTATTGGCTACAGATGCGGGTCCCCGCTCGTGATAAGGCAGACTCTGCTCGACGGGGCATTGGTGCACCCGCACTTTATTTGCCAAGAGATTGCTTTAGGCTGGTTGTGATAGTGCGTGGTAACGCATGGAAAGTAAATAATTGGTTAAAGACCGTCTGCGACCCGAAACTCTATGGTTGCGAAGACAAGGGAAGACCGGCATCTATATATTGCGAATCCCAGTCGGTGAGATTTTCAGTCTGCCGATTCCTCTTCGTGCCCTCAATCTCAGCCTGATACTCGCTTTCTGAGTTTGTTCAACGTTTCGTACTGTACGAAGTTCCAAAGACAAAATGCCTGAGACATATCACGCAGACCCGGATTATGAATTCAGTCGTGACTTCAAAGGTTATGGTGAGGCTGGTCTCAACATCAAGTGGCCTAATGACGCCAAGATCGCAGTTTCGTTCGTTATCAACTACGAGGAAGGGGCGGAGCGCAACGTCCTTGAGGGAGACGGCATGGCAGAGTTCATCCTGAGAGAGAACCCCCTGGGAGCTGGCGCCATCAATGAGCGCGATTATAGCGCAGAGTCGGAGTACGAGTATGGCAGCCGCTCAGGGTGGTGGCGTCTGTTCAGACTATTCAGCAAATACAGGATGAAGTTCACTCTGTACGCCGTCGCCCAAGCTGTGGAAAAGCAGCCGGAAGTTGCTCAAAGGTGTGTGGAAGAAGGACACGACATCGCGTCGCAGTAAGTAGCTTGTCTTTAAAATCGGGAGTCGATATTGGCTAATGTTGGAAATCCAGTGCCTATCGATGGATTGATTATCATGACCTCTCTATCGAGCAGGAAAAGGACTACATCCGCAAGGGTATCTCGTCACTGAAGTCTCTGTCCGGATATGCGCCCCGTGGGTGGTACTATGGCCGCCCGAGCCCCCGCTCCCGCACCCTTGTGCCGCAGGTCTACGAAGAAATGGGCGAGGAGCTCTTGTGGGCCTCAGACACATACGCAGATGATGTCCCGTATTGGATTGATCTCCCTACCGAGCGAGACTCACCGAGTCCCAAGGGCTGCCTCATGGTGCCATACTCTTACGATTGCAACGACTTCAAGTTTCATGTTCAGGGTTCTGGCTTTCGAGACCCTCAGGGGTTCTACGATCACATCAAGAATGCTTTTGATGTTCTCTACGACGAAGGAGCTGAGGGCATGCCTAAGATGATGACTATCGGGCTGCACTGTCGTATTATTGGAAGGCCTGGTCGTTTCAAGGCCCTTCAGGACTTCGTGGACTACATTAGCAAGAAGGAAGGGGTGTGGGTAGCGACGAGGAGTGAGATTGCCGAAGCATTCAAGCAGCAATTCCCTTACAGGAAGGGTCACCTTGCTTAAAACTCTTCAAAAGACTGGCAATGTGTACATTTAACTGTAATGATGGTTCAGAATTTCGTACAAGTAGTAGGAATCGAAGATGACTATTTTATCATGCAAACTATTAATGAGAGTTTTGTAATCGGCGGAATACATAAGCACATAATTATTTCGCTGCGCTCCATTAGCCAAGTGAAGATAGCCAACGTGCTGCTGTGGGCTCACAGCACCGGCATGATGCGCCGAATTTATGGTCTTTTCACATGCCCAGGGATTATCGACATCTGTTAATTCGTTGTAGGCTCCAGACCCGTTGGCCGACTTCATTGAAGCGCTTTGGACTCTCGGCGGCCACGTTCAATGCGAAACGGGTGAAGGCCGGGTATAGTGGATTTTCCAGGCACCTGGGAATCAATGACCGTGTAACATGCCTGGATACGATTCAACAGCGTTATTTAAGCCTTTTAGCCCTATCTATAATTAGATACAATTTACACCTCCATTTAGCCGACAGTTGTCATTGACGCACACAGCTCGTTGAGATTTGAAAAGGCCAATTGAAATCCGAGCTGTTTTTGTAACACATCCAAGAACACAAAACAAACATTGAAAGTCGCTAACCACATACCATGATCCGTCAATGGCTGTGTCCAGGTATGGGTTTTCTTGGTCTCTGTCAACGTTTGGCCTCGAATGACTTCCTATGTAAAGCACTACCCAAAGCGTGCTTCGGAGGAAACAGCAGTGCGATAGTTATGGATCACAGCCTGTGTAAGATTCCACAATAAAAAAGGACTTGCCAACGTCACATTCAGAGAGTACGAGGCCGCGGTTATACGACGGGCCAAGGCTCCACTCTCCCAGGATTAAGCATCCGCGTGATCGTTGACCGCCCTGGGAACACCCCGAACGCGGGGATGCCAAGGTCGTCTGTTACTGGTCCGCATAACCAAGTTGGCTCCAGAGACGCTCGCGAGAAAATAAACAATCTCCATCTACAAAGATCTGCGCGGCGGTTTGCGGTCATGTTCGGGAGATCGTCCAACGAAGACCTCTTGAATCGAAGTGCCAAGCTCGCCTGGTCGGATGTTCAAGAAGGCTAGCGATGGGTCGCGTTGGAATCTTGCCTCATGAAGGCCCATGGTAGCACGAGGGGTTCGTGCTTCCAAAGTTCATATAAAATGCATCACCAGACCGTGGTCCCGGTTTCGACTATTTGACATTTGCCCAACAACACTTTACATATATCAGATCGCCAGAATGAAGATCCTGGGTACTTTGTTGACGGCCTCCTGCCTGGCCACTGGCCTTCATGCAGCCAACTTCACCAACCCTCTGAAATCACCCCTGGGGAGTGACCCTCATATCGTATACGTAGATGGCTACTACTACCTGACAACTACGACTTATGAGAACATCCAGATCACCAGAGCGACCACCCTCGGGGGCCTCAAGACGGGCGAGAATAAAATCATTTGGACCCCAGATGATCCATCTCGAAGCTGCGATTTGTGGGCCCCGGAAATGCACCAGGTGGACGGAGTGTAAATTTCCTTCATGACCTATGCAGATTAGGCAATGTGCTAACGAAATGTAGCTGGCATCTCTACTTCACAGCTGGGACTTGCGGTAATTGTTGCGATAATCAGAAGGCCCAGGTCCTCGAAGGTGAAACCACCTTCCCGTCGGTCTCTTCTCAGCAAAGCTGACATAAATTTAAGGCGGCGCTTCGCCATGGGATGACTACCGATTTCTCGCGACACTCACACCGAACGAGTTTGGCATAGACGGCACCGTTCTCACCATCAATAACCAAAACTATTTCGTCTGGTCTTGCATCACCAGCGACCTGCAAGGTCTTTGCATAGCTACGCTCGACACCCCCGGGAGCATCGGCCCGCGGCATGAGCTGTCACTGCCGTTGGAATCCTGGGAGGTCGATGGATTCGGTGTGAACGAAGGCCCCGCTCCTCTCTATCACGATGGCAAGACATTCCTTGCGTTCTCGGCCAGTTACTGCGGGACCGCCAGCTACCAACTCGGCCTTCTCACATACGAGGGTGGTGATCCTCTAGAAAAGTCGTCCTGGACGAAGACGGGGCCTTTATTCAGCTCTGCAAATGGAAACTACGGAACAGCGCACAATGGGTAGGTTGAGATCACTCAAGTTGAAGAGAACCGGTACTGACTAGCTCCAACAGCTTCTTCAACAGTCCCGATGGCACGGAGACTTGGAACGTATACCATGCTACGAGCATAAGTACCGGCCACTGTGGCCGCGAGAGATATACGATGGCTCGCTCAGTCGCATGGGGTGCTGATGGTCAACCCATTTTTGGACAGGCGGAGACATTAGGAACCCAGCTTGTTGGACCTTCAGGAGAGCCCGCGTAAGGGAAGAGGCGACACTGTACCCTAGGAGCCAAAGAAGCAACTGAATCTAAAAGGCTTTCGTACTGAAGACTTGACAATATGTTAACTCAATCGGCAATTTTCCGGCTCAGAAGAAGTATAACAAATGTCCCGACCTTCGGATGAATGCTCATTGGATTGCGATTTTCACATCATGATAACGTTAAAGAACAACGAAACTTGCAGACAATCCAAAACATTGCAACGAAACCTTGCATCAAGATATATTGACTGATGCTGGGGATTATTATTTCCTGTTGACTAAGACGTATATTTTCAAGCTGGATCAGATAATAAATTCCATGTCTTGTGTCGTTTATACATCAGTAGGCATACTTTGTGCTATTGGAACCCATCTTCTTGTTGATTCGAATTAACCAGACTCGTAGCACCCATGTACCAGCGATAGAAGCGAAAGCAAACGCGGCGTTACTCGCCATAGCCGGTAAGTAGCGTGGTCCATCGCTCTTCGGGTAAACTTGAGGAATTTGTCAGTACATCCCTGAAAATTCTCAGATGCGTGTTACTTACGGTAGGCGGTGTAGATGTACGAGGCATTCGCGATAACGTTCACGATGGACAGACTACTTGCCTTCTTCTCCGGCGTGGAGCCCAAGGTAGCAGAGACCCAACCCAATATCTGAAAAGCCTTTGTTAGGTATTTTTTGATTGTTAGAGTTCGTTGCTTAGGGAGAGCCTACCATGGAATTCACTGCGTAAGCTCCACTTGCGAAGAGGAAGCATGAGATGTAGCGGGCGGCTGTGTTCAGGGTTGCGCAGGATATGACAAAGCCGACGATAGCCATTCCCATGCATGCTGTAATATGCCATGTCCTTTCGTTGTATTTGCCAGACGAAAGTCCAGCGAAATATCCAAAGAATCCGGAGACAAGGTACGGAGGGCAGGTGAGGACCAGAGTGATAGTATCGTTGAACCCCAAGGAGCCGACAACAGTGGGGAAGAAATTGTTGAAAGAACAAGCCGAAAGATGCATGTTCTGGATAAAACAGAGGAGCCAGAGGCGAGGGTCGCGAATCGCTTGCTTGAAGCCGGCCCTAGCACCCTTGCTCTCCGTGAGGCCGACAGTATCCCTCACCATGCGATCGTGAGCAAGTTGTCGTTCCTCGGGCTTCAGCCAGCGGGTAGTGAGTGGGTTGTCGGCAAGTGTAAACATGCCGATGATAGCGATGCCGAAGGTCAGGCAGCCCTCGATGATGAAAAGCCACTGCCACCCTTTCAGACCTTGGTTGCCATCAATAGTGTTGAAGACAGCAGCCGCGATGAGACCGGAAAATGAAGTGGCGAAGATGTTGCCCGAGTATAAAATGGATAGACGCGTGGCAATCTCCTTGCGTGTGTAGAAGATCGAGAGCATGTAGATGGCGCCCGGATAAAAAGGCGCTTCAGCTATACCAAGGAAGAAGCGCACAACGACCAGATCGGTGTAATTCTTAGCTAGAGCAGTGCAGGCCGACACGACAGCCCAGCCCATCATGCAGATTGCCATATAAATGGAAGGGCGGACGTGCTTGGAGGATATGAGCATGTTGGATGGGATTTGCATAAGGAGGTAGCTGGGATGGAGCCATGATTAGCTGAGGGCGCCTATGATTGTTTTTCGGCACACATACCCAACAAATAGGATTGAGATGCATGTGTTGTACTCGGAGCCTTCCAGCTTGAGATCGTCTTCGAGGCCATCGAGACGTGCCTGTGCAATGGCATTTCGGTCGAGCTATTGTCGAGTTAGTTTCGTAGTTGAGATACATTTACGGCGGCGTTTTTGGTGTAGCGCACATAGTTCAAGAAGTACATGCACCTGATGGGTGCGTTAGCCTTGGTAACATTCGAACGGCCCATCTGTAGAGACTTACCAGAGTGTCGGCATGATCCTCAAATCGAGCTTTCGGACAAGTGCAATTTCCTCAGCGGAAGTCTTTGCGATAGCACCAGAATAATCAGCTCCTGGCTGAACAACACCACCTTTCTCGTCATCCCCCGATACCTCGACGAAGGTATCATTAGGCTTTGACTCGAGGTCATGCTGTGGCTGTTTCACGGAAACCATTGTGATAGACAGGAAGAATAAAAGTCAAGGGAAGAGGAGACACAGAGAAAAGAGGACGGTCAGAAAGATGAGAAGAGAGAAGAAGACTGAGAGAACTTATACGGAGCTCTCCCACCCCAAATTCCACGCTCAGCCTGTTGCTACTCTTTCAAGGGGTTGGCTGGTTACGGTCTGATTTTGTAGCATCCGACCAGGACCGGCCTGTCTTGCCCCAGAAAATTGATCTTCAGAGTCCGGGGTAAGCCCACGGGGTTGCACTACCCCATGTTTCCCTCTGTCCTTCCCTGTTGGCCGACCCAAGACCTCGGGTCTACAGTCACATTGGCGTACCTAGCATTCCTTTAAGCCTTGTCTTCACCCACACTTTGCTCGTCCTCGACGAAGAGTCCATTCTCTCTACAGATCATCTTTTTCTTCAAGTAATTCTGATCTTACACATTAAACACCACGTTCATCAGACTGATAACAATAGATATGTCGCCTAGCTCAGGACGAATACCAAATTTACTGTCCTCATCAGGTATTACCTGATTACCCCGGACCCAGTTCCCCGGACTCAATTCTCTAGGCCCCATTTTGACACAATCTCCTCGCCGTTGACCTTAGCCTCGGGAAACCATCCTTTGCGGTAGTGAGGGCGGAGAAAGACAATACCGGGTCAACCGCATTATCTGCGGGGGAATGCGTGGAGATGGCGTGGTTTTTGTCTTGGCAGAACTCTTTGCCTTCACAATTGAGCTGGGCACGGGGTCTCGATGGTGCGACTCATGGCTGGCTTCTGCGGACCTGGGTCATCAGAGCTGCTGGCATAGATAGATGTTTACTTTTATCGGTGCCAGCGCGTTTTATTAGCGGTGGAGAATGTTGCATAGCTGAATGACCTTTCACACTCCGGTGTCATGCATTACCGAGACTGCACTCAGGGTCCACATTTTCGACGGACTGGACGCTCGCTTGCCCAGTACTTGTCACCATGACTTCTTCTCATTCATTAGCTGGGCCAGAATGTTTATTGATTGTCGAGGACATTAAAATCATTCGCGTATAGAGCATACGATCAATCAAATTATTAGTCCAGTCACCCACAAGAGACCGACTTCCGAAATGCAGGCTGTTCTATTCTATGCGCTAATCGCCCGAACGCCAGTAGACAAAGGAATAGATGTCTTCCCAGTGATACCATCTTCGCTATTCTCCTCGGCCTCTCGTAGAATTTGTGCAAGCCGTCGCAGTGGATTTACCACGCCACGCAGCAACTTAAGGATTTCTTTCGGGGCGCCAGCATTTAGCGCGGCCAGGACGACCGCCACGCCTCGCCTCCCCTTCCAGCTCCCTGACATTCGCGAAGCGGTTGCGATCCTCCGTATCACTGCCACCCCAACTTTGGAAAGGTTAACGTCGTCCCAGTTGATAGCCTTGTGTCGGAGTTGCCCTGGTAGAAGCCTGACGTTGACGCTGTCGTCGTACACCTCGTCACTACTGACCCGCGTCTCCTCCAGATGTTCACTCTCGCGCAAGTACTTCATGTGCATCTTCCTGACGTCGTAACTCTCGAGTAATGCTAGAATGTCACCATCTTGTAGCTCTTCAGCCAGGTCTCTTATCTCACGCCACTCCATGCAGAGCCACGCTCCTTGGTCGAGGAACATTTCTGCCAAAGCGTAGTCACCGTGTGCCACCGCCTGGTATACGGCGTTGACGTGCACCCCATCTCCCTCGTAGATATCAGCGCCGCACTGTAGCAGTAGCTTGGAAATACTCTTCCTGCCGCTGTAAGCTGCGGCGATCAGGGGTGTTCCATACTGCCCACCTTCCGAGACCCCGCTGACTTGTGCTCCATTGTCCATCAAAAGACGGACCATGTCTTCCCGGCCTTTTACAACTGCGGCATTGAGAGGTCGCCCATAAATACGGCATGCAGCGTTGGCGTCGAAGCCGTTGCGGAGAAGGATGGCGAGTTCCTGGATGTTACCGGCTAAGATCGGGCCACAGAGATAGTCCCCCACACGGGCAAAGGAGATATTCATGATCGAGGCAAGTGTCTGCTCCTGAGCGATCCATGACGCCAGAGAGGTGGTCGAGGCTTCACCAAGTGTGTTCTGCATGTGTTTGCTGCGGAGGAACCGCTCCTCTTCCCAAATGTTGTCGAGATCACGGATCCCATCAGTCCAGACATAAGTTTGCGCGTGGACTTTCTCAATACTGCCCCCATGTGCTTCTACCTCCACTTCAACTGTTTCCCTTGCCAACAGTTCCAAGCGCTGGTCGCCATGACCGTTGTTGCCGTGTCCGCGACTGGATTGTAAGGACGCATCCTCGTCGTCCGACCAGTCGGAGTCTCCGTCGTCGTGCTGCTGCGGCGTCTTCATGCTCCTCAGGGCTTTTTCGTCTCCGCCGAAAATCGCATCACAGACGCGCAAGGCGTCCGATTTGACGCCCAAAATCAGGAAACCGACAACTTCCCCGACAGGTACACAGGGGAGTTCTTTATACCCTCTTTCCTCCCGACGCCTCAGAATTCTCTTTGTAAGCCGCCTATCCTGTATGACAGCACAGTTGAGGCCTCGAGGCCGCCAGCGATCATACCCCCGCAGTATGGCTGGGGTCATTGCCTCGCTTGCGTGCTTGATAGACAGATCGGCTTTCGCCCAGTCCGCGGAGGAAGGGTGGAGCCGCCGCTTCAGCTCAGGAGAGTAGAAGCCCTTCGTAGATGCAACGGCTATAGCATTGAGTATACTCGGGAACATCAGCCGGCCGTAGACGAACAAATTAGTCTCCACGTGGAGAGGTCGGTTAGCCACCGATAGTTCGGTCTTTGTGAAGTGATTTGTTCCAGCGAGTACGTAGGAAGGCACCAGGGTGGCTTCCGGCAGAGGAAGACTGTCTTTTTGTCTGAATGGAGGCGGCATGACCGGCTTTGGATAAACAAAACTGGTGGCATCTTCCGGGCTTGGTTGGGCGGGATCAGCTGGCATAGGCCGTAACTCTTCAGGCAGACCGGCGAATCGTACTTTGGTCTGTCGCGCAGGTGATTTTGCGACCACTGACTGGGTAGTATTGGCTTGGCTCTTTGTTCCATCCGACGGAGACTTCTGAGCACTGGGTATGTCCTCAGTGCTCAATAGCTTGACCTCTTCCCGACGTTCTGGCAAGTTCAGTAACGATGCGGAAACTGAGTCAGTGCTCTCCAAATCAGGTAGCTTGAGGTCTTCATTCTGGGTAGCACTCTTCTTCCTCGCTTCTGCTAGTGTTAGCGGGTTTTGTGTGGGAGACAACCCATCCGGTGACGCGCAGTATGGACATATGTAGCCGTTGGAGTTGCATTCGTCAATAAGTCTGCCCCTGACCTGGGCAGCCGTGGGTCGCTCTCCTGGCTCCGATTGCAGCATGTCCAAGATCAGATCCAAAAAGTTAGGATCAGCATCCACTTTATCCTCAGCTAACATGGCTACCCAAAGTTTGGCCGAGGCCTGGTTTGCCCAAATGGCATCTATTCTCATCGTTCCATTATCTTCAAAGAACGTCCACATGTCTCCTGTGGAACGCCTCTGCAAAACTGTTGCCATTTCTAAGAAGACACAGCCAAGCGACCAGACATCAGCCGAGCTATTTCGAGCCTGCGGATAATAGTAAGACATCAATAACCAAAAGCGGAAAATAAAAGCTTGCAAAGTTACGAGGTATTTTAATGATGACTTACTCCTGTTTCATGGGTCTCCGGTGCAGAATAGCGTGGTGTGTATCCCTCGTGCTTTCCTTGCGTCGTGCTGCGGCCCTCGGTGCCCCATGCTCGTGAAGTGCCAAAATCAGAAAGAAAGACATTCAAATTTGCCACTAATATGTTTTGTGGCTTAATGTCGTTATGGCGAATATTTTGTTGGTGGAGATACGCGAGAGCCGTTGCAAGACAGCCTGCAAAGGACCTCAATCGTCGTCTCCGCAGAGTCTCATCGTGACTGGCTTCCTTCAAATATTCTTCAAGATTCATCTCGGCAACTGGTGTCACAATGATTCCAAGGTACCTTTGATCCGTGTAAGAGCCTTTCAACTTGACGATATGAGGGTGCCAGAGTTTTTTCAGTGCCTGTATTTCGCTCTCGAATTGTTTCAACAGACGCTCGTCGGCCAAGGGAGAATGTCCTCGAACGATTCTCTTCCGAGCATAGACGCGGCCGGTATTTGCACTGAAAACTTGATCAACGTGACCATAGCGTCCCATGCCCAACGGTTTGATGGACCTGAAATAGTCATCTCCGCTGCCAGCTAAATGAAGATGCGTGCCTCCTTCTTCCATTGCCTGGAGACCCTTTTCTTTGTGCAGGACCGCCTGTTGTAACTTCAAAAACTTTGAGCGAATCTCGGATCCTTTCAGGAAGACTGGTAACGTGCTATCGGTAAATGGCAGCGCTGAGTCCATGAGACCCTCTTGAGCGAAGCAGTCGAGCAAGTCTGGACAGCCAAGGATCTTGAGGACCGAAAAGATTCGAGGTCTTAGGCTCCATTCTCCTTTGCCATACATCACGAGCAACTCGCTGATAGGCTGAAAGACTGAGTCTCTTAGCACTGTTCTGGCAGCGCACGGGTCGTCTGGCCTCGGAAGCCATTTATTCAATCCTTGGTTCAGTTCGGAATCCGAGATGAACTTCGAGATTTTCACGTCTGGGATCTCTTTCACGCCTTGTGCATAATCTTTGGCTGTAAGTTCCGAGACGTATTCGGGCTCCTCGTCCGAGTCGCCAAAATATGTCTCGGAATATGGAGATCGATAGTTTGAAGGCATGTTGCTGCAGTTTGTGTGCTGAAGGACAAAGCTCCGTCAGTGGTCCCTGTATCTCCATTGTTGAATTCGGAAGCAGTATCGCAGATATAAGTTTGCGATGTTAGCTCGACTAAATTGGAGCTGGGTCCAAAGGGATTGTTACACATGACCGCATCTTTCACCCTCCGCCATTTTGTCTGTAGATCGCGACCGGGCGCAAACAATCTGGAGGAGTAGGCCACCCACAGCTGATTGGATGCCTTCTTTGAATGGGAAGGGCAGTGCATAAGCGAGATGCTGAGCTTGCACAGATGTAGTGCATGTGGCTGCAGCAGGAGCAAATAAGCCACGGGCGCAGCGGCCTAGTCCGCCCTACATCAGTATAAGTAAGCCAGCTGAGAAAGAGGGAAACCAGGCTTTGCTGGGCGGTGAGTCGCCAAGGTCTCACCTTCAGTCTTACCTTTAGTCAATGTTACTTGACATGATAGTGTTCCCAGCCAACGTTGCACCCCAATCACCAATTTCGCAGAACACAGGTCCCGCAACTTGATGCATTGAAATCTGCAATATCGCCACACAATTCAAAAACTACACCAATATCTTCGAACTTTACCAGAGGTCGACTGAGGCTACCATGGACCCTGGGACCGCGCTTGGAGCGGTCTCCCTCCTCTTTCAAGTGTTCTCTGGCTGCATCGCAGGTGTGTCATCAACCCCGCCAGAAGGCAATAACATCAGTATTAAGCTTCAACAATGAACTAAGACGAAGCCAATAGCATACCAATTAGCTGCGGAAGCGAAAGGGTTGGAAAAAGATCATGGGTTCATCCGAGTCCGGTTCAAGACCGAGCAGCACCGCCTGCTAGATTGGGCCCGTGTTGCGGGAATAATAGAGAGCGACGGCATTTTCCTGACAAACAGGCCCAATCGCACCGTCGCGATGGATGTGCTCGATCAACAGTGCCAGATGATAATGAGCTTCAAAGGGCTGGATGATCGCTTTCGGCCGTTTTCAAGAGACATCCTTTTCCAGGAGGAGCCTGCTGACACCGTTGTGGAGGAATCGCTGACGAATGGAAAAAGCATGCAAGTCAGTGCAAATGCTAGGTTCCCTGAAAACAGCGACCTACTCAAGATGGCTTTGCGCTGTGTCGAAAAGACTAGAAAGCTTCCCAAGAGACTCCGATGGGTCGTATCCGACCGTGCTAAGATGGAGAATCTTCTCGCGCGTCTCGCGGCAATGAATGATTTTCTTCGAGACATGCTCGACAGCTACCGAGGAGAAATGTTGCGAGCCCAGCAAATCCGGACTAATTACGACATCATCCAATTGAACTCCAAGATGGACCAGCTGATCGACATCATAAGAGCGGGCTCGAAATCTCTTCCATATGCGCTCAGCGGAGGTTGCTCGATGGAGTTTGAAGCTTCGCTAGACGGCACCGAAGCCGACAACGTCGAGCCAAGTCAAGATAGCGGTCCCCTGCATCATCTTGTAAAGCTGGCTCAGTTCAGAGCAGTAGCGTGCGCGCTTCAGGGCCACAACTTGGACATGTCTGTGAGAACCCAGATTGGACTCCCAACCTTGCCTTTTGCTACTGGTTCCCAGAACAGAATTATGGTTGAGCCCAGCGCGTTGGACCTTGATGTGCCAGAGACGGTGCTATTAGACCAGGATAAAGTTGCCAGACGAGTGACCGGATGGTACAAACCAATGCTCTCTAAAGAAACACAACAGCGAATCTGGGTCGAGTGGAAAGTCACGCCGCGGAATCCTTGGAGCTCAACTGGCGGACCGGAGTCAGATGTCCTTAGGCGCTTCGAAGCACTCGTCTCACTTCTGCGCGAAAAAGAGGTTACAGCTCAGTTCCGAGCTCCCAAATGTTTAGGCTACTACTCCCAACACGCCACAGTATCAGAGATACGTTACGGCCTAGTCTTCGAGATTCCTCCCAGCGTGCACGCTGACTCCAGTCCACTGTCCCTCCGTGACCTCATCACTGATAAAGACCGTCCTACGCCCAGCTTGTCATCACGTGTACGGCTGATGCGAATCCTGGTGGAGTCCATCGAGAAGCTTCACGCCGTCGACTGGTTACACAAAGGACTACGAAGCGATAACATCATCTTCTTTCATGACGAATTGGGAAAGAAGGATAATAATAGCGTGGACCTCAGCAAGCCTTATCTCACCGGTTTTGACTACTCAAGGCCAGTGACATCTGTTTCCATGTCCGAGGGACCCGCCGTGTCTTTTGCTGACGATCTGTACCGTCATCCCAATGTCCAAGGCTTCAGTGCGGACGGCGCTGCTGGCCGTGGATTCCGCAAGCGCCACGATATTTATAGTCTGGGTCTCATAATTACCGAGATAGCTTACTGGAAGCCCTTGGAATCAATCATTGGTGTCAGTGATCTGAAGAACCTGAAGGCGAAGGACGTTCTGCGGGTACGTGAGGTACTTTTAAGCCAAAGCCACCTGGAAAGCCTGCAGAGCAGGGTTGGAGACACTATAGCTGAGGTTTCCCAGGCTTGTCTGAAAGGTTTGATCGCTTCTTGGCCGTCGGAGAAAGATGTTGATGATTCTGTCGGTGCAGAGCACTTTCAAATGGAATTTTACGAGGCTGTGGTAAGGCCATTTTCCGCGTTGGTAATTTGACCGGACCTCAATATGTAGGATAACAAGTGCCTCGTTAGGTGGTTCAGTTCTTTGAAGGTTCATGGTCACATGTGGTGTATTCATTTAGAGCAGCCCACCGGCACAATTTAAGTAAATACTGGGACAGAACTGACCATTCTCGCGAAGGCCTGATTTGTCTTGCTGACGGCGCCCAATATAATGTCTTAAATACTTCGATGCAATATAACCCATATTTACAGACCCAAATGCTGCTTAGCTGATGTGAGGTACGTACTGCGACCACCTCACAACATCATACGCAGATGAGGGCAGATGCGAGAGATTCGCTAGACATTCAACAAAGATGAAGAATCTCAACCCGAAATAGATGCAAGCGACCACCACAATGGCGAAGACTTTGCAAACACGAATGACCTCGATCATCCAGAGAAAACACCACTTGTAAAGCTTCCACCAGTAATGCCTCCACCCATGCTTCCACCTCCCCATCTTCGCCGCTTTCTCAGCAAGGTGCTCCGCCTCCTCCGCGTCTCTGTCATCCTCGTCCATCATCAGCCACGGCTTGACAGCATTGAGAATCACACCCTCAGCATGCGTGATCGGCACGAGCAGACCGCTGCACGCGAGGCTGATAGACGCAAGCTTCCAAATATCCGCCTCAGCCTGGCTCGTGAACGACGCGTCCCACGCAAGCATGTGCAGTCCGCCGTACAGGAACCCAGTCAGGCTGATGCCGAGGTGCGTCCGGAAAGTATGCTGCTCCTTGGGGGCGTCGTGGCGGCGGCGCGGGAAGTTGGTGACGCGGTCGACGAGCGTGTTGCGCATGGTGCGCTTCAGTCGGCGCTGCTCTCTCTGCCGGTTCTCCGCGCTCATAGACTGCGCCGCTAGAGATGCGGCTGTGGTGGTGGCGGTGTCGTTGGCGGGCTCCTCGTGCGGGTGTCGGTCGAGGATGTAGTGGTCCCATCCCTTCTGCGCCAGCTGCATGCGGATCCGGAACCGACGCTCCTGGTCTGCGGCTGCTTGGACGAGTTCGCTTAGGCTTTGGGCGGGGGAGTCTTTCGTCTGGACTTGACTCGGCGGGAACAGGTGTGTCTGTGGGCTGGGCGGAGTTGGAAGCGAGGTATTTGGCCGGCTGGGTGCAGCCGTCGTTGGACGGCCCATGCTGACAGCCGATGACTGTGGACGGCCTCCTTGCAGATTCAAGTCACTGAAGGTGATGGGGTCCTGGTTGATCGTGGCGTCCAAGTAAGTGGACATGCGCTGGCCTTCTCCAGCGTTTTCGACGGCATTTTGCTCGGCTGGCCCCAGCTTCCTATATCTGTCCTCGTCGCACTCATTTCGATCGAAGCTGGTCAGTGAGTACAGAACGGCCATAAGCCAGTGGGGCTGGCTGACTGTGTCCGGCATTTCAAGAGGATCTGGCTTGGAAATGTCCACGGGCTTCCGCAGCCAAAGCCACCCAATGATCAGAGCGACGATGCAGTGCGCGAATGTAGTAAGCTCCAGCAGAGATATCGACAGGCCCTGGGCCATGCGCACGATACATTGCAAACTAAACCACAGGGCCTGAAAAAGGGTGATTATCTTGACGAAGGTGCTCGCACTGCTTTTGTCCAAGATGTCGAGAACGCTCAAGTGTGGTATCACCGCCGGCTCGTGCTCTGCCACGAAGCGCAGAGCTTCGTCTCGCAGGACAAGCTGCTCCCGATTGTGATCATCAGGGAGAAAAACCTTCGGCCCGTCACGCAATTTGTAGCTATAGCCTCCCATGACGGCGTACCAGCTGTGTGTCAAAGTCCATATTGGCTTGGTGCTATTGTCCTCAACATCTTCGGGTTGGGGCTGCTCTCGATCTGTCAGCTGAAGTAAATCGAAGTTGGCTCGTGCAGGAAGTCTCACCCTGCGGTTACTCAGCATGGCCGGCCACCATCTTCGTGGCTGGACCGGTTGCAAGTAAACGAGCTCCATGAAAGCTTGCAAAGACCTCACGTCCCAGTATTGTCTAAAGGCTGCGTAGGCGATCTACAGAGACAGCGTCGTCAGCTCAGCGCTGATCCTTTGGTTGATGCACTCTCCGTGATGACCTACCAACTCTGGCGCGAACAATCCGATGAGCAACCATCCGATCTGTCTAGTGAGCTGATGGCCTCCAAATATATGTACCAGTCTGTGCCGCATGCTGTGGGTCGTGCCCTTTTTGAACCATGCTGACCATGGAAGGTTCTCATCCGGACAGGTGCCCGGCAGGTTCAGGTGCACAATCTTCCACGTGCATAGGGCAAGTGTCACCAAGCATGTTGTGATGATTCCGAAGGTGCCACGACGTTCCGGCTGAGGCTCCCAGGTGAAGCCGCTGGTGATGTTGCCCTCGGCCCCAGCAACGATGTCCCACATCGTGGCGATGCTGTGAGCTGCCGGCGATGGCCAGCAGTGTGAGTGAATGCGCGGCGTGCTATCGATCGCCAAGGAGTTGCAGCTTCGACGGGGGAGAGGGACAGATTTGTAAAGGCAGTCTTTATTAAGCTTAAAATGAGGTTCTAGGTGATCCCTACGAAACGAGATGTCGTTGTCGTCCAGGGTGGATCCTCAGGGCGCATCCGACATGAGGCCCCATAGTTTTTCCGGCTTGGCGATGATTGTTGACCGCAATTCGAGGTGAACAGGGGCGAGCAGACGAATGACTAGGGTTGAAGACAGTGTAGGGGTAGACGCAAAGACCATGTCAGGCAATCATGGAGCGAAGTCGGTGTCATGGTCCCAGCTTTTCATCCTCTGCATAGGACGAGATCTGCCGATACAGCGGCCTTTTCACATGCAGACTTAACCATATGAGTTGCAATGCAGTGTCCGTTGGACACGTATGATTGGTCCCAAAGACGACTCCACGGGCGAAAGCAAACATCCCTTGCTCTCCTCAAGTGAGACTTGGGTGTCCTACGTCAGTCAGCACTGCGATGACACACGGGCCAAGGTCAGCTTTGAGTACTTGGTAAGAAATTGACATTTGACGAGTTCAATTGAGAGCAGCCAGCCTTCGGAATACTTGGTAGAGGTTGTGCCACAGTATTGTCAGGGAAATACACGTCTTGAGAGAGGGTTGTCTACATTCACGGGCCACGACATCTCTAATCGCCGGGAGCGTTTCACGGAAACCAATGACTAGTGCCTCATGAAGGTCACACGGCCGTACTCATCCATCACGGGCACCTGGTCACGGACGGTCCAGAAGCTGTTGAGAGTCAACAAGCCGAGCCAGCCAGAAGAACAACCGCGGATTTGTAGAACTTGGAAAGAATGCAACGTACCATTGAGTGTCATCTCTTTCACGATCCATACCTTGTCTGGGGTAGATATCCTCCATCTCGAGCCGGTGGTTGCTCTTCGGCTTGCCCTCGGCGATCCTTAGTTTCTCAAAATAGACATACGCCGCATAGTAAACGGAGCTGGTGCAGCCGGCGGTTGGGCCCTTCTTGCCCCTGAAGTCATTAAGCATTTTCGACTGGATAGACTTGCAGGTCGGCGCCTTGAGCTGTGCATAGAGATCCCGGCAGAATTGTGCCTGAGTAAGGCCGGGGGTCTTGAGGAGGTGGGTGGTGATCTTCTTGCGGATCACGTCACACGTGTCGAAGACGGGAACGGAGTCGGTCTCCTCGCCATCGAGATGGATGTTGCTGATGTCTGCAAATGAAGGACCGGTGGCTGTAGTCTTCTGCTTCTTCTGTGCCGCAGCGATGGAAGGCATCTTCAATCCCGCGAGCTCTCGTTTCTTGAACCACGTCCAGGCATTATCATATACGTCACTTCCGGAGCCCCCGTCCAAGCCCCGCTGAGCCAGGAACCTGTTGACGGCATTATTACTGCTTCCGATGGCGATGCAGAATTCACCCTTTTTGAAGATGCCCCGGTCGAGGACCTTGCGGATGAGGGATCTAACAGCACTACAGTCAAGGTCAATAAGGTCAGGCACTGTGATGTGATCCAGGTTTTGCTTGTAGGCGGCAATGGCATCATCTGAAGAGGTCTCAGCCTTGCGCTTCCTGCTTTTCGGGCCAGTCGGCTCCGCTGCAGGGCGCTGTGCCGTCGCGAGGGAGCTGCCGTTCACCACATATCCACGAGAGCTGGGCGTGGGGTGCGTGAATGGATTACGATGATTCAATGGTGCCGGTACGTTTCTGCCTACGTCCACAGCGGTTTGTTGATATAATTGTCGGAGGGACTCTGCTTGATCCCTGGCCCGGGCCTGCTCTCCCTCCCAGTAAACGGGCCCCATGGAGGACTTCTGAGACCCATCGTTGATGATAGGTGGGAGAGTGATTGGTGACTGATTGGCTCTAGCAGTGACATCCTGGAGTGCAGGACGCGGCGGGGGCTGAGAGCGCTGTCAGCACTGGGAACAGGTCCTGAATGACTTAATCCACGACGGGCGCTGCCTACCAGTTGAGGTGGAGGGATGGGACTGTAGCTTTGCATGTTGACCGATGGAGGATTCAAGGACTAGACGGCTTTGGTGCTCACGCTAGTGATGTATAGTGCCCGTTTGATGGGTTCGTTGGAGACGCGATTCAGGTCAGCGACGCGTGTGCTGTGTTCGTTATTGCTGTGAGTTCTAGACCTGTTCCCGATGAACAATTTGTCTAAGATATGCTTGACCCTATGAGTCTTATACTGCACGTTGGCTTTGGGGTTCGAAGGTTTGCTTGCCCGGGCTGAAACAAGGTTGCTGAGTTTTGTTTACTTTGGTCCAGACGCGTCAGAAGTTTGTGTAGTCATCGTGCCCAGAAAACATCGGGTCCTTGGTGCGATGGCGCGGTGGCACGTGCATTTCTTATCAAGGTTTACCAATGTAACCCTGCTACGGCTTCCGGTGCGGTGACTCCTACGTAAAAGTCAAAATTATGTGGCATGTGGGAGTTTGTGCCGATATTTTTCATACAACTTTCGTGTCTCATCGTTGAAACCTCGGAGGCGATTGGCTAATATACATCAGTGGCTGCTCATCATTTCGATCGCGTGAGAGCTCAGCTTCTTCATCCGTTCTTTCCCTACTGTGCTGGTCTTGATGGTTATTTGAAGTGAGACCAAGTCATAGAAAATCATAGACCATGAAAATAAAAGAACAAGCCTCACTACCCATGGCACTGGAGTTATGGGTACGAACAAAGGATGTTTCCGCCTTAGTGCTAAGCCATCGACCTCGCCGGAATTGTCACATACATATGGGAGTTCGTAATCGTAACTGCGGCGCCTCGTATAGCTTATTTGTTTCGCTATAGAGAAGTTAGTACAAATGGAAATCCTTATACGGAAGATTATACTGGAAGAAGCTTTCTCAAGAGAGATTATCCCGTAAGATATTCTTATTGAAGGTTACCTATGTCCGATTATTCCATAGTTCATGCTTTTTGTTCATCAACGAGACACTGTGGCAATTGAACAGATACCCGCGCTGAAGCTTGTTGATACTGGAGAGCGTAGTCCTTGGAGTCTCGTCTCGCTAGTGTCTATCTTCATAGAGTCTTCGTGCTGAGTGTGCAGACCTAAATTTCCTGCTGTCACAGCTTCATTTGTTGCGGCCACGTTACAGGAGAACCTCGTTTGAACGACAGAGCTCAAGACAGTACAGCGTGGAACATGCAGACAACCCTTCATTATCGACTACTCTAGAGTGCGCGATGGGATTCACAACAACCAATACGAACTTTGGGTGAACATAGCATGTTGAACGGAATTTTGAACAATATGAAGAACAATATGATGCCTCACGGCCCGCTAATTTTTGCTGCAAAAGTTCCAACCAATATGACAAGATGTGCCATGATTGTTAAGGACGCTCGTGAGAAATGACTGCACTTTTTTTTTATTTTTTAGAAAGGGCTTGATGAAGGTTCCACATAATATTCCGCTTTGTTTGTTGGCAGGTTCTTTGAGACATCCGGATGTTGCCTCAAATCCCGGGAAGAAGTACAGCACACATGGTTTAAGAAGCGCTGATCCCCATACTCTGTCTTCCAAATATCATTCGCTCTTAGAGGCTCTTATAGCCCATTAATCGTATGCAACACGATGAGGTCTGTTTCTCTGATCCTCTTTACGTACCTGAGTAGCACCTCTGCTGCACTCACCTCCTCCTCCAGCAGCGCTCCCGTCCCTTCCATTCAGCTCCGATCTGTCCCACCCTCCTCAAAGCCCATAGTAAGCGTAGCCAACAACCATGTCTCCATCCGGAAGAGCGCCAAGGCCTTGCCCAAACACCATGCGCTGCGCAGCATACTGGGACTCGATAAGAATCACCTCAGAAGACGCCACAATGGGGAGCCTGTGCCAACGGTTCAGTTAATTGGGCAGTCTTATATAGCCGACGTGACTATCGGCGACCAGAAAATTCCAGTACTGATTGACACTGGGTCAGCGGATCTGTGGGTTGCACCGAGTAGCTTTGTCTGTCTCGATGAGAACGGAAATGAGGCCTCGCGGGCAACGTGTAACATTCCGGTCTATTTCAACGGGACCTTCAGTGGTGAAGCTGTTGAGGACGAATATTTCTCCATTACCTGTATGTATAGCTTCGGACCTGCAACCCCACTCCTTCCCCGCTGCATGTTCTCTCAATAATATGTAGCTAATCATATGCAGACGCAAATGGCCAGTACGTCTACGGATCGTATGGGTACGAGTCTGTCACACTGGGTGGGATCGCAGTGGCCAAGCAACAAATCGCACTGCCATCCACTGGATACTTCCAGGCTGCCTCGGGAGACTTTTCGGGCATTATGGGTCTCGGCTTCCCGGCCATGACCGCAGCGAGAAATGGCACAAAGGCGCACGAGACGCTGAACAACAATGATCCCATTGCATCATACGACCCATGGTTCACCAACGCCGTCAAGCAAAACCTGACACAGCCTGTCTTCAGTTTGGCATTGGACATCCACGGTGGCGGACTCTTGGCCCTTGGGGGCTCTGCAGATGTGCCTACCAAGGGAGATTATGTCTCTACGCCGATACTCATGGTAAGCTCCAGGGCTGCAATCAAATCTTTCCAAATCGAGAATCATGGCTGAACATTTACAGATCAACCTCAATGCGGAAGAGCGTGCGAAAGATGAGTTTACGTACTACACGATCATCGCCGAGGACTACCTCATCGCCGGCCAAAGCTTCGCGAACCTGACCTCAACGTCGAACATAACCGCGGGCCAGGGCTTCCCGGTCATCGTGGACAGCGGCTATTCGACCAACATTCTCCCTCCATCGCTGATCCGGGCCCTTCACAGCGCATTCAAGAACCCGCCGGAGCTAATTGAGATGCAGGGCACGAGCTTGTTCGCCGCCCCTTGTGACGCTGAGGTGCCCTCATTCGGTATTCAGATCGGCGGCCACGTCTTTGAGCAGACCGCCCAGGAGATACTGGTTGCCAGCGCCAATGCTACGGTGAATGGCACTGCTTTCTGCGCTCTGGGCTCTCAGCCAGGTGTCGAACAGGCAGGCGCGCTTGGCATCACGTTCCTAAGCAGCGTGATTGCGGTCTTCGATATTGGTGCGTCTGAGATGCGGTTCGTGCAGAGGGATACAGCCAGGGATGAGACTGGGGACGGAGAAAGCCGTACACCTGGGCCCAGTTCTTCCGGGAACAGCTCGTCTGGGGCAAACTCCTCTGTGGTGATTGTCGCGCCTCCGGCCAGTTCTGGTCTTGGTGACACCAATGCAGGAAACAGGCTGCTGCCACTGTGGGGTTTCAGATTCTGAGTTCGGATTGCCTGGGGGTGTCATTTAACACGCGATTGTTTTTGGATCAGATTGGACATCGTTTTTTGCTCAGGCCATGCGGTAAATAAACGTTCAGCTGGTCAGAGTCTAACTTACTAAAGGTTAAAATGTTTCTAAATACAATTCATTGCGAAGCGGTGTTGAATCAAAGACGTCATTTGTCAGCAGCGGCTCATTGGCCTGCGGACCTAACGTTATTCCAACGTCCGATAGGTCCGACTAGTTCGACTTCACACTCCCTTCTCTCGTCTAGATGAACGCCAGGTCGGGTATAAAGACTGAAAAAGTTCTACACCATCGAATAGGCAATTGTATGCACACATCAAGAACCAGGAATATGACGACTCTTGCAGCTAAGACCGTCGTTGCTACGGGCGCTTCCTCGGGCTTGGTGCGTTACCCCGGCTCCTCTTAAATCGGTGATTTCTACTGTCATGGCACTCTGCCGCACCTAACGGACTTGAAACGCGCCCAAGGGAGTATTTACTGACAATCATAAACAAGTAGGGTTTCGAGCTTGTGAAGCAACTTCTGGCCAAGCCTGAGCCATATAGGTTCATTCTGGGGGCACGAGACACGGAGAGGACGAAAAAGGCCTACGATGACCTTAAGTTTGACAGCACCACTCACAGCCTCACGGTGCTGCCACTCGAGCTGTCAAATCTCAAGGCAGTGAGGTCATTTGCACAGCAGACGCTTGAGAAGCTTGGACGGGATAGATTGGACTATCTGCTACTGAATGCTGGCATGGCGAAGGGCGCCAGCGGTCCCGGGCCGCATGGCTCGAAGTGGTGCGAGCCATACGTCGTGAACCATCTTTGTGAGACACCCATATCTGGACCAAGGCTCAGGCCTTTCAAGTCAGATAGTTGTGCTGACACGTGTCTCAGCTCAGCATTACTTGACGCATCTTTTCCGTGAGAAGCTAGTGGAGTCCAAGTCTCGCGTGGTCGTTGTCTCGTCAGGAGCAATCCGACGCGTCTCTGATCCTTGTATAGTGATATCTACATACCCGCATCTATGGAGCGTGACGCTAATCGAATGAGATAGCCGTTCTCGATAAGGACCTCTTGGCCGACTCTGGGACAGGAGATCAGTCTATCTACTCCGAGAGCAAGTTCGTGCAGCTTCTAGGAGCCCACTGGTGGCGCCGTCAACTGCCCGAATGCCGTGTCGTCGCTGTGTCTCCAGGACTGATTCCTCAGACTGGCATTGCCCGCCATGGGTCATTGAAACTCACTATGGACATGCCCGATGCAAAGACCGTACCGGAAGGCAGGTTACTTCTCCGAGCTGTCCGCGGAGGTGGTGTGGTGGTGTTGCATTGGCTAACGTGGACAATCTCTAGGGGCCCAGAGCATTTCGAGGGCATTCACACGGGACGACTTCCCTGCTGACCCTCAGCAGATCTTCCTCACCAGCTGGGGCGAGTGGTGGGGCAAGGATGTTTATGAGGTTTCACTTGACGAAGCTCTTCAAGATAAGTGGTGTCCAAACCAGGATGAGATCGAGCGGGAGGAAGGGATCAATGTATGATATGAGGATATGTCGAGAGTATCCTGATATTCGATGATTTTGGTAAATGAAAAGCTTTCATAGACAACTTTCCAACCACTTGATCTGTACTGATACTTTTCACTGCTTCCAAGCACACCCTTGCTATTGCAGCCTCTTGGAGAACAACCTATGATCTACTCGCTAGCTTAAACCTCTAACATGACGAGACTTACAATGCCATGCAACGCGATGCCTCCTTTGACACCAAACTTATATACGTGCTAGTGCCGTTCACAAGATTCACACTAGATTCTCCCAACATGGACTTCATAGAATGATTACGCGATGATCTCATCTGATTGGATAGATCGATATAATATATACATTCTATTTGCCCGGAACTTGAAACAGATACACATGAAAGAATTCGTCGCGACCTTTCGAGCCCCTCAGTGGTAGTTCGTAATCGATGATATCTCCAAGAGAGTCTTACTGAACACCTAGACGTCAATGACACGGCCAGGTGCGCTCAGCCAAGTATCCATGTAGTCGAAAGCTGTCTTGACAGTATTGCCATACTCGCCAGGATAGCTCTCGCATTCAGTGCAGGTGTCGATGGTGTGCTGGGCGCCCTCGGTGAAAGCAATGCTCTTGTCGCTGGTGGTGGCGGCTAGGTAAATCTTCTCGGCGTTGAGGTACTCGTAGTGGCCGGTGTTTCCCATCGTCAGAAGGGGCACGCTGATGCCGGGTACGCTGCCAATGGGGGCCGTCTGCGAGGATGACCACTCAACACCGAGGACGTCCGTGGCGTTGTAGCCAAAGGTCTCCTCGTTGATCCTGATGGCGAAGGTTTCGAGGAAACGAGTCACGGTGGTCTTCAAAGCACCATCATAGAAGCTGTTGGCCATGCTAGGTACGCCGACTGAATGAACTCGGACAGATGGAACAACCTGGGTGGTGGTGCCGTTCTTGTGGAGGAGAGGCCAGGCGTAGCGGGTGTGGGACAGGTAACGGATATCCTGGTTGAAGAACTTGTTGTTGAAGCCGAGGTAGTTAGAATCAACAATAATCATACCCTCGTCGTCAGTGAAATCACCAGTCCCAGCCTCGATCAGTGTGTTGCGCTCCTTGGCGTAGGAGAGAATTCGGTTCCAGCGGGCCGCAACGCCCTGGACGAAGAGGTCGTAGAAGTCGCTCGTGTAATTAGCGCCATTTTCAGTCCAGCCATTAGTCTCGCTATACAAATTTAGCGTCTCGTTTACGTCGGCTCCGGCAGTCTCATTAGTGATGGCGGGGTTGAGAGACAACAGAGTCATAGTCGACAGACCGAAGTTGGCGTCGATCAGAAGGATGCCGTCAGCAGCGGGAAGGCCGTCCATCTCAGGAGAGCAAGGATAGATCTTTTCGGTTCCGTTACAGGCCGAGGCGCCGTTCTCAGCAACATTCTGGTACGCAGCCATCATGGCACCACCGCCGGAGTGTCCCCATATTACGACCTTGTCGATGTCAGTAAGGTTCTTGAGGTACTCGACACCAGTAGCAACATTCTCCATCATGTCCTCGAAAGCAAGATCATTCATCAGCCTGGACTTGCTGGCCCAATTGTTGAGGCAGAGAGTGATGTACCCACGAGCGGGTAATTCAGTGCAAGGGTAGAACGTGGTGTAGTCCTGCTCGGCGTGCATCACAAGCAGAGCAATCTTCGCCTTAGCGGTATCGGTGGTGTCTCCAGGTCGGTGGAGACCTCCCATGACACCCGGACCCCAGGAAACAAATTCGGGATCGGGCAGGGAAACATTGCCAATGCTGGTGCTGGTGACAGTTGAATCTTGTCTGGCGATGACCTGGTGGTGCCTCCTTGCCCGTGCAGAGGCGGTAAGGTAAGCCACAAAAGCGGTAGCGAACTTCCTTAGAGAGATCATTTTGGGACGTCAGAGACCTGCATTTAAAAGAGCGACACAGCGAGTTGGCGGTAAGGCCGCGGATCAAGGCCGTATATTAGGGAAGAGTGGAGCGCGAGGCGACAAATATAGTATATAGAGGTGGCCATTAGAAGATCTTCGGCCCCTAGTGGATATTTGCCGGTGTTCATCCCATGTAGTCTACAGTCGATCATGCATTTGTCCAGAGGGAGCGGTCTTGATCCGCTAAAACATCACCTGTTGGGAGACTTACTTGCATGGCTAAATAAATAGTGGGCTCATAACGGGCGACTTTGAGGAACTCCGAGGCTCAGCTGTACGTTTGTATAAGATCGTCTCTGTTACCTCCGAGAGGTCCCAAAATTGTCACCCGTTTCAACGTAACATCCTTGGAGCCGGGGGCGTCGGCACGTCCCGAAAGCATCAACAGCACGTAGGGTCTCGCATACCGGATAGCACATTTACGCAGCGGAGCCGGTTGATTAGCTCCGGGAAAAACTTGGCTTTCTAAACAGGAATTGACATGCCATTGGAACCATCTGTGCATTGTGAATTGTGGGCACTTCCCAAGCAAACCAACTTGTATACAGTTGGGCTCCTGCGGGCGACCGATTCAGCCGAGCCGGGGATCACGCGTATGCCAATTACGTTACAGAACAACACTCTCAGTCAGGGTGCGCTGAAGACCAGTCCCAATTGCATTGTTATCTCCGAAGTCTATATTTCCGAAAGATGTCACACACCCAGTCATTGCTAGACAAGCTGCAATGCCTAGACGACTCCCTCTGGAATCTCCAATCGAGCATAAAGCACAAAGAAAGGCCCCTTATGTGTCTATAAAGTTATTTTGGACCTCCACGGGAAAGAAGAGCCGTTTGTATAACTAGATGAGGAGAGCCTTAACTTTGCAGATCAACATCTTCTCACAATCGTAGAGTCCGTGTAAGCGTTGCTTATAGCTCCCAGTATCTCGTCTATGGAATGAAGTAGATCTTCAGATAACCGCGTAGATCCGATATCCCGTGGAAACTTTTACTTCAGAAATACTTATCGAGAGAAACACAAGCACTCAACCGTCTTATCTGCACCCGATCGAAGAGGAGGGGAGCATTTATGGCAAAAGAATTGATGGTACTTAGGGAGCTCCACATGTCGATGACTGTCAGCTTTCACCATTTTGCAAGCCATGTAATATTTGAGTGGGTCTTGCTAGAAAGTTGTCAGCATACGCCTCAAAATCGTTTCTCACGATAGCTTGCACTTGTGTTGATCAACGAAGCACCATCCGAATGCGGTATGGTGCCAAGCGAGACGTTGATCAGCTGCATTTTAGCTCATCCTGGCCTCCGAGTCACTACGGGATGCACGTATGACATGACATGAAGTTGTCCCTCAAATGATTCGCACCCATGATATTCTTCGCCATTGATTCTTACTAGCCTGCAGCGCAAACATTCATGAAAACACCACTTGCTCACAATAACTCTCATCATGGCCGCTCCAACCACTGCAGTGCCCAGCGTAGACCAACCACCTTCCTATGACGAAGTCATCGATGTCTGCCAACCCACGATCCTCATCCTCGCTGGACAGTCCATCCATGCCGAATCCGCGGAATCCGCACCTCTCTACCAGCTTAACCGCGGAATCGCTTCTCTGACGCATGCCACCCAGAACGTAGAGTTCCAGCGCGTCCAATACACCGTCAAGACGACATCGGGGGGAGAACCCGCCGTCAAGCCCCGCGAGAGGCACGTCTACAATCTCAAGCACAACCACAAAGTTCCCGGAGGCCTCGATTCCTGGCCCTCAGAGTCGCCCAACTACTTCATCGAGTCGGTTTCTAGCACCACCCGAGAGGCTGGGACCCTGGGTCTGAAGAAGTCGCGCTTTCCGGGCCGTAAACAGTGGAGAGTCCTCCCCGTTGACCGGTCGGGGAAGAACAGCAAACACGAATACGGCCTACCGACTTTCATTAAAGACGCTAAACCGGTATTTGAGATCAACCATAGGAAAGCCTGCTACGAGTGGACAGATGCTGAGGGCACGGCCGTCGCTGTCGAGGACGAGGGTGAGGGCACGCACCGTCTGATAGTCACGGCGTCGCTGCCTCGGAAGACTATGGATGCGCTAGTGGCTTTGTGGTGCTGTCGGATGTGGCAGTACTCTGCGGATAACACGGAAAAGATTCATGAGGGGTTTGGTGGTGGTAAGCACGTTCCTTGGCCTGCGTGAGATATTATGGACCTGGTTAACCGAGTCGATTACAGTCAGGCGAAAGTTGAATCTATCAAGAGAGCTCCCGGGCCGTGGTTTCAATGTCATCGATTACTAAGACAAGCCAAACGCCAGCCCTCGGAGTCCCTCGATATCGTTTGCAGTACAAGCCCCATCGTGCAAAACGGTATGCCCCGGAATCAAGCCGTCCGCCGTTGGAATTGCAAGCGCAACCGTCTCGGTAGTCCCCGGATACTGCGTACGATGGCCTTGGGCGCTCACCTCAGCGGTGTCGGCAGCAAAAACCAGCCCAAACTCGCCACCAACGATATATGCACCAGCAGTGTCGTCTGTGGGTAACGTGACATACGCCAGGCCTGAGATGAAGACCACCCATCTTGTGTACGTCAGTCAGGCTGTTTTTGCCAATGCAAGGGGGGAGGGGTTCTCGGCGGGATGAGGCCTTACTGATTAAAAGGCGCATTGTGCAAACCGCCATCGAACGCAGCGGGTAGCACGGTGTACGAGATGTTGGCTGCGGTTCCTATCACGGCTGTGGCGCTGCCGGTGATGCCTGGTATTGTTGATGACGCAAATGGCGTGTCCATCTGCCAACACTCCAAGGTTGAGACATTGTTGGTCGCCCCAACGGCTGTGATGTTCAAACTCAGAGCACGCACGGCTGTAACAGAGGCCATGAAGGCTACCAAAGACCGCATGGTACTCATTCCTGCTTATTTTCAACCCTCGATGATGTGATCGATATGATCTTCAAAGCAGACGTATGAGACTTAAGATTTGGAGACCCAACAAACGGCCACAGGGGGGAAATTCTAGAGTCCAGGGCACAACACAGACACAAATGGGAAGAAATCTGGAAGCGATAGAACCGGTGGTAAACCCCTCCAATTCTTCAAGCCCCGTCACGTGCCAAGAGGCGTTACCGATGAACAACAACCCGCATTAGCGTTGTAATAAGCAGACCATGCAATTTATTGTTTTACCCCTGCACCTTACAGTAGGACTGGTGTCACGAGACAGTAAAATGAGTCGGAATATTGTGCGGGGAACAGAACTCAGGTCGACTGATGAAAGGCCAGTGCCTGATTGGGAACCTCTCAGTAAGTGTTCTCACTGTACAGGTCACTTGTTATCATGTCAGGGTACGAGAATAAATTGGCCTTTACGCAGCCAGCATCTATCGAGATGTCATTTCTTGGGTGGGTAACCGCTCCAACTGTCTTGATCGATCCGCTAGGTGTCATCGAGACTCTCATAAAAAGCTATCTCCATATTTCACCTCATTGAAAGGTTCGCTGACAATATTCAAGAGTGATGCATGGAAAGTAAAAATGTACACATGTTGCAATCACTTCGGACTCCGCCATAATTGGGACCGGCCAATCTGATGGTAAAAAGGCCAGTCAGGATCAGGGAGAGCGGGGTCCGTGGATTCTAGATATATAGCGGTCGGAATGTCGAACGAACTTTCTCTCCCACCTCCCTCTGCTAAGAACATTCAGGTTGAATTGCTTATCCAGCCACGTGCCAGCCGACTCATCCAAGCAGGACCAGGCCACGAGACAAAGGACATTACACAGGGTCCAATCCACGGTCGTGCCGCTGAGATGGGCAGTTCAGGAAGCGGTAAATGAATCAGGGCGGCTTGTGTCCGCAGTACTGGAATGTGATGGTTGCTCCCCCCCCCCCCACCTCCCTGGCTTCTGCACGGCACATCTTTGCATACGATATAATAAGCCGAGGTCGAGTTCTCATCTTGAGTAGGATGTTTAACAAAATTTTTGACTTCATCAGACAGTCAGCCTATATTGAATTCAATTTTACCATCATGCATCTTGCTACCATCTTCAGAGCGTTGGCAACAGCCACAGCTGCCGTTGCAGTGACGGTTCAATCGACATCACTGGGTTTCACCACATACAAAGAGATAGTCGAGGGGTCTGACAACTCTGGCGCTATCCAATATTACAGTTTGAACAGATCTAACTCTCTTTTCCTATACATACAAATCATCGCCGGCCAGGACCATTCCACAATAATTGAGGATTTCAAGACTCTTTGCCGCAACTACGGTGCTGCTGGTATTTCAGTAATTCCACGAGTCCGATATGGAGATGCTACGGGATCAGTAGCCACGGCGCCAAATGACGTTTACCAGTTACTTACAGATGTTTTGACTTGGGGAAAGGTCTTTTCTGAAATGTCAGGCACAATCAACATCCCTGTCGTCCAAGCCGGGTTCATTGGGCTGTGGGGAGAGTGGCATGTACGTGAAGCGAATATCTATCTGGCTGTCATCGTATGTGTGCCGGATCTAACCTTTCTCCAGGGCGGACCGTTCGGGGATGACATGCGAGTTAAAGATGCCGTCGTGAAAATTCTCATGGCTTTCGGCCTCAAGGTCGCCGTTCGCACTCCTAGCGACCACAAGACTCTCTTCAACGGCGACCGGGCCGTGACGATCCACAACGACTGCATCTTTAATGGAGGACCTAACGGCTACGACGGCGGCACTTTTCCAGCGAACGACAGAGAGGCTTGGGTCAACTATACAAAGCAGGTCGCCGCCGGGAACATCTACGGCGGGGAGCCGTGTAACGAAGCAGGCGACTCGACGTACAACTGGGAGAACTATGATGATCTGTGCGGACCCAACGGGCTGGCGGCGTACATTGATCAGTTTCAAATTGCGTATCTCAACGTGAGCATTTGCACCACTCGCCCATGAAACACCTGTGTTTTGCCAAACATGCTAATCCATTGAGCAGCCTGGAAATCCTCCGGCGCTTTGGCGATTAGTTTACACCTCGGGTAGGACCCAGTGCGTCGATGATATTGAGGCCACCCTCCGCCGCAACAGGTAATAGAGACGCCCTTGATAATCATTGCTTGGGCAAGCGCGCTTGTCCGTTCGTCGTGAAAGAACTTGATGTAATGTCAAACCATACTCTAGGGAATGGGTGGGAGACAGGCTGCAGTGGAAAGACACACCACGTATTCGAAACGCACAAACGAGTACTGAACTACGTTCAATGTATTTAGTGAATGTCGTTCGATTGGACCCATGAAAACTTCTACACAAACCTTGCAATACGAAACAATCATCTGACAAGTAACGAATTGTAAACTTACAGCTCTGAGAATTAAACTAGCGGGTCTTCGGCGACATTCACGCGCGGTGGTCATTGAAATGGGCAATTATGACGAGGCTAGTCCGCGTTGTGAAGCGATTCGATGGACAGATTCCCATGAGGATCAGTCACTGCCACCAATATAAACATGTGTGGGAAATTGTTTCATGAAAGCCATGGGGTGGACTGTTAGCTTTTTTTGAGTGCGTATCGCAGTTTCCATCATTCTTCGATGTTTAAGCATTAGAGTGACTGCATCGATGGCAGAGCAGATTCACATTGCCGGAGCTTCTGATCAGTCTCGCGCTCACGTTGCTTGCTCCTGCCCGCTTATACTTCAAGGGCTTTGGAATTCAACGAAGGAAGGCGCAACATGCAACAAGAAAGCGGTGTTTTCATAAAAACAGTCATCTGGGTGGTCTTGAAGGTGTGGCAGGCGGAACGAGACACATTTTCCAACATGTGCATCAGGACAAACAAGGAGGAACATCTCTCGTCTTTCAACCCCTCCGCCGGCCGTTAGCATTCATCAGACAAGAGAGCTTCAACACGGATTCCACTTCAGAATCCCACTCGACAAACGACTCCACCAACCTTTGCCCACGCTCCCTCTACATGAACCAGTGCACTGATTATGAGTACACTCTGTCAGACGAGGTGCTCGCCATAAGAAAGCTGCAAAGACAACAGGCCGTGGATCAAGTCCGGACGCTGTATACACGCGGGGTTCCATTCTTTACGAAGAGTGCCATAGCGGATCTGGCGAGCCAATTTGAGCGCGCAACAAGACAGTTCCAAGATGAAGGCACTCCAGGCAAGGGGGAGATATTCTCCCTGCAAGGACTCGATGGGAGGAAAATGGAGATCGAGAATGACCTTGGTGCCATCTGGACAGAGGGAATGGAAACAGAAAATATTCTGTAAGAACGAGCTACAATTGGAAATGATCATTTGCTAATCACAATTACCTGGAAGGGTTGAGCTAGTTTTCGGTTACAAGACGTATCAGCAGTTGATCACCGCCAATCGAGACCCTGAAGACTACTCTCCCACGCTGGCTTTGTGCCCCCTGCGTGTTTATTACCTTGTTCGCGAGATTGATACAGACACACATCAGCTTCTACACGAGCCTAGCTATTCGCCATTGGACACCACCCGAGAAGCCTTGAGATCCGAAGCGGAATTCTGGGGAAAGAGTGGGCAATCCAACATGCTTACTTCAGCCATCATGGCCAATATAACTCCAGAGAAGATCACAAAGATCATCGCATTTTCTTTCGGCTCGATCTCGGGTGGTGAAGACCTGGAACGCAGTATTAAACAACACGTCTTGGTACTCACAATCAAAGATGTCCTGAAAAAGATGATCGCCCATGCAGATGTGGAGATCAGGTGTTACGTTCAGGATCCGGAATATTCGGACGTTGATCGGACTGCTCTCGCGGGCGCCGGCATTGAAGTCCTCGATGACCCGCAAGGTTTCTTGGAGGTCGACGACTCGAGCGTTGTGCTCTCTTTCGATTCTGCGGTCCCAGTCCGGCAGATCGTGGCAGACCTTGCGCGGCCAGCTATCATGATATGGAACAAGGTGAGAAGCGAGGGGGAGTTGATCCAATGCTCGTCGGGAGGTGGAGAAAGCCCAATTTGCAAGAGTTTGGAAGAAATTGAAGGAGGACTGTAAGTGATTTCACTTTGTGCTTGAATGAGGGGGATTTTTTACTAACAATTCGAATACGAATAGGTGTGACCCGGAATCGTCACGTTTGCGGCAGATGGTTCAGAATGAGTACGTTGTGATAGGGGAACTGGATGGCGACAACTTCCCGGAGTCTTGTGTTTATGTCAGACGATCATCGTTCACTGAAACAAAGGGATAGTCCACTTGTTCACGGGGCTTCTGAGGAGCTTTCCAGAATTATACTCGCTCTATGCTATTCGTCTTTGCACCCACCCATTGTACTATCGGCTCTATAGCGACATGCCCATCAGTCTGGGTTGGTCAAGCATTAGTAAAAGAAGTTACAAAATTGGCTAATTGGTCTTTCCCATCAAATTATCTTCTCGAAAAGTCCTCCGAGCACATGCCCTGTAGGCCAGCAAGTTCAGCCGCACTCCGTGAGCTTAATTTGTATCTGCTCAAAGGCATTCCCTTTCAATAAACGCGTGCTCCGGAGTATATCCCATGTATGATTGCGTTCCATTGCATGAATTTGGAGAGAAACTACCGTGATGAAGGATTTGTATGCAAATCCTTCACGGCCAGATAAATCATGATGTGGATATGTGTCTTTGATCGAGAAAGAGGAGCCGGGCCTGGATGTCCGATCAACTATCTGCGAGTCACCTGGGGTGAGATGACATTGAGGGGATAGGCTATGATTTTCAGGCCTGAGATCTGACCGTAGTACTCTAAGTAGCAGGATCTTAGTAAGGCTTCTGAAGCGCCGGAAAAGAAATTGGTCATAGTAGCACCGACCTGGCCACTAACGGCCGCTTGAGTGAGAAATGATCACGAGTATTATTACATATTTTCTTCACAACCGCCTTAACTTCTATTTCAACCTCACATCTGCCCAGATCTATCGCACGGGACTTGTCCTCCTCGATGGGCTTGTCGACTCTGATCACCCCTCAAGTGTCCCAAATTCGTACCGCCACTAGCAGGCCCTCAACGTGCAGCAGAAGGCGGAGGAGTCTGGTATGGTTCAACATGACCCTACGGTGGCTGGTTATCTCGGATACGTGGTGCCGATGCTTGATAGTGTCCATGATCTCGACACCCGGCGCTGATATAGCTCTGGGGCGCCTGAAGGTGACTTCCTGGTTGGACGTGTTGGGACGAATGATGCATTCTACCTCGCATATCCCCCATGAACAACTGAATGCCGGAATATGCATTCCAATTGTACTGCATTCGTTGCGCAGGCGCAGGGATGGGCTCATGGGCGAGTTGCTGGGGTGGGTACAGCCCCTGGTGCCCATTAGCATGCTGACTTTCAGGCTCTGGAGAGGAGCGCGCGGCAATCCCGGGTGTTGAGCGTTGGCCGCTGGAATTTGACCGCAGTCTGAAGTCTTGAAATGGAGTCTCATGGCCTGTCTGACCATGCCCTCGAGTAGAGGACCTGCGGTCCCCGGCCCTCCCTTCTCTTTTGTCAGATTTGGGAGCCTCAAAAAGCGTGTCAAGCGCGTAGTCCAGACACTTTGGCAAGCCTCTCGACGTCGGCGCTGTGCAAAGCCTTCAGGTGGTCTGTAAACTCGAGGTATGCGTTGAACAAAATCTCCAGGTGAAACAGCTTGAGCTGGATCATAGCAGTCGATTTCTCCCCAATGTCGAACTTTTTCTTTTTGGGCTGGGCATCGAATTCGGCCAGTGCCAGAGTGGTTCGGCCGGTATTGCCGATATGGCGACCATTCTAATTGGCATGCTTATGTTCGTGCAAGTACTTCCCTGCTACGTTTATGATCTGGTCTTCATCAATCTTACTCTATCCTGGAACTAAGGCCTGAGATGGTAATCAAACGACTTTGAGTGGACATAGCAATATCAATTTAGCAGCTAGACTCTTCAATCGCAAGTTAGAATAGTTTCGTGGCCAAGCGTCAACGCCATCAATTTCCCAGCTCCTTGATAATCTGGTTAGCCCCGGCAATGGCATGACAGGCGGCAGTCAACGTCGGGTTAGACGCATTTCCAGTCGGGATGACACCGCATCCGCCCAGGTACAGATTACTGACCCCCCAGACCCGCCCCTCCTTGCTGACGGCGCTGTCCTCCTTGGTCTTCGCGAGGTCAAACTTGGCATTCTGGTCAAGAACCTCCTTGCCTGCGCGGTAGATGCCGCAGACTGTAAACTCCGTATCAGCAAGTCATTCACATGTAATATTGTTCAAATGGCACGGATAGTCAAGCAACTCCGCCCTATGTCCCTGAGATTTGGCTGGTATTGGGAGGAAAGTCGCGAGCAAAAGACATAGGAAGAATCAGCAGGAAGCGAGTTGAAACTCACCGTGAAGGGCCAAGCCAGGTGCGAGATGGCGCGGCTCTGCGCCTGGGAGGAATCCGCCCAGAGAGGTGGCTACATCGACCATACTGCGAGTATCTGATTAGCAAGATCACTCCGTAACATGATTTAGACCGTGGTGAGCACCAATATATGCACTAATATTAGTCTAAAAGAGGTGACCGCATCGCCCCGTTCATGCACATAGACGTAGATGACTTACTCTCTCATCATGCGGTGAGATCGGTCAATATCTTTCTTGCCGAGAGAGAACCAGAACGTGGGCTGGGAGAATTAATTGTCCTAGGTTAGCACAGCTTTCTTGGTTACTGTTCCATAAAACTCAATTAACTTACCTGTGGCATCCCGAAACCATCTCGTCTCGTTGCACTGAAGGTGATCTTGTTGAACTCATTGGGGTCCACGTATCCGAAGAAGCGCAGGTCGACGATGAGACGCTGGTCGACGTCGGCGGGCACCTCGCCGTAGCCAAAGGCATCGCGGTGGATCTGTGTGTGCCAGGGGTACTTCTCGGAGAAGGGAGTGTAGACATTGGGGTCCAAATCGTCAAAGGGGAACGGCAGGGGGTCATCCGGGTGATCCTGCTGGTGCTGATGCACGGCATCACTGATCGTGTGGTCTTCTCCCTCATCAAGCTCCTCTGGATGGTCGCTAACGTTCTGCACATACTCTTTTTTGAGGACAATTTGACAGAATGTCATTGTCTGCTCCGTCAGGTATCTCCCCTGTGAGGTGCTTAGAATCAGCGAAACGCGCTCGTGTCCATGCAGCAAAGATGTTTCCAGGGGAAAGTATCTTACAAGAGTTGGCAGGTATGACGCTCCAATATGACCGAACTCGTCCTCGTTCTCGAGCTCACTCTTGAACAAGGACTGGGCCACTATGCCCGAGGTCAGCACAGTGCCGCCACAGATGACGTATCTCTCGGCGTCGACGAGGTACTCCTCGCTGGTCTCGAGGTCGACGATGACGGCGCCTGTCACGGCGTCACCTTTGTCCGTGCCGTCATCCTCGATCAGCATCACGTCCAGCTGCGTTTGTGGCAATACGGTGAGCAGGTCGCTGTAGGCGGGCTTGTCCTTATAGTCCGGGTTGGATAGCTCGTCGCCGAGAATACTAGCCGTGCAGGACCAGTCGATGTGTTTCTTGTTCTTCCCGGGCTTGCAGGCCAACGGCATGGACTGGACGACACGGTCTGCATCTTCGGCGGCAAAAGCCTCCTGTAGAATCTTCTTCACCAGGCGGTGGCGGACCGAGTCGTCGAAAGTCGTGACGTTGGTTTCGAAGAGAGTCTCGGCCTCCGCGTATAGGTCTCCCCATTCAGCATCCGTGAAGAGATCCGAGCGCTCCCGGTGGCCAATGTCCTCCCCGCCCGCGAAGGCGTCGGGATACTGTCGTGGGGTGCAGCAGGTCCAGTGAGCCGCCATACCGCCAACGGTACGCGTGGCCGCACTCGCTGCGAGATTATACTCGGGCCTCTGCTCTGGATTCTGACCGTTGAGGATGAACTGATTTTTGGGTGGAACTGTGTCGCTGTTGAGCTCTGGGGTCCACGAAGACTCTGGAGGCAGTTGGGTGGTTGCTTCTGCCACTGGCACAGACAAGGGGCTGAGTTCACCCTGCGGCAGTCGTCATTAGTGGCATGTTGGCTTGGGATTGGAATCCCATCTTACACGGATGATACTATTTCGAATTAGCCTTTACACAAGAAAGCAGTCATGTCTGCGTGAACTTACTTGGTGAAGAGACTTATATCTTTCTGCACAGCCACGCTGTTCTTACGGTGATCTCCGATACGCTTGGACGCCCTTCAAAGAATGTTAAGTTCATCACAACGGCCACACGATCTCGACTAAGATAGGGTACAGACTGTTCTCCCATATCGATCATCAGCACTTTCTTGTTACCGTCAACAACCAGCTTTCGGGCGAAGACAGCCCCGATGGGGCCAGACCCGACAACAAGGACATCTGTCTTGTAGACTTTGCTTGGGTCTTGCCTCAAGAGATCTATCTTTGCCTTGAGTTCCTCTTTTCGCGAGCGCGGGAGACCCTCGCCTGGGTGTCCCACAAGCGGAGTTGATGTGGACCTGGACATGATTGTAGTGTCTTCCGGATTGTTTGATCGTATTTTTGCTTCCAGATGAATGATTTCTTAAATTCAAAGTGGTGCTGTATTTCAGGAAGCTCGCAGGCCGGGGCCGGGGTTTATAAGAAACCAGCGCCCTTCAGTCGACTTAACGGCGTTGCGACTATCTGTTATTAGACAAGAAGCCTGAAGCCCTACCGGACGCCCCGTTCTTCCAATATCTGCATGATCACTATGTTGTTGCTTGCTTGAATGGTCAACAGAAGCCGATGAGGAGTTGTGTATTCACCGGCAGTGCATATACGAACGCACCTCAGCACAACAGTTTGAGTTACACCACCCACACTGATGTCGTCAATTGATCAACTCAGTAGCCCGAAGTCAGTGCTGAGGAAGCCAGACCGCTTCAATGACGTGGCAGGCTGGGCAGAAGGAGGAGAAGATGTTGTGTCCCGTCAGACCTTAATATTCTTCATCTGATTGATTGAGGCCATTCGCAACCGGTCGAGGTCTACGAATATCTCCATATTTCAGCCGCCACGATGTGTTATTTCTTGCTTATTCCGTCACAAATTGAATGTCACGTTGGACACGGGCTAGGCTGTCAGCCAGCCACACGCAGCCTGCAAGGCTCCAATTCCGTATTTTCCGGTAACACCACTCCAGCCAGAAGTGTGGGGTTTGGCGTCGAGCGAATGTAACATGGCCTACTGTACGAATCAGATCTGTACCAAATCGAAAATCCCTGTGGAAATCACCCGTGTCGCAGCCTCGTACCACCACTTGCTGCATACACTGGTCTGCATCTCATCGGCAGACCGGTGGATAAGCTGCGTGGGTGTTCACCTGCTGAGATCAGCTCATGGATCGACGATTCCATGCCGGTAAGTTTTGAACTATGCCCTCTTTAGAAAGACTTTGACCATTGATTTCGATGATGCAGGTGGTTGTTGCACTCCGCGCCCTATTGATAACGTATTGATGAAGCTGTGGATGGCTGGGCATTGACTCCTCATCTGTTTTCGTGATGCATTACATGCTGCATGAACAGTCAGAGCATTGACTCAAGACTGTCTTGCATATCGGTGAAGAAACAAGACGCAGATCGCTGCGGGTCAGTCATGTTTTCAACATGATCTGGTTCATGACCATCACTCAAATGGAGCTTCAAACAAGCTGATTAGCAGGGATCAACACTGGTGTCTTGTCTCGGCTAGAGTCAAGAGTCAATAAATGTGTCGTCAGCTGGAGGAATGTTGTCCACGGATAAAGTGTGTTGTAAAGAGTGATAGATCACATTGATGGCAGGACGGTGAGACTACGGAGATGAACACGCAGCCACTGGATGATCAAATCAGCAATTTGGTATGACAATGACATCTTCGTAAAGGGCTTCATCGGCTTTGAAACCTGGTTCAGGAGGACAGCTCAGTCAAAGATGAATCATATAATAGATAGCAGCTAGCTTTCAACAAGAGACGGTGAGCAAGAGTCCTCAACACCGATATATGTCCGCGGATACGGGATTGCTGAGATTCCAATTCCATTCATGCACCATGGCTTCTTTAGTTCTTCCCCCGTCGTTCTCAAGCAACATAATACAGGATAGGACGGACGGGTACTGGATTATCCCCTTTCAGCTTTCTCCTGAGGACCTCCTGCCCGGCCTTGTCGTGTGAGTTACCAAGATCGACTCCCGACCGCAAGAACAAGAGACTGACATTGAACATATTTAGCTCGGGACTAAATAGCGGACGGGTTCAGTTCTTGGAGAATCCCAAGAACAAAATCTCAAACAAGGATGGCGGCTTCGAGGAAACAACATGGGATGTGCATGACATCTATCCGTTCAAAGAGCCAGTTTCCGTAATCGCAGCAGACGTTACGGGAAATGGCTCGCTGGACTTGATTGTGTCTCATCAGTACGGGCCTAACATGATTGAGTGCGACATGTCAGGTGGCTGGGTCAGTTGGCTGGAGAACCCCGGCCGCAATGAATGGGACCAGGGCGGATACAAGCAGTGGACCAAGAGAGATATCGGCAGGTGGCCAGCAATGCATCGTCTCAGGGCCGGATACTTCACGCAAAGGTCTGTGCTGACACTTGAATCTATTGCGTTGATTTCTTCAAGCCACTGACTGTTGTGCAGGTCTATTCTAGAGATCATCGCGGCTCCGGTGGTCCATGGCAAGGAGGACAAAGTGAGTAATCTATCTTACCACAAGCCCTACGGTATCACTAAGCGGCGTGTCAGATCACCCCTGTTCCTATCCTGCGTTTTCAAGCACCGGAGAAGCCACGGGACGCGTGAGTGTAGCTGTGTCTCGCAGAGTTCCTGTATACGGCTGACAGTGGCAACGTGAAGAATTGAATGGCAACGAGATGTCGTCGACGACGAACACTTCTCAGTCGTCCACGAGATTGTGCCGAAGAAGTGAGTGCAGGCCCAGTGGACTACTCTCTTGTCCATTCTAATTCCGTTTCCTAGATTCGATGGCCCTCATGGTGTCGATTCTCTCCTGGTCGCCTCACGCGAGGGTATCAGCCGCCTCTACTTCGAGAATGCAGCATGGCACGTTGACATATTGAACTTCAGCGAGCCGCGTGAGCCTGGCCAGACCACGGGGTACGAAGCACCTGGAGCTGGTGACAATTGGGGCTGCGGTGCCGTCGATGCTGGCAAGGTGGGAAACGATTCCTTCGCTTACATCGCCAGCATGGATCCCTTCCACGGGGGCAAGGTCTGTGTCTATACCAAGACGGACCGTGGGCTGGACACTGTGAAGTGGGAGCGACATATTTTGGACGTGTACGGCACCCCGACCCAGAACCGGAAATGGGGAGATGGGCCGGGCCATTATGTTGTTTGTGGTGATTTTGATGGTGAGCCGCCCATAAGTGATGGACTCCCCATGATTCAACTCCTCTGACATTATTTTAAGGTGATGGCGACGATGAGTTCTTGGTGTCGCTGATAGGAGCGCTCGATCGTGACGAAGACCTCAATGTCAAACCAATCCAAGGTGGTTTCAACCCCAACAAGGTACGCCTAATGACCCAGAAAAGTAGGTATGTCCAATATGACACTGATGAACTACCAGGGCATCATGTACTACAAGGCCATCGACCTAGAGAACGGAATTTTCGCCAAATGGCGAATTGCAAGCGAGTCCTCTGCAAGAATTGCGCTTGGGTGAGTATCTGCCTGACAGTGTTATCGTATGGCATCTGCGAGAGCGTGTGGTACTAACAACAGTTTACAGGGACTTTACTGGCAATCAAACGCTGGATGTAGCATCCATCTCTTACAATGTCATTGATTACTACGAAGAGCCCCAGCCCAAGGTCACCATGCACACAAACGACATTGTCCTCCCACCGACCGCATCTCTTGAGGACTCTATTAGAGCCACACTTTGGGATGGAGAAGGCATGGTGTATCTCGCTCAGCCAGTTGAAATCAAGGCCCCTGCGTCAAAGCCGCTCATTCAGGTGGCCAACTACGCCATTAGCGTCGAGATATATCCACCAAAGGGCAAAGTCCCCATCCAAAATGGTGAGGGCCTGAAGGTGATATACGGATCTCTAAGTGAAACTTACGATGGAAATGTCACGACGAGGAAGCCACTGGGTGGCGACCCCTTTCCTGCTCTGGCTTCGACCACCAGCAAGCTAGAAGCTTTGGATGCGGACGCAGTCCTGGGGGCCATCATCCTACGCATGACACCAACTCCAGGAGCCGAGCTCGAGTGGGAGGACGTCGAACCCGAGACGCAGTGGGAGAAGGCTAGTGATGTGCCTATCCATGTCACGCTTGACCTGAAAGATTCGGGCCTCGAGATGCCGGAATACAAATTTACCAGGGTCGACCAGCTCTGGTGGGGGAAAGATGACGAGAGGTTCAAGGATCAGGAGTTTTACAATATGCCGGGCTTCCATTTCCGCTTTCTTGACAGCAAGATCCACATCGCACACATTCAGTTCTGGACGGCAGGTATGTGGAAGATACGTTGTCATGGCGATTTGAGAGTAGCGCGCTGATAAAAAACCTATCTGGACAGGAACCAAGGTGAGTGCCGGCGCGCACAACCACGCCAACGACTACTTCGAAGAAATCCATATTTCACTCTCGCTTGGGACTAAAGATGGCGGCATGTCCATGGTGAAGCCGGAAAACGAGGACGACGCAAAAACTCCAAACGAAGCGGAGGCACTGTCTGACGACAAATGGATCCACGAGACGCAGGAGCCACTCGTCGAGCATGGATCCATATGGCATCGAGACTCATCGGGAAACGCCATTCGGGGGTGGAACAACGTCGTCTCGTACCCCTGGCACAAATGGCAGGGGGGAAGTGGCGATTATATCGACGTGTGGATGGCTATTGAGTTCAATCCTGACTTGGATTTGTGAAATCACAGTATGCTCCTCAGGCCATTTGAAGAGACTCTTAGGGTGGTAGCAAGGTCCTGCTTACGAGTCCAACTCGCACGGCGGTTGTGCGTCAGCCGTTTCCTGATGACTTGGTTCTGCCGATGGAAGGTATGGCCTGGGCGTATCTGGTGATTAGTAGCTTAAGACTTGTTCGTAGACTGTCTCCTTGCATTCAGTAAGAAAAGGAAAATCAAGTTGACCAGGCCTTTGGCCCCCTGGCGTTGGAACTGAGGCGGTGAAATTGAGAAGTTGATGTCCGTAAGCCAGGTTCAAGTAGACTGGAAAGGCTTTTTTTCACAGTAGTCAACGACGAAAATCTTATATTAGTAGTATTTGGAAACTTTTGACACCCGCTACTTTTTTCCCACCATAAGTCCAATTACCCCAGAGGACTGGCTCTGCCAAGAGTGTGAGCTGTCTAGGTACACGCAAGTGTTCGAAAACGATCGTTTTAATACCATGCAGATATCGCTGGTCCGATTGGCGAGCTCAGTTAGACGGGCCGTGGCTTGGTGTAGAAAGAAGTGTCTCCAAATCGACGAAGAGAAGTAGCCCAAGGGGAGATACGTAGGTAGTGCTGACGGGATGGGGTAGAATGCCCAGACCTGACATCAGACCGCAGCAATCCAACTTGCAGATTTACATCTTCAGACGATGGGACCGTATGATGCAGTCTCCAACTACTTTCAACTGCACCAGTCGGCATTTGATTAACTTCGATCTCAGTAATTTATCGTTCCCAGCGTACTTGTATCTATGATGGTGAAGATCAACCTCTCCGGCCCTATTACGTCTGCCGTTCTGGCTGGTCAGCCGGATAGCGCATATCTGAAAGACACCGCCATTCTCGTTACAGGCGGGGCTCAAGGACTCGGCGCGGAAATCACGACGCAGTGTGCCGCAGCTGGAGCGTATGTCACGATCGCCGACATCGACGGCACCAGGGGCAGAGTTCTCGCATCGAGTCTCGGTCGCAATGTACAGTACATTCACTGTGACGTGACGAAGTGGTCCGACCAGGTCAGTGCCATCAAGGCCGCCATCCGCTTTGCACCAAGCAGTGAGACCCCAGCCATCACCCTCGACCACCTTGTCATCAACGCCGGGGTCATGGACAAGCCCTTCTTCATCGGCAACGAGACCCGCATGACAAACCTGGACGATGACCCGCCAGAGCCAGACCCCACGCCGATCGAGGTCAACACCAAGGGCGCCATGTTCAGCCTGAAGCTGGCGCAGCTGTACATGAGCTCTCCCGGCTCGCCCACCACACACAAGACCTCGCCAGCGAGTGTGGTCTTCGTGCTGAGCCCCGAGTCGTATGTCACGCTACCCGCAAGCATCATCTACGGCGGGGCCAAGTTCGGGGCCCGCGGTCTGTTCTGGTCCTCGCGGGTGCCTTTTGCCAACAAGGGCGTCCGTGTGAACGCCCTTGTGCCGTGGCTGATGGAGACAGGCATGAATGCAGGGGCTGACGGCCTTTCGGAGACGCTCCAGTCTCTCGGTGTGCATTTTGTATCGGTCGAGGCGCATGCGAGGGTGGTGATGCACTTGCTGTGTGACGATGGTGTTGCGGGTAGAGCTGTGGCTGTGGGGCAGTCCGAGGGTGGGGTGTTCGTGGACGTCGAGGATGACGACTCTGGTGGGGACGGCATCAGGAAGTATTGGGAGCTGCTTTATGGAGGTTGGCCTGGAGCGAAGGAGGGGCGTCAGAAGATGTATGGACTGATGGGATTTCAAGACGAGGAACGTGTATGGTTCTGATCACGTTTAGGAAATGAAAGAGGTCGCTGACAAGTTGAACAAAGTCCATGATATTTGTAGTGAAGCGCTTCGTGCCTCATGCCTGGGGATGCGGCCAGTGGGAATTACATTTAGCCATACGATGGCTTGCTGTGACGTCTTTGCCATAGTTGAGATTCTCCGGTTCAAAAATAGCATACTATGTTGATCACACATATCCATATAATGGGAGCCTTTTTGGCAAGTGGATTGAAGCTTGACCCTTTTACCAAGACTGGGGTCTCAAATATGGTAGGGAAACTGCCAAACACCAACCTACGTAGATATGCGCTTTCAACTTGTATCAAACAATACTACACTATAAATATCGTTCTTTGCTTCCAAAATTCAACTTTCGGTAGCAAACCCCTTGCCTCGTCCCAAAAGCCGCCGATCCTCCTAAACTTGCCGTCACAGACTTCCTCAAGCAGGAGTCCAGAGTAGCAAACCTCCTCAGTCTGTGACGAATTCTTTTTCTCTATCAACCTTTTTTGGGTAAAAATAACTATTCCAAATATCTTACCCGGCAATAACTCCCGCACCTCCTCATTCGTGGCCTTCTCGTTATTGGTTTCGGCACAATGTTGATAGGTCTTCTTGTACCATTCTCGCTCATCCTGCTCCATGTCCGGTGCCGGACTCATTCGCTGAGAAAGCATCAAATCGACAACCTTGTCGTGGTCCAATTCCAGCAACGGTCCACGAATCTGAAGCCAAGGTCTGTCGTCAGGGGAATCATCAGATGGCCTCAAAGTTGCTTCGGGTGGGCAATGATATCCCATAATGGTTGCCTGGGGATCCAAATCGTTGGAAATGGTGTCGTACGAAATCGGAGAATTCACTGAAGCCCATGACCACGTGGGCGCGCGCCACTCCTTCGGCCTCGAAAGCGACTCCAATCCGATCTTCGTCTGCCACATAATGTCGTGTAGCAGATTGTTCGCCCATAGCCCGACGACGTAAGGTACGCCGGTGAGTCTGCTGATGTCCGACGCGATGCCGTCGATAGCGCGCAACTTATCCGCCTCCACGCTCATCTGCCGCTTGGTATAGTGGCTGAGAAGTGCATACCAGCTTTTGTACAACCTGTTCATCTCCATTAGACTCAGACAATGACCTTCAGACTTTGACAAAAGAAAGGCCGTGATCTTCCGCTCTGCTTCGCCAGACCACATGTCCTCGGCGTAGAACCCGCCATCGCTCTTGGTGCCGTGATTGCATCTCCACTTGGGCCATCGCCCGTAGTCTAGGAATCGCGGAGACAGAACCCGTTCCTGTAGACACCAAGCCCGGCTGGAAACAGGGTCAGAAAACAATCCCTCCAGGTATGAGTCCTCGTCTAGCAGCCAAAGTCTGCTCTCTTCGCCCTTGGGCATCTCAAAGGCTTCTTTCATCGTAGTGGCTCCGTCGTTGGGGAGGCAGTATGTCAATGGGATCATGCTCCGCCAAAGCCCCGTTCTCCAGTCGGATAAATCATGGAGAAAGCCGTCGTTAGCGGCTTTGCCGTTGGAAGCCGAAATGGTGAGCACGGCTTCTTTGTAGATGTCCCTCATCCTCGAGATCTCGCGAAACTTGTCTTCATCGTCATCCTGGACGATACACATGGAATCTACCCATAAGTACGATATCCCCAGCTCTCGGGTCACTATGACGGCATCCTGGAGAGTTTTGGGGAGGTTCTTAAGTTGGAAGCCCTCGACCCTAGCCGCCAGGTCTTTTTTGGTGGTTCGAAACTCTTGCGGTCCCCCCCAGCAGTAACTCAGTGCCGTATAGCGACCGTGCTCCCCCGGATTGGACTCTTTGAGGTGGAGGAGGGAGCTGTCGGGGCCAGACACATCAATCAGGCGGGTCGGTAGTGCAGATGGGGTCCCCCCTTTACACGTCTCACCGTGGTTCTCTTCGCAATCCGCCAGCCAAGACCTAATTTGGTTGAAGCCAAATTCTGATGCCGGGCTCGGGTTCGGTGGCCTAGGACTGATGTGCCGTGCGGCCGGACTGCCTAAAAACACATGTGAGTGTTAATTCAAAAACATCATACACGTTTGATAAACACGTACCATGCTCGGCGTAGACAGGCACATCGATTTGAGCTCTGGCTCTGCCAAACGCTGAAATCTTCTTTAGAGCCTCGGCCTGTTCCTTACTTTCCGCGCAGGGGAGGATTCGCAGAGTATCAAAATCTGGCGGGGAGATGCCTGGTGTGGTACATCTGGGCGTGATGTAGAACTTGATGGTTTGATCACCCCATTGCGCCAGCAATTTCTTGCATCTATCGAGGAATGCGTCGCGTTGTTCCGGAGCTCGACTTGGTTTCGCATACCACGGCCTTTCCGGCCAGTACAGGAACAAGTCGCCCTGGTAGCCCCCAAAGAATTTCTTCAAGATGAATGCACAGAAGGAACAATCGTCCAAGGTGGCTTGCATGAGAGCCGGGAGGCGAGCGGGCCAGGAGATGGTCATGTGAGTCAGCTCTTCTTTGCCGCCGATTGCTTCAAGCACCTCCGGATCCCGCAACGCCACATGCAAGCTTGGCAAGACCGCCGTAACGGATGTACAAGAAGTGCAGTTTGATCGGTACGAGTCTGGGCCATTGATAAAGTGCGCTGACTTTCCCTTTAGGCCCCTCACGTCGAGTTCCTCCGGAGGCCCAGCGGCGCCGGAAAACTGCTCAAAGGCACCTTGGCTGCCGCCATCGTTTCCGAAGAAAAGGGCTACGTCGGACTTGATCATGATAGCTGTCGGGGCAGACAGAGACTCGGCATCCGTGTCTGGGTCCTCTCCCTCCTCTATCCTTTTTTGCTTGCGAGTTGTCGCGGCATCGTGTCCCCGTAACAAATTCGAAAAGTCGTCTCGGTAGTTGTGGCCGGTACGTTGGTTCGGGCCACCTAGCCGGGCAAAGGAGTGATCGGCTGAGTGGATGTCTGTCGCGGACGGGAAACAGTTTTCGCAGAGGTTGTAATTCACGCAAGTCTCGCAACGATGGAAAACGTCAGAGACCGCAGAATCGCACTGGCGGCAGTGGGAGTAGAGAACAGCTCGCGACACCCTCTTGTCGAAATAATGATCCACGGGGTGAATCCATGTCGTTCTCGAAAGCTGGAAGCATTTTTCGCACAAGCGGTACTTTTGACAGGTCTCACAATGGTGAAGAACGGCGATGAGTTCTTCGCTGCAGTGGCTACAATGAAGTTCGGTCGCCTTTGGCGCCCCGATTGTCACGAAGCTGTGATCCTTTGAATGGGTGAACGACGAAGCCGAGAAGCAGTCGTTGCATGCTGTAAAGTCCTGACATAACTTGCAGTAATGGAAAATGCCGCCTGAAATTGCACGATTGCAGCTATCGCATTGCAGGCTCCGGCCCTTATCGTCGCGCAAGGAGGCTGGAGTCCATGAGGAATGTGCCGGGTGGACTTCAGCCGCAGATGGGTAGCAGCTTTTGCATATGGAAAAGCTTGGGCAGTCGCCACACACGAACATGAACTTCGAAATGATAGCGTTGCAGTGTCCGCACCGGTACCCGCTCTCTTCAGGTGATCCTATCGTACAAAACTCGTGACTTTCGGGGTGGAAGGTTGATGCAGACGCGAAGCAGGTGTTGCAGATGTTGAAGTTCGGACAGGTCTTGCAGAAGTGAAGGACTCTCAGGATGCTGCTATGGCAGTTGTCACATTGAGGCCCGAGGCCTTCGCTGTTCCTTGGGACCAGAAGAGCCAGGGAGTGGTCCGCAGGATGTATCGTGGTTGCCGATGGGTAGCAGCGCTTACAGAGATCGAAGTCGGGACAGTCTCCGCAATGGAAATGCATCTCGTCGACTTGTATGCGGGAATCGCAGTGGTCGCAAATGACCTTTCGACTAGCCTGTGGCATCTTGATCTCCCGCTGCTCCGCCATATTCAGTACCTAGATAGTGTGAGAAGATGTTGAACGGAGAGGTTCAGGTGGCGAGACGAAAGGGATGTGCTTGGGAATAAATCGAATGTGTTGTCCCGAGCTCAATGAACTGCTGCCTGCGACCCACCAATTTGCAGAGAGGAGCTGCACAGCCCACCGACGAGACGACGAATTGCATGCGAGCGCCGCGTTATGGGCACATTCCACATCCACACGGCTGTGGATTCGACATTCAATTCACGAGCCGTTCACCAGCCGGCAACAAGTTCAGTGCGATTCGAAGGCTATCCAGAAGAGATTGAAATCAAATCAAACAATCTTCACGCTGCGATTCAATTTGAGTTACCACCATCAAGACAAAAGTCAACGCAGGTGACTCAGGAAAGAATCCTATTACACTATGTAAGGACATGTTTCCTATAACCGAGAAAACGCCAACTTTTCTACTTTATGCTCGCCAGATTAGCTCAGGTGAGGTTATCCGCAAGAATGTTATTCGAGGGAAGGTCGCCCAGAGGTAATTCTAGAGAATTTTATTTTTGACGAGGCCCAGAAAAGGGCCCGAGAGGAGATTGTCCCAGAAGAGGTCATTCAAAGAAAATCATCCTAGAGACTGGTAGATAACTCTAGATCAACCATTGCAACAATATAAGGCATGAGTCTCCTATCGTAGTACGCAAGCTTGTCCGAATAGTCAGCCTACTAGGTGGGTTCAGAGTGGGCAAACTAATACTTCCCCTCATACTACCTACCCCTCTTCACCGGCCTGGAGAACCGACGATCAGCTGTGGTAGTACGTCCTACCTTGACGACACAAATTGCTTCCTATGCGGGGAATCTCTGCTTACGCAGACGTAGACTGAGGAGCATCGGGACGCGGAAAGGTGCTCGATGCAAATTGAGATTTCCGGCGAACTTGAAACAATTTGGATATCTATTCTCAATGTCCTCTCGGTCGGAGCTTGATATATGCGTTTCAACACTTTTAGGGCAACATGTACACTTCGTTTCTTGCCATCTTCATAAGTCTCGTTTTCGGGATAAATGCTACTATTCATGAGCTCATTGTCGGTACATTCAGTACCAAGTTTCTGTACACGGTCGAGTTTGACGATGAAGCGTTGACTTTAAGCCTGTCGGCTAACATATCCGTGCCATACGCAGGCAACTGGATTGCTTTCAATGTAGGCTTCACTCCGAACTCTTTACCTTCTTGAATCATCGTCGCTAAGCGAAACACAGCACGACAAAAGGAATCTCTATACCACAGCCTACGGCCAATCCAATGAGCCGCAAAATCCGAAGTTCGTTAGCTACTCAGTCACCAACGCCACAGCCATCGAGCACCAGACCACCATACCCGCCGGAGGCAACTGCACTGCAACCTCGATCTTCGTGGTGGCGGACACGCACCACCCTTACAACGTCTACGGCACCTTCTTCTCGTCCGTGAAGGGTATAGACGCTGGCTGCGGGTCTGTGTTCTCTGTCGACGAGGGCGGCGCCCTGGACGCAGTCATTCAGAATTATACATACTTCGTCAACAAGTCTGGAGTCCACGGGGCTGCCCTGAGCCCAGATTCGCGGTTTTTGTATTCCGCGGACGACACAGGCAATACGCTCTGGACGCACGCGGTCGACACCGCCACTGGCGAGGTTACAGTGCTGGGGAACCTGACGGGACCTACACCTGGTTCTGATCCCCGCCACGTTGTTGTGCACCCCAAGGGACACTTCCTGTACGTCATCCTCGAGGGTGCCAGCCAGCTGGCGCAATACACAATCGACCGAGAGACCGGCCTGCCGGCCTACGAAGATGCCTACTCGCTCTTGCTCTCCGCACAGCAGGACCCGGTGCACTATTGGGCGGACGAGGTCGCACTGTCGGCCAGTAATAAGTACCTCTGGGCCAGCAACCGCGGCAGGAGCACGAATACCACTGGATACGTCTCGGTATTCTCGCTGGATGAGCGGGGCGCGATTGTAAAGCAGAACTTTCTTGAGGCTACGTCATCAAGCGGGGGATTCTCGAATATTTTGTCCCCGAGCCCGTATACCGATGAGTTTGCGGTGCTGACGGACAACTCGACGGGGTTTGTGGAGGTTTGGAAGCTCGATGAGAACGCTGGCTCGGCGGCAGTGGTTGCGCATCTTGACATTGATGATGGTGGTGGATGCTGCTCTAATGCTTTGTGGTACTCGTGACCAAGATATAAGACAGTGAGGGAAAAGTCATTTTGGTCTGACATTGTACGATGATAGTGAAGTTGGTAGGGTACAACAGAGAGCCTTAGTACTTGAACTCGAGCTAATTAACTATCCGTTTGGTATGCCTCGACCTGAGTTTGGGGCCGAATCAGACACCGCTCCCCAGCCTGATACCTTCCCGCTGCATGTGACACTGTCTTCAGGCTGGTCATTCTCTACTACTATAAACGGTATCCACTTCAAAATAGGGAAGAATGGTACTGGGCGAGCAAATTTGATTAGCCTCAGCTTCGACGTGCGCCCAGAATTACTTCCCTGCTTCACATCGGGTTCCTGCCCAGCAGTTGAATCACTTGCCACCAGCCTTGTCTTCGGGGGCAGCATCATCTTCGTCATCCTGGCTAAGCAAGAGTGGGGCAATGTCCGCGTTGCCACTTGAGCTGGGGTCGCAAATCGCTCTGAGAAAGTCCTTGAACTTGTTCAGCCGATGATTGGACAAGACATCAGCACCAAACTGCCGTACAATGTGTTCCAAGTCTTGTCGTTGTACTAATGTTTCCTTCAAATGGGATCGACCTCGCAGCCTGAGGTGGGGGCGAATGTTTCCGTGTAACCCGTAATTTTCTTCCAAAAGACCTTGATTCAAGTCCCAGAGGTTCATAAGATGGAGCCGTTCTGGTTTTATCCAGAATATCCAGCCCACAGACCTCAACCGGGACTCGCTCGGACATAACCGGTTGTACTGAAGCAAGAAATATGAGGTATGCCGGGGCCATCCAAATCTGATCATGGCCATTTCATTCATGTCGATATAAACGGCTGGGACATGACCAGCGGTTTCAAAATCTTCAAGACCGTCGTAGTCTTTGCCCAAGGACCAATAGGTGTTTCGGATGAAGTCAAGCCGGGCGGATGAGTCCCAGGAAAGAAAATGGCGTAGAAAGATGACGCCCAGCATCGCTATGTTGATGGACCAATCGTTGGCTTGACTGTAACGTGGCTCCACGAGGTGGTATATGTCGTCTGCGCAGTCTTCGGTTTCCAGAAACTGTTGAATTGTCTTGGTGGATCCAATCAGGGTGGTTGATTTGTCCAGAGCTTGTCGACCTATCTCATTGACAGCCAGCTCGAAGCTCTCCACAATCCCATTGAATGCCAAGTCGTACTGTGCTCGCACATACTCCTGGATACACAATACCTCCTCTTGCATAAATACCGGGAGCCGCGTCAAAGCTGCAGACAATCTCGATTTCATTGAGGCCTCCCAATGGCTCTCATCAGTGGCTGTAATCATGGGCACACCATCGATGCGACAGCATAGCTCGTAGAGCAGGAAACCCCTCCAAAGCCTCTTTGTCTCTTCGTCGTTCACTCGAGGTAGTTTGAATGAAGTACACCGAGCTCTAGATGCCTCGGGAGTAGAGAGCTTCAGTGTTCGGTGTTGAGACCTTGCAAAAGTGAAAGAGGTGTAGTCCGTGATTGCCTTGGCAATGTCTGCGTAGAGCTTCAAGGACCAATCGAAGGTGTCGAGGGTCAGGGGCCTCAAGTTAATATCATCGAGGAAATTGTGAAATTCATCCTTGAAGTTGATATTTACGAGCACACTGCACGGATCGGAATTGCAGTCCGAGTTTCTGGACATTTGAAGTTAGTTTTTTCTTCACAAGTGCGCTTGAGCAGTGAGACGACAAGGTCCATCATGGTCATTTGAAGGTGACATGCGCGCAGGGGGGGAATGACTTGCTCGTGATAGCAAAAGTGGGGAGCTGCCATGACCAGATTCATTAAATGCTGGGTCCTTGGGGGCAAGAAGCTCCTCATTGCAGAGAGTAGGATGTTGCGACGCCCAGTTACAAACGCGTGAAGGCAACCAGGGCTGGCACGGATGGTGTTGGCGACATCATTCGGAGCTGGCAGCGAGCAGAGGATGCGATCGTGAATGATTACCGGCAATTTCTCGAATTGCGGAGACATCCTGTATGCCGAGTACAGAACCTCTGAATGAGCTGATTAAAGTGTAGATGCTGCCTGAGACGTTAATTTTGACCCTCGAATGTGGTAGGTGCAAAGATTTACGGTCAGCTTCCGAAAGCAAGGACAAAGAGGCAGTCGCTCTGCAGCGTTCCTGCACCTTAGAACCTTGCTGGCACGTTCAGAGTGGCTTGTGCGTTGCTGAGTGAATTGGCAGTCAGTGACTGATGATTGTGCGAAGTTGAGTTGAGAGTAGGCTTTGGTCGTTGAAGTGCGTAGCTGGTTTGCCTGGGTGGGCCACAAGCGTTCTTGCAGTTGATCTGAGATGGATGATTTTCCAAAGATGCACTCTCAGAAAAGCTAGAATTCAAGCTGTTTTGTATCGACTACTTTGGAAGTTGTTGGTATAGAAGCAGACCACGGCTTCACTGTTTGCAACTGGCTCCGTTGGGCACGTCGAAGGTGACTGTCACCACCCATACAAATCTCCTTACCAAACGATTCCACTGAACGCCATCAAGTCCATTTGAAAACCCATCACCCCATTTTAATTTGTGTGCCATCAATTGATTGCCTGTTTACGTAGGCACCTACCTACTTTCCTAGACACCGAAGCAAAGTTGCCCTCCTTCTCACCCTGACATCAACACCCACACGGTCGCCCGCCACAGGTCTTGCGCCCTACTTACTTTGACCCCCAACCAGACCAATACCACATTATCCACGAACTGAAGCCTTTGATTTCGGATCCATCACGTCTGTTCATCATGGCCACGCAAACCAGTCTCTTCGAGGCCATGCCTCTCGAGCTGCACTTCAAGGTGCTCAGCCACTTGTCGTCACCAGAGGATGTTCTCTCCACCATGCACGCCAGTCCAGCTGTTTTGAAAGCAATCGCCATTGGCAGGGAGCGAGTCTACGTCTCTGTGCTTGAGGCAGCTCTCGCCCCGGAGGTCTTTCGCGAGTTACTTGCGATTGTATATGCGCCCGATCACAACAAATGGTCCGTCGCGTACCTTCCCCCAGCATTGCTAAGATGACATGGCAATAACCATGCTAACACTTGCTGAATCAGCTCACATGTACCCCCTCCAAGTCAAGAGACGAACGATGCAAGTATCCAAGAATGGCGGGCTTGGGAACGGCGCGTCCGTTCCTTCCTGAAGAGGCACGCCCGCGGCGCTGTCTACCCAACTCCTGATCCTCACGTAGACATCAACAAGTTCAAGACGGCGATAAAGTTTATGGTTCGACTTTACTTTTGCCTGTCCAAGTTTGTCAATTTCTACCAGACCTTTGTCCGAAGCATTGCCGGACGTACGTGGCCTGTTGCTCGTCCCGTTTGCAGAATCGAACAAATCCAGCAAGATCACGAGTGGTCACATCTCACTGAAACAGAGTTGCTACGGCTTCAGCGAGGTCTCTTGCGCCACGAACTGTGCTGTCGTTTGATCGGGCTTCCTTCAAAGGCTCTCAGCTGCAATGAAGTCTTCTTTTACCAGTTGGTTGACGCTACTCCACTCAGCAGCAACGATGCAGGACACCCTAAACTTTGGTTTGATTGTCCCTTCCGAAAGTTATTGCCGATAGACGAACTGGAAGAGATTAATTGCGCTTCATTTTATCTCAGGGGCCTTTATCAGATGTATCACTCGGAAGTTCGTCAGGAATTACAAAATGAGCTACAGATCCTGACCCTGAGTCGTGGAGATGGCAAGCTTGACAAGGATGGATCGGAAAAGAAAAAGGAAACTGTCGATGAGTGGATGTCATTATCTAAAGATCCAATGATTAACTCCGATCCTTGGACCGACATCAGCGCACGAAATTGGACGGATATCATAAGTCAACTGGGTCTGGTTTTTTTAGACCGATTTACCAAATCCACCCTCGCGGACCGCAGGGTCTTGATACGAGATACTCTTGCCACTTGGGACTATGAAGAACTTCCAACTTTTCATTGCACGTTCAGGCTTGAAAATCATCCTCGGGGGTCTCAGATGGTCGGCGGAGCTTACTGCAACCTCATGGTACGGACCTCTATCATCCGCGATCTGCACCACAGATTCGGACGCGACCGCACGATGGATCGCCTTCGGGTCCTCGGTTGGGCGTTCTTCGATGATCCATCAAGACTCGGCCCCCCGGGCCTTCCAAATGATGCTAACTCCTCCACTATACGCGCTTGGCTAAGAAAAGAGAAAATGTGCCAATCCTTCTGGCCATCTGCCCAGCCAAGAATACCTGACACAGTCTTGGGCACATTTATCAGCAAGAACGACTGGGAAGATACGGTCATGGCTAAATACGCATGCAAGGATCACTACGAAGATTACCACGCCATGGCACTTTTTGTTGCTGGTATCAGGGCGGTGTCTGACCTCAATTCGACCCAACTCCCCGCGTTCGATTGATCCATGGTTCGTGAGAGCGTTCCGGACCCTCGAGCATCTTGCTGCCGAGATCAAGAAGCCGGAAGGACAACACACACTTCTACATCACGAAGATTGGAGTTAGACTTTGACTTTAATCTAACAGATCATAGCTGCGACTTGGTGAATTTGGGCTTCTACAGATAGCACAAGCAATGGTCAAGTTGAACCAGCCGCCGTAGTCACTACTTGGCGTCAAGAATTGATTCAGTGATTCAGCCCGCCACGTAGGACTGCCGTTTGCCTCTACTCGTGGACAAACGCACGAAGTGCTGCAAATCTCTCTATGAAACTGTGAAATACAAACGCTTCCGTTTGCGTACGGTCACTGGAGCCACAGTGTTGTGATCTGGCCAGTGAGTTCTATGAGGTGAATCACAACGTTCAAAGTGAATTGAAGTCCACCAAATCTCTTCCACTCCAGATTTCCTGCTAACGTCGGAAGACATCTAAACTCGCCCCTGAGGTTTCCCATCTTCGTAGTCTTTGTAAATACTTCGTCTTCATTTCTCACCTACAATTTCCCATCTCACCAGCTTACATCCTCCATCATCGTCATCAACCTTCAACAACGCCAGCAACACATAGCCTCCTGGGAAGCAACTTCTGAGTTGTTTAACCATCCTTTCCCAATCTGAAATCGCATTCCACTGCCAAGTTCACATTGTTCAACGCCAAGAACCAAGATGGCGCCACACATTCCACCAGCCTTCGAGGCCCTACCTGTCGAGGTCCACGGCGATATCCTTCGGCAGATGGCATCCCCTGAAGACGTCTATTCCACGATCAAAGCCAGTCCAAAAGCCTTGAGCAGTTTCTTGTGGTCGAGAGAAGCAATCCTCATCGAAGTTCTCGAGACCAATCTGCCAGCTGAGATCTTCGTAGAGTTTCTTGGCCTGCTTCACATTCCTCAGTACGAGAATTTCAATCATGTTCCCAATCGGAGGTACGTTTTATTGAGCTACATGCTTCCTTCACCTCATGGGTTGGCTCTGGAGCTATGGATGCTGAGGGCTACAAATTTAGTGATTACGAGGATAGAACTCGTTACATCGATACGGACTACGGTCGTTTCGCTTGGGAAGCCTGCAGATACGAAGCCTGGCCCGGTATTGCCGGCAGCTTTTTGCAAGCTCACTTTGGACATGTCAATGGAGCCAAATCGAGCGGTGTTCAGAGACATTATAGCACACCAAGCCCAGCCGACAAGCGCGAAATCAACTACATTGTGTCAATGTACGGAACACTAAAACGGTTCATTCAGGACTACCAGTCGTTCGTTCGAAGCATCCTAGCCGGTGTACCCCCTCCTCTCTCAGACCTAGACCCGTCATTTCGGCGAGAGGAAGCCCTCGAACCCAAGCACTGGCCCCCTCTTAGTCCGAACGAAACACTTCGCCTGCAGCGGGGGTTTCTTCGGTATGAACTCTGCTGCCGCCTCAACGGTATCCCAGCTTGGGACACGCGTCTCAGGCAATGGACTACGGATGCCTCCGAAGGGCCCTTTGACTCACTGTCGGGCTTTCTTCAGCGTTGGGAAGAAGAGGAGATCCGGTCTGTCTGGACCTATGTCCACCGACAGTACCAGGTTCTTGTTCGCGAAGTAATGACCGAGTTTCGCTGCGATGTTAGGCGCCTCAGCAGGAAGGCCCGAAATTCGCCTGAGAACGAGGTGGTTCTCCTGCGAAACATGTCCTTCGAATTGGACATTGATTACTTTGGACGGTGGACATATTCCATGTCCTGCCTCGGTCTTCCCCTTCTACAGCAGCTCCTTAGGTCTGAGTTCGACGATCAACGGCGATTTGTCAGGAATACCACCTGTGAACTGGTTGTAGATTTTGAGGGAGCATTGTTCCTGTCCAAGTACAACGACGTGACAATGGAATCGTTCCCTCAGCCAATGAGAATCAATCTTCCGACAACTACCGGTGCAAATCCGATATATGAACGCATCACCTACGGCTTGACAACCTGGTGTCCTACCAATCTGGGGCGGCGCCGCGAGAGACTTGAAAAGGCGGAAACAAGGCTCAAGGAGCTCGGCTGGGTATTTTGGGAAGACAAAGTCAGGCTGAAGAATCTCCGACTGCTTGACGTCGAGCGTCTCGTCAACCATACTACACAGATCGTATTCGAAGCCGAGCGGAGCTACCCGGAGGAGGGAATGTATGTCACCAAAGAGGACCGCGACGGGGAGTTGTCAGCCAAGTATGCAGTCTTCGCAACTGGTGAGGAGAGCAGGGAGTGCTATTTCTTTGATCGCCTCAGGGTTATCAGCAACTGGTCATCCAAGGAGATTTCACCGGAATTTCAAGAGCTCTGCTCAGTGGAAGGTCCAGATGAGTAAGCGCCGGTGATACAGGCATTCATAGGAAACTAAGAACCGCGAGAAGACATTTGAGTACTTATGATTATGAATATGTAAAAAGCCTGATAGTTTCTCTTTCAAGTCATGTGCCATTTGTCGCCTACTCTGAACCCCAAGGGGAAAGGATCCGTAGGGTGCAAAATGACTTGCTTGAATGCGGTTATCCAAGCGCTTCCCTTGACTTTGGGAATGATGGCATCATACTCGCCAACTTTTGCTTGGCCCGCAACTGTGGAAATGAACTCGGTACCTATGACGCTGCGGTGGCCAAAGGACTCGCCCACGTCTAGCTGCTTTCGCTTGTGAAGCACAGCCATTCGTGCACAAGTACCCGTCCCGCACGGGCACCGATCCAGTCTGCCAGGGGATACCACAACGGTATTGATGGCTGTAATCTTGCCGCCATCGCTAGGGTCTGCTCTGATGAGCGGTTCTGTAAACTCAAGGGCGGTCACGCCGCGTATCTTCTGATTCTCGGGATGAACGGGATCAGTCTGTTCCTGGACAGCCCGCTTGATACGCTCCCCAACCTCGACAAGTTTGGCTCCATTCTTGGTGTCAATCTTGAGACCAACCGATGCGGCGTCGACCAGTGCATACCACATTCCTCCATAAGCAATATCCACTTTGACAGGATTATCAAATCCAGGCACGGTAATGTCCAGATCTAGAGCGTAGACAAAGGCCGGCACGTTCTCCAGCTCGACGTACTTGACTTTGCCCGCCTCACACTCGGCACGGACGGTGACCAGCCCAGCGGGACAGTCGAGCTTGAGCGTCGTGACGGGCTCTCTCATGGGCACCATGCCCGTCTCAAGAAGAACAGTGGTGACACAAATTGTATTGCCGCCTGATATAGGAGGATACTCGTCGTGCTCCATGACGATGAAGCCGGCGTCCGCTTCGGGGTTGCATGGGGGGAGCACAATGTTGGCGCACATGGCAGAGCTGCCCCGGGGTTCGTTCAATAGTAAGTTCCGGTACTGGTCCTCATGGTCCCAGAAGTATCTCATCTTTTCGTACATGGTCGTGCCCGGGACGTCGCGGACGCCGCCGACGATAACGTCACCGACGTCGCCGGCGCAGTGAGCGCCAACGACGTTAAAAGTCCGTCCGAAGCTCATGATTGATGGAGGTGACCAAGTAAGCGCAATATTCTGAACGCGGAGAGGTTGGTTAGGCAAGAGACAACACGAGTGATTGAACTGTTTCCTCGGGATGGCCCACGGGAATACGTTTCGAACAGAGCAAGCACTCTAATACTCTATATAAGGACAAGAATAGAATGTCAGCACCGATGACTGGCTTGCGGGGTTGAGTCTGCGAAATTTGTGGGTAACACCGTTGTGTCAATTCGAGAACGAAAAAGGCAGGCCACTCCTGTGGAGTTTGTATTTCGAGGAACCTAGACTATTCATTAGCGCGCTCGAGAGCCCAAGCCATAGTTGTGTATAGCATTTCATGTGAAGCTTTTGGATTTGTAAGTGAGGGTGGACTCGAAGCCGGGAGTTACAGGGCGCACTATGTCGCAATCCCAGCCAATGACTGGTCTTCGTGCCGTTACATCCCGCTGGCCTGATTCGGAAGTCCACTCCGTGTGGAAGTCCGCCCCATTGGGAAGTCTATTACATTGGGCAGTTGACTCCAGCAGGCAGCTTCTTCTCGTCAGAAAGAGGCGACTTTGCCACAGTGCCGGACGAATCAAGGAACAGTATAAGCTCGTTTCAACTCATTAACCCCCACTGCATTGGCTTTCGTCAGTATCCGGGTAGTTCATCCTTCCGATGGCTGCTATATCAGACAGCATTCCAGAGATAGCATCTTAAAGTGTCGTTGCATTGCCTCTAGTAGACATAGATCTTTTCAAAGACGTCAAAACAATCTCGCATCCTCTTAACAAAATGAGTGCCAACACCACCCTGACAACAACTGAGCGCCATGATGAGCCTTCAACGGGCGAGAAGAGTACATTGAGTATTCTAACAGCCTCGGGATTTCAAAGCCTTGCTCAGGGCGGGCCCATGAAGGGAATTCCTCATTTCAACTCCTTCGAAAAAGAGCGTAAGTGGATGCTTGAGCACATGGCTGGTGCATTTCGAGTCTTTGCAAGAAAAGGCTTCACCGAAGGTCTGGCAGGACACATCTCGCTTCGGGATCCTGAGTATAAAGACTGTTTCTGGACTAATCCGTACGTGAAAATTTTGACTTCGCGATTCCCATCCCGTTCCACGATCAAGTTCAAACGAGGGCTCTATCTTTGAACATATTATTTGAACACAAGGCATGGATTGACGGAATGATTCCCTTGTAGGTTGGCGTTACACTTTGGTCTAGTCAAGGTCTCCGACTTGATCTTGCTCAACCACGAAGGTGTAGCTATCGGCGGCAACACTTCTCGACCGGCCAATGCCGCTGGCTTCCAAATACATGGCCATATCCACCACGCCTACCCGCATGTGAACGCTGCTTGCCACGCACATTCTGTCAACGGACGTGCTTGGGCCAGTTTCGGAAAGCGCTTGGACATGCTCCATCAGGACGTCTGCAACTTCTACGGGGACGCGCACCAAGTCTATAATGACTTCGGGGGAGTTGTTCTGGATCCCAAAGAAGGTGAAAGACTTGCCTCTGCTATAGGCCCCCACGGCAAGGCGCTCATCCTGCAGAATCATGGACTTCTGACGGTTGGCAAGACGGTCGATGAAGCGGCTTACCTGTTCTCACTTCTCGAAAATTGTTGCGAGATCCAGCTGAAGGTAGAGGCTGCTGCTGCTAACGGACTCAAGAAGGTGCTTGTCACCACTGAGGCTGCTGAGTGCACTGCTCAGGCAACAGGCAACCCCGTCAGTATGCTCTTTGAAATGAATCAAGCTCGTACTAACGTTGATTCCTTCTCTCCAGGATGGCTTGTACATGGACTTTCAAACCGATTACGAATATGAGCTGGTAGTTAGCAAGGGTGATTTTCTGAACTAAGTGGTAAGTCATGGAGATGACAGGGCACTAATAGCATTCACTTTTATTTTTGATAATGAACAAGCACTTGCTGCACACCGCACTTTGATCTCGACGGTGGTATGTCGTGGATATATAGCCGTGACAGAACTTTTAAGGGGAGCCCAAGAGTACGTGTAGAAAACCAGTCTTTGACTATGGTCTCACATAGTTGCAAACGTATCGTTAGTCCAACAAATTCGTTTCATCCACGGCGGATTCAGTCAAGAATAAGTCAACGCCAAAGACACACGACAAGATTGTGACGCCTTGAAAGCTGTATCATGTCATTTTCATGTGTCTGCCTATCACAGTTTCCAGATTGAATACCACCCTGCCTCTAACGCTGGGATCAATCCTCGTGTCGACGGGATGGATAATGCATGACGACGATCAGATGAATACGACACGAGTTGGGGAATGCCAAGGGCCAGATGTCTTCGAAATGATAAGACAGGCCGCCCCTTACGCGGCTGCATCTCGACAGGCCGGACCGGACCTGCAGTGGCTCTCGGCTTGAGTCGGCACAGGCGTCCCTAGCCAATAAGGTGGAGCTGTTCAGAACTGCCCGATCTGGCGGCAGCAAGGTGGGGAGGGAGAAGCTTCTTCGGGGTGGGTTGCTGCATACACAGGCCGAGCTCGGCTAGAGGAACCTTTGGGAAAACCTATGGACCCACAGTAACATTGCTGACGAGAGTACTTTCAGTGTCCAGATAGGTAGACTATAGAGCGTCTTAATGCCATCTCGGCCACTCAATCTACTTGTGGCTAAGTTATTGCGCAACGGGTGAAGAATATACATTGTTTGAATCAACCCTGTGCCAGACGTGTCGTGCAAACCTCCGCTGTTGCTCCTCCACCAATCCCTGACTTGACTCATCATGGCGTCCTCTGGAGCACAGGCAGCAAATGTCCTCCTTTTCGGTGGTGGCGCCGTGGGCACCATTGCCGCGCTCAATATTGAATCCGGCAAGCTGGGCACTGTGACCGCCGTTTTGAGATCCAATTTTCAGGCTGTACGAGAACATGGCTATCGGATTGAGAGCATCGATCATGGCAAGCTGACAGGATGGCGACCTACCAAGGGTAAGCGGTGGCGGCAGTGGTGATCCCACCCTTGCACTCAGATACCGTGCGACTAACGTCGAGACTTCAGTGGTTAATGGCGTCCCCAACGTGAAGCAGGATTCATTGCCCCCGTTCGATTACATTGTCACCACGACGAAGAACTACCCTGATGTATCCCCTACCCTCCCAGAGCTCATCGCTCCGGCCGTCACTCCTGGCCATACTGTGATTGTCATGATTCAGAACGGCTTGAACATTGAAAGGGCCATGTTTGAGGCATTCCCGACAAACATTGTGCTCTCTGGAGTTTCCATGATCGACAGTCATGAAGGACAGCCCGGCGAGATCTTTCACGAAGACCACGATATCCTGTATCTGGGAGCTTTCACCAATCCCAATATTCCCGACAAGGAAAGCGAAATCAAGGCGGCGCACGACTTTATCAAAATTTATGGCGCCGCAGGCAAAACCAACGTTCAGTTCTCCGAAGATGTGCCATGGGCAAGGTGGCGGAAGTTGATCTTCAACGCCGTCTTGAACCCGATTTGTGCCATCACAAGCCTGGATTCTGCAAGAGTGCGACTGACCAACAGCCTGGTGGAGGAGCTGGTCCGGCCCGCCATGAAGGAAATTTACGAAACTGCAAGCAGGCTAGGGCACAAGCTTCCAGAAGATATCGTAGATACGATGATCAACTTCGATCCGATGGATTTGTACCTGAAGCCGAGCATGCAGTGTGACATTGAGAAAGTAAGCGGGTCCCTCTTCTTCGATGAGCTGGTTCATGAGAATATGACTGAGGTGCTGACGACCGCAGGGTAACCTTATGGAGATTGAGTATCTCATCGGAGAGCCGCTACGAGAAGCTGAGAAGCTTGGAGTTGCGACTCCTAACCTAAAGGTCATTTATGAGATAAGCAGAGCCTTGCAATGGAGAGTAAAGGAGGCCAAAGGAATCGTCACGGTACCACCGAAGAGGCAATCTTGAATGGTGCCAATCCTCTAGAATGGAAATGTACATGAACACCATATACACTGTAGAAGCGCAGTACCAATCCCTTAGGAGTAGAATATGCCGCTGAAAGATCAAGAATATTTCAACTCAGTATTGATCAAATGATCAAGATCTGTTTCTAGGCTCTCACTAGCCGAAACACGTTTATGTTGTTCGCGCCGCAATCATTACAAGGGGCACAGTACGGTGCATTAAGAAAAAGAAAAACAAAAGAAAGGCGAAGAAGATGGTGTGCCCGTGCTTCCCAATCGTTGCGCAGCACTCTTGGACCAACTCCCTCGGTCTCCAAATTATATCAGTCTCCGGCAGTCACACGGCATTTGCAAGTGTTGCTGACAAGCTGGCGGGTGTATTGGCAGGGGTGGTGGAACTCGAGGTAAATCAGCAACTATTGTAACTTTCTCAGGTTATTACTCATGTTGTTGCGGCTCTACTTGCTTTCACCCGTCTTGGCTTGGTGTTATCAGATTATAGCCAGTCCACCATGGTGGTCAAGAAACTGCTGTAAAGAGCCAGTCTCAATATTTTATGGTCATTTAGTCGTATCTCGCAAATCAGCCCTAGTTGACACGCCTCCTTGCATATTCCTATTTCCTATTCTTAGGTTTCTCGGTTGAAGTCTGGGCGCAAACGGCCGTAACAGACATTGTCCTTAAATTCAATACAATTATAGCCTGGAGAGGCTCGCCTACTTAGCATCTCGTCATGTTAGAACTAGATGAAAGCCATCTAAACTGGACAAACAAGAAGATGCACAGGGACGATCCCATATTCTCTGAAGGGCCTTTTTGGAGAGACTGAATGTCCCCACGCCTTCCGTACCAACCAGATCAAACCAGCCTAGAAATCGAGTCTGAATGTCGTGGCTTAGAGCTTGGGACCCCGCAACGAAGGCAGGCCAGATCATGGATCCTGCGCGGAGCCCATGTTCCTTCTTGACTTGTGCAATCTGCTCGAGATACTCGATGACCTGGTGCACATACGGTTGGAGGTGTCTTTGATTCATATGAAGACATTTCCGGCAGTAGAAGATGATTAGGGCTTTGTGGAATGCGCGAGTGTAGAGCTGCATTATCAAGCGCTTCTCAGGCGAGACAGGGGCGTCCTCAAAGTGAGCAATAGTATCCTCCACTGGCCAGCCAAGGATCTTCTCTTCAAAGTCTTCGAACTCGGCATGTCCAGGCTGAGAATCTGCGCCGTGGAGAGCGCCATCCGACTGGTATTTTCGTTTGGACCGTATCAACATGTTGGCCTTGCGAATAAGCAACAGTAGACTATTCGGGATACCGTATACGATTGCACAGGACCACCAGCCGAATTGTTCCGCTGCCTCGTACGTGGTGATGAGCGCCGTCAAATCTTCCAAATGGCACCCGGTAATGGTCGATTCATCCGTAGTCGGGGTCACGACACTATTGAAATTTTCGCAGAAGAGTTCGGTAGCCTCCTGCATTGTTCGAATGTACAAAAATATAGTGTGAAGACCTTTGCTCGGCTCTGGAATGTCGCCCTTGGCCTTTCTCAACTGCTCTTGTATCAAAGTATGACATGCCCTCAAATGAATCCCAGAAACCTTTGTGTCAGCAGACATAACCTAAAATCAAGAATTAAGCGATTGCTACGGGTGGCAAAAGGAGGGCGCGGGGTCCTATCTTGGAGCTTACATCAATTGTCACCATAGACAGCATCGCTGCAAGAATCTCGTTGTAGACAGGGAAGTCGAGTGTACCCTGCGAAGCTCCCACGCATGCTTCGAGCAGGCTCAAAGCTTGACACTTGTAGTCAGAGGCTAAATAGCTCCATTTACGACTGTCAGTATCTTCGGCAGTACGAGACTGGATGTTGTTTATGTTATATGCGCTGACAGCCAAGATGGTATGCAAAAGAGCGCGCTTGGATCTCGTCGAGTGGCCAAGGATGTCAAGCTCGATGCTACACAACATAGCTTGCGGGAGGTGAACTTCTTTCCACGGATTATGGCTAGTATCGAGCGTGCCCAAGATTGGAACGACATTATTCGCATAATTTTGCAACAGAATGCGGACATTTGGCGTCAGAAACCCACTTCGTGTATCGGAGGCTGCAGCAGGAGGGAGACGGACCACATATGGCTGAGGTCGCGGGTGAGTCGATTGTTGTGGTGCCTCTGCGTCTCGACTCGAGGAAAGCGATGGCGGGTCGACCACTGTCTCTGAAGCTACAGGCTGTTCCACCATGTGTCCAGCGGCGATGACCGGAACTCCCAAGGGATTGTCCGTAGCATTTGATACGTGAACGAGATAGGGAGTCGAAGGTGACGATTGAGTCTTGGGGTTGCCATGCTCGTCACCGGCGGGCTGGGAGCGGACAGAGATGGCAGAGAGGCTGTCCCTCTGCCACTGGGCTTCGGGGGAATCGTCACTGGGGCTAGCCAGGGTGTCGAAACACTTAGTAGCAGAGTCCGGCGTCATCGTGTCAGACGATAGGGCTGGAGTCACCGCAGACGGCACCGCGGCATCGTGGACGGTTGTGGTTACGGCAAAGACGGAGAAAGGGCCTGATGTTGCTGATTGCAACTGGAGACCTGCTCTGTCTATGTCAGACAAGGCCGTCTCGAGCTCGAGCTCGCTCAGAAGGGTCAAATCGTGTGCTATCGCAGCTCGTCAGTCAGGACAGAGTACGATAACATGACGTGCGGGACAAGGGTGCGCATACCGAGGAGCAGACGACGTCGGTGCTGCTGCCTCTTTTCGTGCGCAAGCGGCTCCTCATGCTGCTGAAGAGTGAGGGCCGAGCGCATGGGCGGCAGCCACTGCAATCGAGTCGCGTAGCCCTCACAGCGTAGGCCCTTGGTCCGGCATTGTAGGCAATATGGCCGCCCTTCGTTGCACTTGAGACGCCGTGCACGACACGTCCAGCAGCCGGTAAAGGTCTTGCGCATCCGCATTGGAGCCTTGCCGAGGCGGATGGCCGGCCGAGTTGACACTGGGGGGCAGACCCGGCTGATCCTTCATCACCGTCGGCCAAGCAGAGATGTGAAGTACGAGGTAGAAGCTACCCAATTCCGTCGCGGTGGCTGTACAGGCGTGCGTTATATCATGTTGGACAAGTCAAGATGTGGAGATATAGAGGTCTAGAGATGACGGACCGCCCAGAAGGCGCTATGGGAGTCGACGCCCCCCCCCCCATCTCGGCTTTGATTCCGACAACACGCTTAACTCTCTTTGACAACCAGATATGCTGGCGTCGTGCGACGTAATCAACACTGCGATACTGTGGTAGCTTTTGCTGATTAATAGGACCAATGCCGATTGTTACAATTTCGCCAGTGAAAATTACCGGCCCGGTTGAAGAAACTTTGGCCCGCAACTACCGTGCCGTTGATAAGCGACGATTCAGCTTGATCTATCGGCACTGCAGGACATTGCCTCAGTACCGCTATCATCGAAGCTTGTCCATCGGGAGAAATTTCCTCTTATTAGAATCGTCTTTGTGTGCCTCTCCGACATCCAATGTAATAGATCCACCGCAGAATCATGAAATCCTGCAGCGCTCTTGGATATTGTCTTGCCTTCATTAGATGCTCCCCTAGGCCCACTGTTGTGCCCAGATTTTGAAAACTAACAAATGAGAAAGTGCCATGGTTCGGCGATCATGGATGGCGTATTGAGCACAACCTATCGGGACAACAATCCTCGAATATCGAGATTTATAGCCTGCAGTACGCCTGCGGACTTGGCTGAGCGCTTCCAAATTCGCCTCGCCCACGATAGCGGTGGCTCAAGCGTCGCGGCTAATTGAAATATGCAAGCAATCAAAGTTAGCTGCAAAGGACTTCCGGAGGCGCTGCAAGCAAAACGTCTGATAAGCATTTTGGGCACCAAAAGCCCGCAAGTACTCCAAAAACATACTTGGTCACCCTATTGACCTCGGGTTATCCACATATACAGGTGTAAAATGGTTAAAATTAAAGGATAGTTGAAATTAAGGTTGAGGATATCATATCAAAATATCAAGGGGTCAGAGATATGAAAAATACATGAGACAAAATTTTGAAAAACTAAAACAATGTTACATATTAATAGAAAAGGATAAAAACATGAAGGATATAGAGAATATAGTAAGTATAAAGATTACAGAGATATAAGGGTATAGTTTAGAGATGTGAAGGTATAGAGAGTACAAAAGATAGCGCAGCTTTCAGCTTATTGCGAGAAGTACTTTAAAATCTTAGGTGTGTATACAGAAATATTGGTACCGGGTGGGCCGACCTTGGCTACTTGCAAGGGACAGTGGCACTGATGATGTGCCTCTTGATGCCAAGGCAACGGCAGGCTACTGACCACAACAATGACGGGAAGATGAACCGACTGCTTACCGTGCAGATGTCGGTCTTGGAATATGCACGAAGTATTATTCCAATCTTGGAAGGTTTCGTCTTCACTTTGCAAGCTCTGCATCTTGTCCAATTAATGGACGAATGAGTGTTAGACAAATTACGTCAGTCTCGCAGCTCAGCTTGTCGCATCAGACCTGAACATCCCCTTTCGGGAAGTATTCGACGACACCATCGTTTGCGTTGCTGGTGCACTTACTTCAGCATCATCATCTTCCAGTAGCGAAATATCTTCCTGAATGGGCCTTTCGTGTATAAATATTGCGGCATCGTCTATGGAAACCGACACCGTCCCCGTTGCTGATGTGTGCATAAATGTGCCTGCTGAGGGTTCCCCGTCATCTGCTATCATCCATACCTGCTATACACATTTGATCCATCCTCCAATCCGACTTTTTTTGACTTGAATCATGTCTGAGTCTGCCGACCTGCGTATTGCTTCCAAGCGAGCCTATTACGACAACAACAAGCCATATGGGGAGTCCGAAACCATCACCCTGTACATCTACAATGCCGGACCTGATCGAGCTGTGGCTCCTACCGTCAAAGCCGGCTACTCCTATTCTATGAACTATGAACAAGTCACAACTAGCCTCCGTCAGGCACAGGAGTGGGGTCAACCATCTGAAGTCATCACCATTCCTGGGTCTCTTACTTGGGCCGACCTGCCCAATCCGTCCAGTCACTACGAGGGGTGGGACATGTTGACCACTCTACCTGATGTTCCAGGCGGCACACTCATGGAGCTCAACTTGTCATTTCCTATGCTACACCAGTCCTCCAATGCCGATTATACGATGAAGGCGTCGGTGTCGTCCTCCACTGACGATCCGCAGCCGGGCAATAACTCGACGACATATATCATCACCCCCAACCACCACGACGACGGTCCAGACTACTGGAACACTCCCGGCGACGTCTCCAACCTGGACTTTAAGGGCTTGACTGCCGTTGTGCCACTTTCGCAGGCAGATCTGCGGGTTGCCTCTGCCCGGGCCTACTACAATAACGACTTACCCTATGGGGAGAGCGAGACGTTGACGTTCTTCATTTTTAACGCTGGGCCAACCATTGCTACCCAGTCTCTACTAAAGGCGGGCTATACGTGGTCGATGGACTACAGCAAGGTGTCCTGCAGCGGTGGTCAGGTATGGGTGCCTGATGGCACCAATCCTTCGCCGAGTCTAGACGTCTACGAGTGGCAGCCGCTGGATGACTTGAGCTGCCGTATTGCGGACTGGGATGTCATCTGCGCCATGCCCAACATCCCGCCCAGCGTGTTATACCGTATTGAGATCGTTTTCCCAATGACCCATGACACTTCATACAAGGATTATACCGCCACCGCATCTGTTTCCTCTGACGCTGCGATGCTCAATCCCAGCAGCACTTCCACGACGTACATCATCACCCCCAATCATGTCAACGATGGTGAGGAGTACTGGAAAACCCCAGGGAACATCTCCCAGCTGGACGGTTCCTCCACTCCGTCTGGGAGTTGCACGTGCTTGACTGGCTGGGCGCTCGATGTCCCGGTCGTCGTGTGAGACAGCAACGGGCGCCGGCAGATCCCGCTGGGCGACCTTGAGGGAGAGATCACCAAGACGCAACTTATGAGCTATGACCTCGGGCAGAGAACTTTGTTGCCCAAGATGGCCGCCGACGTCGAATACGGCACCTCGTCCGCATTCACTGTCGTGTCCTTCTCCACAGATGGAAAGACGCAACTGTCCTATCGTGCCCACCCGGACACGATGTTGTACCTGTATCCCCAGACTGTCAAAGTAGGCCAGGACCAGCTGCGTATTGGCTACTGGCTCCCGGTGCGGATGCTCTGGGTGGGTGCCAAGGTGAGAGGGATGAGCGCCAACGGCTCCGAGACAGAAGTATATGTGACCAACATCCACCAGACCGAGGGAGCGGAGATCCGCAGCGCCGAGCCGCACATGGTGAGCCAGAGCCACAGCTACGTGGTCGGGACCGAGGCCGCGGGCGGCGTCCTCGTGCATAACCCGAAGGATGACCAGCGCTGTGGCAACGCCAACGTCGCCGCCATCCTGCTCGCCGTCGCGATGATTGCAAGCGACCTGGTCGCGACGACGACGCCGGCGCCAGACGAGACGGATCAACCGCACGGCTATAGGCTCCGGCACAGACGCACTACAGACCCGCCCCTGCCGCCGCCCCCGGCCGAGCCGCCCATCCTGCCCGCAGACGTGCCCCGGCGCGACGAAGACGGCAACTGGCTGATCTACCTGTACGAGGAAGACACCCCAGGGGCAGTAGAGAACGCCCGCTTCGCGGTGAACGAGGTGAACCATCCTTGGCAGCTCACCTACGATCCCAGGGGCACGCCTGCCCGGCGGTCCAGTCCACAGGGCAGTACCAGTCGCAGAGGGAGCTCCTCCAGCTCACTACCCAGGAGCTTGGGGGAGGGTCTGGCAGTACAGGGCAGCTCGATCGCGACGAGTACCCGCCGGCCATCGCTCACGAGGGGGGCGCTGGTGCCGTCGTCACGTATATCGAGGCCGGAGACAACCGCAGGGCCGGTAGCCTGATGGGCCAGCAGTTCAACAACTACCGCATGGACCCGCAGCCCGATGGGCATCGGCCACTCCAGCAGGGGGACACGTTCCGGTTTGCTATCATCCACAGGAATATGGCCGGCGTCGAGTACCTAGGAGACGACCTCAGTACCGAGTCGCAGATTGAGCGCCCACCTACAGACTGATCGACAGCCCTGGGTTGTTGATTACCAGGCAGCGTACCGTGATCTTATACGCAAGCAATCGCACAATAGCTAAAGGTTTCCATTTTTCTGTCATGAATGTATGGGCCTTCGCCTCGAAATTACATAGGCCTCAAGAGACAAAGAACTGTGAGAATTTTGAAAGTATCCTTGATTGGTATTCTAGATTCATGAGATTGTGCGTCTACAAGTGTCTCTCTCTTGAAGAATAAGTGACTTGAAAAACTCTTATATCGGGGGTGCTTCAGGATTGTAGTCGAGGGTCGTTGATCTTCTACTATCTCCCAATAATATTACTATCTTCAATGTCGGCTTTGTTTCCCGGAAACAAAGCATTGTATCCTCTCACAGCTAGTTCTGTCGCTCACTTAATGATAAAAGACTAATAAAAATTACTTGAGTATTTTAGTCGCCGACGCGGCCATATTATAAGGAAAGCTAACGGCCGATTTGAGATGCCAGGCCCGGAATGACGCCATGCACGTCTAGTGCTATTGTGTACTTTGTTGTAGCCTATAGTTCGAATGAACTTTAATATCGCCAAGTTGCCAATGCTTCGTTTGCCAACGCAAGCTTACGCTAAGCCTCTTGCTTCCTTCCTGATTCAGCCATGACCAAGAAAACGGTCGATGCACCGATAGCTGGGCACTGCGAGATCATCGGGCGTAAGAGCAGAAATGGCTGACCCAGTGTGGTCCACTGCAAATGCCCAGAGATACGATCCGGCAGGTCGGTTCGGGTACATCTCTCGATGGCGACCTTCTTGCTGAGGGGATGCTTAGGTGGAGAGTTGTCGGAGTGCTTATAAGGAGCTGCAGATCTCCGAGCATGCTTGGTGGATGTATCAACCAGATCCCCCCTCCTATCTGGAGACAGTAGTGAATCCTTCCACAGCCTTGAAAATGGTTAGAAAACAGTCATATGCGGCGATCTTGGCCGCAGTTGTATCCTTTCACAAGACGGCCGGTGTAGAAATCGACATGACCCATGTCGCATCGTCTCAGGAATATCTGTCGGGCAAGGTTCACGCCAGAAGCATGGCAGCCAAAACTGTGAGTCTGGCTCTCGAAGTTTGTTTCACTTCACGCGCAGCTGACATGAGATAGGCACAATGGGACTCGGAATTAGCGGCAGGGTTGATGCAAAGTGCTCAGTACCCTGAGTTGAGTTATACTCCCTGTATCGACGGCCTCGCCGCAGCCATTCCCGGAGATGCCAACAACACCTTTCAGTGCAACAATGTGTGTATTGTCAACAACATTTCATGAGAAAGAATAATTGCGCATTGTATGGCCACTGAAAATTCTTAGATCGACCTGTATCATTTTCTTTCTCATGCAGATCTCGGAAGCACACAAGGTTTCGGGTCCTCCTCGTGGGGATGGACATCCGAGGATGGGCGAGAGTTCGTCGCCATCGGCCAGTACGATGGAACAGCTTTCGCAGAAATCACGTCCGAGGGCAAACTGCTCTACCTCGGGCGACTCCCACAATACGATCCCATCGGCTCGAGATGGCGAGAGATCAGGACCCTGGGCGACCTGGCCATCATCGGCTCGGAGGCTATCGTGCACGGTGTGCAGATATTCGACATGAAGAAGCTTCTCGATGTGGACCCGGCCAGCCCGACTGTCTTCACCCAGGAGGATCTTACTGGTCACTTCAACAAGCTGCCTGTTGGAAGAACGCACAACATCGTGGTGAATGAAGAGCTTGGCTATGCCATCGCTGCTGGATCTGTCGGCGGCAACGAGACTGTGCGGAACCGTGACAATCTACCGTGCCGTGGAGGGCTAATTTTTATCAACATGACCGATCCTTCTAACCCCACCACACCCGGGTGCGCTGCCGGTGATGGCTACGTGCACGATGCGCAATGTCTTGTCTACCGTGGGCCAGATGCACGTTACCAGGGCCGTGATATCTGTTATGGTTACAATGAAGGTAGGACTTATTACTATTGCATTAACGACCTCCTTCTTTCAATACAATGATTAACGTTAACCTGGAATTATATAGACACTCTTACGATATACGATGTCACAAACAAGATTGGCAATTTCACCAAGCTGATCTCTCGCACCTCATATATCGGTGCCAAGTACATTCACCAAGGTGCTGTGCTTGATATATCCAATCAGGAGTTCCTTGTGCTCGACGATGAGCTAGATGAGCGTGACGGTACAGAAGGCCCAGCGACCAACAAGTTGCCCATCACATACATTTTCGACATCCGCGATCTCGAGTCGCCCAAATTGACTGGTTATTATGAGGGAAAGACTCGTTCCATTGATCACAACCAGTACATCGTTGATGGGTATAATTATCAGTGTGAGTTTACCCCAGTTGGAGCCAGTCTGTGCATCTACAGCCCAGCCACACAAATGCTCATCTCTTTTCAACAGCAAACTACGGTGCGGGGCTGCGTGTCCTCGACGTCTCCTCGATCCCGTCTGACCCAACTGGTGCCGGGGTCTGCGAAGCCGGGTTCTTCGACATCCACCCTGAGGACGATGGGGCCGAGGGAGGCGGGCTAGTCGCGTTCCTCGGCACCTGGTCTTCGTACGCGTACTTCAAGTCTGGTTTCATCTACATCAACACCATTGAACGAGGCTCGTTCGTGGTCAAAATGACAAGCAAGACTTGCCAGGAGGCATAAGGTTGAAGATTGACCAGAACTTAACTTGAATATGAGGGCAGACTTTTGGTTGATCATATCCAATTTTGTCCATATGAATATAAAAAAGAACTAAGACGTCCTGTCCTTGACATGCATGCGCCACAGACATACATTTCGTGTCTGTTCTCCGTGGATCAACCTTTCTATTGGGCGTTTTTGGCACTATGGTTCAAACAATCTTCGCCTCTAACGTAAGGTAAAGCATGGAACAGTATTAACAGATGTGAAATTGAGACTTTAAAGGAGGCCGTGATCATGAAGCCGCTGGCGGATGGTCCACGGTTCAAATTTTGCTGTATTTCATGTGAACTTGGATAGTATTAGACAAATGATACTCTGAGCTATCAAGTCCCCCCCCCCCCCTAGCCCTTGTGTAACCTTCACCCCTAGGTAGCCACGAGTCTTTTCGGAAGGGGCTTAACCTTCGGCTATAATATTGCTTGTCGTATATTTAGCATTCGAGCTATCCCATCTACCTTATCCAACCCACTCATACTTGCTCTACCAACTCCTTCCAGTGCTGTCCTCGAGGCTTGAAAACCAGATTTGGACCTTTATGCTCAGCCGTAATGACATCGTAAACTTGGAACTCACTCTTTCTCTCCCTTCCCTTCCCTAGACCAGGACCGCCTTCTCCAAGCTCATCGGCTTTGCCTTTTGCTCTCTCAAAATCGAAATACCAGATTGTCTTCGCTACGGTTAAACTTGCCTCGAGATACGCTACAGCTCTACCTCCACAGCTCCTACTTCCGACTGCAAACGGAGCAAAAGCACGCATAGTGTCAGTAGTCTCACTGCCCTTTTCAGTCCCCAAGTGTCGTTCGGGTCGGAAAATGAACGGCTCTGGGAAGTACTTCTCATTATGTAGGAGACTGTATGGGCTGAGGCCAACCATGGTTCCTGGAGTGACCACATGGCCGTCGACAATGAACGGTTTGCCAACCTCTGACGGTAACGCGAGATCCTGCTGGCGCCATAATGTGCCGATAGATGAAGGGGACATTCTCAGCGTCTCATTGATCACGGCGCGAAGGAATTTGCAGCTCGCAAGCTGTGGACCACTGCGAATGTCGCGGCCAGAGGAGAAAGTGGTTCGAATTTCGGAAGCAAGCCTGTGGTAGATCTCGAGATTCCTGGAGAGATAGAAAAGCACTGCGCTCATGAGCGCTGATGTAGTGGCCCCACCTGAAGCTAATCGTAAGCATGACGGATATTCGAGGTTTGAATACCGATCTAGCGAGGGCACATACCCGCTGTGATGAAGAACACCGCTTCTGCCCAGAGCTCACTTTCAAGCAAGCCTTCATCGCTGCTTTTCTTGTCGCTCAACGCTATTTTGTACAGATCATGCTTCGCATCTCTGTCCAAGGCCATTCGAGCCTCAACCATATTCTGTATGGACTTACGAAAATCTTCAGAAGCTTTGTGAGCCAACCAGGCGATAAGGGCGTCCAAAAGCTTCGAAGTGGAAGGCCAATTCATATACAAGGCGATGCGACCGCTGACTTGTGAGAACGCTTCCAGAAGTGGGCGATTCGTCTCTTCGGTCTGGGTGCTCAGGGGATAGCCAAAGCCAAGATGACAGATAACATCTGCCGCGAGGCGGGAGCACCGTGGCGAAACATCGACCACCGCACCCTTCCGGGCTGATTTGAGAATTTCTGAGAGGAAAATATCCACTTGAGAATTCATCACGGGCTCGAAGCTACGCATAGAAAGTTCAGAAATAACCTTTCCAATGATGCGTTGCTTCCGGCCGTGTTCTGCCTGATCTAAGGTGTCAAAAAGACTAGGGCTCGGAACTAGGCGAGAATCAACGTAGGCTTGGCCTTTGGTCACTCCCGGGTTGAGAAAGATATCTGGTTGTTGATTCATTAGCTGAGGCCCTTGTGTGCGTGCGCATGAATTGGGAGCCTGGACCAGTGCATAAACACCAGACAACGTACCTTGCAGTGCGCCCACGGAATTAAACATGAGTCGGTTGGGAGCTTGCCGATATACAGGACCTGGGATCGAGTGCTTAGCGCATGGTTGTTAAGGGCGACCCAGCGGTTTCTCTTACCATATTGTAAGTGGTTCTGATAAGTGGCGAGATGAGCCCGTTTTGTGAGAGCATTGATGCCCCCGTAAGCATCAGTAATTTTCGCCCAAAAAGGACCCTGATGAAAGTTAGAGCCATGTAGTTCTGTTTCAAACTCGAGACACAAACAAACAAATATATGCCAAACCATCATGAACGAGGAGAAGACTACTTACAGGGAATCCTCTCAATGGGTGGAAGTGAAGCTGATAGATCATCAGCAAGCATAACTGCGGTAAAAATTAGTATCAGTATCGATCAGCTCGGAGACTGGTCTTGCACCCATACCGTAAGGATCAGTCCATATGTGAGGGCGTAGACGAAGAAGTTGAAGTATAACATCCTTAGAACTAACCGTACTGCGCCTGCGTTCGCATTAGGGCTTTAGTCTCACAACTTGCAGCGTATGTAATTAAAAAAGAGAACAGCAGACCAAAAGCGCGTTCAAGACGAAGAGTGTTCAAGACGCACTGCCTTGAATAGAGATGAGCTGTATCATAGTGTGAAATATGCGCTAAAGCTGCGGGGCCGAATGTGAATGTTGGTTGCTGTGACTTTGAAAAAAAAGTGCACATGTGGAGCTTCAAGCCAGTTGGGCTGACAGCAGAGTGCACCCGGATGTGCCATCGAGGCACAGAGAGTTGCATCATGCATCCGTACTACCTTAACCCATCAGCCCATGACATTGCCCTTGAACGTTTGTAGCCATCCATGCTCTGCTAGCTTCTCTAGTGGGGCTATTTTATGTATGCGCATGCAGCTGTTGGTGATGAAACTTTGTCAACTTTAGCCTCGTTATCACCAACCAGCGCCTAGCGAATCCACGACGCAGGCGAGGGCAGCATTCTCAATCTGACCCTCGAGAATTTTCAAAAGAGTGATTGGGGGCTGCCTTGACGTCGCATTTCGGCGTTCAACAAGATACATGAGTTTAAAACCCACCAAACGAGAAGAAAATCCCTGTACGTGAAAGCGAGTAATTACTATAAGCATACACGCGTGCAATCCACTAGAGAAAAGCGCAGCGGTCACCCTTCCCTTTAGATTCTTGTGTCGACAGAAATGCCTGTCGCGTCCGGGAACATGGCTTGAATATCACACAGCATCTTCTTTGCCGGAATCATAAGTGCCAAGCAATCCCCTGGGAACACCGCAATGATCATGCCGTAAAGCTTCTGGTCGTGGACAACCCACGACCCGGAGGAGCCCTTGGCTGCAGTGAGGGTCAGCATGATTTAATTCAAGAATGACGAGTTTTAAGTACTCACCTAGGTCTCTCTCAAGCCGGACTCTGCTGGTTTCAATAGCCGCCCCACGCATACTGAAGTGGAACTTGCCAGGTAGCAGCGTGCCGTTGACTGCTTGTTCGGGACCGAGTAGGACCACTACGGGAAGCATGTATTCGATTTCCTCCTCATTGGTACTGACCACGTCCTTTGCCATCATGGTGTCTTGTTCGATGTAGTAATTCGATAAACTTTGGCGATGTGTTGAAAGAATGGGAAACAGTGCCAGGTCACCAGACAAAACATCGTGAACGTGCGATTCCACCTGGTGCACTTGTTTCTGTGATGCCGGAGGGAAATTGATGCCAACGAATCCTGCCGACAGGTCATGATTGATACTCGTCCAAATTGTTACATCGCTTAGATCTAATGCAACAACACTCTGGACTCCGGCATCTAGGATATCTTCAGCCTTGGCGTGAACATTTGCGCTCTCTTCCTCGTCTTCTGACTCAGAATCTGAGCTGTCAGACAACCAAGAGACCAGGGGTCCGTAACCATCTAGGTTCTGTGGTGCCCTTTCTATGACCTGACGAATCAGACCGTGCCCTGAGGTCACTCCGTAGAGTTTTGTCTCCTTCTCACGCGTGATGGCGATAGCGCCACCCATTTTTGAGGAACTCCGACTGGCTTCGATTCGACCGCTCCATATCGATGAAACGCAGCTCAGACCTATAAGCGACGTTGTCCGTCTCGAGCGCACGTGGAGGTACAATTCAGTATCTTCCGAAAGCCTAATGCCGCTCTTGCGGTCATGGACCCTGTTCAATTGTGAACTATCATGATCAGTGCGCTCCGACTTTTTACGGGTTAGCTTCTGAGTTGCATTTATGATCAGCAGTGGGTCACTTTCGCCTGGGCTTGGTTTCATACGCTCCTCTAAATGGCCCGTCTTCGAGGCGAGACCATTCTGTCTCGTATTGTGGGTGAGGTGGCTTTCCGGATGGCTGCGGCGCCGATTGCGGCTAGAAGACACGGTTATGATCCCCTCGCGGTGGTCTAGGGAACTCGGTATCGCCGGTATCATCTGAAGCTTTGTGATTTTCTCATAGGTTCGTTTATCAATGAGTCGTTGATCTCGGAGGTGATTCAACAAGTACCCATCCATTTGTATGTTCTCGCCCATGAAGCCATCATGAATAAAGTGGTCCCGAATGTGCCGCATCCGTATCATGAAATTGGATCGAACATCTCCGCCAGAGGTCTCCTGCGCATCAAATTGGTGCTCGGAACAAAACCAACAGCGAAGCTTTGAAGGAAATTTGCTCTGCAAATGCTCTTCGATATGATCCATCCAAGCTTGTTCTTCGTCGACGTGAAAGATGCCACGGCAACCGCTTAGGCTTCTGAATTCGCAAGGCAGCTCCCACTTAGAATTCGACAGTGTAGAACTCCATGGCGCATATCTCGATAATTTGGATATTGATGGCTTAGATCTCGATCGAGCAGAACTTGATGGCGCAGAACTCGATGGTGCAGAACTCGATGACGAACTCCAAGGCCCAGAGGTCGCCGTCGTACAACTCGATGAATATTGAGGCACATTCTCTCCGGTAATGGATTCAACGTTATAATGGTAGCCATTCGCCATAGCCCAAGATTCGACATAATTTGTACCGTCATATGACCGTTTTGTCAAACCAGCCTGCCCCTCGACATTTCGGGTGCATTCGTCATCGATGGAATGGTTTGAAACAAAATTCCTCGATCCTCCGATAGGGGTAGTGCATGCTTCCAATGTAGGATGAGCAAAGTTTTCAGTCGGGAGTTCTTCTTCATCAGCTGACAGCAGCGGGCCGCCCTTATGTACAAAGTGAACGTCGTAAGGGCTCAGCCAGACCAGATGCTTGACATCGTTCTCTACAATCTTGCGGCACCATTTGCTGCCGCAAACGAGCCATATGCAAGGCCTTAGTCGCACTTTGGTCGAGCCGGGCTTCAGAATCCCTGACATTCGCATTTCGATCATGAGCATGCTTTCGGCCCACGGCTTGCGGTGACTCTTGGCCCTGATCTTTCCGAGAGCACTTGTCAGGTCCACTTCCAGCCGTCGAATGACGTCTGCAATCTCTTGCTCCGTCAGGGAAGGTGGCCGGATCTCGTGTCTTGCCAGATATACCCGTGGCGAGTGCTCGCGGACGTCGACAGACGTGATATCCATCTCGATTACATCCGTCATAGGGGTGGCAGGTGGTGTTGCGACAGATCTTGCGTGAGCTAATATGCGAGCATTTTGAAGGTCCTCTTCTTTCGGGGAGTCGCTCGGCCCATCATTGACGTTGGAGGTGGCTGAGGCATCGTTTTGCCCGTGTTCGGAGCCTTCCGGTGTAAAAGGTTCTGACTGAGAATTCTGTGACATATAGGGCAAGATGAAGGTAGATTTTGATGGGTCTTGAGACGCGTGTAGGTGAGCCTTCTATTATCTTTACAGGCCGTGGTTGAGAACGAAAAGGTCTGTAGCCCATAGCAAAGTGGTGAGGGGTTCTCAGGAGATCATTTGTGGCTGTGACGGACTCATTTCACCAATGATACAATCTGGTATGCCCTGCTGCCCAATCGTCATTGGGGCTGTACAGATAAGATGCAAGACGTGCAGCTTGCGGTGGCGCGGCATGTCGTCTGACATGCAAGAGAGCGCTCGACCTCATCTTGAGGGAGGATTGCAATTCAGATTTCCGTGTTCATGCTCGGGAATGCCCTAGCAGCATAATCGTGGACCAAGAATCCAAAAAGGAGAATGTCTTTGAAGTTTGCCTGACATCTTAAGTGGTACCTATATCAGTGCCTACTTCTTCGTCTTAACAACCACTCATGGATCGAGAATATTCCTGCTCCGATTGCTGGTTCAACAAGGAGAATAGAAGTTAGTTTGATGCTACTGCGCTAGAATGAAATCCATTCAAATGGCGAGTAACATAGATCTTAACAGATAGAAAGGATTGATGACAACCCAGGGGCACGGATTGCATGCGAATTTTCAAAGACGCCTGACAAGCACGGTGGAATTGGAAGACCATCGTAACAGCCCTGGACAGCGTCTTCAGTATAGAGACATAGCCTAGTCTGACTTGGTCCGTCGGATGACGCTGCAGATGAGGCCAGTCTGCCAGACAAACCAGTAGTCATGCAGAGTCCATTCTTTCGCAGGGTCAGCCAGCTCAAAGTCAAAAGTCCTCAGCAGTTGCGGCACCAGTTTCGATATCTCCAGCAGTGAGACATTCTTGCCTAGACAAGTCCTAGATCCGCCGCCAAACTATATAGTTGTCAGTAGTTGGCAAAGAGGGCATGGTAAGAAGCATCCTGATAGGCAAGATGGAAAATTCAAATGCAGAAAAGTGCAACGCACCGCGAGAAAGTTTCTCTCCATCAGTCTTAGCTGAGCCGTGTCCGCTTCGAGCCATCTTTCCGGCCGGAATGTGTATGCATCCTTCCCATACACTGATCGATCTCTCGCCGCAACCCATGGGTTGATACCTACAACAGTCCCCTCCGGCAGCCAGACGCCGCCTATCTCAGCGCCACCTGTTGGCACCACGCGCTCGAGAAGGAGGCCGACTGCGGGATGCATACGCAGAGCCTCCTTGACGACCGCCTGGAAGTACTTGAGCTGCTGTGCTTCTTCGAAGGTGACTGGTTCCGACAGCCGGCCGTTTCGCTCCGCCTCGTCAATCTCAGCGAGGAGCTTGTCGTGTGCTTCTGGGTTGCGGCACAGGTTGTAGAACAGAGCCCGCAGGCTCGCCGCCGTGGTGTCGCTTCCGGCTAGGACATTTGCGGCGGCGTGGGCCATCAGATCCGAGTCATCCATTACCTTCTCGCCGTCCTTGAAGCGTTTGAAGCGGCCAAGTAGGTCATTTAGCTCCATCGTATTAGGGTCCTTGCTCTGGCGGCGCTGCACCTGTTGCACTATAAAGCCTATGAGATACTTGGTCGGATTTAGAGAGTCGGTATCTCGGAGAAAGCTGGTGACCCAGCTCACCAGATGGTTGCCGGATAGATATTTGTGCAGGTATGGTGCTTGCCCGATGGTGCTGACGTATTTCAGTCGGGTCGAGAGCGCGTGGATGATCCCCTGTACGTCGCTCTCTGACTCCATGAACCCGAGACGGTTGGAGAACGCGATGGACGTGATCACGTCGAAGGCATACCAATGCAGCCATTCGCCAAGGTCTATATCGTTCCCCACCAACCCCTCGAGCTTCTCGGTGAGTATGCCAGAGCACTCGTCATTCATCGGCTCAAGCTCCTTCATCGTGCTCATGGAATAGGCCGCTGCGACAGGTCTCTTCTTCACTCGATGCTTCATCTCGTCTCGCTCGGAAAATGTCGTGGTTGTTCCGTCGAGGTTGAACATGTCGTAGAACTCGCTCTTCCAGAACCGGGTGCTGATGCCGTACAACAGCGGGATCAAGCTGCCGTCGGAGAAGGAGACGTGCTTCGTTCCTATGCGGACAAGCGAGCCGTACTTGTCGTGCAACTTAAGGTGGTAGTTCATCTGCTGTCCGCCGAAGCAGCTCCACAAGCGGTCGAGATTGGATATGCTTGCCAAAAATGGCCCAGGAATATTGCGGAGACCCGGTCGATAGCGGATTACAAGGACCCTTATAATGCCCAAGGTGGCTGTAAAGAGCACGAGGCTCATTACAAGCTCTTGCGAGCCGCCACTCCATAGTCTTCTGAACACTGTATTCGCTTCCATATCGATCGCCGATGTTGTTGCGACGTCGAAAATTCGGGCGATCATCTCGCATTGAAAGGGGTTAAATACATTTCGCGCGGCAGGCTCGGAGCCTAAGTTTCACCTGCAGGACGCCGGCTGTTGTCGTCGGCCCAAGGTTGGGGTAGACGGAGATGGTGCTTAAATCCCCGGTTGCCATGTCCGAAGTGTAGGCCTTGCGAAGACAAAAGCAAGATAATCATTTGTAAGAAATCTATTTGAAATCAACTTGAAATTTTGCGAAGCGCACCGAAGGGGTAAACGCGTGTTGCGCCTGATTCCAACATGGAGATGTCGTTACGCGGGCATGTCAGTCTCCTCGGCACTCCAAGGTTCGGTTCTTCAATTCTCTCGTGGGCAGTCTGCGATGCTCATGGTCGCTCGATTTGATTCTGCTGTCTCTTTTCAATAGTCGCCAATTCCAGATTGGAATCAATTTGCATGTGTATCATGTTCACAAAATCCAAGTGTGAGACAAAAATAAAAACCATGAAGCACAATATCCTCCGCGATTTGGAACGCATCATTTGGGAGTTGGTCAATATTAGATTATTTGGGAATTCAAAATTTAAATTACATACGTAAATACCCCAGGTTCGAGTACCCTCTTAACACCTTCATGCGGAAAGCAGAAAACAAAATGAATCAATAGTCTAAGCGCCTACATTCATGGTAGCTGTACGGCGCGCTCTACGATCAGCTATACGACGGGACCTCCTCGGCGCTCTTGGCTCTGGAATCCACATGTTTTGAGAATCTTTTACAAGTTTCGGTTTCGTCAACCTGCCTCGGTAAGTCCTCGACCCGTTGGACACACGGCGCTGTTTTTCCTTGGGAGCAGCAGCCGCCTCCCCCAGGGTCCTAAGCTTTCTCTTTGCTCTCCGCGTCTGTACACTGCCCGCCTCGCCGGCCTGAGGCTGCTCGGTACGGCCCCTGCCAACTTTCCCCTTGAAGCCGCCGTACGTGCCGACGCCGGTGGCGTCGACGGTACGGTCGGGATGCACGCGCCTTCGGTACTCCTCAGACGTGTGCGGGTAGGGAAACGCGTCGCACTGGCAGGGTTGGTCGGCGTTCAAGTACGTGGGCCCGTAGTCGATGGTTATTTCTTCACCGGCCGCGACATCGCGGGTCGTTTCAAACACCATGACGGCGCGCCTGCCGTACATAGCAATCATTGGCTCAGTGTTACAGTCACAGTGATGGTTCACGTAACGAGTGATCTGTTTGTTTTTGTCGCTTGTCAGTACTTTTACTTCATGGTTTCACGGCTTTTTGATTCCAAAACGGGAAGCAAAAGGCTCAGACGGAGGGCTTGCAAGGTTTTAGAGGGATGACTTACATTACCGTACATTTCCGCATTGGAGTCAGCTCGATTCTCAACCGTGAAAATGTAGCGATTATCAAGGGCATGGGCATAATCAAGAGGCATAAGACGGCCTAGGTACTCGCCTATTAATGTTCCCCTCGGTATGCGTGCCCATGCGAACACTCCATAGCCCCATCTTGCCTGTCTGATTTGCAGCTTCGTGTCGGCCGTGTCCTCGAAATCAAATTTAGCAATCTCGATACAATTCTGCCCCTCACACTATCATAACATTACTATTAGTACATGAGACGCATGAGATGTAGAAATTGAATTGTGATAAGACAACGACTTACAGCAGAGCCGGCTTGCTCGCATACAAAGCAGATGAGGTCATCTATGTTGTGGCCGAGAATGTCTGGTACTGTATCTACCCCGTTGGGTGGACCCATGCCATCTCCTCTGTCCAAGCCTCGATTGTTCGCTTGCCCTTCAGCATCATGCATTGTTAGCGGCTGAAACTTCCTAGCTCAGTAAGACAGTACAGTATGTAGTATGACGTATCAATAATAAAGACATTTGGAATACTCACAGTCTACAGGATCAAGAACGTAGTCCTCAATCACTCTGGGATGCGTATTATCATTAGAGAGAATGTCGATGAGGGTATCTTGCTGTTCATCATAGTACTGAAATACAGGTAGTGTATCAAGATCGGGTAAAACTGCAGGGCCAGCCATTTCGAATGTGTTTACATGCAATTTAAGTCAGTCAGTATTTGAGTCTGTTGCGATTACAAATTTTAGATTAATTGTTCTTGAAGTTTACAATTTCTCACCTTGTTGGGATCTTTCCTCTTTTACTTATGTCCAGAAGGATTCATTGTGACAGTTACTGTTGCCGTTCCGCTCTCATGTTCCGTCCCTAGCGCTTTGTTCCGCAAATCAAGAGTTACCATATATAACCAAATCAAGGAAAACCTGATCGGCAGGTGTCCCCATGAGGATCCCGAAAAACCCTTATATTCATATCTCTTTATGTTTGCACATATGGACTCATGCCGTCTTCAAGTCATCATCTGAAAATAGTAAGTGCTTACATCTAGCCTACATATGATTGTATCGCAATGACCTCATCCATGATTTAGATTATCGCGCTTTGAATAGTGGTACAGATACCTGGTAGTGAGTCTTGTCAAACAGACAGATCCTTTAGGTAGTGGTCGTAACAACACTCAGAAGAGCAGCGTCTCGAAGTATCTGCAGGGTCGGTAGCCTAGTTGTCCAGATTGAGACTACCCGTGTCATTACAAGTGTTATTCCTGGATAAGACAAAGCCAGGGGAGTTATTGAGCAACAAGTGGATAAAGTAAGATGACATTGCGACGCTCTCCCTCAGATATATGACCTTCTCATGGCTGGGTGTATTGTTCTTTGGCTATCATGATCTTAAGCTCTTGACGAGCTCAACCTCGGGTGCCCGCCTCGTGGTCACAGCATCTTTAGGAGGGATAAGTAGAAGAACAAGTGGTGCTGTAGGATACCATTTGTAGGATAACCACCCGTAGGATAACCATCCGTAGGTAACCGCCCGGTTGATACTCTCTGAGGATACCCTCTTTTGGAATGACCTCCCATGGGATACACTTCCTATAATAACTTCTTGTAGTACATCTTATTGGACAATTTTCTATGCGGGGAAGTAGGTGAAGCCATACGGGGGCTCTGCAATGACGTGTCACGAGTTTTGAGACTGTTGCGGCGTTGTCCTTTTATAGCCTTTGGTGGGGGTGGGAGTGAAGCGGGGGTACTCATTCAGTAGGCCTCCCACCTACGCGAGCGTTTTATAAGCACCCACCGCAGATACGTCATAATCCCGGCGAATTTGCAGACTGAAAAGAGCAGTTCAAGTAGCCAGGTACCAGGCAGGTGCTTTCAAGATATTGACGTTTGAATTGAAGACCACTGCAATTGAGGTCACTCGGAAAAAGAGATTCGCAGGAAATGGCCGTTTGCTCACGAACTGTTACTCGACTCCGACGTTGCACATGACGGATTGAGTCAGAGACACTCCCTTGAGCTAGACCCAATCAAAATGCCCAGGCAAGGTAACAGTTTCGTACATGGGCCGTGACAGTTTCTGCAGTGTCACACAGTTCGGCGTGGCTGCAGATACCGTCTCGAGAAAGACATGCTGATTGATACGGGAGTCTGCAGTGTCAAAGCTGATATGAGATTAGTCGAGAATCTAATTGGCCAGTGTCGATTACATGAGTGACTGTGGCAAGTCCCTGGTTCAATTCAGATAACATATAAACTCAGATTAGGGGAGGCACATTGGTATGCGTATTGTTGTTTTCAATACAGATGGGCAGAGTTGAGTGAGCCTACTAACTCCCAGGAGCATTGGTACAACGCTGGGACTGATAGCGTCTGCACCGTTTGGGTCCCATTTGGGCACAACGTCTCCACATGCCAGCAAAAAAAAAAAACGGTCCGTTCTAGATTCAATGGCAAGTGACATGTCGGTGTCATATGTATTGCAATTCATCGGGCCTCCCGCAGATTGTGACACATTGTTTGTGAGTCAATCAAGCATAAGTAGAAAAAGGAGGGGGAAAAGAGAGGCCCGTTGTTCCTTTGGGGGGGGGGGCGCCTAAACTCAAAAGGCCTCTTTGACTGCTGGTTGGGCTCTTAGGATGAAAGACGTTGGGGGAAGGGGAGGGTGGTTTGACCAGTTGGAGCTGGCATAAGGGTTGTCCAGACCCCTGAGGTCTTGAGGTCCAGGGCTGCATAACAACATCCACCTCTCTCCTCTCCTCCATTCCACCTGCTCTTCAGCCTTATCCATCACTTCATTCCTCATCTTCCAGATCAGAGGCACTACATCCTCTCTCTCTCTGCATAGTGACTGGGTTCCGCTATCCTTACACCTATATTGCAGCAGCTGGCTTGACCGACGGTTGCTCGAGCTCCATCGCTCTCACACAGGTAGCGCGACCTAACCCCCACCAAAGCCTCCACCAACTTCATCTGTACCATCCCACCCCAAACCGCCACACCCAACCTGCCGCTGACTCCTGTGCTAACGAAATACCTGATACTTCTATTTGGATAGATGTCTTTGTAACAGGTGTTTGCTGCACCAATATCGGTTACTGCGCTACTGATCTGCCCAGGTGCTACGCGGCCGTTACACCGTGCTTCCCACTATCACATCACTCGCAAGCGATCCGTTCACAATTGCATGCCCGACAATGGCTGACCGAGGCCGTGGGAGAGGACGTGGACGCGGGGATGGAGCCGCCCGCGGCGGTCCAAGCCGAGGAGGCGCATTCCCGCCCGGCCGTGGAGGAGGAGACCGTGGCCGAGGCGCTGGCGATCGAGGTGGACGCGGCGGATTCCGTGGCGGCAGTGACCGTGGTGGTGGAGATCGCGGAGCGTTTCGTGGAGGAGGTGATCGCGGCCGAGGTGGCGGTGATCGAGGTGGACGCGGTGGACGCGGTGGCGGACGGCCGCCTGCTCAGGTCTACACCCCTCGCACTGGAGGAACTCCCGCCCCTGATGCCCAGGTAAAGGCGGTCGAAGATGCCCGTCAAAAGGCCCGCAAGTCGCCCCAGTTTGCTATGAGCTCGTTGAACCTCGAGGGGTCCAATGTCATGCCAGCCCGACCTGGCTACGGCACTGAGGGCCAGCCCATCACCGTCTACGCTAACTATGTCCAGCTGATTCCCAGATCTGACCTAACGCTTTACTCTTACGATGTTTCTGAAATCAAACCCGACGTTGTTGGAAAGAAACGCACACAGGTCATCCGTCTTTTGATCAACGAGTCACCAGAGCTGGCCGGCTGCCGAGGAGACATGGTCACCGACTTCAAGTCCACCCTCATCTCCGCAAAGCAGTTGGACGTGCAAGAAAATGAGAGTGTCATCGATGTCACATACAAGGCTGAGAGGGAAGATGATCCCAAGGAGCGTGCCCCACAGTATAAGGTCACGGTCAAGTACACCAAAACCCTGACTGTTGGCGACTTAGTGTCTTTTCTCTCCTCCACGAACCCGGCTGTTCAGTATGACAGCAAATTGGAAATGATTCAAGCCCTCAACATCTTCCTCAAGCATTGGGCCAAGTCGGTAAATAACGTCGCAACGATTGGAGCAAGCAAGACCTTCTCAATGAGTGGAGACGCTGATACATTTGACCTTGGAAGAGGTCTCACTGCTCTTCGTGGCTTCTTTACAAGCGTTCGAGCTGCCACCAATCGAATTCTCGTCAATGTTAACGTCAGCCACGGCGCCTTCTACAATGAGGGAAGGCTGACGAATTTGATGACGGCGTATGGCCTTCGGTACGATCTCAGCGGACTGCGTTCTCTTGAGAGATTCCTCAAGACTGTTCGTGTCAGAGCGACGCACCTGAAAGAGAAGACGAATAGAAAGGGAGAAGTCATCTACCGGCCCAAGACTATCTTCGGGCTTGCTAAGAAATCCGATGGCCAGGGACCAAATCGACCAAGGGTTAGAGAATTCGGTGCTGGACCGAAGCACGTGGAGTTTTGGCTCGAGGACAGGGCCACATCAACAACACCCTCGGCCTCTACCCCAGGTGCTGAGCCATCTCAATCCTCATCCAAGAAGAAGGGGAAGGGCAAAGGCGCGAAGAGCAAAGCGGCAGCACCCACGACAGCTGGGCCCCAGCCTGCTTCTGCCGGCGCTGGCCGCTACGTCAGCGTTTACGACCATTTCAAGAACACGTACAATATTGATTGTGCAGACGATTGGCCTGTCATCAATGTTGGCTCAGACAAGAATCCCTCCTACTTGCCTGCTGAAGTTTGTGTTGTGCTGCCTGGCCAGAGCGCCATGACGAAGCTCAGCGGCGACCAGACCAGGAACATGATCAGGTTCGCTGTACGCGGGCCGTGGCTCAACGCAGAGTCTATCGTCAATGATGGCTTGCTCACGGGCGGTCTGTCTACACAGAGCAATCCACTCCTTGTAAGCCCTGATCTTTAGCGTGAAACGTCTTACAAAGACTCTCTCACTAGTTGCCGTGAGACCCCCAGCTAACCGCATGTCATCAGGCACAATTCGGTATCAATGCTGGCCAGAACCTGATTACCGTCCCAGCTCGTGTAATGCAAGAGCCTAAGGTCTACTACAAGAATAATAAGCCTGTAAATGTCGCTTTTGGCAGCTGGAACATGGAAAATGTCATGTTCAACAAGCCTGGGAATCTGAAAACATGGTCCTGGGTTGCTATTCGAGATGCGAGGCGCCCTAACTTTACCATGCAGGACCTCACAGCCACTGTCAGCAGGTTCACTACATCGCTGAGCAAGAATGGCGTGACGGTTCAGCAACAAGCGCTTGGTGGCCGGGAAATAGAACTCAAATCCTCCAGCGACCCGGCATTGGAGAAGTTGTTCCAGGATGCCTCAGCTAAGCTTGATCTTCTTCTCGTCATCCTCCCCGGCAGAGACAAGAGCGACAACACAGAACTGTACAGCTACGTCAAGACCCTCGGTGATACGAAGTACGGCATTCATACCATTTGTGTCGTGGGGTCCAAGTTCACTGGTGGAAGAGGAGAGGACCAATATTTCGCGAATGTCGCTCTCAAGTTTAACCTCAAGCTTGGTGGCAACAACCAGATGGTAGAGCCTTCCCGTCTCTCCTTCATCAATGAGGACAAGACCATGGTTGTGGGCATCGATGTCACGCATCCCTCTCCTGGCTCCTCATCTCACGCACCGTCTGTTGCCGGCTTAGTGGCCTGTCCGGACAAGCATCTCAGTCAGTGGCCTGGCGTCCTCAGCATCCAAACTGAGGCCCGTCAGGAGATGGTGTCCGACCTGACCCCGATGATGAAGACCGCTCTTGGCAACTGGATCAAACTCGGAAAGCATACGGCTCTCCCAGAGAACATCCTCATCTATCGCGATGGTGTCTCGGAGGGCCAGTACCAGACAGTCTACGACGAGGAGATCCCACTCATGCGAAAGGCATTTGCAGAGATTTACCCTGCAGATCTGACCAAGAAGAACCTGCCCCGGCTGACCGTTATCATCGTCGGCAAGCGCCATCACACACGCTTCTACCCAAGCCAGGCCAAGGACATGGACCGCGGCGGCAACTGCAAGCCCGGCACGATCGTCGACCGCGGCGTCACAGAGGAGGGCATGTGGGACTTCTACCTGCAGTCGCATGCGGTAATCCAGGGCACCGGACGGCCGGCGCACTACGTCGTGGTGCTGGACGAGATCTTCCGCGAGCGGGCCAGGCGACTCAAGACCACCAAGCCGCAAGAGTCGCCCGCCAGCGAGCTCGAGAGGATGACGCAGGCCCTGTGCTACACCTACTCGCGTGCCACCAAGGCAGTGAGCATCTGCACGCCGGCGTACCATGCCGACATTCTGTGCGAGCGCGCACGCCGGTACTTGGCGGATCTGTTTGAGGGCAGCTCGGATGATGCGAGCAGTGTTGCTGGAGCGAGCAGTGTCGCGGCGACTGTGAAGGTCCACCCGAAATTGGAGAACACCATGTTCTACATCTGATTGGGATTACTTGGATGCCAGATTGTATCAGATGCATCCATCCTTTCGTTCGATGTTCAGGTGTGGAAGATTAGCGTATGCTTGGGATTATGTTTCTGATGTTTCTGATGGGTTGAGACTTTCGGAGCACCTTGCTCATGCTTCTGACCCAGTTTGGATGAAAAGTTGAGTTGGACAGCGTTTTGTGTATGGCGTCTTTTTCTAATACGACAGCGTGATAACTGAGAAAAGGTAGCTTTCAATGTTTACTTGGTGTTTTCGTCGCCAGCTCTTAAAGCGAAGGTAATACCTCTGTGGCATTCTATTGTCTTCTGGTGGTCTCATATCCTTTACCTGTAGTGATTCTTTTGAAATGTAAGTGATCTCATCGCCAGCAAGAGGATCTGGCATGCATCTTAATATTCAATTCTCAAGCAGTCACGAACTGAGTTGGGACGGTAGGGTGAGTTCAAGTCAATGTCATCCATTACAACATGGAATGATTAAAAAGAAATGATAAAGTGCTAAGCTTCCTTCTCATCAAATGCCCTCCCCTCTCCCTCTCCACCCAGTGTCACCGCAAGCAAACTTCGATTCCAAGAGATCGCGACAACACCCCCTTACTCCTGATCATCAGCCCCCTCAGGAAGGGCGTCATCCGCCTCATCATCACTGCTCTCGGCGATGCCGTTCTGCTCGCGGAACTCGGCCAGGCCCTGGCGCACGACGTCGGTGGTCTCGCCTGCGCTGAGGCCGTCAATGGGGTTGCGCAGGCCGTTGCCGTTGACGGAGCCCGGCGCATTCTCGTCCTCCGTGTCGAGCGTGTTGAAGATGTCGAGCGCCTCCTGGTCTGTCAGGCCCGTCTTGGCTGACTTGGTGTTCGCATTGGTGGCTTGCCGGACACTGAGTGGCAGCGTTGCTGCGGCGGCGGTGCTGATGAGGAGGAGGACGGTTGAGAAACGCATTTTAGGTTTTGTTTAGGAAGTCTTTTTCGAAGAATTAGGTAAGACTAATGGCCAGTTCCAGCTGGTAAGAAGTGAATAAGGAGGATTACTTTAGGCTTGAAGGTAGACGGAAAGGATGCAGGGCGATGATCATAACGCCGTAAAGTTAGAGGGTTCTGTGAGCCCTTTTAAGCTGTAAGCCTGGCCTATGCCAACCTTCTAGAGTCCCTTTGCCCCCTATGTCATAAGACTTGTTCGTCTGGTCGTGTATCACATCACGCATATGCCACCCCAAGTTTGTCGTTGAGACAGCCCTGCCAAGATCATAAAGACGGCCGCTATGAAACAGGGTACGGGGCGCAATGCTCCCACCTACCGATCTTCAAAACAGATCGTAGCACCGAGGGGACCAGGCTACACCCATGCTCTGACAACCATGCCCTGGTGGGAACACTGCTTCTAGCGGGCTGCTACGATCACGTTGTTACTGCCAAGCCTTGCGCGAGGCAGGTTTTGTGGCGGGAATTAGAGTTGGCCTTTGGCTTGTTTGATCACCGCGCCGGCGGGCTACGAATGCAGCAGCCTTTTGACGCCTTCCAAGTCTGCTCGGCGCCTACTACCGTAATAAATTTCACTGCCTCAGTAGTCTTTGACGTGCGACTTAAATGAATACCCGTCTCTGCTGCACGTTTATATTCGAACACCAATGGTTTGGTTTAGGTGAGCTTGCTCATGGCTCTGCGTCTATGTTACACATCCGCAGCCGACAATTCAAAATCAGTATGCACCGTCCTTGGATATGCGTCATCTAAAAATGATGGCAGAAGTGCCAAGATAGATGTGGATTCTTGAGTTAAGCTTATGGCGTGGATCATGAGCTCAAAACCCAGGCCACCCCACAAAGGAGTATAGAAGCGCATAGTCGCGCGCGAGTCGCTGTTGGAGGTCGCGACGTTCTAGGCTTTCCGGATTGTTATAAACCTCCGGTGGCTCGTGTTGGGTCTGTCCCACATTTCTTTCATGCCAGGGGGCATGTTTGAAGGAGCTAAGGGGTGCTACGAGACAGGGCATAAGCAGTGGAAGTCATGGGTTCTAGAACCTCACTAAATGGTCATTTTTACTTGTATTAGCAACTCGTACTACCAGCAGTTCTGCCTCGTGTGTTTGAAGAGAGGAACAAAATCTGGTCAACAGTAAGTTCTTTTCGCGATAATGCCAAAGGTCTCCTTGCGCCATAAATAGCACAAATCAGGATTGCATGGCGCAAATAATCCAACCTAGCAAGTCAATCATTAATCGGGTGACTCTCTCAGAAGTGAGGTGAAATAAACGTCGAAATTTTCCACAGAGAGACACGAGATGCGAGTGCCCTGGCACGGCCAAGGGCTGTATCGCATACTGGGTAGGCGAGCCGCGTAAAGGCCTGGGGCGTGAATCGTATTAGTCACCTACCTCTGGGCACCGATGGAACCTGTACGTTGCACCTGGACTGGAAAGAGATCACCACGATTGGTTCAATAGATACGAGAGCATTTCGTTGACTGCAATTTTATCATGACCTTGGTGCGACGGTATAGTCCACCACACTTTATCCTATCATAGCATCATCTGAAGCTCAACCTTGGTACCCGACACCGAACATCAAAAGGCTCTGTGTCTTGATCGACGCTTATTCTTTTCTTAGATATGTGGATGCACTTCAAAAGCCCCTGTCGTAAGGTGTCTGGCATGGTAGTCACGGTTTCAGAAAGCCATCCGCGGAGGTTTCCGCGGAAATTCCTGCTGGGAACATCACATCTGCCTCTGATCGCATGATCAGTCAGTCTTGACTGGAATACAAACCTTGTTATAGGATTTTACGTGCTGAGTGGCTAGTTCATAAACTCGAAGCCATCCAGTGCCCCCATGTACCAGGATCAGGAATGATACACTTATGGGCAAGCGCGCCATCAAGTCCTGAACATAATTCGAAGTCTTCCTAGATCTTGACTTTTATAGCATTACATACGCCATGAGAACAACACCACCACATCCAGAGATTGATTAAACAAAGGAATAACGACATTGCTAAGCCCCTTGTGACTTACTCCCTTACTTCCTCGGATAGAAGGTCATCCCACAGGAAATTACTATACAAGGGTTTATCCCAAAGAAGGTTATACTAAAGGAGATTATCCCCAAGGAGGTTATCCTAAAAGAGGTTATCCCAAAGGAGAGTATTCTATAACACGTTGCCCTATGGCTGGCGATCCTGTAGCTCTCTATTTCTTTGACTAACCTATCACAAGATACTGTGTTCAGGAAGCGAATACCCGAGCTTAAGCTCATTTGTACTAAGAGCTCCCACTCCAAACAATTCTGCATACCGACAAAGGCGACGACAATAACAGTGCCTGGACATTGTTTGATTAAGCTGCAGGCTCCTGTTATGTGCGCCTGGACCCTGAAAGTGTCAACGTAATCTAGTCGATAACTACGGGCGAAACTGGACTAGACTAAGAAGATTAGCTGCATTCTCAGGCTCCCTAAGCCCTTTGAGGCTGATCGACAGTGGTGCGCCGCAGAGGTTACCCACATGCCGGCCACTGTCACCATGACCTCATCAGTCTCTCACCAATATCAACGGGTCATTCGCGTGGCTGTCGTCATTGCTCACTGACAGCAACTCCTGTTTGTACATCGCATATATAAATCTAGGTTTTAAATCATCTATAGTATCAGAGTTCTAAAACCTTAATCTCTGTCAATCAAACTACCCCTTCAACCACAGCAACTACATCATAATACGTCAAAATGTCCGAGAAATACACAATGAAGCAAACTGGCAGCGGAGGCATGTCTGGAAGTGTCCAGACACCAGCCAACGCCCACCTAGGCCAGGACAAGCCCAAGGTCTTTGATGCCGATGGCGCAGTTGGCAAGCAGTTCACTGGTAATTACTTTCTTCCCCGTGAGATACTTGCCAGACCTAGGTACTAATGCCTGAGCGTACAGAGGACGGCGCGATCGGAGGCACGGCACAGAAAATTGGTGGTCCGCTCGACAAGGAGGGTGCTATCGGCAAGCAATTCACCACAGAGGGAAGCATAGGCGGTGCCGTACAGGATAAACTGGGCGGCACAGCAAGCAGGAGTAACTGAGTCTTAGGGAAGTCTGGATGAATTCATGTCTCGATATTCTCATAAAAATAAGTTATACTTACAGAGAAACCGCATCTATGAACGATAACTACTTTCATCAGGCATGAAGAGCAAATTTCTGAGTTCGTAGAGTATGGTTGGCTTTCCAGGGTGCCACTTGAATTGCCGACTTCAACCCTAGTGCACACCACAGCAAAGGCGAATTTGAGGCGACTTAGTAGGTTAGACGACATAACAAGTCCACGAGAAGAGGAATCAAATGTTTTTCTTGTTTCACATAATTCTTTTACTCAGCGCACAAACTCATCGGCAAAATTGCCGTCCAGGCCAACATCCTCGTAATGCCTCCTCGACCACTCAAACTTGCTGGACACGTCCTGAACTCCAACAGGGACACCTTTCGGATCGACGTAGATGTATACCCCCATTATGTGAAACATAGTAATTAGTTTCTTGACACCATCTGGAACCTCGAGGTTGTGGATATCGCCTGGCGGCTCGTATGCGTAGCCACACTCAGTCGTCCACCACGGATGTTCGAGATAGTGCCAGCGGCCCTTGAGGACTGTCGCATGGACGGCGCCGGCGTGGCGGTGGCGAGAGAGGATGCCGGACCACCGGACACAGAAAAAAGAAGCGAGCGGAACCACACCTCGGGTGCCTGCGGAACCCACAGGCGTTCGTCTCATTCTATATCGAATATGCCTGGGATAACAAGGTCATCAGGGACAGAGGTGAGACGGGGCCCTTGGTATGGTATGGCGATTTGATCGAGGCGCTCTTCTGACTTGGCTTCTTAAGCAGCCGGCGCGCTTTGGATAGTGGTCGTGGTGGTTCGCATGGTAGGGTAGTAGTTAAGAACGGGTTATTTCGCGTTTTGATCTGTGGCTGGGACTGGGAAAAAGTGTCCCTGAACTGCCAAAGATATAAATGCGCCTGCGGTTGAATATTAGCCGACATAAGTTTCCGCCTCTCGTGTCATCATTTACACTGAAGTCTGTTGATTGTCATTCGATGGCATTCCCGTATTTCGCGCTATATTTCGGTCAACTTGGGCATCACTGCCAGAACCATTGGGTACGGTTTGTGCGAAATATCGATATGAAGAAAGTCTCGATGAGATTCTTGCGGTTGAGAGGCCGCCTCGTACTCGTGGTGGACTGTCGAGAGTCGTGCATAGCTTCATTCAGTAGAATAAATAGTGTGATATGAGAGAAACCTTGAGGGGGTAGATGAATCTTGGTTGCCACACGCAAACAACACTTCCTATTTCGACAAAGGTCCCAAGGGCGTCCTGTCCACCGGGCCACCAAGTTCATACCTGAGTATCGGAAATATGAAACAAAGTCTGGCCTGTTGTTGAAGAGGCTGACAACACCCTAATCACTCATCATTCCACGAATCTTTGCAACCTCATCAGCCACGCGCCTGCGAAAATTTGGGTCCCTTTCGCTTTCCTCGGCAACATTCTCCCGCCTGACGATGTCCAGAGTCCCTCGGAGAGCGTCAAGTTGTTCCGACACGACCCCGTCTAGTTCCTCCTGCAATTTGTTCGCGTGCTGCTGGAGGCCGTTTCTAAATTGCTCAATCACGGTTTTGAATATCTCCTCGTTCGTCAAAGTACGGGCGACGATAGCTTTGCGTCGTTTGTCAGATCCACGATCTATTGTACGAACGTTAGTAAGCGGACGATGTCAATGATGGACGTCTAACCGACCGCGTTCATTCGCAGCTTCCACATAAACCTTGCACATGACCTTCCCAAAGAACGAGCTGTTTATACAAGTGAGTGCATCAGTTCCCAGCGTCCTGCATGTTGTTAACATTTCAAAGCGTGTGGAAATAATCGTCCCGGATACTCACGACAAGTTTCTGTCGTGCGTGCCAAAAACCTCCTCTATTCCGGTAATGAGCAAGTGTCTGCGAAAATGTATGGCCTTGCGTATTTCGCTCTCCGAAACGTTGGAACTTGGCCATTCCGTATCTGCGTGTTTCATTTGTGAGCCATTGAATTTCCAAATGACCACTGTTAGCACCCACCTAGAAAACAGATGGCCTCGTCCCAGGAATCGCTGATGAACTGATCGACATCATCCCACTGATCTTGGAACTTTGCTTGCAAGTTCTTCCAAGAATCCTTCACGTCGGAAACCATAGCAGACATGGCCTCCTTGTTCCAGTTACGGTAACCGACCGCTGCTGTGCTGTGATCGCCCATAGCACGACAAAACGCAGCGTAAGTGCCTGTGAATGGTCAGAGCTGCGACTTGACCCTTCAAGCCTTGATACAACCAACATACTGTGATGCCACTGCCTTCACTTAGTCAAGTACATGAAACTGAGTATGGATGGATGAATACCCACTGTAGACCATTCGTCACAGGCGTCGGTGGATCTCTCAGTCCATTTAGTGGTCTGCCGGCCTAGAAATTAATTCAATATATCTTTCTGGGATCAAAAGTACGCGGGTCGCTCATACCTCTCCAAATATGGTCCCGGAAATAGCTTTTCAGGCAAGATCCGACAGTACTCAAAGGAGATGTCTCGGAAACGAGATTCTACTACCAATTAGTATCAAACTGCTTGCTCCGCATCTAGAGTCTTCAATTGACAACCTGGAAAAGTTGCGCTTCGATGCTATCGAGAGCTTTCCTAGCAGCTTCTTTCTCCTCGGCTGAAGTGCTTCCCGCCCCGGACTGAACCCAGAGCTCGATCTCACTCAGTAGAGCCGGCACATCATGGCTCAAGAAGTTTTTGGATATCCGCAGCTGGCTTGCTGCTACCATAGCGATGCTGTGCTTCCGTATTGCTATGATCCCAGACAGATTGAGAAAGGGTTCGGCCTCGGACCTTTCTTCCTTGCGCATTTCCCAATACATAGTATTGCTGACGCAGAATACTCGAGGAGGTTTTTCTGTTGTCGGGTCTAGATATTTCTCCGAAAGTCCTTTCATGACGTGGGCGTTGCGTGTTTTGACAGCGTATTCATGCAAATTGTACTTGGCGGTATTTCGTTGCCTCTTAAGCTCCCGCTTGTCGCTAAGCAATTTCAACAGCTCTTCCTGAGTATCCAAATCGATACTCGATAGACCTTGGAAGGTCATCAGCTCCTCATCAACCTCCTCCAATTTTTCATCGATGGAACTGAGCGATCTCCTCAGCTTCTTGATTACATCCGCTTGCTTGTTCTGCCAATCGTTCTTTATCTCATCGAAATTGATGTCATCTGACTTTGTGCAGACAATGCCAACGTGTGCAAGCCCAGCTTCTCGTGCCAGGTTGAAAACACTCAAAACACCAACATCCGTGGTAGCCCGACCAATGTTGCATACTGCAAATATCTCGTGGCACTTCAGTATATATCGCTCTGTGATATTGCGCCGGGCCGAATTCAGATCACGAAGGCCAGGAAGATCCACCAAGACCAAGCCTTTGCTGAGAATGTGCGCTTTGAGATAGACTCTGATCTTTCGGATATATGGCCAAGTTGCAGGTGCGCTTGCTGCAGGGACCTCTGAAGTCAATTGCATGAGCAATGAGGAGCAATCTTCCAGTGACGTGACCACCTGTCTGTCTCGCGACTGAAGTGCATTGGCACTTGATACCCATGTTTGGAATTGCTCTAGGATGACTTCCTGTGATTCTTTGAGAAGCCAGGATTCATCCCCCAGGATGCCGCGGAACATTGTTCGAAATGTGTCTGCCGCAATATTTGCTCTCTCTTCGAGGTATTTATGTTCCTCTCGATCCAGAACTCCGTTGTGAAGATGGAAAGTCCTGTAGGAAACTAGTAACTCGGCCAGCTGGTCGTGGATTTCCTCACTGCTGAACTTATCCACTTCAATGATGAAACAATCTTCCCCATGATGATGGTATTCGGTCACAACACAAGTGCATGCAGCGCCGTTATTCGTTGTTCGTGCTAAACCTCGGTGATCCAGGAGGGAGTTGAGAAGGCTACTTTTCCCGACACCAGAGTCACCAACGAAGCCTACAGTCCTTGTCGACAGCGGCTGAAAGCGGCTCAACATCTTTGCGCGCTCATGGAGTCCCTTCATTGTGGAATCAGGCTCGAGGTGGATGGAATTGCTGGAGAGAACATCGGTCAAGTCAACCAGAGCCTTTCTTGTGTCTGCTAAGCGCTGCTGAAAGACCGGATGGTTGAATTCATCACTCGGTGGCTCTTCGTCCTCAACCCGATGAATCACTGTTTCTGGCCTCGGTGTCGACCTTCTTCGTGACGATCTGCGTGGTTTTACAGCAAGCGTCTCGTTGACCCGTGGCCCTGGGTTGAAATCGTTTGTGTTGGTGTCCAGTTCGTCAAGTGCAGCACCAACCTCAGTCATATTCAGTCCTGGTATGGGCTCTGCGGAAGCTTGTTTGCCTGAGAGTCCAAGGCGTTGCAGGCCAGGTGTGAGGTTTGTTCTCGTGGACTCATGTACCGAGGTGTTCCACATCGCCGTGGGATTGGTTTGGGGAGGAGGCGAGATAGATACGGTAGGCGTTAGTGACTGATGCGTAGATGTAAAGCTGGAGGTGGATTCGTGGGTGGAATTATGGCAACCTGTCAGTGTCGGCTGATTAGAAGTCGCGGATTTGGGAGCAGAGACGATCGAGGTGCTCTGGGCGGCTGTGTGATCGGCTGCGAAGGTGAACGCCGGGCTCGGACTTCTCTCTATCGATGCGACGGGCGTGTCATAGCTTCTGTTGTCAATGGTGTGGACATCTTCCCAGGCTGCTTCATTGGCGCTTGCATTTTCTTCGGCATCATTCCCTTGAGAGTCAAGGACCCCAAGGGCGCCATCTGATTGAGTAATATCTCCATTGTGCGGAGACGAAGACCGAAACAATCTTGACCTGATTGACCTGACTGAAAGTATCTAGTCCAACATCAGCAAAATTAGCTACTTGTCACTGTCGAGGCACTTGGGGCTTCTGTGGGCTCACTTGACGCGTCATGACTATAGAGAAAATTAAGAAAGGGTTAAAGACAGGGATATCGTGCTCGTGTACGTCTCCTAGGATTTAAAGAAGGAGAAAAATGTATCAGTGAGCTGTTTACGTTTGCGGTAGACTGTGAATAGAGTTATGAACTAGGAACTGGCAGGGAAATCGAGACCTTTTGATGTTGGAACGTTGTATCGCACATGAACGGTGGTGTCAAGGCTTCGTGCCTATTCTGGGCTGAGTGTTACATTGGACAAATACTCCACGAGGCAGCTCAGCGCCAACCTGCACCATCTGATGCGCTTCGTGCCTCACTGATCATCCATCTAATCCACATCCTCCCAGCGATAAGGTCCAATTTGAGTGAACTTTGCAGGTTTGCCGACGTGCCGGGGCAGAGGGCCTGCAGCACTGCCCAGTTCCACCATCCTGCATATGGGAGGCTGAACCAACTGCATATGCACACAGGATCTTATTGGCCTGACTCTACATCCCAAACGACAGTGCCACAGGCAGCAGCAGCTCAGCCCGCGGTAGGCGCCGCAACTATCCAATCCCCGTGGCCGCTCGATTTAAAGCACAGATGGGGGAAGCAGGACTCGTGATACCACCACCCCTGTAGCTTGCGGATTGAAATGTCGCCGGAGTGGGGGCGGCATCGTGCTGTCCGAGTCAACAGAGAGTCCGGCTTTATTAAAACGTTTTTTATTCTTTCCCGTTCAGTCGGTATGTGACAAGTAAGTCGTTACAGCCTGTGCAATACTATTTGTATATTTTTCAAATGCAATAATACTCTTTCTAATGTGAAGGTGGCAGTAAGAATATGTAGGCTATGGAGTAATCTAAAATGGGATACCATGTCGTGGGACAATCTGCTGTGAGGAGGCCTACTAGACGATAACACTCGGTGGGAAAGCCTTGTATGGGATAAATAGCTCTAGGATGATTTCCTTTAGGAAGCTCACTGTGGGGTAAACTACCATAGAATTTCTAAGTGGGACAAAGTAGTATATAGCAATCACCTATAGAATAACTTCCTATAGAATAGCCTTCACGAGAGCAAAACTCGACGCCCGCTAATACTCTCGAGTGACAACAACGCCAGCAGCGACAGAGTCCAGGTGACTGAAACCTGGCCCTAGCAGCAATTTCAGCGTCGACATGCGCAGTGGAGGATGCGCGACGCCCATCGAAGCTCCTAGTGCGAGAGGCAAGCTCCGGAGCTCGTCTATCGACGACCCCGGAAATCTAGGCTGCTCTGCATCGCTTCGCCTACCAGCTTCGAGAGGCCCTCTTAGTCGAGCGCATCTGTCATCTGTTTCTATTGGCCCAAACATCTCCCATTGGCTACTGAAGTATCCTTCTAAAGTTTGCTGCGCGGGATGACGGTGGACACGAGGGCAACGCGCTGGATTTATCGGTCAGGGAAAGAGAAAACTGTATAGCTTTTCGTTTCCGGCTGCGCTATCCGAAAGATCTCTTTCGAGTTTGTATGCAAGTTTTTTTGCGTTCAAGGACCATCCGTAGCACATCACCACATATCACCATTCAGAGCATGATTACACAGCAAACAGTTCACTGTATTACCCTTTTTTCTTTTTTTATAAAAAAAAAAGAAGAACAAGAAAAGGACGGAGACAGCGGGAGACAGAGAAGAAAGCATTGGGGTAAAACTAGAGTTTGAGCCCATGGGTACAGAGCAGCCTTCTGGGAGCACCAATTCCTTGGGGAGAGTGAAATTGACAAACAGAGTACTGCCACCTAGGATAGTGGTGCCGCCAAGGATAGTAATGCCGCCTGGGAGAGTAATGCCGCCTGGGAGAGTAATGCCGCCTGGGAGCTCAATGCCCCCGGGAGGGAACTTTTTGTTGGTCCAACTGGACCAGGGCACTCTGGTTGGGACAGAGGTTTGTTTGCACTACAGTGCCGCCTGGAAGAAAGGTGGTGAGGCCGCCGGAGACCAGCATCCCGTCTGGGAGAGTAGTGCCACCTGGGAGAATGAACTTTCCGGCCAGGCTGGGAGAGGCCACAACCGACCGGGGAGGCGCGACGATACATTCTCCTCCACGAAGGAGGGAGAGCTGTGCGGTCTGTATATCGGTTAGACATATGTACCGCCGGCGGAGGAATTCAGGGTGGAAGTAGGATGGAACAATGACCAGAACAAATTGAAAAGAGACTTGCGTTGGGGCCGCCGCCCATGAGGACGTAGGTGGTGACCTCGCGGCCACCCACTCCGCGTCGGCGACTAATTCACGACGTTTTTGCTGTTGCTGTTGCTGTCGCTGTCACTGTCACTGTCGTCGCTGTTGGTGTTGTCGTTGCTGTTGTTGCTGCTGTTATTATTGTTGTTGTTATTGTTGTTGCTGCTGCTGTTCTTGCTGCCTCGCTCGGCCTGCCGGCGCAGATGGGCTGTGATCTCCTTCTTCTTGTTGCCGGCCACACTTTCTATTGTGTTAGTATATTACAAGGAGTGTCAGTGGAGAAAAGGTCAACGCAGGATTGGAAAACGGTGTTGGTGACATGATATGTGAATTTGATCTCGTGCGGCACTCACTCGGGCTTCCTGTATTTATGATTGATCTTCTCTCGCTCGTGCTTTGTCTTCTCAGGGGTGGGCAGTGTGGCTAGAACAATCTATAAGCAAGCGATTGAGTTGGGTTCGCATGAGATCGAACTGCTTGAATGGATTCGCGAACATTACATAGGCGAAGAAATTTGTAGAGGCGAAGTTCAATCGACAAAGAAACAGTCGCCAGCCAAACCCTTGAGGTGACGAGAAGAGAGGGGTGAGAGGTAGACGAGGGTGATGGTCGCGTGCATGATGATTTCAAAGGTAATCTTACCGCAAGGTCGAGCAAAGAAACTCAGAGCAGTTATTAAAAGTAACAATGAAAACAAAATGGTTGGCCCGGAATGCCACCTACAAATTCGCGATGCCGTCGCGTGAGGGATCCAGAAAGGAGAGGGAAGAGAAAGGAAACGAAAGGAAAGCAGTCGAGGGTGGAGGATCCACAATATTTTTGGTGTGGCATTGGCTGACAAGACCCTTCCTTCCCGGGAATCAGTTCACAGGCATGTGGCAGCTGGGTCTTGTCTTTCTTCACCCAACAGGGCAGTTGCGCACCTGTCCTTCTGGTCGCCGGCCAGCTTTGGTGAAAGCGTTACCAATATCGCCGGCGAAAGGTAGAATTCTGCTCAATGTCACTACAAAATGATTGATGCCTGAGACAGGCAATATACTAGGCTAGGACATGCTAAAGTAGAAGAGCGGTGTCAAGGACCGAGTCGAGACTGTTTATTGCGCATCGTGATGTGCTGCTGTGTACTTTTCAACCATCGCAAAGTAAATCTATGGCAAAGCTGGCTCACTAGATTCCATCGTCAGTGACTTGGATTGAGGGAGTTGGTCGAGTTTCATTTTCACAGATATCAATTTATGTGGGGAGGCAACGGTCTTGCCTTATATACAAGGTTTTCTATTTACATCGAATGAAAAGCTGGTGGGCCTGGTCGAGAACAATACGGTGCTCCTCCTAGGAAACTTGCAACATTTGCTCCACGCATGTATAAATCTCCCATATTACGGCGTATTCCTTCCAAGCTGTCCAGCATTCTCTTTCACGTAGGCAAAGACGTCCGCGCCCGAGTCAAACGAGCGAGGCATAGCCTGCTCGCTAAACTTGGCGCAGCTCTGGACCAGCCCACCCTCTACGGAGTCGGTCTTGGTGCTCAGGTAGTAGGTGAACTTCTCAGCGACGTTCTCTGTCAGGTTGACATCCTTGCCATTAAGCTGGCTGGCAGGGCCTGCCAGGCTTTTCAGCCCGGGATAGGCGGCGATCTCCTCGGCGGAGAGGTCTGGCGGGGAGCAGAGAGTTGCGGGGCTCTCAGGTGTTGCGAGATCGCTGAAGGTGAAGATTTTTGACTCGTCGTCTGGGAACTGCCCCGTCTGGTCGAAGTAGTTGCCTGACATCAGCACCGATGACATGTTGTAGAGGCCGACGTTGTACTGGAAATCAGGGGTATAGGCGGCGCGCTTCTGGGTTGCTGTGTTGTTATAGAGAGGCGCCTTGTTGTTGTAGTTCGAGAAAACGTTGTTGGCAATGTACACAGTGCCGAATCGGACCAAGGGATTCCGGCTCATCGAGTTGACAAAGTGATTACCAAAGACGGTGAATTTCATCTTCCCAATATCCCGAGAACCCTCCTTCTCACCACCGCCCCAAAGGAGGCTCTTGTGGTGGTTTGCGATTATGTTGTGGCTGAATGTGATGTTATCCGAGCCATCTTCAACGTCGAACAGCCCGTCAAAGCGGTCGACCTGCCAGCCCCAGACAAACGGCTCAGGAGCAACAGGCTCCGGTCCATCTTCCAGGATGTTGCCATCCAGCCAAGCGTTGGTGGTGGTCACGAAAGATATGGCATCGTACCGAGCGTTCCAACTCGACGGGTAGGTCTCTGGGGCCGGGAAGCAGTCCTGAGGTGGTGAGATGCGGAGATTTCGGATGATGATGTTGGACTGGTCGTTGAAGTTGAGGCTCACGCCGTTGAGATAGGCATCCGAGTCCCAACCTATCAGTGTCACATCGCCCTGTGCATCTATTGACTCCCAGCTTTTCTGTACATTTTGTGCTTGACCCCTCCAACCCTGGGGAATATTGTCAATAGGGCGCTCGATATTACTGGGCTGTTAAACTCTTGGCTTACATTCTGCCTGTTCAGCAGGTTGAGATACTCCGTCGCGTTCCTGCCCTCAAACTCTTCGCCCGCAGCCTCAGCAGCTTTGACCGCATCTGTGTATGTCTCGTTCATGGCCATGATATACAGAGTGAAGTTGTACTCGGGCACCCGGCTCGAGTCGATGTAGAACTGGCAGTTGCCATTGGTGGTCTCGTTGATTTGGCTGCCCTTGAGTTCGCCTTTGACGTAGATGGTTCGCGGTGTAGTCAATTTCAAGGCGGTGCGGAAGTCCATCATGTTTTCAACAACGTACGTGTTGTTATCAGTTGAAGCACCACCGCCAGTCACCAGGGAGGCAAAGCCAAAGGGCTTCCGATCCGGTAGCGTAGGGGTCGAGACATCGACAGCTCTGGCCTGGAGCTTGCCTCCGGCGTCAACCGTAAAAGGGAGCAAGAACAATGCTGCTGTCCAGAGCATTTTGACCATTGTGCCTGTGCCGAACACTCTCGACTAGCGAAAGATGGATTTCTTCTAGAAACGGCCTTCTGGTGCTTGGAGTAGGCGGGACTTAAAGGTAATCCCATGGCAGGCGACATGCACATGTGCTCTCACGGCCATTCTTAACCCGGATAGCGATCCGGGACGGGACAAGGTGCGCCGCTAGGCAATCGGGGAATTTCAGGGAATGCGAAACCAAGGGCGGATTACTAGGCTCCTATCAATCTCCAGTCAAATAACCCTTACTCGTTCACCTGTACTTCGGTATTACAGGTGGCATTTTGGGTTGCCTTTACCAAATTCATGTTTCCTTGGAGTCTTGCCTTGGGATTCGTTGGTATCAGGGCTCACCCATGACACGACGAGTGGCCACACCCAAGCTGATAGCTCAAGCGGCTGCGAAAAAGGGGAGCCATGTCGAATGCGGACGCAGGTCGTACCATGCAGGTGTGGAGACAAACAGATCATCATTGCATAGTGGAGAAGGCTGCTGCAAGGGACGGAATGGGGCAAAGATCGGAGGAGGGATGTCTGCTGTTTCCTTGGGCCCAGTATTGTTTCCTCGGCAAGCATGATGAGTTGCAAGAGATAGATGATGTTGAAAAATTGCTCCAAGCAATCTACTGCGAACCTGGATCCAGCAAAGCTGTGTATTTTGGGTTCTTCTAGTCTCGACACTAACCGAGCCTACCTGGGATGATTCTCTATATTGGTCAATCACCCCAGTCGTACGCCCGCTGTTCCATTCCAGCCTTCCCATGCTTATGCATGCAAGTTCGCAGTATAATCTGGCTCGTCTCAATTTGCCCGAGTACAAAAATTTCCCCATCCTCACACAATTCTGGTACGCAGATGACATGTTGACTGGATAGAGAACGAGTTGCCTCGTGAAGCCAATTCAAGGTACTGAAGTGGTTCCCTGCTGGGGAAGGTCGCGCGGGATTGAATATGATTTGTGGAATTTCGTTTAGCTTCGTGTAGACAACGCCGAGGGCCTGGCGCCGTCGGACCTGACTAGCCGCAAATCGACCCTCTCTTGAATATTTGCAGCGTAAGGGAGCACTCTTGTTTATTCATATAGGCTCTTACGAAAGGCAAGAAATGCCAGACAAGCTCTGTGATAGTGAGCAAACTTGTCTTTTCCTGAAGTGTAAAATGACAGGAGTAAAAGAACTGCATCTATTTCTAGATCTCAAGTCACGGCCCGTATCAATCAGGGTTAGGGCTCTGGACAAACAAAGGTGAAATGCCACACGAGGAACTATGGACCTCACGTTAGCTAACACCGTACATGCATACCGTTGTACCCAGTATTAAGATGCGAGCTTAAGGTCGGGTGTTCGCTTCGCGGCCACAGTTTCTCTGGAATAATTCAAAGGACACAGGGGAAGTATAAGATAACCTTCTATAGGATAATCTCTTATGGGATAACCTCTTATGGGATAACCTCTTATGGGATAACCTCCTATGGGATAACGTTCTATCAGAGTATTGACTTTAGGATGCTTTCTTGTAGGATAAATTTGTATGGGGATGTAAGCCACAGGGGGCTCCGCAACGACATGTTGTCATTTTTGAGAGTGTGGCGGTTTTATTCCAATAGTGTGTGAAGACGCTTGAGTTTCTGAACTTAAGTGTGGTAAACTATGGATCAATTCAGTAGCAAAAGAGCAGACGCTGTGAGACCAGGGTATTGCATTGCATATGTACCATTATCACTAATTATCACCCCAGCCGGGCACATTGTAGCCATTTCGACTACCTTCGAGTCCTGAAACGAGCGAATGAGACTGTACATTAACGTCTAATCCCAGGTCTGGGTCCACAGAGCCAATGCTTGAGGATATCTAAGCCCAGCTCGTGATCCATGGGGCTAACACTTCACCATCCTTGAGCGTCTTGGTGACAGCCATAGCCTGCGCCTCCAAGGTCTCAGCGAATCCCACAGTTCCCCACCAGTCGGGGAAGCTACTGCCACTGAGGCCCAGCGCGAGGGCATACAGGATGAGGCAGAGCGCATTGCCGACATCGAGGGCGCCGGCGAGCGAGTACGTGTACCGCTCCCACCACCCTGGGAACTTCTTCTTGATAATGACGTTGAAGATGATTCCGACGGTCAGGTAGCACAGCAGGTTGAAAATGGTAGCGGGGGGGATCATGCCGGAGACGCCAAACAGGGCGGGGAAGAAAATGTAACGGAGGATCGATCTGGGGTACTTCCTCGCGATGTAGTACTGGATAATGGGGCAAGCAAATCCAATGAGGAAGAACCAGTTGACCCAGGAGTACATGGCTCCAGCGCCGAACATCCTGGCGGGGCCGATGACACCTGTTTACGTGGTTAGCACTGGGACCGAGACAACAATATGTACTAAGAGGTGGTATAACGTCGTAGGACGTGAAGTAGAGGGAAAATGAAACCTACCCCAGATAACACTGGCGTTGTAGAAGGTCTTGGCACCTGCGCAAGTGAAACCTTGCGGCTGGGCCTTAGTGCAGATGTCAGGCAAGTATGCGAACATCCAGTTGAACGTCGCTGTCTGCACTATGCTGAGCCAAAGAACAGCGAACAGCTGGGCGCGGAAGAGAGACCGAGGCGGAATCTTCATGTAGTGTCCTATCTTCATGTCTTGCGCGTATGTAAGGGAGTTGTACGAGAGCATGTAGCCCCTGAAAGAAATTAGGGTTAGCTATCAAAGCAGCAAGAAGTGTTTGCGAAAATTGGGATGACGTAAGGCTGCAAAGCAAGCCTTTTAGAAGGGTAAAAGTTGTATGGGAACGCTACTTACCAACTCTTGAACATCATCATCGCAATTGGCTTTCCAGGGAGCACTAAGACCGTAAGTCAGCATTTTTATTTCGAGTGCTTTGCAGATTATGCGATGTGATCCGACGACCCAAATGTATCTCCTGTGTGATTGGTAAAGAGATGTTGCAGTAGATAGTCACTCACTATAACCGACAATCATCTCAGTGATGATGTTCAAACCTGTCTGTTGGTTGGTGATAGCCTGGATAATACCTGTTAAATCGTCAGTAAAGAGCACATTTTCTACTTTAACAGAGGCTTTTGGCAGTGACTGACCGACTGGAAGGACGAAGAAAGCACCAACGAGGATGGCAATGATATACGCCCACCAGGTAAGGTGTGTGGTCCACAGCTGCGAAGCCAACATTCCAAAGGCAAACATAACGACGAAGACGATCGAGTACCACCATTCGGGCACCTCGGGGTACTTCCTCATGAGCTTCAAGTGCACATCGGGCTCCTCGTACTTGGAGTCCTTGACACGGCGGATAATGTCGCGGCCGTAGAACCAGATGACGTGGCTCACGTTGCTAGCCAGGGTGGCGAAGCCCATAGCATATGACAGACTGAAAGCAGCCGGCAAAATCAGGGGGGAATAAGCCTTATACGCCGCCTCGTTGATCGTGGTGTCTGGATTCAAGATACGCGTTGTGTTGTAGTTATTGGCATAGCGATCGAAATTAGCATTATCCACCATCCTGCTACGCATTAGTAGACCGCTACAATGTTTTCTGGAAGATAGAAATAAAATGTGGGCGGCTGGGCGACTATGGCGGCTCGTGGTGGGGGTGGGGGTGGGGGGGGGGGGGGCGGTTGGCTTATACATACGGAAGGTACTGGTTGTAGGAGGGGCCCGTAAAGTACACCAAGACGGTGAGGAAAAGGAAAAAAATGCCTCCGGCAAGCATATTGATCAGGGCAAAGCCTGGTGTCAAGATGGGGTTGCCAAACCATGAGGCGACGCCCGACCAGTCAAGCGAGATGGGTAGGATACCGATTCCGGTGACTCCACCAAATGCTTGATTGACAGCCACATTGTTCGGGGCAATCCAGGTTGGGAAAGATCCGAGGTAGACGAGGAAATTCGCCATCACGTTCGGAATCCACTCGTAGCAAAAGGTGAGGCCAGAAACGAGCATGAAGAAGTAATCTAGTATGCTAGTGTCAGTACACCATAGATTCAGGTATTCGACAACATCAAATGAAACAAAGAATCAACTTACAACGACCAATCTTCCACCCATTCGTCTTGGAGGGGTCGGATGGCGCATGGTTGTGCAAGCTGTCCATGACAGTGCAGAAGACAAGAGCCAGACCTGGCCAAACCATGGCAGCGGGCCAAACGAGGAACCGACGGAGCATACCAGCAATACCAAAGCCCATTGCCTGCGTAGAGAAGACAAGGAGAATCTGGAAGCCCCAGCCCCAGAACTGCTTGTAGTAGACCTGCTGAGCCAGAAGGATGTCGAAGGCATAACTGAAACCAGCACCGGCGGCAGTCATGATAGTGATGAGAGTGTGTTCCTTCTTGTTGAAGGGGCCGGGGTTAAGTTCGACCTCCCTGCCGAATACGCGGAACGACTTCTCTGGGACGTACTTGGCCCAGCCCATACCCATAGGGTAAGCAATGAGCTGGACGACGGGCGTGCTAATGGAGACACCGAGGTAGTGGTTGTTCAGGAGGACATTCATGGCGGCAACGATAGTGCACGTCAAGAAGCCGATGGTCCAGGCCCGAATGGTGTCAACAGGTAGCGTAGGGTCATCGCCAGGGGAGACCTGTGCCACAAGTCAGAAATCTTCTATATCATCAAGCCCCTTTACGCAGGCCATTGATGGGATGATAAGAACTTACTGAGGCGCGCACTTCGGCATAAGGTGAATCTTCGCCGATGAGCTGCTCCTCAACAACGGCCTCCTTTTCAACGTCTCCAGACTCGATAACATTGTCGATGGCATCAAGCTTGGAAATGTCCATGAAGGGGTCGAACCTATGCTGGTCCTTCAGCCTCTTCATGTGGAGGTCGGCATCGGGACCGCCGACTTCGTAGCCCGTGGCCTCGGCTGAGTCCACGGGCTCGACGGGGCGCGACTCGGCCTTGCCTCGCCAGTTGAAGCCCATCTTGTCGTGTGGGGACTCAGAGTCGATGGAGAACGACTTGTGTTGCAGTAGAAAAAATCAAGCTCACAGTCCAAGAGGTCAGGACGCTGGGCACCAAGCAACCAAGAAGGACCATGCAAGGGAGAGCAAGCTCGGCGGGCGTGGCATCAAGATGGACCAGCCGGGAGGCGGGGCACTTAATAAAGATGGGCACGAGGTTCCCAAGCCCTTCTAGATGCTGTGTTACGCTGAGATGCATGTGGCCACCTTCCCGAACGGTAGCATCCCACGAACGCCTCTTTCTAGAACATTTCGAGGAGCCAAGGCCGCCACGGTTGACGAGATAGGTCGATATCCGTCTTTCCAGCCGTGCTTGCCCTGGCCAGGAAGGAGATAAGGGAGGGGAACGCCAACGCCATCACTTTGTGGAAACCCAATATGGCGATATGGGAGCGCGCGCTGAATGGTGAGGTCTTGGGGGAGGGTCGCAAAAGAACCATGCCGCCCATGGGGGGAACCATGTCGATGTCTCTACTTGGCGACGTTCCCTCGACAGACGACCCGTGCAGCTGGCTGCGAGACAAATGGTAAAATTATTGGACTAATTTGGCGCGCCCCGTAGTCGCAACGGGCAGTATGGGTTCTCTTGGTGGAGACGCGGCCTGGGCATGGCTGGGCGTTTGCTCGGCGCTGCAGATAAGGCCGCCACCCTGGTTGATTGCAAACATCTCGAGGGGGTGGTGTGATCTTTGTTTTGGCCCGGATAGCCGATCGAAGCTGTCAGAACCGTAAATGGTGTACCAGATGCGACAGATTTAGCATGGTTTACCTCGACTAGTTGGTGTTTTCTAGAAGGGCGGGCCGAAGTTCGTTATCAGCCACCGCCTTATCCCACGGGCCCAACTGATCCAACAGCAAGGAAGGCCATGTCTGTATCGAGTAGCGATGGACTCAATTGGGGTGTTGGTTCGGGAAAAAACCGCGGGAGACCAATAGAGCGGAGGGGATTGAGTTTGAAAACCTGTTTAACTTTTGGCACGCCGCAGTGAGCGGGTGTGATGAACAATTGACGGCGTCGTGCAGAGATATCGCAGAGTTCTGTACCATCGGCTCGTTTGCCACAAATCCCAAAGTTTATCCTGGTGTTTTCGAATCGTTAGTTAAAATAATCTCAAAATGGCACGCATCTCAGAGCGAAGGGTTACCTTAGTTTACCGGAATTCTCCTTTTTCCTCTTTACATTCAGGTAGTCCATGAGAGGATGATGAATATGATTCGCAATCTCAATCGTACCCCTAGCTTATAATAGGCTAATTGGCGTATAACTCAATCATGTGCCTCGCCTCGTTATCTCTTCACTGTAACCTTAACAGGCACTAGCGCCAAGATCCATGATGATAAGTCACGGTTGAGCGGCTTCATGCACGACCCTATCACAGGTCGAGTTTGAGTCCCTGCCCTGGTTTCCTCTACTCTCACCGTGAGCCGTGCATACAGACTATCAAAGTCCAGGACTCCTTCAGCATTACATAAGACAAGACTTTTTCAGTTTCTTGGACTAGACTGATTCACGACAATGGAGTTGAGCATTTTCGAGGTCCACACTGATGAACCCACACAGAAGCTATGGCCAAGCGATGCATCTAGCCTGGGCTTGAAGATCCATGTCAAGGGGTGTTGTATGACCCCTTCTTTTGAAAAGCTTGAGATTCTTGGAAGGCTCAATCTGCTAGATCTACTGCGCCAAGTAGTGCTTGGTATTCTTGAGGCCGGAAAGGCTTGCATGCAGAAGAAACACGTGAGTTATTAGATCATCGAACCACGCGGCGTTCCTGCAGCTCTCTCATCCAACCATATTGAAGAGCCTTACAGCTGATATGAGCTTGCCCAATAATTTTCTATACCACGAGTTGCGTCTGTTGATAATTCTCATATTCATTTTGTCTGCTGTTTCTACAGCTGCTGACTCTAACAAGAAGTTGGCACGCGGGATTCACGGTGAAATATATATGGGCTCGGTGATATGCAGGAAAGTCTCAAAAAGTCTCGTCATCTTACATGAGAGTAATTGGAAGCACGGTGCTTGTAGTAAGTTCTTTTATCTGGCTTTGTCGCTTAAGGGACATTCGAATCATACAATGCAAAAACCCAAGAGCATCATCTCGATTGCTTCGTTGCGGCTTTAATAATTCACTCTATCTCTGGCTGATGATACCCTGGTTTGTATAATTGTAATAGTCCAGTTAGTGGCTTGTCACCTTGACTACGAGGTGCACTGACTAAGTCGTCATCACTACGATGGCTCGGAGAGGGAAGGACGTATCAAATCGAAGACCGTTTTGGAAAGGAAATATGACTCAGTCAAATCGATGTTTGTACAAGAGTAAGTCGCATAAAACAAGGCAATTCATGTGGCAACATAAATATGATTTTTACATCATAGCAATCCCACGTGATCAAATAGTATTTGGCACAGCAGTCTTTTGTGATTTCAGCTTTGTGCTAGAAAATTGTAATATGCAAGATTTACTTAAGAATTTAAGTATGCACAACTATGTACCTCCACATCTCCTCCCCTGCCGCACTCCCCTTGAAATACCTCTTATTCCAATCATGAAACTCCCAGTTGTGCGACGCCACCCACATGCAATGCAAAATCCCTCAGATTTACGAGGTCCACTTGTTGGTGTCGATCCAGCTGACGAACTGGCCAACGCGAGTGTAGACACCGGCGTAGTTGGCCTCAGCACAGCCGTTGCCCCAGGAGACGAGACCCTGCAGAACCTTGGAGGAGTCGACAATGGGGCCGCCAGAGTCGCCAGAGCAAGAGTCCTTGCCACCCGCAGTGAGACCGGCGCAGAACATGTTGGTGGTGATGGCAGAGGTACCGTACTGGGACTGGCAAGTGGCGCGCGAGATGACGGGGACGGAAACCTTCCTCAGGGTGGCGGGCAGAGTCGAGCCGTCCTCGGTCAGCAGACCCCTGTTTAACGCGGATTAGCGCTGTGCATAAATTATCTCCCTGGTAGATTGGAAGAACTTACCAGCCGGCGACAGTGAGAGTTGTGCCAGAGGCGGGGTCGGAGCCCGAAGCCGGGAGGGTGGCGTAGCCGATGGTCGAGCTGGTCGCAATAGGGCTGGCCAGGTGCCAGACAGCAACGTCGTAGTCGATCAAAGCCGAGTTGTACGAAGGGTGGTACTTGATGGCAGAGACGCTAACCTGAGTACCGCCGGAAGCCCAGGTCTACAATATAAGTTAATATATCAATTCTGGGAGGAGTTTCTTCGCTTTCGTTGCGAGCAACAAGCACGAAATACATCGCAAGTGACTTACCAGGGAGCCAGCGCGGACCTTGACGGCCGAGGCAGTCTGGCCGACAGAGCAGTGGGCAGCCGTGATGACGGTGTAGGCGTTCAGCAGAACACCACCGCAGAAGTGCGAGCCACTCTTGGACAGACTGACGATGAAGGGGAAGTCACCGGCAGCAGCGGTGGTTCCACCAACGATTCCAGTCACAGGAGGGGCCTCAGTCTCATCCTGGCGAACATCCAGGCCGAACGGCTTGGTCTGGCCGAGGGGCTTGGTAACTGCTGCCGCCATGGAGAGGACGGGCATCGACAGAGCGAGCGCGAGGGTGAGGAAGGGCGTCATCGTGGCGGTCTGCAGGACTGCTGGCACTGGGAGCTGTGGTTGGAAAGAGTGTGCTGGGACTGGAGGTGCTGAACCATCTATTCAAACATAAACGCCGGCGGCATTCTCTATTTATACTTGAAGCAATACATACACTTAATATAAATCGCAGCTTTCACGCGCGCAAGTTACCAGTTGCCTACTCAGTTTCTGAGGTTCTTGAGGTACCACTTGCCTACTCAGTCTTCGCCCTCCGAGAGCCAAGAATTCGCTGTCAGTACACCAGATAAAGCGCTGTCCAATCTTTTCCTACATACCGTCCGTATGGTAGCTTGGCAATGATCTGAGTGTAGTAAAAATGGCCAAAAGTAGAAGGCGAGAAGTAGCCGTACCCATCGGTGCTGGATGAGCTGCCGCAGAACTGCCCTTTTCAGACAAGCGTGACCGGGTTGACTCGCATCCCCGATATTTACCGGCAGTCCACATAGCGTCGGTACCCGGTTCTGGCTGAACAGCCAAGACAACGCAAGGATTGCTTCGCAGGCTGAACCTCGTCTCCTCGCAATATGTTTGGCCGCCCTTCTAATAAGCAGCTGGCAGGTGACACAGGCACGAACTCGTATAAGCTCCGCGCCTGAATGCGACGCCGGCCCTTGATAGGCAGCCGTCTTGCATTATTGCGGTCAACATCTGGTTCAGAATTGGTGTTCTCATGCACCTCCATAGTGGTTTCACAAAGCTTATCTGCAGATGCAGAAGTCGATCTCAATAGACCAGCTGACCAGTGGTCTGACCTGAGCTACGGCGCATTTCGTTGTCTCCTGCATGTTCTCGAATGTCAGCTCCGCGGGACAAGACACTCAAGGATTCGTCCTGCATCTGAGTCGACTTGCAATTGATAATTGGCTAGCTCCGGAATCTGTTCGCCTGGTCTGGATCTGAGGGGAAAGGAGATCACAAGTAGGTGGCCCTGGTGATATGCAAGATTGGCTGCTTTGTATCTACGAATTGTGTGTGCCATTAGTGTCCTTGGCAGACTAGTATAAGATGGCCGATTGCCCTTTACCCGGCAAGATTTCGGACCTTTCTATACTTATGAGCTGCAATGTGTTTCTGAGACACCCGTCGGCTGATCTCATCAAGCATTGTGTCGACATAGGATACTGTTTACCAAAGTGATGCAGAGCGAGACTATTGTTGTATTCTCGGTGGCAAAGTACAATCATTATTGTCCGATATTACTGGCACCCGTGCGGCCCAACCTACAGTCCGATCGTGACTGACAACCCCGCCTTGTCCTAGACGCGCCTTATTCCTCTATAAGCCGGGACTTTACATTCACGAGGCGCAGGACTTGCGGCATGCGCCGCATTCCAACGCACAAGATTGCCCTCACGCCCTTCCCGCCAGTCAAAACCCACGAAGGAGCCCTGAAGCGAGAGGCGCGACTGCCCAAGCGTCTTGGTAAAGAAATTCTGCGCTGCCGTGTTCTCGGCCTCCCATATGAGTTCGATAGCCTCGGGCACCTCCTCGCCGGGCTCCTTGTCCCCTACCACCATGGGCAGAAGCTGACGTCTCCTCTTCTCCCCGGGCAGCTTCCACCAAGCCTCCATTACCGCTTTGAATAACTCCGTGCCATAGCCCTGCCGCCAGTATGCTGGCTTTAATAGGATTTCGAATCGAGTCCAGCCGGATGTGGGCTGGTCCTCGCTGTCAGGGAGCCCGGCCTCGCCTATGAGCTCGCCAGTGGAAGCCAAGAAAGCGCCCCAGTACCAATGGCGCTGGTCGTGTGGTGCTTGTAAGCGCTCGAGGTTCTGCCGTGTCTCTTCCACATCCCTGTCAGGACGTCCGCGAGCCGTAGAGTGAATCTGCGTCTCGCCTATCTTGCGGAGCTCATGGAAAGCCTCGAGATCAGATGGCAGGAGTGGTCTGACGATGAGTCTATCTGTGCGGATCTCTCCCCGGACTGAGATTGAAGGTAGTGGTCGCTTGGGCGCGCAGACATCGTAGCTGAACCATACTGTTGCGGAAAGCTTCTCGTAGTCGTCGTGCTCAAGGTCGACACGGATTGTCGGTGCTGAGCTATCTGCCATTTTTTGTGTGTGTTGACTTCCGTCGGGATTTTTGAAAAGTGCCGGTAACTGACTCGTGGAGAATGCTTGCCGGTGTGCGGAGAGGTAACAAGACGTGATTCTCTTCTATACACTGGCTCGAATGACAGAGGCTGGAGGGTGCTGGCGTTTTTCAAGTGCTAGGATATGAAGATGCGATCAAGAAGTCGACGAGCATGGATGGGGGCAGGAGAGGGCGGGTAGTATTATATTTGAAACCTTGACATTCGTCGCGGGAGTGGAAGGTGGAGCATCAGAAAAATAGAACTCAGGGGCAGTTGGCCCGTGGTGGGTTGCCGTGCTCAGTGCAACAGCCAGCAGCGAACGCAAATCGGACCGGCTCCTCAGCTTCGTTCGTATCGGTGTCCACTTCGACTCCGACGTGGCCTTGTTCGTCACCGCGGCAGCGGCGCGAACCTTCTGGCTAGTCTGACTGGTATTAAATTTGAACAGAAATCACCCGACTTGACAAGCAGAAGAACGCGTGCCCGACGACGTTTGTCCCAGGGGTGGGGATGGATGCGACGTGGACTTATGGGCGAGATTGCTCTCTTTTGCTCAAAACCCGAGGGCGGCTGGCCATTGGCCTCGATGGTACCAACGCCATGGGTCGGCCCGCTCAACTCTCCATACAACGGGACCCGGGGCATCTCGGATGAAGGTTGCCACATGCAGGGAGCGAGTCGTGAAGGCAGTGGTGTGCTGCCCGAGGCCCCACGGAAAGGGGGTGTTTCAATGTGCACATTTGCACATCTCAGCACATTTCGGCATATTTGAGCAGAACAACAGTGGTTTTTCTGAAAATCTCAATTTACAACTCGATTTTGACGTCCCAAATAAGCAGAGTTCGCTATCCTTTGCCATGCGAGCCGCTGAAGGCAATTATTAAGCGAACCAATTCTCCCAGTGACCATCCAATTTGTGGGCAAGCTTGGCCGATCACCCCCAGCGAACCTTTGAACATCATCGAAAGTCTTGGCATCTGGAGGCCGGAACCCTCAATGTGGTGATCGGAGTGGAATTCCATATTAGCAAGGCTCCTTTTTAAGGGACCGTTCACGTAATCTATGCCGCGGTAGCCTTCCGGGCTTTAGCTAAACTATTCACGGCGATTCCTCCACTCGGGCTAAGAACTTTACGGGTTGACACATTGACAGGTGTTGATCCCCAGATTAACCATGCGGTGATCCAAACGCAGCTTACTTTTCCTTCCTTTCTGTGGAGTAATTGCCGTCGTCGGATCGATATCCGACACAAGGGTGGATTCGTCACGACCGCCCCAACTCTGTGGGTGGCATCGGCAGCCAACCCGGTTGTTCCGGGCTAGGACTGAACGGAATAGAATAGAGTGCGAAGCGGAAATAGGACTTGGTGCGTTCCGGCTCACTTACCACCTTCTATCTCCTTGGGGAACTATACGTCAAATTGATTGGCGCGGGATTTCAAAATACTAAGGTCTTTCCGTTGAGTAGTGGAGTTAAGGCGTCATACGGAGAATGGAAGATCCGAGTTATGATCGTTTAGTCAATATCAAGTCCTTTTTGGGTATGCCGGATACATGTCGCTGCTCCAGGGAAACGGGGTGATCAAGAGCATAGGTTTGTGCTTCTGAAGTTGCACAATTCTCTTCCATTTTGGTTGGTATTACCAGAATATTGCTACATTGTTTCCTACTGATCTCCCCGTCATCTTGCTTCCAACATGTCTTTAGGATGAGGTGGTTCACATGACTTCGCTTAATTCTCTAGCGCCACCAATGAAGATTGCCTGTGCTTCTGGTCATGTTGAGACGCGTACATAACCTTAGTAATGGATCTTTGGAAGTGCACCATGCGGGATTGAATCCCTACCACTACATGTTACCATGGTATATTACCACCGACGATATCACGTGTGTTGCATGTTGCAACCTTGACTGTATTGCCGATCCAGCCCTACCACGGTACCGAACTTTAGTTCCGGACTACTCGGACTGGTAAATACTCAAAATGGTTTGGCTTGTGCTAGCTACGTTCCTAGGACAGCTAAGCGACAGTCTAGACTTCGAGTGTCAAATTTAGAGGTTGGATGCGGTGTTGATGGACTTCCGCGTGGCAGCTTGTATTGTATGCCTCATCAAACAAAGATTTACCGCTGTTATAAATAAGCACGTTCATTACGAGCCTAAATTTACCGTACGTGACGTTGCGAGTGTCTGATCACCCCGGACGCAAAAAGTAGGAAGGTTCTGTATCATCACGGAAGCTGAAGGGACATGTCCTTGCCATGACAGGGGAATATTCTTCCCGCAACAGGGTTGTCCCCGTAGGGACTTTAAGCTAGTGTGGTTCTCCTCCAGTTTCTCGCACTGACAAGCACGTCTACTTAAGGTGGTGATCATTCCAAGCCAAGTGTGTCTCTCTTTTACAGAATCAAGGGCACAAGACGCAGGTGTCGATTCTTCGGAATCTTTCACCTGATCGGAAGTGCTCTACAAGAATATGTAGTGACTGAAACGGCAACCAGAATACAATGTAACTGATAGCCTAGTCTGACGCGAGAGTGGTCTTCAAGTTTGCAACCATTTGCATTGGATTTATAGTACTAGAAAATGCCTAGAAACGCCGAGGATGTTGGGAACTCTGTCGTGATAAACGTCACACAACAGGTGTAAAATGCTCGTGAAAATCATACTCCGAGCCGTCGAAGCTCCTAAATGCCCCCAAGTCTAACCAGCCTTACACCCCTACAATTGCTATATAACATAAAGAATGCTATCGACTGTCGATTGCTCTATACAAATCAGCATCATAGCCTTTCTCTGGCTCGATGCGAATAACTGAGCAGCATATCCCATAGACGTTTGCTGATGTTTAGCAGTGACTGCTTGTTATGGCACTCGTCATGGACGAATGCTCCCTGTATTTATTCAACTCTGTTGATGACTGTTTGGAGACACCTTGCTGGGGCGTATTCGATCCTGTAATTGATGATTCCTCATTTCGGTGCGGTGTTCCTTATGATTGACAGACCCCAGCTCATTAGGGAGCTGCCCTGTGGGCTGGAAGTGTGGTCGGCCGTTTTCACCTAGTCCGCCTCGCAAGAGACAAGCGGGTCTGGCGCGTTGGCACTCGAGACACCATAGTCGTGCCCCTCCTCTTCGAAAATTCTGACTTGGCACTCGATCTGGGCTTGATCCAACGGGTGTCGCAGAAGCGGGTGCATTGATGTCTTCGGAAAAAGGCATGGATCCCTTTCGGACCAAGATCGCCAGGCCCACAGCTATAAGATGCTGACATGATGACGGGATCGGAGAGGATGCTTTAGTCCCAAGTCGAACGGTCAGCACAGCGCAAAACGCGAGATATTGATGAACAAGAGAACCCACAATACGTCACCATGCGTGCCACCCTGCAAGTCACACAACAGGAATTGGCCGCCAGTGATGTGATAAGAAAAGTGGCTCAAGGCTTGCATAGCCTCACACCACGAGTCCCTGGAATTTGGAATCCAGCCCGTGTTGCTGTTGAACTTTTGGAAGTTGAGAATAAAGGGCTCAACCAGGGCCTTGCGCCCATTGCGCCTGTATTGCCATATCTGGGGTCGACTCATCAAAATGCGGCGATTCACTATGTTTGCGGCATGCCAGTTGTCAATGATGTACTGGGCTCGGTCGATAATATTCAACTCTTCCTGGAAGTAGTGGTCCTCAAACACAGAGCTGCTCTTGAATTCCTTGGCGACGCATGCTTGACCAGTCCTGGCGCCTGAGATATACCGGCCTTGCCACACATTCTTGAAAGTCCCGGTAGCAAAAAGCCGATCTCTGTTGATGTCGGCGGCGGTGGCATCGTTATTCCTGGAATAAGCCATGGCTCTGTTTGCACATCCAAGGTAGAGCCACAAGTTGTTGAGGCTGGCAGCGAGGGATACTGGTGTGCTGAGGTGTGGCTGCTTCGGTCCGGCCAAATGCGGTGCAGGCCCAACGAGCTCCTCGGGTCGCGAGATGAGTTGTTGCTTGATCTCCTGGGTTGACGGGTGATGAATTATGCCTAAGTATCGAAGCTCACACAGCAAGCTGGAGCGTGGAATAGTGAACCATTATGGAGAATTTGTGAAGTGCGAGGTTGTCGAGGCAGCTCGACGAGTGATCATGCCATGCCTTTGAGTCACGCGCCGTATGCACGATGTCGAAGGTCGCCTGTCGCTGTTGGCCCAATCCTCACCGATCACGCATGCAATGTCAGTTTTGTATAGGAATAGGAAATTCCCGCTGCCGCTGGTAACCGCCAGTACGCTGCCACGTGGTCGCGTGTGGATTGGAGAGAGAAAATGAGGCCGATATCTAGGGTGTCGGTCTGCACGGCGGTAAGTGGCTGCAGAGTGCACTATGATGCGGTCTGCCACGCTCAGCACAAAGCTTGGACGACTTGGGTCCAGGGCAGCAGCGTATCGGAAGGTGTTTTAAGTATCCACAAAGAGCCTGATACGATTGTTTCAAAGCAAAAGCAATGTCATTTTTGCCCACGTAGCTAGTTAGCTAGGCGGCCAGCATCAGCCATCAGCTGCCCCAGGTGTCCAGGTGCTCTCACAAGGAACGAGAATCACTCGTTGGAAAGGCCGCCCTGTTGGACCCACGCGCCATACCCGCCGCCACAAGAGCGGTCGTTTCAGGCTAGCTGCATATCCCAAGCTCTTACTAAGAATGCTGGTAGGCGCGGAAGCAGTCCCTGAAGAGTGCAGATCCCCAAACCCAATGCGCCCACAATCTTTAACAGCCTACCGATGTGCTTAGAAGTGAACCTTAACGGCCGCTAGACCGTGGCATGATTCAGGGGTAAAACTTGTTGCGCACTCGGAACGATCCCATTGAACAGACACCAGCAAATCAAAATTTGCAGTACCCTGGGAAACGACGAAGTCAACAATCAAGCGCATCCGACAGGACCACGCCTTTTCTCCGCGCTGAATGCGGTAATATGTGTTGGGGTTCCCCAACATAACCGACCTTGCTCTTATATGCCTCACATGTGCCTCGATCTGAAGTCCAAAGGACTTGCCACCCTATATCAAGTTGAGCCTCAGGGTCCTACTCCATCCGAAATGTTCTTCCGATGGACCTGTGGCGATATCGGGAGGATCGCTGGCGGAGGCCTGGGATACTTTCCACACGTTCCTATTTGATCTAGAAACGATCTGCGGGCAACTGGGGAGAAGCTTACCTCCGTCGCCATCTCTCAGTATCAGGCATATCTGATCCCAGTGGTTGGGAGCTGCCAAACAAGGCTCCTCCTCGGGAGCGTTGCAGGAGTGTCCAGTAATCGAGGCGTAGAAAGTGCATGGTAGAGAGGTTTGGGAGTTGAGGAGTTGTCTTATTTCAACAGTCGATGATCTCCGCAAGTCAATATTGATGTTACCACATGTCGGGTGTATCTCTGTCGCACTCACTCTATCTTGCCCTGATTTGAGACCATGGTCAGCTGGATCGAGAAAAGCACAAGGTGAAGGGACGTCTCGAGCCGATGGTTCATTCTAGCAAGGACGTCTTGGTGAATGATGACAGCCAGGCGTAGAAACTTGGATAAGAAGCCTCGATGTGTGGGGATCATGCGTTCCAGGAGACATAGCGATGCTTGCAATTCATGCAGACACTTTTCACAATGTGCTCGGCTTGTTAACAAGATAACGTGCGTGGCCATCGGTGACTTTCCAACTTCCTCGAGTACTTGATTCAGGATGTGTATTTCTTCAAGGCTAGCGGAAATCTCAGCTGATGCCCCTTGCATTTCGCGGTAAAGGGTGCGGACTTTCAGGCAATCTGCGATGATTTTTCCGGCCAGTGCTGCCACCTGCAGGCCACTGGCCACTGTGCCAAGGGCCTCAGCCATGTTTGGCACGAAAATGCTTCAAAATAAGTTGGAAGAGTAATGACTTTACTGTCATGTTAGGAGGTGGAGGCCTATCAGAGCTAGTCGTGGGCGTGCTTGTCTAGTCGCAGCGAAGGACCCTGAGGACACTAGGCGGGGCTGAGAGTAATGATGATCCAGATGTCATGGGGTTATATAGAGATGCCTTTATATATAGTATCACCGTTACGATCTGGAGGAATTCTATGAGACGTGCCTTGTTTCTCGGTACCTCTGGAGAACCTGTTGTGGCTGAATTCATGCCTTTGATGACCCTCGACGGTGGTCGGTGCATTGCGCCCGCTGAGCACCCACAGTGGTACATGCATAAGTCCACTGTCTACCAAAAGGTACCTCAGAGAAGGCTACCTCCAAAAATCTCAGGGTGTATAATATGAGCATGTCACAACGATGCTTGGGTGCTGCTAAGCCATCTACGTTGTGGAACATCTACGCGAATGAGCGTTCACTCCAATTTACACGAGGCCAAATTAGTGCCTTTTGCCAACTGATGCGTCAAGCAAGCGAGTAGTCAAGCCACCGGGAATGATCGGAATCATGATATTTGTTGCCTTGCCAATACAACCCGGCTTCCTCAATTGGTCGAAAGAGACAAGTCCACGCACCGGTGGTTGAACAAGTACGCCCTCCACAATATAGTGTGATCTCACGTCTTCAATACTGTAGACTGATAACACGAGAAGTGTCCACATGTTGACGAGAGTGAGTCGGGAAGACCATGTCTTGTTGTGCGGCATTCAGACCAACTCCATGTCCAAAGCACTCGAAAGTTCTCGGCGTCTTTTATGATCACACTTTCTGGGTTGTTTGACTTCTTGCTGTAGCCTGGGACAATTTTAGCATCATGGTCAAAGCCATTCAATATAGAAAATTTGAAGTCAAAATTCTCTAACAAAACAAATATGATGGCAATCTAATCATTTCTGTAGCCTACAATTTGTTGTATCTCAATGTGGTTGCGCGTAGGCCTCCGAATATCGGTCATGCGTACAACATCCCACCACCTGGCTAGCAGGCAGAGTCTCAGGAAAATGACACGCAGCGAGGTCTGACAGGTGTTATTTCAGGCTTTGGCCCAAGAAATGGAAACTGCATCAAGGGAAAAGCAAGTGTTAAGTTGTTACAAGACAGGCTGTGTAAGGGGGGGGGGGCGCATTAGATATAACAAATGCCATCAGTGACAAAGAGTCACGAGGCCACTCCTTATGAACAATTTTAGTCCACGGTGCTATCATGTCGTTGAAAAGGGTTTCAGGCGCCATCGGTAGCACCAAGAGCGGGCAGGAACCCCCCCCCCCCCACGAGCACTGTGATACATCTTGGGAAGGCCTTACAACGCAGGTCTGCCGCAGGACAGAGTCTTGTGATCCTGGCGGAAACTGCTTCCGCCATCCGCAATGATCAAAATTTGCGCCTCGAAGAGAGCCGTATCACTTTCCGAGAAATTGGAGGGCAGGTCTTGCTGGCTGCATGTGTGCTACCTACTAGAGTGCTGACATGTTCCAAGCCCCGTCGTTGGATCCAGGAATCCGTTTGCTGTGTGATCAAATGCGTCATGCTTGTACGCACTGGTGTCTGAATATGCTTAGCCACACTTTTATGACGGATTTAGGGCACATCATGGACCTGTCCTGGAGAGGGCGCATGTCGGTCACGAGCCATGTGCGTCTTGTCGCCCGAATGGGTGGCGGGAGCAGATAGAAAATGCAAGTGGTGGTCACATTTACTGGTATTTCATGCTTTTGGACATCTGCACTAACGCGGGAACCTTTTTGAGCGCAAAGACGTGCGCCTTGGTCAAGTCTCAGGGGCTGGACAAACATGCCAGTGGAGTGATATTTCAATATGGACATCAACCGTCGTAGACCTCATCAAGAATCAATCCAGGATCAATGGTGTCACTCAAGGAAGAAGACCCATTTGACAGATCTACTCTAGCACCACATCTCCCCCACAACCACACTGTCACATCTCGAACCCGTGTCAAATGATGTTTTCTCGGCTCTCGCTAACTCTTGGATCGCATTTCACTCTAGCAGTTCCCTCGATGATTTAGCCTGCAACTATTAAACAGGTGTCAATATGTCCAATCCTGTTCTCAAGCGTAGAACTCTCCTGGCACAATCCAAATTACAGTATTAGGGCTAACAGAAGACAGGCTAGAATTCTTGAAGGAAGCCTAGACTTCAGCACGATGGGTACATAAGCTAGTCAAATCTGATTTCCTAGAAATCGCCTGAGCCCAAGTTCTCTGTTTTCCCCAACAATTCCAGGTCAGGCAAATCATCTCAATACATAGGAATAGATCACAGACAACGCAACTCTCTCCCTGCGGTGATTTAATTGATAAGGATGGAACAGTGTCTGACTACTCCCCAACCACTAAGGTGAAGGGAAGATAAACGCCCTGCGCCTCTGCTGCTTTATGAGAGAGGACATCGCAAGCCGCAAAAAAGACCACCAACTCCTTCCCCTAGTAAAACTTTCATAAACACCACTTGTAACCCTCACATACCTCTTCAACTTATGTACCATGGCTGTGAGCAGTAGAGACCTATCACGCCCCTAACTACACCTCAAGTTAGGTGTCTTACGCACCAACACAATGATCAGATTGTTTTCAATAGAAATCACGCCTGATGCGTCACCTCCCTCTCCTCTTGAGAAATACGGTAAAAAAGATTTTACAGCTTGGCAAACACGGTAGGCACGCTGCCACTCATCTCAATCAAGGTGCTCTTGTTCCTCGTCCAGTTCTCGAGGCCCTTCCTGCCGTTCTCCACGCCCAGCCCGCTCAACTTCCAACCGCCCACGGCCATCTCGGCAGGCGACTCACCCCAGGTGTTGACCCACGTGATGCCGGCATCGAGCTGGGCGATGACCTTGTGGCACTGGTTGATATCCTTGCCGAACACGCCGGCCGCCAGGCCCATGTCGGTGTTGTTGGCCTTCTTGACGGCCTCCTCGAGGGTGTCGTACGGCAGGATGCACATGACAGGGCCAAATATCTCCTCCTTCACAATCTTCATGTCCTCGGTGCAGTCGGTGAACACAGTCGGCTGGACCCAGTAGCCGTCCTTCAGCGCAGATGGAACGCTCACAGCGCCGGGAGACGTGTTGCCGCCGTAGAGGAGCCTCGCTTTGTCGTTCTTGATACCATGCTGTATATAGCTGATGACCTTATCGCAGTGAACCCTGCTGCTCAGCGGGCCGAAGTTGGTGTTCGGGTCGAAGAGGTCGCCCGCGCGGATGTACTGCATCTTGTTGACCAGCACCCGCTCGAAGTCAGCCTGGATGGCCCGCGGGACGAACACCCTCGTGCCGTTGGTGCAGACCTGGCCCGAGCTGAAGAAGTTGGCCATCATAGCGCCGTCGACGGCGTTCTCGACGTCGCAGTCCGGCAGTACGACCACGGGGCTCTTGCCGCCCAGCTCCATGGTCACGTACTTCATGCCGCCCGCCGCGGCGCCGGCGACCTTCTTGCCGGTTGACACCTGGCCAGTGAAGCTGACCTTGGCGATCTGCGGGTGGGCAGACAGCTGGGCGCCGACATCGCCGGCGCCGTAGACGACATTGAAGACGCCGTCGGGCAGACCAGCGTCGCGGTAGACCTCGGCGAGGTACTGGGCGTGCAGCGGCGTGAACTCGCTCGGCTTGTAGACGAGGGTATTGCCGGCGGCGAGACAGGGCGCTGACTTCCACAGGGCGATCTGGATGGGGTAGTTCCATGCGCCGATGGCGCCGCAGACGCCCAGGGGCTCCTTGGTAGTGATGACCGAGGCGTCTGGACGCAGGCGGAAGCTCTCGCCGTTGAGCCCGCCTGAGGCTACCAGCGAGGCATAGTACTCCAGAACGTCAGCGCCGGTGACGACGTCGACGGTAGATGTCTCTGAGTACGGCTTTCCCGTGTCCAGCGTTTCGATGCGCGCCAGCTCGTCGTTGCGCTCACGCAGCAGGGCCACGGCGCGGTGCAGCACGCGGCTGCGCTCGATGGGCGGCGTGGCTGACCATGATGGGAAGGCGGATGCCGCGCTGGCGATGGCGGCGTTGACGGACTGGGACGACGATGTGTGGATGGTGGCTGTGGGTTTGGCCGTAGACGGGTCGACCGTCTGGAATGTGCCCGGGCTGTCGGCCGACTGTTGTGCCTTGCCTCCGTAGAACGTGTGGCGATCCTGCTCCGGGGGAGATGTGGCGGAGCCCATGGTGGTGGTGATGAGACGTAGAGGAGGACGCTCACTGAAATGATTCAAGCGGGTGAGTGGCTGTAATGATGCAGTAAGTGAGGCTCTACTCGGCAGACGGCAGAACATTCAGCCCTCTAGCACGCGGTACGGTAGGCCGAACAGTGAGTGCGCTCGGCTCCTGTTGCCAAAAAGAATCTAAACAGCCCGGCGGAGGCCGGATCTCGGGGGGTCGGCAGACAACGAAAGCGGAATGCAGCGGCAGCAAGACAGCAGGAGAAAACGTTTGCTTTAGCGGCGATGGTTCTGTTACACGGCGTCGTTGCTACAAGGGTCCTGAGATCGTCAAGACATTTGAGACAAGCAGTTCGGCCGGCGGTGATATTTCGGATTAGGGTAGCCAGGGATGTAGATGCGTTTGCCGGGAATTTTATCTCGTCTTCACCGACTAGATAAATAGAGACATAGATAGATAGATAGATAGGTATGTAGATAGAGGGTGGACTAGCTAGCAACAAGTGGGCTTTCCGGCCGTTCACCTCAAAGCTCAGCTCGGTGCTCAGCTGCACTAATTCTAGCTATACCTCCCACTATCTGTGCTCGCTTCTTAGCTATCACGCGATGCTGCACTCGAGTTCTCGATCTCCAAGCCAGGGCCCATTCGCCCATACCCCTTACCCGTGGGCCCTGAGAGACGCTCGCCCACTAGGGTACCCAGGTGCCCAGGATTTTCTCCAAGTTTATCGAGGCGTTAGCGAGTCAGACTTTGTCATGAAAACCCCATCGACCACGCCATTCGCATGTCTCCGGGACAGAAAACTCGTGCCAGTGGTGACGTCAAGTCCCTAGGCTGAGCCTGGTCTGTGGAGGTGTGGGCCTGGGGAAAAGAGAGAAAGACGTGCTCACGGTGGGCATTTGCCCTCGAGAATGCGGGATACCCAGGACACATACACCACAGTTCCTTGTCTTGCTATGGTGGAGCACACCATGGACTGAGTCCGAAGTCTATGAAGAATTTTCTGCCCTTGTCCCCTGGAGCCTGCAGAAACGGGGCGGCCGTTAAGCAATGGCTTGCAGTGGCTCGAAGGTCTGGTAGAAGATCTATTGTGGTTCTCGCCGCCTTCCATCAAGTTTGACAAAGGGCCCTGAATTGCCGGCTTCTGGGAAAGTCCCTGCAGGGCGGCATTAAGCAGCATGAGCCCAGCCGGCCTAGTCACTCACCTCAGACTGTAGTCTGTCATAGATAGGGCCGAATCACTGAGTAAGCCCTCTTCAATGCCGACCCCTTCCTTGGTGAAGGGCCGTCTGACGCCAGCCTCAGCTAAGTAAGGTGCCACTTTATTAGTCGACGAGCTGTTAGAGAACTACCCCCTCCCCTCCACACCCTCTCCACAATCCCGAGCAAATGGACCCTACATAGAGGGGCACAGCAGGTAGATCTGACAGTCGTCCAATCGCCCGGCAGGAAATCTTTCAAAAGGCGAGCTTGATCCCACCAAATACCCGGATGAGAACCCCTCTGGTCTCCACGCACACAAGAGACGCGGCCCTTTCTCATGCGCAGCTCAGGCCATTAAACCAACCACACCCTCATTGGCGATTCGTCACTGATAAAATTTTATGATAGCTCGATCCGAATTATCTAACTGTCGCATCCTTCCTTACTTTGTCGGCTCTGCTAGCGGGTGTGGGCCACAGTGCACGCGCACACGACATACAGACAACTCATCCTATCCCAGATAAGAAGACAAGTAGACTGCTCGTGTAGCCAGCTTGCTTCCATCTTTGGCGACTATAAGAGAAAGACAATCCTCTCTCCGACCCCCGACGATACCGGTTATTCACCGACCGATATACCGACTCTCAATCGCCCTCGGCCTACCACAGTCAACCATCTATTCATCCAACTGCTTGTCAGCTCTTTACTGAGTCCGGCAAGACAGAAGATATCAGATCCTCGATCTTGACCTCTTATCTACGTATCATATCGTATCAGACAAGATGACCACCACCTATCTCGCTCCCCACGAGAGTGACCGCTTCGACTATGTCGTCGTCGGTGGTGGCACGGCTGGATGTGTGATCGCATCCCGTCTGGCTGAGTATCTTCCTCACAAGAAGATCCTCATGATCGAGGCCGGCCCCAGTGATTTCATGGACGACAGAGTGCTCGACCTTCGTCAATGGCTGGCTCTTCTTGGCGGCGAGTTTGATTATGACTACCCCACCACCGAGCAGCCCGAGGGTAAGTAAGATAAGGTGTATGAGAAGTGATATCGACCCCGAAGCCCGAGCCCAAGCCGTGATCTATCGTCCCATGGACTCGGAACCCACCGCTCCAGCTCCTGCGTCGAGCTCTAGCCCCATCTCAGCCCCAGCCCCGGCTTCCGTTATCTTTCATGATGTGAATTGTGATGCTTATTGTTGTCCCCTGAATAGGTAACTCTCACATCCGCCACTCGCGGGCAAAAGTCCTGGGTGGCTGCTCGTCGCACAACACGCTCATCTCGTTCCGGCCGTTCGAGTATGACCTCAAGATATGGGAGTCGCTGGGGGCTAAGGGCTGGGAGTTCAAGGACTTCATGCGCATCATGGACAACCTGCGCAACACGGTGCAGCCGGTCCACGCGCGCCACCGCAACCAGCTCTGCAAGGACTGGGTGCTGGCCTGCAGCGACGCCATGAACATCCCCGTCATCCCCAACTACAACGAGGAGATCACCAAGACCGGCTCGCTCAAGCAGGGTGTTGGCTTCTTCAACATCTCGTACAACCCAGATGACCACCGCCGGTCCTCCGCCTCAGTCGCCTACATCCACCCGATCCTGCGCGGCGAGGAGCAGCGGCCCAACCTGACCATCCTCACCAACGCCTGGGTCGACCGCATTAACGTCCACAATGACACCGTCAAGGGCATCAACGTCGTCCTGCGCGACGGCTCCAAGCGCTCCATCAAGGCTCGCGTCGAGACTATCCTGACCGCTGGCGCCGTCGACACCCCTCGCCTCATGCTGCTGTCCGGCCTCGGCCCCAAGGACCAGCTGCAGAGCCTCGGCATCCCCGTCTTCAAGGACATCCCCGGTGTCGGCGAGAACCTGCAGGACCACCCCGAGTCCATCATCATGTGGGAGCTCAACAAGCCTGTGCCTCAGGGCCAGACTACCATGGACTCAGACGCCGGTATCTTCCTCCGTCGGGAGAAGCCCAACGCTGCCGCCTACAAGCAGCCCGCCAACCCCAAGGCGCTGCCTGATGGTGACATCGCCGATGTGATGATGCGTAAGTAAACCCTAGACTCAGTTTTGATCTTTTGACTAATGAAGACTTCTAGACTGCTACCAAATTCCATTCACCTTCAACACAGAGCGCCTCGGATACGAGAAGGTGGCCGACGGCTACGCTTTCTGCATGACGCCCAACATCCCTCGCCCACGCTCCCGGGGCCGTCTGTACCTCACCTCCTCGGACCCCTCCGTCAAGCCCGCGCTCGACTTCCGCTACTTCACCGACCCAGAGGGCTACGACGCGGCGACGCTGGTGTACGGCATCAAGGCGGCGCGCAAGATCGCCGAGACGGAGCCCTTCAAGGGCTGGATCAAGCGCGAGGTCGCGCCCGGCCCCAAGGTCCAGTCCGACGAGGACATCAGCTACTACGCCCGCAAGGTCGCCCACACCGTCTACCACCCGGCCGGCACCACGCGCATGGGCGACGTCGAAACCGACGACCTCGCCGTCGTCGACGCCCGCCTCAAGGTCCGCGGCCTCAAGAAGCTCAGGATCGCTGATGCCGGTGTCTTCCCTACCATTCCGACCATCAACCCCATGCTTACGGTGCTCGGTGTTGCGGAGAGGGCGGCTGAGATCATTGCTGAGGAGGCTGGCTGGCAGCACAGCGCTCGTCTGTAAGCGCGTTGCGATGCGGTTTGTGTATGTTGTAAAGGAGGTATTCGAGATGTGAGGAGTTTTCAGCGTTGGCTAGGGCAACCATAGGGCAACCATAGAGTTGAGCGGGCAGCCTTGTATAGATGTGCATCTTGCCTTGCATGCATCAGTTTGGAATGAAAACAAGCAAATGTTTATGACGATATTTTTCACCGCTGTCAGTCTCCCATGTAATCACTTAACTTTAACGCGTCTTTTCGAATCGAATGTTCTGTAAGTCCTGCTTAATTCACCTCATCTTTAGAACTTGAGCGATCACTAGGCAGGTTATCAAATTACTTGAGTGAGTAAAGGTAGAGCTGACCAAATTGTATCTTCATGGGAGAGCTAAGAGGCATGAGATAAATTTCATCATCTAGATCTTCTCCTGAATTACACCAAGGTAATCTTGCGGGGCTCAATACCCTTGAAAATGGCAGAGCCACCATGCTCTGCTCTGGAGAAAAATGTCCCCACACGATAATATGTATCCTGAGGCCCTGCTGGATAGGTCATAAGGCCCCATATATCTCGTCTCAAGTCCCGATCCGAGCATAGATCACAATGAGTTGCGGTATCAAAACCATCATAGCTGTCTTCGTAGAAGCAATTTCTGTACTCTGGCTTCATGGCTTCATTTTCTATTGTCTCCATCTCCTCGGATGTCATTTTCTTGCCGTATGACGCATGTGTGTGGAAATAATGGGCTGGCTCAGTTGCTGGCTCAGTGGCTAGCTTTGCGAGGTCATCTCGAGGAGGCGTATGGACGTCTCGACTGCTACTCCTGATTCTCTGATCAGAGCAGCAACTAGATATCAACAGTAGTTGCACCTGTGCTTGCATCCGCTTGCCGATTCCTGTAGTTCTGTGTGGCTCGATTGGTGTCCAGTCTGGCTGAAGAATGGCGAGACAGTCAGGGAACAGCTCGCAGACCCAGAGTCTGTTGCCCTGCCTATCAACGGAAGGCATCGAACCAGGCTTAATTCTTATCATTGGACCAAAAAGAGAGATCGATGCGCTCCTAATACGACCATATGGGTTCACGCCGTCCACGCTGACACGAGATTCCACAAGATCAAAATCCGCACATAAATGACTTCGGACTCGGCAAGTTAGGTTTATTTGGTTCGTGATCATAAAACGACCAAATAATCGCCCACTAGCCCAACTCCACGATGGCGCGATGAAAACTGCTGGCTTTGTGAGTGCTTGCAGTGTTTGCCGTAGGCTGACTGGAGCGCACCGGCGTTTGCCGACATTAATTTCTCGAGAGGTATTCCATAGCAACCCGCAGCAAAGGTCTTCCTCCCAAAGGCCAGCCAGATATTGGTGCTTTGTGAATTCCTGGATTGACCTCGCTATGCCTGCGATAGCCGGAAAAGTGTCTCGCACATTCGTGAAGTTCGAATTACTAAAGTCTTTGACGAGCCTGTACCAGAAATCGATAATGATCGATTCTTTGCTCTGAAGCATCTCGAGCTGATGTAGAAGATTTGTTGAGTAGTGATGTGGTACGTAAAATGAAGAATCAAAAATGTCTCCCTCAATGGGACACCCGTCCTCACTGATCACACGGTTCCCTTGCTGGAAGTGGATCATTCTGGCGCCGAAATAAAGGAGCCTTGGTGAAATAATCTTTTCCTGGAACACCCATCCTCGATTGTTCCACTTTGAATGCAGGAGGTCTCGCGCCAGAGGAGCCTGCACAGTAATCCAACGACTGTTGTGGAAACCAGGCCTGCCATTGAGGGTTGCTAGACGTAAAGAGATTGATCCAAAAACTTTCTTGCTCGTTTCTGAGAAAATTTCAATCTCAATGGTACGAGAGTGACGATCGACGTGATCTAGAAAGCCCTCAAGACAAGAATTAGACACCGGAGTGCATATCGTCAACCAGGAATTCCCAAAAATGTGGCTCATTTCTAGACTCTGCTCTTCCCAATCTCTGCTGTCATCATCTTGTTGGATGCAGAGGGAGTCAACCCATAAATATCGTGCACTCAAGGCCTGACACACAGTAATTGCATCGTGAAGGACAGGGGTCATGGAACGGTAAGGAATCGAGCTGAAGAACTCGGATCGAGTCTCCGATGTGAGCTTGAGCTGACTCTGACATTCTTTTGCTGAGCCCCAGCAATAGCTTAGCGCAGCGTACCTGAAACCATTGAGATCCTCTTCAGCTTGCTGGCCATCTATCAATTTTGGCTCAGGGTCCTGGCTGAAGCCAATATCCAAAAGTCTTTTCGGTCGATAGCGAGTGCTTGTCGCACTCTTCTCCGTTGAAGACAATTGCCGCCTTATGAAGGCAAGGTTGGCTGCATGCAGAGAATTAGTTGCCGGTGAGCGGAAAATTCCAAGCTCATTGGCAAGATTGTCTGTAGTAAGTCAGTCTTTCATTGTTGTCTTCCGAACTGCTATGATCAGGCCTACCATTTGTCGTTTCCACCGTGAAATTCAGTTCCCCGGAGCAGCTCGGAGTAGCGGAATCGCCACAAAACCTTGACAAACCACGTAAAGAAACATTGACGGATTGAAGGGCCATTGTATCCAGGTCCCAGAAGAAATCGATCCAGACATAGAAGCTTTTTTGATCGGAGTCCTCAGGGAATATCCCGTGGAGTGAAGGCAGATACTCCCGGAGCAAACGACAGAAACCGCACCCCAGAAGTGCTCTTTTTTCCAGGATAGGAAAATTGGGCCAATGATCTAGTACGAGTAGACAGTGCGGTGATGTAACAGTCTGGAAGTGTAAGAATTCGCGGGCGTCATCGATCTCAATTGGGACCCTTGCAAGTCGCTGGAACGACCATTCACAGTGTCGACATAAATGGGCATTGCCCGCCTCCGGCCGGTGATTTTTTGATAGTAGCTCGGGACTGTCGAACAACCATTCCTTGAGGTGCAGTGTTTTCGGCGCGATCGCATGAAGGAGTTCAAATTCGGCCGGCGGGACGTAGGAACCTTTGTGTGGTCCTAATTGCTCAATTACCGCTTCGCTCGGCTCAATGTTGAATTGTGGAAAAGCTTCAGACAGGTCAAATTCAACGATTCCAGCCAAGGCCTCCACCGATTCAATGATGTGTATTGCACTATCCTGGTGCTGTGCTGATGTGTTCTCTGGATTCGTGGTTAAGGAGGCGGCTTCGTCCAGTAACGGCGTTATTTGGTCAAACCGATACGGGGGCTTCCCAAGTTTGTGGAACAAGACTTCCATGATGGAACAGTGTCTTCGGAACCGAGATCAAAGGCAAAGAGGGTGAGAGAAAAGAAGAAGTAAGCCTCGCTTATTTACCCGAAGAAGGTCTCGCAGAACATGCGGAGCTCATGCGCCGGATGTAAGCATGATCCTTCGCCGAGATGCATTATCTAGGTACCTTGGTATTCGTTCAAGTAGAAAAACCCCACCAAATCTTGGCCATAAATTTTGTACACCGTGACTTGTTGCTCTGTCTGATCCGTACGTCAGTCATCAAGCAATAAGCGCATTGGATTGACTGCCCAAGTAGCGCTTCATAAATGACTGTCTCCTTTCAAATCGTTCTAATGGCCATCATTCATTTCTTATCTGGCTGGCCTCGAAAGGTCATGGTGAACAGTCAATATACACAAGTGCGTTCTGTAATTCATTCCAGAATTGACTTGTCAATGTGTGCGCCCAGCTGGCTGTTAAATACAAACCCTTTACCTGAACGCACAACCGAGAGCAATGAGCATCTCCCTTGAGGACTGGTATTTGATGAAATAACTTGGTCGTAACGAAGTCTCTTATTCCTTGGCCATCAAAACATTCCTCCGTCTTTTCGTGGTCCTTCCATTCGAACCCACAGCAAATTGATTTAGAGGCCACCGCCCTAGTGAAGAGTGTGAACCTACTATACATGCCTCCGCGCCTCGTCCCTCACGACACCATATTTGGAGACTTGATTGCGAGCGGACACGTCCCGAGTGCCCTTCCCCCCTCGTTCAACGGCAGGGCCTTCTCATATCGCCACTGACGACAAAGTCCCAGCCCATGACGATGAACTGAAGTCACCGACTCTATCACTTTTATGTCATAAATGTCCATTTCATCACGGCTGGTTTCCAGTGAGCTATGTAATCGTCCGGTTTTCCATTACACTACAAACGGTTACTATGAGCGGCCATTATCTACCGGGGTAGTACAAATTAATTTCATGACACTTCCCATTAGGTATTTGAACCAAGCGCTTATGCGTGACGTCGTATGCAGGCATCGCGTGTCGGTAGAACTTGTCAAATTTTTCACAGGCCGATTTTTGGCTTGGCCCTCCCAACCACTTGCTAAGACCGGACTTCTTGCTGCTGTACCTTCAGTTCCATTTTTTTCTTCGGTGAGCTTGTTTATCTCTAACACTGCCAGAGGCGGCGTCGGTGCTGGGTCACAAGCGGTAGGCTACCAGAAGGCGTTCCTACCAGCGATGTAACTCCGTGCTCATCGTCCAGGCAGCACCAGAAGAAGGCCTGTTCGAGGAACTAGAAGATTGCCTATATCTCCCATGATGCTTGTGTTTTGGAAAGTTGTAGACGGGGCTGGAATTGTGTGTGCTACTTTCCACTCTATCTTCACGTAGAATGCTGTAGCTCCCTTACTTTCCGGGTGTGCTCTTAAAAATCCTCGTTTCTATATCAGCTCTACTTCTATTACATGAAGATTAATGTAGACACGGGCAACCGCTTCACCGGAGCCCCGTTGTGCGTGATGTTTTATTTGCCGCGATGGAAGTCTGTCCCCAAACTTGGTTTCTTATCTCGTCGCTAGGATATTCTCTAACCGTGATCAAGGGGAGAATAACTCCTCAAACTTGACTTCGAAAAACTCTCTAAGCCGATAGCACACCACCCTCATTTTTCACGTTCGGCGAGCTGATGGCGAGCATTTTGGCAAAGTCGGGAGTGCCTGTTCATGTAGCCCAAAGATGATTAGCTTCACTGTTCAGGTAGGTAGATCAGACTAAACAATACTCACCCAGTCCTGTGACCGCATCCCAGCCCGGCGCAGCCACCCAGCTGGCCCCAGGTATGGCTGGACTGCCATTCGGCTTTCCTTGAAATCGCGCCCGCCCATCACAACCCGTCGACGCCCCTGTGGTGACATCATTCATTGCGGTCGAGGCATTCGAGTAGAGCCACGGGTTGAGGAATCCCATCGTGGGCTGGCCGGCCTGCAGGCGGGCAGAGTTCAGCAGCGTCACTATTCCATTAAACGTCGGTGCCGCGGCTGAGGTGCCCTGTACGGCGCTGTCTCTGCCCTGGTCGATGATATGGAACTTGACCGACTGCGTAGCGACGTCTGGGAAGCCCCGACCCGTGGCGTTGAACATTCCTGTGAAGTTGTTGCCGATCGTTGTCTGTAGGTAGCTGGATACTGCTTGCTCTTGGTAGGCCGGTCGTGGCCAGACGTTGGAGAATCCGCCTGATGAGAAGAATGTTGCTGTCTCTGGGGCGATACCTTGTACCTGGTTGATCGTCAGCACTCCATGCTCAAGTTGGAGTTGAAGCAGAGGCACGTCCGCCTTGTACTTACCCCACCAACAGCTGTGACATAAGGACACGAGGCTGGGAATTGAGGTTGGAATCTGGTCGCATTGGTCCCGTCGTTGGCCTGGCAGAAGTCCCCCACACCAGAGTCCCCAGACGCGATCAATATCGACTTCCCACGTGCTCCTAGCTGTGCAAACATGTTACAGACTTGCGTCGCGTAACTTAATGGTATCTCCTGTTCGTTCTCGCCATACGACACCGATATCGAGTTCGGGATCTGGCTGTTGTTCAAGGCGCTAAGCGCAATGAGCCACTCGAGGAATGGTTCGTTTGAGTTACCCTCCTGGGTCGGGGAGTCTCCGTCTGGGACCAGTTGGCCGAGCCCTCCTACAATGAACTCTGTGACTGGCACATCAAAACCAACTGCCTGCACGTATTGTTGGTCCAGATTCGCCTCGCCAGCGTCGGCTTGACTGGTCTGGTCATTGTTTCCGCCATTCATTGTGACGACGGAGAACTGGATAGTTTAGCCTACCCGCAAAAGAACACAGCGGTACTAGGTGCAAGCCGTATCACTCACATTTCGGTTTGCAGCAAATGGGGCATACACTTGCTCAAACATGGCGTTATCGGTGAAGCGCGCAGACTGGCCCACGAAGGAGACATACCCGGCGGAGTTACCGCCTGCCGGATCTCCTTTGAAGTTGACGTTGTACAGCTGGAACAAGCATTGAGGCGTGATTGCGGTATTACACGCGGGATCCACCGCGGTTGCGGCATTGACTTTGATGTTATCCGCTACCGAGACCCATTTAGACGTTCCCTCGGACGGAGCTCCTGCGTCAATAACATCAACATGGGAGGCGAGACCCCTTGCGGTCCCAAATCGCGTTGTCGGCTGCACAAAGTTGATGTGTGCTGCAACGTCTTGTGGAACCGAGTATTTCGTTGTCCTCAGCATTTGCACGCCCTCGTCACCTTTGTACCAGTCGAATTTCGTATCCAGCAGTGTATTTGCTGTGCCGACTGTTGTACGAAACATGAGATAGTCACCGTCATCTTGTATATCGGTGACGTTGTTATCCTGCAGCCAACTGATCGCAATCGCTGACGACTCGTCGCTTGGTCTCAGCAGGCTACGAAGCTCGTGGCCTTCATAGTGTTGACCGTATTGAGGATGGTCTGGCGTTGAAACTTGCAAGAGGCTTTCATAAAACTTGTCAAGGTTCTGCTGTTTGAGCGAGACTCTTAAGTTGATTCTCTCCGTTGGCTCAGCACTATTTGCGCGGGTCCAGCCTCGCGGGACTTGTTGGAGGGACTCGAAAGCATTGCTAGATGCCGATACAAACAATGGCAGCAAAGTAGAGACAGAAATTGCCTGCAGGGCCGGAATGAGGTGGACCATGTTGGCGTTAGAAGAATTAATACAATTAAAGACAGCTTGCGGGATACTTGGAAAGGAGAACAACGATATGGTGTTGTTCTGGATGTTGGGTTTGAATGTGATACTGCTTCGCTGGTCATGACAAAGGCAAAATCTTTTGGTCGGCTAACTTCGTGGCTTCGTGGTTTCGTCTGATCTATACCTTGGCTTCGGATCAAGGCGCGTTTCGGCTTGGGCGGCAGGATTAGAGATGAGCTTCAGGCGGATCAATTATGAGACGACAGGCATTAGAAGCTTGTGCTGACACCTACCTGCACCTTTGTTTGGTTACAAAAGCAGAGGACCACATTGTGGATCATCTGCGATGTTTCCAAGCGCTGCGTCTTACGGAATTGAGCGCACTGACAGTGTGGCTCTGTGTCAGAAATCTGGGGACCGTGCTGGTGCTCAGTTAAAATGGGCCCATCTTGCGCCTCGTAAGTGATGCAAGAAAGGCATTACTGTGGCCAGGTATATCGATTAATTTTTCATGTCAAGCTCATCGAATCTACCAGTGCGTATTATATTCTAATGATTTGTTAGTGTTTGCTCCGTGCTTGGTGTTATGAACGAGCCTCGGCGTCTCTTTAATGCAATGTGGGGGCACCCGAGGGATGATTGACTATCGATGGGCTTGCTCATACTATTCTGTGCTCGAGGAGTCGTCTGGTCCTTGAGTGCTGGCAACGAGGGATACCATTATGAGAAGCAGTACTCCCTGACATTGAGTGGCCAACCTAACAGCTTCTACTGCACAAATGCCGATGATGCATCGACTTTGTGGTACCGAATGAAGGCAGCAGCGCTGTTGTTTGCGTCGTACGCTTTATAATACTTGTTTCCGAGCCGCAATTAGTGGACCTCAAGAAAGCACAGAGTCGCGTTACCATGCATGAGAGGCCGCCTGTGATTGTCCATTCTTTGCATGCACAACAGCTGGTGAAATTTCGATTTACCGAACATGATCCAGATGATTCCAGAAAACTCTAAGGACAACTATCCATCTCCCATCTTACAGAATGGCTAACACGAAGACTTGATCAAACTCTCGCACTTACTTGCCACTCGTGATTGATACTCCATTCCCCATGGCCGAGGTACTGGGAACTATTGCGAGTGGTCTTCAGGTTGCAGCACTCGCAGGCAAGATCATCAGCATTGGGCTACAAATTCGAACCGTCTACCATGAGATCCAAGATGCTTCTGAAGAGGTTACCCTGCGTCTGCAAGAACTCGAGGCGCTGTCCGAAACCCTCCAGGACTCGAAATCGGTCTCGTCGAAAGTAAGACGCTTCTGTGAACGCTGTCTTTGTGAACTCTATCTCGTCCTTGGCGACTTGGAAGGTCATATTCAGAAGTCCAAGGGTATAAGGAGAATGGTCGCTTCAACAAAAGTGATCCTCAAGAAGGACACGATACGAAAGCTCGAAAGTCGACTTGACAGATCGGTGCAGCTGCTAGGGCTTGCAAACCAATGTCTTATGGCGTCGAGATTGAGTCTGATGCTCGACAAACAAGACGCGATGAAGTAAGTCCAGTGATGCTCGACGTATGAAAGCGAGATGCTTAACACACTCTGAATCCAGGACCTTGTTCATGGCCTATGTCAGCCAGCCGCGGGTCATTGAAACATCATTCTCAACTCAGCCGGTTGAATCGATCTGTGTCGAGCCTCGTGCAATCGAGGATATGAGGTATCAGACCCGCATTCAAACAAGTTGTCCTTCGACTTGTGTGGATGATTCAAGATTATGGGATCTTGCACGGCCGAGCTGGGAGACACCTGTAATGTCTTGGACAATTGGGTTGTCTTCTATATCAGGCATCGTCCAGCTCGAGAGGTTTTCAACTCGAAGTACCCACTATGATTCCAAAAAAGAGCGTGACGGTACAGAAACAGTTGCTCAAACCTCCCGGTCTGCGACTCGAGTACAGCTAGCCTTGCCTCATTGGTTTTCCTACAAGGTCTTAGAAATCATTGCCTGTAGGGCCCAACTCGGCTGGAAGCAATACTTACGCGTACGGAACATCTTTCCAAAAGCGGAATCCATAAAAAGGGAATTCCTGCAAAAAACTACTTTTGGTCTTGCATGCTGGTATATAATATGTGGACATCTCGACGGACTGACATCATTATTTGAAAGTCGAGAGTTGACACCATGGGACGAGGACAGCCGCGGTGAAACATTATTTTCAGTAAGTGGACCCCGTACCAGTCCCGTATCATCTCGCTTCTAAGATTCCAGACGATTGACAAGTTTTATGATACCAGTTCTCGGTGTTCCGAGGCAGATGGGATGTTTGTAATTATTTGCTTGACGTTGGTGCAGGGCACCACCTGGATAAGTCATTCAAGGATGGTACCGTAAGTCCAGTGACTTCATCCTGCATGCTAGATATTCTGCATGCAATGTTTTATCCCCAAAGACCAACTGAATTGACCTCAAACTAGAATCGTGTTGTGTGGTCTTACGAAAAGTGGGGAAGGAGCCTTTACGTTGGTCGGCGGTTTCGACCGTGTGCTGAAATGGTCCACGAATGCCAGAAAGTCATAGGCCGTCTTGAAGATGACAGCCTAATAGTCTCGCTGCTCAGTGGCTACACTGGGTTCTTCGATGAGTTCTGTGCCCTTAGACGCTTCGCATGGCCAGATTCGTCATTTTATCATCCGGATTTTGCACTGCATAGGATGCAATTCGCTGTTTTCATCGCATGTGCTCTCAATAACGGATGGGCAGCACCGGCAATGATTCGCTCCGTCCTGGGGCTCGACAATGGAATTGCCCAAGGTAACTTGGATTTTAGCGTCCGCACTATATTTGGGGAGACCATCTTCCACGGCTTGGCCATGAAAGTTGGGTTAGCTGACAGAATGGGAGGAGACGGAAAAGAGTGGCATACTCTCATTCGCGATGTTGTCGCCCACGTAGTGGACGTTAGAGACCTACATCAACACGCACCTTCAGTGAACTACGGGTTTAAAGAGTGTCCATTGGAAGAAATAACCCCACTGTTATCGCTGATACTCCAAGGCATACTGGCAGAAGCCAGGCGACGTCCACTACAAATCTGGGTACCGAAACGTCCAACAGCGCAGCCAGCTGTTGTACTGTCGAGATGCGAGAAACTCATTTACGCCTGGCTCTATGACTTCTATGAGGCTGGAGTTGACCTGCTAGAGTACGGAAGGCAGGAAAAAGAGCATTTTCGAGACGAAGACCTCCTACCCAATGGGGTGACATATAGCTATTCTTCCCATCTTGCATATGAAGAATCACCCGAGTCTACCACTGTGTATCATATCCGCCTTATAAATTTTCAGTATGGTGGGCTCCCAAGAGATTGGAAATTCTGGTGGTCCGAACCGTCGGACGAGTTTGCTGGAGACTTTTGGTGTGTGCTCGAGTTGGAAGATGAGCTAGCAGCCATGAGTGTCCCCGGGGCTTGGGTCGACTAGATATTTTGTCATATATTGGAGTCAATTAGCGGCCTGGAGGGTCTATGGCGATGGAGAAAAGTATATGTGATATCAGTTCCGGTGGTTGCAAGAGTGAGCCCCTGACTTTTCGGGCGGAAACGTCTTAGGAATTATAGAGCTTCGCGTCGATAAACGGTGCGGTAATAAGTCTTGAAGATGGCTCTAGTCGACTTTTGTCTTGAAGTCGAGCACGTTCGAATAAATAAATTTCGATGCTCCGCCTCGCCCAATGTTGAAGACAGTCCAATGTCCAATCGTCCTGAGAGGACTTGTTTCCTGCATAACACGCAATGATCCGCTGAAGAATCTGATAGTCTACCAAGTACTCAACTCCCAGTACTCCAATACTCATCCAAAACGTCCTGCGTGACCTCAAAAGCCCAATGATGACAAGTCTGGTGCATCACAGGGCTAACCTCCGGGGCATCCTCATCCGCCCCATCATCCCAGACCTCCCTGACCCCAGCGGCGACATACTTCTTCAGCAGCATCCTACGCCACCGCCCCGTCTCACCAACACACCTCTTCCACCGACCAACCTGCCTCTCATCGTCCTCGCACCGCCGGCCCAGGTAAAACCGGCAGTACCACTGGAACCAGCCGCGCACATCAAACCGGTGCTCGATCCACCCGGCCTCCTCCCACTGCTCAATGCTCTGCCCGCACGCGACCTTGAACTTGTTCGCGTCGGCGTCGTACTCGCCCCCGGTCAGGTACCGGGCCACGTCCAGCCCGGCCGTCCAGCCGGCGGGGAGCTCGCGGTAGTCGCCCGAGACGGTCAGGCGCAGCTTCTTGGAGTACAGCGGGCGGAAGTAGGAGCCGCCGAAGGCGCCCTCGCGCAGGACCTCGGCGGGCGTCTTGTTGGGCGTGAAGCCCGGGTGCGAGGCGAAGTGCAGCACGCCCGCCTCGTCGCGGTCGGGGCCCGGCGCGGCGGGCGTCCAGGAGGACCAGGAGGCTTGGAGGGCGTCGAGGTCTGCGGTCATGTCGCTGTCTCTCGGGGCGTGGCTCGCCTCTCCGTCTGCCCGTGCCTCTGCGGCCCTCTCCTTCCTCGGAGCTTTGGCTCTTCGGGCCTTGGCCTTCGTCTCGGCCACAGTGTCAGCGGCGGGGCCGGCCTCGTCGTAGCTTGGCCGGATTGGGGCCGATGCGATCCGGGCTGAGGTGCGAGTGGGCACTGGGGCAGTCCTTGCCTTCTCCACGCGTCGTTTCTTGGTGGCGCGCAGATTGTCTGCACCATTTGTGGTTGGGATGGGGTGGCTTGACCGTTGAATTGCCTCGGCCTGAGCGACCGCCCCGAGCTCCTTGAGCACCTCCTGGTTCCGCTTGATGTTGTCTAGTCTTCGAGTTGAAAATTTGTCCATATTCGGCGATTTATTTTAGTGAATACGGACTGGCAGTTAGATGGGAATCTGATCATCAAGGCGTTCGCTCTCGTGCCAAGAGTGGACGCGTCTCATTCAAAGGGGCCGTCGCGTGGCTACGTCATAGAAACTAACTCTCAAAGTGCTCAAAACACGACACTTTGTCCTTGGAGACATTGCCTTTGAAAAGCAATGGCAGTGTATTCCCAGGAAACGTTGTGCTGGCCTGGATGTATTGTGGAAGGGAAAAAGTAGGAAGCAAGAATAAGGGGAAAGCAAATCTTGGTAGCCTACTGTCATTGCAGTTTCGGTTTTGGGGTTTGGCAGGCAGACTAGAACTCCAACGGGACAGGGGCAGCTCTGTAAAGGGCGCGAACATGACAACGGGGAATTCAGAGCCATGCATGAAGATTGCTCAAGGTCTTGAAGATCTCTGTATGTATTTGTTATATACCAGGCACATCATCTATGTGGCTACTTGGCCTGACCTCACATTCGCCGCGGACTGACCATGGCTGCTCAGGCCATGGGTGAAGTTACCAACTGAAGCTGGCACCGTCCTAAGGCTGGCTCTAAGCTCCACAACCTTATGACGCCCAGGAGTGGACGTTCCAGAATGCGGCGGGGCCATGAAGAGCATTTGAGGCAACGGAGGTGGTTCCCAGCATAGAGCACATCCCGCACATTCGATCCTCCACTTCCCATCCTCTCCAAACAGCCACTAGTAACTACGGCCGAACATGGTCCACGACTTGGCGAGCTCCTGGCACTCGGGATTCAGACACTTGGTCTCACCGGCCACAAGACCATCAGGCTGATGGAAGGGGAGAACAGGTTAGCTAACTTCGATAGAAAATGTCACCAAAAGCACAAGAATTGAGGTCAACGTACCTGAGCAAATGGAATGCACAGACTCTTCATGCCCATGCCTGGCATCTTGCGCCCCTGCTCATCCTCTTGGTCCTCGCTACGGGTCAACTCCTTAATGCGGTCTTCGCACTTGATGCCCTCGCAGAACGGAATGATGACAACATTGCGGCTGTCGAGTGCAGGGACAACACGGTCCCATTCCGTCAGCTTGAGACGACGAGATTCGTAGGTGGCCGCTGCCTTGGTGTACAGGTCCTCCTGTATCTTCTCCAGCAAGGCTGGGACTTGGGTTGCAAGCTCCGCCAGCGGGATGGTGCCCTTCTCTCCGGTGTCACGTCGAGAGGTCGCAACGATAGAGGCCGCTGCATCACGGAGACCGAACTCGAGGCGGAGGGGAACACCTCTCATTTCCCAGTCGGAGAACTTGAAGCCAGGGGTGCTGTTGAAGTGTCAGTAACTCATCGGGTGGCACCATGAATGGGTGCGAAGAAACAGGCGCAACTGACTATCCCTCCCGATCATCAACTTGGATGCGAACACCAGCTTCCTGCAAAGTAGCCTTCAACTCCTGGATCTTCTCCATGTGCTTGGTTCGCTCCTCAGGCTTCGTCTTGGCGTTGAGACCGACGGGAATGATGACTGCTTGGATGTTGGCCACTCTGGGCGGGAGAACGAGACCCTTATCATCGCCGTGAACCATGATCATGACGCCGATGACTCTAGTCGAAAGACCCCTATGCATGTCAGCGAAGCCCTGTTTATGTTGAAGGTTACCCATTCCCAGCGTACCAAGAGTTTTGCCAGACGTTGATGTGCTCTCCCTTTTTCTCCGGGTCCTCCACAGTGATGCCAAACATCTTACTGAAGTTCTGTCCGAGAGCACTACACGGCGTTGATTTAGTCAGTCCAGTCTAATACTCACGACAGAGCTATGTGGTCTTACTGCGAGGTAGCTCCCTGGATTCCTCGTCCATTTGCTGGGACAAAAGCCTCACAGGTCGAGGTCCAGCTGGCGCCAGCAAACTTCTCTGCTTCTGTCTTCTTGCCGCGCACAACTGGAACCGCCAGCAGCTTCTCAAAGATGGCGGCGTATAGCTCCAAGATCTCCAAAACCTCTTTCGATGCAAGCTCCTCGGTGAGGTGGGCGGTGTGGCCTTCTTGCCATAGGAACTCACGGGCGCGCAGGAATGGAGTTGTCTGCTTAGCCTCCCAGCGAACGACGTTGTTCCACTGGTTCAGTCGCAAGGGCAGGTCGCGGTGAGAGCGAATCCACTTCGCGTAGTATGGGTACATGACGGCTTCGGAGGTGGGGCGCACAGCGACGGGGACCTGGTCGTGGTCAGCTTCATGTGCCAGGCTCGGGCAATGTAGGGAGGTGAAGGGCGGAACCAGACCTCGAGGTCCTTGTCTCCTCTGCAAAGCCATCGTTAGCTTTTGGGGAACAGTTGCAGACACCCCATCACCCCGACCAGTGAACATACGCTTTCGTGACCCATGCCAGCTCTGGCGCGAAACCTTCGACATGCTCCCTGCTTCAATCAGCTTCCGCGGGCCCTCGAACATTCGAATCGTTGTGCGGTCCGTACTTCTCCTACAACCACCACGCGTCAGCTTCTGCGGTGTCGGAATGGATTCATTTGCTCCCTACCTTAGCCAGCGACGTGGCAGACAAGAACATAGGGAAGCTTGCTTCTTGTACGCCCATGTTCTCAATGTTGGATTGGAAAAACTTCTTGATGGAGTTCCAGACGTGCATCGCAGGAGCTGTGAGTCATCGTCAACGGGGAGCTCCTGATCGGGGGCAAGAAGCCTGAGGGTGTCGGGGCTTGATCGCATTCGTACGTACGTCGCAGGATGTAGAATCCAGAGATCTGTGTGATAATTCAGACCATCATCAGCGAGACTTGCACCCCTAGAGGGAGGATGGCCAATCCACGCGCAACCCACCTCAGAATAGTACTCGACGAGTTCGGCCTTCTGCACGACTTCGACATACCACTGGCCGCAATTGGTCTCCTTGGGGACCGTGATGCCGACCAGCTTGGCCGCCTTGTTCTTGGAATCGGCCATGGCGTTTGCTTTCACCGAGATTGGGAGTTGTTTCTGCATAGGGAGCTGAGGGCGAGAATGTGTGTGCGCGCGTCTCGAACGGAGGGATGTTTTGGTTTTGACCCAGCCCAGCTTCGAGCCTGCCCAAGGGAGCTGCCAAAAGTTTGGAGGTGGGGGATCAACAACCGTACCCCGCCTTATCAGGTACCTGGGTACTTTGCAGCAGATACAGAGATAAGGGACAGAGTCAGACCGGTTGCGGCGTCGACCTTCTTGAGCCTTGTACACCGACATTGATGTCGGTGAACCCAATTCCAGCCCCTATTGGCTCTTATTTTCTCTCATTCTAATATTTCCCAAGTTTTTATCCAGTCCTGGTATGCGGGCCACCAACATGGAGTTTCAGAACCACTGACAGTTTCCGGCGATTGAGACCATGATGAGCAAGCATCGACTGTTTCTCCTTGGTTGAGCGAACTCTTGCCACTCTCTACCGATGACTTATTTCACAATTTGATGACTTTCGGTGAAGCTGTCATGGTCCAGTCCCATCGGTTAATGACCTCGGTTGAAGTGGCAGACAGCGCTCATTGGTAGATCGGGCCTAACACTGGTGGATGGGACGTCGAGGCTTCCACAATTTCTGCGCAAGCCGGGGCATACTACTGACCAGAACTCGGAAATTTGTATGTTGAAAAAAGAGAAGCACGTTATATTTCTTCACTTTGTTGCAGGTTGACAATTCGTGCCAGCATACCCACTTCCCATAAATGTGTAATATTTCCAACGCTGTGATTGAGTGCGCGGTAAGAGAATACTCTGCTTAAGCCTGGAGGTGCAGCATGGGTTCATGATACCGACGAAAATCTGTGCCTTGCAAGGCCTGGTAAGTAAAATACTCCGTATATATGTACAGTGTTTGATTAATTCCAATAATGTACTACTACATCTGGGTCAAGAAATTGGCCTAGGAGGGAACGTCAAGAAGGTTAAATAAACACAACGAAGGCCTGCCTCCTCGCTAGCCTCACCTCGACAGATCATTATAACATCACTACAACAGCACAGCACAACTGTCTGGCCGATCCGCGGAAGGGATCTTCTCAGCCATCGAAGCCAAACCTTCTCAGCGCCACGGCCACAGGGAATGGAACAAGCGACCAGTCATTCTCATCGGGGCCCAGCTTGTCCAAGTCGCTTTGGCTGATCTGGGGCATCAGCAGGTTGGAGTTGGTGTCGACCTCGGCCCCCTTGGCGCCCTTGCCGCCACCGCTGGAGCTGGTATCATCACTGATACCCAGCGCGCGCCCAAGACCGTCGAGGATATCGGACAGCGCGGGCACAAGCTTCGTGGGGATCTTGATAGCGCCCCCGCGACCCTGGAACGCGTTGACTGTTGCGGTGAAGTTCCCCTGGATTTGGTCGTTGATGGGCTGCGCGATGCCCGCCAGGGACGGGTCCAGCGCGTTGATGAGCTGCAATCGTGGGTCAGCAACTGAGAGACGATCATGGGTTCTGGGGGTGATGAAAGGCACTACATACCGAGGATCCAAGGGTTTTCGCGTTAGTCTGCTGGATAGAGACACTATCTCTGATGAGACTCCTCACATCCAAGATCTTGAGCCCTGCCTTATCAAAATCGGGCTTCTTTCCGTCGAGGTTTGTCAACAACCTGGTGATATCAGGCTGGACCCCCAGGAACTGCAGACCGACAGTCGTTCTACATAGCACCAAACCAGTCAGTCCAACCTGTCGTGCTCACTCATTTACTCCTAGGCAACGCCAGGCCATTGACGAGGAGACTTACGAGTCTGTCGCACTCAACCTTGTAGTGTCGTTTGCGACCTGTGTCGTTTTTGTGATATCATCTCCAAGCTGGACGACAGCCGAATTCACCTTGATCAGGCCTGTTATGCCATCGATGATGCCATCTGCACTGAAGTCGGCTACCGTGTTGTTTGCCGTGGCGAGCTGGAGCTGCAAGGTCGTGATGGAACCCTGGAGAGCCTGGAGGCCACCGCCGTTTTGCCTCTTGTCTTCGGCTGGTAGCAGCGGGATGGCGGAAGCGAGCGACGCCAACGTGACGAAAGCGAGGGAAGACGGTGAGCCGAACATGGTGAATTATCTCAGGATGGGGTATTGGGTAGTTCTTATTCTTCTATTGCTGGGTCGATGTTGGATGTTTGCCGAGAATCGCAAACTGATTGCAATGGGACCGTAACGAGATCAGGTCTGGCGAGACAGGTGAATAACGGATGAAGGACGCATAGAGCGCATACCGCTGCGCTCACAGCATAGTTTAAGGCGAGGCAATCGCTTTATATCAGTCTCCACACCGTCGGGGTAAGTGATATCCCATGGGAGGGTTCGGCCCCGGTGAGGTCGGCCAAGCATCAGTCACAAGATCACAAGCGAGAGTGCCAGCATGCTTCTCGCCGAGGCTGCCACACATGCCCCGGCCCTCGAGTCTACTTTGAAACTCTAATCAGGCGTGACCCGTCCCTCCCGCACAATGTGTCTGTCCCCCGCGATTGCCGTGGAACGATGACGGGGCCGCAGCCCTGGTTTCTGCGGGGGAGAACTAGGGTGACCTTGCACAGCCTTGCAGGAGGGCATATAAGCATGTCTGCTCAGTTTAACCCAGCTAGGCTTGATCGCCGTGAGGGACCGCGGAGTGTGATCAGAATCGCAAGTAAGACCTTCTTGAAATATATGCATATTTGCTGGCTGAGCCTGCTCGTCTGCCGGCCTTTCCGTCGTCTGATGTCCGCGAAAGTTGATGGAGTGGTGCTGTACAAACCTTGCCTTGGGATATCAAAAATTGCAGCTCGGTGTTCATCTTGGACGCATCCCAACAACGCCACGAGCGACCTTGGATGGTGGATACCCGTGGACTGGTAAAGGTTGGACTTGGCGATGCTGAATGGCCATAGCACATCAGCTCATCGAATGATGAGACTATCCTGACCTAGGCAGGGGACAGGTGGGAAGGGAGCGGGATTCGCGAATATGAGAGGCGGGCGCTACTGCGCATGCGGAGAGAGCTCGTCACAAAAATCCAAAACATGAGACGCCTCGTCCAACCAGTCGCGATTAAACCCCATCCCAAACTGCCATTTCTCGCATCAACCTACCCTGGCGCATGGCCTTCCGGTTTGGTATCGCCATGCGAGCCAGCATGCATGCGGGGTATCGCCTCTACTTGTCTTCTTCGTGCGGCGATCAACCAGCCCATAATCGGAGCTCTGTAATACAATAAAGTTGATTATTGCAATATATATACATGCAAGGAATTATTAGAGAGATCTGACCACTGGCTGGAAAGTTGTCGATCGTGCAAGAACGTCATAAATCGCGCTTTCACCTGCTGAACCTCAGCCTCACCGACTGATCTACATTCACCGGTGGCTCACGATCAGGAGACGAGCCGAGAGCTTTCAGCATATCAAGTGCAGAACCTGGGGAACATCTGTTTTGTCCCCAGACTCGGTGCATGAATTGCGGAGAAGCCGTTTCTGGGGCTGTCTTGTAACAAGGTTGGCTAGATTTGCCCTGGAAGCAAAACAGGCCCCCCAGGCGAACGATTGCGTGTTGCGAGCGAACGGGTCCAGGTAATGATTATGCATGCCATCAGATGAAATGCAGGACTTACTTGTGGAATAATCTGGAGTATCTGTCCATCTCGCTTTCCTCGCATGGCCATCTTGTGCGTTCGAAATTGCGAACGCAACCCTACCACATGCAAAAGGATGCAAAATCGCTCTAGTCAGAATTAAAGAGGTAGTTGGAAAAAAAAATATGCTCATCGAGAGTCTGCTAATAGTGACCACATGCTAGCGAGCGTAAGAACGAAGGACATGTCGTCAATCTGGAGAACACAGATGCCGTCATACCAAGGACAAGTTGGGGCAGAGGCGGCGTATTGGATGAGAGTACCAACTGTAGTACGAGAAGCAGGGACCTTGTCTGTAGATATCAGACGAGAGTGCTGGCTCAGTCCTCGATGCTAAATAAATGGTGTCGGACAAATCAGCGAGGATCCCTGACCTTGTGTAATAAGCCATTCGGCTTCACTTACTCCTCGGAATTCTATGTCATCCAATGGGTTAGCAATATTCACCGAAAATTTGACTAGATATTTGTACTCTCTTAAACAACACTCGAGATTAATGCAACTATTGACTTCTTGCGATGCACTAATAAGCTTCTTGTTCTTTCCTGCAGGTGATGAGCCTAAGTCACTTCCACCTGTAGAGCAAGAGAACGGTAAGTATTTCAAATCTCATAGATTCGGCTCAGATTTCCTGCTTTATGAAGCAATGGTTAGAGCAATACTGCCTCGAAAGTATGTAGAATTTGCTTCATCTGTGTCCCACAGTGGACGTCTTTTTGACTTTACGGTCAGAACCCAGCAGTTTCGCGGATTAGTCTTAGTGTTCTCTTGCCATTGTCCCACAGTGAAACTGTTCCACTATTCACATTTTGGCATGTCAGAGTGAGAAATGCCATGGATGAGGGTATAGCCATCCCGGGCCGGAGGGAAGGCCATGGAGCTTGTACCACCGTGCTCAGAATGGCAGGACTGAAGTTCTTCTGAAGTGCTTACACACAGACGATACGTTTGTGTGATTATACGCCTCATTGACCTTGACTCACGATAGGCCTTACGGAAGGAAGGCCCTCGGATCGATACATGCAAGCAGGGCGTCAGGGAACCTACACAAAGCCGCACTTCCATATGCGGTCGATTTTCTAGATAGGTATTTATTGTGCACGAATACACCACACACTCGCTCTTCTAGCATCTTTCGAAGCATCTCTACGAATTTGTGCACATAAGTACGCGCTCATGAAAATACACAACATCCTGCCTTGCTTCAATGTCGATGTCACCGAGTGAAAGTGGCCGGTGCCGAGTCAACCATACATCAACATTGAACTGTGACATTGGCGATGCGAAGGCCCAACCGAGTGTACGTACCACTGTGGCAGAATTTCTTCGAAGCGATGACATCAAAAGTGATCGTGTCAAAGATCTCTCAACCATAGGTGTTCTCAACCATAGGTGTGCTCCCCGTAGCCCGTCAAGAAGTCTGGACATCAAGACGACGTGATATGATCAAGCAATTCATAAACCCGGCCCGTCTCGACCCGACACGCCTCGCCCGGCCTTGGCGCCCCTCTGAAACCTGGCCCAAGCCAAGACCTGATGGTGGTCACCTCGACGCCACTGAAGTTTTGCTGCTCTATGATCCGAAAGGCAGAGCTGCAGGGCAAGGTGGACTCGCCAGGAGCTGGGGGTGGAAGGCCGTCGCAGCAGCAGTCCGCGTTGTCGCCAGCCTCCTCTGTTGGATGTGCTAATGTCTGTTCTGAAACTTCCAGAGGTCCCGGTGTAGGTGACTGCTGACGAGGTGCACCTCGGCACCCTGCACCTTGGCACGATGTTGACTCCGTGGGTCGTGCTTCAACATGTGGTACGCCTGGAAGACTCGCTGTGCTGGACGGGAGCTGAGGCAATGCCGCAGAAGGCGTGACGCTGCCCCGTAGAATCTCGACCTCTTTCGTTAGATGACTGATGGTCTGCATTGCAGCCTCCAGCCTGGCACTGGTCTCTTCAAGGCGCTTCTCGAGATCCAAGACGTGGCCCTTGGCACGCGCACGATGCCTGCGTTGGTTGTTGCGCACTCTGGTCGCATTATGGTCCGCTGACTTCAATGACCACTTAAGTACAGACGGTTCTGAGGGTGTCTTCGTCTTCATTTTCGCTTACGTCCTGTGGTGCTCAATAATGGGATGTGTTTTGAGTAATAGACATAGAGGGGAGAGATGAGTAGGTCCAGCGGCGAAAAGTGGTGACGAAAGGAGAATTTTGGTGGTGACAAACCGCTTTCTCCCCTGATTGAGTTTAGCGCTTTCTGATGACATACCAAATCTCTGCCTGAATGGGGATAGCGTGGCCTGGTGACACATTCGCTTCACGCTATAAGGCCCCAGAAAGACTGACAACATCCATATGATTAATTTTCTGTATATAAATCCAGCCATAATCCGATCAAGTGGAATACTGACAGCTTCCAAAAAGTTCATGCCAACAAAATGTCCACCCAAAATATTTACGACCAGGTTACGGAGCGCTACAGTGCCGCATCCCGGGGCACTGCCCTCCAGTATGGCGCTTCTGTAGCCAAAGCATTTGGGTATTCAGAGGATGAGCTCGCAAACATCCCAGAGGAGTCAAACTTAGGGCTAAGTTGTGGCAACCCGATGGCCATGGCTAGCATACGAGAGGTACATTGCCGGAGGACGAGCCGTCCACCTGCCAGCACTTCAGCTGACCAGAAACTCTACAACTTGTAGGGTGAAACAGTCATCGACCTGGGCAGCGGCGCTGGCTTCGATGTCTTCCTCGCAGCCAATAAGGTCGGGACCGATGGGAAGGTCATTGGAGTCGATATGAACAAGGCAAGTTGCCCTGATGGTCTTGGGCGAGACACAACTAATTCCAGTGGTCAGGATATGCTCGCCCGCGCCAACGAGATCAAGGCCAAGCACAATAAGACCAACGTCAGCTTCGTCGACGCCAAGATCACGGACATGTCCGCAATTCCCTCCAGCACAGCCGACTGTATCATCTCCAACTGCGTGATCAACCTTGTGCCGGAGGAGGAGAAGCTTCTAGTCTTCAAGGAGATGCACCGCGTCCTCAAGCCCGGCGGCCGCGTGGCCATCTCGGACATCCTAGCCAAGAAGCCCCTGCCGGGGAAGCTGAGGGCCAACATGGCCCTGTACGTTGGCTGTGTCTCGGGCGCGAGCCTAGTTGGGCAGTACGAGCGGTATCTCAGGGAGGCAGGGTTCGCGGCCGAGGGCATCGCAATCAAGGACGATGGCGCAGATCTGAACGTCTACCTCGAGACCAACCCGGACGGAACGAGGACTGTCGGCGGGACCGGGGGCAATCTGTGTTGTAACCCTAGCATTCCGAGCACTGCTCCTCCTGCTCCCACTCCGTCTTCCTGCTGCTCTAGCAAAACGGCAGTGGGCCAGCCTGCCGCGACGGCCTCTTCCTCTTGCTGCTCTAGCGACAAGACTCCGGCTGTGCCCATGGCTCCCGCCTCTTCGAGTTTCTTAGGCAAGTCAAAGACCGATGCGGTGATGGAGTCGGCTGCTGCGGCTGCCGCATCATCATCATCTTGCTGTGGGGGTGGAAACAAGGCGGACCAGTCGTATGCTTTCGACGAGAAGGACCTGGCCGATCTGGAAGGCGAAGACTTGAACACGTGGGCTGGTGAGTTGACCGTACCCCCGCCTCCATATAGTGTGCTCTTGACAGGGAACCATTTTGTACTGACCTTCTGCCAAGGATCCTACAAGATATATGCTGTCAAGTCATGATAGCCTGGGAAGTGTTGTTGGCAAGCGTGAGGATGCAGGATGTGCAAAGCGTTGGTACGCGTTTAGTTGCATGACGACGTGAACTAGGATGTTGTGATCGTGGCCTGGGAAATCGGCCTCTTGTTCCTTCGATGTCTGTTCTCAAGGGAGGTCCTTTGTCCCTGACCTATAAAGGCAATTAGCAGGAAAACTGGTCTCTTGATGGCTGACTGGAAGGGGACTGAACAGCACTAAAAAGTTGTTTTAGGGGAAATTGGCAGATTCAGTCTGCAAATGCTTCCATCCAAATAGTATTCACGTATCTTGTGCCTGAGATATGTGACAAAGGATATGTGGAGGGAAGCCTGGTCAACTGACTGGTGTCTCTAAACAAGATTGAAGCTCCCAACAACTCCCTCTAGCTGCAACTACAGGCATCCCGCTGTAGTCATGCTCTGTTGGGGCCGGGTTCACTTGAGGGTTGGAAAATAATACAACAAATTTACAAAAAATTTCCCCATTGTTCGACTTCTAGGCTGCTGCCTTGTGAATGTAGCATTGCAAATATTAAAAGATATAGACATTGAGGGTTTCTCTTTCTGCAGAACTTGGCATCGTATGCTCGGGCGTGTCTCTGTCCTAGCTCAACGTTATTTGTAGGACATCTGAAGCGCCTTAGCGTCCTGAGTAGGCGGTCTCTTGCAGTGGACCATCGCCTGTAGTCTGTGAATCTCCACCTGGACGTCTCAACAGCCCTGCTAAGAGGGGCTCTAGCTAGCGTCCCACAACCTGGAGGTGATCTAATTAGGCGACCGATAGCGCGTGTTGGATCACCAAGCTTCCTTCAGCCCTACCCGTGATCCACGGTGAATGGGGCATTCGTTCACTACTCGGCTGGACACCACAGCACTTTATTATTTGCACTACAGCTTGGTGAAGAGAGTAAGCCATGGGAAGAGAGCATTTCGTATACCCAGACGCGATGCTAATGCTGCCCAAGGCGGTAACAGCATGCTCTCCCTTCCAAAGCAAAGAGGTTTTGCTCTAATGCCTCCCACATTGAAAGGCTGGGCATGGATTCTACCAGAATACAAAGTTTCTTCTGACGAGCATCATCGGCATAGCAGACGCCGAAGACGCACTATACTTCACATTTGCCCGGGGAACCTAGCCGTCTCCCCCAGTAACATCCTGCCGCAGTCACCAACCTCAACATACCTTTTGCGCCCCTTAGCTAACACTTTTCTCTTTAGCAGACAATTGGGGACCACGGAAGAGTCCATATGCTCCACTGGCGAATGCTTCTGATTCCAGTGGTGTCCTCAACCTAGTTCAGCTTCCCAACAGCAGCGACTCGACAAGACTTGCGCTCCTAGATTCCCCTGCCTAGCAGAGGTCTTCCTCCCCCACCACCCTACCCAAGAGGCAATACACTTTAGCCCTTTGCTCTCGGAAGTCCTAATTCCAACGCAAAAGGCGCGCTGGCCGACCAGTACTTCTGCTCCTCAATAGCAGCAGCTGCTGCTTGCTGGCCAACAAACAATCCGACAACAGCTCCCGCGAAGAGCCAGCCAAAACCTCCACGAGCGGCTCTATTTGCCCCTCTCTCTTCGTTGAGGACGTAGCCTTGAAGCTTCCAAGATCGGATCAGGCATAGAGATGTTTACGAGGAATGACAAAGCAACAAGTCTTGCTTTGGTACCGCCAGATCCAGGGCAATGGGTCGATGGAAGTGGGACAACGGAACACAATATCATAAGAGCCGAGGTCAGAATTAAGAGGAGAAGGAGAGGGAGGAAGAGGAAGAAAACATGAAGGGAGGCCCAGGAAGCTAGTTTCAAAGCAAACGAGGATTGACAGGAGCATGACTTTGCATTAGGCTTCTCCGGATGCCTGTCCCCGGACACTTCACCCGGGATGCTTGTTCCCAGCAGGGTGCCTATCTGCTCGGAATTAGGCGGGGGAGCTACACCATGCTGCCCACTTCCGGAGCGGGTTTCTGTGAAATCGATGCTTCCCGCCCTCTACTAGAAGGTTCAGTCTTCATAATGTATGTGGCTACATCAGGAAAATGTCAGAATACTAGCTGTGCTCCCTACTATGCGTTCTCTCGGGTTGGCGGAAACGAGCAAGGGAAGAAAGGCATAGGTAGAAAGAAACATGCATAAGTGCAAGAGCATCAGAGTCTTTAGGCATTACGCATTCAGCATTGTCAGAGTATCACCAGTGCAGCAATGAAAGTATCTTGATTGGTCAAGTTTGGTTGGTCAATTGTCCGTCCATCAATGTAACAAAATCACAGCCTATCAGCAAGCCATCATTGTCATTCTCATTCCATGCCAGCACTGATCCGTTGCCATGATCATGATGTCGAGGAGCCACGTCCCCGAAGAAGTAGATGAAGGAGGCTGTGTGTGTGAAAAGGAAGATTCGTTGTGTTGAAACAGGTGAGAGAAGAAAGAAAGAAAATACAGAACTTTTGTCGGACTTGGTGTCAAAATCCTCCCTTATGTCCATGCAAGCCAATTCACAGCTGGGTGATTGGTGTTGGGGGAAGTTTAAACGAAAATGTGCAGAAGAAAAAAAGTGATGGTGACCAAACCAATGTGTGTCGTTGCAACTACACCACTCTGTGGTGATATGTGTTCATCCTCCAGGGGGTTCAAAGACCATACAGCTTCTTCTGGATGGCAACTTCCTAGTCCTCGTCCTCAGAGTCAACCTCGGCATCCTCAGAATCTCCATCCTCGTACTCAACGTCAGCTCCCTCATCATCGTCAACAGAAGTTGGGTCTGCGCCGGGAGGGTCGGTGATCAGGATACCGTCCACCAGGTCTCCGTCAATGGTAACAGGCAGCTCGCGGGTGAAGAGTCGGCTCCAGACGGAAGGAGGGCCTACCTCTGGCTGCGGTTTGGTCTCCGGGTTGGTGGTGGTCTTGTCAGGGAGCAAGCGCCTGACGCCATTCTTGAAAAGTTCACCGAGCACAGCAGACTTGGTGAGCTCCCGGGGCGATTCGTGGAGTAATGCGACCTTCTCATAGAGCTGGCCATCCCTTACCTGCTCCTGGGTCACCGGGGTCATAGTAGAACCCGTTGAGGCCTCAAGCAGTGGCATATGGATCTCCGTGTTGGCACGAATGATGGTGTCAGGAGTCGGGTCCCCATTATCATATGCAGTAGGCAAGTTATGAGAGTCTTCGGTGTCAGCAAATACCTTTCTCAGGCCGCTGGTCTCCTAGTCCAGGCCCTCAAAGGCGTTGTCGACATTGCTCTCGTCATCAATGGCTCGCCGCTTGTCATTGCCATGAGTGCAGCTGCATCCACTGACGCAAGCAACATGCTCCTCGTCCGCAGTGACATTGGCATCGGGGTCAGTGTCGTTGCCACCAAGGGGTGCCACACCGTTACCTCCAGTAAGCGGGAAGGGGCCTTTAGTGTAGAGGGTGCAGTCATTGGTACATCCAGCGAGGACAGGAGAACCCTTGCAAAGGCTGACCAGGTTGGTAGGGCTGCAGGTCAGGTGGCATTTGTGGTGGACTCGCTTTTCCTTGCCGTTGCCAGGAAGAATCTCATGGTCGTCGGCGAGATTGACAGTGTCCTTGTAGCGCTTGACCTGGTTGGCAACCATCTGGTCAACCTCACGAGGAGCGTTGACAGAGATCACAAAGGTACCAGAGGCGGCGTCCACAGACGAGGTGTTGGTGGAATTGGTGACGTTGGGGAAGACTCCATCATGCCGCTGCAGGATCATGGTGGGAAAGGCGTGACCTGCAGCCTGCAGGAGGTACAAAGAGAAGACGATGAGGAAGTTGAAAGTCTTGTGGATGCAACACTGTCAGCTTTGAGGCTGACTAGATAGTGTAGAAGGCTAAAGTATGGGAATGCAAGGCTGAATGGTAGGACAGCAAGAAAGGGAGAGACTCACCGCCATGGTCATCCAGGTGCAATGAATTGCTTGAAAGGGATGGATGAATGGAATAATGTATTTGGGGATGACAGTCCAAGATCAAATCTGGGCTGATGACTTGACACGGGCGCGTCGTGGATGTTGTTGTTGTTTGATCAAGGAGCAGTAGTGCCTGAGGCAGTAGTTGCTGGAGTAGCTGTGTTAGTCTCATTCACAGAACACAAACGGTGACCGTGAAGAGAATGTCAATGGAAAGGAGCAGACTGACTGTTTGTGATTGTCTGGTGTCGCGCTGGTTGAAAGGAATGTGGGTTGTGTTGGTGAACGATGGTTATGCTGAAGGAAAGGAGAGAAGGTTGGGTTTGTTGAGAGGAGAGAGGGATGTTGTCCGCAGGAAGGCAGCAGCCCGGGGAAGGGACTGGATACGAAAAGTGGGTCCAGATTCTAGGAGCTTTTATCAGGCGCTATTCAACTGTATAAACCCCCTAGGAAAAAGTGTTGGGACAAGGCTGGCTGGCTGGAGAAGGCAGGACGAGGCAGGAGGAAGCAGGTCAGGCGGTCCAAGGGGAACAGTGTCCTCCCTTCAAATCTTCCTTCTACGGGAACCATTGTCACTGTCCAGAATATTACGTAACCATGGATCATACTCTGACAGTGAAAGAAGTAAACAGCGGCCCGAGGCTGCTCTGCAATATCAGTGTATTACTTGGAGGCCTGAGGTTTGGCTGTAGCTGAGACCGTGGTCTCAGTTAGGAGTTCTTTGTCCATAGATACTGTCCGGTGGCTGTGTTCATCGACTCATTCGTAGAACGTACTCAGTTTCTATTTTTATTAATTCCCGTGTCAAACAGTGTCCCACTTGCAGCGTAGACTTGGGTGATCGACTGGTACCACTCGCAGTTCAGACGGCGTACCATGCGCGTTTCCGTAGTTCTCGATACCAGATTTGGAGTCAAGACTTCAATGCAAGCCATGTAGATATTTGATTTCTTGGTCTCGGATGGTAGAAATTACCTTCAGCGTTCAGATTGATCGTCTCGTTACTCGATGGTTGTGTCCCAGTTGTCATCCCCCTCTATGCTTGGAGTGGAAGTCTGGGCACCTACCTGGCAAACAACCTCCACAACACTCGGCTACATTGTGGCATCTGGACAGAGACTTCAATCGGTACACAGCTTCGATGGCTTGTCTGGATTTGTAGACCAAGTCCAGGTGCCTTTTTCCCAGTCTGACAGCTGCGGCTATTGTTCTCGGCACGCAAACGGCGACTGGCGATCAACCCATCCCGCACGCGAGACCCACGAGCATCCGGCCTGCAAGCCGTCGACTCCTTCTACGCAGCATGACAAAAGGATACAAAGGTGATAGGAATACAAGCGTGATTCAGAGGCTTCTTCTGGGATTGCGTTTGTTGTCTAGACAGCGCCATCGGTTGGTCACAATACCCTTGTTTTCCTGCCTTCGTCCTCGCACTGAAAAAGCCGCTTTTCGTTTGACGAGCTTAGCAAAGACTCACGCTGATTTCGATGGCACTTGGCTAGATCTAGCACTGACGGGTTGCCCACAATTTCCCCATTACGCGACGCTTGTCGAGGTCCTAGATCAAACAAATCGACCTTCAGATCCTAGCCGCGGGCAAACGCCGGAAGAGCTGAAGTAGAATTCGACATCATCTGTGATAGGAGGAACATATGCGAGAACAATGTCCAGGCTAAGGTACAAATGAACTAAAGGCGAAAGAATGACCTCTCCTATTGCGACAATTATTGTACCGAGCACTCAGCGATATAAATTTGCAGAGCAAATTTGGACAACGTCTGGGCTTTCTACGACTGGGCTATGGTGTCCCGCAAGAACTTGGAGGAGTACCCGTCTCCCAGCCATCGAGCGGCACACCAGCATTAGCAGACCGATAGCTGGAGACAGTGGTGCGCAAGCTCCGGGTCTGCGCCAGGGACAACGTATTTCCAGGCAACAGGAGCGCTGACCGGTCAATAAAGGGACTGAAGGGGCTCTTGATACCAGAAGACCAGTTGTCCGTGCAGATATTATTGGACTTGGCCGTGCGGCCGCACCATACATCGCGGACATGTCTGGATACTGACGGAGACTCTAGCGGACGAACAGAGTGCCCAAGAATCGCTCACCTTTCTCCGATGTCTCGCCGTCAAATTCTTCGAATACCCATTCGAGCTACCCAAGCGATGTTGTCGAAAACCCCCTGAATCCATCCAGCATTGCATGCTCCGCCACCTAGATGCTTGTCAAGAACCGGCCCCTTCCAGGAGTCTGGGTCGCAACAGGCCAAGATTCCTTGATCCATGTAGGTGGATACCACGGATAACAGAAGCTTCTCAAGCTCGCCATATCGAAAGACTCATCCACAGGCGGCGGATGTTAGTGGGGGCACGCAAGAGACAAAGGGCGTGGGGCTTTATGCGCCGAAAAAGGTCGACCCAGATTTTGACTTCAGGAAGGAAATCAGAAGATCAATCCAGACAATGAGGTTCGGAGGCTGATAGACTGAGCGGTTGCACTGGCCAGTGGACTACGGAGAGAAGAAAAAAGAAAACCCGGGCAAGTGATCGAGAGCCCGGATCAAGGCTCGGGAAGATACGCTTGGCACGTCTCCCGGTGGCACTGAAGGACCAAACGGACTAGTCACACTGGCACAATAGTCGATATTGATGTCAACTGGTTCTGTCGTAGCCAAAGCCACTTTGGCAGAACATGGCTCCCATTGTTGTGCTGAGGGCATTTGCCGGGACTGGCCAACGCAAGATTGCCAAGCACACATAGAGTTCTTCTTTTGATTGAAGGAAAGGGCACCAAAGACTAGTTCTCGAAGTAGAACTAAAGTAGCCCGAGCTTTTGGAACGGCATGGTCTTGAACAATTATGGCTCGGGATTTCCAAGGCTGAGGGCAACCTCGTGCTGTGTATTGTTCATCTGAGCTGCAGTCTGGCCCAGTCGAGTGTGCAAGGTTCTCGCAGTTGATCATCTTTCCAAACAAGACGGCATCCAACAAGAACTCGAGAAGTGATTGCTCTCTTTTTAGCGCACCAGACCGGTCATCAGACCTTGTATAGCGTGAAGAATGAGTACCTAGGTAGTCTTCCGTTAGACTACATACGAGCCTTGCATTGGTAATTCTGGCACGACGACTGTGTATTTTTCCTAGAGAAGGTGAAAACTTTTGTCTATCAATTTGTTTGTCCATGCCAAGTCCAGACTGCCCAAGATGCTTTATAGGCCAGGTTTCTCGGGAATATTGTCCGAGGTGGTTGCTCAGATCTACCCCAAAAGTACGCCGGAGCTCTGGTCAACGCAAGACAGCAACTGCAACATCCATTCCAATTGTTAGTGATTATTAAACTGCAAACAGTACTCCTGAAATTGATCAACAAGCCTGGCAAAGCTCCGACCATGGCTGTCTTGTCTCCAGATGTCCAAGCTGGGAGGCCGCCATGCTCTCCTTCGCCGAAAACAAAGACTTCCCAGAAACCGCTTCCACCATGACCCCTTCCTGGAGCACGCCTATCCGAGCATCAAGCTGATGGTGGACTCCAGATTCCTCTGTCGCACCGAATACTTGACGAAGCACAGGGGTCTATGGCGTATATCCTGAAGTATGCAGAGCTATGGGACACAGAATGCAGAGCTAACTCCGAAGAAGACCAGCGCCTGAAATCGAGCTTCTCAGTCTCCACGCGTCGAAGATGATCCCCTCAACCTGACCTCAGCCGCCAGTGAAGGGGACACACACGGCTTCCACATCAATGGCGCTGATGTATCCCTGGCAGGCGCTGCCCCCAATGACATTGGTACCCGGAAACTACCACCTAACTCGACGTGCAGAGCACTAAAAAGCTCTATCAACCAGACGAGACCCGCGCGAGACTCGCGTTGCACCCGACAGCTCCTTCTGCGAAGCCAGACCGCGTAGGCTAACGCCCTCTTCGACCCAGCAGTAGACCTCGAACCCTCCTCCCCGATTCGCCCCGTCGCGTACCTGGAGCTTCCGCAAGTCCAGGCAGCACACAAGACCTCCTCGTAGACTGTGGCCGGCAGTTTTGGCGACTAGGCAACATGGTGGACGTTGTTGGCACCGCCGAGAAGTGTTGCAATTGGATGGAGATGGGAACGTACCCGATGTGAATACTCGTGATGCAAATTTCAACTGTCAATGCCCTGAGGTCCGGCTGCTGCGGACGGCATTAACCAGCGTAGCTTGGAAACACAAGATGGTTATGCCTAAGGGGCTACAGAACCGGGCAACGAACGTCAGGGATGCTATCATTAACAGTGCAATCAAGCAATCCGGTCGGGTTCCGTCTGTCCTTGTCTACGAGAGCGAGATTAACAAGTCGCCAGGTACCATTATACAAGTCTCCTGGTAGGCTGTAGATGTTCAAATGGTGCTTCAAGAGACGGACCTTGAAAGAGGGCTAGGCTCTGTTGTGAGTGGGCACATCATGTACACTTCCGGTGTCTCTGGCTTCCAGGATGACAATTTTACTACTTGGTTTGACTTCATCTATGTTTGTGCTACAGGAGCATGTTCAAAATTCTGGGTCTTCTATTGGCAGATCTTAGGACTTGACCAAGACTCTGGGCACCACTGCTACAGGTATAACACTGAGACAACACCCTTAGCCACTGATTTCTGGCCAAGTATCATTACACAGTTCCTATATCAGTTCTCATGTATCCTCCAGAAGACACCATGGGCACAAAGCTTTGTATCTGGACCTAGAGGTCTAGAAAAGCAGCCATCTTACAGGCAGCATTTACCACTGGCCCATAGCAGCCGGAGGATTACCCTCAACACACTTCGGCATCCACACAAAGGCCTTGCCTTGTTTTGTATTCACATAAGTCCATCCCTAGTTCATCAGCCTCGACCACGCCCATATGAGCCACGCCCTCTCGCGGATGACCCTCTCCCTCTCCCGTATGATCCGCGTGACCCACGACTTGCCTTCGATGAGTCCTCGACCACAGAAGATGTGCGCTTGAATGGCCTTTGGTTCGAGTTAGAGTCGGAATTCGGCTTCAGGTTGATCAAGGTTGGGTCATGCTTCGCTGTCTTGCAGGCTGCTGTAAATTCCTTCAATAATTCCTGCGGCGCAAGCACAAAGGTCAGCATCCACACACCATTATTGAAAAGTTGGAACCATAGAAGATAGACACAACACTCACATCAAAGTCCTGGTCCTGCATCGACTCCCACACAGGAGTCTGGTGCAGCTTCAACTCCCTCACACGCGGACTCATGATGCCAAACGCGACACGCGCCAGGAACCGCGGGTCGTCCCGCACAGGGCACAACGCCAGCACGTCGCGGATGCCCTCCCTGTCGAGCGGCTTCGTCTCCTGAGGTGGCAACTCGACACGCTTCCCGCCTGAGATGCAGAACGTGCAGTGCCCACACTCGTCCTTTCCGTCCGGCAGCCCCATGCCGAAGTGCTCCGCCAGCGCCACGGCAAAGCACCGCTCGCCCGTGATGAGCTCCAGCACCTCCCTGCAACGCGTCAGGGCATCGCGCTCCCGCTGCTCGAGGTCCACGTACATCTTGCGCGCAAGCTCGTCCAGCTGCGCGTCGCTAGAAGGGAGCTTCCGTAGCACGCGGAACTTGGGGACCACGCCTTTTGCTGTGAGCTTAATGATGTTGTCGCGGTCTAGGTGGTCGAGGATTTGGATGATGTCGGCGCGGAGGTAGCCTGTCTTCCGCACTATCGCGTTTACATCGACATGGGTAAGTTTGGTCTTCTTGTCTGAGTTTTCGAGGATGGCCCTGGCTTCTGGGCGGTCGCTCTTCGCCATTCTGTCCATGAACATGTGGTAGGGTCCTGTTGTCTCGAAGGAGTAGTTGCTGTATTCTGGGGTAATGGCCCGGATCAAGTTGTAGTGGAGCTCGAGGGTGGCGTAGATGATGCTCAAGGGGCTTTGCCGAATGTCAAACTCATTCATTTGAGCCCTGATGTCCTTTTTGAACGTGGCGCCGACCCCAAGAGCTGTGACCTCGTCATTGAAAATATCTCCTATCAGCTTTCGGAACGGCTCGTAAGACGGCAAGTCCCCTCTTGCAAAGTTCTCGCGGATGTAGGAATCGGAGTTACAAAGGTAGAACATGCAGTTGCTCTGTCTTCCATCTCTTCCCGCGCGGCCAATTTGCTGGCTATACTCCTCAACTGTGGATGCTTGGGTGTAGTGGACGATATTACGGATATCAGCTTTGTCTACTCCCATTCCGAATGCAATTGTGGCGATGACGATCCGGACACGGTTTGCCATGAAGTCGTCCTGGACTTTAGTCTTCTGCTCCACCTTCATGCCCGCATGAAAGGCTGTTGCATCGAACTTGTGCTCTCGCAGCCTCAAGGCGAGGTCCTCAGACTCCTACAGAGGAGATTTAGCTTTGTGTGCCTTCCAAGAGGCCTTCGTGTCAATATACCTTTTGAATGGTGACATAAACCAGGGTAGGCCCTGGATTCTTCTGCAAGAAGCCACACAGCTTTTGGAATTTTTGTGATGGGATTTTCACAGACTCGGCAAAGAGATTAAGACTGGGCACAATGTCAGCAGTATGCCTTTTTATAGTCTTTCAATTGACTAGGAGGATGGCAACACAGCTTACTTCGGTCGATAAGGTGAAGTCCGGAAGACGCCTGTCTCATCAATGTCAAATGCTTTGCAAACATCCTCTGCTACTTTTGCAGTTGCGGTAGCGGTCAGACAGACTACACGTTCTGCGTTGATTTCTTCAACAAAGCGGGCAACTGAAAGAATGCACATGTTAGCAATGTGATGCAGGACTGACCAATGATGGCAGAAGAAGACATGGGATCAATCCAACCTTTGAGATACTCTGGTCTGAAAGAATGGCCCCACTGGCATGATGTCAGCGATTTCTGGCAATGTCTACGGAGTAAAAGGCGACCAGTACCTCCGAGATGCAATGAGCCTCATCGACGGCAACAAGGCGGACACCACCAGGGACATGCTTCATGCTCACGACGAACCGTTCGTTGTTGAGCCTCTCTGGTGAGCAGTATATCATCCTCAGCTCGCCCCTGCTCAGCTGCTGTTTGATGGCTTGGAGCTCCTCCCAGGACTTTGTCGAGTCGATGCAGTCGGCAGCGATGCCGCGTCTCTTCAGGGCATCGACCTGGTCCTTCATCAAGGCGATAAGGGGAGAGATGACGATGGTGATCCCGGACTGGCCGGGCTCCCTGAGGCCACGGGACTTGTCCAGCTCGGGGAAGGCTATGGCCGGTATCTTCGACTACATTCAGCAGTCGATCATGGCTTGCTGTCATCATGGGAGGAGCACGTTCTTACTTGGTAGCACAGAGACTTTCCAGCACCTGTTGGGAAGACGACAAGAGCACTCTTGCCAGCAAGAGTGCGACTGATGGCTCCCTTTTGCTCGTGGCGAAAGTCATCGTAACCAAACTTTTCGTTCAAGATATGTCGTGCAAGCTCAATGTTCTCTTTTTCGAATACCGGATTGAAATCATCGTCCTGTGGACCGGGCACGGAGCTGTTGGTGGTCTTCTTCTGCCGTTTGGCGGCAAACGGAGCATCGTCCTTGTCTGCCGACTTGCGCTTTGTGGCTTGGGCCTTGCTGCTCTGCAGGATGTTGTCTACATCGACGTTGTCGAAGAGATCATCTCCGGAGTCAAAATCGTCACTCATATTGATCTGCCTTGTTGGGTGTGGAATCGAGTTTCCAATTTCGTGGGTTGCGGTCGGAGATATGTGACGCGTCGACCCGCGTCGCCCCTGAAACTAGTTGAGGGTATGCCCCGCGAAGTCAGGTGCTCGGGTGCTGTGAATGCGGTGCCAACGGAGATGCTCTCCAGGCACTGAGGTGGACAGGGATGCTGGCGGGGCCTCTGGTGCTCTGTGCTCTGTGCTCTGTGCTCTGTGCTCTGTGCTCTGTGCTCTGTGCTCTGTGCTCTGTGCTCTGTGCTCTACGCCAGGCCATCTGGTTTCTCTTTTCTCATTTCCCGCCTACCTAAATATCGAAATCTGACCTTCATCTAGTTTCCAATTTGATCTATAATAGATGAATATCGACAAAGCCGGCGACAAACTTGCTTAAACAGCCCGTCAAGAACCAGGCACTACTTGGAGAGTCTATTTGAATTTCGTTTGCTTGTGAAGACACACCTAATCCTACTCCAGCAGCATCTGAGCCCTCGTCCCCAGGTTGTCCTGTCCCCCTTAACTATTCTTCGAGATAATACACTGCTTCAAATGCCTTTCAATGTTCCCTCGATCGAATTGTTCTTCAGGAGAAGGAGAAGAAAGGGTGTCCACCAGGTCGGCTGAATCGATAGCCGCTTGTAGTTGCTTCCATTGCCGTCGTCAGCATCTCCAATTGGAGCCCAGAACATCCTGCCCTTCAACGAATGTCTAGAAGCCTTCTTCTGGGACCTTGTGAGCGGTTCGGGTCTGATTTCTGGTTGTCTCATGACATAACGGTGCCCTCTTCATCCCTCTCGACAACATACCCATTGACATCGCGACCCGTAATACTGGGGTCACCGGTGAAGACTGGTGCTCTAGCTCCTTCCTCACGCCGGAAGTAGCTCCAGAAATTGGTGATGGCGTCCGATGCGCGGTCTTCAAGGGCTGCTACTGGTCTTGGACGTGTTAGCAGTGCAACTTGACAGTATGATGCTGCTAGTTTGAGTCCTAGGACAATGTCTGAACATGCCCAGGCGGTCGCTTACCCTTTCGCGAAAGGCATAGCACTGACGCTGGCCACAGCAGCTGCGACGACAGCAACAGCCGAGGAGATCTTCATGTTGCAACTTGGTGCTTTATTGAATGTCACAGAGTGCTTTTTCAGGGCTTGGCTGCGGTTGTTTTGGGAAAAATGAGCTGAGCTAGGCTCAGGTGATGTTCTACTGCGTGTCTCCTTTTCAAAGTAGTTGTGGCGAATAGGCAATTGTCTTCTTCAAGTCCGTTCAGTGGGGAATGATCACTGGCACAGGTTTGTTTCAATTTAATGGGTCATCTTCTGATTAAATTCTTAGTTCTTAGTCTTTTCATCGGCTTGCCTGGCAATTTTATCTCAGCCACTCTTCTTTCGCCAGAGTCAAACTCCCGCCCACTTGACTCGCCCGCTAAGTCCCCCTCAGTTATGCACTCGCTGCGCCCGTGATAGAGTTCAAAGCCTGAGACAGGACTAGCCTCAGAGTCTGTCTGTCTCAGCCCCTCGACGAGTTAAGCAAGGCGCTATATATAACCATCGGAAAGCTTTAGTGTTTGGCAAAATGTGCTTATCGACGAAGGGGAAGTAAGTTCGGGCTGGTCTAGGCTTTGCATCTCATGTTGTTGCCGGGAGGACCGAAAGTTATATTGTCTTTCTGCAACCATTGACAACCTGAGTCCTGTGCCAACACCAAGCTGTTTCACAGGACAGTTGAAGTCACCCCCTCGCATCAGACTTCAGCCGGTGCCTGCCAGCCCAGATTTTCAAGGAACGGCAGATAACCCCATCACATATTAATTATCACGCGCACCGCGCAGAGCGTCTCTCAGTAATGCCCCATACTCGTGGCTCTCAATGCTCGGAATAGCCAAACTCAAGCCTCCTCATAGAACGTAGCGATATCCGTCCTGACCCCAATCTTCCCTTGCGGTGGCGGCTGGCGCTTGATATAAATCGCCTCCTCGCTGCTGTTCTCGGACGCGGTGTAGGGGCCCTGGCCGTGCTTGGTGTGCGTGCCGACGCCGTCCTGGCCGCCTCCGTGAATGTCGACCTCGCGCCCGCTCCGGCTCTTGTCCATCAGCTGGAACTTGGACATCTTTTTCGTGCTCAGGCTGTGGCTCCCGCCGCCCGTGTTGTTGCCTCCCATTTTGTAGTCCGACCCGCCGCGGTTCGAGCTGCCCAGCAGAGCCGGCGTGTATCGCTTCGCGACTGCTTTGAAGGAGGGGAAGGATGCGGCAAGGATGCCGACGTTTATTTCGATGGCGGACCAGTACTGTTTTGACAGCTTTGTCAGTAATTTTCCCCAATTTGTTTTGTTCCAGGACGCCAGGGCTGGCCTGTTGGGGGTTATCTCTTTACCATGGCTCCCGAGATGACCCAGGTGGCATCGGCGTCGGGCGCGAGCATTTGAGGGATATAGGTGATTCGAATGATGGACGACAAGCAAGCGCTGAACCAAATGAAAGAATCATAGTCAGCACCTTTCCCCGTAGGATAGTAGCCAAATTGCTGAGTTCTCGGAGTAGTGTGGGCTAGGGGCATCGACTTACAAAAACCCCAGAGACATCATAACACCCAAGCCGATCTTCTGCCGCTTAGGCATGTTGAGTTTCGATACCATCTTGAGAGGCAGAGTGTAAGTCAAGAAATCCGTCGAGATATTGACTGCGGCGTTGGCCAGATAGAAGGCGTTGATGTTTATGCATTTCTTGTTCGTGATGTTCAGATCGTCTGCACGGCAGAGTTAGCGTGTACCCTCAGGCTCAAAGATGCTTAGTTGCGTCAATCTCCACAAGGAATATGGACTCACAGGCAGCCTGGACAGGTGTGCATTGGAAAATGCAAACGATGACATTGGCGCCAGCCTGGCAAGTGACGACGCCAATGATGATATATGCGAGCCGCCGAAGGTCACGGTCCCCGAGACGTGTGTAAAGTGCTAACACCGAGGTCTTGATGAAACCTAAGCAGGCATTGTAGAAGATAGAAGACAGCCAGACTATCTGCGAGTATGATATGAGATTGTCCGAGCCACGGAGCATAACATCGCTAATATGGGATCCGAGCCCGTGGTTGACAGCTGGTAACAACGGCTTAGCCCTGGTCACCGAATTGTCGGCAAAGACTCGTATGCTTACCAAGTATAGTTGCAATGATAAAAGCCCACGCCAATAGCTGCGTGAAGTTTAGCCTGGTGCTCAACTTGCTGTTCAATGAATGTGACAACTTACTGCAGCGATTACAATGAGTGCTATGAAGGAGAGTCAGCCATTGTTCATGCATTGAAATCCGAGACGCATTGCTCACCATCGTCGGGTCCGAACGACTTTGTAATATGGATACGGGCGAATAGTCGCAAAGAAATCGTCAGAATCGTGATAACGCCAAAGACAACGGACACAGTGGTCACCGTGGGTCCTTGAGATTCAGCCATCTGCTGTCTCGGAAAAGAAAATGCCTAGAAATATTCAATCCACTTGCACGGTGCGTTAAGGAGAGAATGCGCCGGTAGCTTAAGCCGCGGATCGAGGTCAAAGAGAATGAAATGAACGGAATCAAGGTTTTCGTGTCTTCAAGACATTGCGATAGGAGGAGTGGGCGGCCGATGAGATATTTGGGAATTGGGGTGTGCGGGAGGCAACATGTCTCCCTCTAGAGCCAGGGTGGGCAACATCCGACTCAGTCATAATTCAGAAAAGAAGAAAGCGTTACATATCTGCAGGGAGCTGATGTGACGGCATGGTTGCGGGCTGATCCCTTGGCCACTGGTGTTCAAACACTAGGATGGCGAAGACGAGCAGTCCCCATAAAATATGACGAGCCCTGGCGCCTAGCCCCAGATATCCATGGACGAATGGAGAGCCATTGTGCGCGGAGCCTCGAGAGTGAGGTGAGTAATTAACCTGGTCTTTGTCAGTGGAAAGCCCTCATCCCTCGGAAAATATCTAGATCACCCTCCAGCAGTTTCATGAAGTAGTACAGGGCACATAAGTTGCAGACATCTTCTCTGGAGGAGGGGATGAAATGAAGATATCCGTTACCCCTTGGATAGAGCCAAGTGAACAAAACGACTAGTACCGACAGATGGGGGCGTAATGTGATACGTTACCGACGAACACCAGCACAATCAATGGTGCCTCTGCCGAAACATGGTAGAGGCAGACTATAGAAGATCTTTTCCAGAGTCGGGACGACACTTGGATGCATGCAGAAGCATTGTGGATCACCAAAGCGCTCGTGTTGCTGTGTCGTCGTGGCATCCAGGGGACTTGCCTCAATTTTAACAGAGTCTAAACTTAATTTGAAGAGAGGCCAGCAGGTGGCCCGCGGCCGGATGGCTGGCCGTTGAGGATCTTCGTTTGGGACGTAGGCTCCGGAGTCGACGATCAAGAGTCGCTACCATCAGGCGTGTGCTCTTTTCTGTGGTTCTCTGCTCGATCAGCATGAGCAGAACTGTTTTCTGCAACAAATTCCCGATAGTATGCACCAGCTCTCCTGCATGCTGCATGCGGACATTGCCCAGCGCGCAGGGATTGCAGATCCCCATATTTAGAGGGGAGAAGCGATGGGTCCAATCGACCTGTCAGAGAGAGTGAGAGATGCCGTCACGCAAAAGTAATAGCCAGGCACAGTATCTGCGCACATAGTCTAGTCAGCTCCCACAATCCGACATATTTTCCTACCTGAAGTAACTTGAAAGAAAAGAGCTGGGTTGGCAATATAGGGATCAGCAGCAAATATATCGAATGATTGGCCAGCGTCTTTCCCGGCAGTTTGTTCCGACCGGGCTTGAGCATCTATGAACACTTGGCAGTTCCAATTCCTGACCATTCGAAAAGGAGGGAGTTTGTTGCAGGCCAACCACAAGTGTAGTATGTACCCACATCCATCATCAATCCGAAAAGTACGATGTCGGGGCACCCTGGGAATCTACGAGCTCCAGTGGGACTCTCTTTGCAGTGTCTGGGCGCAGATCACTTCGTAGTCGCAGTGCGCAATACCCAGAGTCCACATTCTAACTGACTTACCTGTCGTCAAAGTCGACAATTTGGGCCACCTATGCACATCCATTCACTTGACAGGTGCGGGCGCTTGTCCGGGTAGGACCGTTATTTTGGACTCGCCAGGCCAATCGCGGATTGTCCGACTATCGTCGGGTATCTGAAGCCCACGGGAGATACCCACTGCTTATTTCGATCCTTCAAACGGCTCTTAGCTGCCGAGTCCCCTCGGCCGACGGCAGCTGACGCCGGCCGCCCATTCGCAGCGGCGCGGTGGAGCCTGCTCTCTTTAACTGGATACTAGCGGGGCCGTGGAAATTTGGGGGTGAGGTGATCTTATATGGGTCTGCCGAATCCAGCAGGCAACCGTTAGAGCCATGTAACATCAAATGCCACACACGTTATTCGCTAGTCAATGGATTTGGGTGGGGAATGAGAGAAGGATCATGATCAGAGGAGGGATTCTCCTGCCAGCACCCATCGAATACACCTGCACGTCGAGCAGCTGGACATAAATAATTGCAGACACGGCTTGCTGCTCACCGAGGTGCATATCATCCCAGCCGTCTTGACGGATAGCACGTCAAGAACAAAGACAGTGTCGTGCAGAGAATCTTGACTCAACCAAGGCTTGGCTCAGCTTCCGGTTGCAACATCACTAAGGATGCCTTCAATTCTACGGATTGTGGGAGGATTAGTCCTCCTCGGTCTGGCGCATGTCATCGGCAGCTTTGTCTATCAGATCATCTACTACCGTTTCTTTCACCCACTGGCTAAGTTCCCCGGGCCATTCTGGGGATCAGTGACTCGGTTATGGATCACCTATCACAATGTCAAAGGCGACGAGCCTGAGACGTTCCAGGCTCTGCACCGCAAATACGGTATGTTGCACTATTTTTCTCGCACTGGAATACTAGAGACAGCAGGGTTATTTGTGCGTATTCTGACATCTCGCGCTCAGGCCCAGTTATACGTATCACGCCAGTGATGCTGTTAGTGAGCGACGCCACCAAGCTGCCTGTTATTTACAGCCGCCAGGCCAACAAGTCCAAGCACTACATCACGGGCAGCTTCGGCAAGACGGAGTCGCTCTTCAACATGCAGGACTCTAAGACGCACTCGCGGTTCCGCAAGATCGCCGCTGCGCCGTACAGCTTCACCAACATCAAGAAGATGGAGCCTCTTATCGACGCGCGCATTGGAGAGTGGATGGATCGCCTGGAAGAGCTTTTCATCAAGCGCGAGCCTGGTGTCAAGTTCGATTTTGCTCCTTGGGCTGTCTACATGGCCTACGATGTTATCTCTGAGGTTGGCTTCGGCGAGCCGTTTGGTTTCATCCAGCAGGGCACCGATGTTGGGGGCTTGATCCAGGGCTTTCATGACGGACTTACACCCTTTGGTATTATGGCGAGGCTGTATCCCATGACAAATTGGATCAAGAGCACTTTCCTTGGGAAATATTTCGTCGCCACTCCCGAGCAGGATTCAGGAATCGGAACGCTTATGCGCTTCCGGGACAAGCTTATCGATCAACGTTTCAAGGAGATTGAGGCTGGGACGAACGTGCGATTTGATTTGCTTCAGACGTGAGTGAGAAATATTGCAGACTTAACCATGGGCCCTTTCTGACCACGATCTAGTTTCATCGAGGCCCGCGATGAAGAAGGCAAGCCACTGGACCTGGATTATATCAAGGCAGAGATTCTGCTCGTGCTTTTGGCTGGCGCAGACACAACGGGCACAGCATTCCAAGCTATGATGGTCTACGTCCTATCGAACCCAACTGTCTACAGCAAGCTGATGGCTGAGCTGGACGCCGCGACCGAAGCCGGCAAGATCAGCGCACAGGGCATCCCGCAGTACGAGGAGATCGTGGCACACTGCCCCTACTACCTCGCCTGTCTGCGTGAGTCGATGCGCCTGACTCCGTCCGCGCCAAACATCTTCCCTCGTATTGCCGGCCCAGGAGGACTATCCCTGGGCGAGAAGTTCGTGCCCGAGGGGACCGAACTCACCTGCAACCCTTGGCTTGTTCACCGTGACCAGAACCTCTACGGTGACGATGCAGGCGAGTTCCGTCCTGAGAGATGGCTCGAGGACACCGAGAAGGCGAAGGACTTCTTGAAGTACAACATGGCCTTTGGTTATGGCGCCCGAGTATGCCTTGGCAGGGAAATCGCAAACATGGAGCTGTACAAGGCGCCGCTACAGTTCTTCAGGACTTTCAGACCCGACATCGTGAACAAGGAGGTGCCCGCGCGGTATATAATCAATGGTGGTGTGAGTTACTATGAGGATATGTGGCTGAGTATCAGCAAGAGGGCAGCAGCCAAGGCTTGAGAGGCCAGTCCAGAATATCGTACAAATACAGTTATATATAATTAGTTTTTACTTCCTTAAAAATAATTGTTGTTCAAAGAAAAGAATTCAGTAATTCATTTATAAGAGCGTTCAAAAATTTGCTAAAACCAGAGACTTGTTAGAGAAACGGTTGATTGATACTGATAGCAATTGATATCTCACCTTTGCCCTAGCACGCATGCTGTATTTGTTGCCTTCCAACGTTCTATTTTGCTAGAGCCCTTTCTAAAGCTGGCTGCTCTCCGACTTCATCAGGTCAACTTTGTCATGGATATCGCTGTCACTCGCACTGCCTTGAGTTGCGTTGCAAAGAGCTTTCGATTCAAAAAAAAAAGAAGAAAAGAAAAAGTCGCGAAAGTTTTAACCGCTGTCAATATCGTGGCCTATTCATGGTGAAGCGTATGCGCTATCTTCTTGTTAACGCAATAGCATACGTTTTGAGTAGTTTATGTTTGGCTCATCGACCTGTATAATGCGAAGCGGCAAACGCATCACTCAAGAAATTTACCAAATCTTTGATCATGGTGCTTGAGTACCAATGCCCCAGGCCGTCGTACTCCTTCCAGCAGACGTCCCCTTCCAATTGACTTAGGCACTCGGAGGCTCTTCGACCAAGACTTATGCTGACTCTCTCATCTTGGTCTCCATGACCAAGAAAGATAGGGGTTCCCTGTATGGGGAGTAATGTTGAGGGTGAGGTTACAGCCGGAAGCCCCAGCTCTTCTCTCAACCAGCTCACAGCTCTACTCGCTGGAGTTATCGTTGTTTCTTCACTCGTTGTGCTGCCAACTTCGGCAATGAACGGGTCAAAGCCAAGCTCTCCATTGTCATAAAGTTCATAAGCCTGGTCGTTTCCAGCTTCTCCCATCAGACTTTCCGCGAAGGGAAGCCACCCGCACATCCCAAAACAGGCACCAAGAGCCGCTCCATCCCACAGCAACAGTGCTATCAGTGAAGCTGCACATCCCTGGCTGAGCCCCCCAAGAACCACATTCTTCGCACCTCCTGGCACGATAGAAATTTCAGTGTAGAGCAGTTGGTGTAAGTATTTAGTCGTCTCAGCCAAGCCCTCTATCTGCAGCTCTTCTCTCTCTGTTGCCGGTGGGTCAAGCCTCCAATTGTCGAACCACTGATGGGTATATGCGCGCTTGTAGATAGTGGCCCGACGTCGAGCAGCTGTGGGAAAGATGAAACGAGCGTTCGGAAAAGCCGTCTGCAGAGTTATGACGGCGTTCTGAGCCTGAGGGTCGGTCAGAGGCCAGACGATCCGCGGATTGTTTTTGTTGTCATCCGATGAGCTCAAGCACGTCTTTTGAATAGGTGTGCGCAGCAGCTCAGGCCCGAACTTCTCTGCCCACGAGCCCCGTCCGTGAAGCAGAATGAAAGTCTGCTTGTGCGGCAACTGCAGCGGCTCGAAAACCCGCGGGTCCGGGTAATCCATATAAGCGATCAACTTTCAGTGAGCTGGAAATCTTCTGTGTGACCTTTTTGCGAAATGTCAACACGGCTTCCTATTGTAGCAGAAATGACTGTGGCTTGATATACCCTACACCTTGACAGGGCTCCACTATGTACAACGGTTGCCTGCATGAGGCCAAACCAGGTAACTCGAGTGCTGCCTATAACGTGAGATGTGCACAGGCCGCAGAGGGGCCGGGCCTGGCTTCGATGTTTAGCATAAAGAGTCCCACAAATAAATTAAATAAGATGCATCACAGAGTAGAAGCGATTTGAAAGGTTTAAAAAAACGACGACATACCGACCTACACGGCATGGGAGAGAAGCTCATCTGACAGCTTTGCCAGTACATGTCAATTCATAGAAAACAGAAGCTTGTTCCACGTGAGACAGAGTAAGCCAATTTAAGCACTCATGTGCATCCCCACTAGCTATATGCCTGATGGACTGACCATCAAGACCCAGAAATTTGGTCTGAAAGCCTGTTCCATAACTCAACATCACGAGCACGTTCTCACCTGTGGAATAGAGACTGGTAGACAGTCATTCGATGTCGGCTGCAAACAGTATCATAACCAAGGAAAGTGATCACGTGTTCGTAGAGATTAAGTAGACAATCATACGCAGTCATCCGAGTCTTTCTAGGCCGTCCCGGCGTTTCCGTTCCGGGTCACCACTCTGGTCGGCCCCTTGACAAGAATAGGATAGGCTTGGTCTAAAGAATTACGTAGCGTCGGCAGACATTGCGGGAGTTGTGCGGAGTAGTCAGAGGCCTAGTGATTCGCTGACAGCAAAAGGCCTCTGGATAGTCTCCGGTGTTGACCCGACTAAGTGGGAATGGCAGTCGCCAAGACCGGGATCATTAGGGGCAGAATCGGAAAAGATTGCCTGCCATGACAAAATGTAGCAGGGCACATGACTTCCATGTTAAATGTCTCCATTCGGACTCCACGCGAGCAATGATTCGGGCCGTTATGTGTCTCCACCTCCACACCGTAACGTAAATATTGGGGAAGTGGGACGAAATATTATAGCGTAGTATAAGAAGGGAATTTCCCACGGGGTCGAATGGCGTTCCAATTGATTTGTAGGTGGTGATCACTCTCCGACAGTCCCTGAGAAAGCCCTCGAGAGTCTTGTTAGGACTCGCCTCCGGTTTCACAATGTGGTTCCTCTTGATGCTGCCCCTTTTCGCTACAGCCGTGGCAGGGGATGAGGCTTCTTGCTCTACCTTGGCCGGGAACTCGGGGCCTTTAAATGTCAACGGAACAGTCCTGACTAACTCCACATGGATCCCGGCGGGTGCCAAGAACGTGTCAGGGACTTTCAACGCAGCGGCTTTCTGCGAGGTGTCCGGGACGGTATCCTATGGTACCAATGACTCGGTTGTTTTTGAAGTCTGGCTGCCAGAAGAAAATGTATATAACGGCAGATTTCTCGCTGTTGGTCAGTATTATCACATTTTGGGACTGAATTGGGCTGACTCTTCGTAGGAAATGGAGGCATGGCAGGCACGATTGATGACGCTGCGCTTGTGCTGAATCTGAACAGCGGGTATGCAGTCGCTGGAGGGGATAGCGGACATCGAGCAGCGGAGAACAACGACGGCAGCGGCGAAAACGGAGTCTACATCCCGTACCTGCATGACCAGGACCAGATTCTCGCCTGGATCCACAACTCAATAGCCTACTTTACCCCTCCTGCGAAATCGATCGTTGAAGCATACTACGCCAGTGCTCCTCAATACAGCTACTACAAGGGATGCTCTACGGGCGGTGCGCAAGCCTTTGCTCTCGCGCAATATCACCCTGAGCTGTTCGATGGCATAGTGGCCGGGTGCCCTGGAAACTGGTACTCTCATCTCACCCTGTCGTTCTTGTGGAACGCACAGGCTTCTGAAGTAAACCCCCTGATTAACGCTAGGTAATCTTGTCCACATAACTTACAAACGGCCACAGGGTACTGAGTTAGAAGACGAGACCGCGGGCCAGAACATCCTCGATTTTGTCGAACAAGCCGTTTTGGACCATTGCGATGAGCTTGATGGAGTCAAAGATGGCCTGCTTGAAAATCCTTTGATCTGCGACTTCGATATCACCACGCTGCAATGCGGTTCAACAGCAGCCAACTCGACCCAGTGCCTTTCCTCGACCCAGATCGCCGCGTTCCAGAAGATATACGACGGCCCCCGCAACTCGACCGGCAACAGCCTCTATCCTGGTTTCACATTCGGCAGTGAGAACGAGCTCATCCAGCAGACATCTGGCTCCCTCGCAGGGTCTTTCACGGCCTCGATCCTACAGAACGTGGTCTTTGATAATCTTTCTTACGACGTAAACTCGTTTGACTGGGACGCAGACGTTGGTCTCATTGACCACCGCGTCGGTACCCTTATCGACGAGATCAGCCCGGACCTATCAGCGTTCCGTGCAAGGGGCGGCAAGCTCTTGGTAACGCAGGGCTGGGCCGACCCGTACAATGCGGCGACGTGGCCGATCGATCACAAAAAACAGCTCGAGGATGCTATGGGCGGAGATGTCTCGGATTGGTTTTCACTCTTCATGTTGCCCGGTATGCCCCTTACCTCTCTGAGAAATACTAGGTTCCATTGTGTGTGGTCTTGTTTGACTAACAACGTCCAGGAGGAGGTCACTGCGAGGGAACCCTCAAGCATACATCAACACCACAGACACCGCACTCGTTGGAGAAGCTCGTTGAGTGGGTTGAGACGGGACAAGCACCGCAAGAGATGCTTTTCAGTAACCCGCCGGATGGTGGGAACATCACGCGGAAAGTCTGTCCCTGGCCAAGCACTGCTGAGTATACTGGTGGCAGCACCAACGACTGGTCATCCTTTGTCTGTAGTAGTTAGACGACGACGACCACAAATCCATATTAATAGAGAGTCATTAATCACCACGAGGTGTTCGATGATACGTTACCTGGATGACAGACTCACATCCTGTTCTTATTTCCACTTCTTCACACAAATACGTGTACTCCATCGCCGATCAACATGATAGATCTAGTCAGTCCACCGTATACAAATGCTGGCATGTCGTCAACTACGGTGACCGAGGCGAGCGGCGCGAACAAACCCAAGCCTGCAGCCGGGCCTTAAAAGAGTTTGGTGGGCTGTCTTAAAATGCTGGGTGGGCCACTTATAGCTGCCAGATGCCCGCGGCAATGACAAAGCCATTGCAAATAAGATGAAAACTTACCTCTGGGATACTCTACTACCAAGGCCGCTAATTAAATGGGCCATATTTCTACCAGCCAATATCTTCTAGTAAGATCGCCGGAATAAACCATGTTTTGTGGTCACCAAACGGGCTTCTCTAATACAATCACCCAAGCACCGTATGTCATGGATCTCCACTAGTGAAATTGGTCTGGTGTACACAGTCAATTCTTCCACAAATGTCTATGCTGCCATGTCAACTCAGTATTTCCTCGTAACTCCGTTTCATTTACTCCTAAGTGTTATTGACTGTCAAGAGCTGTGTATTTGCTGGTAGAGGAGCCACTCTTGGTCCCGTTCGTGCAGAGATCTTCTTGCAAGCTGTCAGTACACAAGTGGCTTATTCAGCAGTCCTTTTGTCATATTTGAAGACTAGACTGTGTCTGATATCCTGCTACCACCGAGATAATTGGCTTCCATACGCGCACAATGCTGGGCTCGGAGTTACTCTGTGTGGTTTCCAGGATCGACGACCGAACCAGGCTGTAGCATAGCCTCACCCTACAATGTGGCAGCGAAACCTCCCAACTGTCTCGGACAGGCGCTCATGAGAGCCGTCATCGTAGACACCCCACACCCATGTGAGAGCGCTCGACCCGCCACTTTGCCAGCCCCACTTCTCCTTAGATCAACTACCTTCAATGAAATCAGCGAGGGAGCAATCCTCTTATCACAGGATAGGAGGACGCCTACCGTTCTGCGTTCTTTAAGTGGCATCTCTCTAGTTTCACCGCCATTGATTCTGACGAGGGGTATGTGCGGTTGGATATGGCGTGTACACTGGCGGAGGCTCAGAGATTGCTGTAGTGACTGGGCTTAGAGTGGACAGCCCGCCTAAGTGATCATCTTGTTCGTTTGCGTCCTGCCGGTGGTCGCCGTCCGGGGAGTGGCGGATACCCTGCTCCAAATCTACGACTTTCCTTGCGTTTCGACGTGGGGTCGTCCTGCTTCCACGACAGTCTTCAATGACAGTGGTAGCCCACACGATGACTATGATGGTGAGGCTGATTGCCAAGACAGCTGGCCATAGAAGCGCTGGTATGAGGATGAGAAGTGCAGTCAATGTGCCTCGGAGGACTGGGTTCCCTGAGTCTTCGAAGAAGTCTGGTAGCTTCTTCAGAGCCTCCTTTCGCCAGTAGGAGATGTATTTGGCGATCAGGAAGGCAGTGAAGATGACCAAGGCGCCGTAGACGGCACAAATAGTGGGAATCACCCAGCTATCGTGAATTTGGCCAATGTAAAGGCGAGGCATCTCGACGATTCTGCCCTTAGTTTCTGGTGACAAGTGATAACTAGCTAGTTGGTTAAAGCTGGCCTGACAAGTTCAACTCGTTGAACTGGTGAGATTAAACTTACTTGTGAAGTGAGGAAGAGGGTGAGCAGAGTATGCGGCGTCCTGTGTGATGCTTTGTGACTAAAATCAAGCCTTGCTGGATATCGAGAGAGAATAGTCGAGGAAGACAAAGTCGAGGGGACAGATTTTGTGATGGGAATAAATTTTAAAGGCTAAGGTTCTCGGCGAAAAGATTGTCAGGGAAAGATTTGAGAGGAAATAGGTTGAAGGGAAAAGGGAAAAGGTTAGTAAGCAAGTGATTGAGCTGTCAATTCACTTTGAAGCAGCCGGTACCTAGGTACTTAGTCCGCTAGTATTTTGCAAGATCTCGATCCCCCGGCTCCAGTCCTCGGCGACCGTCGTCGTCCACGGGCGCAAACGGCCACTGCCTGACTGGGCACGGCTCGCTACGACCGCCCAACATCCACTGGTCACAATTCCTCGCATAGCTGCTCCCTCCCACACGTCCAGAATCCCGATTCTGTACAAACTCTCGGCACACGTCGGCCTCCTCTGCGAATTACCTCTGAACTACCAGCAGAGACCTTGGCCGCATATTCACGACTTGGACAGGTTCGATAGGGAAAGTGAGAAAGGAGCCAACATCGGCGTCAACCGTGTAGGTGATATCAAAAGCGCCAAACTGATAACGACCTCCGTACGGAAGTCTGGAATTGGCGGGGACATCGACAGCCTTGGACTAGATTTTCTACAACGCGTTGAGATGCGGCCCGACTTCAACAACTGCTCGTAGGCTTCGAATTAAAACAAGGATATTAGAATCATGCGGCTCTTTTCTGACACATAGGATCAAACCACAATATGGCCTTCAGACTGCTTAGTATATTCACATTTGGCATATAAAATAAGACGTTCTGGAGTAATCAAGCTCCTTTATTGATTCTCTAAGCTACCTTGTTGCAATGTTCCAGACTGCCCTGTCCTCCATTTCCCAACTATTTTGTCCATCGATTTCCCAAACTACCTTTTCCTCGATCTTCCAACCTGCCTTAGCCATCAAATTCCCAGACTCATAACCTTAGGTGCGGTTCCCACCTTTAAGATTGAGGATGAGGCTGGGGCTGGGGCTGAGGGGGAGGAGTAGGAGGAGGAGTTGGGTATGGGTTAGACATTGCGTTTGATGCTTTCTGCTGTTGTGTTGGTATTGGGTTGCGATGCTGTGATTTTTTGCAGTATGGTAAAAGTTTGCGGTGGTGAGGATCAAGAATGGAGAAGTCAGAGCCAGGATTCCTCATATTTATAGACGAGTGCAAGTGGGAGGCTCTCGGTTGCGAGATTTGGGTTTGGCATGCCTATTGTTATTTTTCGCTTAGATCTCTCGATACTTTAACGTAAACGAGACAAGGGGCATAGAGGACTGTTAGACAAATCACATTATATCCTTTCTTACAGCATAGTGATGTTGTTCAGTTGTCTATTCATGCTTTCAAACAGCCGCCGCAATAATTTCGCACCGGCCAAGGGCACAAAACATTCAAGCATTCTTGGGCCCGACGTATACAACACACCGTCAACACATTAAAACGACACGAGCGGAACAGTCAATCTTTCACGCTCTTCGAACACAACTGCATTCTTTGTCTGGGCCATTGTTTGGCTTTGATCGGACATTCACCCTCCCACTTCGAGCCGATTGGCTTTGTTGACAACGGCTCATCATAGAACTTGGTCGAGATTCCGTGTATCTTTTTTGAGGTCTCCAATCCGACGGGTACTCTGCGTCTCGGTGAAGATCCTGGAGAATAAGATTTGGATCTGAAAGGCGAGTGAGACTTTTCAGTGTTGAACTGTTGCTGCCGTTGCGTTTCCTATCGTAAAGCTCGTGACGCCCTTTCGATGTGTTAGCATGACAACTCGTGCACCAGATACTTGCAGCGTTTGTAGCGGGCGCAAATTTGCGAGAGTCAGGACACGACACCATGACCCCATGAATCGTCTTGCCTCACAAGAATGGATCTTTCTGAATGGAACATCGAAGCTTGATCTGGGTCCACTTCAAACTTGCTTCGTTCCGGAACCCTGAGCAGGAGTTCGACTACGCCAGGTCTTCATTGCAATGTACTTCATTTTTGTACATCAACACACTATATTTCATCTTCTGTTTCTATGTTTCAAGCATGATTTCAAACCACTACTTCTGGAGGCATAACTTCAAATATGCAGGCTATGGCCAAGATCGTCATCGACTTGGGCCGACTTCACGAGTACATCGAGTGACTTTGAAACAAGATACTTGCGGCCGGAGTGGAGGCACATGCCTACAATGTTCAGCCCGTGTGCCCGATGGAATGTTTTCTGTATGAGATCAGCACGATTTCATCCTCTTGACAGTCGTAAGTCACTGCACAACGCCATGATGTGAAGCCATTTGTATTTTCAGATAGGAGTTTGCTTCTGGCCGCAGCCTCAGCAGCTATTCCCCACAGGCCGTCTTAGAAGATCCAGTGAATAACGGGAAGTGTGCCTGGGAAAACCGGGGCCATCGGCGAGGCTCTTGATTTACAAATGTCTGGGGTCCAACGACTTATGCTTTGGACTGCTTTCCGGCTCCCCCTTACAGCACACTTGCAAGCACGACTACGGGTGGACCCGAGACTTGGCGTTGTTGTTGGTCCCTACGGGAGTGGGAACCAACACTCCAGGGTTGGCCGTTAATTGGCCTATCCACAGGAAAGAATTTGTTGGTTGCGGCGCAGCACGGTTCAACCAAATCAGAAAGATGGTAGAAAATATGTTGTTGCAGAGAGAGTAATCAAATGCACTGCGCAGCCTACTGCAAATCTTTCCTGCGAAGCGTTCGAACATACAAGAGCCCTAATCTTCAGAATTAACTTTTTCAATCGCTACATTTCCGCCTCTCATCAACTCAACAACTCAAAGTAACGCATTTTGCTCCAACCTTACTAATCGTGCACCGTCAATCGAGACTTCTATCGTTTCTGAGTCTCGCTTCAGTCTAAAAAAGAATTTCAAAGAAAAAAAAAAGGACCAACAATGGCGCCTTCATTTGCCAGTCTCTGGGCGCAGATGTTCCCTGGAGCACCAACCTTTACAGAAAAAGACGCACCTAATCTGGGAGGCAAGGTAAGTTGCGTCGCCGAGTCCGTCACGAGGACCCGGGTTGACAACATCTTGATAGGTCTACATAGTGACCGGCTCGACGTCAGGAATGGGGTTAGAGCTTGCCCGAATGCTCTACTCGAAAGATGCTAAAGTCTACATAGCTGCCCGGGAAGAGGGAAACGCTATTGCGAACATCCAGAAAGCTGAGCCCACATCTAAGGGAGAGCTGGTATTTTTGCATCTGGACCTTGCCGATCTAAACTCGGTCAAGGCATCAGCAGAGCGCTTTCTTTCGGCCGAAACAAAGCTCCACGTGCTCTTTAACAACGCTGGCTACATGGCTGCAGACGACAAGAAGATGGAAACCACAGCACAGGGCTACGAGAAGCAGCTCGGCGTAATGTGCTTAGGCCCTTTCCTTTTCACCAAGCTACTCACGCCAACGCTCCGGGCTACGGCAGCAGACAAAAGCTCGCATACAAACGAAGTCCGAGTCGTCTTTGTGTCTTCCCTAGCAGCGGAGTTCTACTACGAGGAAAACAAGGGTCTTGACCTCGAGAACCTGAACTACCACCGCCCCAAGTTAAGCATCGAGCGGTATGGTCTTGCTAAAGTGGGCGTATGGGCGTACGGTGTTGAATTCTCGAGGAGGTTCAGTGGTGTTCTGGGCGTGCCTCTCAACCCTGGAAACTTGCGGACGGATCTGTTTAACCAGCAGGGCTTCCTGTTTAGGCTTCAGGTTCTTCTTTTACACTATCACCCCATCAAGGGCGCATATACCCAACTATTTGCTGGCCTTTCCCCCGAGGTCACGAAACCTGGAAGCTATATCCTCCCCTGGGGGCGCGTTGGGCCAATTTGTGAGGACTTGCAGAGGGCAGCCAAGCCGGAGAGCGAGGGTGGTGTCGACTTGACGTGGAAGTTTTGGGATTGGAGCGAAAAGCAGGTCGAGAAGTTTGTCTGACTGCAAAAACAGTGTGCCAACTTTTCTTAGTCTCCTCAATGTTGGTGGCTCGGTTTGCGTTAAAAGTAGACCAGAGGGTGATCGAAGACTTTGTGGAAGCGTCGAGCCTCCTAGACGCAGGTAAGCTTCGGGGCTGCTCATGGAAATCTTTGACTTTTCTTTCTTGTTAAGGCTAGATTAGGCTCATACTATGGTCCAATGCTAGCTAGCAACGATATAAAAACTGAAAACCACTAAGAAATCACTGGTCAGGTGGTCGAGTTGGGTAGGCAATTGGTTTCGACTTGGGCTGATGATCCCATGTTCAATCCCTTCCAGTACCAGTAAAATATCAGCGACGGTCTGCAAAAGACGGAGGTATTTTCTGACTCTTCAGAGGGTCTTTTTGACCTTTTTGCCCGTCTTACTCCCCCGCCGACAGAAGCAAGCCTGCAATGACTGACCCTTCATTCGAGCTTGGGAGGCTGTTCAAGTTTGGCTTGGTGGTGTGTACGCCGTGCTAGAGCCGTACTTCAGCTTTCTGCGTGTGAGAAATCTGCGTCTTACGAGAGGCTAAGGTCGACCGTTTTGTCTTGCTCACCATCTTCGCTCACCTCTTCCTCTCTCATTCGACATTTCCGTCTTGTCTCGCCTGCACTATTTACTCAGATGCTAGGTCTCCCAATTTGTCGTGCCATGTCTTCTACTACAACAGCATGGCAAGTTTCAAACAGGGGACTGGAAGTCTTGTGTCCTAGTTGCTGCCACGGGGGTGGGGTGGCTGTGTGATGCAGTTTCGAGTGTGAGCACCACTAGGGAGACACATCGGTCGCTCCAGGTATATTTTGTAGCCGTCTTTTTGATTCTGAAGTTGCATGATGCGATAATATGGGCTGTGGAAAGCGTGCTTGGTCAATAAATGGTGAATAGCTCCTGATTCAATTTGTAAGGTAGAGTTTGCAGACCACAATTACAGCCATTCCATTTGCCCAAATGTGTGAGGTTCCTTCAGCGCATTATGACACGAGTTGGACACATGATGCCGCTTGATCCACGACATTCTCAAGGCTGCGACGTACGGAGCACGGACACGATACGCGGAGCCGAATCGGATGATTGCTCTGGGTTCGACAGGTTGACAAATAACAAAGTTGTCTTGACGATAGAGCTACGACAGGCAGGCTACCATCGTACACAATTTTTTCCTTCTTGTAAAATAATCCTCTTCTGTTTTTGTCTTTTGAACGAGCTGTCTCGTACTGTTCTTCTTTTACTTCAAAGGTGCCATAACCTTGAGATAGCGAGGCTTGTTCACCAGTGCGGCCCAACCGGTAACTCCACCTTCGGGTATTCCAAGGCTGGTCAAAAGCTTCAAGGGATGGATGGCCGAGCCGAAGTGGTGATCTAGGCTTTAAGTTTAGCACCAGCCGAGCCGAAAACGTAGCACTTGTTGATCCGAAATTTACGGATGGGGCTTTACCCCAGAAAATGCAAGCCAAATCCGAACCGAGACCCCGGAAAGCAAAATGTGGGGGTGGGGCAAGACCAATCCGAGCTATTGGCAGTATTTTCCCCGGTCCAACTAGGATCGCGACATTAGGAAGACACGGTAGAAGGGCTCGGAGTCACGATGGACAGTCTCGGTAGCCCATCGCATATAGCTATATGTACCCAGAATTCCCTCCGGATGCAACGCTGCCTTCATAGGAAATACGCGCGAGAGCAATGTGTGCTTGACGAGCGAGACTCTTGCGCGTTCTTCCTCCATCTAGTACTGGACTTCATCAGCCCCTGATACTCGAAGACCAAGGCTCGATATTTGCACGTGAGCAAGCCATGGACAATAAAGAAACAGCAGACTTGGCGCATGTTGAGGCCCTCAAGCCTGCAACCGTGACTGCCCAGACTCGGGGCGACGTTCTTCTCGTGACCAGCGATGATGTTCGACGAGTACCTGTGCCAACGAATAATCCCAACGATCCACTCAACTCGAAGCCATGGAAAAAAGCAATTATCGTCGCCAATTGCTGCTGGTTTGGTAAACTTCTTCCCCGTCTTTGCCAAACCACCTCGACGTCTTTCCTCAACGTTGGCTAATGTCTGCAAGCGGTCTTTTCCCTACTAAGCGTCAGCGGCATCGGAACGTTCATGAATACCCTGTTCGAGCTGTACGCACCGGAGGGAAAGTCAGCCGAACAGGTCGTCGGCCTCAGCACCTATCCAACCATGGTGATGGCTCTCGGCAGCTTCGGCATGCTGCCACTGGCATTCGTCTTTGGACGCCGACCCATATTCCTGTTCTGCATAGTCCTGGCCCTCGTCATGGTCATCGTCGCGGGCACGAGCAACGACTTTGACACACACTTTGCCGCCCGTCTGATACTGGGCCTAGCCACCGGCTCCACTGAATCCCTCCTGCCGCTGATCCTGTCAGACCTGACCTTCCTCGATGAGCGGAGCTTCTACTTTGGTCTCTACTGGTCGTCCCAGAACGCGATCAACGCCGGTCTCCAGGTCGCACTGTCGTACATGATAGCCGCCTCGTCTTGGCGGTGGTATTACTGGCTCTTCGCCATCACCTTGGGCTTCGGTGTTGTCTCCGCCTTCTTCTTTCTCCCTGAGACTCGGTTCCAGCGCCCACTCGCTCTGGTCAACGGATATATTGTCTACACTGATGACTTTGGACACACACAGTTCCTAACTGATGAGGAGGCACGGGAGCCGCTCGGTGAGAGGATGGAGAATGAGTTGAGCGAGGAACCCGTCCAGAAAAAGACACTTGTGGAGGAACTCAAGCCTTGGAACAGCGTCCCTCCAGACGCCTTTCGAACGTGGCTAAGTGCCTACGCCGCCATAGCCAAGTCTCTGACTTCACCCGCGGTGTGGTTTGCTCTGTTGGCCTCGTCCATCACCCTGGGCATAGGCGTGGCTATCTCTCTCGTGTACAGTACTGTGCTCGAGGAATCGTTTCACTGGGGTCCAGAGTCCGTCGGTCTGTTCAACGTGGGAATCATCCCTGCCGCTATCCTCGCCATGTTCCACTCGGGCTGGTTCGCCGACAAGGTAAACATCTGGCTGGCGGCTCGCAACGGCGGTGTCCACAAGCCCGAGCACCACCTCGTCCACCTCATCATACCGTGTATCACAGGTGCCATCGGGATTGTGGTCTTCGGTGTCGTCGCTAACGAGCCTGAGAAATACTCTGCCTGGGGCCTTGTCTTCGCGTGGGGCATCTTCGAGTTCGCCTTCACTGCCGTTCTCATCACAACAACATCCTTTGCTGCGGAGGTAGTCCCAGAGAACCCAGGCGCCGCAATGGTTCCTGTGGTTGGTGGAAAGAACATCATATCGTTTGGCGCATCCTATGGGCTGATACCGATGCTGAACATGTGGTCATACTTGAAGAGCTTCCTCGTGGTAAGCCAGAATTCGTGGGCATTGCACGTCACTAAGTTGTCACTGACTCTTCCTTAGCTTCTGGGAATCTTCGTCGGCATCTTTGCCCTGGGTATCCCTATATACTTCCTGAATCCCAAGGTAAGGGTCCCTTCACCAGAACCTTCTCAATGACGCTGACATTATCTACAGTGGAGAGCATCAGCGCTGAAAAAGAAATAGTAAACTAAGCAGCAAGTGGCTTTGTGTAGAGACATCTGGGCGTGTATGGTAATCTAGTCTACAAGCTCAAAAACTATATCAATTGTATCATATTCATGATCAGAACAATGTAGCCAATCAATGGGACTTCTTGCTCAGCAACTCATCGACTAGGCAGCCCTGATTGCAAGCATGGAATGATCGCACCTCTCTGTCTGGTGTAATCTTGTATGTGCTAACTTTTGAGAACACATTCTTAGATCTCTCTGGAGCCATAAAGCCTAAAATACGCAGAAAAAGGGTCATAGTTCTGCGATCCTGCAGCATCACTTTATATTCTTCTATTTTCATCTGTGCGCTGATCCGAAATTTGCAAAACTGGTTTCTCCATGCCATCACCACCCATACTGCTTGCTATATAAGCTCAGTAGAGTTGTAAAGAACCCTATGATTCTCAATGTATGATTATATTACAACTCCGAGGTGCAGACAGGGACGTTGATGACCTGTCCAATCTGCAACAGCAAAGGGTCGACACCAGGGTTGGCAGCCTGGAGGGCATCCACCGTCAATCCCAAGCTAGAAGCAACAATGAAGAAGGTCTCACCCGACACAATGGTGTGGGTGGCTTCGCCGCTCTCGACGCACTCATTGTCGTCGGAGGGCTCGGCGAGGCAGGAGGTGTTGTCCGGGCTGCACGGGTAGGTGGGGACCTTGAGGACCTGGTCCAGGTTGATGAAGCCTGGGTTGGCGAGGTTGTTGAGCTTCGCAATGTCGCAAATGCCAGAGCTCAGCTTCTGGGAGATGATGGTCAGGGTGTCACCCGCTGAGACGGTGTAGTCGACAGTGGGTCCCGGGCTGCACGTCACCGAGGGTACCGAGCTCGCGTTGGTGCCTGTGGGCGAGGTGCCCGTGGGTGTAGGCTGCGTGCCATCGGGTTGCTGGATACGAGTTAGTCCAACTGGTGATATGGTAAAGAAATTCCAAATCCATCGACGGCTTACAGGCATGGCGGCAACAAGGCCGGCAACAGCTAGAAGGGAGAAAATGGAGGTCTGCATCTTGAATTAGGGCAGTTCTAGTAGTGGAGAAGAACGTAAGGAGTGTAGCGCGTGAAAGTATGAAAACGAATGTAATTCAGCGAAGTGACTGTCGAAGAGCTTGGTGATGGTGTCGATTTCAAGGGCATGATATGGTTGCCAGAACGTCTTTCCTTATATACCAGTCAAATCCATGATGTTCGACTGAGGATTCGCGGTGCCCCCTTACTCGGAGTCGACGTAGTGTCCGTTTACGAACGCATGTCAGTCCTAATTGAACTTGCCAAGGCGAGACTGACTGCCCGTTTGTTCTCACTCGTGGCTTAGGTCTCGGCATCTCGAGCTCCATTGCTGGAGATAGTGACAATGACAATGCTGGCAAGCATTAACCTCGTGTTCGGTGATCCGAAGGCAAACAGAAGAACGAACACTCGCCAAGGACTCAGGGGCTGGGTGGAACTGATCAAATGCTCTCTCCCTGCGAGGCTGAGATAAACTTTAAACTTATGCTAAATGTTGAGTCAGTTTTGACAAAAACACAATGCCAAGCTGGAGCCAGTACCCTAAAGTAGACATTTATACAGTCCCGCGGAACTGGTAAGACCCCATTCTTTTGATGTCAGCCTCGGACATGTGCTCTTTCATCGGTGTCGTCGCCCGGATGTCGGTAAAGGCCGTGTCAAGTAACGGAGAATGCATCCCAGAACTGGAAAACGTGTAGCATGGGTGATTCCCCTATCTCTTTCTGAATGAGAGTCTAGGTCGAAGCTTTTAACTTGATAGAAAGTTACAATGAAAAAGTTGGCTCAAATCTCAACGTCGACCAGAGAGAAAAGGGGGCAATGTTCTGTCTAGACTACCCAGGAGGTCTATCCATGCGTCAACTGCGAAGAATCACAAAAAGGGAGGGTGCTGCAGAAGTCTACTCATCCACCAGCCGCTTCATGAAGGAACACATTTAACAGGTGCAAGAAGCAAAAAGCAAAAAGCAAAAAACTCGGTTGGGCTCAACCGGGATTTGAACCCGCTAAGACGGTGTTAAATTTTGTTCACTTGAAGGCAATTGAAGTTGCAACTTACGGGCCTCTTGCAGTGCGCTGGCAACCCAAAGCAAGAATCATACGACTAGACCATTGAGCCGGTGAGAGCGCGATTTTTGTGCGACTCATGTACATATCAGCCCCACCCGTGCGGGGCCCGATCCCAACACGGTAACTAACATCACCAGGACAGAAAGGGTAGATTACCATGACAGCCTTGGCTCTCGATTCACTGGAGAATCTATACGTTCATGGAGTTTCGAATGATGCCTCCGTAAAGTCTAGGTTGGGATAAAAAGGAAGGACTCGATGTACTTGAACTTTAGAGCCATGAACAAGACCGATAGACCCACTGGCAGTCTTCTCCTGGATATTAAACAGAAGCAAGATTAGATGTCACAAGACCGAGGGTGTCACACTTTCAATACGTGTAGCGCGGTTGATGAGAATTTCGTTCTGTAAATAGTTCGTTTGCCAGCTGTGATTCCCATTTCTCTTTCCCACTCCCCTGTTCAGTCCACATGAAGATTCTCATCATCGTCCGACGACGCGTTCACGTTGTACTTCCGTATTCCCCACCTTATCAACTGATGAACATACTGCCTTTTGCTTTACATGAAAATGTTTGGTCAGCAAGACTTGGAAGTCTATATCGAGTTTGCGGGTTGTGATGTCGGCGACTCACCTTGCTTTGAAGCCCCTAGACATTTTCATATGCTTTCTGATCTCATCCAATGTCTTTCCACTTAGGTACAGCTGGCGAATCTCAGACTTGTGGGTCTCCCAGTGAGTTGGCTCAATCTTCTGGAATCGACCAGGGCGGCGGCGTGCAAGCCCATCCACAATGCCCGTGACTTCGATGTGGGACGCTGAGGTGGTTGCCAAGCCTTGATGTTGGACTGGACTGTATGAGCCGAGCATGGAGAGATCGCCATGGTCGGAATCAGAAGTGACAAATGAATCTTGATTTCTTGCGAGTGAGCACTCCTCTAGATCACAATGGCGCTTATGCTTGTGAGTCGAAGTTACAGAGGCTCCCGTTCCATGTCGGAGGAGCAATAAAATTGCACAACACATAAGAGAAAGGATTGGCGGAATGAACAGTATTTGATAATTTCCCATGGGCTGTTCGGGCCCTGCGTCTTGATCATGTGGCTGTCTGCCCCTTGACATGAGCGGAGGCGGTCCTGGCGGGCGTCCTCCGGTCACATTGCACCCTGCGATCTTCCATTCATGCTTTTGTGAGGAATCAGCCTCATTCAGCGTAGCCTTTCGGCTGGACGGAAGAAAATGTATGCAACCACTTAGTTTGGGAACCTGTGTGCTTACCGATTCGCAGAATTCATAGAAGTCCTTGTTTGCCGTCCACCGTGCCAGTGTGTTCGCTTTTACAGCACTGTCGTCCCCAGCAAAGGCGGTCCATAGTGTGAGACAGCCTATCAATAAAGTGACAGCTATAGCAGACTTGCCAGCAGCGGTTCCCTTTCTCATCCACAACCATTCCATCCCCGCCAGAACAGGCAGTATCCAGCTACCAACCCAAGATACGACTGTGGATAGCCCAGCACTCAACATCCTCATACCCTGACAATTCAGAAATTGTGCTGTTGCTGATTTTGATAAATTTTCTGATGGAACGGGGGTGGATTCGTTGGGGTTTGAAGATGTCGTCGCCATCTTCGATACTAAACCATGGAATCTCGGTTTTGACTGGCACGCGGTTAGATCGCCCAGAGATTTCTTTGAACCCCAACCTATATATCATGATTGCGGGGCATCATGGAGTCGAATCAAGTTTTGTCATGAGTGCAAATCTCTGAAGAGGTATGTGTAGCGAAGTGACCCTCGTGGTTGCTTGCAATTATGCATTTTCCTCTGCCGAGCTGCTGTTATTGGTTGTAACGATACTGTCATCATTTCTCAAAATAACGTGCGGCTTTTATAGGCCAGAAGCTTTTGACGAATATGTTTTCCATGTCATTTTACATGAATATGCACTTTTCGGCCCTACGAATCGGGCGTAATTGGCTGCGGTAAGAACCTCATGACCAAAATTTGATCGGCATCTGTGAAGGAGACAACCCAATTGTGGACATGCCTGAGTCGATCGCTTTCTGACAGCCCTCACAAGGTTTCCAGGCTTTCTCTATAGTGACTGAAATAAAACGAGGTTTGGGCTTATCAGTGCGCAACATTTGAGGTTTGCCTAATAATATACTATTGACTGACTGCCGCGTGGGATGCCAGCCGAGCATTATCATGGTTACTTCTGGCCTGAAGAACGACGCAGTTGCAATACCCCGAGATACCCCTGAGATACTAAGTGGAATTTTCACTCTCGCCTACGTAATCTCCGGAAGCCAATTCCTTCGCAGGCGTGCAGTTTCAACAGCTTGTTGTGGAATCTCACAGCACTCATTTTCAAGCCGGACTTGAAAAAGGTTATCCTGCTAACAGTGTATATGTAATCATCACAAAATACCAAGGAATTATTTGATTCTCTTCTCACACAAGCACTAGGACAGCTCAAATGCCGTACATTTAAAGCTGCGTCTTGCTCCTCTTCAAACGCATCTGACCCATCTATTTGCAGCTTCGCAATTGCAGAGGACGTTTTACGGTCAGATACGGCATCTTCTGCAATTTAAGGTCTCCAAAGATAGTTAGTGTGAACCTTTTCTTTTTCAGACTTGACAGAGCTATATGGAGTAAACCAAAAGAAGCATGGTGAAGTACGCACAAAGCGTTTTCGTCAGCCATTTCTAAAACAGCGAGAATACTGTCACAGAAGCGAGCGCGTCCTTTCAGGTGTTCCAGACTTGCCAGGTCGTGATATTTCTAGATTGCATGCTGATTTACATGACAAGATTGTTTTGATTGTACACATACCTGTCTCCGAAGATTAATTTTTCAAGGACAAAGTTATGGGCTCAAGCCAAAAATTACCCAGAATTGCCCAGAAGTGCCCAGTCCGTATCACAGCTGTGAAATATAATCAGCGGAAATCATGCAAATATAAACATAGACGCTGATTCCCTTCGTAATGATATAACTCGAGATGGCTTCACGGGACCAGTCGAAGTGGCCACCAGACTGATTCAGAGTCTAGACGACGTGTGGTGCATTCACTGGCAAGGCTGTCGAGATACTGGAAGGCCGAGCATCATGGCGACAAAAGATCTGTCTACAGTCTCGAGGACACGAGGGATCATGGATGGCCGGCCAATCATCAATTTGGTACGGTACTCACTCATGGCCCGCCATATAAACCCCACGGCTTCGCCTGTGGCCCGTAGCCTTTTATTTCTACTCTCTTTGTGCAGCAATAGGTTCTTAATGAAGGCTCCTATGCGGCACCGTGACACAGTTCTCAGGAATATTGATGTCTTGACAATCAACATTTCGGACGGACAATTCCGAAAATTTGAGGGGAGGTCGACAGTCCATGGCTGATGATTTGCAAACATAGCCAGATACAGATCATGCATGTAAGGCACTCTCAAATTAAGATGACATGAATAAACCAGAAAACTTAAGCCCGTCTTCGATACCAAACCTCCTATCAATCAATCAATGAAGGTCAGCCTGAAGATGACTGCCCAGGGCACCCATATTGTGCAGAGTCTTCGGATCTCCACAGATCAGCTAGATCATCATCATCATAACTGTCAAGTTGAAAATGCTCAGAGAGCGACTCTCTGCACATCAGGACGGAGTGAATAAGTCACATGTAAACTGTCAAGCTTCATCACTTGATCAATTCAAAATATCTTGATGTGACTTCTCTCGTCCGCACCATCCGTCCCTAAAGCCCAGGAATTGAGTATGTTTTCAAGCTCTCCTTTTGAACATTGAATAGCTCAAGTCATTGCCACTACTGTCAAATGCCAATAGAGAATGTTCAATCAAAGTGAGAGACTGACAGGTACACAACGGACGCTCGCGTAGAATATTGTCGCCGTTGGCGCTCTGAGGCTTAATCCCATCAATGTATTCTCAGATCCTTGCGTCCGTTTACATATTTCTATCCTTTGTTCTTGGTACTGAGAAATTCAAACTTTTCCATTCAGACACAATCATCTACATGAACTTCACACTGTAGTCATCTCGATGCATGAATACCAAGCCCACCTGAATATCACATGCAGACGACTACATCCTCCTAACCAACGCCCATGACGTCGAGCTGGCCTGACACATGCCCAGCGCCTACGTAGGGCCCCCAGCCGCAGTCGTGCGAGGGCGAATTGAAATGTCAAATTGCTGATATCACTATCACGCGACATCGGAGGCGAAAAGAGTCTGTCTCTCTTTCTGCCTCGCAGGCCCCCCCAGCTGAGGGAATGGACCAATGCGTCGATCCGCCGATCCCTCCCCCGTATTCAGGGTCCACACTAGGGCATTGGCTGGGCCCCAATTGCCCTACCGGCTCCCAACCCAGCAAGCAGGTCAAGAAATCCGGGGGAAAAAGGAAAGCCTCACTTTCTAGTTTTTCCAAGACTCTGGCGATAGGAAGACGTCAGTCCCCACACTTTTGTTGCTGCCCGGTGCGACTATCTTAGTTCAGTAGCCCCCGAGCTGAGAGAAGGGGGGTGGCCAAGCAAGATGGCGTTCTGTATACGGCATGTGTAGCCTGTTGTTGCCTCTGGTAAAACGCCTCTGTATTACACCTCCACCTCCCCCCGGAGAGATGGTGGTGGGGTGTGCATCCTCAGGGTCCTAGTCTGTACATGGTACTTGCGGAGGACATGCGGGCTTACGAGCCTCGATGAAGACCTCATATGGGCCCATATTTCCTCCGTCCACAATGCGTGATCGACGATTTTGCTATCGCAATGCTCGAAGCTCTTCCTTCTGCATCCCGCCCGCTCAAGACCGGTGTCAATGTGGCATTCTCCACCGCAAAGCATATGCAATCTTCGGTTTATCATCGGCTTAGAAGAAGTAGGAGCCTTCGGACCCGACGTTGAGGCTCTTCCTCGGCGTTTTCAAGCTTCCTGCGGCCTCGGAGGTTTTAGAGGATTACGCATTCAATGACCCATCCGGCGTAAGGCCTGTGTTTACGACAATGGCTTCGCAAGATTTTGAATATGTACAGTATGTTTGTAACAGCCTCAAACCTGTGCCTTGGGCTCATCCCGCGGGAAACCCACGATGTCCAGTACATGGGTAAATAGATATCCGCCACTATCAGTTGAAATACTTCAGCTCCCCTCCCAATAAAACAAGGTGATGTTTTGATTACACTGACATCACCTTATTACGAACATCTGTCGTTCAATACGGCCTATCGTCGGAGGCTTAGCCTCCATCTTGTAACACGGAACAGCATCGGCTACTCCCTTCAAAATGCTACCCAGCTGGAAACTCTATTTATTCATTTGTTTTTTTTCTGGCGCTCAACTCGGTGAATTGGGTTTCACTTGTACGACAGCTGGGGGATATTCGCTCGAGGTGTTTGCATACTATAGACAGTGCATAAAGGCATTGACCCGGGAATAATGTTGACCGTCATTGATGACGCGACATCACTCGCTACAACACGCAGGTATATCAATATTGGCACCCCAATCAACCACTCCCCGGAGGTGCGTGGGCCCTGATCCCTCCTTGACCCGTCGGGTCTACATACCAGAGACAGCAAGCTAGCTGACTGCTACGACCTCGCCGACGCCATCGCCGCGTCTGGGGTGCAGGACGCACGATGCTGTTGCATCGAAAATCACCGACATGAGCGAGCGAAGCAGCAAGCAAGCAAGCAAGCAAGCAAGCAAAGCAGGAGCTGACCGACAGCCAGCCGGAAAGGCTCAGCGTTTCACTCAACAAAGCTATGCGGACACACCGCAGTGCACGTACGTAAGCTCGCTGAAATACCCACCCCCTCCACAGACGCGACCCCGTAGTAGCTAGCTGTGCCGCTG